GGTCGCCCGTGTTGTCACCGTTGTTGCCCTTGTTACCGCCTTGGTTGCCGTGGTCATCGCCGTGGTTATAGCCGTTGTTCTTCCTGTGCTTTGCGTTCTCGAGGTTAACCGCGAGCTTGTTAGCCATATCGACCTAATTCTCCCAGTCATTCGTGGCAGGTAGGTTGACCTATACTGCGACTACGTTACATAGGCTGTCGCTGAACTTTTCGCGCAGGCTACGTACACGAGCGGCATTGTCCTACTCGCATTCATCTGCCAAGTTATTGAACTCGGTAATGAAGTCGGTGAAATTGGCCCAGCGGCCGGTCTCGGTTAGGTTGCGCAGCTTGTTTTCCGCCGCTGCAGCCAGGTCCATTGTCTTGTATTTCTTGGCCAGGTGGGCTAGGAATTCCTCGCCTGTTTTCTAGGGCCATTCTGAGTCGTTCTTGGGGCTTGCGTTGACCTTGTCAAGGCCCCTAATGACCGAGGAAAAGGCGACGCCCTCGAGCATTGAACTGGCGTATGAAATCTTGCTATATTCGTTGGCATAGTTGCCGGGGCGGCTATTCCAGCGCCCGACGATTTTGGTGCGCCAGGCACGGAACTGGGCCGTACACTTGGCCGCGTCGCGCTCCTGACCGTTGAACGGCTGCAGGTGCGTAACGGTTGCATTGACCAGCTTGCTGACGTCCTCGCTCGTGCTGCCTGTCTTGCCACTGTTGTTGACCAGGGTCGCTATGTTCGCAATGACGCCATCTTTGGCCGTGTTCGCTGTCTCCAGGCTTGCAACGCGTACCTGGGCCTCGTTCAGGAGCGCCTGGGTGTTATGGAGGCTCTAGTCGAGCTCCCGGGCGTGCGCCTGTGTGCCAGCAAGAAGCTCTTGGACCCTGTTGTAACGCTCGGTTTCAATTTGTAACATGTGCTCGAACAATGTAATGACCTTGGCTCCTGAGCTCCGGCGAAGGCTCTAGTAGAATGCGTATAGGACGTTCTCACTGTTGAAAATAGGGTGATTGCACGTGTCGAGCCAGTTCTTCAGCCTCGGGTGCTTCGTTCCGTCGATCAGGTTGACAATTTCCTTGCCTACATCGCACCTGTTGTCCTTGGTCGCTTCGTGGGCGACCTTCTCTGCTTCGTTTCTGGGCTTAATCTCACTTTTCTCGCGCGCCAGCGAGGGCATTGCCCGCGGCGAATCGGCCTCGTGCAACACGTCCCCCGAGTGCGCCGTCTCCAAGTCGTCCGTATCGGGCATCGTAAAATCCCGGTATGCCATGCTCATAATGTCGTATCGCTGCCGCCTTGGCACTGCTCAATGTCGTATTCCGACGGCTCCGAAGGCCGTGATTCGCTCGCTTGAATCCTTGTAACCGTAAACCGGTGGTCCGCGCCACGTTCCGACTGGCCAGAGCTCTGAGGTCGCTGTATGGAGAATCGCTCGGCGTACCAAATCGCCGAAATGTCGCTCAGAATTACTGGAACTCTGAATCAATTGAAAATGGCCTATAGTTGCATAGCCAGTCGAAAGAACGCGCACGAACTAGAGGTGCAACCAACTGTTACAGACCGTATGGGGTGCAATGGTATATAACGTCTCCCTCATAGATCCCGGTCGTGTATGAATCCGGGCGACGCCAGCTTTAACCCTGACTTTTACGAGCTCATTTAAGGGTTATAGCTGTTTGTGGCCGCGATTCATACACGACCGGGATCCCTGTTGGAGACGCTATGTGGTTGCACGAGGGAACCAGAAGTGTGGCCCTACGCATTGGAAATACCCTGCGCCGCAAAGACCAGCCCTGTGGGCCCGACCAGGGCACCACAACCCTCGTGCCTGAACCCTAACCCTAATCTACAACATGGCACGGGTCATGCCCGTGACATTCCAATTGGCTCAATTGCAACAGGAAAACGAGGCTCTGAAGGTTTAGTTGGAGGCAGCCCGGCCGTCGAGAAGAAAGAGGGTGGTCCCGGATCCGAACAAGCAGTTCGCTTCCATTGAACAGGTCCACCGGGCTCAAATTGAGGCTGGCCGTATTGAAGAGTCTGGCATTGAAGAGAGCAGGCCAGAAAGCCCCGAATCGGATGCTTCCTGTATTGTGGTGGGTTGAACAGACTGTAATAGATGGTGTTGAAGAAGATGGGTGGTTTAGACGCCAAGACTTACAGAGTGGGCGGAATGGGGGGTGGGCAGAATGGGGGGTGGTCGACTTATAGGCAATGTTAGAGTCGTCGCAAGCATATAGACTGCCACTGACCTTGAAGCCTGCGCAGCAAGCTACAGACAGGAACTCGGACTGCGTGCATACGATGGCCCTGTGCATATGGTATTCATTTCCTCCGCTGGAAACCACGAGGTCTGAGTACTCCCGGCTGGAGTAGAGCCTAGCCGGGGGCTATTGTCGCTATTGTCAATACCTACAAGTTCCAAAGAAGGAGGAACGGCAAGAACGAAATGAGTGTACCTTTTTAAAAAGCCCATCAGGTCTTTAGAAGGCTCATCACCAGCTGTATCGTGGGCTGTCTGAGTTACGGAGCCAGCTGGCCAGGCCCCGAACCCAAATGACATCTTTGAACTTAGCGTTGTTGTCCGCGCAACTAGGCGTACAGGAGCTGCCGGTCTTCTGGCCGAACGGAACTCGAAGGCATGCCGGCTCGAGTCCTGGCGGTGTTGCCAAATTGCTTGTGCACTTTTAAAATAACGATCGCATTTATTGCAGTAAGGCATCGAGTCCGGTTGAAGGAATGCCACAAGCCTGTATCAAGTAACCAACATGCTGTCACGAGCCGTGTCGTTCTCCCGCCGTTCCAGCCCGGCGTTCCAGCCCGACCGTCGATGAGCCACGTGACTCGCTCACCTGCTGGAGGCCCAGCTTTCTCCTCCACAGTCTCCGCTACCGCTAGCAAACCACCAAGAGTTCGTCGCCCCGTCCTGCCTCACACGTCCCCAGCCAAGCCCAACCCAGCCACGCTCCACTCATCCGACCAGCCGTCCTGCCACCCCCTCCACATCAACCGCAGTCTCTCGAGGGCGCTCGACTCCTCAGTGGTCAGGCCCCGAGCCAACTGGTCCCCTTTCCCCCGCAGAAGGTCGGACCACCGAAGGGGCGCAACGCTGAGCCGCTCCGCTGCCGCCTTCACCATGGCCATTTACCGCTCGCCAGAGCATGCCTTGCACCCCTCTGGACGCTGTCCGCCTTCGGTAATTGTGAGCGGAATATGCCGGAAGTAACTGCGGTCGGCTTCGTCGTATGGGATATGAAGCGCTCTCAGCATATGCCGGCAGTCCTCAGCGGGAAAGTAAGGCTGTAGCGGCAGCCCGAATATCTCAACACCTCCTGTGGATTATGGTAACAAGACTTAACGACAGAATGGCAAGACGCCAACTGAGCGGACCCTAAGTAGCCTCGTAGCGGATCAAGTGCATTGATAGGAAGGGCTAACCCAATCACCTAATCTAAGCATATCCAACTACCCATCATAAGAACCGACTTCGACTGTAGCTATGTACCGCAATGACGAGGAGATCATCGGTGAAAGCCTCAAAGATAGCGCCGTTTGATCTCTTAAATATATATAATTTATTGCAGTTTTTATTTGGGGCGGAATCCATCACGACATATGAATGTAGCATATAGACTTGGTATCTATGTCTCTCTGGGTATCTTGATGGCTGACGTGATTATCTTCTGCTAAATCTGCGAGCTTGGGACACTCTCATAGGGGTAGCGATAACCGTTTGGCTTGCCTAGAACCTGGTCCACACCTCGAAGCATCCTCTCCAGCACTAATCTTCACTCCAAGAATCTCTCTGTTTCGTCCTCGGTATAGTCCCACGTAGGTATCTCCCAGCCGTACAGCCTATTATGTGCCCGGTAGATCCAGTACTTCCCCTGAGTACGGATAGATGCATGGCAGAGGAAGCAGGCCGACTTCCTGCACCCGATCGTGCGAGGTGGGTATCGGGTGGCATTCCGATAATAATGCAAGATGAGATGCATCTTGGCGTGAACGCGCTCTGTTGCATTAGCACATGGGCAAACAACAACCTGAAATGACGAAAAGAGCAAGCGATGCAACTTGGCAAGTCGAAGGAGCCCTTTGCAAGCTTCATAATATTGAGCTAGCTTGGCCATTTCCAAGAATGCCCGCCTTTCAGCGCGTGTCTCAATACGCTTCCTCTTCCGCCCTGCTGTACGCTCTGCATAGTGCTTCTGCCTCTTTAGCTCAGGTTTTCCATCGACGAAGCAGAGCTTGTATGCGCATCGAATGACTATCTTCAGGTTGTTGTGTAAGTCTTCTCCCACAGTGTGAATATCTTTCGCTAGCAACTTGAGTGAAGCAACAAACCGCTCCTGGCTGCCTCCCCCCAGCTTAACCACGTAATCCGACAGCACGCGGCCCACATCAATCCTTTCTCGCTGAGGAACAGAGCCTTCTGACCCCTTTGTATTCCGAGACGCGATCCTCTTAAGGATCCTCTCACTGCGGAGCGTTCTTGCCGCTTGCAGTGTCAACGAATCCGGCAGCCGCAACTTGCCGAACTTGCGAGCCAAGCTACGACATTGACGAGGTCTCGCGCATAGGAACTCTCCCGAGATTAGAAAACAGAGGCGCGAGCCTTACGCAATCATGCCGAATGGTCCTACCAAGCGATTTCCAAGGCCTTGGGAGTGACAGTACGGTAGGTTCAACGAACCTGTGATGGCCTAGTCACTCCACAGAAGATCGGGCATGTCGGAAGACTTCCATTGATCCGTTCTCCACAGAGAGAGATCCTCCGTCACTATCTCGAAGCCGACAACCTCTTCCGGGAGCTCCCATGGGGCGATTTGAAGTACTATATCCCGGGGTTTGAGCTGTTTAGGGAGACTGCGATCTTCAAGGCTCTACGATCAATGGGTTACTCGAGGAGGAAACGTCGCCATAGGATTGAACTGACTCATTAATACCGGGCTGTACGACTCGCCTTTGCATATGAGTAGTTATCTCTACGACCTAATCCTGAAGACTGAGAGAAGGTCATCTTGAGTGATGAGACTTGGGCTACTTGATTATCGCCTCCACTCTGTCTTTGATGCGGTGCTGCTGTCGGGCGGACTTCCGCTACCACAGCTCGCGCGTCTGTGTCGAGTCCCTAAGCTTCGAGTCGCGACGAGGATTCGTGCCCGGTGCGCACCCGTGCTGATGTCGGCGATGGATCGAACCAGCTGGGCTCCCCTCTGGCCCTTTTCCGGCACTCGGAGAAGCAGGTCCAGATGGACATGGCGGAGATGACGATTCCTACCTGTACCCACCCCGCCATGAGGGGCACTACCACGCCGAAGATGATCATGTCCGAATAGCCCGCGTGCTTAGAGCCGTTGTTGTGATACTCGGTAGGACTCGTGGCCTCTGTGGCCTCCGTGGTGGGCATAAGAAGCAGCGTGGCCGGACCTGGGTTTGGTGTAGACGGCATGCTGGGAAGATATCATAGCAGTCCTCACGGTTACGCTGCTTGACGGAAGCGAGAGGGACTGCCGCATGGCCCGGGTATACAATCCCAGCGGCAGAAGAGCCTCGGCGGCCTTCCACAAGCCACCCCCGCCATCACCTACAACCTGCCCACGCGTCAAAACTCAATCGTGCATGTCGCTGCTCATGTCGGCTATCGGGCCTCAGATTCAGCCTCAGATCTTGGCATATAGCATTCTCTTTTCACGGGCATTTGAGTCAATCTGGTGATTGTGATCATGTATCTAATGCTGCAACGATTTCAGACGGATTCCGTATAATACATTTGCTTCTGTGCTTCCTTCTGACCTGTACCGCATCGCGCGGCCATTCTTATCGAGAAGAATCCTAAACTGCGGGCAAAGCTTGAACCTATTGAAGTTAGCAAGAAACGGCCGATTCCGTGTCGGTTGTCGAGTTGCGTGCAACGGTGCAAGCCAACCGCGACCCGGCAAAACAATCGTCTTGTTTCTGATTCGCGAACTCGGCATCCCGGTGCAGTCACGTGATGCGGGGCTGGTCGGCTTGCGGCGCCGGCTGCCAAGCCCCGCGAGAATGGGTGGTGGGATCACGAGTCGGACTGCGCCGAAGTCGCCGTATGTATTTTCCTTCTTTTTTTGCTTCACTTTCACCGCTTACGGATCGCCCACCCGATGGCTGCGAATCGGATAGAAGGAAAAGCACCTTGGATTGTGCGTTTGCTCCTGATGGTAGTAGACGTTGTTGACAGCGTTTGACCGTCCTCGCTCCTTTGTTTCGCGTTTGTTGCCGCCTTGCAACCAACACCGTCCCCACCTGGGCATCCGATGCATCGCTTTCGGCGGTGACGACTCGACCATGTCCTCTCGGCCGAACCTCCGTCCGGGCCATGAACACGCCCCCGCACACCCGAGCGCCCTCCGGCAGGCCTACGCGGCGTCGTCTGCGAGTTCGGCCGAAGACCAGACCGACGCAGCGTCCCCAGGCACCTCCCCCGTTCACCGCCATGTCGCAGGCCCCAGCCGACAGCGTCCGGCCGAGACTACGCCTTTGTTGGTAGAAGTCCTCGATCTCCGCGAGCACGCGCACGAAGGGCCCTGCGCCCACGGCACCTTCTCGCCGCGCCCGACGAGCCCCTCGAGCATCCTGACCGACCCTCTCAGCCCTACCGAGTCAGAAGCCGAAGCGAGCATTGATGGGATTCTGTCGGGACGCCCGCACCGAAGGCAGGGGAGCTGGAAGAGGCAGTTGGCGTCCAAGATGAGGAGCAAGAAGATGAGCACGTCGCGGGAACTCGCCGAGCGTCACGGAATAAAAGACTCGGCCCTGATGTGAGCCTGCACGCCCTCAAGTACATCCTCCCGCTGACTGCTTGTGTCTTCAGGTACATGTCGTACTATCTCCCCGTCCTGGTATGGGCTCGAGAGTACAGCTGGTCGTATTTCAAGGGCGATTTCGTCGCCGCGCTGACCGTGGCCGGCATGTACGTCCCCATGGCCCTCTCCCTTGCCGATAACCTGGCCCACGTGCCGCCGATCAACGGCCTCTACTCGTTCGTCTTCAACCCCCTCATGTACGCCCTGCTCGGCAGCTCCCCGTCCATGATCGTGGGCCCCGAGGCCGCCGGGTCCCTCCTCGTCGGCACGGTCGTCAAGGCGAGCGTCGACCGCGGCCACGGCGGCGAGGAGGACGCCACACTGCAGGCCAGGCTCTGCGGCATTGTCTCCGGCATGGCTGGTGCCATGGTGCTCATCGCCGGCGTCGCGCGTCTGGGATTCCTGGACAGCGTGCTCTCACGCCCGTTCCTCCGCGGCTTCATCAGCGCGATCGGCGTGGTGGTGGCCGTCGACCAGCTGATTCCCGAGCTCGGGCTGAACCGGCTGGCCGACCACGCGCACGTCAACCACGCCAGCAGCGTCGACAAGCTCGCGTTCGTCTGCAGAAACCTGGACAAGGTCCACACGCTGACGTTCGCCGTGGCCGCCACGAGCTTCGTGATCATCATGGTCTGTCGCGAGATCAAGCGCCGGCTGCAGCCGCGATACCCCGGCGTAGCCTACATCCCGGACCGCTTCATCGTCGTGGTGCTGTCGGCCTTCCTGGCCTACTGGTACCAGTGGGACAAGGCGGGCGTTGCCGTGCTGGGCAAGGTCGAGGCGGCCAGCGGGCACCTCTTCACCTTCCGCTGGCCGCTGCAGCCGTCCAACATGGCATACATGCGCGAGGCCATGGGCACCTCTTTCCTGATCGCCCTGCTCGGTTTCTTCGAGTCGACCGTGGCAGCCAAGAGTCTCGGTGGCCAGGGCTTTGCTGGCATCCAGCTCAGCCCGAACCGCGAGCTCGTCGCGCTTGGGACGGCCAACATGGTCGGCTCCTGCTTCATGAGCCTGCCCGCTTTTGGAGGCTATGGGAGGAGCAAGGTCAACAAGTCCACGGGTGGCCGCACGCCCATGAGCTCCATCATCCTCAGCGGCTTGACATTGCTGTGCATTCTCGTTCTCCTGCCGTACCTCTATTATCTTCCGGTGAGTGACTCTCTCTGCATGACTTTGGGGCTGATTCTAATGCCTGCGCCTGCAGAAACCGGTTCTGTCGTCCCTCATCAGCGTTGTGGCATGGTCGCTGATCGAGGAATGCCCGCACGACGTCCTGTTCTTCCTCAAGATCCGCGCCTGGCAAGAGCTCGCGCTCATGACCATCATCGTGCTCGCGACCATCTTCTTCTCGCTGTCGTTCGGCATGGCCATCGGCGTCGGGCTGTCCCTTCTGCAGGTCATTCGCCACGCCACGCGGCCGCGCATCCAGATCCTGGGCCGCGTGCCCGGCACCAACCGGTTCGAGAACGCCGAGGCAGACCCGGACCGGCTCGAGTTCATCGAGGGCTGCCTGATCGTCAAGATCCCGGAGCCGCTGACGTTTGCCAACACGGGCGAGCTCAAGAGCCGGCTGCGGCGGCTGGAGCTGTACGGCACCAGCATGGCGCACCCGGCCCTGCCGCGGCTCCGGCGCGAGGACGGCGACCGCAACATCATCTTCGACATCCACGGCGTGACGTCGCTCGATGGCAGCGGCGTGCAGGTGCTCGAGGAGATTGTGCGCGACTACCGGCAGCGCGGCGTGCGCATCTTCTTCAGCCGCGGGCCCGGGCGCGATTCCGACGTGGGGCGCATGCTGCGGCGCAGCGGTATTGTGGAGCTCGCCGGCGGGAAGCACCACTTTGTGGATGATGTGCACGAGGCGCTGAACTTGGCTGACGCTGAGGACGGGGGCGAGCCGGTGGTTTCGGGGCGCAGGTAGCGACTGCGGGTTGCTCTCGCTGATAGAAACTGTCGTCGGTACTCGACGCGTCGACTCTGGGGTGTAAAGTAGAGTACTGGGGCTTCCTATTGGATAGAGCTTGGTTTCGGTTCCGTCTGAATGTACCAAATAAACTTGGACGCTGGAATAGTTGGTTTCCCTGTCTTGCCGGTTGTTGAGGTTGTTCGTGAGAAGAAGCGTGGCCGAGTTCAACCCTAACCCTTGTTTAGGCACCAACCTGTATCGCAATGCGTCACAACGAGGCTCAGCCCAGCTGATGACTGAATTACTGAATTCGGATGACCCCTATTGAAGGAAGGGGCGGTGCCTGATGAGAGGAGTATTTCGTATTTATTAGGCAAACTTGCATAGCATCAGCTTGATTCTGCGGATTTCAATCTCCAAGCGACAACCACTCAATCATCCACCATTCACTGAGTACCTACCGAGTCTCCAAAGACTTGAAATCATGTCGACGCCGGCTCCCACCCGCCGCGACCGCATCCTCGGCGCCCTCCTGGGCGTCCATGCAGGTGACTCGCTCGGCGCGACCGTGGAGTTTGAGCCCTGGGAAGCCATCCAGACGCTGTACCCGGACGGCGTGCGCGACATGGTCGGCGGGGGCCATTTCGGCTGGGAGCCCGGCCAGGCGACCGACGACACCGACCTCACCCGCGCCGTGTTGCTCGCCTATCGGGACGTCAAAAAGAAATCTCATTCTCATTCTCAATCCCAGCAGTCACCAGGTGCAGATGCAGATGCAGATGCAGACGAGGTCATCCGCCTCGCCGCGGGCTACATGGTCGACTGGTACGACGGCAGCAACTGGCCCCGCCGAACCAAGGGCCAACGACCCCGCGACATCGGCGGCGCGACGGCCACGGGCCTGGCGCGGTTCAAGCGCACGGCAGATCCGCGTACCTCGGGAGCCGGTGAGGGCCGCGCGGGGAATGGCAGCTTGATGCGCTGCATCCCTACGGCGCTGTTCCAGCCGGATGCGGGGAGGATGCTGGCCGAGTCGGTCGGCATCTCGGCCGTCACGCACAACGACTTGCATTGTACCCTTGCCTGTGCGGCGTATAATGCTATGGTGGCTGCGCTGGTGGCGGGGAGGGCCGTGGAGGAGGCGGTTGGGGAGGGGAAGCGGGTTCTGGAGCGGGCGAAGGGTTTCGTTATGGGGATGGAGAAGGGAGCGAAGAAGGGTAAGGTTGAGCAGGCCGCGCAGAAGGTAGAGGTGGCTATCGACGCGGGCAAGGAGAAGGTGCGGGTGCGGGAGCTGGCGGAGAATGGCCCGGGGGCGGCGAATGTGAGGGAGGTGCTGCCGTTCAAGGGATCGGGCTACGTGCTGGAGTCGCTGACGCTTGCGGTTGCTGCCGTGGTGGATCCGCGGCCGTTGGAGGAGGTGCTTGTCGACGTGGTGCGCTTCGGGCAGGATGCGGACACGAACGGCGCTATTGCGGGCGGGCTGCTCGGGGCCAGAGACGGCGTCGACGCGATACCCCTGCGGTGGAGGGAGGCGCTGCAGTTTGGGGATGAGTTCGCTGTGCTTGTTGACTATTTGCTTGAGGAGGGTGGAAATTGAGGGAGCTAAGCTTCTATCGTCTGAGAGGGACCTCAGAGAGGGAGGATGCTAGTGGAGGCAGCCAGACACGGCACAGGGAAGGGAGAAAATCATTTCAACACTGCTACGTTGATGCTGTTTCCGAGAAGAGAATATCATCATCAATGATGGCCACCGTTTCGCCGTCTCCGAGAAGGAGAGTGTTGTCGAACTGGAAACAACGTCCTGCTACAACTAGGAATAGGGGCGTCTAAGGAGGTAGTACGCATCATAACCGCTGGACGACCTATAATAAGGACTGCCACCTCATCCGCTTCCCTTTCTTTCACGGGCTTCGTTCAACGACAACAGCCCCTTGTCTTTACCCTAGAGTAATTCTGTGTGAATCTAGCTCCCTCCTTCTTGGTGCCTCCAGCGTCGCCGCCCAATTCCCGAGTCCCAGATCCCGCACGTAAATGGAAACTGGATTCTGGAAGATTGAATGGCACAACTCGGGACACGAACTCCTTAAATCACTATCAACCTTGACGAATCCTGCCACTTGCTTTCCGCACCAGCAGTAACTCTACCCAGGTTTCAGTATTACAGCATGGGGCTTCTTGTGGTATATGAGGGGGTCCCGCTCGGGGGAACGGATGGGAACTTCAAGCTGTAAAGACGAGGGGAGGGTAACACCTGTTCGAAAAACACTATTGCACTAAGGGGCACTTCTAATAGCCAGAAGCCCACCGCTATCTGTCCCATCGTCACATGTTGCCATCAGCCAAGCGAATGTTGCCATCCAAAATCCATCCAATTTCCTGCGTGCTGTTCAGCCAGAACCAGGAGTGATTCTCGCAACATTAGTCGTCCTGAATATGAGCACCTTACACCAACCAGGATCGGCTCAAGAAGCCACCGCTCTGATGCTTGTTGGAGACTTCAGAGAGTCGTAGACGGTGCGTATCCGAACACAGATACTGACCAAGCTTCGGTCCCCAGATTGAAGTCAGTTTAGCATGAATGCAGGTTCCCTTCCCCGTGGGGAAGAATTCAGGCAGAATGGCTTCCCCACAAAGCTGGGCATGCCGGCAGACAGCCGCTCGGTATATCAACCGCGGTTATTGCCCGTGTATTGCCGGAGTTATTGGCAAGCAACACAACGCCAAGCATCAACATACGTGAAACCGTCCGCGCTGGCAGTGATCGACAAGGCCATGCTGATATATCCTCCGGTTATTACTGCTTCAGGGGAAGGGCCCGTCCGCAGTACATGTTGTATAGGTCGACGTCACAGCATGGATCACAGCTGACCCCGAAACCTGGTCCAGCGTAGCGTTGGGTGTAAGAGGTGGTATGGGTGGCGTAGTGGCCAAAGGGACCTCAAAGATGGCTCCGTCTTGCCCTTTTCGACCTCCCGTCCGTCCGGTGCTATTATTAAGTGGCTTTTTATTTAAGGACCGCGCAGTTTACCAACAGCACTCGACAACAGCAGTTTGAACCAACCATCACCATCCAGCACAAACACCCTCAACACCATCATCATGAAGCTCTCCACTGTCACCGTGCCCGTCCTCGCAGGCCTCGCCAGCGCCAACCCAGTCGACGTCGAGCCGCGGCAGTCCTGCCCTTCGATCCACATCTTCGGGGCGCGCGAGACAACCGCACCAGCGGGCTACGGCACGTCGCAGGGGCTGGTCAACATGGTCAAGCAGGCGTACGCGGGGTCGACGAGCGAGGCGATCAACTACCCGGCGTGCGGCGGGCAGGCGCAGTGCGGCGGCGTGTCGTACGACCAGTCGGCCCAGCGCGGCACCCAGGCCGTCGTGCAGGCCGTGACCAGCCTGAACCAGCGCTGCCCCAACACCAAGATCGTCTTGATCGGCTACTCGCAGGGCGGCCAGATCATGGATAACGCGCTGTGTGGTGGTGCGGGCGCCACGCTGGCTGGTGCGGCCCTGAGTGCCGTGAAGGCGGCCATTTTCATGGGCGATCCGCATAATGTTGCTGGGTTGCCGTATAATGTTGGGACGTGTAGGGCGCAGGGGGTATGCTACCACATTTTTCTTTACCCGGAAAAAAGAAGAAAAAACCAGGAAAAAGAAATAAAAGAAAAGGAAGAAAGTGGTAATGCTGACGTGGGTGATGCTTAGTTCGCCGCCCGCCCCCGCGGCTTCCAGTGCTCGCCGGCCAGCCCGTCCATCATCCAGTCGTACTGCGACTCGACCGACCCGTACTGCTGCAACGGCAACGACGCCAACTCGCACCAGCAGTACGTCAACAAGTACGGCCAGCAGGCCCTGGCGTTCATCAGGAGCAAGCTGGATGCCGCGTGAGGGATAATGTTTGTGAACCGGCTCATGTATATGTACATAGTGCAAAGCAGTCTGAATGAGTCGAAATGGTATTCCTGGTATTCTTACATCAGAGCATCTCTTATAATAGCCGTTGAGATATTGGATCTTGAAATACCACTAGTACCTCCTGCCCGTCTTACACCCCCATCTACAGCTTCGTCGCCGCCGTGTACTGCTGCAGCTGCCCCTGGGCCTCGCGGAACTCCCTCTCGACCACGTGCACATGCCTCTCGGAGCGCGGCGTGATGGAGCATTCGAACGGCAGCGGGCTCGAGTTGAAGCCGTCCGAGAAGGCGAAGCTGCAGGAACTTGAGGTTAGCTTCGTCATCCCAGGGAGGGAAAATCATGATAAAAACTCTGTAAAGATGCCACTCACATATCAACATCAATCTCCCGCCCCGTCTCGTCCCTCGCAGGCTTAACATCAAACGCCCACAGGATCCGCGCAATATTGATGGCCACCGACGCCGACCCGAGGTGCAGGCCGGGACAGATGCGGCGGCCCCAGCCAAAGGCGCTGTGGCCCAGCGTGCCCGGGTAGTCCTTCAGGCTCCCGTCCAGGAAGCGCTCGGGCCGGAAGCGGTGCGGGTCCGGGAAGTCGGCCTCGTTGAGGTGGATGCTCCACAGCGGCGCAATGACGGTGCTCCCCTTAGGGATGAACATGCCTCGGTACGTGTCGTCGGCCGTCGTCGCGTGCGGCGTGCCGCCCAACACCGCCACGGGTCGCCACCGCAGCGTCTCGGCCACCACCGCCCGCACATATTCCAGCTCGCCCAGATCCTCAAACGTCGGCAGCCTGTCCGCGCCCACCACGCGGTCCAGCTCGGCCTGCGCGCGGGGGATGAAGTCGGCGCCGAACTTGACGCACGCGAGCAAGAAGCTGGCCAGCGACCCGGCCGAGGTCTCGACGCCGGCACCGAACGGCGTGCCGGCCGTGTACGCGACCTCGAGGTCGCTCATGCCCAGCCCCTGCTGCTCGTCCAGCAGATGGGCCGCAAAGCAGTCCGGCAAGACACCCGCGGCGCGCCGCTTCCTCACGTCGTCCATCAGGCCCGTGTACATGGCCACGTCGCGCCGGCGCTGCTCCAGCACCTGCCGCTTCCACGGCGCCAGCACGCTGGGGATGTACTTCAGCGCCGGATACCGCTCGACGGCGTACTTGCCGGGGATGTTGACCTGCGTGAGCCGGTCCATGGCCTCGGCGTTCATGCGCACCACGCCGTCGGTGCGCACGTCCTCGACGCGCCGCCCGTAGGTGACGGTCACGACCACACTGGCCGCGTAGCGTTCCAGGTGGGTGCGGTACTCCGCTGGGTTAGTGAGCAGCTCGTGCAGGAGCACTTTCGACTCGAGACTCTGGATCGGCCGGTACCGCTCGCTCTGCCGCTGCATGAACCCGGAGTGCAGCAGCTTGCGCCAGCGCCGCCAGAAGGCCGAGTAGGGCGCCATCAGCCCGCGCAGGCCGCCCGAAAGCAGCTCGCCGCCCATGATGAAGCGCGGGCGCGACGAGTAGATGGCCCCGCGCTTTTCGAGCAGGTCCCAGGCTGCTTGGGCGGATCCCAGGATGATGGTTGGGGTGGGGCCCATTTGGAGGTACACTACGTCGCCATACCGCTGGTTCAGCTCACGAAACCAGAGCCATGGTTTGCGGATGCCTGTTTTGAGTGTCTTGGGCCCGGGGGGCAGTTGGGAGCGGCGAGACCAGAGGCGCCATGTTTGGTGGAGCTTTGCGATTCAGGGGGTAAGTCAAAACTCGAAAAAAGGGGTGGTGTTTTTTCCCCGCGTTTTCCAAAACTTGAAAGCCACATAGAAATGCGGAGATGCTTACCCGAGGAAGCTCCAGCGCCAGGTACGAGAGGACAATGGCGAGCCCCAGGCTGAGGGCCACCACGCCAAGCGTCTGCTCTGTCGATAGCGACGACTGCAATTCGGCCATGGCTATAGTCTATAGGTGTGGGAGTGTCGAGGAGTCGAAATGCACCTGGCCTGGGGATGTGACTGTGCCAGCCCTAATGTAGCATGCTATGCGTCGCTCTGTCGCGGGGGTGCATATGCAACTGCCGCTGTCGATGGTGTTCCTAGTGCGGGCTTGGCGAATCCATGGCTCGAAAAGTTTAGCTTGTCTCCGCGCCATATTCCCGGCGTTTGACATGCGGAATCGGTTCTTATGGGAAGACTCTGGAGTGTCGAGGTCGATGCAGGGTCGCGGAAAATATTACGATACTGTGACATTGTCATGGATCGAGCATAAGGCAGATGTGGAGCATTTGTGAATCTCTATCATGTGACGAAGCAATTCAGGCAACAAAAGGCCACCAAGGAGGTTCTGCTGGCAAACATCATGGTTGCGGGATCATTCATTCTCCGTTTTACTCGTTTATTAATGCATGTCGGAGCCGCTGCTTATCCGGATCCACAGAATCCCACGGCGGCCACGACGACGGGTACTGACTCCCGCTGGGCAAGCTCGGCAGGTTTTTATGTTGGCTTTGGGGTTATTAGTTTGCAAAGCAGTCCGTCATTGCTAATTCACGAATCACATTGGAGGTTAGCTTCCAGGCCTCTATCCGAGTTGACTCTCTCTGACACAACTCTATACTACTAGTACTACTCTATAGTACAACCATCACGTATTTGACATAATATATATATTCAAACCATTGTCGGACTAGTGACATATAACGTAGCGTACCTTCGAATTACAAAACACCACTAACAATCACCTCCCGACAACCCCTCACCGGACACCGCGTATCCCACCCACGCTCCGCCTCCTGACCCACCCACACCGTGAGACAATCACTCTCTAGGAAGTGGCCACAATGCAGGATCAGGCGCGCCTCGCGTCCGCCGCCGCCGTCCTCGTCCTTGTTCTCGTCCTCCGGCATCCCGGGATTGTGAACGACCAGCTCGCGCCCGCAGCCGAAGCATTGCACCACCTTCTGCCTGGCCTTTCCTCCTCTTTTTTCTCTGAGCAACGCGTCGATATCGTCGGCGTCGGCGCGCCGTACTGTATGGGGGAAACCGGCGTCTTGGCCTGAGATGTGTCCGTAGGGAGGATGTTCTGCTACGGTGCTGTGCCTATTACCCCGTCGCTACCGCCGCCGCCGCCGCCGCGAGGTCAAAAAGAATGCTGTGGGTGTCCGGCGTCGGCGGCGACGGTGATGCTCCGATTCCGAAGTATGGTTACAACAGTTGGCAGTTCCGGTGAAGTTCTGGAATTCGGCCAACGAGCGCTCGATGGCTAAGGCTAGGTGCGTCTCGAACCCACTATGAAAGGCGAAAATGCGGTCGGCTGTTGGGTGTATTAGTTTCGCCCAGTGACTGCTCAATGGCTGCGTTGAGCATTAATTCTTCGAGATAGTCCGTGCTGTTGTCGGTTTGGTCGCCGGTGTCATAGCTGCTAACCCCTGGGCTCGACATTTTGAACGGTATATAGCTGCGGATGAGTCGCAGGAAGAGTCTTGTGCGGATGGTGAGAAACGTATTCCCATGAGGGCATTACCGAGGAGTAACTGGGGCTAGGGTTTTGTCTTGTTGTCAGATATATAGGGAGAGTGCGTGTTAGCCCAAATGTACCGGTAACAATGAGGCTATGCATAGGTCGAGGGACAGTGAGTATTGTGGTGACTCGGTGGGCATTTGTTTGTTTCCTTTGTTATCGTGGTCTATCAAAATAATAGAAGTGGTGGAGCCGGAAGGGGTGATTGTTGGAATCAACAAAGACATCGAGCCTCATTCATCTGAATCTCTATATAACAGAACTCGTCCTCGGATTGGTCCTACCGAAACCTAGAGAGCTTCACGGAAGGGGCGCTTAACCTGCAGCTGTGAGCGACTTGACGAAATCCGCCATTCACCACCATCAAGTGATCGTATAGCTTCTTACCGAGATCAGACACTCTCAGTAGATTAGTGACCCTAGCTAAGGAAGAGGGGTGATAGAGCTCTTCGTTGGCCACATGTCAGACAAGCGCCTTCTTCTAGTAGATGGAAGCGTTCGCTCCTATTGAGCCCCCCTCCATCCTCAGGTAACCTTGTGACTATAATTTGCTCGCGATCGGGGTTATCTATCTGTGTTGGGCCCAAATACATAGAGTCTAAAGCTCGAACAAACCCATTGTTCGCTCACAATGCTACTAGTAACAACCCTAGCCCCGCATAGAAAAGCTTCACCAACTCAGGGGTACTGGTGCTTGCTTGTATGTCTATAAGTCTATGTGGTATGGGGGGTCTTGCGGCACTCCAACCTGCGCATCCATCCATCCTAAAACCCCATCCAGACTGGTGGTCAGGTGTCCATGCCCGGTGGTCTCTCGTCCGACGCACCCAGAGGTGTTCGTTCCCGGTTTGGCTGCGACCCCTTTTCCGCCGCCTCGGCAGACGGCCTCCTCTCAGCTCCCCGCCGATCCCGCCTCTCCGCCCTCGACGACACATACGACAGACCGGCCGTCCACAGAACCAGGGCCACCGACGTCGCAATCATGGCCCACATTCCCTTCTACACATGCAAACCGTGTCAGGTGAACTCAGCTCATTACCTAGATCAGACACCGAGAAACTTGAGAAGAAAAGAATGAACTCACCTCAAACCACGGCGCCATACTCGCCCCATAGAATACAAGACTCCACCACGCATTGACGGCGTTACTGCCCAGGTTCATGCCGGCCAGCACGACGGACCGGAACACGGGCGGCCGTTGCCGGCGCGTGCACACGTCGTTGGCCCAGGCGAAGAAGGTCGCCTGGCACGCATACACGCTGCCGGCCCAGTAGTACGCGCCAAACACCATCGCTGTCGCCTCGCCCTCCTCTCCTGGGTTCATCATCATACCCTTGGCCGCCAGAATCATCCCGCTCGTCGCCACGCCCGTCACGCCGATGAAATACCCCACCATCCAGCGCTTGCCACCCAGAAAGTCGGTCAGCGCGGCCCAGAAGAGCGTCGAGACGATCCCCACCGCGGGCACGCCTGTCGGGTAGTTGTTCAGCTGGGGCACCGTGTAGCGTGTTGTGGCCTGCGATGGCGGCGTTTTCATGTAGAGCGCGAGCAGCGAGTTGGACGAGAACGACTCGGTCTCGCCCGCGATGATCCACAGCACAATGAAGCCCCACCATTCCCACGAGGTGAGCACCGCTCTGGCGAAGGTCCACGTCAGCGGGGAGGCTTTCGGGCTTGTCTCTGTGGAGGCGGTGTCTTCTGATTCTTCGGGGGCAATACTGGGCTGGTGGTGTGAGTGTGAGTGGAGTTTCAGGCGTTGCACGGCGAGGTGTCGCTCGCTGGGGCTGAGGTAGGGGGCGGTGGTCGTGGCGGGCGTGTCTGGAAACAGGAAAAGGCCGTATGCGGCCACGGGTAGGGTGATGAGGCCGTCGATGATGAACAGCCAACGCCAGCCGCGCAGGCCGTGGCGGCCGTCCATGCTCGTGTAGATGCCGCTCTGGATGAAGCCGCCGATCATGGTGCCGGCCAGCCCGGACGCGGTGAAGATGCCGCTACGCTTGCCCAGCTCGCGCTCCGTGTACCACGAGCCGAGGATGTAGTGCGTGCCCACGAAGGTGCTCGCCTCGGCCACGCCCTGGAAGAAGCGGATGGCCATGATGGCCTGCGGCGAGTGCGTCGACGCCGTCACCATGGTCAGCGCCGCCCACACGACCATCATGGCCGGGAAGAAGTGGCGTGGCTTGACATAGTGCAGGCTGATGTTGGACGGGATCTGGCCGAGGACGTAGCCCACGGTGAAGCACGTGTTGATCTGGTTGAGCTGGTCCCCCTGGAAGTTGAGGTCCTCTTTCATGCCCGAGACATATGCGTTGGCGAGGTTCGAACGGTCAAGCTGGCCGAGACGCCGAGTCAGCATGTGCCAGGGACGCGGGGGATCGCACTTGCGTTCAGAAGCGAAAAGCAACTCAAAGCAGCTCACATAGTTGAGGAAGTAGCTGAGACAGCAAAAGGTCAAGATGAAGAAGTCGATCTTGCGCACGAGTTTGCGCTCGGCCGGGTCGGTTCGCCAGGCCGACAACAGGTAGTCGCGCAGCCTGGACGACGACCCAGCCATGCCGTGGGCTGGACCCTAGGAGCGCTGCTTCGGAAGTGTACCTTCTCCAGATTCATAGAATGATGCTTGTTCCCTGCGCCTATTAATGTGCTGTACCAAGGTGTACGTATTCCGTATACGAAACGCTGCCACACTGAAACCTAAACTCCTAAAGCCGAGTAACCCAAGACCCAGCTCTAGACATGAACGTGCCTCTAATTCTTCTAAGCTGTATGTGAGGCTGAGATCTGCTATCTCAGACGCGTCCGGGCAGCCGTCGTTGACTCGCTTCCGATGACGTTCGTGCAACGGGACGTTCCAGGATCTATTGGCGGCAGCGGGGACGTCTATTTGGGCGGGCCGACGGTGAGATCCGAGGCCCAGACCACGGTGGGTTGTGCAACGTTCAAGCCGACCGCGGACCCTAGACCTCAGGGGTGACCGATAAGACTCGCATCTGGCCTGCGAAAGGTGAGCAGATGATGGATGCGTACAACCGTGCTATCGTCACTCTAGCCTTCGAGGTTGGTGAGATTTGATTCGGTGGGCCGTCGGCGATAAAATTTCATGTTCTCCACTGTCGCAAAAAGGCATAATGGCACGCCAATGGCTTCCGGGGCGATAATAGCTACAACCCTCATAGGGTGTAAGCGAATAACGCATTAGAAGAAGAGAAGAAGACGAAAAGGCAGCATTTCGAAGTAGATGACGCGGTGCGCGAGGTGGGCAGCGGATCGTAAGATTGGAATGGCGGGGTGAGGGTGGCAGAAGATGTGGAAGTTGGAAAGAACGACCCGAGACGGGCATCAATCCACCACGACGATTCAGGCACGCCTGCCCCTGCTACACCCTTTCCCTAACCTACCATCAACGCTTCAAGTCCAGCAAACACAAAAACTCAACCTCGGAGGCATGAAGCATATGGAAGACGATCCGATGATATTTATGCTAGGCACCAACCACCGATTATTACCACACCAAGGAAACTATACACATCAAGAAGGAACGCGGCATGTAGTGTATGCGCACACACACACCTTCCCCACCAAAAAACGAAAGGAGAAGAAAATCACTCCGACACCTTGCACAGCTTGCCAGTCTGCAGCGTGAGCCAGCCCTGGTTCTGCACCTTCCAGCGCTCGGACCCGACGGCGGTCGGGGCCCAGAAGAGGTCGTAGGGGTCGACGCGGCGCTTGATCTGCAGCAGGCGGTCGTAGTTGGTGCCGTAGAAAGCGTCGGCAAAGTCGGGCTCCATGACGTCGCCCTCGTTGAGATAGCCGCCGGGCCCGTACACGCGCAGGCGGCCCATCCAGTCGTCGGTGATCTTCTTCTGCACAGCGTCGAAGTCGGCGCCCGACAGGCCCGGCGCCCAGCCGGTGCCCATGATGCCGAACCAGACGGCGTCGCGCCAGTGCGAGTTGGCGCCGCTGTCGGGCGTGCCGGCCGGCTGGGCCGGGTTCATGTTGTACTGGATCAGCGCGGAGCCCTCCTCGATGACGGAGCGCACGGCGTCGAACATGGCCTCGCGGTACGTCTCGTTGGCCCAGGCCGAGCGCGGGTACATGCGCGAGGCGGTGCGCAGGTTGGAGTTGGCCACGCCCTCGGTGGGAAAGTGGGTGGTCCAGGCGTCGTAGAAGTTGTCGTGCTCGAAGAAGGTGGCGGCGCTGAAGTCGAAGCCCAGCGCGGTCCACTCGTCCAGCAGCGGCTGCACCATGGCCTTGAAGTCGGCCAACGCCATGCCGGGCACCATCCACGGGTTCATGGTCCACGTGTAGCCCGAGCCGGGGGCGCCGCGCGGGAAGATCATGCCGTAGCCGTACGAGCCCTGCGACGCGTACTCGGGAAACTTGCGCCAGTAGGCGTACATGGCCTCCCAGAAGACCGCGTCCGGGTTGGTGGTGTCGTTGCCGGTCGTGATGGTCCACGTCACGCCCGAGAAGGTCATCTTGGGGAACACCTTGACGGTCAGCGACGTGACGACGCCGAAGGTCGAGCCGCCGCCGCCGCGGAGCGCCCAGAAGAGGTCGGTGTTCTGCGTCTCGCTGGCCGTCACGAAGCGGCCGTTGGGCAGCACCACGTCGATGCTCAGCACCTGGTCCGACCCGAGCCCGTACTTGCTCGACATGGGCGAGTGGCCGCCGCCGGCCGAGTAGCCGCCGGCCACGCCGACGCCCTTGCACTCGCCGCCGACCGCCGTCACGCCGTACTGCTTGGCCGCCGCGTACAGCTCTCCGACCTGGATGCCCGCGCCGATCTCCATGGCCGGGCCCGTGTACGATGGGGTCTTGATGGACTTGATGAACTTGACCTTCTTGAGGTTGTGCGTCCAGATCGACAGCGCGCCCATGCCGACCGACTTGCCCAGGAAGTCGTGGCCCGTGTTCTTGACGATTAGCCGCACGCCCGTGGCGCGCGCAAAGTTGATGGCCAGCTGGATCTGGTAGACGTGGTCGGCCCGCACGGCGTACGACGGGAAGCCGCCCAGCGTGCACGTCGACGTGTTGCCGTTCTGCGGCATGCACGTCTCGCCCTGGTAGAGCGGCGACATGACCGAGGTGGGATCGCTGGCGCTGCTCAAGTGTTAGCTGCGGGCTGATCATCCCAGGGGAGGAAAGACTGAAAAAAAAGACTCACTGAGTGGCGGACTCGGTCCAGTGCGCGATGATGTCAGAGCACTTCGCCGCGTTGTACACGCCGCTGTTGGGGTAGCAGACGGCGCCGATGGGCACCGTCTCGATGAGGGCGCCGCCCGTCAGCAGGTCGAACACCTTCCAGGCCAGGCGCGAGGGCCATCTCCAGTCGTCGGGGTACACCTTGCAGTCGCCCACGCTGGCGCGCTTCTCGACGCCAGACGTGCCGGTGGCATCGCCATCGAACTGGAAGAGTTGAATGTCGGTCAGCTGGAGACCGGTCAGGTTGGCCAGCACGCTGTCCGTCAGCAGAAGGGCGCCGTCGTCGACCTCGGGCACGGGCTCGGCGGCCGGGGCGACTGTGGCGGGTTCGGCGGCTAACAAAACGGCTGTCAGTGGCCTATTCGCGTCTCTTGGGGCCAGAGCAACCTACGGATCACGGTGCCGTCTTCGGTGGTGATAGTCTGGGCGAAGCCCTGGAGGGGAAGCACGGCTCCTGCCAGAAGCAGGGCGCGCTGAAACGAGAGGACAGCCATGGCGGTCGGGACAAGATCAACGAGGGGCTTGTCGCGATGGTCCAAAGGCCTGAGGAAGGAGGAGAGAAGCCACGTTCCGGCCACGCGACAACCTCGCCGTCTTAAATATCTATGCAGGCAGATGGGATGGCATGATGTTCTCTCGCTCCCTCCGGAGCCCGGGATCGGTTATCTTGCCGAACCGCCAATCAACACCCGGCGCACTGCCGTGCTGCGTGCGTCTTCCCACGTTGCACCCCTGCGCTGGAGCCCGCAAGCAATAATGTGGCCTTGGGGTGGGGCGGGGAATGGGGTAGTATGGGGCGAATGGGCATGGCAAGGAGCACTATTATACCATCTTATTTCCCGGGAGCACTCTGATGAGGATTCGGGCAGGGCAGTGGTGGGTGTTTGGTCATCTGCAATCAGCACTTTCATCAGTTCTCTCACGCGTCTGATAGATAGGGTGTGGAGACGGAACCGCAGAGAGGGCAGGGTCCCAGAGTTGCACCTGGGAACCCCTATTCTTTATCCTCTTTAAACGGACGGCCCGAGCTCTGCGCCGTGCCCACACAATGCCGGGCTTGGCATATACAGCACGGATCTTCTGTGGAGACGGCTTGGGCACGGGTCGCATTCACAACCACCAACTGCATATCACCAGCATGGCAGAGAAGACGAATTGAACCGAGGGAACCAATCTCCGGCCTGTTGATGGCTACCGATAGTGTAGGCTGCCTTCCGCGCTCGAGGACTGCATTGCGACGGCTTCTTCAACGCGTACGGAGTTAGCCCCGAGACATCGGCTAGTGAGATGCGCCACGCTCGTGAGCTTCCCGCTCTGGTTGGCGGCCACACAATAGCTTGTTCCGACTCCTGCAGCTTGCGGCTTGGCAAACCCACCACCATGACCGCGGCAAATTTTCGCTTCCGCTCCTGTGGCTTCGGCTATCTCGCTGTGCCTGCGTTTGCGTTCTTGTGGGAATACAAAAAAGCAAACGTTCACGAGGAGCCGCATCAGGCCACGCGACATGATAGAACATATATCCAAGTATGTATTCGTCTTGTCTGAATTGGAACGGGAGACTCCGGCTTGTTGATGCGATCGCCCAGACAACACTTCCGGAGGGCGCGGAGATTGTAGATAACGTCTCCCTCATAGATCCCGGTCGTGTACGAATCCGGGCCACGCCAGCTTTAACCCTGACTTTTACGAGCTCATTTAAGGGTTATAGCTGTTTGTGGCCGCGATTCATACACGACCGGGATCCCTGTTGGAGACGCTAGAGTCCGCCCGTAACCCCGTCAGCACCGCTTACCGGTGCCTTCTCTTTCGGGAAAGATGCCGTCCGGTCGCCTAGTCTAGCCCAGACACGATACGACCCTTGGGAAGGATGCCCGGTCTTTTTCTTTTCAGAGGGTTTAGTGTAGGCTGTAGTGTAGCCTTCCCACGTTCGCCAGCAGGCCTCATACGCATCCGAGATTGTGAGGGCTCGTTCTGGACGGGCCTGGGAAAGGAATGACACATGTCAAAAAGAAATCATTAGGGCGCGCGCTGGGGGGTTGAGATGTGGACGGATCGGTGTTTCCAGACCCGAACTCCGTCTTCAACACCACACGGAGCGAAGAGGGGCGACAAGATGAACAGGGCCGGCTTTGATTCTTTTATTATTAGCCGCAGAATACCTACGGCACAAGACAGCGGCAGCTGGAGGGTGGTATTTTTCTACACTAGCCATATCACGAGAAAGGGGCGTCGGGGAACGAAGGTGAAGAGGGGAAGGCGCGAGATGGAAAAGGGTAAGCTTTTGCCCGGAAGTCGGGGGAGACGAATCCTTCGAGGCTCGTCACGGCGCTGCATCCCAATGGGAAAGAGAAAAAGCCCTCAACAGCAAGGCCCACCACCGCCTCTACCCCCCTGCATGCTGTAAGAGTCGAAGGATTCCAGGAACCGAGAGACAAGCATCTGGATTTTTTAGGTTGGTGTTCATCAATGCTGCACAGGCACCGTCGCGCTGGATTGACATATCGTCAAGAAAGAAAAGCCGTCATCATCATCACCATCCTCCTCGTTCCTTATTCTTCTTCTGCCCTACACTATTTTAGGCTCCCGCTGGAACAACTGGTTTCCGTCCTCAGTGGTTCATTAGCACGAACTTCCCTCCTCTTCTGGTCTAGAGAAGTCCGCACGCATCCGCCTACCAAAAATTAGTGCCTGCCAAGCGGGTGGCCAAGAGCTGGAAGCAAGGATCAGGTCGCAAGGAGGAGAAGACATGTCGGGGCGACAGGACGCCGCCCGCCCGGGCCTGCATGTCTGCATCTGGAATTTTGGACTTTGAGACATCCTGCTTTAATTCAAGCCCTCCTCGGCTGGCGGGCTTATGGGATGCGTGTGTGTTCTCCCCTCTGGTGGTTTCCCCCCCTTCTGCTTCGACGAGAAACTTCAATACTCGACGTCCCAGGCCGTTCCTCAACAAGGCCGGAGACGATGTTGCGAAGGGTCAACAAGCTGCTACAACAGTGCTGGTGATCGTCGTTCCTGATCTCGATCTCTGACTCCACGCTCGTTGCCGATCCATCACCCACCCCGGGCACCCGAGATCTCAGTGACACCGACGATCTCTCTGCACCTCTGGTTCTGGAACAGCTTCTTCTTGGGATCGAAGTGGGATATAGGACAGCCACAAACACGCTGCTCAGAGAAAAACATGACGGTGCTACTCCCTCGCCGTCCCGACGGGCCGGATGTTCTCAGCATCCCGACGCCGCCCTTGCAACGGGCCGGCATCTTCGTCATCTTCTTCTTTACCGCTCTGGGATTCATCACGTACAGCCTCCGGGCATACATCCGGATACGGACGCGGCAATGGGGCGTGGACGACTACCTAGTGACGGGCGCCATGATCTTCTCGCTGATGATGATCGGGCCGTTCTACATGTGTAAGTGGCTGGCAAAAATGTGCCGGGCATGATGTTTTTAGTTCTGTCAGTTTTTAACTCGTGTGTATGCAGACATCAAGCTCATGTACTTTGGCTGGCACGCGGCGGACGTGCCCCCCTTTGACCCGGAGCCGGGCATGTGGTGGTTCTACCTGGCGCAGCTCTTCTACAACCCGATCCTGGCGCTGGTCAAGGCGTCGGTGCTGTGCTTCCTGCTGCGGCTGGGCGGCCAGAAGCCCGGCGTCAAGTACGCCATCTACGCGCTCAACACGTTCAACGGCCTGCAGGCGGTCGCCATCTTCCTGGTGGCCACGCTGCAGTGCCTGCCCATCGAGGCCAACTGGGACATGGCCGTCAAGGCGGACCCCAACACCAAATGCATCGACAACTCGTTCCACGTCATCATCTCGTGCATCACCATCGTGACCGACTTCATCGTCATCATCCTGCCCTTCTGGATCTTTCTGGGGCTGAAGATGCCAACGGGCGCCAAGGTCGCCGTGCTGGGTATCTTCATGCTGGGTCTTGCGTGCGTTTTCTTTTTTTAGCTCCTACTCCCCCCTCTCCCCCTCCCCCCTTTTTTTCATCCCTCTCCTCCCCCTTATCTAACAAAACTCAACCCCACAGCGTCACGATCATTGGCATCGTCCGCCTCGTAGGCGTGATCAGGCTCTTTTACATCCCGCAGCCCGACAAGGACCCGTACCACGACATCACGGTGACGCTCTCCGTGGTCGAAGCCAACATCGCCATCGCCTCGGCCTCGGCCCCGGCCCTGCGCCCGCTCTTCCGCTCCTTATTCCCCAAGCTCTTCGGCGGCTCCTCGCAGCGCTACGGCGCCTCCGGAAACAAGTACCACCCCTCCGGCTACGGCGCCTCCTCCCAGTCGCCCTACTTCTCCTCCCACGGCGGCGGCGGCACGGGCAATGCCTCGCGCGTAGACCACGGCGGCGACCGCAGCGTCACGCGGCACAGCTCCATCCGCCTCAAGAACCTGACAGGTCGCTCGCATCATCATGGAGGGAAGGGCCCCGCGGGGCATACCGAGTGCCGGAGCATCAGCCCGAGCGGGTCCGAAGAGGAGATCATGACGTACAACGGCATCATGCGGACCACAGATGTGCGGGTGCAGGTGCATTTCGAGGGGCAGGATGAGGAGGGTGGTCACGGCGGCGGGGAGGTCGGGAGGGATGGCGAGGCGGTGGATGCTGCGAGTAGCAGGGCCAGTAGTGACTTGAAGGCAGAGGCGACTGGTAGGCCGGTGGTTGTGGATAGGCATGCTTTGTGAGGGGACACGAACGAACGGACGGACGGACGGACGGACGGACGGACGGACTGACGGGTGGGGGAATGGTGTTCTTTTTGGGTGGGTGGCTATGGGTTTCGTCTACAGCCTTGCCTTGCCGTTATGAATTGCGTACACAGAGATGTCGCGGGCGCAAGGGGAGCTTGCTGCTGTCAAAAGCACTTACTACTAGCACTTAAAGTGTTATAGATACCTCGGAGGAAAATCGTTTTCTTTTGTATGTACATACTTCTAGTATTTGGGGTTTGGGGTATCAGCAAGGGGTTAATGATTCGCGGCTCCTACCCCAGCAGTCACAACATTGAATGATTCTTGCACATGGTATTTGATAGTGAAGGGCTCAGCATTTAGTGCTCATTCAACGTCCCAACATTACACTGTTACTACTAGTATTGCTTCTACAACTACTAGTAAGCAGTGATGACTGAAAATCTCCCAGAAGTTGCACCATAGAAACTATGCTCCTTCCGTCGTCCCATTTCAATCTCACTTAACGTTACCTTCCTTACCCAACTTACCCAACCCCAACGGACGATCCCACTATGCCTATCTTCATATAGAGCGTGACATACTAGTAGCCATCGCCAACCCGGTCCCACGACGCGAGACTCTCCCCCGACGTCTTCCTTGCCGTGGGAGACCTCTTCGCACCCCAGAATTCCCAAGGATCCCTCTTGACCTCGTCCTCGACCACAACCTCGGAGGACATCGGCTCCAGTTCCCGTTCCGGCGCCGGCTCCGGCTCCGCGGCAATCAGCTCTTTAGCCATTTGGGCTCTGCGCGCCTTGGGCTTGGCATTCTTGGCGTTCTTGGCCTTCATGGCCTTCTTGGCCTTCATGACCTTTTGCTTGGTGCCCCGTTCGAGTGCGAAGTTGCCGGCTTCCTCTGCCCTCCTCTCCTCTTCCTCAACCGACGCCGGAGAGCACTCGGAGCAGTTACAGCAGAGCCCCGGCTTGTCCACGGGCTCGGGCTCGGGTCCAGGCTCGTAGTCAGGTTCATTGACCAAATTAGGCTCCGCTTCCATGGGAGGCTCGGACTCCGCTTCTGAGTCTGGGTCTATCTCCGGCTCCGGCTCCGGCTCCGGTTCCGGTTCTGGCTCAGGCTCAGGCTCACACACCGGCACCGGAGAGCACTCAGAGCAGTTACAGACGGACTCCAGCTTGGCCTCGGGCTCCGGCTCAGGTTCGGGCTCAGGTGCGGCTCCATAGTCAAGTTCGGGGGCCAAATCAGGCTCCGCTTCCATGGAAGGCTCGGGCTCTGCTTCTGGGTGTGGCTCCATCTCCAACTCCGACTCGGCCTGGGCAGACGCCTTCTCCTGTCCCGCCGCGAAAGGCGAGAGATCAGCGGGTGTCTGACACGGGAGCAGCTGGAGAGGTACTGATCGATGCTTACCTTCATGCCTCTCTTCATAAGCTTCTGAAAGAATTCGGCGAGTGGTGTCAGAGGCCGTGCCGGTTCAGACTCTGGCCCGGAATCGAGCACAGGCTGGGCTGGTGCTGAAGCCTCGCCCTCTGCTTCAGGCGCGGCAGCTAGTAACTCCTGTTTCTGGAATTCACAATAGGTCAGCGGATATCTCAGGTAGTCGCCGATGACACTAGTAGTAAGTAGCTAGTTAGGCTAGTCGTTACCTCGTCATTCTTTTCGACATCCGCACCAGGGCAAGCGAGCGAGTTCACCATGTCCGCATACGTCTCGAGCATGCAGCCCAAGAACAACTTGATAACAGACGACCCGTCGCTGAAGACGGGTGCGACGGGGGTCTTCGAGAGCGTACGCGGGTCCCTGAAGGCTTTCTTCATGTGTGACTTGAACCACTGTGGGAGCCACGCATCGTCGCCAATGGGATTCGGGTAAGCCTCCGCTACGGCGTCGATGATGCTGAAGAGGTCGAGGTCGTGCGCGCACCGCTCCATGTCGTCCCGGACCAGCTCTTCAAGCCCGCTGAGCTCAAATGTCCGAGCTAGAGCGTAAATCTCGAGCTTGGACTTGAACTCAGAGAGCTTTGTTTCACCCCAGTCGAGAACGTGTAACTGATTGGTGTAGAGATAGTGGACCAGCGCGTGACCTGCGATGTACGAAAATTGGCGAAGGTTGATAACCTTGGTTTTCTTGACCTTGACCTTCGGAAGCGTGGATAGCTTCGAGCTGCGCTGCAGGACCTCATGGTGAACAGCAAACTCCAGGGCAGCGTTCGCAAACTCGAGGTTGATGAACTCGCTGGTATACGGCCTGAATACAAACTCTGGTCAGCTTGGACGGCGGGTTGTTCAGGAGCGCTGCCGCGTACGAAATCTCCGGGTTGTCGCCAGCAGTTTCCCTCATGACTTCCATTATTGCGTCGACAAGGCGGGTATTTTGAAGCTTGATGCAGTTCCTGCGGGATCAGACGAAGGATGTGAGAGTTCGAACATTTCGATCCTTATCAATGTGCACTTGGAGTGCCTAATATCCTCCTGGTCACGCCATCGCTGCTGCTGCCTGCATGCGTGCCCGAGAGAGCTTGGACCAGGCAATCACAAGCATATGCAGTTGGTTTGTATGCCTCCGAAGCGGCCATTCACAACCAGCTTTCCCGTGATGAAGTGCAGAAACCCGAAGCTGTCTAGGTGGGGAAGGCGCTGTGTAACCATTTTCTTTGCCAACGGCAGGAGCCCTCGACCCTCTAGATGTTTATCTGCATGCGTGCAACAGTCTAAACGGTGTGATGGGCCAATGGCGATACTGGTACCGACCGGAAGTTCAAAGCATGCCAACAGCAGCCTTGTGTGGAAATAGCGGCGTGCGATCTCCAAATCTTCATCGATGTAAACTTGGACGGCGTAGTGATGCCCTGGGCAAACCATTGGTCCTGCTGCCTGCATTCGAGCGGCCAACAGTGGTTTGCACTGGGCAATCACGAGAGGCCTATCCTTGATTCCTTGGCTCAACTCTGCAGCTCCCCCATCGAAAGTGCAGAAACCCGAGGCAGTCAGGTCGTGGGAGAAGCTGTGCGGGGTCTTCTTTGTCATAGCAGCAAAACAAAACAGCAGCTTGCGTAGAAAAAATAGCCTGGTATTAGCCAGATGGGTGGTTTCTTATGACAGCCTAAGGTACCTAAGTAGGTACGTTTGAGAGACAAACTCATGCATAGTACACGGTCAGGTTTCCTGTGGCTGTGGATTGTCCTTACTCTCAAGCCACTGTATGCTCTAAGTTAGGGATTAGTCGAGTATCCTCCCATTTTTCTCGGCCACAGGGTGATACTGGTCAAAGTTGCTGCCATATAGAATCAACATTGTCCCATATAGAGGGTTGACGGTGCGATGACCCATTGGCTTTCCTTTTTCTTTTCTCCTTGTCTACTCGATAACTTTATGAGAGAACGAGAGAAGAAGAACAAGTCTCGTCCCCTTCAGTTTAGGTTTATAATACCCGGTAATATTAAGCCTACCAGTGCCTTCTCTGGGCCGAGGTTTTCAACAATACGCCAGCTTTTATGAATACTTTTCTGTTGTTCACTCCTTTGACATTTGCACTTCAGTAAACCCCCGACTTGGTCTCAGCATTTTTGGTGTTCGAAGAGCAAGATAGGTCGTCCTCAGCCCTCTCGAGGCCGGCAAGCCATTCCCAAGCTAAGGGCGGAGGGAACCATTTCGTTTTCGGGTTGGCGCAAAATGAACTGAGTCCGCCGAGACGTTGGGAGGCGCTGAAAGCGGCTGACAATAGGCGGGAACGCCCAGACTCATCTAGCAAATGTTCTAGGGAGTTCAGCTCGCAAAGATTGATGCATATCAGTGAGTTACCCTGAGTTTACCCTCATTCATCTCTCCACAAGCCAGGAACACGAGAAATGGGAGTATCCGAATACTGGGGCTGGGTCCTCGCCAGCAATACTAACAACAACCCCCCCGAGACGGATCCCGACCCTTACATCCTCGCGTCGTCCTTCTACGGTCCCGGCGTCATCTTCTGCTGGTACATGGTACTGCTCTCGGTGCTGGTCAAGCTCATCGACGACGCGCACCACCACCCGCAGCACGGCATCCGCTTCTCTGCCGAGCTCGCCGCGCTGCTCTCCTACCCCGCCATCGCCGCCGGCCATCTGCTGATGCGACTGGTGGAGTTCCCGCGAGCAGAAGAGGGCAGCCATCTTTTTAGGATCCTACTCAACCTGGCCTTAGATCGCAACGCAGCATGGGACACGAGCGGGACCGAGGGAGAGCCTGTCTTCTACGGAACGCTAGGTCCGGAATCTCAGTCCAGTGCGCCGTCGATAGCGGCGTTTCAGCGTGGCGTCGGGATCGATGGACCGCTGCGAGTGGTGCTGAACTTTGTTCCCGGCGCACTCTTCGTCGTTCTCCCTGTTTACCTTTGCTGCGATAGGCCGGAAACCTACGGCTGGCCGTGGCAGAGGAGCGAGTGGTGGCTGCGCCCCGGTTGGACCAGTCGGCTTGTCATTGCCGTGCACTGCTGGTGCTGCCTGCTTCTCATTGCGCTCGCCGCCGTGGGCTGGAACCTCGGGGAGCTGGCGGCTTACGTTGCCATATTTGTTGTCCTGGGAGATTTTATCCGCATTATATACATCGGGTTGAGCATTTGGATGGGATGCGCTGCCCTCGCTCTCTTCGTCTGGACTTGGACGTTGAGACGGTCGCCAGTGGCCATCTGTTTGTTTCTATTGGCTTCATGGATGGGAGTCTGTTGGGGTTGGGCGTCGAGTGGGTTACCAATATTTCTATCCCAGGTTGTACCCGTTACGGGCGTGAGCTTCGGAGAGCTGGACCAGGTGGCAACGGCAGTGGCAGGGGTAATAACATTCGTGATCACACTGTCGGACTCAACAGGGCTACAAAGACATAAGAGAAGACTAAAGGGTTGGTGGAGAGCGACGATGGGTCGCGGATCCGGAGGAACAGCGGAAGATTTACCGCTGCATTCGGTGACGGATGGTGGTCAACCTGCTCGCGTACGTACCCTATAGATACTATACATAAAGAGTCGAGTGCTCTCTCTGGCGCCCTTGGAATTCATCCGCATCTCAACGCGCACACCGCGGAGTTCTCCTGAGGCAGAGCAAGGTGCTGAACATGATATCATTTAGTAGTAAGGCACTAGCAGACTGTACAGCACGGGATGTCGACGTCTATCAAATATTGCGTCTCCTCCGAGATCCGGGGTCTACCGAACCCCCGACACTCCGGTGGCACACACCAACAGCGACCACAACCTAGCAAGCCCATGCCTACGCCCTTCCCTCGCCACACTTCTTCCACCTTCTCGATTTGGGGAACACTGTTACTAGTAGTTACACTCGCACGATCGGACTTTGCCACACCTTTGTGTGGCGTAGTATGAATCGGACATATTACCCTTTCGAGCCCCACGCTTCCTTCCTCGGATCTCCCTTGTGTGCATGGCTGGGCGTAGAACGGGACACAGAACACAGAAACACAGGAGCACAGCCACACAAAAGTAGCTGAACAGGCAGTGAGACAGTGAGTGATGCTGTGAGAACTGCATTCGTTACTGTTCCACTGTGATAATGTGGTACTTGCGCCACCCCATCGATCGGAACACATAAGTATTCAAGTTAGTTTCACGTAGTACTAGTACGGAGTGGCAGGTGTGTAGAGGGAAAGTCAAGGTTGAGGGGGTGACATTGAGATGGGGCGTTGACGTTTTCTTGCCGTTCCGTTTGATCGTGCTCCTTTACGCGAGGGATGCTCTATTAACAGAAAGGTCACATGCAGTACCACCTTCCTCAGCGCGATAGTAGTTCACGCAGTACCGAGAACAGGATTAAAGATACCAGGATACTAGTGAAGAAAAGGAGACAGGTTACCTAAGGTATGGGAATCATGATCATCGATTTAGTGACAACCTTCTCCACCAACTACCTAATCACTCCAGCTTTGCTCTCACAGATGGAACACCCTTCGTCACTAAGGGGGTGAGTGAGTGAGTGAGTGAGAGTATAGTAAGCTTTGACTTCATAGGAGTATGATGTATTACCCTCTATCCACTTCAACACAACACAACAACATATAAACCCAAACCCAAAACGACACCAACAACCACAAACACACAAGCACCCTGAATACTTCCCGCTTGAACCCTTAAGCACTACAGGAGATAGGTGAGGCGAGGTAGTACTGTACTTTAAGAGCCAACAAATAAATAAATAAGTAAAGTATTTCTTTTTTCCGCTCCGCCAACCCTATGGAGTCCACACCCCCAACCAAGTCATTTTCATTACAGTCGTCATCATATGAATACCAAACAAAAGATTCTAAAGATACATTTCAGAGATTAAGAATAGTAGAAGGAAGTGGTGCGATGTAAGGGGTCATGGTGTGTAATGATATTAGTGTCATAACCTGGCAGTAGAGATAGAGAAATAGCCGTCCTGGATTAACAGACAGGCAAGCAGTACACCGAAGAAAAAGGCGAAGGGTATAATCGTGATGCCCAAAATCCAAACCCAGACTCATATGTAAATCCCGTTCATTAGCCCCGTCTGTAGAAGGAATTGAAACCGATGTTATGTTGAACCCAAGCGGCGGGTGAGACAAAATGCAAAGATCGATGCAAGAGACCATGCCAACAACCCGGAAGGAAACAGTGAAGTGGAAGGACAGATAAAAGGAGTGGAACTGTCCCAGGAGGCCTCTGCTATTAGGGGCCAGGCACCATAGTGGACGCGCCATCAATGCCAGGGAGATGTTCCGTCTGGGAGGGTCGGGTATCGACCTCCCACCACCGCACCGCCACATTGATCCCGCGTTTGCGCTGACGCCATCCCATTGTGTGCACTTGACCTGCCCGCGATACCCGTTCGACCGTGCAGAAGGTCATTATAGCCATGGCCGAGGGCATTTGGCCACGCGGTCTCCACGGAATAGCCATCCTATACTGGTATTCCGCAGTCCGCGCCCGGGCGATACGTCCACGGCGTCCGTGGGCGAAACAACAACACACATCGTCGTGGGAGCTAAAGCAAGGTCGCTGACGCGGCTGCCCTATGATAGGAAGGTGTGGTCGATGGCGAGCGGCATGATCAAGCCGGACTGTGTGAGCTGCAGAAGGGCGGGGGCTGAGGTCAGGAAGATTTTGTCGTGGAGTCGATGTTGAAAGCCTCGACACCGAGATCGGCATCGAGGTGTGACCACTAGGATGGCGTCCGGCGGCACGGGGGGGCGGCCAAAGAAAGCGATGAAACGTGGGCCTGGACATGCAAGAGGCCGTTTCGTTTGCGTCGGGTATCCTGTCCAGGAATGTAGCGGACCTCGCGATGCGGTCATGCAGTCCAGTCGCAGATGGTTATCTCCGCACGCAACGCCGTCTCAAGCGAGGAGTGCTATCGTAGAGGCGAGGTAGCATTTCTCTCATCGCGCCTCGTATGAAACGGACCGATGGTGCGGGAGCAACAAACAAACAACCCAACAAGCTTGGCGGCGAGAAGGCAGCGTATCCTGTGTAAGTCGACGACGCGATGCGACGCAACGGCGGCATTTGTTCGAGATGGCAACGCGAATCCAAGATCGCGCGGCATAAAGCACTGCAGGATGTGCAGCCGGGGAATGGGGCGTGCAGAGAGATCTGCTGGGCGGATGCGGGTCGGAGAGTTTGACATGTCGCATCGGAGGTGGGCGCTGGGGGCCTCGGGACGTGCCTAGCGGTCGAGATGGAGGAGCTGTCGTGCCCCTGATTGGTTCTGTCCCCAATCAGCTGATCAGTCCCTCCAACGGTCCCACACAGACCACACTTCCCGCGACCTCCTCGAGCTCCTCCCCCTATCGCGCTGCCCATGATCGTAGGCCCCCATGTAGTACGCCAGGGGTCGGAACCCATATGCGAGGATCGACCTTGATGGTGAACGACCGACCCCGCCGTCTGATATCGAACTCCGGCCCGCTGTCCGTAGTGTAGCGGTGTTGTTCGGATGAACGCTCGATAGAGAGATAGGAAGGCCAAACTTGGACTGCCCGAGGCTTGATTCCCACATGCCCACCATCGGATAATTAGAGCCATGACTCATGATGCCCATGATACCCAGCCGGCTGCTACCTTCAGACATGGGGCAGTCTCACGAGTCGGGCGCGTCTTCCGCAAACAGCCGCCTAGCTTAGCCCACCGGCAGTCTGCAAAACCTGCTTGGTCACATACTCGGTGTAAACAAGCAGGGAGGGGACTCTCTAAGTGCCGGCGCCCGCAAAGCGCCTCACAGGCTACAGCCCTCTGCCCCTCCCCTCCCCCCGCGGCTTTGGACTCCCTCAAACGAGGCGGGGTCGGTGGCAGATGGTGGGCGCCGGTGGGTAGGGATGCGTCACGCGCCTAGGCACGCGGCGCACCCTCCCCGTACGCTCCGCCACCGTAGACCTGGCTGTGACCGCTGTCCGTCTGACTGGGATAGGCTTCGGCGGCCGCCACCGAGTACCCCTCCCAACTCCGCGACTGGCCCTGCGAGACCGGGATCCCAGAGTGGCCGTATGTTCCGTGCGGGTGCTGCCCGCTCGGGTGGGAAGGAGTAGGCAGTCCGTACGGAGACGGGAGGCCGTGTGTCGTGCCGCGGTGGTCGTAGACTACCGGCAAGGTAGTAGAGAGGCGCAGGCCAGAGCCAGGAAGGGTGGGTGAGTTCGCGGTTGTTTTATGCGGCGGCGACATCGTTTTGGTGGTTGCTCCGTACGGCGGCCATGTCGAAGAGCTCCCCGTCAGCGTTCTGGGGCTCGTGGTGCCGACATATCCGGAGGCGGCGGTCGGGTCTGTCGCGGCACTTGACGTCGTGGACACGGGTGTCGGCGGCAAGGCCGGGTAGCTTCCCAGCCCGACGGAGGTGGCAACGTGGGGTGAGCTGCTGGGCGTCATGAGGGACGTCGTTGTCGAGGCGCTGTACTTGGAGATGATCTTGTACAGCGCTCCGGCCAGGTCCTTCCAGTGGAACACCTTGACGTCCTTCTCGATGTTGCGCGGCTTTGGGTTGCCGAAGCCCATGATGACTTTGAAGAACTCCTCGCTCTCGGCCCTGGCCTTGCTGACGGTCGCCGGACGGAATCCCTCCAGGTTGCGGCGGATGCGGTTCTTCTCGTCGACGCCAAACCGGTTCGGCGCGGCAAGAAGCTGCTCGAGCAGGTGGATCGTGTCGACCGACGTCACGTAGCACGCCTGCTTCTCCTCCCACCAGATGCAGCTGATGCAGATGCTGTGCGGGGGCCGCTCCGCCGCGCTCACGGGCTTGAAGCTGACCGTCAGGACACTCCCTGTCTGTTGTTTCCGGAACAGCACAAGCCTGCGCTTGTTCTCCCACTCTTCCTGCGTCCAGCCCTCCGCCATGGAGGACAGATCGCCGAAGATTTTCAACGTGGCCTTCTCCTGGTAGACGCCGTAGCCGGGAAAGCCACTGGCGGGCTGCGTCAGCGTGCTTGTCCTGATCAGCTGCGGTGTGGCAGAACCCTGGTGCGCGTGCAGCGGAGTCAGGCTCAGGCGGGAACCGGCGCTGTGTGTGCTGTGGCTGTGGGAGAGTGCTCGGAAAGGATCCAGCTGGCTGCCAAACATCCATGCTCCTGGTCCATGCGGCGCCCGCAGCAACGGAGGTGCGCGAGACTGATACTGATCCGCGAAGGATGTGCCGCGATATGACGACAGCATGCTGCTGCTCCCTTGGCCGTAGGTTCCGGTCGCGCTGGCGGCGAAGTTGGACGGGCTCTGAGTTTGGGCTTGTATTTGCGCAGCAGCATGGGCGGCCGACACGCTGGAAGAGAAGCCATATGTACTCGTAGAACCCTCCGGCAGCGGTTGCTGAGTCACGGGGCTGGGTACGGCCCTGGACCGGCCTGCCACTGGGGGACTGTCCCGGTGCGCAGGTGATCGGTTCTTGGGAGACCCCAAATCCGGCGGGCTGCCGTCATCCGGCACCGATGTTGCCACGCTGCCACCCACAGCACCACTCTGCGCGTCATGGTACGAGAAGACGCCGACATTCGCAAACCGTGCCGTTTCTTCGCCGCTTGCATTCTCCAGAAGTATCGTAAGGGGCACGTTGCTGAGCGATGGACAACCCGTGCTCAGGAACTGCGGAGCGTCGGCCGTGATGGTGTATGTGCAGGTGCCGTTCCCGTCCCGCGAATCTCTCGAAACATGTGCGATGCATCTGTGCGAGCCGAACACGACCGAGACGAAGGGTGCCGAAGCAGTCATGCTGCCGCCAAGGAGGTCGTACTGGCAGGTTACCTTGAGCGACACCTTGGTGCCAGGGCCGCCACCGCTGGGATGACACGACAAGACATTCACACTCGTGCCCGGCGTAACTTGGCCCGTGAGATACTGCCCCGACGCCGCATTATTCGCAGCAAAGGCCATCTGGTTGAGCTGCGAGGCAGCATTTTCCGTTTGCTGCGAGGAGAATGGCTGCGAAGAGTATTGCGCGTAAGCCGAGTCTGCATACGCTGCAATTTGGGCCATTGACAGCTGGTCAGCGGTTGCGTTTCCAATGCCTGGTAAAGAAGATCAGAGGGCAATCGACTTACCGTGCAGTTGAGCCGGTTGCGACTTATACGCGGACATGGGCATTGGCAGGAGACCAGGGGGGCATCCCCCGCTGAGGTCTCCTCCACTTCGAGCCGCTTCCTCCTCGAGCCGGATCGTCAGCGTCTCCGGTGACTCGATCTGTTCGTCGAGGATGATGGTCCGGTGAGGGTGGTAGCCGGCCTGTAGGGCAACGTCAGCCATGGCATTGCCAAGATAAGTCAGATGGATATGGCAGTGCACAGAGGGCAGCTGCGGAAGAAGCTGCCATGCGCCCATGCCTCGTGCCTCGGAGTTGCAAAGCGTAGGCGGTTTCTTCGAATATCAAAACGGCAGAGTACTCACCTCATACACTTTGTAGACCGGCTGCTGGAGCTTGGCCACAGACATTCAAACTGATTTGTAGGGGGGAGTGAGGGTATGATTTTCAACCCCTGAAGAGGACAGAACAGTGGTGAACCTCACAACGAGTGTTCACGGACGCAGGGAAATGGTCTCGAATCTCTCCAAACAAGCCCACAAATCGACGGCGTCTCTGAAACCGAGGTCTGACCTTGCACTTCTGTCAGTACAGTGGTACATTGGGTTCCAGCCTTCGTGTCGGCTTTGCTGAAACCAAGAAGCAGAAAGATAGGTCTTGGCTTGACACGCCCTGAGCTCCGTAGGGTAAGAAATGACATTGGATCCAGACTCACCTTCGTGGAAGATCTGGAATCAGCGGCTGGATTGAAATCCTAAGGCAGTCGAGGAGTTCAGTATGGAGCAACTTCCGAGATGCGCTGACAGGAGGCCCTTAAAGCGGTGGCGTTGATTCTTTGACGAACAAGGTGCGACCGGGGCTCGCGGGATGACGGTCTAGGAAGGCCGTTGTGGGAGATAGAGAGGACCAGGGGACGCAGCTCTCAGACCGAGTTTCAGGTGCCGATATCCAGGCTCTCCAGACTGCGGCGCACGCTTCAAAGAGACGCCAACTCTGCAAACTGCCAAAATGTCGGTCAGTATCAACTTCGGATGAGCCGCGAGAGTGGGTTCCAGCAACAAAGCTCATCAGCGTTCAGGCTGGGCCACGAGATTGCGAGCTCCGGTATGGCGGCGCCAGGGGCACAAAGTGGCTCTTACCCGGATGCTGATTGGCACAAAAGGCCTTTTCGTCCAAGTCTCAAGACTGGTTCTCGGGACCGGGGTTCTGGAGATTAGGTTTGATTGTATGCAGCTATCCTGAACCTGTTCGCATGACGGGACGTTAGAGCGTTTGCACTCAACAACAGCAGGTAGCCGTGAGCAGTTCGTCCGCTGCGAGCCCGATCTGCAGGGCTGCGAAGGGGGCCTGAGAATGAGAGAAACAGCGGGTGAAGCAGGCGTAGAAGTATGTTCGAGACACAGTCGAGACACTACGGCTGATGCTCCGGGGAGGTTTGCGGTGGTGCATGAGAAGATGAAGTTCGGCGAGTGCCAATGGGAAACCGAAAGACAACACAGACCAGCAGCGGCTTGCATATCTGGGGTGGGTTGGAGTGTCGGCGCGGCGGGCGTGAAGTGGGCGCCGGAATGCAGACTGCGAGCTTGCGATCTCCAAAAGCGCGTCAGTCGGCAAATCTCCCGTTTCGCTCTGCGTGCCCGGAGCAGACAGCCCTTCGGCCCACTCGGAATGCTCTGAGGGGAGCGAGTGTGCCACAGACGGAGATGGCTGCTCCTCCCTGCCCAGAGCCGTCGCCCTCTTGATTCCGCCCGGAGCGATCTCAGGACAGAGGCAGGTGACGGCAACGAGCGAGCAGGAGGGATGGCACACGAATGATCAGAGATTGGAACTGGCCCGGCCGTTGAATGCAAGATTCCATGGCCTCTTGGGAGAGATGTGGACCATGCAAGGGTTGAAGGGGGGGTGGAGAACCGGCACCGAAATGTGTGTGTCAGATGGCTTTTGAGACTGGGAAGCAGGCAGGATGGAATGCCGCCGAGAGGTCGTGAAGGGACTGGGAGGAAAGAGGAAGCGTGCCGGCCTGAGGTGACCCAGGGGACGCGCTGGAGAGCCATCATCCACGACCAGGCAAAATATGGGCAAGGCGCGACAGGGCCGAAAATCTCGGGACGAAGCGCAGAGCAACCGGGAAAAGCAAGGACGGGCAGAATGGCAAGTACAGGGGTGATCGCCGGCGAGCGGAGGTACCTGTACCCAGCACTCGCTGGCATCACGAGAGTCACGCAGTTCTTCGCTCTTTTGCTGAGCGCCGGGGGATACGTATATCCCGACCCCGATGGGGTGTGCTGTGAAACGTCTCGGGGAAGTGGCAGGGGGTCGTTGGCCGAATGGGGACAGGGGATATGAGAGAATTGGGGGTTAGGCCCACCTGCAAGGCTGGTTAGCATTGGCTACTATTGGATGAGCAGTGGAGCAGCACCTGGTAACCTGCAAGCAGGGAGAGAGAGATCGCCTCTCGCGGATCTTGGAGCCCCAGATCAGCTGCGCGGCAATTCACTGATCCCTGTGATCGAAAATACGACGCTCGGCCGCCGGTTGACGCGTGCGGCGATCAGGCCCCAAAAGAGGTGCGGGATGAATAGATACACCTCGCCCTCACAGGACAGAGCGCGATCCGGCCTCTCAAGGGCCGAAAGTTGTCCCTACCGGGGTGAGGAAGCTGGAGAGGTTCGGGACGGGGCCAGGTCGCAGATCGGCAGCCAGCCCGGACGGAGCTCAGGTAGGCAAGGGTTGGACAAACTTGCAGGGATGGCGCAAGAAGCCTCTATCGACGCGGGTTGGTTAGGCAGCTGCCGCTTTCAGCGCATTTGGGAATGCAGTGGGTACTGGATCGTCGTTGGGGGGAGGTTGGGGGGGATCAATTCCCGGGAACCCTCACCATCACGCTCCCCAATGCGTGCCGTGGTGAGGTTACATAGCATCTGTGATTCCCACTCATGTCCACTCCAGTGGCGGCACTGACCGCGGATCCTGTGCTGCTCGGCCTTCCAAGGGTCAAAAGCCCAAGATAGACGGCAACAGCCGTGGTGCCAGGCCACCAGCTGGAATCCAGCGGATCGAATCGGGCGCCTTCACGCCCAGTAGCCCGCAGAGCGAAAGAGTAGCATCCGAGCTTGGGCCAGCTGGCTGCATGAACCATGCAAAGAGAGGATGGTGAAATTCAAATAGGGTTGCATTGTATCGCTTGGCAAGACTTACAGCTGGTTTTCCTCTCCGAATGCAGCTCCTCCCGCAACTGATATGGCGTCGTTTTGTAATATCGGATGCCCTTCTTCCTTCCTTCTCCTTTCGACTTCGTCACAACGATGTTCTGTGTCGGCCCTAACTCCAAGAAGTCCAGTGCCTTAAATCGTGATGGTCCACGACAGGCTTTTCAGCTGCTCGATCGATCCGGCTCCGGGGGGAGGCCCAGGCGGCGACAAGCGAACGCGATGCCCGTCGACGTGGGATAACAACGAACGGCGCTGGCGCGGGAACTGGACGGTCCGCCACGCTGGTCGGTCAGGGAAACGAGCGTCGAGCCGGAGCGAGATAATCAGCTCGGACCTAACGAGTGATGGGATGTATCCGCATGCCGACGTAGTGTCGAATATATATCCACGGTCAACGATGGTTGTCGGGTAACTTGATAGCGGCACCATCGTCGTTCCTGCGGCTTCACCTGACCCCAATGTCGCCCAATTCGCTGCCCTGCCGTACTTGACCACGGCAGCATTCAAGCCGCAGATAAACTGCGGAAACAGCGAAGATCCCGGAAGGATGCGTCTACTGTTGGAGGCAGACGAGGAAACAGCTGTCGTGTGGCCCGGCGCCGGCCTGTGAAGCCCACGATGGGCGAGTGCGTGAGCGTCTTCAGGGATCAGGCATGATCGAGGTGGGAGAGCGCCGAGAGACCTCCGCACGTCGCTGCGCACCTGCGCCGTGAGGTTGAACAGAATTATTGCTTTGTGGTAACTACGGACGTAGTGCACGCACACCTGTCAAGCTGGCGATGATGCACAGGTGTCTGCGACTCTGCGCCGAAGTGGAGATCGCCCTCGGCGTGCCGGGATCGCATTGCCATCGTCGACGGAACCCGCCAGGTCGGCGTGTCCTGGGCCGTGGCTCCGGGAGGACGAGGGCCAGTGGCTGTGCGTCGTGGAACGTGGGTGGTCGAAAAAGAGGGCACTGGTTCCGAGGGTCGATCTCTGAACATGGCAACTTCTCCGATGGCGTGCACCGCTCTTCTTACAGCCTGGGGGCAGTCGACGTGGCAGATACATTTGCGGCGTGCCACGATTCCAAATGATAACGGTGCTGGGTTCGCCATTCCTCTCGTCGTCAGGAGTTCTTTGTTCTCGGCTTTTGGACGTCTAGTCTTGCAGATCCTCGAACCGTGCTTGTGCTGCGGCTGATGCTGTAATGTCAGTCGTCGGGACGTCCCGAGCCCTGTCCCAGCGCGGGGATATACATACAGTGCTTGGGTTGAAGGTTTCTCAGCGTCCATGGTATCTCAAGTGCAAGACTAGTAAAGATAGCAGCAGCGGTCATCCGATCCGTCGTTGGCAAAGGTTAAGGGACGAATCTTGCCGCAAGATCTTTCGGGCACTGCACTGTCTGCAGCGTACAATGTGCACCACATGATTGCAGTTCATCGTGGATGGTGTCTGCTTCTGAAGGTAGTTCAAAATTGAGGTGGGTGGTTCTTGCCATGAGTCGGCCTGACTTGTGGGAGCGCCGTGGCTCCTTCCTTAACACCTCAATTCCCCTGGACTCTCCCAAATCAGCCCCCACGACACCACGCACGCCACCACGTTCAAAGATCCCCATCATTGAAGCTGACCATCTCTTTCTCTTCCTGTCGCGCCAAACTGTCAGAGGTATGCGAAGCCCGAGGACGCGCCTGGCTCCGTTTTCTTCCATGAAAGCCCCCCAAATCCTCTTGATACCTACCTTTGGTGCTCTCCTAGCGTACCTGGTATGCATGCGTTCTGAATGCTTCCACAGCGCCGGATCTGAATCTGTACCTGATCTTCATCCCGTAGCAGGCTCAATCAAGATCATGCGGGAACCGATGCCTTTGGGGCGCACAATTCATTCTGGTGCTTCGATAATAGGTCCCATTGTCGCACAACCCACAGCAGAACGCGCACCAGCCCTTGCAGATTAATATGCGGAGAGCCGGTCACATTCCCGGTTAGGATAGCTTGCATAATCCTATCCACGCAAGCACACGATCTACGGCCGTACAAACGCATTCAGATTCGACGGCTTCCCGCGAACTGCTTTTCCCTTTCTGCGACGGCAAATCCATCGATATGGTCGGGCACCCGCGGGTACCCGCAGTTACATTGGATCCCAGTTTCTGAGCAGCACAATGTGCGCCATCGATCATGGATCCCGAGTCTCCAACCTCGCACAAGCCTGGTGCTGAATCTGGGCTACCGTTGCCGGGATCTCGGCAGTTCGCCCGCGCCACCACCGCCGTGTCGCAGATCTCGAATCCCCATGTGCCACATCGAGCCCAGGGCAAGGCTACCCTAGCGCCATGTTCAGAAGATTCAGCTTGGCTAGTATGTATTTCGCAGATTCAGGCACGGGACCTTCGCAGTTACCGGGAAGCTCACTCATCACCACACATCACCACTCACCAATGGCAGTGAGTAACGACGGCAGCGGGCACCAACGGCATTGGGTGCCGTACCGGTTCGCAGAGCTGACATTCAGCCTTTCCGGTAAGACCAAGCGTCTCTCAACCCAGCAACGCTCCCATAACAGCCTGAGACTCCCTGCGTCTTGGACCGGGAAAGTGACGGCCGATGAGCAGCGAATCTATCGCCTCAACAATCTTGCATCTACCAGGCGCGTCATCGCATAGCTTGATGTCTCTCGATATGCGGATGCCCTGCGGTGTGACACCGATTCACTGGGGATAAACCATAGCTTGCACGTCGTCCACCATCTCGATGCGGTCTGGCCAACTACACCCCTTTTTGACTCACCCGCGGACAGCTGTCAACCTCGCCGCGGGAGACTCACTGGGAAAGATCCAAGCCTATTAGTAGGATGATATCTGCGTATGCAAATGTACAGCGGCATCACGACGGTGGCAAGCACACCTCCACAGTTCAGACAAATCATGCTCTGTGCTGTCTGACGCCATGAGCATGTAAGGACTGAGAGGGACCCAATGTTCATTACTTCCTCTCCCCCACGCGCGCGACCGGGAGCAGCGATCGGTGCTGCAATATGGGGATTCAGGAACGGATGCCGGTAGCCAGCTGTGGTCACACGCAATCAAGGTCAAGATATTTTCGGCCAGTCTCCCCGGTTCCAAGATACGGTAGCCTTTTCTGCACCGATCTGCGAGTCGAGATTGTAACTTCTACAGTACTCGTCCGCAGATCGCCCTGGTTGATAGCATCTCCATTTTCAACATCTCTGAGCCCTGTTGCAGCGCGAACAGACTCAATCGACGTTACGTTACCCGGTCATGGGCTGCACAATGTGTAGCGTTACGCCCGTAGCCATTTTCACCAGCTGAGCAAGCATTCATGATCGGAAGATTTCGCACAGCCACCCGCCGTATGCCACGGGCCTGAGTAGGAGAGAAGTCTGTAAGCTGGAGCTGACCTGGGACATCCGAGCGGTGGTCCGGTACGTCGCCACTGGACGATGCAGGACCGCAGCAGCAGCAGAAATCAACACCCAATCCCCGGGGTGAAGCGGAATCATTTTGCTCTCCCGGTACCAACCGGCTGCCGCTCGTTCTGCCGCTAAATATCTAGCGCAGCCGCCCATCAGGCCCAACCTAGGACGACGGCGGCTTCCCACAGGGGGTTGAGACCTGGTTCTGAATCTGAACTGTCAGCCCGCCAGATCTCAGACATCAAACAGGGTGGGTCAAAACGACGCGGGGATGTCGGAGGCTGTCGAATGGCTGCATGAACCTCGCTTCACGGCCAAAGTCTTACCTGGGTCAGAGCTGTGTGGACTCCTACCATCAGCGTTTCGCGGTAGTTAAGACAACTATCTTAAGCCTCGGGAGAGTGGGCCTGACGTCGCCATGGGCATAGTGATGATGGCCTAGTATCCGAGTCTTGATGGAACGGTAAGGTTTCTGTGAACTCCTGCTCAGCCGCCCGGCCGTCGCTTGCACTGTCTCTGTACCGTACGAACCAGCTACTAACATCATTGGCCACGGTAGATTAAGCAGTTAACCAGGCCAAAAACATGGGCAGCCCACCAGAGCTGGATCGTGATGATGCCGGTGCCCGAAGCCGAACGCCGATAGCCGTTGTTGAGAAAGGTTGCAGCCAACAGGAAGTCTGGAACTCCGGCGAAGGACAGGGTGACTGATGCAAACACCCACACCGCTGATGGATCGCAGAGCGGTAACCTTTGAGGCTTTGACCCCCACCCCGCTGTCTCGAGATGACGGTTCCGAGCCGCCATACGTTCTACCTCACGATTCGTTGATACAAGTTTAAGAAATGCTGCGAGCCTTATGGGGTGGTTTCGAACAAGAGCGGTGACGCTTGGGTTATTCACCCACGACCGCACCGTGCGTTCTCGGGCAGCATTTTCCTGGAATCTCGCGCTCGCTGGTCTACCCAGGAAGTAAGGGGCCACGCGTCAACAGAGGAAACAACGTCGGGTTCCTATGTGGCGTTGCCAAGATCCGTCGACAATGAGCGGCTCAGAGCTGCGAAGCGGGATGAGCCTGACACCATTCCCATCATCTCGATCTACAAAAGGGCGTTCCATGAATACGGAAAACGCCATCAGAAGCTCACTCATTCGGCGCAGCGCCCACCACGATCCCGATTTCCACGCAGCCTCGGTCTGTTCTGCATTCGACCACCAGGAATCCTCTGTCTGCTAGCAGATATCACATTGAATATAGTACAGTGTTCCTGCACCATTACCATGCGATGCGATCACGATCTGCCCAAGGGATCGTTCTGTTGATTTTTGGGTCTCTGGGGCACCTTGTTTACCCCCTAGAGAATTTTGCACCCGCTCCCGGGGCGTGTCCTTAGATGCACCGCTGCCAGGGGCGCTGCAGTGATCGCCGACCAGGATAGGCCAACCTTGCCCTTTGAGGCTGGGGCCTAGCTGTTCCGATCTTAGCGGGTCCGCGCCATCAAAGTTTTCCCTGGTTCCCGGTGTCCTGGGAAAGCAAAAATGATCGCCCTCGCGCAAGAAAAAGACTCTCTCCATCGCGAACCGTACACGTGTACAATACACCAGTTCCAGCCTCTACTAGTGTAGGGAGAATCGCGGGCGAAGATCCAATATGAGCCCGGGAAACTGGCGGATTGGCTGATAGGGCATCTCGGCCGCCGCTTGGTCCCTCTCCTCTCCTCCCGTGTGTGCGTGTGCGTGTGTGAGGCGGTCAGACCGCCTGAGACGATCTCAACGGCCCGCAGTCAGACAATCTGGGCGGTCCACCCGTTGACGGCACTGGGGCTGTCTAACTCGCGAACCAACGAGCACATCCACCTCAACGCCCCAACGCCCCAGCGAACCTCAAGAGTTTTCGAGGCGCCCTCCGTCCGGGCCTGTGGCTTGCGAGGCGTTTGCATTTTATTTATTAGTACTGGTGCTCGTACAGGGAGCCAGAAGCAGCGACTCCCCTCTGCCGCGGAGGGGGCTGCCCGATTTTGATAGTCTTTCCTGTTGTGGCTCTTCTCTTCCCGAACTGTCCCCCCCGTTGTCAGCTGTCGTTTCTCGGACGGATTACATCTGTGGGCAGATGTAACAATACATTTTTTTTTACATGCATGCAGCGTTTCGTCACCACTCATCATCAGTCTTCAGCTTGGCCCAGCTCACCGGTCCACTCACGTGCGTTGTCCGCAGCGGGGGGAAGGAGGAGGGAAGAACAGAACAATGTGATAATGCCTACCTACCTTACCTAGGCACACTAGCACCGGCGAATCTCGTTTTCATGCGCGCGGAGGAGGAGAAGGGCCGGACAACGAAAACATCGGGCAGGTCGGGCTGCCGATCCTGCTTGGCGTAGAATCCCAATTTGGGCCCCTTGTCAGTGATCTGCCGAGCGATTTGCGTTCCTTCTCCTCTGGGGCTCGCATTTTTTCTTTGCTGTCCCTGTTGGGGAATGGCCCTTGCTGTCATGCAGCCGGCTTGTTGAGCAGCAACCTGCCGGGACTGTCACTCATCACTGTTGGTCGTTGGGCCTGCTACGCAACAGACTGAGAGGCGCTTGTCGTTTGGGCACGTTGACGTTGAGGGAGTTTACAATTGACCTCCCTGCCATGGCTTCAGTATAATCTTCCCGCTTCAACATGACTGGCTTCGATACGGACGGTGCGGTGCATTTCAAGGGTTCGGCGAGGCATCTTTGTGAACTCATCACAGATGCCTCTTACTCCTATTGGTGTCGGCCCCAAATTCCCACCATCCCATGCATCCTGCATCTGTGAAGCTGAGTAATAAGTAGGAACTGACTTTCTCAATGTGATGTCCTGGATGGAACTTACCGCGTGCCTTGTACTTATGTACTGGGCACTAGGCTGCATAGACACGTCGTGACGTGAAGAGGAAGGGTGGAGGTTGTTGATCCTCAGAGGAAAAACGAGACGCCAACATCGCAACCCGCTGAGAGGTTCCCTTGGTAGGTAGTGTACACTATGTACATACGGCGCAGGAATGGGAGAACCACCCAAGCACTTTCCGTGCCGTGAAACAGGCCGGCCTGGATCCCGATCGGGCCAACCTGGCGCCGGGCTCACGGCAAGCTAGCCCATTTCGTGTTCGCAAGAAGTAGGCTCGCACCAACGGACGGCAAAAGAAAGAAGGCGGTGTCCGATCCGGGAAAGCTTCACGGCGACGAGAGCGCCCCAACACATAACGGGATCCTCCCAGACTGCTAATACTGTGGCCTCTCAACGCCCCTAGCGTGTCCTGTCATCGGAGGATTTCTGTTCCCCAGCTAAGTAAGACCGTGCTATCGTGCCCGGTGTTATCTCTGCTGCACACAATGCTAGACAGATCCATGGTCAGTCTTCTCTCGGGGTTGGCATTAGCCGCCCCGGGCAAGCCAGAGCGGCAGGCGTTGGGAGGCACCGGGCCCCATCGCAGACCCCAACCCACTGTCTCAGCGTCTCTTAGTCTTGGGTTGCGGCCCCCCGGGGGGGGGGGGGGGTTCTGTACATACAGTACTGTACAGACAGTAATAAACACAGTGCCTGGTGCACACTGTCAGAGCAGGACGTGCTCAATTGGCTTCCCGTGCTCCAACACCGAATCCACCCCTGAATAAACGCCCGGTTAATGGGTAGACATAATGCCAGCAATCCTCTCCGACATCTGGTCAAGCCATCGCTGCCGTGACCAAGCAGTTTCTCCTTTGACTTTAGAACAAGAGAGGGACTTACAGGTGCTGCCGGTGTCCGTTTAAGAATACCGGAGGCCAGACACACCTTTACGAAATGTCACTGCCCAGGGATGAAGGCAACCCATCCAGTGGCGCGGTATTTCTTTCTTTCATCCATGCCCCCTCTCAGCTGACTATACAATACATGCCGAGACACAGCACGATGGAACAGGAGGAGTTTGTTTCTTACGGGAGTTACCCCAGCCAGATACAGACTACCTAGGGCAGCTCCCATCCCGCCGCAGGCAGGCAGGAAATGATGGAATTTGCCGGTTCTCAACAACCTCCAGCTCGAAGACCCCTTCGGGCCGGACGTTGGCCTGCAAAAAAGGGGGGGTTGCCCTTCGGATACAGCACTTCCCCTGTATCTGTAGCCACCATAGTCGGACATTTTGCCCTAAAAGAAGGATCAAACATCGTATGATGGCGCTCATGTCGTATGCTGGAGTAGGCATGCATGGGTCAACCATGGTGTGGGCGGTGAGCAGTTGTAGTACAGGACTACGTAAGTACTAATGAGAATGGGACCGCGGGAGAAGCTGCCTTGCGGGGGAGCGGGTATGGGACGCATTAGTAATGCTAGAATATGTAGACTGCTAGCAGTACCTAACTCTCAACCTCTCTCCCATAAGTACTACTACTACTTACTAGTACTAAGTAGTCATGTTCGGATCAGAGAGAAAAGGACAGTCGACATGTTTCCCATTTGCCCCTTCTTGTATTGAAAAGCCAACTAGAAACGCTCCCTGGCTACCAGCTATGAGATGTTCGAACAAGTTTACCTCTGGTTCTAGGCCCAAGCCGGAGCCAACGGTTCTTGATGGTCGCCTAACACACAAACCGCTCTCCGAGTCATTTGCATCCCATGTATGTATATGCACTTCAAGAAAAGATCGGAAGCTGTTCCCCAGCCAGGCCCCATTCCACCATCGGGCCGTGATCCGATCCCCGATCACGGACCCGGTACGCCCGTCAACAAAAAACGAACATCGGATTTGAAAGGGATACCTAGGGTCCTAATCATCGGAAAGCCCAGAGAGTAACAAAAGACAGCCTGAACAGTGAGCAAACGCGGCAAAGCCTCCGGAGTCCGGACCCGAGAGTCGATAGACCCTATATGACATAAACCCGGCACGGGTATGCATACCTATACAACCTCTTTGGGAAGCATTGCCCGAGATGTCCAACCAACCAACCACAAGTTCACAACCACAACGCGTGAGCGTGCATGACTCGTGTTCGATACATCATACGGGGGAATGAATCGAATCGGGAAGGTAGGTAAGGTAGAGTCGGATTCGGGACTCGGGGTTCCTTCTACTTCTCTGCTGTCCTTCGGTCGGTCGGTCGGTCTCGGGCTGCCGGGGAACTTGATCTCCGGATAGGCCGGTCGGTGGTGACGACGGTTGGGGGCTGCTGGCTGGTGTTAGATTTAGGCTAGGGTTCCTTGTCTTTGCTTTTTTTCCTTCTCTACCTAAGACTTTTTCTTTCCGGTCTGTAGGCGTGAGGAGTCGGAGACGTTGAATACGACACAACTGCCTGACTCACTTACTCTCTCATTCATTGACTCGCGAGGGGTTTGAAAGCGTTGACTGTCGAGGGGTTGGATAAGCGCTGCGTGTCTCTGTCTCGAAACTTCCAACCGCCGCACATTCGTGATCTGACACTTTGAAGCACTCAGATAGATACCTAGCTAGGACGCAAGTCTTTTATCGAGACAATCCTTCTGCATTGCTGACTTCGACGTCAAGTGAAACCAGCAAAAGAAAAGCAATGGATGTCCCAAAGAAGCTTGTATCTAGAGTCGCCAAGTACCCTGCTACTATTACAACAAAATTCATTTTCTCTCCCGACAAACATTCAAGGTGCTCGTAGTAAAACTAAAACATCACCGCAGCCCCTCCAATAACCCAACAAGCCTCTCCCACTCCTCACTCCCCTCCCAGCTCTCCTTGGCCTTGCCCATGACACTCCGCACCGCACTCCGCGCCTTCCCCTTCCACTTGGGCCCGATCTCGGCCACCAGCTCGCCATAGTTTTCCAGCATCGACACGAGCTCGTCCGTGCGGTCCACGACCGTCTTCCAGCCCTCCCTATCCTCCAGCCAGTTCGTCGTACCGTCCTTCTTGTCCGCGTTCCCACTACTACTACTCGAGGGCAGCAGCGACCCACCGCCACCAAGCGATCCCCCCAAGGCAGCGCGCCACGCTCGCTCGGCGGCATCCACGGCACCGGCGTAATCTCCGCGCCACACCCGCTCGCGGGTGACCAGCTCCCAGAGGTCGGAGCGCGCCGTGATGACGGGGACGACGCTCCTCTCCAGAAACTCGCACACGGCCCGCTGCTCGGTACCCCGCGGCAGCTCGTCCAGCGACGTACAAGACGAGGATGGCTTGCTGTCTTCGCGGGAAAGCAGAGCCTCGTTGACAAGCAACCGGAGCACGTCCACATCCAGCGCGTCTTCGGTGGCGCGGATGCGCAGGACGTTGCGCAGCCCCAGAAGCAGGTCTGTCACGGGCGGCGGGCGCAGGCGCGAGGCGAGGGTGATGACGTTGTCCCAGATGCGCCAGTTGTCGCGGGCGATGTTGGCGCCGCGCTTGTACGCGGCTAGCGCTTGCGAGAGTAACGTGGAGGGGTCGCGTTGGGAGGGCGAGGGTTGTTGGGGTGTAGCGGACTCGTAGACCTCCTCCTCCTGGTTGTCATCGTTTGATTGCTGCTGTTGTTGTTGTGGTTGTGAAGTGCCTTTCTCCTTCTGCCGCTTGACTTCCTCAGCGCGCTCCAAGTAGAGACTGAAGAGGGCGCTGCCGAGGTTGCTCCACGTGCGGGCGTCCTCGCCACCGACGACGTCGTTGGCCGCGGCAATGGCGCGCTGATACGCCTCTGCGGCGGCGGCGACATCGCCCAGACGCAGGTTGATGTCTCCTAGCCGATTCCACAGCTCCGAGCTCAGGCGGTTGACGGCGACGGCCTTGCTGTAAGCCTCCCTTGCGCGTTGCAGGTTCTTTTGTGCCAGGTAGTACTCGCCCAGCGACCGCTGCGCCCGCGCAAATCGATGCTTGGAGATCTCCCACGCCCGCTCGTAGTGCGCCGGCTCGTTCTCGATGTCTCCGAGAATGCACCACAGGCGCGGCGCATTGGGCGGCGACGGCTGGCGTTCGGGACCGTGGTAATCCGCCTCCTTGAGTTCGTCGAGATCGACCTCTTCGTCCTCATCTACCTCGTCAGAGCCAGGCTGTTGCCCCGCCGACGTGCCTGTCCTGTGGAACAACCGCCAGCGCAGCACGGCCTTGGCCTTGGCCTCGCCGCCGCTGCCGCGCCCGTCCTCGTCGCCGGCGGCCGCGGTGCTGGCATAGCAGACAGCGACCTCGGCCCACAGCCGGAGCCGCTTGAAGATCTCCAGTGCCGAGACGAGCGACCCGACGCTGGCCCACGAGTGCGCGAGCTCCGACTCGAGGTGCCACCTCGGCGGCGAGCTCAGTGCGTGGATGTACTCGAGACGCACCTGTGCTGGGGCTGTCTCGGTCGGTTTCGGGGCGGGGAGGAAGGATGTCGGCTTGTTGGCAGGCTTCTTCGCTTCGTCTCTGTCTGCGGGGCTGATCTGGATGTCCGGAACAGGAGGCTGTGACGAACTCCCATCCTCGCTAGACTCTGTGCTGGTCTCCGCGGCCGGCTGTGTCGTGTCGACGACTACCTGGTCCACCACGGCCTGCATCTGCAGCACGCCCCGCTCGACGGTCCTGCTCCGGTGCACCTCGATTCTCGACCGCACTAGCAACGCATGCGTGTAAATCTGCCAGTTGGTCGACTTGTCCGCGATGACACGGACGGCAAAGGGCAGCACCTCCTCCGCCGTCAGCGAGTCAGCCGGCGAGAAGGCATCCTTCAGCGTAGCCTCGGCGAGCAGGATGATCTGGTCGAGCGGCGACAGCTGCGGCTGCTCATCCGGCGGGAGGTCCTTCAGCGGCGCGGGCAGCTCGGACTTCCCCTCATCCTCCTTTCCGCGCTCCTCCTTCGTAAACTCGAGATTCTCAAGCAGCGTGTCGTCGTTGAGCGCCAGCGCCAGCGGTTTCGCCTGCCCGGCCCCCTCCTCCCCGTTGTTCCGCATCTGCAACCCCTCCCCGCTCTTCGCCAACACCACCAGCTGGCTGATACTCTTCTCCTGGAACCGCGTCCGCTTGCCCATCGCGCCAGACAGCGCATACACGAACCCACTCAACTCGGCCGCCCTGCGCAGCGCCTCCTTCGCCTTCCCATCCTGGCCCAGCATGATGTGCACATTAGCCTTCTCAACCAGAAACCGCACCTTCTCCCCCACTTCTCCTTTCCCTTCCACCTCCCTCTCCACCTCGCTCAACCCCTTCTCAATCCGATCCTGCAGGCTCGGCACATCGCACCACGCCGCGCTCTTGTTGAACACCGACCCGGGCCCGAGACTGGGCTGCGTCAGCAGCTTGTAATGCCAGACATGCACCCTTAGGGCGCGCCAATTTTTCTGCGACCTCCCGTCCCCCTCCCCCTCCTCCTCTTCATCCTCCTTACTAGCAGTAACAAAAATAAACCTGGCCAGCCCAAACAGCTCCACGTGCGGCACGTGCTCATACACCTCGACACCATCCACCTCGAGCGTGGCGAGACACGCTCGCTTCAGCTGTCGGAGACTATTACTAGTACTAGTAGTAGTACTGATAGTAGAAGAAGAAGACAAGTGCAGGAGGAACCGGTCCCGCACCTTCGCCGCCCGCTGCTCGTCCAGCACAGGACCCGTGACATTCGCCTGGAGGAAGGCGTGCAGCGCCGCGAGGCCGACAGCCGTGCGGTCCCTAGGGGAGACTACTTCTTCTCTTCTTCTTCTGCTGGTGCTACCGTTCGTGGCGCCGTGGTCATCGCCAACCCCTCCGCCAGTGGTACTTGTACTTGTACCATTGCTAGCTGCAGATGGTGCAGATGTGGTGGTGGTGGTCAGAGATACCGGCGGCAGTGACGAAACAAACTCGTCGATGAGAGAGCCCCCCTGCTCACTCAGGAGGACGTCGAGGTAGCGGCCGGACTGAAGCCAGTCGGTCAGTTGGGCGGAGGAGGGATCCATGGGTGAGGCTCGGTTAGGACCAGAGATAGAGTGTAATAAAAAAAACGAAGGATTGTATGCACTGGTTTCGGGAAACAGAGAAAAAATCTCATCCCATGGCTCAAGATGCAAAGCTGGACTACACACAGTTCGGCCAGTCACTGACGGATGGAGGGGCAATCCAAATTTCTTCGGGTGGGCAATTGGAAATCATGGCGGGGCTCTCGATGGAGGGGTTGCTCACCGATAAGATAAGCCCCTGACCCCTGGGCCATCACATCCATCCACAATCACTCACCGAAAAGCATAAACACAGACATGTTTAGTTCCATACAATATATGCCTACTACGCTACACGCTCGGTACCATACATGCCTAACACAGGTAGTAGTACTCCTGGGATCCTCATATCCATCCACCTAGACAATCTTCATCCCTCCTCCCGCGCACACGCAAAGAGCAGCAAACCATAGCCGATCCCAGGGTACTCAGTCACACTCCGTATCATGAGCAAGAACATCCTATTTCTTACCCTTGTTCTTCTTGCTCGGGACAACACGGAAGCCAGCAATCTCGGACTCCTTAGGTGCTTGTGCTGCAGCGGCACTGCCGCCCTTCTTGGCAACCTCGCTCCAGCCGCCGTTGTTGCCGCTGCGGCCGTCGCCGGCCGCCGACGAGCCCGCGGGCAGCTCCACCTTCTCCAGGATGCCCTTGTCGGCGAGCTTCTTGCGGCGCACAAACTCCTCGCCAAAGTGGCGGCCGTCCATGGTCGTGCTATACGCGTACACGGCCTCGGCCAGGATCGACGGCTCGAGCGGCATCTCCAGCAGGCCAGCAGCGAATTGCTCGACTGGAAAAAAGACAAATTGGTTAGCTAGTGCATGCCACACGATGAAAATAAAACGTAGACTCACTATCAGGGACCCCGTTAAGGCCACGCTCCAGCTCGCGGTGCAGCCACTTCTTGAACTCCTCCATGGCCGCGTCCTTGGCGTCCTTGAGCGACGTCTGCACCGGCTTCGGTGCCGGCTTGGCGACGGTAGGGACCGGCGACGCCTTGACGTTGCTCATGCTAGAAGAGCGGCTCTGCACTGCCGGGCCCGTCGGAACCTTGACCTTGCCGCCCGCCCCGACAGTCGCCCATCCGCCGCCTTGGCTGGCCTGGGCTGCCGTGGGAGACACGAGCGAGGCGGGCGTTGACACCTTGCCAGCGAGGTCCGCATAGCGCTTGCCCATCGTGGACGGCGCCGGTGTGCTGGCCTGCGACGCGGCCTCCTTGGCCTTCTGCTTGCGGAGCTCTTCCTCGCGCTGGATCTCGGCCAGCGTCTTCTTGGAGCCGCTGTTTGCGGGACCCGCACCGGCCGCCTTGAGCGCGCCAGGTTGCTTCCACGGGCTACCGGCGGGAGCCCCCACAGGTGATCCAGTGCCCCAGGTGCTGTGGGCTGGCAGGCCCGAGTTGAGAGCGGCGGCCGCGGCCTTCTCGCGCTCACGCAGCGCTATAGCCTCCTGCTCCAGAGCGGCCTTTTTCGCCGCAGCAGCAGCCTCCTCCTTCTTGGCCGCCTTCTTGGCCTCGGCTTCCTGGATCTCCTTGAGGCTCGGGCCCTTCTGTATCTCGGCACTCGCCCACGGCGCAGTGGGGGGGGGCGCGAGGGCGGCCCCGTCAGACGTCGTATCCGGAGTGCCGGTTGCCGACCGCTCACCATATCTGGCCGGCAGGTTCGAGGCGGGACGCTGGGCCGTCGGCGCGGCGAGAGGCATACCCTGCACCGGGGGAGGGAAAGGCATCGGAAGACCAGACGGCTGCGGCGGCTGCGACGGCTTTGCGTTGTCGGCCTGCGTCTTACGGACCTTTTCGGTAAGCGTCATCTCGGCCTGCGCGCTTGCCTTCTTCCCCTCGCCAGTTTCATTGGTGCTGCTTGCGGCCTGCGTAGCAGACATGGCTACTGCAGCTGCCTGCTCGACCTGCTTCGTAACGTCTTCCTTCGTGTCGGAAGCGCCGGGCGCGTGGGTTCCGCCGGCTACAGCTGCTTCCTCGGCATCATGCTGTGCCCGCAGCCTTTCAAACTCCTGCATCCTGTCCCTGAAGCCCTCCGCGTCCTTTTGGAGCTGATCCGAAGTCGGAAGCTGGCTGCGCAGCCCGTTGTTCTCGCCCACCGGAGCCCCAACGGCGCGTGAAGCGGGAAAGACACCCGGCAGGCCGCCGGTTGCCTGCAGACTTGCTAGCATCTGTCGCTCGCTGAAATTCAGGTCAGGGGCGAAGAGATCCGTGCCACCTCCGATAGGTGCCTGAATGGGGCCAGGCGCCATGGCTGTGGTCGTGTCGAAAAAACCGCCGCCCGGGGCAATGGGGCCCAGGGGGTGCTGAGGCGTCATTCGAATCGGTGAAGCCACGCTCCCAAAGCTCGGTTGGCTCTGCAGGCTGTGGGCGCTAGAATGGTGATGGAGTCCGCTAGGCAGACCGGGGCGGATCTGAGCCGGCCCCGCGCCAAACGGGTGGTGATGCTGCTGAGCAAGCTCCCGTTGCCGAGCCTGGAACATCTGCTCCTCTTGCTTCCGGCGCTCGAGCTCGTTCTGCTGCTGCGCGGTCAGTGTGCGCCCGAAGGACGGGAACGCCGACGGGAGGGGGGGGATCGCCTCCGAGCCCGAGGCGAAGGGTCCTGGCGAGGGGTCCTCTCCATGCGGGATTCCCATCTGCGGAACAAGGAACGGCTCCCGGGAGTTTCCTATGCGCCGGATGAGTTGTCCAAGAGGTTCGAAGTCGGGATCCTCGACCCGTTTGACACGGAGGTCGGGACTGAAGAAGTTGCCCTTGTACCAATCGTTCATTTCCAGGCCCGTAAACGGGCCCTGCGTGTTTCCCTGCGGATCCAGGTAGACCCAGCGCATCCGGTCCGGATACACCATCGTTAGCGCCAGCCCTGGGTGGGCGGCTGACAAGGTAGACGGGAACGACGGACCGCCTGTGGTAATCGGGAAGGACTGGGCTTGGGTAGTGGAAGTAAGGCCGGCCTGGGCTTGCTCGGCAGTAGAAAAGGCCGTGACTGTTCGGCTGGAACCGGGATCCGCGGGCGCGAAGAGATCCTGAAAGCCGCCTCTCGGAGGCCGTTGCGGGCTATTGGTCTCGCGAGGCGGCAGGCCGATTGTGCTCCGGCCAATGGCACCTAGAGGGTTGGTCTGCGAGAGGTCAGGAATCGAGTCGCTCAGATTCTCTTGATCGTGACCGTGCATCTGCGCCTGCATGGCCGGTGGAAAGAGGGACTCGAGCTTGCCACGGCCCTGTCTCGAGGCACTCGGAGGTGCAAACACACCGCCCAGGCCGGGAAAGCCGGGCGACGGAAGATCGGTCAAGGGGCTGTAGAAACTAGCCCCGAAGCCATTCTGGAACGGGCCGCGCTCGCGGTCCGGCGTGCCGAGCGAAGGTCCAGCGGGCCATCCCGAGAGAGGAAGCCCGAAGCCCTTGGCACCAACGCTGGACGTCTGGCTCCGGTCACTACCCTCGAACGCTGCGGCGCCAAACGAGCGGGGAAACGTGCCGAACCCTGACTGCTGCTCGGGACCGGCCCCAGTCTGAGCGCCATGGCCTTCCTCGCTGCGCTCGGCCGGAGGACTGCGAAAGGGGTTCGTCTCGGACGGGCTAGCCGGGCCGTTTCCAACCCCCTGAGTATGAAGACTGAGCCCAGCCATGCCGAAGTCGCCGGCATTTCCCTTGACAGGCGTGTCGAAGACCCCGCCGCGTTGGGTCTGAGCAGCTGTGGTTGGCGGGCTGTTATTGTCACGGGTCCCGATCAACAGGGAGTTGCCAGACGGGCCACTGTCGCTCGCGAAAGGGTCGGTGTCCGTCCGCTGACGGGGCCGCCAGCTGGAGGCATCGCTGGGCTTCGGACCCGCACTGTCCAACGGGTCCTTCGGAATGAGGTGGGCAAGACGGCTGCCTCCAGTGCCGAATCGCTTGTCTCCGATGCTCGGGGTCGGCAGCGCGAAATTGCCAAAGGCACCACCGATGCTGCTTGTGGTCACGGCTCCGGACGTCGGTCCCCAAAGCGATTGACCACTGAATGCCGACGCACCGGTCGTGTTGCTGCGAGGCAAGGCAAACGGAGTATTCCTAGCGGGGGTGGTTGTTGCATCACGGGCATTCGGATCCTCCTCGGGTTCGTCCGATATGGGCCCCTTCAGATCGGTGTTGCGGCGGGACAGCCAGGGTTCCTCCCGGGACGACCTATTCGCTGTGGGAGACGCCGTAGGAAAAGGGTTGGTATCCGTCGTCTCCCGCCGGCGGGTGCCCGGGCGAGAGGTGGCGGACGGGGACGAGGTCTGGTAGCTGGCGGCATTTCCGATACTAACCGAAGTCTTCCGCCCATTGATTCCCCCAGCCCCTGCGTGGTTCCCGTCCTTGTTCTGCAGGGGCGGCTTCATAGTGGAGTTCACATCAGTAGCAAACATCTCGCGCTCCTCCGCCGACATCTCCTCGAAACTGATGGGTTTCACCGTGCCATGCGAGTCCCAACAGACGCTGGGGTCCTGCGGGACATGAGGCGAGTCAGACGTCTTGCCCCAAGGGCGAGCGTGGCTCCCATTCATCTGCGCAGGGTTCCAGGTCGGCTCCAGGAGGTCGGATGGGTTGATCTGCGAAGGCTCGAAATCGTTCTTGTAAATGTTCAACAGCTCTTCCTTGGTGTAGCGTAATCCACTGGGCGAGTCATACGCCGAGGACAAACTCTGCGAGGACATGGAAGGATATTCGGTAGCGGCGGGTTGCGACGCGTCGGCCGGACTCGCCGTGGCGGACTGGTTGAACGGGGTGGTCGAGGCGCGGCGGAAGGTTCTGGTGCCGTTTGAGCGTGGCCTATCACAGGGTTTCAGCACTGATCGAACGCGATAGTCGGCTATTGCAGGAACTGGAGGATGCTTTTCCATATGCACCCGGTGAGGTCACGTCGCGACTGGGAAGAAAACTCGTATCTGCTGAATGAAACACAGTAGAGGTGGCGGGGAGCAGTGTGGAGAGGTGCAGCCCATGCACCCCATATCAAGGGACCAAAGAAGGACGCAACGCCAAAGGGATCGGTTTGGACGGCGACTTACCATTCACCACTCCCAGAGCCACGCGCAGAATCACTCCGTCCAGCGACCCTCAGGTTCTGGCCAGCGGCGGCGGAGGCGAAGCTTGATGCGAGTTGCGTCATGTTGTACCGTTGTGCGGGCAATACGTCGCAGGAATGCCAATTGCCGCGGAGGATGGATAAGTTATGTAAGTAGGTAGGACTGTGCGAGCGCTGGGGCTGAAGCTGCAGGTAAATGTTGTTGCGGTTGTGGAAGTGAGGTTGATTCGTCTCAGGACAGCGGAGAGGCAGAGCTTCCCTTTTTTGCATTGCAAAGTTTCGAAGACTCGAGGTCAGTGGAAGGTTGATGCCAAGGAGGACCCACTTGGGGCGACGCAACGTGACCTGGCCCGTGACCGACTGCTAAAACCTAGAACGAAACCATGCACCGCGCTACCAATTAATAAAGTTGAACTAACAGATTTAACACAGTACTATGACTAAATCACGATGAGTAGGGAATAAGATCAAAGGTTGTCCCGACAGCGTTAGAGATAAGAGCAGAGTATGGAAGTAGAATAAGAAGTATAAGTGTAATAAGCACGAGATGAGGAACTTATACGATAGTTTGGCTACCTTGGGTGATGAACACCAGAGAAAGTGCACCTGTGACGATGCTTTTTGGTCGAGGTGCGGATCCCCTATGCAGCACTCGATTCCCCACCTCACACACACGCGTCTCAACTATCACATGCATGCCCGGGCCTCTCAGCTGGCAGCCCAAACACATCAACTCGCTGAATTTATTATTTAACCCAGACGGGTTGGCAGAGCGATCCGATGAATATCTGACCAATGATGCAATCATCCCCGGGCATCCTTCTCGCCCAATATCTCCATCATGATCTCGATCTCTTTCGTCAACCAGCTACCTCGGCGTGAATGTCTTGACGTAGGGCTGAAGTAAGGCTTCCCTTGCGAAGGTCTAGACCATACCATTCTCGATCTGTCCTGGGCCAGCGTTGAGACGCGCATCCACTGACGTCGACGCTTCTGGGTCTGTTTTCTGTGGCTTGCAGGAGTCGCTACTGTTATTAGGGGCCAGGCAGCATTCACACACTTCCTCGATCGATCTTGTCGTGGCCCAAGATCTATCTGTCATGGCTCCGTCACCATCCACCTACTTTTCCAGGTGTCCGAGGGTTCCATTAGCCACCACCAAACCACATGGACGAGCACGGAAAACAGCAAAATCATCGCTTGTTGTCTTTTCTGAACATTATGACCGTCACACCGCCAGCCCCACCTCTCCATGGTCTCCGACGACGGTGTTCGATCCGCTCTCCAGATCAGGAAACTCTTCGCTGGACTCGTTACCGTCCTTCCCAACACTGTCCGTCCTCGCCGCAATGCTGCCCTTTCCCCAGGACTCGTTCAACATCGCGCTCCCAAGACTGTCCATGCGTACCGCCGCCTCGCCGCACGTCATCGACCGGCCCCTGTCCGACCGCGTGCGCTGCCCCACCGTCGGGGACCAGGTGTCGGTGAGATCCACGACAGTGTTCCTGCTCCGCCAGAACTTGACCAGCGCCTTGAGCCACGGCACGCAGCCGCAGATGACACCCAGCTGGACCTCGACGGCGGTCCACAGCCACAGGTTGAAGCCCTCCCATGTGATGTCGTACGTGCCGTCCACGACGTAGTGCACCCAGTAGGTGCGGATGCAGGCGGCGAAGACGACGAGCAGCCCGACGCTGAAGAGCACGATCAGCGCGAGGCGCTGCGAGAGCGGCAGCTTGGCGCGGTACAGCGACGGCAGCGGCAGCACCCACACGAGGAAGTCAGAACAGATCGTCGTCGCCGCGTGGGCGATCAGCGGGGGGCCTTCCGCGGTGCAGTCGTGCGCGTTGCGCAGGAGGTCCCAGTAACTCGACAGCGGGCTATTTAAGAGGGGGGGAAAGGCTTGTCAGTCGGTTCCTAGCCTCCCTGGAGACTCTCTCTCGTTCTCATTCCTCACTTACCTGCACTGGGCAAATAAAAAGATGAAGAAGGTGACGCTAGACAGAGCAACCCACCAGATACCCACGACTAAGTACGTTGCAGTATGTTAGCAATCGTTTCTCCAACGGAATGCCTGCCAAGACCTGACATACAAGTCATGCGTCGAAACCGCGAGTTCTTCGGCGACAGCCGTAGGTAGCTGACGAGGATAGAGATCTTGGCGAGACAGGTCGCCAGGATGAACAGCGCCTGGACGGCAAACGAGATCTGTCGCCCGGCAACCATGGTGTCGATGCTGAGGTCCCAGACGTGCATATCCCAGCCGTACCGGTCGTACGCCAGGAGAACACAGGTGGTGACGCCGATGGCGAAGGTCTAAGTCGTCGTGCGGAATGAGTTAGTCTAACCGACCGTCGAAGGAAGTCCACCCAGAGTTAAAGCACGGCCTACCTCCGCAGCCACCATCAGCCAGTCGTCCAGCTCGACCTTGGCGCTCATGGTACCCATTCTGACGTAGAGGCGCAGGCCAACACACGCGACGGAGACGGCCAGGAAGATGGACTCGATGATGATCAGGGCAGGGCCCCGGGTCGCCGGGTCGGTGTAGTTTGGTGTCGGCCATGAGGCTATCACCTCCGGGGGTGGGAATCTCATGCTGTCTGTCGCAGGTCAAGACGGCGAAGTGCGTTCCTCAAGTTGGAGAGTCTGTAGGAGTGACCCGGCTTGTTGACCGTTGTGGCCAACGCACGCGATTCGACATGTGGTATCGGGACTGACGGCTGAAACTGCTACCTAGACGGCCGGCTTGTCGAGGCGTAGCAGTTCAAGTATTGGTATGCCTTGGGGGGGCGTGTCGAGTTTAGTGTGATCGCCGGGTACCGGACCGCCGGAAAGGGATCGCCCACCAGCATCCGGGATAGGCCCTCTATATAAGCATGAGAGACATTCTGTCCCATCTACCGTCCACGACCAGTTCCACAGGCAGGGTACAAGTGAGAGTGTTCGGTGGCCAAACAGCCTCCCCTGCGGCAGAAATTCTAGCTCTGTCCGACTCCGCCGGGCGGCGATCCGAAGACTTTAGTGTACAATAGCGTGGTGAAGAGCTGGGCGGTGACTCCACCATTGACAATCGCCATCTCCATGTAAGATACACTTGGGCAAGCCCTAGCGGCTTGCCCAAGACACCAGACTCGGCCAACTATGAACATACGCAGAGAGATCACAGAGCCAGTGTGCATAACTCCCGTTCATGGTTCAGAATCAGTGGTGCATACGCAGCCACAGCCGAGGGACAAGGAAGAAACCTCGGCCTCCTGGATGTGTAGGCCAAGAAAATCGGAGAAAGGCTGAGAGTCATGTCTGACTGGGACTCGTTCGATCATGCAGGCCCACGTCCTGGAGGCAGACCTTGCGACTCCACGCCCTCTCCATGGCTCCGTTTGGCACTGCCGGGTCCACCAGCACGATATTGTACTACCAGGGAACCATCACTTGGACACGGGATGAAGAGCCGTTTCAAAACATGACAAACGAGCACAACTCTAGACTTAGTTCTGCTGGTCTGTAACACTTGCTCCTCAAAAACATCTCACGATTTTTTTTGAAGTCGAGTCCAGGATCAACGGTGCACGGATACCATGTCGGTTAGCAGTCCGGCAGGGAACCTCGGGAGCTAGCGAGGTTGCACTGCATGAAAAATGTCGACTTTGACAACCCGGGGTTCATTAATGAGACATGTACAGGTCCTGGGGTCGGTTGATCGCCAAGCAAACTCGCGAATATCTCCTGGAAAGAACGGCGCAGGTCGAGATTGAGCAAACCAGTGATTCCGGTCGTGCATGAAGCTGCTCTGTCATGCCGCTCCATGTGCGGATCTGTATCGCCCACATACAAGCTGATCACCGAGCGGGGTCAGTGGAGTGGCGACCTTCAAGGTGCGAGGATAACCCATGACTGATAAGTACTACTGACTGACTGATGATGGGTTCTCTGCTGTAGGATGCTGTATTAGCATGCTCCTCTTCGCCGTGATGATACAACGGCCGCATAGAGAGACGGGGGCTTGCCCGCTCTCCGTTCATTGACGAGGAAATGGGCCTAGCTTCTCTTCCTACCAAGCTATACCCCTCATCCATGTCTCTCACTAGTAGACTCGCTACCGGGTAATAAGACATGACATTGTAGCTCTAGTTAGTGAACCAGGAACGCAGTCTATACAGGGGAAGGGAACGCCTCAATAATTCATCGATATCCACGCGCTATTCTGCACCCACACTGACCATCCGTATCCGCCCCTCCACGCGGGGAGCAATCGCCCTCGTCCAAGACACCTCGCTCTCACCCTGCGGCAGCTCGTCACACGTATTCCCGTTCACGCCAGCCCGGCGGCACCACTTGTGGAAGACGCGGCGCATGATGGCGAGCTCCCTGTCGAGCGCGTGGGCCTTCTGGCGGGCGCGCTCCCCATCCTCGCCGGAGTCCTCGCTCTCGCTGTCGTCTTCGGCGGACGCCAGCATGGGCGGGATGCTGGCGCGCCGCTGCCGGATCCTGGTAGGCGTCCACGCGGCCCAGCCCTTTTCCTCGCTGCCGTCCGCTCCGCTGCCGGACTTCTCGTTGGTTGGGCTCACCGTGGGTGATGCTGGTATGATGGGGTGGCACTTGGCGACGCCGTCTCCGACTTTGGACCTGCTCACTCGGATTTGTCAACCCACTGCTGCTGCATAAAATAGTTTATTATTATAGAGCCAATAACAGGCAACGCACCAATGCTGATCCAACGATGGCTCCCAGCCCTTCCACTTCGCCACCACCGTTAGGGACATGAAATACTGCCGCAGCATGGCCGACAGCAGCATCCCGTTCTCCTCCGACACGAGCTCCTCGCACTCTCCGCCCTCGGGCTGGATCAGTAGGCTGCGGTAGCCGTCCTTGCCGCGCGCCATGTAGCCCCTCGTGGCGAGGACGTAGACTCGGTTCTCGTCCAGCGGCGAGCCGCCAATCTCGGCTGAGACGATGCGGGAACCGACGGGACGGGACGGGTCGAAGGTGAAGGTGATGTTGGACACCTGGGGGAAGCGGCCTAGATTGGTACGTTTCGTGTGGTTAGCAATTGTAGGCCGGCGAGACAACCACAGACACGAAAGGGAACACGGGAGAAAAATAGGTACCTTCCAACGCGGGATACAGCGAGACGCCGTTCTCCAGCGCATCCCAGATCGCCTTCCCCGACGCCTTGATCACCACCACGGGGTCCTCGAACGGGAAGCAATCCGTCACGTCCTTGACCCTGATCGGGCCGGGCGCATACACCTGGTCGCCGCGGATGGTGCCGGCCGCCATGATGGCACAGTCGGCGCCGTAGTGGTGGCGCATGAGGTCGCACACAAAGTTGCCCAGGTTGCTCTCCCTGACGCGGACGGTGGTGAAGCGCGCGTCCAGCGGCGCCGCCGTGAACCCGATCGGCTTCTCCAGGCTCTTCTTCAGCTTCGCCGTGAGCTTGTCCACGAGCGCCAGCGTCTCCGGATCCTCCCGGACCGCCCGCACCACATCCCGCCGCCAGATATCTACATCCCATTTCTCCCGCCCACCATCCCCCCCTTCCCGCCGCCGCACCTCGATGTAACTGAGCTGCTTGAAATCCGACCCGGACCGCAGCACATGCGTGCCGTTGATGAAACTGTGCGCGTAGAAGTGGTCGTGCCCGCCCAGGATCAGATCCACCATCGCCTTGCCCTTCCCCTCCGCCAACTGCCGCGCCAGCTTGTTATCGTTCGGCTCGCGCATGTGGGTCAGCGCAATGACAATATCCGCGCCCTGCGCCCTCAGCTGCGGGACCAGCTCGCGCGCCACTTCGGTGGCCGACCGATAGACGATGTTCGGCGGCAGCGCGTTGATGGTCTCGAGCCACTCGCGCTCGCCTAGCCCGAGCAGCCCGATGCGCAGCCCGTTGGACGCCGTGATCATGTGGGTCTTGCGCGCGTTGCCGAGGGGCACGCCCTCGCCCAGCGCCGGGTCGAGCACGTTGGCCAGCAGCCAGGGGAAGGTGCAGCGAGCGGTTAGGTGGCGGAACTGGCTGACGCCGAAGTCGAGGTCGTGGTTACCGACGCAGGCGCAGTCGGTGCCGAGCAGGTTGAGCAGCGGCACCATGTGGCTGCCTTTGGTGACGGAGCTCTCCAGGCTCGGGTTGAACACGTCGCCCGAGAAGAGCGTGACCAGGTCGGGCTGCCCGCGGAACCGCTCCGCCGAGCGGTACTCGTTGCAGAGCGTCACGAACCGCGCGATGCCGCCGGCCGGCTCGGCCGACGAGGCGTCTAGGTGGTAGACATCGTTGTAGTGCAGTATTCGGAGGTCCGGGGGGGTGCTGAGGTCGCGGCCCGAGCTGAATGTGACGACGGGGTCGGCGGATGGTGGGGTGGAGGATGAGTGGCTCATGGTGAGGAACGAAAGGTGTAATTAGAAGGAATGTTAACCTCGGGTATGCTATGCTGCAGAATTTACAGAAAGAAAGGAGTCAAGACATATGACGGCTAGATATCCAAATTGGCTAACGCGGTGAGAGATCTCCAATACTTATCTTGCAGATCGCTCGAGATTCAGCCTGCGATCTCACTGTGCTTTATTGTCGTGGGTTGCAGTTGGCGGGGCAGCTGAGTTGGGTTGAGGCTGCGGTGAAACACCCCACTTGGGCAGGCTGCGGCACGACTTCATCCTCCATTGAGCAGTGGTGGGGGTCTGGATGCTATATAGCTGAATGTTGATATTCGATCCTTTACCAGCAAATGATCCTACCACGCTGAGGGAATCGTTGCTGGGGAATGGGACCGCTGTCGCATTGCTGTCCTAGCCCAATCCTAGGCACTCGCGCTTTGTTCCTGAGCCTCTCCAAGTCCCGTTCCTGACATGCACGCCCTTTGCGAATTGGGGCTGACCCCGCCATGTATGGACGACGACCCACACAGACAGCTTTAAAAGCAAATGCAGGGACGCCAAACTGAGGCTCAAAGAATTACCGGACAGGAAATCGACTGCACCGGCACTCTCCAGCCGGGGAAGGACAGACAGCCATGACTCCTAACGACGCGATCGTCCGGCACGCCCGCCGAGAAGGTTTGGTCTTCCACTTTTATCGTCCCTCACACCGCCCGCCTCGAGACGCACACTGACACCCACCACCAACACAAAAAAGACGTCCCCGCCATCCTCGAACTGATCCGCGAGCTCGCCGACTATGAGCACGAGCTGCACAGCGTCGAGGCGACCGAAGCTAAGCTGCTCGAGACCATCGCGTTCGCGCTCTCCGACACCTCCGTCGTCTCCACGACCCGCAGCCCACAGACAGAACCGACGTCTCCCTCCCGCCCGGCGCGGTGCCTGATTCTGCTCACCCCGGCGGGCGAACCGGCCGGCATAGCGCTGTACTTCTACAACTACAGCACGTGGCGCGCGCGCCCGGGCATCTACCTGGAAGACCTGTACGTCAAGCAGAGCGAGCGCAAGAACGGCTACGGTAAGCGGCTGCTGGTCGAGCTGGCCCGCGAGGTGGTCGCCATGCAAGGCGGGAGGCTCGAGTGGAGCGTGCTCAAGTGGAACGAGCCGTCCATCAAGTTCTATGAGAACATCGGCGCCAGGATGATGAGCGAGTGGGTGGGCATGCGCGTCGACGGGGAGGCGCTGACAAAGTTGGCCGCCCTGCTGGACTGAGTTGGGAAGGGGAGGGGTTGGTGCGAGCGAGCGAACGGGCGGACTTGGTTGGCATGTAAATACCAGGACGGCGACCTCAATGTTTGTGCGAGGAGACCGCAAATGGCCCCTTTCCTGGCCATGCGCTTGTTCACACATCGTCCATCCAGTGGAGGCGTGGTTTCTGCCGCTCATGTTCCCCGTTTCCCCTTTTTCCCTTGCTTCTCGGGCAGTGGGAAATCTCTGAAAAACTCCAAGTCGCCCGCACTAGCAGGAGCCGGCCGGAAGTCCAGTTTCCCCCACTCGATCTTCCAGCTCTGGCCGTCCGGCCGCTTCTCCATAGTCGCCGTCAGCCGCCAGATGCTCGCCAGCAGGCGCTGCCATGTGCGGGGCGTGTATTTGTGACACACGATCGGCTGAGGGTCTCCGGTCGGTGTATTGTCGTCCACCGCCCCGGTAAGGAGCTTGTTCCGCCTGTTGGCCGGCCGGTCCACAACCGCAACCGGCTTGGTGGCGTATGACCGCCAGTCCCATTCCCGGTTACCCTGCCCATCGTTCGACATGCTACGCGCCACAGGCCGCCGGGGAGGAGGTAGTGAGTGAACTAATCCCTTGGCGAGCACACCGAGACGCTCCCATTCCTCCACAGGCAGCGGCGGCAGGCATTTGTCCGCTGCAGTCTTCCACAGCTTCTTGAGCTTCGTCCGCGCAAGCTTGGGAGTAAGCGGCCGGCCCCACGCGTTTTCGGTCGGTATGCTCTTGCTGGGGTTGATCTGGGCGGCAGTGAGGTCGGACTTGGGGTTGTTGACCAGGCCCGCTTGTATCTGGGAGTTGGCAAACGTGCGCAGCTTCTTCAGGTCCCATCTATCGAGCCAATCTATCTTCCGGCCTGTCGATGCGATGTCCGATGCCTCAGCAGCGTACTTTTGCAACTCCTCCGTATTTGTCGGCAGATCGCGGTGCAGCAGATCGGCCATCAGCTCTCGGCGACGGCGTCCCACACGTCCGAAGACTCGGAGCAGAACCCTGCGCATGCGGGTCAAATCGCCCGCATTGGCTGCCCGGAGAATGCGGAGCTCACGGTGCGCCTGCCGGATGCGGGCCTCGGTGTTCTCTGCCCCGGGATAATCTTCTTGGTGTTGCCGGAACCGGGCCTTGATCTGGCTGTCGACAAACGGTCGAGCGATGGGTGGCAGATATGACGCCTCTCGAAGGAGATGTCGATACAGCCGCCAGGGCGTCTCGGGGTGAGGTATGCGTAGAGGGCGTGACATTGTCGTTGCGAAGAGGATTATTATCCATTTATTCTCCAGGCATGGCATCCATGGGCCACAAACAATGAGCTGCCGATCGCGAGGCGGTCCGAGCGCCTCGCTCCCTGTGGTCCGTGCCCCCAGCCCCGCAGTCCAAGGGGAATTTGCGAAGGCGCGTCTTCTGGTTCCCACCAGCTCTGGCCGTGACACGCACACGAAAATCACACGTCGGTCACTCGTGTCTTAATTGAAGTCCAGACAGGGCCATCGTCACTCGAGCCTGCTGTCAGCTCCTGGGACTGTTCGCCAGGGCCTGTCGGTGATATTCAAGGCTTCGGACTCCCGTCGTGCCAGCGTCGTTAACAATACCCATTCTCCTGCAGGCCGACTCCCCGACTCTCCCCATTTTCCGCGGGCCGCTGCAACACAGTCGCGAGGCAGACGGCACATTCTCCCCGCGTCATCTTCTTCCCCCGGTATCCCCCAGGAGCCGGCGCCCAGCATCGTTTCTATACTTTGGACTGGGCTCTCAATATCACCTCAATTGTTACCGTCCTGTCCTTTCTCAGTCAGATCCCATGGGTTATTGAATGCACTTGATATCGATCAATATCTGTTACTACCTCAGTCCGTTTCGCACGAGAGTGTGATAGCTCTTGTACTCCCGGGGTTGTGTCTGCATTGATTCCGAACCCTCTTTGATCGCCCTGTTCTTCACACGGACTCCCTGCCTCCGGTGGGCGTGAATCGACCGACATGCAGCCGGCGCAGATACCCGGTGGCTCGCAGTCGCAGCAGCACCCGCAACAATCACAACCATCCTCTCAGCAATCATACCCCATGAGCCAGCCGTCCTCTCAAACGACTGGCTACCGTCACTATGCCGACCTGCCCCAGAAGCCGACAAATGATCCCGACATGGGAATCTACTCGGTAAGTGCCCGAAGCACGTCTTGCTCCCTGGAGGTGTCGCTGATGGCTGTGCTCAGGCGGTGTACTCGGGTGTCAATGTGTACGAGATGGAAGTCAACAATGTCGCCGTGATGCGGCGCCAGACCGATGGTTGGCTCAATGCGACTCAGATCCTGAAGGTGGCGGGAGTGGATAAAGGGCGCCGCACTAAGATCCTGGAGAAGGAGATCCAAACGGGGGAGCACGAAAAGGTTCAGGGCGGCTACGGCAAGTACCAAGGCACGTGGATCCCATTCGAGCGCGGCGTCGAAGTCTGTCGGCAGTACGGTGTTGAGGAAATCCTGATGCGGCTCCTCACGCACAAGCGCGGGCAGGAGGGAGGCGCGGATGTCGACACGCCAACCAAAGAGCAGGCCATGGCGGCTCAGAGGAAGCGCATGTACAACGCGAGCTCGCAGGAGAGCCGCGCAAATGGGCTTTCCGGAACTTTCTTCAAAAACATTTCCTCCACCGCATCGCACGCAATCAATGCCATCAGCAAGGCCCGACTAGACTCTCCCGGCCCCAGAAACCGCAGCGGCCCCACGAGAGCGCCCAGTTTCAACCGCCAGTCCTCGATGCAGGATGCGAACGATTTCCCACCTAATTCCCAGCAGAGTTTCGTCTCCGACTACAATCACGCCGATTCGGCATTTGCATCGCAGACCACTCAGCCAGCCGCAGACGGGGAGCAGCCCCCGCGCAAACGGCAAAGGGTCCTTACTCCTGCCCATAGTTTCGGCGGCTTGACGCCATCCTATCCACAGCCAGACGGGTACGCGGCGGCTTACCCAGGCTCGCCAACAGAGCCGAACGAGTCGTTCATCTATTCTCAAGCAGGTGTCCACGTCGAGCGGGAGCCGAACTACCCTCCCGGGCCACTCCGTCCCCTGCCGCACGACATGTCTCGCGAGGCCGAGGCAACGCGGAGTATGCTCATGGGGCTGTTCATCGATACCCGCGACCCAGATGAGACAAAAAGAAACACGCTCCGCAATATGACCCCTCAGGAGCTCGATACCCCCCTCGATAACCAGAGCCACACGGCCGTGCACTGGGCCGCGACGCTTTCCCGCATTCCGCTCCTGCAAGCCTTCATTGAGGCCGGCGCAAGCCCATTTCGCGTCAACAGGCAGGGAGAGACGGCGTTGATGCGGGCCTGCGGCGTGACCAACTCCATGGACAGCAACTCATTCCCCGAATTGCTCGACCTCCTCGGCGGCACCATCGACGTGAGAGATGACAAAGGCCGCACAGTGCTGCACCATATCGCCGTTTCTAGCGCCATCAAGGGAAGGAATCAAGCGAGCAAGTATTATCTAGAAAGTCTGTTGGAATGGGTCGTGCGACATGGCAGTGCCCCGAGCAGCCAGACGGCCCCTGGCGGCAACGGCCTCACGGCACCAAGGATGGGCATCGGTCGCTTCATGAGCGAAATCGTCAACATGCAAGACAACAGTGGTGACACGGCGCTAAACATTGCTGCCAGGATTGGCAACCGCAGCATCATCTCGCAGCTTCTTGAAGTCGGTGCAGACTCCACGATTGCCAACCGCGCAGGGCTCCGGCCACTCGATTTTGGCATCGGCGCCGAGGGCGGGGACCAGCGAAATGGGGACCCGGCGGACAGAAACGGCGAGGCGCAACGGGCGAGCCAGAAGAATCGAGAAAACAGCGAGGAGGTGGTGAACTGTAAGTGTGCATGTCCTGGTGTGTGCTTCCTAGCGCTGACCGTTTCTAGCGATCACGCACCTCGTCAACGAGTCCTCGTCGCTCTTCCAGAACGAGCTCAAGAAGAAGCAGGAGTCCATCGATGCCCTGCACAGCTCTCTCCGGACCACATCAGCCCAGGTTGGCGAGGCCCGCCGCACGCTGGAAGCCCTGCAGGAGAAGCTCAAGGCGCAGCAGCTCGCCAGGCAAAAGGTGTTCAACCTGAGCAGGGCATGCCAAGACGAGGAGTACCGCCTCGTCCAGCTCGAGCAGCGGCACGGCCCTCTGGATGTGGCGCGCGCCAACGCCTGGGAGCTGGAGCTGGAGATGGTGCTGGACGGAGTTGCGGAGACAATCCACAGGGGAGCACAGCAACAACAACAACCCACGCCAACGCCCGAGACGGCAGCTATGAACGGCGGTATGCCCTCGCCGGAAGAGCTGATCGCGAGGCTGCCGAGCACCGCCGTGCTGCGGGCGCGGGTCAACGCGCTCCGCGAGCGCTCGTCGCACACGCAGAGGGCCGTGGAGGCGCTGCGGGCGCGCAGCAAGGACCGCGAGCTCAAGTACCGGCGGCTCGTGGCGCTGTGCACGCACCGGCCCGAGTCGGAGGTGGACACGCTGCTGGACACGCTGACCCGGGCGGTCGAGTCGGAGAAGGGCGAGCTTGAGATTGCGCGCGTCAGGAGGTTCCTGGGCGGTGTCGAGGGCGTGGCCTGACGCGTGTCCCTGCTTGAAGTGGTGTATGGTTGGTTTGGTTTGGTTTGAGGGCTGTACATAGTACGGGCACGTTGTCGGAGGATTTGGTGGGCTGGCCTTTGTCTCTGTCCAGCATCTTGCGGCCTGCGCTGTTTCTCGCCTTGTGGGCGGGTGGACGTGGGATACGATACCTTTGCAATTGACTGCAGCATTGCTATGCTAGCGTCTGGTAACGGAGTAAAGTGCAGTAATACATTCTATGTGTGATATGTGCGTGCAGCTCGTTTACAATCTGTTGCGTGGTATCCTAAAAAGGGAGGATATAGGAACATTATCAGGCCCGTTCGACACCCTCAAGCACCCACGCTGAAGCCAAAGGACCCGTCGAACTGCGCAGGGCGGCTCGCCCGCATGGCTTTCAGCTCCTCCAGCGACGGCACCTTGCCGGAAGGGTAGAACCCCAGCAGGTTGCCGATATCCTCGTCCGAGAGGCTGCACATCTCATCAAACGCATACGCGTCGCTGACCTTGGTCATCCACGCCATCCGCCTGGGCCCGTCCTCCGCCCGCGGCGCCACCTGCCGCAGCCGCGCCCGCAGCTGGCCCACCGTCTCGATCGCCCGCCCCGCGTTGGACGGCAGCCGCTGCGCGATGAACCTGCGGATCAGGCTCGCCAGGCGCGGGCCCTTGCCGTTGGTGCTGACCATGATCTGCAGGGGGCCGTCGCGGTGCACGCTGCCGAAGTAGAAGTCGCACTCGGGGGGGACGTCGGCGATGTTGGCCGGGATGCGCCGCTCCTTGCACAGCTGCCAGATCTGGGTCGACGCGGCCGGGTCGTCGACGGCCACGAGCACCATGTCGGCGCCGTCCAAGTCCGACGGCTCGAAGTTCCGGTCCGTGTGCCGTACTTGGCCCTGCGCTACGCGGTAGGCGACTTCTGGGTTGAGGCGGGCAAGCGGGGAGATGACTGTCACGTTCGCGTCCGCGTTGAGACAGTGCAGGATGCGACCAGCGGCGACCTGGAGAACATGCCCCTATGTTTAGTTGAGAGAACCTAGACACGAAATAAATAGAGAGAGAGAGTGTGTGTGTGTGTGTGAAAGTATGACGCACCTCGCCGCCGCCGACCACGACCACCTTCTTGCCCTTGATCTGCCAGGCAATGATCAGACTGCCGCCGCCCTGCACCTCCGGGAACTTGGTCGGTGCCTCAGCCATGCCGATGCTCGCCAGCGGTAATGGCTCGCTCACCGCCGTGTGTGTAGAAAGACAGGTTCATGGCGGGGTGGGAGAATCTGGGACTCTCCGCGGGGAAAGCTTCAGCCTTTTCTGACAATCGCTCAGAAGCTCGTCATTGGGCAAGGTGCGTTTCTGGTTGCTGCTACCTACCTACTATCGATAACGGATATCGGACCCACGGCGGTGCGCGGAAAGGGCTCTCATTGGCAGACATTAACCCACCTCGAACCGGGATTCCGGATCCGCCAAGCCAACGACAGCGATTCGATCCCCTGCGGCCTGGACCTCGACAGCCGCACCGCCGCAGCTTGCAGCTTGCTCGATCCTTCCCGCCGCTTCCAACCACGACAACCACAGCGAGCACCATGTCCATCTCGAGGGCGGTGTTCAGCACAGAATAGGAGCTCTGCAACCGATTCCGGGCATCTCCGCGAATCACGGCGTATTGACACGAAAACAAACCCCCCCCCGGACGGCGACGACCATGTCTGCCCGGAAGCTCGGCGGCGGCAGGATCTTGGGCAGCGGCAAGGGCCTCGTCCCGCCGGCGGCGGCTCGTGGACCCCGAGCCGTCAGCCCGTCGGCCCCGTCCGAGAGTAGCACCGTGTCCTTCCAGTCGCGGAACTCAACGCCAAGCACGCTCTCGCCGTCGTCGTCCAGCCCGCTCCCAGACTTCTCGCAAGACCTTACCTCCAATGTCACCCTTGCCGGCCCGTCCAACCGCGCCGTCGCCGGGAACAGGCTGGCGTGCCCGATCTGCGAGGAGGAGATGGTATGTCGTTTTGGGGGAATCAACATGACCCGGCATTTGGGGATTGGGTTGCTGTGCTGACTGATCCGATTCGCCTCCAGGTGACGTTGCTGCAGCTGAACCGGCACCTCGATGACGTGCACCAGGAGCTGCCCGAGGCGGAGCAAGACGAGGTCAAGTCGTGGTTCGATAAGCAGGTGCTCAAGGCGAAGCGGTTCCAGCCGCTGTCGCTCATCAACCAGAAGCTGCGCGGCCTGGACGTGTTCGAGTCAAACGAGACGCATCCCGTGGCAGTCGCCGCCGCGGAGACCGTGGTGGACCCGGAAGAGCTCGTCACGCGGAAGCACTGGCAGCGGCCGACGGGCACCGACGTGTGCACCGATCCGCTGTGCGAGAGGAGGCTGGGCCCGCTCAACGGCAGCGTCAACTGCCGGAAGTGCGGGCGGCTGTTCTGCGAGGAGCACACCATGTACCAGATGAAGCTCGCGCGCTCGGCCAACCACGAGCCCGTGCGGGGCGTGTGGTGCCGCGTGTGCGAGACCTGCTACAAGTCGCGGGACGGATACAACGACCACGCGGGGCTGTCCCGCGATCACACGGCCGAGTTTGCCGCGGTTCGCGCCAAGAAGGTGGAGAGGCAGCGGCTGGAGGTGCAGCGGCTAGAGAAGAGGCTGACGAAGCTGACGCGGCTGCTGGTCGAGGCGCCTTCGGAGGTGGGCGGGGTGAACTCGGGGCTCCTGTCACCGCTGGCGGGGCAGAGGAGTCAGAGGAAGATGATCGAGCAGTCGGTCGTGACGTGGGAGGACGATGCGGTGGTCCCGAGGTGTCCATTCTGCAAGCAGGAGTTCCGGCCGTGGACATTCCGGCGGCATCACTGCAGGATATGCGGGCGTGTCGTGTGCGCCGACCCGGCAACCAACTGTTCCAGCGAGGTCGGCTTGAATGTAGCAAACCGTGAGTGTATTTTTCTTTATGCCTTTCGGATCAAGAGCAGCTGCTGACACTGGCATGCAGCAAACGCGATACCCACCACTACCGAGAAGCCGACGATACCGGCGGACGGGCAGATCAGCATCGACGTCCGCATGTGCTGCGAGTGCAAGAGTATTATCTTTTCCCACCGAGATTTCATCGAGTCGATAAGGCACCGGCCGCCAGATCAGCGCGCCTACGAGACCCTCCGGCAGTTTGAGCGCGGCATCCAGCTGCTGCTGCCCTCCTTCCACCGAACCCTGCAGGCTCTCCAGCCGCCGGACGGAGACGCCGCCGACAAGCCGCCCCCGACGCACGCGCAGATCCAGGAGGCGGCCAAGATCAGGAAACGACTGGTCGACGCGTTCAGCAAGTACGACCTCGCAGCGAAGCGCATCCGCGATATGAAGACCGACAGCCCGACCCAGCTGCGGCTGCAGAAGGCCATCTACGCCTCGGCCTCGTCCTTTCTGCACGCCAACCTCATCCCGCTGAAGAGCGTCCCCGCCATGCTCAGGTCGCACAGCTCCAGCCACCGACGGCTGCTCTCCGCGGGCGGGAATCATCCCCATCCGCATTCTCATGCCTCGCCGCTGCGCAACGGCGAGTCTGCTACTGCTCCTACCATCTCCCGCACCGGGTCTTCTGGGTTTGACGCCGAGACGTCCAGCCTAGGAGGTGCGAGCGAGGTCAGCACGGCCGTCTCGGCGGCGCTGGAGACGGAAGAGAGGGAGGCGCGCGAGCGGCTGGTCGTGCTGGAGGAGCAGCGCTTCATGGTGCACGAGATGCTCGGCCACGCGCGGAGTGCGCGGCGGTTCGAGGAGGTTAGTGCGTTGAGTAGGAACCTGGATGAGTTGGATAGGGAGATTGAGGCGGCGAAGAGGTTGGTCGAGGTTGTGGAGGAGCGGTGGGAAGGGTTGTTTGCTGCTACCGCTACTCCTGGGGGCCAATAACTCGACATCGGTTTGGAGATGGAAGGGTTAATTGGGGGTTTATCCTTATGGCGATGCATTGCATGGAGTTTGGGACTTGCGCAGCACAGCACAGCACAGCATAGCACAGCACAGCACAGGGTTACAAGTTGAGGAGAATACTACCTACTGCGCATTTGGACATTGATTCCCTACTATTACATGCTACGGTGGGTATGAACTCGGAAGCAGAACCAAATCTGCATACACTGTGCCACTTCTCATTGGGAGTTGGATTTGGATGCTGTGTCGTCGGATTCCTGGGAGGCAAGGGAAGAGCCACCCTCTGCAGGGAAAAGAGGACAGAATAGGTATGAAAAAGAAGCACGCAGCACAGAGGACAACCGCAACCGCCAACGACCAGTGTTAAGGTAGGTACTTGAAAAAGAAAGAACAACAAAGTCGAGCAAAAAGATCATCGATACTCCCTAACCCTCCCCTCGCAGACCTCTTCAAACCTCCCCGCCCTCCTTTTGCGTACCAGATTGGCCGCCTGGACAAGACTCGGGTGGCGCGATCCGGTCCCACGGCACACCACATAGTACCCCGTTCTATGCGAGCGTGATGTCTCCGGACAGTCCCTCATGCAGCTATTGTACATACAGAAGGGTTAAACCAAACAGAATTATCTAGCTAGAAATAGTACAAATGCACAAAGAACACACTGCGTGGACGTCACATCGGCAGCCGTGCTAAACTGCCCTCAATCCCATCGACTTCATCTTGTGTGTGATCGTGAGCACAGGCTTATAACTGTAGCCAAGGTTAATATTAAGAAATAGTGGTGACGGGAGCTGGCGGGCTGGCGGCATGTCTAAGGCGGGCGGAAGACTGATTAGGGGGTCAGTACAGGGTTAGGGTTGGCTGAATTTACACCTGGGTTACGTTAAATGAAATGTTCATTCGACAATTCATCACACAATTCAAACCACACCAAGCATTCAACTATCAACACCGCAATTCCACGCGTTCATTCTCTTTTTCGACGCGTAACTCCCGGTAGCCTATCTCATCCAACAGCCTCACCCAGGCCGAACGCCACCCTTTCGACTTATCTAGCGCATCGTCAATTGTCCCCATCCATCCACATCCCAATCTCAATCTCATTATGCCTCCCAAAAGACGCCGCCCTCAATCCCCACCCCCACCCCAACCATCCCCAGGCCGCGAACAATCACCATCCCTAGCAGAGGAAGACCTAGCCTCACCCTTAGAAGATGACGATGATGAACATGACACCGTCCCTTTTTACTTTTACAACACCACCTTCACCGCCCACCGCGTCTCCCCGCTCTATCTCGGCCCGGACGGCAGCGAAGAAGCACTGACCCCGAACCGACTGGCTTCGCTCGCGCAGCACCTACGCGACAGGCTCGTGGGGGATGTCATCCGCGGTGTCGAAGTGGGTGGTGGTGGTGGCGGGGCATTAGGACGAGAGGAGATTGCTGGGAGGGCGGGCGCGCTGGAGGGGGTTGAGATTCGCTGGGTTGATGATGTTGTGAGGGATGTCTTGGGGTTTGTAGGAGAAGAGGAAGTGCAGGGGGAGGGGGAGCGGTTGCAGGGGAAAAGGGGACTGTGTATTCTCGTGAGGTATGAGATGGCTGTTTGTACGGCGCTTTTGCTGCCTTGTTTGTTAGAGAAGGAGGTGCCGCAGACGGGGGGGAAGAGTCAAGATGGGTTTGGGACGGGGTTTGCGGTTGGGACGGACGAGATGGATTGGAAACGCGACGTCGATCGGGGTCGGTTCCTCGAGCTGCCGCTCCTCCTGCTGCGCATGCCGGCGCTGCTGCAGGTTGCGATAGGCGAGTTCCTTGCCGTGACCTTCGACTGCCGTGTCAGCCCCATGCGGCTGGGCACCCGCACGCTGGTGCAGAGCTGGGAGGCGTGGATCCGGTCGGCGGGGCTGCCCGCTCGCGGCTCCAAGGATCTGGTTCTCACTTTGGGGTTCTACCTCCCGCCACGGGAAAAGTCCAGCCTCGCACCAGTAGGGCCGATGGAAGATGGCGCTACGAAAACGGAGGCTCTGGGGCTCAAGTCGATCGATGTTATGATTCCGGCTAGGGAACTGCACATGTTTGTGGCGGCAGGGAAGCGCTTCAGCACGTCGCAGACTGGCGAAGAGGGGCCGACTTGGGGATGGGATAGCGACGTGAAGAAACGGATGATCCTCGTGGGCCGCTTGTACGAAGAGGGCTGGGAATGGCGGACAGACGGCTCCCCGGAGCAGCAGCAGCCTTTCACCGAGGCACTGGCCTGTTACTTGAAGGAGCACCTGGCCCTCAACCTGTTTCACCCAGGGGTGCGGGTGCTCAAGATTGCCTGCAGCGGGTTTGCTTTGTCGGATACACGCTTGAAGGTGTTTACCCCAGCGCAGAATCAACGCGGTGCCGTGGTGGAACTGCTTGGACGTTTGGTGGATAAGGCTCGCGGTCGGAGTACGGGCACATGAGCATTCTATTTTCAGAACGGAGACAAGCAACCCATCAGAGCGAATTCAGATCCCTTGAGGTGTACGCGATAAATTTTCAAGTCTGCGGGCTACCTCCATTTCTCGAGACCTCGACGCGAACACCGGCGGTTCCTCCGGTGCCAAGAATCGGACCGCTTGGTGCCGAGAACCGACCGACAGCCGCTCCGATAGCGCCGCCCTCGGCGAGTCCCGCCCGGATCGTGCCGCGGAGCCTTTATGTCCGTCCACACCTGCCGTAGCCATATTGTGGTAACGCAACCTGCCACTGTCCTCACATGCAACCATATCACGACTCCATCCGATGTTGCTCGTCCTCGCTATCGTCCTCGTTTTCCTCCTCGGTTTTCTCCCCCAATCTGCCAACCGTCCCGGAGTCAAGACCAGAAGCTATCATTAACGTTAACCTTTGTTTATGGGGGGTCCATATTGCTGACTTAGCAGAGGTTGCTTACCTGTTGAAGACGTTAGCTGAGGGGTGTTGAGATTACTGCTCACCCATGGAGATAGCGAGCGCACTATAGAGGGAAAACTCAGTACCCATATATAAATATAGGAAGCAAAGATAAAGACTTACATTCTATGGATTCCTAGCTCGATCCGGCGCACGCGCTGATCCATATCCTCTAAGCGCTGATCGATTCATCGAAGCGCTGATTCATGCCATTCAAGCGCTGATCGAAGCGCTGATTCATGTCATCCACCGACTGCTGTAACTGGGTCAAGGCCTGTAGGATTTGAGCGCCCTGATTGACGGCGGGCAGATTTGCACAGCGACCGAATTCGGTGGAGAGAAATCTGGAAGCCCTGCGCGATCGTAGCGAAACTCGGTTGTTCGGCAGCCATTGCGATCGATTGCGAAATGTGGAAAACAAAATTGATTGAATGGTTGGTGCAGGGGTTTGTGTGGGGTTGAACCGATTGATTGAACCGAGTAATGTGGTAGATTGGCGTGGGATGAAGTATTATGGAAGAGTGATGGGGGATTTCCAAGTGCCAGAAATTCCAGACCCAGTTAAATCCACTTCACGCCCCAGTCGCAGTTTCCCCACCTTGGTACAATGTCAACTGTCATTTCGGGAAGGAGCAAAGGCGCGGGCACTGCTAGTGATTGGACGACCACAACCAGGGGTAATGGAGGGGTAATGGAGGGGTTTGATTATCTTCGTATTGATAAGATAACCTAGGTGCTGCGATATTTCATATTATGATGAGAAAGCACGAAGCCTATTCATCAGTCCTCGTTGGTTCAGCATCTCCGTTTCCACTTGCACGGAGTTGCATTGCTCCACGGCCTCCAACATAATGAACCAATTCCCAACCATCGGCCAACAGGGTGGTTCAGATTCCAACCCGACAGACATGCGGGCACCCCGCAACGTAGAAGCGATGTCGGCAGCGTCCAATCAAGCGCAGGGCGTCCTGTAAAGTGATTATACCGGTAATCGCATGCAGCATTCGATTCCGAGGAAATCCCGTCACCATTCTCAACAAGCAGGGAACGATACGGCGGAGCGGGGAAATGGGAAGCTGCAGAGGTGGAGCTCTCCCAAAAGGACGGTGTTGAGTCAACACGGACTCGGGAGCAGGAGCATAATCATATCAGCACGCGACCCCTCTCCACCTCACGAACTCTCGACAATTCTGTGCGTCTCCCGCTCGAGCACCATCGATCGAAGAGAGACGAGCGCACCATGCACGCTCCAGTTTCCGCGTTCGCCCTTGGGGGCGCGCTGTTCGCGGCCAGCGGTGCTGCGCACATCGTCCACGGCGTGCTGGTCTTCTCACGCCACGGCGACAGTATGTCACCTCCAGACTCACAACCCACTCCCAAGTGAAGCGTATTCTCACATGATCCATGAATCCATCTAGGAACGGCCAAGCACTTCGGCAATGCGTCGCTCACCAGCCTGGGCGCGCAGCAGGTGTTCCAGGTGGGCAGCGACTACCGCGCGCGCTACCTGTCGTCGGCCTCGTCGTCGCGCATCAGCAAGATCTCCGAGTTCGAGTACGTGCCGGCGCAGGTGTGGGCCAGCGCGCCGGACGAGCCGATCCTGCTTGGCACGGCCACGGCGTTCCTGCAAGGGCTGTACCCGCCGCTGGGCGACGTGCAGCCCACGCTGACGGCCACAGGCCTCGCCAACGGCTCGTCCGTGTCGGGCCCGCTGTCAGGCTACCAGTACGTCACGCTGCACGGCGTCGACGACGAGTCCCCGGAAACCGTCTGGATCAAGGGCGACGACAACTGCCCCGCCGTCAAGGCCGCCTCGGCCAGCTTCAACCTCAGCGCCGAGTACCAGGCGCGCGAGGCCGCCACGCGCGACTTCTACCGCGGCCTGTACCCGCTGCTGTCGGACTACTACGCCTCGGCGGATGACCTGAGCTACACCAAGGCCTTCGACATCTTCGACCTGGTCAACGTCGAGCGCATCCACAACGCCTCGTCGCCCGCGCGCAACATCAGCGACGCCGACTTCCTGCAGCTGCGCACGCTCGCCGACAGCGCCGAGTTCGGCGCCAACTTCAACGCCTCGCAGCCGGCCCGCTCCATCCACGCGCGCACCTTTGCGGCTGCCGTGGTGCGCCACCTGAACCAGACCCTCTCGTCGACCGCTACCAAGCAGCAGCCCAAGTTCACCCTGCTAACGGGCAGCTACGACACCTTTCTAGCCTTCTTCGGCCTGGCCGGCCTGACGTCGGTCTCGGACGACTTCTACGGCCTGCCCGACTATGCCTCGACCATGGCGTTTGAGCTGTTCTCCCCGACCGACGACTCCGCGGGGCTGCAGGTCGGCCAGCCGTATGTGCGCTATCTCTTCCGCAACGGCACGCAGGGCGAGCTGCAGGCGTACCCGCTGTTTGGGACCGACAAGGAGGAGATGCCGTGGACCGAGTTCGCGGGTGCCGTGTCCCAACGCGGGGCGATCGGTGATGTCGGGACGTGGTGTGGCGAGTGCCGCAGCGAGGCTGTCTTCTGCGCTGCGTATACTAATAATGGGGCTGGGGATGGCGCGGCGACCGCCGTGGATCTTGATGGTGGGAGTAGTGTGGGCCGCGGCTCGTGGATTGCCGTGCTGGTTGTCATGGCCGTGGCGATTGCTGGGAATCTGGTCTGGGCTGGGATGTGGCTGGTGCAGCGCCAGAGGAAGACCGCGGTGGCGGCTGCGGCAGCGGCGGATAAGGGATATGATGACAGCGTGAGGAGTTATGGCGGGAAGGAGAGCGTTTGAAAGAACGTCTAGGTTAATGTTGATGGTTTGATGAGCTGGAGCGAGGTGCTTATCTTATACCTGATGATGCCTAGTTATGAATGTTATGATACGCTTTATGATGGAAAGGGTTACTATCTGCTGCGCAAGTCCTATATCAAGCGTAATGTCGTTGATCCTTCAGCAAACTTACTTGTTGAAAACTATCAATCTCTATTCCAGTTCTCCTCAGATGGACACAGGTCATCAGCCGTCTTCTAGCGTTAACGTCAGCGTCTCATGATCTCGACTCTGGCGGCCATCGTTGCACGCTGCACAAACAACCGACAGACAGGCTTGACCAGAGGGCGGTTGAGGTCCAGTTGATGACTGACCTGGAGAAGTCAGTAGAAAGGAAACAGAGGCTGGGTGGCCGTAGTGCTGTCAGGACTCAAGAGAGTCGCCGGGTCTCCTCCACGTTGATGCTCGACGGCGAGGTCGTGTCATCATCCCTCCCAAGTCAACATGCCAAAGGCAATGTCCGACGGAAATGTCCGACGGTGCCCTCGATATTAGAGGTGTGATATACACAAAACCACCGGCCGTGCAACTCTTAGAGTTCAAGGTCGGACTGTGGTCCAAGACACGATGCCCAGGACTACTACTACTACGTCGCCCATAGGCCTTGGATCACGGTTACAACCAGGTCTCCGCAAGGTCTCTCGTGTTTTGTACAGCACCTTCGTCCCGGTTGAGAAATTCAGGTCGAGTGCCGCACCAATAGGGGCCTTCCTACGGCAGTTTATTATGCTCCAATAGGAGTGATCGTGGGGGATGTCGTCTACCATCGCACTTATGGTACCAATACTACGGTACTCGCAATGGAAATAGTCCCTTCAACCTGATGATCCTGACGATTGTCGCTGGTGAGCTTCCTCCACCCGGCGTATACATAGCGACCTGCAGAGCTACAGTTTGCAAAGGCCATATATTGGTCTTGACCTCCCTCCTTCACCCCATTTACTCGGCCATGTCGCAAACACAGTTCGTTTGGGCTGAATCACAGTATCACTCTATGTTGATCTGAAGGGGAAGTAAACACTTACACATACAACGATGCACCCAACCCTCTCCCTTCAGTCCTGGCCTTTTCTGGTGGGTGGCGGGTTGCTCTGTCGGTTGATGGTTTGTCGGTTGTCGAGAGGCGCCCGGTTCAGGGGACTTTGAGGGTAGTGCTGCTTCTGCGGGTCGTCGTGTTCTGTGGGTTTCTAGAAGGAAGAATGGAAAGGGGACTGAAGAATGAACAAAGGGAAGAAGGCGGGAAAGGAGAGGGAAAGGTGATGAAACCAAGGCACCGCATGAGGATCAGCAGCCAGATGAATGTCATTCCATCTTGTGAGGTCTCTTGATGCCCGGGGTCCGGTTGACGTCGACTCTGTGACGTACATTATATACCGCTTGTTTTTCGTCAGAGAGCACCGAACAGCCTAGATCGGGCCCTGACAGAATGAGGTTGTGGAGCACGACCCATTCCCCAAACTTGAGGAACAGAAGAAGCGAACTCTGGCATCATCGCATTCCATCGTGGAGAGGTGGAGAGAGAGGGAGAGAGACGCTCGAGAGACGTTCGGTCACGGGTGGAGAAATGCAGCTGCAAGCGAATCATGGCGATACAGGGCGCGGAGCCCAAAAACCAGGTCGATCGCTACCGCCAGAACGGTTAGAGCCGCACATCAGTGTCTCAGATGTTGTCCCGCTGATTCGCCCTGCCGAGGCTGCGTTCGTCGAAGGGCTGAAAGCGCGACGGCTGTCGTCATCGGGCCGAAGGTTTATGGAGAGCGGCCCACCTCGCAGTCGGCGGGACTCGATGATGTAAACACGATTTTCTATTGTTGTTGTTGGTTGGTTTTTGGAATCGGCTGTGGAATGTGTGGACTGATGGGCCCCAGATTTTCCATCTTCTTGATGTGCAGAAGGGTCGAGAGAGAGAGATGTTAAGTAGCATGTCTCACTTCAAAGATGGAGTTCGAAGATGTGTGACGTCCTGATGGCCGTAGGGTAGAGGGCGATTGCATCATAGCGCCTTCTATACCAAGTTGTGCTTGTTCGGCGGGAAGGAGAGAGTGAAAATGGGACATGACTCGCACTTGCTGCTCATATAATATATAGCACCACCTTGAACAATGTCAGCAGTGCGTGTGAACCGAGAATTGACACTCTGCATTATCCCGACTGGTTGGAAGTCCATATCCAGCACCAAACACACTTCACGAGCCCATCATCAATATTTTCAGCATCATTATCAACCCACCACAACCAGCACCGCCACAACAAGACAGGACAAGACCAGCGATGGACCACGATGAGCTCACGGCCGAGGCCCTGGACATCACACAGTGTGCCACTCATGGCTTCTGCGGGGACTATCCGCTCGCGCGGCACCGACACGAAGACCTCGCCAACGCAGGCTGCCTGGAGGCGCGCCGAGACTGGGCTCGGTATATCGGACGTGCTGGCGAGTTTGGCAGCTGCAACCCTGTTAACGGCAATTTCTCTGCTCTGGTTCTGCCGCTGTGTCAGCCGCAGCGCCTGAGGCTGGTGTCCTACATTCTTGAGTGTACGTATTATACGTCTCTGTCTCTGAAGGGACGATTGCTTTACTTTCTTCTTCTTTTTGAGGGGGGTTTTGATGAGATGACTGATGATGATACCGGAACATTTCGATTGGTGTAGATGCCTTTCTTCATGACACCATTGTAGAGGATGTGGTGGACACAGGGGAGGGGAATGTGAGAGGTAACGAGTTCACGCTCGGAGAAAGGGAGTCGACGGTGCCGAATGTCAAAACAGGGCGGAAGCAGATCCAGGCCAAGATGATGCTGCAGCTGAAAGAGGCCAGCGAAGCGTGCGCCGCCAGGGTCATGCACGCGTGGAAGACGATGTTGTCAACCACGCTGCGCGACAAGTCCAGGGAGTTTGCAGACTTGGACGAGTATCTCAACTTCCGGATCATCGACACCGGGGCACAGTAAGTTTTTATTTTCTTTCTCATTTTCCCCCATTGGCTCGGAAAAAATCAAGCAGTAGTGCTAAAAGAAGAAAACACAAAACAACAGTTTTGTCGAAGCCATGATGCTCTTCGGCATGGACATGGTCCTGACCGCGGAGGAAGACGCGCTCCTCGCCGACATTGTACGACCCTGCTACGCCTCGCTGGCACTCGCCAACGACTACTTCTCCTTCGACCGCGAGTGGGCCGAGACCCAGAGCAAGCCGGCCGCAGCATCATCATCAGCAGCAGCAGCAAAACCCACCCTCATCAACGCCGTGTGGCTGTACATGCAGTGGCGGGGCGTCGACGCCGCTGCGGCCAAGCGGCTGGTGGTCGAGGCCACGAACCGGTACGAGCGGCAGTTCCTGAGCCTCTGCGAGCAGTTCCGTCGCGACCACGGCCCCGTCCCCGCGAAGCTGGACCGGTATCTGCGGGGGCTGGCGTACCAGATCAGCGGCAACGTCGTGTGGAGCCTCACCTGTCCGCGCTACCATCCCGAGTTTCGTTATGATCCCAATGCCGGGCTGGAGGACGCCATCACGGCCGAGCGGAGAGGAAAGGACAACCACCAAAGGCAGGACCAGGTTGCCGCCGGGAAGGGTCATGCGCCGCGACAGCTGTCCGTCTCGACTGTGGCGTCGAGCGACTGGGAGTCGGATATGCGTTCGTCATGCTCGTGGAGCAGCACACCGTCGTCTCCGGTGTCGGGGGCTTCCGAGTCTGAGCCAGATACGAAGTCCGGAGTTATGGTACCTGCTGGCGATCTCTTGGGTCCCGAGGTCTGTACTAGTAGCATCTACAGTTTAAGTCCTGGAGTGGGAAAGGCTGACACACACACACTCAGCACCTCGACGCCCCCTTTTCCTACCTCCAGTCCCTACCGTCAAAGGGCGTGCGGGATACGGTGGCAGACGCGCTGAACCTCTGGGCCGGCCTGCCCGAGAACACGCTGGCGCAGATCAAGGAGCTGGTGGGCGACTTGCACACCGCGTCTCTGATGTACGCCCCCCTCCGTCTCTCTACACTTTCCCATTTTTCGGAAGAAAGCGGAAAATACATGTAACTGACAAACAATAAACAGGCTGGACGACATTGAGGACGGCTCCGACCTCAGGCGCGGCCATCCCGCGGCGCACACGGTCTTTGGCGTGCCGCAGACCATCAACGCGGCCAGTTTCGCCATCATCGAGGCGCTGAGGAAGGCGCACGCGCTAGAGGAGACCGTGCCGGGAGCGGCCGACATTGCTTTTGGTGCGTTGATGTCCTCTTCTTAATAAGCTCATTCGCCTTTTGTCAAGCAAGCGCCGCTGACCCCCTGACCTTGGGCTTTCCTACTACAGAACAACTGCGCGACCTGCATGTCGGTCAGAGCCACGATCTCCACTGGACTCGGCACGTGTCGGTCCCGACGGAGGACGAGTATCTCGACATGGTGTCCAGGAGTATGTACGATGCCGGTTGTTTCTCATAGGAAGCATACTGACCAGCGAAACAGAGACCGGAGGGCTGTTCCGCCTCCTTTCACGACTGATGTGCAACCACCTGAACCCAGAGTACGTCAGAGCATCAGTACCTATTCAGAACCCTGGCACTATTTTTACTTAACACAACAACCCGCCCCTCATCAGTATATCATCAGCGATCGACACCCTCGTCACCCAAATCGGCATCTACTTCCAGATCCGCGACGACTACAAGAACCTCAGCTCCGACGAGTACACGCAGCAAAAGGGCTTCTGCGAGGACCTGGACGAGGGCAAGCTCTCGTTCCCGCTGGTGCACCACCTCGGGGCCACCGCCGCCGCCCCGCATGACAACACCGCCCCCGTCCAGCAGGTCCGCGAGGTGCTGGCGCACAGGCGGGAGTTGGGCCGCGTGACCGACGCCCACAAGAGGCTGGTGCTGCAACACCTCCACGCATCTAAGAGTGTTGAGTACACGCGGGACACGCTCCAGCGGCTGGAGGCGCAGATTGCCGGGTGCATTGCACGGCTGGAGCGGATGACGGGAAGGGAGAACTGGGTGTTGCGGCTTTGTATGCATGAGCTGAGCGTTTGAGTTATACTAGTACTGTTTTGTTGTTTGTCTCTTTTGTGGTTTGTTTGTACTACTAGCACTGTACGATAGGATATACAGTACACCCAGGTACAATACGAGCCAGTCAGCGCTTTTCATCTACATTTCCCAGTTAATACCTAATAATAAATCACATCCCCATTTTCTCCTTCACCCTCCCAACAACCTCCTCCAATGTATTCTCCACCCCTCTCCCCTCCCCAACCTTCACCACCAACACATCCCCCTCCCCCTCCCCTTCCCGGGGCAGTTCCAAATCCCTCAACTGGCTCTCCACAAGCCCCTCCTTGGCAAAATGCCCCTTCCTGTCCCTCGCCCGCTGGCGGAGCACGTCGGCGGGGACGTCCAGCAAGACAAACCCCACTTTTAGTCTCATGGGCTCCAGCTCAGGAGGAGGAAGACCCCCATCCCCATGAGGTGATGAACTACCAGTAGATCTTGATTCAGGAGGAGCAGGGGGAGGATTAGGAGGAGGGACCCGCCGTAGGAGATCGCGATACTTGCGCTTGAGCGCCGAGCAAGTGACGACCCGCTGCGGCGCCTCGTCGGCGCGGAGGGCGTCGAGCCAGGCGGCGCGGTCGCCGTCGGTGAGGGGTTCATTGCGGGACATTTTGGTGCGGTTGGCTGAGGGGTGGTACTGGTTTTATTTTAGCATTTCCTTTTGTTAAGTTACGTATCCCCAGGGAGGTATACAGAGTACTAGGATTCAGAGATAGGGAGAGACGAGAAATGGGATCTGGGTGAGAAAAGAAGGAGAACGACTCTAATGAGAGGAAGGGTGAACTCCAACCCCATTTGAAAAGGGACACGCACATCATCGCCCTCAACAAAGGTGAAACCGAGCGACTTGGCAAGAGCCTTCGCGATGGTGGTCTTGCCGCAGGCGGTCGGCCCCGTGATGAACCATATCCAACCCGTTTTCGCGTCCTGCTCCTCTTGGGGAGTGGAAGGAGGCTGTTCTTGAACGTCTTCGGATGACATTATGGATCATCCAATGCTCCGTCGTCGACGGATGATTCGCTGCGGCTTGAAGATTGTTGCCTTGTGGAGGCAGAATACTCGGGATGCTGGTACCAGGTATGATTTTAGAACAACCAACTTGATTCCATACGACATCCATTGGTTTGCTGACTCTCGATGTTGAATCACAGTTCCGTGTTGGTGGGCGGACGCTGCGGCTGCGGCTGCCAGGTGACGTCACACAAGGACTCCAAGAGAAACCACTGCGGCTGAGACCCGGCAGACTGGAACGCAACGACAAGGACAACTGCCGAGATTGCTACTTGTAAGCTGCATACGGGGGATGCTACCTCCGCAATGCATGCACGATAATCTCTGTACAACGTACGAATATATGGTGCTCCGACAGTTCATCCCGTGTTAGCTGGTGGGTCGAAATGTACCCCTCAATCGAAAGGTAGTACGATCCAGGGGTCGACACCCTCGGCCTCTTGCACTCAGCCTTGATATCGCCGCTCCCCTCATTACCAACTTGAAGAGTTAAGGGCAGTTGATTCTGCTGGTGATTTGCGTCTGAACGCCGTCAAATGGGCCAGCGACGAGACTCAGTCAAAGATCCAGGGGTGGAAAAATCCAAGAAACGCCATAAACATTAACATGAGATAATTGCCCCCTCCAGTGTATCTACCCCAACATGCTAACCCGTTTCATTATGTACGTACATATATATACGCCACGCACCATTAAGCCCTCCACTTCCATAAATATTCAGAAGAAAATGGGGAGTATGTAGCAGACAATTCAGACGCCGTATATGCTGCTCCCACGTTTCCAACTACAACACCGTCAACACCGCCTCAAAAGCTATGCAGACAAGAGAGCAAACAAGACACAAAGCATTGGAGCAGCCGGACAAGGAAACGGGGTATCTCTAAGCGAGCCATGATCCTCCCCCATATGATACTTAGGCCGGTCGGCAGGATAAAACGCCACAGTCACTTATCACGCGCCCGCTACACTCTTCTCCTTCCACTCCATCATCTCGCGTGTGCTGGGCAGGAACAGCTTGGAATCGCGCTTGGCCATGTCGCGTTTCGAGGCCTCGTCCAGCCGGATGGCGTACTCGCTGCGCTTCTTGATGAGGAAGGCCAGCGCCAGCGTCGGCTGCACGTTCCTGCGCACCGGCTTCTTTTTGGCATCTCTGTTCTTGCTGTCGAGCGGCCCCTCGGCGTCCTGGTGAAACATGGCCCGCGAGACGGTCGACGCCAGCTGCCGCGCGTCCGCCTCCGTGACGGCGCCCGTTGCGGCGAGCAGGATCTCGGCAAAGAGCGTGAGCAGGTGCTTGGTCAGGTTGCGGTTGGCGGTCGGCAGCCGGTTCAGCGCCTCGGTCCAGAAGTCGAGCCCGGTCTCGACGCGCGGACAGGGCGGTTCGATGGCCCCCGCTTGCCGCGCAAGCAGGATCCACGACTTGACGACCGATGGCGAGATGAGCGGCTTCGGCAGCTCCTCGAGGAAGATCAGTACGAGTCGCGCGGCGTCGTAGGCGGTGTAGTCGCTCCCCTCGAACTGGAAATGTTCCCCGTACGTTGGAGGCTGGCTGAAGATGGCTTTGAGCTGCGAGACGTTGTACGCGTTCCCGGGCGCGGCGAAGATGTCGCCGTCGGTGCCGCCTGGATGGATTAGTTTAGTTCATGTTCTTAGAGAAGAAAGTTGGACAGCATACCTGCACGACGGATGAACTCGCAACACTTGTACACCGACAGCGGAAACGTCCTGTACGACGTGCTCCTGCCCTTGTGCGATATCCTGATTTTCATGGGCGCGACCCGGATGCTCTCCTTCAGGTCCACCCCAAACACGGCTTCTGGCTTCCCTGGCCGCGAGTCGTGCATCCACGGCATATGCTGGAAGAATCTGGATGCCATGCTGGCTTCGGCGCGGCTGGGGGACGCCGACGGCAAAGTGGGCGACGTCGGCGAGGCGGGGCCGGGGCTAAAGAGACCTCCAGGGTGGCTCAGCCCCGGTGTATTGAGCTGGGCCGGAGTCAAAGACCGCCTCTCCAGGCACTCCTCCTCCAGCGGCCCGCGCCTGCGCGAGAAGAGGCTGATTGATTTCCGCGGGCCGTTGGCCTGGCTGGGCCGCCATTCGCTCGAGCTCATCGATCCGCTTCCCAACGAGCTGACGCTTTGCGACGGCCGGGAGTTGTCGACCGAGAGGAATCCGTGCTTGTCAACCTGGGTCGACCCAGACTCGCCGTCGCCGGTGTCGAAGGATACCTCGGTGGGCGTCAGCATGGAGACGCCGTCCGTGTTCACGTCGTCGTCTTCCTCCTCCGGGATGCTGTCCGGCACATCCGGCACCGACAGGTCGGACACGAACGACTTGATGGCCATCCTGGGCGCTCGGTCGTAGAGCTCGGGCTGGGACGCTGGGTTGGAGAACGGGCCGAGCTCCAAGTGCGGTGACAGGACCTCGGTAAGCGGACGGAAGACGTCTGTGGCGACGCTCGGGGTTACAGGGTCAGACACGGACGGGATATCCTCTTGGTCCGGCATCAGCTCGGGCACCTCGCACGGGTGGGAGAAGGGAAACCGCGATATCCTGCAGGACATTTCCAGTGGGGGCGAGCCTGGCGAGGCGAGCGGTGTAGGTGTGTCGACCGGGAGCGGCGGCAGCGCCTTCTCCGCTGCTGCTGGGGCCGATCTCTCCGCCGTGCTCGTATCTCGAGGTCGTCCTTGGGACCGCCCGCCGGCTTTCGACGCGGCGTCAAAGCTGTCGCTGGCGTCGTGGGTCGAGTCAGCGTCGATGTCGTCGTCCACCGCTGTCCCGTCGCCGTGCTGGTCCGCATATTCCATCAGGCCGCGTATGTAGCCCTGTCGGTGACCTACACTGAGGGCTCGCTCGGTTTTTGGCGTCCCCCGGTCGCAGTCGTCATTATCAGTCGACTCGCTGGATTTTCGCTGCATACCGCCCCCGTCGCCCCCACCCCAACCGAGCAGCGCGGCCGCCAGCTGTTCGCGTAGCCCATCCTCCAGCATGTCACTCATCGTTGCAACGTCGTAATTTCCGCTGTGCTGGGCAACCGTCGTGCGCCACGGGGCTCATGATACGGCGGTATGAGGCCGTTTTTGATCCCTCTGCATGCTGCAAACCGAAGTTAAAGATGCCCTCGGTCCCGAAGTTGTCCAGTTCGTGCGTGCCTTCCACCGTGCCTCTCGTCGTGCTTAACTAATGTCCCGAGTCTGTGTTCGTGGGGCGCAGGAAACGGGTCCGTGCCGTGGACCGTTCCGCAGTTGTTTGTAATGGGTGTCTGTTTGCTCGGGCGCGGATGCAGTAACTAATAAGCGGGATTCTGCCGTGCAAACATGCAGCAGTCAGATCGCCGCGGGATCCAAGACGTCAACGCAAGCGACCGCGGGTCGGGAACACACGTTCAAGAATAAGCTTTCCGAAGCTCAACGCTCGTGCAGCCAACAGGAGAAAATTATGGACGGAAGCTCTCTCGTTCCTAGCAGCGGAAGGAGCGGCCATGTCCCCCGCTGCCCTCGCAATCCCCGCATCAAACGGGCATGAGCTCTTTCCTGGAAGGAGTGAGCCGACCACCCCCACACAGCTAAGCTTGTTTCAGGATTGCTGCTACCTGCTGGCCCTTCGAGTGTTCTCCTGACCCTCCAATGACACCTCGTGCGTTTGCAGTTTTCCTTTTTTTTCAGCTGCCAATATGTTCCTTCCCGCTGACCAACAATTCGCACGCTTATGAAGCACGTGTTCTGGCAAGGAGTCGACGTCAAACAAACAGACAGATTCAGTTATTAGCAGCCGGCTATGGCAAGTGGTGACCGCGACAGTCGGACCTCTGACATGATAGAAACGCTCCCCAGATTGACAGCATCGAATCCCAGCACAACCGCACTCTTCGGTGTTCACCGCAGAAAACCGTTACACAGTGTAGGTACACCGCCCGTCGCCCGGAATCCACACCGTCTGGCGGGTCCATATGCAAAGACTCGGCGCGTTTGCAGGCGTGGCAGGCCAGATTTTCCTGCACACCGACGGCGCGAAAATGGCAGCACTACGGCGCAGCATTTAACCTGTGCATGCATTATCGTCGATATAGCGATGCGCCTCCTGGCGTGTGGCACAAACACCCCGATCAACGCGAAGCGCCAACGGACGGCACAGCACGCTAGAACGCTAGCATGACTTGCAGAAAGTGACAGAAGCCCCCTATAATCCGCCGATCCTGTCGGATCTCGAGGATCTCTTGGCGGGGGATATCCAGGCAGCTCAGATTCGATCTGCTTCTTCAACCTCAGCCGACTGGGCTTGGTGTTTTGCGGGGGTGGAGCCTTCGTCCCTTCATCTTATTTATCACCAGCCATCAAAACATACGTGGATGCGCTTGTTGGCGAGTCTCTACGAGGCCAAGTGATGGCGGAGTTGATGGTGATGGCACAGTGACAGTGATGGCAGAGGGATCACAAGTGACAATTCCTCGCTAACGTTATTGATATCAATAGTGTATGCAGGCTTCCTAGCCAGGGCAATACCTGGAGCTCATAATGGTGGTATTCGTGGGGGTCAGGGTGCCGGTGCATGACGTTGTTTCCTGCAGACGGAGAGTGAAGAACTGCCGGATGAACCCACATGAGCAATAACTCAAGCGACTTGCAACGGCTACTCTTGGATCGTCGTCGTTGAGTTGGCTATAGGGGAGGGATATACTTGAGCGATTCCACATACACTACCTACTGTGTTGTGCCGTTGAGCGGGCATCCGCTTTCTGTGAAGACTCACAATCCCGAGCACATATAGCATGGCTGTTTATAACTCAGCGGTGAACCTGATCGTCCCAACATCGCACCTGATAAGCAAGGCCGATTTCCCTCCCAAGACACCGAGAGCTGTACGTACATCCCGAACAGTCCGCAAGACAAAAGAGTTGGAAATCTTGCGGCGGCGCAGCAGAGCCTCCGAGCAACCTCCGGGCCGAAGCAACCCTCAGTTCAACCCCCCGGTCCTCCGCCAGATCCATAACCTTACTGCATAGTGCGAACCCAGTGCGGATCGACGTACCAACATTATTTATCCGCGCCGCTTAAGAACCAGACCTCAAAAAGCCGACCCCACCATATCGACAACACTCCTCCAGACCCAACACCTCTCTCGACAATTTATCGTGTATTATGAAACCGCCTCATTACCATCCTCACAACAGATCCTCGAATCCGAAAAGAACCCGCCCAGGACATAGGTGGTTAGGAACGCGACCCGCCGGCTTCACCACGCAGTCAGCGCGCACACTGTAGACGGAACACAACAACAAGCCGCGGTCAGCAGGAATATTTGCCACCACTGCCACCCACCCCTCGTAGTTCTCGTTTGGGCCAGCGGCCGGAAGTCGCTGCGCGAGACGGGGTCTCCGAAGGTGTATTGTATGGACAATACATTGGTTTGGGTTTGGATTTGTGGCTGTTGCATGAATGCCCAAGCTGCTTGCTCTGTGCGAATTTCTCTGGTCGAGTGGGACATATAAGCCGATGGTGAGTACTTCATCTACATCAAGATGTTTATCTGTTTGGGGACTCAAGGGAGCGAATTCGTACATGTACCTACCTTGCTGGCACGGCAGGTGTGCTGGGGCCCAAGAGCCTGCTGCCAACGTCAATTCGGCCCAGCATGAGTCGTCGTTGACCTTCAGGTGGGTTGGCGGGTTGCGCATAGCCGTTGAGGAGGAGATGCGTAGGCCAAGGTTTTGCCATCAGTCAATTACCTACGTTTAGTCTAGCCATCTTACATTTCTCGTAGATGGACTGGAGGACGCCGGTGGTGGTCTTCACCGCTGGGTCGAGGCAGTCGTTGACGAGGTCATCCTCCAGTGTATCTACCTAGTAGGGTGATGCGATGTGGACGACATACCTAAGGTAGTCAAATGGCGGAGGAGTCCGATAAGACGGCCTAGTGCGTGTTAGCTCTGACGAGTGACTCTCTGGATCATGTGCTTGTTGCACCCATGGTTTTATACCTCGTCAGAGCCCCGCTCCTTTGCGATGTCCTCGACCACGACGTAGAAAACCTACCTGCCCATCGTCTTGTCGACGGATTTGATGACGTGTTCTCCTTTCTCTTGCGGCCAGACGGTCACAACAATGTCGAAGGTATCGGGTTGGAAGTTTGGAAGGCTGCTGTTAACTCGGAGGACACTGTGCTTCCGGCAACAGCATATTACCCATGGTCCCGGTCTAAGTAGGCAGCCCAGCACATCAGTTATTATTCTGAAGATACAATGCAGCTAGGTGGTAGTTATTGGAGCAACACAGGACGCTCTTACTAGTGACTAGTCAGTACTTAATTACTTACAGGTAAGGTTCCGAGCGGCGAGCGTATTGTGATCCGATCGCACCCTCTAGCGGAAACCAAAGTAGAGCTTTGCCCTGACCGAATGAAAAGGAGACGGCCTTTTAGAACTATAGTACCTGTCCCCCAAAAGAATGTCAAGCCCTAGAGTTCGGTAGCCCCATCTTTAGAAGAGGTCCAAGTTAGGTCCTTAGGTCCAACAATGAAAATCACGGGCGCCCAAGTAGTGTTGTCAAAAGTCAAAACAAACATAGACGATCTAGGATTAACGTTACACAATCCGGAAATATTACTCGTATTGACAGATTGCCACGTAAATCATAGCCTTGTCATGCGTCTTTGCCAGTACACAACAATACTAACGCCCTGCTTGTAATGTCTTCACAACTGCGTCTTCGGATCGTCCGGGAGTATCGCTAGCATCCTGCTCCTCGCCTCACTCACCAGCATGGGATACCAGGGTCATATGCCCAGACCCCCGGGAAACAGCCTCCCATTCTCCTCTTCAGCACAAACCTCTGCCGATTGCCCGCCGCCCGCTACCGCAGACCCATCCTTCCACGAAACCAGATCGTAACACGTCCCTGGTGGCACTGATCACCGCCTGCGTGCGCGCGTACCCGACCTCATTATAGGCCGCCAGAGCTTGCTCCATAGCCACGACGATTGCTAACGCCAGTAGTGGTATTGTACTACTCGTGGCGGAGGGGTACCCCGCCACGCGGTCAGCGATCGAACAAGTCAGCGTCCTCGACGGGCCATCGCGGAGCCGGGTGCCGAGGTGCGGCTGCCTCCCTAGCGAAGCGGAAACTGAAAGAACTTCGAGTTCACACTCTATGAAACGGACAGTTTGCACGCCAGTTCTCGTCTGGTTCTCGCTTTGTGATTAAGAGTTGGGGTGTGCCCAAGGCTAAGGAACTGCTGGCCGCACACTGATGTCCTCGAGAAGCCTTGGACCGCCTCGTGGATGGTGAAGGGGGCCCCGCGGGCTGACAGGCCCGGAGCGAGCGTCATAACGGGTATATAATGCCCGCGCCGATGATCGCAAAGTGCAGTCCGGCGAGCTTGATTTGGGTTAGGAGGTTGGCAACGTTATATAGTACCCCTTTTCCGGTCTCGGCAAAGCCGCGGCCATGATGTTATGTATCAAACATTAGATATTGATAATGTATTGTGTAGGTCTGAGTGCATGTGAGTGTGAGTTGGAAAAGAGAGACCACCTCAATATATACCTACCCACAGTGCCACACGCAGAGCCCTCGCCACTGGGTTGATTGAACGCGCTCTCTGTCTCCGACTCCGTACTGTCTATGGCTAACCCCTTTCTCGTCCCGTAGCTCATGGATGGCATATCCGTCCGAACTCTAACGACATATCGAATAGCATTTGTCCGTGTTTGAACTCTGCAAAAATCGAATGGCGTATGTCCGTCCGAGCTCTGACGCCCTGAGTCGCCAGTTCCCATCGTACATGTCACGTCGAGAAGTGTCAACTTCCCTTGTGTGCCGCTTAGTAGCTGACTGTGCAAAGAACTAGGCAAGAACGGCGTAACTTCCTGATGGATGCTGCTGGGGTTGAGGCTATGTATGGCCGTGCTATTGTCCTGTGAGACCAGTAGTATAAATGATATCGGTAAGTGTCTACGTAACATTAGATTAAATCAAACGAGGCGGTGCTTGCCACGGCATACGAGCGGAAGCAGGTCGACCTGACCTTGTCAGAGACACCTAGCTTCCACAGCTGCCTCGCCCAAGCTGCACTATCATGCGCGTGCGTTGATTCAGTTTAAGCATGAGCAGGGATGTTGCATTCCTATGATCTCCTATCAGTTAAGGTAGGGAGATGGCCATCTTCCCCAGAGCTTCATCCGGGTTGGCGCAAATCAGTCGAGCTAAAGGGAGTTGCCCTCACAGCTCCCTCAATACAGTCGCCTCCCAATGACCGGAACAGTGCCGAAAACCGCCATGATGATCCGCCCAGTCTTTCACCATCCCATCTTCGATACGTATTGGCGACGCTGGTGCAATATGCGTTTCCCTGTCAGCCGTCGTGTTAGCAGAGAACCTTTCCCCACGACAGGGACGAACAAATAGAGACAAAGGAAAGAAATACTGACGATCTTCCCACGTCTTCCGCTCCGTCGTCTTATCCAAGTGAATCCGCCACAACCACAGACACCACATGGCGACCAAGCCATCCAGAACCCTTCGTGGCAGCGGCACCAACACTTTGAGCCTATACTCGACCTCCGCCGCCGCCGCTTCTCCCCCTTCACTGCCCAACACCTGCTGACTAGCAACCACCTTCCCGGCCGGATCAACCCACTCCCACCCGTCCTCCTGCCCCTGCCCCTTCTCCTTGATCACGAAATGATACTCCCCCTTCTTAGACACCTTCTTTCCCTCCCGTTCAAGCCTCTTCCGCTCCCCCTCGCCGAGCACCCTCAGCGCGCGCCACCCGGACCGGAAAAGAGGAAGCGATCCCCTCTCGATCGAAACCTCCCCGACCGTTTTTCGCGATTGCGGCAGAAGGCGGAACTGTGGCTGCAGCCCCGTGTACGCTAGCCCCGGCGTGTACTTGAGCTGGTACACGTCGTGCGGCCGGCGGGATACCTTGGGAGAAAAGGAATCCTGGGCACCGGTATTGCCGGTGGTGGTGCGCACGCGGTAGTCGAGGCGCTGGAAATCGATGGATTCTGTTGCGCGGCTTGTGACGTGGATGACCCGCGAGAGCTGGTACAGCGGGTCGGAGGAGGTGGTCGTGGTGGTAGCAGTAGTGGTGGTGGTGGTGGAGCTGGAGTCAGTCGCCAGGTAGATGAAGCGGCCGTGCAGGGCGAATGTGGCCGGCGGGAGGATCTCATCTGGGTCTGGGCCGCTTTCTTCGCGGTACGTCGGGGGCTGGTCGGCCGGGGGTTCGTTGGCGGTGGTTGTCGTGGTGGTGGCGTTGCTGTATTCTGGCGGGTCACACGCCTCGGAGGAAGAGGGGAGTAGAGGACCTGTGGCGGTGTTCATCTTCTTCTCGGAGGACATGATTGCAAACAAGTTGAGTAATGAAGATAATCGGGATTTGTTAGACTTATCCTGCTGTGGCTGTCGATTGCGGTGGATCGCCAAGCAATTGACATGGGAAGTGATGATGGTGATGTCAGCCGGCGGCAGCCCAGTTAAATATTATAAAGCGGGTTGAGGGCAAGGCACGACTCGTGAGCGACTTTGTTCTCGTTGCACTGCCGCTAACGTTGGTAGTCGGGCCAAGCTCTGCATCAGTGGTCAGGCGGCCTGGAGGCCTGCAAGGCGCACTTTGCACAGCTGCCATATTGATCCTTCCGTTATGTAAGTCAAAAGAACCGTGCATTTTGCTCCGCAGTAGCATCTGTTGCTCTCAATTGGCATGCTCGCCTTTTGGGAGTCGTATATGTTTGAGGGGCTATGAGAGGGTGTGAGGGTGAGATTTGCGAATCTGGGGCATGTTTGGTGCCAATCCTGGCGACCTGGCCAGCTCTCGACCCGCTCTTTTCGGCAACCCTCAGCCATCTGCCACCCTCCAGAAGCACCCAGAGGGCATGTCTCTAGTGTACAATACTTTACAATAGTTACATATTCCAGCCCAACATGCATGCATTCGTCTCCCTAGGTAACCTTCTCCCCATGCCAGCGCCCTACCGCAGCACCTGCACAACATCAAAAGTGCTGCTTCTTTACAGGGTGCAAGGCCCGGCCGCCCGAGGTAAAAGATTGAGCATGGCGCCCCGATATCAAAGGCAAAAGAAAAAAAGGTCCTCTACAACTACCGTACTTCCCACTGCTCGCAACTTCCATTTGTTTCACCCGAGCCATCAAGCCCGTCCAAAACACGCCCGGTCATAACCTGCACGGCCTCATCGACGTCCCTCACTTGCCCGAGAGTTAGGCCAAACGGCCGGATCACCTCGGGGGTCTTGGGGACCTCCATGTCGCTTCCGTTCGCTGCCGATTGAATTGATGGACCTGTGCATTCCCGCCGATTCAATACCAAGGGGACTGGCGTCGCTCTTCTCCCGGCTGGGCTCCGACGGGGCCACCTCCTGGGCGACGTTAGCAAGGTCCAGGTCGCCGGAGACAAGGGTATCTAGATGTTCCTGGCAGGCGGTCAGAGAAAGATGGAACAGGAGAATTTGCTTTGTGTTCATTCGTACTAGTACTATAAAGTATACCTTGATGCATCGCTCCGCGTCGGCTCCATCGTGAGCGTCCCCGCGGATTGCATCCGCATAGATGGTCCTCAGCCATACCGCGAGCTTATCTGGGTCTCCTGGCGAGTGCTCTTTGCACTCCTCTATCTCTTTTCGCTCCTCTATCTCTTTGGGCTCCTCCATCTCTTTGCGTTCCTCCATCTCTTTGCTGAAGACTTTTGCCGCGTCCTAAACGTTTTCGTGTTGACAGACCCGTCAGCCAGCGATCGCGGGTGGGCTTTGAAAGCGCTTGTTGCCGAGCAGGGAAACAAAGAATAGGTACATATAGGTGCACTACTACTTACCTCGATCCTGGACTTGGTCCAGGGCCACGCGATGATTTTGACGTAGCACCGGTACATGGCCCAGGGCCAGATCCTTTCATCCTCCCATGGGAAGGCGAGCTTGGCAGATTGATAGACGATGTTGGCGAACCAGAAGCAGTGCTTGCCGCGCAGAAGGTTATACACCCCGCCGGAGTCGGTCGTCCGTTGCAGGATCTCGGCGAGCTTGGCCACGGGGAACTTGCCCGAGGCGAACTTGAGCGAATATAGAGGCAGCGGGAGACTACCTTGTTCGGCTCCGCTGCTGCTGCTGCTGCTGCTGCTGCTTTTGAACAGGTTGCTGACGAAGCCGGCCGAGCCCGACGAAGTGGCCCAGGATGAACGCCCGACGATCACCCTGTCGCCGTCGGTCTGGCGTTCGACGATGAGTCGGGTACGGACTGGCATCTGGGTGTCGGTTCGCTCGACGATGGCCTGTAGATACTCATGCAGCACCGTTGAACGGAGGTTCTTGACGTACGTCAGGGTCCGGACGAAGCAGTGCTGGTACGTCTCGGGATCATTCGACATCGTAGAGTTCCAGGTCCAGGTGTTGTATTCATTCTCCCTGTCCTCAAAGACGCATGGGATACTAGTAGCCTTGAGCGGCGCCATGGCCCTCAATGATTGGGTCAGATGTCTGAAGCGAGGCGAGAGCGGAGGACTGGACAAGATATATCCGGAGAGTAACCTCGGAGATATGAGGGAGCCGAAGGATGGATGACCGTCCTAGGTGAGGTAAGCCGTAAGCCCGGCATCGAACGTCAATGGACGTGTGCATGGCCAACATCGCCCGTCCTGATACGTTGCGGCCCCGAGATTGGTTGCTTGAAATTCATGATGTTGGACTGAAATGAGGGCTACTAGTAGGCTAGTACTCCTCAAGTTAGCTTCATACCCGGGTCCCAGCATCTCACCTACTCGCTGGGCCTCCCAAATCGGCGCCCAGACCCCCCACTACGCAGAGTACCCAATAGCATCATTTAAACAATTCCGTGTGCAAAATCCTTCAGCACGTGGGACGAGTCGAGAATCTCCAGACAGGTGCTTCGCCGCTTCCGCGCGGACGAGGCTCCCATTCCTGGGAGCGCGGGGATTGGACAACTTGGCGCAGGTGCAGTTCGACATAGAGGCTCGGAGGGAGCGCGCCATCGCCGTCGGCCTAGACGCAAAAGGAAGTCGACCGGGAGGCCCCGAGTGTGGCACATCCAGGAATCAGGCGTGCCCTCGAAGATTCGGCTTCCGTCCTGACATCCGCTTGGATAAGGCCCTTGAATTGCGCTTCCTCGACAAAATGCTCCCAGTTGGCCAGGTAATGGCAAAAAGGCAACGCGTGGGCCACCGGGATACGGGTCGGAACTTCATCTATAGGAGGCTTAGGAGCTCCCTCCCTTATTAGACACTTGTTGGAGACGCATGGGCAACGCTCAGTCAAGAGGACAAAGCTTCCATCTCCCACCACCTAGCTGGCATCGTGAAACGAGGAAAATCGGTAGATAGAAGCCCCGCAGGTCAGCTCATCGGTATGTCTTGCTCTATTACAGTCCTATCATTGGGAATGCCTTGTTCTAACCTCTCTTTGCGTTCGTAGGTCCCCTCAAGTGGGGTTCAGTACAGCATTTATACGGAATACTTCAGCCCAGAGCAGTGCAAAGGCCCGTTTACGAGTGTCCGAGAGTTCTACTAGTTCATGCAGTTTATATCGGGAGCGTGGTGTCCCATGGGAGAACAGGCTTCCAGATTGTTACCGGCCCTTGTTGCTGGACACGGCGCGAGCATGTCTGACCCACGGGGATATTTTGATGCACCAACCACCAGATAGAAGCTACAGTAGATCTGCGTGTTGTGACTTGTGGGCTGGGAATAGGCAGGTCGGTATCCCGGCTATAGGGAATGCTGCAAGGCCGTGGCTGTGGGCCCTACGGTGACGATGTGAGATTGGGGAGATAGGCAGACATTGTGCTTGACGCCGGGCGAGCGAGAGTCTAATACGTTGGAAGCTTTTGAGTCATACCAGGAATTCACGGTGCCCCCTGAGAAGCCACCCTTGGAAGCATGACAAGCTTTTTCTCTACCTCATTACCCGGACACCGATCGGCTGCTCGCCCACCGTACAACAATATTCTTGGCCAAGGTCAAGGGGCCCAGGGGGCAATAACTGGACTGACTATAAGACCATGGTCAATGGAGTGTTTGACATAAACTACTGTTCACGAAATCTTTCTTAAATTTGATGCTGGGAGTGCCAAGCAACAGCGAAGGTAGACAGGGCCGCCGAATCAGTCCCATAGAGAAAGGGTTGTGGCGATTACGGGCCGCCAAACAATGAATTCCCCGCGGGACGGCGGTCATCTTATCTTCACCGAAGCAAGGGTCTTGGCGACGATCCCGACTGATCATCCTTGTCATTTCTATCACGACTTTCATCTCAGTGACTATCTCAGCATTGTCGTAGTGTATATGTACCTGAGTCATCCAACCCAGTGTATCGTTGTCGAAAGTCAATATGTATGGTGGAAAAGCCTGGCTGCCTCATGAGAACCCCCGCGCTAAATACAAAGTCATGCTGTCAATGTCGTGTCGGATTTAGGGCTGTCGGCGGCTTGCCCTTATGTGGCCTAGCGCGGCTATCGTATCGCGAAAAAGTGGATGCCGAGAAGTCAACCCAAGGGTCCATGTTTCAGATTTTCAGATGTCCAACCTGGGCGGACCACAGGTTCATCAACGATCTGCTGTGCCGGAGAAGTAGACAATGTGGGGGGTTGATGATCTGAATGAGAGAGAAAACCATTCCGTAAAGAGGCAGATTTACCAACGAGCCTTGACGAAACTGGTATTCATGGGTTTTTGACTTCTCAACGGCACCGGCACCCCCGGCAGGGGCCCTCAATGCCCCCGACTCGTATCTGCGTGACAAGCAAGCGCAGCCGCACTGATTGGTTCGAACAACCAATAGACATCAGTTAACGTTAGTTCCGTCAAGGCTCGCGTATAACTAACCGTATCCGCTATGTGACGGCGGACCGTCTCGCCAGCTACGGCGTCTCGCTGTGACGACTGCGAGTACGGAGGTACGGGGCGCCAATGCGGCGGCAACGGCGAAATGATGCGCAATTGGTACTAGTGTACCCGACGGTCTCATCGTATGGAGCAGGTACGCGGATCTACGAATACAGTCTTGGGCAGTCTGATGCTTATCCGGTGGGCCCGAATCCCAATGGTGTTGAGCTGCTGGCGCCACAATCAGCGCCGAGCAGCCATGATGAGGATCGCCGTTGGTTCGAAAACGCGCCAGACTCTGCGGATTTGAGCATGCGCTTTTCTCCCCTGGCCCAGTGGAGGTTTTTCGTGAGACTTCAACGACCATCTTTTCTTCTTTTCTCCATCTTCTCTCCGATGCTGCGGGTTCAACAGCGCCCTGCTTTTTCCTGATGTTTACTCTGCCCGCCCAAGGCAAGCTCGCAGGGGCATCTTTCATGCTCAAGGCCACCGCGGCAGCCTCCATCTTCCTTGCCCTGCTCTTCTTCTTCGTCCCCTACAGTGCCAGGCCGGGGTTGGCCTGCCCAACAACCCTACGCGTGGACCAGGCGGACCAGCAGCACGGACAGCAAATTCAACACAGCACCGACGACCATGACCGGAACTCGAACCGCGAGGTAATCCCCAACCAGGTCCACTTCGTCTACATCCTGCCGGAACCCGAAGAACAAAACGCCACCACCACTACCACAACAACAACAACAACAACAACAAGCCGCGACTTCAGCTTCGAATTCAGCCACTTCCTCTCCATCTACGCCGCCTGGCACCACTGGCGCCCGCACACCATCTACCTGCACACCAACGCGGCCGCCGACGGGCCCGAGGTCGCCCGCGCGCGCAACGGTACGGCGGGGAAATGGAACCACTACATCTTCACGCTCTTCGGGCCGCAGCTGGTCATCAACACCGTGAGCGTCCCCACGCACGCGGGCAACGGCAGGGCCCTGCCGCAGCAGAGCATGGAGCACAAGTCCGACTTTGTGCGCGTGCGGGCCGTCCACGACCTCGGCGGCGGCGTCTACGTCGACTGGGACGTGCACGCGCTGCGCGACATCCGCCCGCTGCGCGAGAGCGGCTTCCGCGCCGTCGGCGGCCGCCAGCTGGGCGGGCAGATCAACAGTGGGACCTTTTTGGCGGCGCCGGGGGCCAAGATGATTCGGTTGTGGATGGAGCAGATGAATGAGGTGTATGACGGCGGGTGGACGACGCATTCGAATGAGGTCATTACTCGTGTTGGGCAGCGGTTGGGGCGGGAGCCGGGGGAGATGCTGATCTTGGAGAGGGATGCGTTCGCGCCGGGCAGTTGGGAGGATAAGGATACGGATTGGCTGTTTGGGGTGCATGAGGATACGGAGTCGAATTTGCTGCGGGAAGGGTGGACCGAGGGTATGCCCCTGCCAAGTTACGAGGAGGACTTTGAGGCGAGGTGGGAGCATCCGGAGCGGTTTCCGGACTGGGAGCGCGACTGGTCGCATACCTACATGCTGCATGCGTTTACGCCGGCGAGGTGGAAGCACAAGGTGGCTGGGTTCGAGCATATCACGCCGCGGTATGTCTTGGCGCGGCAGAGCAACTTTGCGAGGGCGGTTTATCCCGTCGCGAAGATCTTGTACGACAAGGGCTTGATTCGGGTTGATGACTCGCATACGGGGCTCTGATGGAGTTCCGAGTTCTTTTGTATTCTATTGTATATATGACTAGAAGGGTTAGGACACGTGGTCGCCAGGCGTTGATACAGGTTTGATGCCTCCCGGCACGTAAGAACTCAGATGCAGGGTAATCCTTCGTTGGGGATACTGTTTGTACAACTTTGTGCTGCTGCTGTGAACTTGGCTCCTCGCTTGCTCTCGGTCCTTGTGTATCATCTTGATAAAGGGACAGACATGAACCACACGCGCAGAACAAGCATAAAACTCCAGAGCACCCCGAGATAGATTCACACTAGGCACGCGCCTCTTACAGGAAAGACACAACGGCACAAAAGGACCATGGAACAGCCGCCTCCGCCATGACGAGACAGATGCCGATACAACATGCGGAAGTTCTCTCAATGCAAACCTTCCAATTAGGGAAACTCTGGTAGTCACGTATCTGCTAGTCGCGTGTAAGTCGGGAGCTCTGGATATCCGCGAATCTCCGGTAGGCGCGCGTGTAAGTCGCGTCGGGGATACGTCGCACACCACCACAGCTCAAAAGTCAAGCATGCCCTCATGGATCCTCGGGCATAAGTCTTGCAATTGCGTGTAATCCATATCACATTGGCAGCGATTCGGGCACAGTCACAAGCGGGCACACCTCCATGATATTGTGCTTTGTCGCTCCTCCGAACTTGTACCTGTCTTGAAAGCCAACCACCGAGAGACACATCGAGAACCGGCTTTCGCCGGCGAAGCATGTAGGGAGCCCCGAGCAAAAGAAGGCAAAGAACTCCGTCCCATTTGTCCATGAGCACCGCCTGTCCTATAATCCCGATTCCCATGTCCCATTACTTCCAACCGACAGACGACCTTCAACCCGAGCCTTTAAAGGCTACTGGGTTCCAACTTGAAAACAGAAAACAAAAACAAAAAACAAAAACAAAAGAAAAAAAAAGACAAAAGCAAAGAAAAAAGAAAGAAGGGAGGGGGCCCGGCCTAGGCCTTCTCACAAACGATGCCCTTCTTGGCGCACCGCACGCACGACTCGAGATGGACACAAGCGACCTTCAGTCGCTTGCAACGCTCGCAAGCGCGCACCACCGCCTTGCCCCTGCCCTTGCCCTTGCCCTTGCCCTTGCCCTTTCCCTTGCCCTTTCCCTTCTTCTTCTGGTCCTCCTCCTCCTCCTCCTCGGGGAAGCCCGAGCACTCGACGCCGGCCTTGGCACACTTCTCGCAGCCGGCCACCTTCTCACACTTCGCCTTGGCCTGCCGGCAGCCCACGCAGGAGCTGCCGGAGGGGCCCTTGGCGCGCTTGGGCTTGGCCGGGGCGGAGACGGGGCCGAGGGCGGGAGCGGCGGAGGCGGATGCGGCCACCCTCCTGCTGCTGCGCAGGGGGCGGGCGGCGGGAGCGGAGACCGGGGCCGGGGCCGGGGCGGGGCCAGCAGACGACGTCGACGAGGACGACGCCTTGGCCACGCGGCCAGAGACCACACCACCGCCGCGGCGTCGGCGGGTGGCGACGGCGACGGCGCGGCCGTGCACGCCCGGCTTGCCGCGGAAGGCGGCGACGAGCTCCTCCAGGGGAGGAGTCTCGACCGTGGCGCTGCCGCCACGCGCGAAGGGGACGTTGGGATTCACCCGATGGTCGGGTGAACCGGGGACGGAGACCGCTCCGTCGGGATTGGGTTTAGGTGCCATGACTGCCGAAGGGGTTGGGTTGTTAGTGACGACGGGTTCAAACTTCAAGGAGGCGGAAGGGGGGGAGGGGGGGAAGGCTGGCTAACTTACTACCTGCGGCGGGCGAGGAGATGATAAGTTTGGTAGTCTGATAAAAATAAAATCTGTCAGCGCGATGCTGCCTGCTAAGACGCGCGGAGGGGAGCGAAATCGGGGGAGATCGGGGCTTACGTAGTTGGTGAGAATGGGTTGTCCACTCTACTGTCCCAGGTTAATGGCGGGAGAAGGGACCAGAATCGAGCTGCTCGGAGTCGAAGTTAGCCAATGTTCTCGAGAATGTCAAAGAGAGAAAACACCCAAAGAAAAACATACCTTGCGCTAGGATGCAGGGATGAGGAGCTTGATTGGGCTGATTAGATGGAATTGTCAATGTGATGCGATGGAAAGATAAAAAGGCAGGACGTTGTAGCAAAGACCTACCCTTCTGCTATAGAGCCGGAGTCGTTTGGACGCTGGGGATGATTAAAGAATGGGAAGAGGAGAAGCTGGTCTTCAGGATCTGCGTGGATTAGGTCAGAGTTAGTTGTTGAAACAGAGAGAATATACTGTGAAAGGGGATATTCCAGCCAACAGCAACGTACCTCGTACTCGGACGCCGGAGTCGGACGGACGTCGGAGATGGTTAAAGGATGAAGAGAAATAGCTGGCCTGTAAAATCCTCGCTGGCCAGGGACAGTGTGTTAGTGTGCTTTGCTCGAAGATGACAAAATAGTGGACGATGGGGCAGAAAACATACCTTGTACTGAGACACCAGGGTTTGTCGGACACCGGAGATGATTTGAGGAACGAGAATAGAAAGCAGCCGGTCTGTACGATACGCGCTGATCTGGGACAGTGTTAGTCTGCTTTGTTGATGATGACAGAATGCAAACTGATAGAGCAGAAATATACTTTGTATTGTACTAAGGCCCTAGAGTTGGTCGGACGTCGGGGATGATTGAAAAGACTGGGGAGTGAAGCAGCTGATCGGAGAGAAGGTTAGCTCTGGAAGCTCCACAGGGACTGGAAAATATACTGCGAAAGGCGATATCGAAGCCGATTGCAACTTACCTTGCGCTGGGACGCTGGGCACTGGTCAACGCCGGGGAGAGTTCAACGCTGGGAGGAAAGGGTTAGCTCGTTGTGAGACCGGGAGAGTTCAATCTCAGGGATCGCGAACCGGGAGGGGAAGGTTTGTTTGTTTCCCAATCTGCGCAGACCGAGGAGAGAGGCGTGAATGTGAGACTTCTGGGATATTCTGCCTAGTATGACAATTCAGGTAGTCCGTTACCACGCAGGGACTGTTGGATGAAGACAGTGTGACAACGCCGAGAGAAGAAAAGGTATTGTCGTCGGAGAAAGACAAGCGGGAGAAGAAAGTTGGTAGTTTCTGACTACGCGCGGACCGGGGAGAGAGGCGTGAATTGTGACACTCTGGAATATTGAACTTTCTATGCCTGACGAGATAGACTTAGTTTCCGCGCGGGCACTGTGGACCGCTGGAGGTAGCTGAACACGAGAGGAAGAAAGCTTGTGGGAAGGAAGTAAAAAGGACAATCAGCTCGGTTGCTGGCGGAGAAGAATTAAAATCGGTCCGGGGAATCACGCACCGGGAGAGAAGGCAGAGGGTTTCGCGCTAGTGCCGTTGAATGCCCTAGAATGGCAAGAACGCGATTCGGAACACAATGGCAGTTTGGCTCTGAATAGGCGGTGCCCATCGATAAGGGGTCATTGGGGTCCAGGAAGCAGCTCTCCCACCGCGTTGTGTGGAGCTGGCACCGAGGTTCCCGGCCTCTCTGGCTTTGCCGTTCGTCCTGGTATTGGGCTCCTCCTAATAGCCACGGGCAGGTTGCTTTGCGGTCAACAACACGGCGAGCAGAGGCTAGTGTAGGTGGAGGTGAGAGGGCAAACGCGGACCAGCTTGTCTACAAAGAGCTGCTTGCTGGAGTGCTTTGCCCTTTAGAACTTGATCAGGGGAGAGATAAGATCGGGCTTCAGGAGCTGCCCGCCTTCATTCCGTCATGGATGCCACAGCGGCGCTACTGCCTCCATGACGAGCACTACTATATATGTTCCAACCATTCCTGAATCATCCCGGTGCTCAGTCTTGACTTGTAGACGTCTTTCCATCCCGCTAATTCCGTGTGGAGTTCTGCCAATGCTATAAGTCCATGTCGTCGGTGACCCCCGTTGTCCTCGCATCGTTTGAATCCCGGCCTTGGATCCCCTGAATCTACGGGACTCTCCAACTGGCGGTTAAGAATGAGGACATTACGACTGAGCTGCTATCACTCGACTCTTGCCGTCTTCAGCCTTCTGAACTTCCTACCGAGCACGGCTTACGCAGCTGCTTTGACCGCGAATAAGACCATGCCTCCTTTGATTCTCCTTACTGGGCTATAGTACTGACTGCTATTGTGTCTCTGCACCTGGCTAAGTCTCATCCCCTTTCTGTGAAGCCTTTGGACACTTTCATGTTGTTGCTGGGAGTCACAATGCTGCTTCCTTCATCAATCATACCGTGCGAGTGTGAGGACTGTTCTAGTGGGGCGTACACACCTGACGCGACTTACACGCGCGTTTATGGGAGTTACGCGACGTAAGGCGCGTCAGGGGAGGTTACGCGCCTAAGAGAGTTCAAGTTATTACGCGACTACCAGAACCCCTAGTTCCACACGCGCCTGCCCGATCCTATAGGTTATCAATGATAAGTTCGACCACTTCGTGATACTAACGCGATGATCCTGTGGAGTTGAGAACTTGAGGAGAACTGACGGAGAGGAAAGCCAGTCAGGAGATTAAGGTGTCAAGCTAGCTCTGGGCAATACATAAAGGAGTGTCGGGTGACAAAGTCTCTACTTCTACATGCGCGAAATCACGTTGTGTAAATACAAAGCTGTTACCAACCTTGATGACGATCTGACAGCATCAGTGCCAGATTACGCTGTGAAGGAGAAGATGACAAAGGGAATTGGGTCATCTCGACTTCCCAGGCAGTGCATGGCCTATTGATAGTCCTTCAGTTATAGTGCGTGTATTTGGATTGTGAAAATCAACAGTGGCATCGATTGGTGCGTCGCCGAGCTTAGTATTCTCCGACGCTCAGGAGTCGGGAGTCTGGAGGGGTGCTGTCGAGTTACTATAGTTATATCTCCATCGAAGGCGCTTATGCTAGCCAGCTTGTTCTGCTCCAGGAGGGGTAGCCTATGGTTAACGGGCGGTAGAGTTCCTCAGGAATGACCATCACATGAGCACGCGAAGGGACCGAGGGTCAAGTAGATCAGCGTCAATTCTAGGTTCCTGGACTATTTAATGGGCATGCTGGACGTGTTGTCGTGATGGCTCGTGGGCTTGCGGCGTTGGGGCGATGACTCGGATGAGCGCTGCGCTGTCGTCCATAAATCCTGGCTGAATGACCGACTCAGGCGACCAACTAGGGGCAAATATCGCGGGGTTCCGAATATTAGTACTTCACTCACAGCCTAGTTGCCGTTCTTATACGAACTATGGAACATGTCAACTTCATTTCTCAACGTCCAAGAGTCCGGACGTGGCCGGTACAGGTTAGTCCTTCATCGATCCGCAAGTTGTGCAGATGACGTTGACTTCCCAAGTCGAATACAAGCCCGGCATTGACATGCGTTAACCTTCACTAGATACCCAGACCTCCACGAGCTCTCAGGCTGCGAGATGACGTATGCTGTCTCTAATGCGGTTGGTGTGATGTCCCACCGGGTGTGGAAGGGGGACACTATGTCAGGTTCGGGCAAAACCTAATGGGAAACGAGAATAGGGGGGCGTTGGCACAACAACCCACGTGAGGACTCGGTGCCTCTTGAGGAGGGGCATAGCGTCCACATGATACTACGTGCCATGTACATGTACAACCCCCCACTTACTCAGTGCCACTGGTGATCAGGAAGAAACCGTGTGCCCAGTCAATGTCCTCAGTTGACCGCAAACCTTGCTGGTTCGAATCCTGCATACGCGGAAGGTCGCTGTCGTCCATCTCGGCCTAAATTCGGGGCTGATTTCGCCCGAGGAGCAAAGACGATCAAAGGCCAAGTTGATCCAAGGTGACAGAGAAGCCACAAGCTCGCAAACCCAAGACAAGTGGCAGGAGATCGAACGAACACCGGGTGGGGCGTTGGTCAGGATCGCAGCATGGGGAGGGGGAGGGGGAGGGGAGGGGGAGGGGAGGAGGAGGGGCGGGGTTGCTCTGTGGGAGATATGGGAAGCCAGCGGCTGCTGCGGCAGAGCATTAAATCTGATAAGGGCCTCATCCTTGAACGGGGCTATTTCCGGCCAATGGAGAGCCGCCCTGAGGCAAGTGGATTGTGGGAGCTGGCACTAGCGTAGCGTGCCTGCGCGAGTGGGAAATGCTGAGATATTTTTCGCCGCGAAGCAAGCAAACACACGAGAGAGACGCAGCAGGTCACATCTGGGGTGACACCACGATAGAGGCTGTCTTTTCCTCTTTGGGAATACTGCGGGTGTGGGCGGCTGGAGGACGAGCTCAGGTTTTTGACAAAGTTCAGAGCCTTTGTCGCCTCAACTTCGCTGCTCTCTTTGAGGTGGCTCGTGGCGGGCGACGGCAATGTGACTGGTGGTGTCCATAGTTCCATAGTGCCCAGGCCTGCGGCAAGCCACCTGCCTGTTCCGCTATCGTCTACGGTTGGGCTCGCGGGGTAGACCCAATTGCCGTGGGCCGAACCTGGGAAGGGCGATGGTGCGGGAGCACAAGGTACGGCTTGTTGGTGCCCAAAGCTCGAGCGGCTTGGACCTTTGGACGCCGTTGTGACCCTCTCCGAGGCCGGCTTCCGGGCGAACAGAGTCTGTTGCGGTCACAGGAGCATGCAACGTGCTTCCATTCGCTTGAGATCGGGCAGGCGCGAGATCGTTTGATGCCGTCCAGACAAGACTTGGGGAAAGCTCGCTGGGTTTGTCTTGACGGTGGGAGTGTTTGCCAAAAGGGCCTCGTGATAGTGGGGCTCGGGTGGCTGGTCTCGGGATGCGTACGTTGCTGGAACCCGTCTGGGGAATCGTTGTGCGCCCGTGTTTCCCGATAGAGTGCCGTGCAGGAAGCAAACAGCTTGTGTTACCGCAACTCTGGGAGCTGGACTGTGAGACAAACAGTTGCGGGTAAGCTTCCCGCCGGGGGAGAGGGCCCGAGCGGATGGGACTTTTGACAGTCTAGTCGATCGTGAGAGGCCGTGAGGACGGAGCGCTTGGTTCTACTGTGTAGGGCCGAGCGATTTGCGTGCGGCAAAGGATCCCGCCCCGCATGCATCAAAGGTGCCGGCTGCCGCCTCGTGGAAGTCATGAACGCGATGCTTTGCGAGCACATCGCCGCTAAGAATGCCGAACTCCGAACCCAGTTGGCGCCTCACTCTCTAGCCCTGACTCACGTCACCAGCCGGTGGAGCAGAGTTCGGGCAGAGACGATGGGTTCAGTAGCTTGCGACGGAACTGGGAGGACGGAGGATGGGCTTGCGTGTTCGTGGCGTGCGGCGCCGGGTTTGGGCGGTTCTTGTCGAATGAAATCAGAACGAAGTTCGAAGCCTACGTCGATCTCTTAACCCAAGCCAAAGCGTATTGATGAAGGATCAAGCCGTATTACTTGGCTGGCAGATGCTTGGTAGGGCAGAGTGACGACAGTTCGCAGGCCGACGACCCGTCAAGAAGGGTCGCCTAGGGGCCCTTGCGATGCAACCACTGCCGCGGGTCTTCCAATGACGAGGATCATCCTTGTATCGATGCGCGAAACGCCAGCGAGCCGGTGCGGTCACGCCACCGGTAACCGAGCTGCTGGTTCCCATCCGCATGTGGATGCATTTTCTTTGCATGTGGAGTTGACCTTGTTTGCTGGCCTTCCTCCTTATGCACCCTGTGCGTCCTAGCAGTGACAATCCCAAGAAGGTCATCCGGAAACTGAGAGATACTGTCTGCCACACGTCTCGCCGTGTGCCCATTGCTCTAGGTTCCACAAGGGCTCGAGCGTCAGGTTTCCGTCGCCCGTCGCCCGTCGCCCGTGAGTCCCGTTGCCACTAAGGATGACGGGGTGCCAGGGCGCGAGGATCACCGCCATTTGTCTCAGAGTTAAATAGCTCGTTAGCCAGCTGAACTCCCGTGGCGCTAGGAAGCTTAGAAGTAGATCGAAGCGGGTTCGACGAAGATTATAATACGACACCATCCGCTGCCCTGGACAGGAACATTCACCCAAGCGGAGTAAGCGCGGCCGTCACCATCGAAGAACCACGCCTTCTAATCTCGCTGACGGCAAAAGGCAATCAGAAAGAGCCATCTCATACTCCCAGAGCTCGACGCTTCATAATGGGCGTAGGTGCATCAAGGTCGCGTTGACGTGCTGGGCTAAATCGTCTCGCAGTTCCAATCTGGCGATGTCGTCCGCCTCCGTGGCTCCACCGTGGTCTACAAGGTGGTCGCCGTGAACGGCTGCTTGGTCACAATCCTCGTCTCCAACCCGCAGCCCGACGGGCAGTATCTGCCATTCAACTCGACATCCCTGCAGACTGTGGACGAGTCCCGCCTGGAGAAGGCCGATGATGTCTCTTGAAGATCCTAAGACTTGGGCTGGGAATTTTGGGTGGATTTCTGTTTTTTCGTTGATATCCTTGACGCTAGAGGGCGGGATGCAATCCATGGATTTTATGGGAGCGCGGCGCTGGGAAACTCCGGGTCCGGCCTGGCATTGGTTAGCACATCCTCTCTTCCCGCAGGAGTGCTTCGGTTACAGTGCCTTTAGAAGCTTATAGATGATACCTCACAAAGAAAGGGCACTTCGCAGACTCCCTTCACCGGAGTCTCGCAACGCACCGACGCGTGGTGCTTCTTGGTTGGACGGTGGTTGGAGTGACACAGCAATTCTCGGCTCCAACTCGGGCACTCCCGTTCCATTACAGCACGAGGTTTCACCAAAGCACCTCCACGGCTGCAGCACCATGCAAAGCTGTGGCGATCAACTCGGACACTCAGTCAGGTTCACTGGTTGACGTTGACGAAGGGAGTTTGCGTTCTCAGTTGCGAAAGACTTCAGCCTGAAGTCTGCAAGTTCGCAAATCTCCTGTTGATTCGTTTTACACCAAAGACAACGAAGCCTGAAGGGATAGAAAACAGATGGAAGGTACATACATGTACGAATTCGGTGACTCGGACCGGTCTTTCCTGTTTGAGATTCTGGGCTGCTGTGAGCGCTGCCTGATTCCGGATCGCACCTGCCGAGTTGGGGATGCATTCCTGCGACTTCAGTTCCACCACCTGATGCTCCCTAACCCTTTGGGCGCGGGGTGTCTCCTTCGGTCCCGAGACTGGCTGCGTCTTGTGGTCATCAAAGCCGTGGCCTCAGTGTGGCCTTCAAACTCGAACAACACACGCAGCGCCCTTTTGTTCACCTGCCCCGGACCGATTCGACATTCCACGCCGTTATCGAGGCGGCCAAGATTGGGCTGTACTCGACTGACGGATCACCGCTGTGGCAGGTATGTATGTATGCACGCATAAGCTCCGACTGATGACTGAATAAGTCAGTACGTTGCCTGTAGTACTCCGTACACAGTAACACAGACTGGGCGTTGGACGCTCTACGGAGAAACGGTCGAGATAATCTCCATAACTTTGACAGACACAAGCGTGGCTATCGGATGAGCCCTAGCCAAATACAGTTAGAAACTTACCGTTATCACTCCACCGGACGATGCCGAACTTTTTCCATCCGGGAGGGGTCCATGGACTCCATGGAGCAGGTCGCAACGGCCGCCAGCGAGCGATTTTCCCCGGCCGTGTCGGGAATTATTCCGTTATTTTTCCTGGTGGAACTGCTTCCCCGGATATTCTCCAGTCTGTCTTCACCCGCCATTGTTGACTTCTCCCATTCGACCGGTTGGTAGCTGCTCCTTGGCAGGGGCGACAGCGCGAGAACAATAACAGTGATCCTACGCTGTCGACCTCCCGCTGGACATGTCGAGTTCTACCTGCTTGCCCTCATAACAAATGCGGGGAACCAATCTACAATAATGACCCGGAAAGGCACCACCGCACGAAAGGTGTGGACGAGCACGGCTCGCCCCGGCGCGGGCAACATGGACCTCGCCGCCCCAAAGTCGGCAGCATCCGAGGCTCATCGAAGCCGCCGCAAGCAAGCATCATGGGCTTCCTCTCTGCGCTCGCGCTCTCAGTCGCGGCGCTTGCCATCCCGGTGAAGGGTGGCTTGACGTATCCCGACTGCGTGAATGGACCGCTCAAGACGAATGTGGTGTGCGACACGTCGGCGGCCCCCGAGGCCCGAGCCTCAGCCGTCGTGGCTGCCATGAGCAACAGCGAGAAACTCGGCAACCTCATAAAGCAGCCTTTTTTCCGTTCCCGCGCATCCTTGAGCGTAACTGACCACCGCCAGCAACTCGCCCGGCGTCTCAAGACTCGGCTTGAGTGCGTACCAGTGGTGGAACGAAGCTCTCCACGGCGTCGCCCACAACCGTGGCATCACGTGGGGAGGGGAGTTTAGCGCAGCAACCCAGTTCCCGCAGGCCATCACTACTTCGGCAGCCTTCGACGACGTCTTGGTTGAGCGGATCGGCACCATCATCAGCACCGAGGCCCGCGCCTTCGCGAATAACGGGCGAGCCCACCTGGACTTCTGGACCCCCAACGTCAACCCCCTCCGCGATCCGCGCTGGGGCCGCGGACACGAGACACCGGGCGAAGATGCGTTCAGGAACAAGAAGTGGGCGGAGGCGTTCGTCAGGGGCATTCAGGGGACCGGACCGACGCAGCGGGTTGTCGCGACTTGCAAGCACTTCGCCGCCTATGACCTTGAGAACTCGGGCAGCACGACGAGGTTCAACTTCGACGCCAAGGTGTCCGCCCAGGACCTTTCCGAGTACTATCTGCCGCCGTTCAAGCAATGCGCGCGGGACTCCAAGGTGGGCTCCATCATGTGCAGCTACAATGCGGTCAACGGCGTCCCAGCATGCGCCAGCTCGTATCTGATGGACACGATCCTCCGGAAACACTGGAACTGGACCGACCAGAACCAGTACATTGTGAGCGACTGCGATGCGGTGTACTACCTCGGCAACGCAAATGGCGGCCACCGGTACAGGCCGAGCTATGCAGCGGCGATCGGGGCATCACTCGAGGCTGGTGTAGACAACATGTGCTGGGCAACTGGCGGCACGACTCCGGATGCTGCGTCAGCCTTCAACTCCCGGCAGTTCAGCCAGGCAACCCTGGACAAGGCGCTGCTGCGGCAAATGCAGGGTCTTGTTAAGGCAGGATATTTCGACGGTCCAGATAGTCCGCACCGCAATCTCGGCGCGGCCGATGTCAACACACAGGTCGCACGGGATACCGCGCTTCGGTCTGCTGAGGAAGGCATCGTGCTGCTTAAAAACGACGGGCTTCTCCCGATCTCTCTGGACGGGGCAAACTTCCAGGTTGCCATGATTGGGTTCTGGGCTAACACGGCCGACAAGATGTTGGGCGGTTACAGCGGGAGCCCGCCCTTCAACCACGACCCGGTGACTGCGGCAAGATCGATGGGCATCACGGTCAATTACGTGAATGGGCCTCTGACGCAGTCCAACGCGGACACGACGGCGGCCGTAAACGCGGCGCAGAAGTCCAATGCCGTGATCTTCTTTGGCGGCATCGACAACACGGTCGAGAAAGAGAGCCAGGACCGCACGTCCATTGCCTGGCCTTCTGGACAACTGGCCATGATCCAGAGGCTGGCGGCCGTGGGCAAGCCTGTCATCGTCGTCCGGCTCGGAACGCATGTCGATGATACCCCGCTTCTCAGTCTCCCGAATGTGAAGGCGATCCTGTGGGCTGGCTATCCCGGCCAAGACGGCGGCACTGCGGTGGTGAACATCATCACCGGACAAGTTAGGCCCGCCGCGAGGCTCCCCATCACCGTGTATCCGTCGTCATACACCGGTCGTGCTCCCTACACGAATATGGCGTTGCGGCCATCGTCTTCGTACCCCGGGCGGACATATCGCTGGTTTAAAGACGCCGTTTTCCCGTTCGGCCACGGCTTACACTACACGAACTTCAGTGTCGCTGTGCAGGACTTTCCGGCCACGTTCTCGATCGCGGGTCTTGTGGCCTCCTGCAAGGGCGCCTCGATGTACCTCGACCTCTGCCCGTTCCCGTCGGTGCCGATCGTCGTTGCCAACACGGGCTTGCGGGCTTCCGACTACGTTGCGCTGGGATTCCTGGCAGGGGACTTTGGACCCGCGCTGGCCAAGCTGAGGCTGTCTGACTCTGATCTTGGACTCCAGCGGGCCAACACACTCTCCGGCGTCAAGCGGAACTACTGGCCTTTGTCTTCCGGTGATACTTAGGTATTATATGTACACGTACCTATGTATAAAGAGGGCCAGGTAACCGTTCCTGGCACTTGCATCACCGCATGTCTTGCAGCTCCCAACTTTAATGAGACTGCTTTGCTGTTTGGTCTACCGTTTGCTCTATCACAGGCGCTGTCTTGTTTAATTTTAACGCTTGGAGCCGGCTCTAGGCTGATTGGGTTACTGAATCTAGATTGAGTTAAGAAAAGAGAAGGAAGGAAAACAATAAAATAATGGGAAAAGAAAAAAGGAAACTCCATATCCGCCAAGTGATACCTTTCACACCATCTCCCTAACTCCGACATCCTGATAATGATATGTCAATAATGGACATAGGAAAAAAGATGGGTTTGATGCAACCCCTGGACAGGACATCTAACTCGGATACCGGGAGTCGAACCCGGGGCTGTTGAGAGAGCAGTCACTCCTTGGAAGTGAGAGTCAACGATGTTACCGCTACACCATACCCGATCCGCAATCGTGTGTGGTTCCGACAGGGGTTGCTTCCTGGACGGCGAGGTTGGTGGAGGAGATTATATTTTTTCTCTTCAGTGGGCGGAGTAGATGTGGACACCGGGCTTGGAAATACAAAGGAACCTTGTAGATTGGAAACGGATAAGTGTATGTGTATAGCTGATTCTTGTTAGGGTGCAATGATTGTACAATATGCCAGTAATGGCTCGTGCGTGTGAGAGACTGATCATTAGTACAAGCTGCTTCACTGAGTCAAGATCACTTGCGAGTCTCTTATAATTTAAGATCTGTTCTTCCAACTCCGAAACTGGCCAAGTAATAATAAGTCCGCGTTGGCTGTGTTGAGCCAGCTCCGCTATGCTCTTTAACAATTGCGAATACCTGACTTCCAGATTTCTACTCCAGACTAACCAACATGTTCGCTGGTTCTAGCCTCCTACTTATCTGTTTGCTCTCTCTGTGTTGTCTTCTACGCTTTCTTTATCATCATCAAGCTTAACCCTAACCCCATACCCCCTGACCGCTCAAAACCGACTGCTCAACCATGCACTTGCGGATAGAACTACCCCTTACCTTTGTGCTTTGTGCCTACTCTGGTGGCTTGGCTGGGCACATCTGGGTCTTCTCTACACCTCAGTTCTCCGAATTCAGCCCACTTATGCCTCTGCACACTGCACACTGCAACATAATGCGAGCTGGGCGGCGATTTCAATGGGTGATGGAACTCTGAGTCTATGTCTCTATGACTCTGTGCTACCGAGCGGCTTGCTGCGGGTTGTGGAGGCTCTTCTGCAGCGAAACGCGCCCTATTCGGAACAATCACGCACGATGCAGCCATCCCGCAAGAACTGCCCAATTAGCAGGCAAGTTATGGAACACTGCTGCGGAGAAAAGAGTGCAAGCGGGTGGGGAACGGGACGAAACTAAGCTTAACTGCAACAGCGCCTCTGACTCAAGACGGGAGTCATGCTGGGCTCCGCATGGTTAGCGGCAGGAGTAAGGACCATCATCTATGGGACTGATGTATAAGTATCGCCCTCGGTTCGAGTCGTGGTTTTGCTGTTGAGAAGTTGATTCATTATTACTATTGTCCACCAGCTGGGCACCTTACTACGCAGTGCTCTTTTGAAAGCGGAACCGCTTTGACTCGACATGGGCAGTACACAAGACCTTCCTCTGCGGCCAAAGGAGGCAGGCCCAGATGAAAATGGCCCCGTCAAGTTCGGCCACGAGCTTCGAGACAGGGAGTTCCTCTTCGACCCGGCCTACCGCAACCTCAACCACGGTACTTCCTTTCTTCCTCCACACTCCTCTCCTTCACATCTCTCTCACCCACCCACCCACTAACATTCTCCACAAGGCTCATTCGGCACCATCCCACAAGCCATCCGCACCCGCCTCCGGACCTACCAAGACCGGGCCGAAGCGCGCCCGGACCCGTTCATCCGGTACGAGTACCCCAAGCTGCTGGACCTCTCGCGCGCCGCCGTCGCCCAGCTCCTGCGCGTGCCCACCGACACGTGCGTGTTCGTGCCCAACGCCACTTCGGGCGTCAACACGGTGCTGCGCAACCTCGTGTGGCACCCGGACGGCCGAGACGAGATCCTTTATTTCGACACCATCTACGGCGGCTGTGCGCGGACGATTGACTACGTCGTGGAAGATCGCGGTGGGTTGGTGCAGGGCAGGGTGATCCCGCTGTCCTACCCCTGCGAGGATGATGTTATTGTGGAAGCATTCCACGCTGCCGTGACGGAGGCCGTCGAAAAGGAAGGGAAACGGCCCCGCGTGTGCCTCTTCGACGTCGTTTCCTCCAATCCGGGCGTGCGCTTCCCCTTCGAGGCCATCACGGCGGCCTGTCGGGAGCGGGGGATCCTCAGCCTCGTCGACGGCGCGCAGGGCGTGGGGATGGTCGACCTCGACCTCGGCGCCGTCGATCCGGATTTCTTTGTCTCCAATTGCCACAAGTGGCTGCACGTTCCTAGGGGGTGTGCGGTTTTCTACGTGCCGCTGCGCAACCAGGCCTTGATCAGGTCCAGTCTGCCGACTAGCCATGGTTTCGTTCCCAAGGATAGTAGTAGTACTGGGTCTGAGGAGAAGAAGATGAAGGTGAGACCCAACCCGCTGCCGCCGTCGACCAAGTCCGCGTTTGTCAACCAGTTCGAGTTCGTCGGCACGGTCGACAACGCGCCGTACCTGTGCGTGGTGGACAGCATCAGGTGGCGCGCCGAGGTGCTGGGCGGGGAGGAGCGGATCCGGGGTGAGCTGACCGAGCTGGCGAGGCAGGGCGGGGCGAAGGTAGCGCAGATGCTGGGCACCGAGGTGCTGGATAATGCGAGCCGGAGCTTGACGCGGTGTTCGATGGTGAATGTGGCGCTGCCGTTGGTGGTGGAGCAGCAGCAGCAGCCGGAGGGAGATGAGGAGGAAAAGGGGAAGGGGGAAGTGCCGAAGGAGGGCGTGGTGGCGGTTATACCGGGGAGTGATGCCGCGGCTGTGACGAACTGGATCCTCGAGAGGCTGATGGAGGACTACAAGACGTTTGTCGCGCTGTTTGTGTACCGCGGCCGCTGGTGGGCGCGGCTCAGCGCGCAGGTGTATCTGGAGATGGACGACTTTGAGTGGGCCGGGCGCACACTCAAGGAGGTGTGCGAGCGGGTGGCCAGGGGGAGTACAAGAAGTGAGGTTGTGTCTGGCTTGTTTATACTTTTCGAATATCTCATATTCTCAATCATATCAACGTCACTCCAATCTCGCATACCTCTCTCACGTTTCACCACCCACCACCTACCACCTCCGTACTACACCTGAAAACTCCCACTCAACCTAACATCCCTCGAACTCGCGCCGACCCCAACCCCAAAAGCTCCCCCGGGCACAACCCACTGCTGCCTCCCAGAATCCCAGTAACTGAGATCCCGCCTCCGCAGATTAAACGTCGCCGTCCCGCTCGCGCCGCGCTCCAGCTTCAGCTTGGCAAACCCGCGCAGCTGCTTCGGCGGTGTGGATGATGAGGGCAGCGTGATGTACAGCTGGGCGACCTCGGCGCCGGCCACGGCGCCGCTGTTGGTGATCTTTGCCGTGACCGTCGCCACGGTGTCCCACAGGTCGGAGGGCCCTCCCGGGACGGTGGGACCGCTCGCTGGGCCCGGGGTGAGGGAATCGATGGAGGTGGTGATGGTGAGGGAGGAGTAGGTGAAGTTTGTGTAAGCTGAGGAATTTAAAAGTTTATCAGTATAGAATCTGACTACTACTATTAGTAGTATTGTACCTAGTGGGGATGAAGAAGGGCAAGGGAAAGGAAGGACTCGGACTTACACAGCCCAAAACCAAACTCAAACCGCGGCTCGATCTTGGCCTGGTCGAAATGGCGATAATCAATGAATAAGCCCTCACCAAACGAATCCGTGCTGCCCCGCACGATGGCCGTGCCGTAGTCCTCGGGCCGCTTGGCGATGGTGTACGGCAGCTTGCCCGACGGTGCGACCAGGCCGTACAGCACGTCGACCAGCGCGTTGCCGTTCTCCTGGCTCGGCAGGCCCGCCCACACGACGGCCCGGACGCCCGGCGTGGCGAGGACGGTCTCGAGGATGACGGGCCCCACGCTGTGCACGACCACGACCGTGTTCTTGTTGGCCGCCGCCACGGCCTGCACCAGCTGGTTGCCGTTGTGCCACGGATCGAGGTGGTTGCGGTCGCCGGCGTGGCCCTCGACTGTGATGTAGCCCTCGCCCGAGTCGGCCGTGATCACGACGATGGCGGCGTCGGCGCCCGACACCACGCCCGACACCCCGTTGGTGCTGTCCGAGCTGTGCAGGCCGAGCGTGGTGCCGTCGCTTTGCGCCCGTGTCCGCAGCGCGTCGTAGGGTGCCACAAAGTAAGGGTAGTTGACCGAGCCGGAGCCCCAGCCCATGCCGAGCGCGCCCGTGTTGCAGCCCTTGTCGGTGCACGCGTTCATGCCCTGCGGATTGACGACGGCGGCCGACCCGACGAGCGCCAGCTTGCCGGGCTTTTTTAAGGGAAGGATCCCATCGTTGCGCAGCAGCACGATGCCGTCGCGCGCCACCGACCTCACGTTCTCCTTGTGGTTGGCCTGCACGTTGGCGCGGATGTTGATGGGCGGGTAGCCGGCGTTCTGGCCCAGCAGGTACCACGACGCCAGGATCCGCTTGGCCATGTCGTCGAGCCGGGCCTGGGACACCTGGTTGCGGTTGACGGCGTTGTTGAGCTGCGGGCCCCACAACACGTTGTTGCCGTTGTAGTCGCTGCCGGGCATGGTCATGTCCAGGCCGTTGTTGGCGGCGCCCGCGGTCGTGTGCTGCGCATTCCAGTCCGTCACCACGTAGCCGCGGAAGCCGAGCTCCTTCTTGAGCAAGCCGTTGAGCGCCGCGTCGCTCTCGCACGCCCACGACCCGTTGAGCTTGTTGTAGCTGCACATGACGCTGGCCACGTCGGCGTGCACCGCATCCGCGAACGGCCACAAGTACAGCTCGTGCATGGTGCGGTCGTCGACGTTGCTGCTGATGGTCTCGCGGTTCAGCTCCTGCTCATTGGCGATGTAGTGCTTGGCGCACGCCTGCACACCCGCCGACTGGATCCCCTCGATGGTCTCGGCCATGGCGATGCCCGTGAGGTACGGGTCCGGCCCAAAGCCCTCCCAGTTGCGCCCGGCCTGCGGCATCTTCCCGAGGGCGCCGGCCACAGGCCCAAGGAGGACGTGGACGCCGCACCCCCTGGCCTCAGCCCCCAGGTAGGCGCCGCGCTGCCGGATCAGGTCGACGTCCCATGTCGACGCCGCCTGGATGCCCGGCGTGAAGGCTGTCGTGCCCGTGCCGAAGCGGATGCCCAGCGGTCCGTCCTGGAGGCAGAGCTGCGGGTAGTTGATGGACCCGATGGCTGGCGTGTTGCCCACGCACGGTCCCTTGTCCCACCCGACGCCCGTGACAATGTTGACCTTGTCCTGCTGCGACATCTTGGCCACGGCGGCAGCAGCGGACGAGTGCGCCGCTTCCCACGCGGCCGTTCCTGACGGGGCCGCGCGTGGGAGCTTGTCGGGTGTCTCAGCCCGGGCGAGCACCGCTGCCGCCAGCAGGGCGAGGCTGCGGAGTGTCATGATGGGTAAGTAGGTGTGGGCGACTGTCAGCGGTCACCTGGTAATTTCAAAATCACGACGGTAGTCGAGAAGCTGAGACTGCAGCGCAAAAGCCGCGTCGCTGTCCCTCCCACTTATACCAACCAAGCGAAGACGAGCCATGTTTTCCTGATACATTGCCTAGACTGCCCTCTGAGAGAATTAACACTGTCGAGTGTTACTCAGCCCCACAAGTCCATGTCTCCTACCCCCGATATAGCAGAGTGCTTGCTCCGATCGACGAAGCGAAGGCTAGACGCATAGGACCCGAGAGCACCAACCCGCGGCCAAGTCTGGTTCGGTGGCCGACAGAGGTGGGAAAACCTCTGCGTCTGAAATGAATGGCGCGCGAGGAGAGCTGGGGTGCATAGCGGGATCGGCAGTGGGCCATGCAGCGATGCGGCCGGCATGGAGCCGACGCGGGAGCTGCGTGCCGACTGCGACTTTCGGTTGGTGTAAAACACCAGACGATGGTTCTCCGGCCGGTTGTAGCGGGTAAGAGGCATCATAGCCGGCCCGTATTGCCAGGCGGTAATTAGGCGGTGCATATCTCCCGCCGTGGCATGTGGGCCAGCGACCCAAACCCCGCAGGACGAGAGTGGTACATTCTAGGGGTAATACCGAGATACCAAGATCTGTAAAGGGTCGTGCCAGGGAACTCGGATCTGCTCGTCCCGTACTTCTCCTTGCTTAGTCGGGGTGCAAGTTCACGGGACTGCAACTCGGTAGCAGAGTGCGGAACCACCATTCTTTATGACGAGATTGGGGATTGGGACGACATACCAGGCATAGATTCGACAACCTTAACGTCCGACGGAGCGTACGGGAATCAGGATCGCGGTTCTACCACTCGTTCTATACTTGAAACCGAATTGAGGAGGTGGGTAATCCACTACCACGACAGGTCGCAGTATCTCTGATGTATCGGTCGCGTATGTCGTACTTCAGCTTTGCTCGGCGACATGAACAGGGATTATGGGAGTCGACCAAAGTCTAAGAGAGATGGAGGCTCCGGTTGCAGCGTGATGTCAAACGAGTGGTCGCGCCATAGGTCACCAAAGTGACCAAACTGTAGCCTGGAAGCCAGATTAGTTGCAAGAACGAGACTGGGGAGACGCGAGAACCGTGCGTACAGTCAGTGTTGTGGAGAATGCTCCCCATGCCATGAGGATCTTATTTCAATCTGTAACTGTTTGAGTTATCAATCCCGATTCTTTAAAGTTTGACCCTCGAGTCTTTGGGCAGAGACCGAGTCACGTCAGGGTTTAGGGCTGGGAGCAAGCCTGGCCGTTCCTCCCAGCTTGTAGCTTGGTCAGACCTTCCTTCCGCCGATCTGGGTTGTGGAGGGCCGACGACTTCGAGCGGGAGATCCGGAAGCGTGAGGTTGCACGGAAAGATCATGCGGATATCGGAGTGTAGTAAAACCTCTCTGTATTTTGGGAGCATGTCTGTATTACGCGTAAACCCGGTCCTTGCAGTGCGGCCAGGCTAAAAGCTAGAGACAGTGACCCTGCTGAGATCGGTCTTGTCAAGAGCGACTTGGCGGGAAAGACCATGCCCATCTCGAAGATATCCTTTGCTTCATCCCGTTGGCCGTCTTGGGCCGGGAGGAGGCGGCGAGCTCAAGCCGTCCGCTGGACTCATGTCCTTGAAGCCCACGGGTGACACGGCCGAAGCCATCTGAAGTGCTTGGTGAATTGCGGGGGGAACCGCTGACGTGACAGTGCTCTCACAATCCTGTCTTCGGTGTTGTCTCCGTAAATGATTGATGATCTCGCCTTCAGAATAAGCGTCGACGATGATGTTGGCAAGTTGTACGTCTGGGTCTGACAGCAGCTTGTGCAGGTATCTCGTAGCGTGGTTGCAGAAGAACCCTTGAGGTCGGACTGGGCAGAGTCGAGGTCAAGGACGTCCGGCAACCCAGGCAAGTTTGCAGCAGCTCCTTCAGTCCATCGTGCGTTCTGCCAACCGTTGTTCTGGCCGGTCCAGCCCTAAACAATCGTTTCCCTGACAGGAGTTGGCTAGTGTGATTAGCACCCAGGGCAGCCAACCACCATCAGCAGGAAGCCAGAAGGGAGCGAGTGGAATGGCTAGTCCCAGCCTAGGGTATGAGGTGATAGTGAATGGGTAATCACAAAGCGGTCCCTCAGCTCGCCCCTGACCTCACTATCGACAGTGCCGTGACCTGCGTCTCCAGGTTTAGTCGGTTTCAGTGTCTGTCTCTATCAATCATTTCACCATCCGAGGTTCTCCATGGCCGTTCTCTTCGCCCCCAAGCGGATGACAGCTCGTTAGAGCAACGAAAGTAGTTGATAGTGGTTTATCTTCCAATGAGCGGGCAAAGTCCTCGACAACCATGGCCCGGATCCCGTATCAGTGGTAGATGGCCATGCCAGAATGGAGATGCCACACGGCAAAACGACCTCGTTGCCTCCAAACGCCTATGGGAGAGCGGTGCAACACGAAACAAGAGAAGTAGGAGAAGAAACATGGCAAAGAGACTGCACAGAAGAGTAGATGGGAGAGAAATGAGAGCCTGTCCCGTTGGGATGAGTCCAAGTCTCGTCGTCATTCCAGAAGGGCTTGAGGGATTGATGCAACGCAGCTGTCAGATACTCTTCTTTCGTACAAAGGCAGAAAAGGATGTTTTGTCAGTGGGCAGCAGTCATCAACAATGCAGGGACCTTATATTCGCGCGGTTCGCGTTTCTCCAACCATCATCCGGCAGCTCACACCGCTTGCTACTCAGACATAGATTAGGAATCTGCAGAAAGTCAAAAACAAACGCGCTACAGAAGAACAAAGCCTTGAGATCCAACCGCTCAAGAAGACGCACTCCAAGCGCACAGGACCGAACATCGAGAAATGGCTTCCCCAAATGCGCGGGGTTGCAACTCTCTTTGCCAAAACTGAAACTGATCAATGGAAGTTGCAGCGCGGTGGTTCCTTCCCTAGTGTGATCCGCTAGTTTGCCTTGAGTCGATGTCACGTGACTCTTGGCAGTGCTTTTTCCGTTTCACGCAGCTGCCCAGACGGCGCCCGTCCCCGCTTCACCGTCCGAACAAACGATGCGCGCCACCGGCATTCAGTGTCACAACAAAACGGCATCCTTTTCAGCGCGGCAGAAATCTCGAGCGGATGTTGATAATCAAGACATGCCTGCTCTGGAGATGTCGGGCTTCCAAACCGTCTTGTCGTGCGTCTTAGCTTGAGATAACGAGCGCGCGCATCTCCACCGGCGAAAGCCTTCAAAATTCGCGATCAAGCTGGGTCAAGCGCCATCGCAGGGGTCTGATCGCCCGCCTCCGTTTCGCCCCCTTCGGCCCGATCCAGGCGCGACTCCATCCATCGCCGCCCCCCTCCAGCTGCGCGTCCGCACCACGCGCCCGTCGATAACGCCGCCGCGGGCCTCCAAGGGTCCCACCCGCAGGCCGCAATGTCCGACGAGGACTACTCCGGCGCCGGCGGAGGCAGCCGCAGAGCCTCGGGTAAGCACCGCGGCCCGCGCTTCACCTGGAACCCCCAGTACGAGGCGACCTTCTTCCGGTCGCTCTGCGAGTCCGTCAATCTCGGATTGCGCGATGGTAGCACCTTCAAGCCCGAGGCTTGGGAGCGCGCCATGCAGGCGCTGGTCGACAAGCACAACGCCTACGCCAACAAAGGCCACCTCATCAACAAGACCGATAATGCCCGCAAGAAGTACCGCCTGTGGCGCGGTCTGCGCGAGGACCCAGAGTTCTATTACAATGCCCAAACGCGGACTGTGACCGCGACGGACGACGCTTGGGCGAGGCATCTTCAGGTACGCAGAACCCTTGCACTGGGCACGAGGTGGAGAAACTGACCGCTCGACGCCTTGCAGAAAGAACCGCTCGCCCGCTCGCTCCGTGCAAGACCGTTCGAGCACGAGGAATACTACGAGGTCCTCTTCCCCGACGTCATTGGCTCCGGCGGCGCGCCGAAACGGCTCACCAAGCCGCGCAGGAAGGACACCAGTGACAATATCAGTGGCGCCGAAGAGCCCGAGGCGTCAGGCACCGGCATCATGGACCTCCTCACAGACCCAGCCTACATCAACCCGAGTCAAACGCACATTCCCACGCAGATGCCTCCGGCACCGATGCCGGCCGCAATGGCGACGGTCCATCCCCCCCAGCCTCAGCATCACGCGCGCACGACAACGGCTACGATGGCGCCGCCGCCGCCGCGGTCCTCCGTGCCCTCCACCTCAGCACTAACCCCACCCGAAGAGACATCGCTCCAAACCCGCAAGCGCCTACAGGCGTCCGACAACACCGCGGGCCACCCACCGGACAAACGCCGGCGCACCGCTGCACCAGGCTACCTGGACCTGACCCAGCCACAGCAGCAGCAGCACTACAACACCAACAACACTGGCGGCGCCAACACATCTACAATACCAGCAATAACCACCACCGCAAACAACAACACTAACAACAACAACACCATGGCGAACGCCGGCTCAGCAGCAGCAGCCGCCGCCACCTCAACCACAGCCCTCTCCGAAACAATCCACTTGCTCTCCGAAGCCCTCCTCGCCCGGGGGATGGGGAGACCAGGAGGCAAGCCGAGCCCCGGATGGCAGGAACAGGCGCTGGACATCTTCTTCCGCGACTTTGCCGCCGAGGACATCGACCTGCAGCTCAAGATCGCCGAGAAGATGCTCACGGACGAGAACAAGGCCATGGTCTTCTGCAAGATGCCCGACGTCCTGAGGCGGCACTGGGTGAAGCGGTTGCGGGAGGTGCATAATAATAGGAACGTGAATGTTTAAGGTGGTGGCAGCATGGGTGGGATGGCGGGCGGTAATAGCTTGGGAGCCAGTGGACGGCCGATGGTGGGAAATGGAGGGATGAGATGAGATTCGGGTGGCTTTGCCCGTGCCGTACCGCGTGGCTACTACTGCTAGTACTCGCCTTGCTTATTCTGGACCTCAGTGGCGGTTGCCATTGACATATGAATCGGGGGAAGTCGGGGATCGGGTCGGAATTGGGGCTCATCCAGAAGTCAAGGTTGCTGCCCCCGGGGTGTTTTCTATTTCGTCATTCTCTTCTATTTCTGGCAGTGGGGATGTACTGGACATCGAGTTTGCCTTTTGCACGGGCCGGGCCGGGCGTTCAATGGTGTGGTGGGGTGCTGCTTCCCTCTCTTTTTTTCATCACGGGGGTTTTATTATGCGGGGTTTTGCTAATTGCTCTCTCTCTGGGTTGCTGGTTTATTAACAACACTCTTATGGTCGAAACCGACGACGCTCTGAGCCGGGGTTAGGAACGGTTTTGCTTCGACTTTGCTTGCAGCTTTCTTGGCTTTCTTTCACAAATTCCTACACTTCTGGTGTCTCGGGGGGTGTATGTAGGGCTGCAGCTGTACTCAATGTGACACAGATATCTTGTTGGGGGGGACTGCCAGTGCTACGAGAATGGGAATGGCAGTTTGATGTTCAAAGTTCCAGGAGGTGTCTCAAACTGAAACTACTAGTGACCTCCACACAATATGTCGTTTGCTGACATTTAGATTGCAACTCAGTCTTGTGATTCTACAGCATGAAGTGGGCAGGATGCCATGCTTGATCAACCGGCTGATATAATCATATCTGTGTCACATCACGTTGAGAGAAACGTGAAACAAGAGGCAAGCATCAGAAACATAAATTGCATCGATGCTAGCTTCTACGCTCTCAAGCATAAACAGCCGCCGCCGCCTCGAAGAGGAAAGCCGTCCCCCGTAAAAACAGAGATGTAACAGTCTGCCTCAGATATCCACGCCACCCCGTGTCCTCAAGACCCCCTCCCTTTCCTCAGGTTTCCTGGTCATGCTGATTGTTGTTATTAGCCGGGCGTTTTCGAAAAGCTAGTGGAATGTGGTGAGGTGATTCAGCGTACCCTTCTTCTGCTTAGGGGTGGGAGGGGCAGCCGCTGCAAGTGCAACCATCTCCGCATTCGCAGTCGTTGCCGCACATGGTGATGGATAGATGGTGTGGTTGTGGGTTGGTGTTGGTGTTGGTTTGTGTTAACCACCGAGGATATTGAATGTCTTGTTTGGAAGGATCAGCAGACAAGGAAGAGGGGAAGTCGAAGCTTCAGACGGAGAGGAGTGGAGAGGGGTATTTATCTTTGAAATCTGAGCCTTGCTCTGAGGTGGACACAGCAGCTACAAAAGAGGGGAAAGCTCGAACCACCGCAGCTGACCACGCAGTCTTACCCACGCACGACGCACTCACTCCAACGAGAACATGACACCCCACCCGATCACCGAGACAGGTTCAATAGTAGGTATCACCGGTGGGCTTTTGGCGCTCCCGCGGGATGTGTAGCTGGTTCCCCGGTGTGGGAGGGCCCCAGGTGGAGGGCGAGGTCAGCGAATGACAGGTGTGACCACTCGCCTGGGCAGGCGTGACAGAAAAGATAGGAAAGTGGACAGGACCCAGGTGATCAAAAAACCAATTGAATTGATGGAGGCCAGCCCAGCTGGCTGGTAGTGTGATGAACTGATGATAGCTCTGGTACACTACGTGTAAAAGGTGGATGGTTTTGCCAGCCCTGGCTCCTCCTGACAGCTTTTTAACAGTTCAATACCCACACGCCAGTGTGCCCATAAATATTCCCTGTCTGCTCACAAGGGTCTAGAACTAGAAGCTATAAGGACAAGAGACCGTACCCTTTTGAACAACAACGAAACCTAACCTCGAGTCTCCTTCCCTAACGAGGGCGAGGTGGCGGACTGACAGCATAATCAACCGGGGGCGTTGCAACGATAGTTCGGCGCAGCCGGGTTGTGGTCGTCGAATCACCAGCAGTGCCCGCGCCTGCGCAACCATGCCACAGCCCACGCCCACCCGCACAATGCGCGCAGTATTTTCCATTTTGCTCCTTCCCGACCTGACAGTGACGTTGTGCCAAGGTGGGGAAATTGCGTGGGAGTGGATTTAACTGGGTTTGGAATTTTCTGGCACTTGGAAATCAATCTTACACACTTCACGCCAGTCTACCTTGTCAGCATGCAATAAAAGACTTCGGCACCACACGCAAACAGTTTTGATACCACATTACCATCATTTCGGTTCAACCCCACTCATTGATCGACAAACCATCAATCAATTGGTTTCCAATTCCACATTTCGCCATGGCCGAACAACCGAATTTCGCTATTATCGCGCAAAGCTTCCAGACTCTCTCCACCGAATTCGGTCGCTGTGCAAATCTGCCCGCCGTCGGTCAAATCCTACAGGCCTTGGCCCAGTTACAGCAGTCGGTGGATCAGATGAATCAGCGCTTGGATCAGCGCTTGGATCAAATGGATCAACGCTTGGGCCGGATCGAGCTAGGAATCCATGGAATGTAAGTCTTTTATCTTTCCTTCCTATATTTATATATGGATAACGTTACTGATTGTTTTCCATCTATAGGGTGCTTGCTATAGGTGACTAGTAATCTCAACACGCTTTAGAAAACGTCTTTAACACGTAAGCAACCTCTGCTAAGTTAGCAATGTAGACTTCCCCTATAAACAAAGGTTAACGACCAGGTTCAGATTTATGTTTTCGCCCTCCTAGCAATAATGATAGCTCCTGGTCTTGTTTGAAAGATAGACGAGTCAAGCAAGTGAAATCCCATCGAAAGAAATAGAATGAAAAAAGAAACAAGGGAGAAGAGATAAGAAAGTAAAGCTAGGAAGAAGGAAATAATAGAGAAGAAGAGAAGGGTATGAAAGAAAGAAAGAAAGAAAGAAAGAAAGAAAGAAAGAAAGAAAGAAAGAAAGAAAGAAAGAAAGAAAGAAAGAAAGAAAGGAATAAGTTAAACGAGAAGTTAGTTATATCGATCCGGTTTGATAGCGAAGCTTGCTGTACGGCTTATTTTGCTCAAAGGGAGGGAGACCAAACTGTTAGTGTGAGATGTCACCGCCGGCCTGCCGGCAATGGACTACCCGGCCCATACACCTCGCACAAGACTGGGGGCGAGTCAAAAAGCGCCGCTGGCTATTGGTACCATCCACCGCACTCTCTTGTACCCCTCCATGCGCATCGATAGGCTCAAAGGGGCGCCGTGCATCGACTCCGCAGCTGTGCCGTCGACGGACTCTGGGGCCACGAGTTACACGGCAGTCCGATCTTGGCTGGAGACAGCTGCGGGGAAGGACTGGACCTGTGTATTGTCTCAAACTTTGCCCGTGGCAATGGCTCAAGCTGGGTCTCTCTACACAGCGTGGATCTACCATCCCGCCTTGGGGGATTCTGTATGGACTCTCCGCCTGAACAAAATAATGAAGACAGATCCAACCTTGTGTTGTGTGGATGTGCCCCCATTATTTTGCTCAGGCGGAGGGACTTTAGGTAACTTGGTCCAGCATCCTTTAGTCAAGGTGCTTCTTGGTAGGGCCTAAGCGGCAGGAGGCGGGAGTGCCACGTGGGATTCTATCCCATAATGGTAGGCTCAAGGAGATGTTCACAGACGGGTGGCTGAGCCAACAACGGTGCCGTGAGAGATGGAAAATGTCACAATGGCACTCCCAGGTAGGATTGCGTCTCCCCGACTACCTAGGTACCTTATGGAAAGTAGTAAGTTTCAAAGAACTCCTCCTAAAGACCATCTTCGCGCTATAAACATGGAAAGGGCCGGCTTGACCCCTTAATATTCCGCAAATGCCCGCATGTATCGCCCCTCGCTTCTAGGTGAACTCCTACCAGAGCCGTTTCGGAGTCCTTCCCCGTCCTTGGGACATCGCTAGCTCGGTGGCTAGCAGTGGAACTTTTCTATTGTGCCGGCATGCATCCCCTCGCTCAAAACGGAGATCCGGTGGTCGCACAGGCTGTCCTGGCAGGACCCGTCGTCGGCCCCGGTCCTCTCGCTGGCGCTGGGTGTACGGCAGGGAACTGTATCTTCTCAACTCCCTACACGGGTGCTGGACATCTGCTCGACGTGCGAGGAATTGCCTTCCTGGCAAACGTAACGATCAATGGGCGGATTTCCTCGCGCACCACACTTGGCTTCTGGTCGAGTGGATTTGTCAGGCGAGGGGCTCGACACTAAAGAGGCATGAGTTAGTAAGATAGTTATGAAGAAAGTCATAGAAGTTAGTTATAGAGACCTTGAGACCGGTGGTAATCATGTTGCTTGTGCACCCCTGGTTAACAATCAACGTTACGCACGCGGGGGCGTTGTACCGAGTGCTATGCTGGGCGGCGTAGAAATACTGCAGTGTGCGGTGGTCTTGGAGGTGGCGTAGTCGACCATCTTCGGGCTCGTCACCCAGGAGGCGATTGATGCGGCCGTCACGACCATGCTGTGGTAGCGTTTAATCAGGTGCGGGAGGACTTTCTGGACGGTCCAGTAGTGTGCCAGGTTAGGGCTTGCATGCAGCATCGCAGCTGCTCTTTCTGGTTTTTTTTTTGTTGTGTCTGAAAGCTGTTTAATCGCAAGGCCCATTGGTCGCCTGGCACGCGAAACACGTTCAGACGCGCTGGTCCGCAGCGGCGGCGTGATGGATGTCGTTCTCCGAGGAGTCAAGGATGGCGCGGCTCTGGACGACGCCGGCGTTGTTGATCAGGATGGCTAGGTGTCCCCGTTCTCACTCTGCGTCGGAGAGTCTTTCGACCTTGAGGGCGCTCATGATTCTGAGGAGCTTCACCGCATCGCCATGCACACTTCCATCCGGGTAATGGCATACCCAGGGGAGCTCGTTCCTTCCGCCGAGCCCGAGCAGGACTGCATCCCCGTCCTCGTTGATGATGATGTTATCTGTCCTGAGGTCATACCAAGGCCAGATACCCAGCTTGGATAGCGCCTTCTTGGTGTCCCAGATTTGTAAGGCCCACATTCGCCTGAAGGAGATCGTGCGTTCGGCCAGCGTGTCTCCTAGGCCGATGCGGGCCAACAGATGGTATAGATCGCCGGCGTTCGGGAATCGGAGGATCCCGACCACGCCCCGGCGGGAGACTACGATTGCTGGTAGAAACAGGTCGGATGCTGATTTTTTCGGATGAAGTTTCGCAAAGGACGGAAGGGTATGATTACCTTTCAACTCCGGAACACTCAGCCGTGCGTTAGCGCTTCTGATCCTGAGAAGAGTTCCCAGCTCGGCCGCGATGTCGAGTCCCCGCATGCTTTCGTTGGTAGTTTTGCAAACCATCACTTCCCCGGCCATTGTCACTTTCCAGGCGAGGCCTTGTAAGTGACAGACTAGGAAGACTTGCGACGCATCGACGATCGGAACGTTTGTTGCTGTTAGGTCGAGCCCTATCGCACGCAGCCAGTGCTCGGAAACGGGCTCTGGAATCACAGGGTAGCCGTCCATAATGCGGCACGTAAACGCCAGCTCGCTCTGCCCGAAGTCCGTAAGGACCTGCAGTGTATGTGTTACGGGGTAAAGCTGCTGTTTGTGTCTGGGCATTCGGGATCGGGGTTGGCGCCAGCTGTTGCATTGTTGGGAGACACACCATCGCGGCCAAGTCGGCAAACTGCTCCTCGAGACGCTTCCTCGCTTTGTCGGCATCCGCTTCGTCGAACTGCTGGGAGAGAGCATATATTGTTTGTAAGATTCTGCCTTCAACAGAATCGGCGAAATCGTATCGTGGAGGGACCAGGGTCTCGCCGCCAGCGTGGTCCTCGGGGTTGGCCGCCACAATATGGAAGGGCACTCCGTTGTAATGGAAAGAGAAGAGAGCAGAACTCAAACCATCGCCTACATAGCGAATTCCAACTAATGTAGGCGACGCGTTCCCGGGGCTTGAAATCCTGGATGATCGCTGTTGGCTATCCGAGGCAAAAGGAGGATGGTGTGGGATGAAAGCGAAGCCAGGTACGGGCGAGAGGGTGGCACCGTGGCAGAGTGCTGGAACAACGCCTCACGTACAAGGCGGACACCACCCCGATGGTAATTTTCCGCACACTGTGCTGCTGCTTGCCAGGGTCCCGCCTGTTCTCCCGGGGAGAGGGCGAGGGGAGGGCAGGGGCTGGTTAAGGCTGGTAGGGCTGGCAGGGCTGGCAGTTGGCCGGAGTGAAAATCTCAACGGGGTTGGGAAATTGGTAAGGTACCCGCCATTACGATAGGTGTCGGGTGGCTTTAGGCACGGTAATTCTGTCTCTGGACGCTCACCTACTAGTACGTGAGCTCTGACCCTGGACAGTACCTAGCTTACCTACAACCGTACGGTACAGGGGTCTCCATCCCATGTTGCCACTGCCTTCCCCAAGGGAAGTCCCTGGTAAAGTACCTACATAGGTGGCTGGCCGACCTATTTGGCTAAGTGTTAGCGAAGTGTTAGTGGGGGATGGCAGGAGGCAGGTCCTGCCTCCTGCCGGGAGATCTACCACCTTGCACATTGACAGGGAGTCGGTTCAGATTCTAGAGTGAAACCCCTACTATAATCTCTGCAGCCGGCCAATGATCTCTTCGATCTGGCGAAGACGGTTGGTAGGTGAGCGAGCTTTTTGCCTCTCTCTGCTCCTTCCTTCCGGAGTTCCTTCCAGGTTCCATTCTTGCCTGAAGCACACAAACGCATTGGCGCGTAGTATTCCCCATAGTCTGCGGTCTGCCAGCAGGACCTGCACTCGCCCAGGCCTCCCTCCTGGTTCTGCTGCGCGAACGTGACAATGTGGCATCATGGTCGGTAGAGCATCGATCTTCACACAAAACCTGCGTCGTACAACCTAGACTCCACATAAGGTATACCTGGCTCCCCTGCCTGCAGAGGCAGCATCCGGTACAGCCTAAGGGCTCAAACACTTGGATCCTAACAGGGACAGAACGCTCCAAACCTGTTCTGCTAGCTTGACCAAACGCAGGCCCCTTTCTGTTCTGGCTCTCTCGAGAGATCGCCACGTCACTCTCCCACGTTCCCACTGCTCGTCCCGATAAACAAAACAAGAACCGCAGCATACGTCGCCGTAGCAACCCGCGTCTCGACGTTCGACACTCGGATTCCAAACGACAACAAGAAGGATAAAGAAAAGCACTGCCACGGACACCGTGATAAGACTCTTTGTGGTGGATGGGTTGTGCGACATGATCAACATAGGGCCGATGAGGAAGCTGCCGCCGGTGAGGGCGATGAGAAACCGCGCCAGCCTGTCCACTAGCACTGACAGCGCCTTGGGACGCTGCCCTTCGCCGTACTCCTTGCTCCGCTCGGCTTTTCATCGTGGGAAAAGGTCAGCCATGGAGGGAGATGGCGCATCAACGTCTGCCTGAGGGGATCGATTTTGGCATTTCCATTCGCGTCGTGGAAGAATGAATAATACAACCCGAAGTCAGCCATCTCAACACCGGAAGAACGAAAGAAGCGTTGTCGAAGAGGTCTCCTCTTCCGCACCTCACGAGTCACGCTTGGAGGACCCTTGCTTGCTTCGCAATTCCCTGTAGTCACGGATTGCGGTTGCTGAACAGTTGGTCAGGAGATGGATCTACAGTGTTCTAGCTCTGGGTGAGGTCTAATCGTAGGCCTTCAATGTTGACTTGAGAAGTTGCTTATCCTCGCTGTGAAGCACACCGTGCTTGTTGAGTTCTGCCTTCAATCTACTTCCGAGCGTTCCCCTCCTAGTCCAACGATTGAAAGACGCTCGGACCCCCAAGTAGTATGGTAATGAGGTCCAAGGTAATCTCAGAATCTCAGACTTGTATTTGGATGTAATGTATTCCAGAAACCCACATATGCTAAATGCAGCCAATCAAACCACCCAAAAAACTATCACCTAATACTGAAGAGGATCACGTCCCCGAGTTGGGCTAGCGTAGACGACATTATACAGAAAATTGTTAGGTATTTCGACCCTGCTCTAGGCTGAGAGGCTGAGAGGATCTGGGCAACGTCGAGCCACCGCAGGAACTCGAAGCGAGAAGATGAAACTGTTCTTCTTTCTCAAGTGATTCACATACTTATTGGACAATAACTTCGATCTTTATCCATAATCACATTACCAAAGGCCTGCCTACCAGGCTACCACCTACTCATTGATGGTCGGATGGTCCCTGGACCCTGGGTGGACGATAAATTGATAATCATGATATCTACCACAGGATTAAAAAGTCCCGCCTTGTTAAGCTGCTCCTAGGTCTTCGCTCCAGGCTTCATGTGCACCGCCCGACGAAGACACCAGGAACAGGGTGTCCGGTGTCTAGATGATCAGCATCAAAAGATTCAAAATTCCGGTCACCGCACGGCTCATCCCGTCACTGCCTGCCCAAGCTTTCCTTTTTATAAGTCCAGTTCTACCGTTCTTTCTTCTCTTTCAGCACACACCTGACATTTGTATATAAAGCATCTTCAGGCCGGGCTAGGCCCAGAGGCCCCGAGGCGCCGACCAAAGGAAATCATCCAAGGGGCCTGCAACAGGCTCCAACGAAGGTTCCGGTCGCTACGGCGCCGGCCCTGGAGCCTAGAAAAGCCGACAGATGCCGAAAAGGCCTCGGCTACAGTGGCCAAATGGAATACCCAAGCTAAGGCCTTGGGCCCACCATTGGCTAAGACCCAGGAAGACTGGGCACTATTAAGAGCCTGGGAGGCTAGGTGGAATACCCAAGTCCAGGGACAGCCAACTAGGCTAGCCGACGAAGGCCTACCAACAGTCCTCTTCACGAACCAGAGCCTACAGAAACACCAAGGCCTTACAAAGGCTAAGAGCTCCCTACTAGTACAGGCTCGTACAGGGGCTATAGGCCTACGGGACTTCCTTTTCAAACAAAAGGCCCGTAACCAGCCTACCCCCTATTGCGAATGCGGGGAAGCCAGAGAGACAGTAGAGCATCTTGTGATTTGGTGCTCTATACCACCTATACCAAGAACTTGGCCTAGGCAACTAATACGCACCCACCGGGACCTTAGCCTTGTTTTACAGGGCCTAGGCTACCGGAACCGAAGACTTCTGAAGAAGGTACTGGGTTGGCTGATGAACTCGGGCCGGCTAGGGGAATATAGGCTCGCCCAGAACCTAGATCAGGAACTGGAAGCCAGGGAGCTCGGCTAACCACACCCGTGGCCACGGCTTAGCTGGGCTAGCACCCTACTAGCCGTTGGCCCAAGGCCTTCCCAAGGCCTTTTTCTTTACTTGCAGCAGCGTGTATCACTGAAACCATGTCTTTCCTATTACTTCCGACGAAGGTTTTTACCCGGCCTGAATGGTACGGTTTTTCCTTTGTACATAGCAGTAGAGGGTCCGGCGCGCCTTGTAAATAGCTAGGCATAGCGGAGTAGGAGAATATATATATATATATAAAGCATCTTGCGTTTGAACCATAGGCAATGCCCGTCATCATGCGAAACTAGATCACGGCTTCCACAGGCATTGCGATGGACCAACAGAGCGACTCTTTATCAAATGCGACAACAGTCAAGATCATATCGACGTCACCAACCAACATCCGAACAGATGAGAGCCGCCGGGCACTATGTCCCCGCCCTGCTGCCGACCTAGCAGGCATTGGCGGCCGTTCTGGGGCGGAAGCGAGGTATGCTCGGGAGCTTCGCACTCATTCGGCTCAGTTCCGGCACCGCTTCGAGAATTGCACGTCTGATGCGCCAGGTTCGGCTTCTAGCCTAGGAACATGCAGCACATTTGAAAACACGGCAGAGTCCAACGATGGGGAGCAAGGTCTGATAACTGACGGTTCCTCACCGAGTCCTTCCCCAACTGTAACAAGGGCTAGCGCCCCAACAGTTGGGTCCACTAGTTCACAATCCTAACCCTCGTTGACATCCGGTCTTTCTCCGGCATCATCGGTTAGCATCTCTCACCAGCTCGTGGTCTTCGGGACGTAGCGTTGCAATGGATAGTAGGGCTAATGAAACCAGATCAGAGACTATCTGCATTCGGTTACAGCAAGCTACAGAAGAGAAGGATCAGGATTGGGTAATGACGCAGAGGAAGGAAGAATGGCCAAAGCGCCGGAATCATCTCTATCAGAGTCCGTGGGAAATGGGCTCAGGGCAAAGACAAGAGCTTCTATGTGTATGTCAAAAACGTAGGAAGCCAGTACCAGATAGTATAAACACAAGTACCCGCTGACTAAGGACGGCGGATATATACCGGGAAGTACTAGGAAGAACAAGGCTCTCGTCACCCTTCAAGCGCCTTCCCCTCATCCATAGCACACCAGCACGATCAGCGGTGTCGGCTGAGAAATCGAAGCTTTCCTGTTAGCAGGGATAGCCAGGCAGGGCGGACTGGAGGGGCTTCTGGCCCCGAATGCGTTGGGCCACAAGGGGCATGAATCTCGAGGCGCGACTCGATCTTCCCCTTGGTTTTCAGTGTGGGAACTTTCCCATGCTCTTGCGAGTGCCATTCAATCATTATGCACCACGGTCAAGATCAGAGAAGAATTGTCAGTCAATAACCGAGAATGTTGAGTGAATTTACACAGGTTAGAAAGGACGCCGTAGAAAGGAGATGAAAGAATTGCCTAGCCTGCCCTGTTAATATGCGGAGTTCGAAGTCCAGCCTATCATCAAATGCGATCGATTCTCTCCATCAATCATCGCATTCTAGGTATCTCGAGAAGCCTATTGCTCCTTGTTCTTGGCCTTAGACCAGAAACTGCGACCAGCACCGTTAGCATCATCAGCTCATCGCCGACTAGACAGGCCAAACAGTCGAGAGCAAAAAAAAAAAAAAAAAAAAAAAAAAAAAAAAAAAAAAAAAAAAAAAAAAAAGGAATGACTTACTTCACAAACGCCCCCTCCACCACCCCAACCACGCCCAACACACCAAGCCCAATCCCGGCCTCCCTCCAGCCGAGCCGACCACGGTCATACAACCCCCACGCGCGGAACCCAAGCCAACCACTCAGACCCACCACAGCCAGGATATTCGCCACGGCAAGCGGCACGCCGCCAGGGCCCTCCGACATCTCATGGAACTGCTTCGCCAGCCAGGACTCGGCCTTGTCGACCTTGTAGCGCGCGGCCTTCTTCTTCCTGGCGAGGTCGGCCTCGGCGCGGGCGCGCACGCGCTCCGCCTCGGCCTCGGCCTCCTCGATGGCCTGCTCCTCGCGCTCGACGCGCGCCGCCTGCGTGTCGGTCTGGATCTCCTGCGACTCGAAGTCCGAGGGCACCGTGTGCACCGAGGGCGTGTCGACGTCGACGAGCGAGGCCGTCGTCGAGGAGAGCGGGGTTGTGTGCGCGATCTGCGGCGGGGGAGGGGCTGCGGCCTGTATGTGTAGGTTCCCGGCGGGGTTCGGTTAGGGATGTGTATGTACAAAGGGAAGTGGTAGGGGGAGAGGGAAAAAAAAAGATGAACGTACCTCCTCTGGGGACTGCTTCGGTCCCTTGGAAGCGACTTCTGCGTATGACACTGTGGTAGGGTTAGCAATAAGGTGTGCCCAATGCAACAGTGAAGGGGAAAAGCGGGAGTGGGCATACTGTTGCCGAGTTTTTGGGTCTGTGAGGAGGAGCAGGAAGACAACGTTTAGCTGGTTGTATGAAGATCGGAGCCGTTGGCAATGGAGGGGTTCAGATGGTTTGTGATACGCTCTGAATTTTTGTGACTTGGATTGGATCAGGTCACGATGCAAAGGCGATGTGGGAGAACAAATAGGCTCGTGACGAACGATTTCATGCATAAAAACTGGGCTCGGTGCCAGCTGCTTGTCGCCCAACTGGTGACCTCAGAAACATTAACTCCCATTGACGGTTGCAGCCAAGGTACAGAGTTGAAGTGGGGCAGCCACGTCCCCCTGTCGCTTGACGTCAGCGGTTCCGCTTGTACACGTGTAGAGCTTGAGGGGCAGATTGCAGCTCAGGCTCGCTCAGGTACGGTAACCAAACTGTCTGCATATACATTAGTCCCTAGGCATGGGGAAGTGATGAGCATAGAAACTCTGATGAGAAGGTGAAGCATGTAAGCAGCTGTCCTGGGTGCTTTTCATCTACTCAAGTAACCATCGGCCTGAGACAGTTTTGGCTTCTTCAATCTGCTACCAGCGATACTCACCATGTGACCGAGATGCCAGGCTGAGCATCCTGTTGAGAGGAAGGGTTCTATTGTACCTGTATCTAATGGTATACATGAGAGTCATACAAGTGCATGGGAAACCCACGCCGGCGCCGTACCCCAACACCGAATATACTGCTTCCCCCGTCCCATTACGCCAGGTTGTATGGCTCGAATTTGTATGGAGCCGTTGATGTTTATTGCTCCTTGCCCTTATTCGCATCCGTCGCGTCAACAGCCTTCTTCAGAATAACCTCATCCTTGGTCGCGGGCGGTTGAGGAGCCGTCTTCTCGGTTGATGCGGCTGAAGACTCTGTGCTGGCCGTGGTCGGGTTCTCGTTTGTCTTCGTGAGCGCCTGGGCACCTTCCTCAGCAGGCGTAGCCTCCTCGTCGTCATCGGCTAGCTCAGAGCCATAGACCTCGGGGTACTTCCGGAAGCAATCCTGCATGTGCCTGCGCGGTGTCAGCTAATTCCCCCTTGCTGCTCGCTCTCCACACTCGGTGATACGCACTGGAACTTCTCGATACAGTCCATTCCCTTGGGCTCCTCCTTAGAGTAGACGAAGCAGCTGAAGGCGGCCTTGAACTCCTCGCCGCACGGCCCGTGGGCCATGCCGCCAAGGCACGGGCAGTCCCAGTTGATCTCGCCGGTCTCAGGGTCGAAGGCGCCTTGTTGCGTGGCTTCGTGCTCGAGGGCCTCGGGCGAGCCAGGCTCGTGCTCTTGTTCCGGCGCGGCAGCCGGGGCAGCCTCAGCCTTGGTCGGCTTCGCGTCTTCGGATACCGGCATCTCAGGGATGTCGGCGGCTGTCTTCGCTGCTACTGTTACAGGCTCCTGTGCCGGTGGCGGAGGTGGGGGGGCGGAGGCGGCTTGTCGCCGCTTCTCCTCGATCATGGCATCGATGGTGGGAAGGTCGGAATCAGAGAAGTGAGGGGGCGCGGGCCCTACTGGGGCTGCGGTGCAGCTGTGTTAGTGGATTGAGCAGCGCGACAAGATGCAGACCGAACGTACGTGGCAGCTCATCTGCGAAGATAGGACTCGTGTTGTAGAAGTAGACGGCCCAGGTCGCGAGACCCCATCGTAGCGCGGTACCCTTCCATGTCCCCTTCTTCCTTGCCGGGGCCGTGGACATAAGCCGCCGGGACCCGGAGGCGAGCGTTGTAGGTTTGAGGGCGCGCAAAGCGCTGGGCGCTGTCCTAAGCGCCGTGCGATACATATTGGGCTGAGGCTTCCGAAAAAAAAGATCCCAAGATCAATCCACGCGGAAGCCGAGAAGACCCAAAAGCGAAGAAACGAGGGTAGCCGCCGCGACCTCTGGGTGCCGTGTTTGTAATCAACTTCGTTGCGCCAAAATTTCTGGCGATCCCGGCGCTGTCCGAATTGAGCGAGTTAAGACCTGCGGGATTGGCCAATGGCGGCCTTGGCGGCCCACCTGCCTTGTAGGGCGGAGAGTCGACTCAACTCTCTTCGACTTCGAGTCTTGATCCCTCCCTCTCCGACTCACGTCCCGGTTCCGTGTATGTAGTTAACGTTATTCCGTCCTTTGTCAAATCATGCGGAATGCCGGTGACCCGCCGATGGTAGCAAATACAACATGAGTGTTACCGTCGCAGAGGATAATGGAGTTCTCTACCAAACGCCAAGCTACGGAATCCGGATATCCTCTTGCCACCATATCGTTCTTATGCTCATTCTCGACATATGGATTATCGCTCGCCCCAGCCGTTGCTGTTGCTGAGGTGTCCCGTCCCGTGCGGGCTTCTGTTGTTGATCAAGTCCCTTTCCCCGTCCCGGACTCCGTCGCTCACCCTCTCTTCTTGCCGATTTTCATTTGACACCTTTTCTCTGAATCAGGTTGGGCTCTATCGTATAAGCTTCGTAAACTCAGTGTTTCCGTTTCCAGGCCTATCCGGGTGCTGTGTACGGAGCAGTACTCTTGTTGCGTATCGGACGCCACTGATACGGGACCCACTCCTGACCGCAACCACAATCGGAGTCCGGAGTCCGGACGGTTTGCAGTTGAAACTTGAAAGTTATCGCCGAGCAGTGTTCCACTATCCGGGGTTTTTATCATCTGTCAACAACGCAACTTCACCCCCATGCAAGATGAGCGCCGAACAATTCGAGTGGTATCCGGCCGAACTGCTGCGGGCCCCGCACCTGAACCAGACTCTCGGGTTCGCGCTGATCGTGCTCAACCAACCCCTGCATGACCACCATCTTGGCGTGATCCGGCATTTGTGGGATAATGGTTTGTTTGCGCCTTGAACAGGGGGTTCCAGCTCCCATAGACACAAAGCATAACTGACCATAGTCGATGGCACAACCACGACACAGCCTCCGTCCGCGTCGCAGCCGACGGCGGGGCAAACTGCCTGTATCTCGCAGCCGGGCAGCACGGGGACACTTCTTTTGTGAACTCGCCCTCACCATCCCTTGACCCCTACTCCGCCCGCGCCTGCTAAACAGCATCAACAGGACGACCTCCGCCTCATAATAGGCGACCTCGACAGCCTGACACCGGAAGCCCGGACCTACTACGAGTCCAGGCAGAACAGCACTCAACATCCAAAGACGGAGGTGATTCTCGACCCGGACCAGGAATCGACCGACTTCGGCAAGGCCGTCGCCTACGTACGGCAGCATTACCGCCACGCTTCCGGTGCTGCTGCTGCTGCTGCTGAAGATGAAGGCAGCCATGACGCCACCAGACCCCTGGACATCGTAGCGGTCGGCGGCCTCGGCGGGCGCGTGGACCAGGGCCTGAGCCAACTGCACCACCTGTACCTCTTCCAGAACGACCCGCGCTACGCCGAGGGCAGGATGTATCTGTTTAGCGGCGAGAGCCTGACCTTCCTGCTCAAGCCCGGAACGCACCGCATCCGGGTGCGGGATGGACCGGGACCGTCGGCCGAGGACGTGTTTGGGAAGTATGTCGGGATCTTGCCCGTGGGCGGCCCGAGCAGGATTACCACCAAGGGGTTGCAGTGGGATGTCACGGATTGGGAGACCCGTTTCGGCGGGAGGGTCAGTACCAGTAACCATGTGCTGCCCGAGACCGAGGTGGTGGAGGTGGAGACGACGAGGGAGGTGTTGTTTACGATTGCTTTGCGGCGGGCGTGATGACCGGCTGAAATGGGGAGGTTGGATATATCTTGTGCGATGCTGGGTATCAGGAGGCAGGCTGCTTACCGGTTACGGGCATAGAAGTAGACGGTTATGAAGTCCTATTGACGCACGCCAACGCCTGAACTCCGCGCTAGACGAAAGCACCACCAATCTCCCCCCATTAGGCTGCGATCCCTACCGCAGATAATGCAACACCAACCAGCAAAACAAGAAAAACACAACGACCCCGGCCCCGAAGATCCACTTGTCCTGCTTCGCCGCCGCTCAATCATACGAATAGTATCCCCGGAGATGCCGAGTGTGTTGCCCACCGAGTACAGCTTGCGCTGCGTCGACTTGAGCATCTCGCGCTGCTGGCCCAGGTCCCCGAGCACCGCCTGCCCGCGCGCAATGTACTCGTCCAGCGCCGAGTGCGTGCTGGCGAAGAAGGCCTGCTCCCGCAGCGCGTGGCTCTCGCGTGTCACATCCCCGCTGCCCATTCCAAACCCCCCCACTCCTGATGACGGCGATGGTGCTGCTATCCCCCGCTCAGCGATACTCGTCGTCCGCGCATGCCCTCCCCCTCCTGACCCTCCTCCTGATCGATTTAACCCATACCCACCCCCTCCCACAGAAGAAGAGTTATTATAGGGATTCTCCGGCGTCGACGCAGCAAACGGCCTCCTCCCCAACAACTCGCTCCTATTCTCCGCGTGCGCCGCCTCCTCGCGCGCCGCCTTGAGTGTGTCGAGCTGCGCGCGGAAGTCGGCCAGCTCGGCGCGGAAGTCGCGGATGCGCTCCAACGCTTTCTCTTGCTTCGCCTTGTTCAGCTCCTGCTTGGCCAGCGCGTGGTACTCGTCTATCGTGCGGGCGAAGGCAGTCAGCGAGGCTGAGAGGGAGCCCAGCGCGGCTGGCGTGACTTGTTGTGGTTGTTGTTGTGGGTTGTTGTCGGTGGTGGGGTTGGATAGGAGGGAGAGGTCTTTGCGGATTGTCGTGCGCTGTTTGAGCGCCGAGTTGAAGGTTGTGTTCTGCACGCCCCGGGCGGTGGAGGGAGTGAGTAGAGTGGCCGAGATGGGGGCGCTGTGGAAAAAGGGGTGGGGGAGGGAGCTTACCATGCTGGAGGTGTCGCAGTGTCGCGGGTGGTATCGTTGGAGGAATTCGACAATCAGTCCTGAGATGGAAGCGGAACTCGGAATATAGCAGTTTTGCTTTGGCTGTGTCGTCGTACACGAGTGATCGAGCGTTGCGTTGATCTGGCTTGACAGTTCTTAAACAACCGCGACGACTGCAAGCTGGCATCAGGAGTCTCGGCTTTTGTCACACACCGGAGTGAATCTAACGGTGGCCGAACGCACGGACACTGACGAAGTTGCCCGAGCCGGAGCTTCGGCCGAGTGGGGCCATTCTGCGAAGCGTCGGGCACTTTGGACCATGACAACTTCACCCTTTCCATCGCGGGCAGGCACCCTAGCAATCGCGCATGCGATAAGAATCCATCACCTGCATTTCACTCTGTCTTGGCAGCATGTGAGTAATGCCTCGGACAGTGATGGTCATGGCTGGTACGGCGCCAGTACCTACAAGAGGGAATGCCTCGGAAGACCTCAAGGCTCTAACCAGGCACGTGCCAGATTACTTCATTAAGAGTTTCCTACGAATGTGCCTAGTTGGGCACCGAGTCCCTCCTAAAACAAACATCGGGGGTATCTCATCCGTACCATTATTGATTCACTCTATGGAATAATCCAAGCTGACTTGCACCATCCAAACACCCACTCCACACCCATTCCCCTCCCTAGAGTCCTAGACCTTAGGCAGCATGTGTCTTAACCTTGCGATACCTCACCACCTCGACCCCGTCCTCGCCCAGAATCCGCTCGGCCACGATCTTGTGGCCCCTCACAGCGGGCCAGAACTTGGTCCACAGCGTCCAGTAGATCCCGCCCAGGATCAGGACGCCGACGCCGACGACGGGAAACACGTAGTAGGGGTAGCCCTCGGCCCAGAAGTCGCCGTCGGCGGGCGGGATGAAGGGCACCACGGCCAGGAAGGCGTTGCACAGCAGGAAGAGGACCGTGACGGGCAGCCAGGTGCGCCAGCCCGGGTTCCACGGTTCCTCCCCCGATTTCTTCTGGTAGTACTGCAGGTAGATGAGCCCCGCCGCGACGAAGCTGTTGATCCACGCGCCCGGGTAGGTGTACAGGTTGACGATGAAGTTGTAGGCCGGTCCTGGCGGAGGGGCGAGGAGTACGATGATGGTTACGAGCCAGTGCAGGAACAGCTGTTGCGTAGGTACACATATGATATTAGTTTTTTGGTTTTTGGAAAGTAATGGAATGGGGGAAGGGTTGGAAAGTTGTGGGAACGTACAGCAGCAGCGGGCGAGTTGAACGGCTTGTTGGAGGCCCAGAGGCGGCTCAGGGGCAGCAGTCCCTCCTTGCCCATCTCCTGGTTCAGGCGGGCGTGGGCGAAGGACACGGCCAGGACGTTGCCCAGATTGCTGAGAGCCACGAACGCGGGCAGACTGCGGGCGCCGGCGCTGTCGCCGAAGACGTTCTTGAAGAACAGGCCGGCCACGATGACCTCGGAGGTCGCCAGGTCCGACTTGGGGATGGCGGCGAAGTAGGCCACGTTTGCGAGGACATACAGGACGGTCACGGTGCCGACGGCCAGGGGCATGGCGATGGCGAGGGTGCGGCGCGGGTTCTTGATCTCGCTCAGCACGTAGTTGGCGTTCTCCCAGCCCTTGTAGCTGTAGACGATGTTGAGCAGTGCGTTGGAGTAGGCGTATGCGCCGCCGCCGCCATAGCCTTCGCCCGACTCGATCGCGAAGGCGTTGTCGAAGTTGCGCGGGTCCGGGACCAGTCGGCGGCCGGCCAGGGCGGCGAAGCCCGAGAACACGATGAAGAGCAGGATGACCACCTTGAAGATGCCGAGCGCGTTGATCAGCCGGATCCCCCACTTGGGCAGCACCGCGTGCAGCAGGACGGCGAATGTGGCGCAGACCACGCCGATGCCGCGCGCCTTGTAGCTGTCCTTAAGCTCGTTGCCGGCCGCGTAGAGGATGTAGCGGCCGAAGGCGAGCGAGTTGCCCGACGAGAAGCCGAGCAGGATCATCTGGGAGGCGAGCACGCACGAGGCGAGGTACCGGGGACGGCGGTAGATGTGCTCTAGGTAGTTCTTCTCGCCGCCCGACCGCGGGATTGCGAGGCCGAACTCGAGCCATACGCTGAGACCGCAGAAGGTGAGGAAGCCGCCTGCAACGGGGGGTCAGCATGAACGGTTCAAGGCGGCATAGTGATGTGGGGGAATGAAATCCTCACCGATGACCCACAGCATCAAACTGACACCCACAGAACCTGTCGCGGCAAAGATGCTCGAGGGCGTCGAGAAGATACCGGTGCCGATCATCTTGTTGAGGATGATGAAGACGGCGCCCATGACGCCCAGCTTGCGCGAGTCGTCGTACGCATACTTGTTCTCCTCCTTGATCTCGCCCACCTCGGTATCGTCTTGGACGACATGGCCAGCCACCTTGTCGGAGCCGGCCTCCTCGCTGGAGGCATTAAAGATGCCCATGGTGTTGACGCTGCCTTTGCAATCGACACTAGGTGAATGCAGAAACTGGGGCAAGTCGTACAGAACTACGAGGGGTTCGGGGTTGCAGCGCGCGCGCCGATCTCTTTAATACTGCTGCTGCAGACCCCCCGCGCCGTTGCTTTTAAGGTTGATGCTAGGGTACCTCTGCAGGAGCAGGTTTGATTTTGACGTTGTGACGTGACAGAAAGGCTGCACTGGCGCCATCGCTGGCGAACCCTGACGAGGAACTTATCGCCGCTGCCTCAACGAATGCCCTTCTTGCTTGAACTTGGGCTGTCTTGGCCCGAATGTGATCCTGGAAGCCCATGAGACGAGTCGGTCCGTCCCGGTGGAAGGAGGGTCTCACGAGCCTGGTGAGGAAGCTGCAAATGCGATGGTCAGCCCCCCACCATCCTGCCCAATGATGCAATTGCCACTGTTCAAAGCCGTTGCGATTAACACTGCATTCAACGTTCTCTGGTCGGCATCGGCCATGAGCATACTGGCATCGGTCCTATGCATGCCCCCCCAAGTACCTAGATATGAACGTCCAGCTGCGAGAAAAGTCTTTTGTCAAGACCGCGTGAAAAATGAAACGGCTTGCGGCCAACTGCAGGTTGGCCCTGGTCCGCCGTGATGGTACCCTGATCGAGCCGTATTTGGAAGGTCGTCAGCGGTGAGTCTCGGCGCCAACAGGTCGATCAAATTCGCCCGATGTCGTGCTCCCGGCCAAGCATTACGGGAGAATCCTACGGCAACCGTCGACCCCTGCTTGAATCATCTCCAGAGTCCAGACTCCCGTAAGACCTGCTTGTCGCCTCGTGGCTTCACATACATAGTGTAGGTAGGTTCCTGCTCTCCATCATTCGTGTGAGGATGAGGAGATGGAACAAACCACGTCTTTGTGGTCGTAAGGCATAATCACCTGACCTCGGAAAATGAGGGTAAAAGTACCGGCATTGACGGGTTTACATAGGTATATATCTCCCGCCTTAGGTAACGGACCTTGGAGTGCACGTAGGGCAGGTGTAATAAAAGGGGAAATAGAGAGATCGAACGGTTATGGCGCGATGGAATACGTCTGGAGGGAACTCAAGGAATCTAGCACGAGGCGCCGAATGTAATACACCCTTCGTGACGTAGTAGACATGGTCAGCGGCCTCGTGTAATTGCAAGTGGCTTGTATTTCAGCCCGGCTTTCAATGTTTCAGTAGCCCTCGGAAGGTCGCTGTGTCTTGTGTCAAAAGCAGACCTGGCCAACTCGATGATGTCCACAAGTCATTGATCCGAGCTAACTTGCTGTGCAGGGCAGTGTTGCACAACAACCTACTTAGTACTGATAGCTGGAAGTTTGCGGGGTGATGGAACTATGTTGGGTTGTAGAATCACGTTATATGGGTTGGTTGCTAATAATGTGTTCCTCTATGAACCGATGCTCGGTTCCGACACGGGCTTTTCCTTATGGGAGAGATCTCGGGCAACTAGGTACTAGGTGGCCGAGAGCGTGGTCTTGCATATATGGAAAGTTTTGAGCAACTAGAGAGCCTTTCATGTCGTAAATGGTCTATAATCGCACACGGTACTATGCTTCCTACCGCCCGAGTGCCTCAGGCTAAGGTAGATAACCAGCATATATCAGCTCATACATGAACTGTGGTCCGTCGTATCCTGGCTACTGGTCATCCTCCTGCAATACGCCTCCTTCAACTGACCGAGATCCCCATCGACCGAACCATCACGCAAGTACAACCTCATCCAGTCCGCAAACCGCGCAAGCTCCGGATTCACCAGCTCCGGCAGGCTATCATACCCTCCCGGGCAGCTCGGCGACCGCAAAAGCTCCGACAGCTGAGCGGCGTGCTGGCCCCACGGGAGCGACTGATAATCTGCATGGCGCAGAAGAACATGCATCTCCGCCGCCACGAGGCACCGAAATGTCGGCACGAGACACGTACTGGTCGCCCTGTACGCCGTCACGATGGAGGATATGGGCGTGTACGACGATCCGCATTCCGACGCCGCCGCCGCCGCCGTTTCCCCTGAGCCTCTGCCTGTGAGACGGAGCCCGGGAAGTCCCACGGTCTCGGCCGAATACAGGATGACGAACGGGCGCAGCGCGTCGTCGACGGGGTCTCCGGTCTCGGGGAGCTCGTAGATGGGGACACAGCAGAGCCGCATCCGTCGCCGGTCGCCGAACCGGTAGTACGGGGCACGCTCCCGCCATTGCTGGAACGTGGCCGGCTGCTGCTGCTGCTGCTGCTGCTGCTGCTGCTGCTGCTCGGGGTCTTCGGGGACGGAGGGCCGCGCGCCGTGCGAGGTTAGGATGTTGAATGCCCTTTCTTGATCGGCGCCGTTTACAATCAACTCGATATCCTGTTTGGAATGGGAGTCAGTGCTATTCTGGAGAGTTCGGAACTAGAGGCTATGAGGCAAAACGCTGAGATGGTATCATGGTACACACCAATGGACAGAGTCCCCCGCCGTAGTGGGTGGCCGCTATGATCCCCCCGATCGCCGTGGGAACACCACCATCGGCAAGCATGCGCACAAGAATAGTGGCTCCGTCGGTGGTTGCATCTCGGACGAGATGCAGTTGGTTCCCGTCTTCAGACATTGTGGCTGCCCCTGGCTGCTAGAGGCGGACGAAGGCTTTTTTGTCACGGGATGCACATTGACAGTCCACCCGATCATGGTCCCTCTGTTAGGTAAATACCTAGCTAGGCGAGTTCCTTTGACATCATGTCGAGAACGGCTGGTCTTGTAAGTAGGTCGGTCGTGTTCCTTCCAGGATTGGCAACCTTGCGAGTGCTCACAGCCGAGCGACATATTCCCGACGGCCCAACTGAATGGTGCAAATGAAACTCAAACAGGTGGGAATGTCACGCAGCCCATGTACACCGTTGGGGTGCGGATTCGCAAATGTAAAATGTTCAGGTCCAACGGTCTCACGAATAAGCGGCACAGCGTCTGGTGTAATTACATGCCGCCTTTCCCCACTCGCGATGTTTGTTATTAGCGGAGTAGCCCCAGCGGGCCCACGATATCGAGACCGCAGGATATATGAAGGTAACAAGCCTATTGGCTCATCTGGACTAGAACTCTACTAACGAGTGTATGAAAGTGTCTTGTCGTATTCCTTCCAGATCACAGAGCTGGCGGTAGGCTACGAGACTACAGCTCATGGCCGCAAACCCTTGTTTGATCCTCGAGGCCGCCAGCTCGGTGGCCGCGAAACCGAGGATGGCGCCGAAGGCCGCATCGCGTCCGACGTGTGGAGTGCTTGTTCGACGAGCCTGCCGAGCAGTGTGCTAAAAGCCGGATGGCATACAAAACCTGACTGACTGCCTGTCAGAAATCCAAGATCCGAGTCACGCTAGATGTTGAACGTATCGGCCACTACAGCACGCACCGAGACCAACACACATAGCGAGTAACCGAACCGCCATCAAACAGACATGTATTCAGCTAACGGTGCGGGTAAGCACTACGGCGGACAATACGCCCCAAGTATGTACAGCAGCCCAGGCATGCACGTGGGCCAGTACACCAGTCCGACCACCCCTGCGAAGGCCGGCAGCTCAAGCAACGCTGCCAGTAATAAGAGCAGCACAAACACTCCCGCAAGCAAGAAAAGCAGCCCGATGAGCAATGCTTCCAGCAAGGAGAGCGGCCCTAGCGATCTTGCGGGTAAGAAAACGCAGTGTTTACCCTATCGGTTCCGGACGCTGATGCGGTATAGAGCGGACGCAAGTCGCCTTTCGCCAGCTGATTGCTCATCTTCAGAAAGTCACCCCGAGGGGACAGAAGCGTAAGCATCTCTCGTCCCGGCCCCAGACAGGGCGGGGGCTATAATGCTAACCAAAGCTCTGCGTTGAAAGCCATTCTCGCCACGCCTCCCCAGACAGACCTCTACCGCTGTGCTATGTATCTCCACCAGAAGCTGAGCGAAGCCGGGGTGCCCTACTACTTCTGCGGCGGCTTCGCCTGCATCAACGTGGGCATGACGGCGCGTTCGACCGCCGACATCGACATCGCGGTCCCCAACGGGGCCCACGGGTACGGCACGCTTCTCAACATCCTGTCTCGCCCGCCCTTCATCCAGGACAAGACCGGGACGCTGCCTCGCGACTCGTACTACTTCTTTGTCGAATCCAGCGGCAACTTCGTCGAGGTCGACGGCGTGATCGCCGGCTTCATGCAGTTCCCCACGCTCGAGCAGGCCAAGGTCATACAGGCCGGCAAGACCATGAAGCTGAACTTCCTCGAGCCGACCGGGCTGCTGAAGCTCAAGTTTGACGCCTGGTCCAAGAAGAGTCGTCGCGAGGGGCCGAAGAGAAACGGGGATATCACCGATATCACATCTCTCCGGGATCTGCTGATCAGTAACCGCGCTCGAATGGATCTGGTGGAATTGAAGGGCGAGTTCGCAAAGGGGCTCCGCGAGTGGGTCAGGGAGTTTGGCGACTTGAAGCAATGGCAGAAGCTGGATCCGAAGTATCGTGGCTGATCGCTGGGTTTATGACGGCATGCCTACCTATGCAACTGTATCTAACTAAGTAGGTAAACAGAGTCTGGATATGAGTTGACGAGGGGATCCCCGTTGTATTTGTACTAGTAGGAAGAAAAGTGCTGAACAAGGTCTGCTGAGACGTACTATGGCCCAACCAGTTTGAACGAGCATCGTAAACCGGAATGATCGCTCCAAGCGATCGTGTCACCGTTATTGCCGCGGTCCCCGTGGTCTGATTTGTTTATGTAGCCCGGCGACAGGATCTCAATATGCTGCACGCTCAGCCCAAGCGAGACAACCTTATCCATGCGATTCGGCGGAAACGGCTCCTTGCCGTCGACGCCCCATGTGAAGCCCTGGTCACCAGGATGCAGCGTCAGCCACGCGTCCACGAGGCCGTTATCCTCAACGAGCGTCTCATCGCCGGGCAGCACGGGGTTGAAGTCGCCCGCCACGAGCCCCCGGCCAGCGCTACGTAGGAGCGCAGCAGCGATGGAAATCTGCTGAGGCCGGAGGGACGGCTGTATCGGGAGAGAGTCCAAATGCACGTTGACAAGACGCAGGCGGACGCTATCGGCTGACCCGGCCGCCTGGGGGACGAAAACGTCGCAGCAGAGCGCGTCCCTGGCGAAGCGGCTTGGATACTTGACTCTCCATACCGGACCAGGTCTAGGACTCTGAAAGCGCGCCTTGGAAAGGAGAGTGATGGTCTTGAATGACTGTCCGGCAGGAAGGACGCCGTCTGCATCGCTCAGATACCAACCCCGCCGGATCTCTGGGTCATCCAAGAGTTGTAAGAACGCATCACGGGAGAGCTCTTGGAAGTAGATGATGTCGACAGCCGGCGTTAGGGAGAGAGTATGCGACAGGATTGCAGAGAGACGCTGTCCTGGTAAGGGCGACGAGTAGTCGACATTCCAGGTCACGAGGTTGTAGGATGAGCAGTCGGTTTCTCCTTCGCTTGCTCTGTCGACCGAGGGCCCAGTCCTCCTCTCCTGCCCCGTCTCCACGACGCGCCATCGACTGCTACGCTCGTCAAATTCGTGCCATGACTGGAAGGTTGCAGGTACGTCGGAGGGCAACGGCGTGTCTTGCCACCACGAAAGTATCTGCGTGCGGAAGCGGGAAAGGAAAGTCATGGTGATCCTTGTGGTACTGGAGAGGGGATGCAGAACATTTGACACGTTTGGCAGCGGAATTACCACGTTCACTGGGCTGGAGCAACAGTCTTTATCCTCAAATCCGTCTCAATTCTCACTTGCTCCGCGTGCTGTTGGTGTTTCGTTCTGACCCCGGCTCCGCTGTGTCACTGTCAGGTGGAGCTGCACCCCTGGCGCCGCGTGATTGGGCGTTGCGGGGCATCTGTCAGGAAAGAACGGCCGCTAGTTAGCCACCCGAGTTGCTGAGCCGCGGCGGCGTCGCGCGAACCGCGTAACCAACTGGCTTTCCCGGTTCCAGCTTGTTGCATGCCCACCATCACCACCACCAATCCGCCAAATCTCGCAAGTCGGACGCCGCGAGCCCGTCCGTGACCAATCGGCGCCCCAACCACATCGCGTCACTCCCAATTCCTGCCTAACGTTTTCCCAGACAAAGGCTTAAGCCAGGCCCTGCGCAATGACGGACCGGGAGTCGCCAACAATCCCGCAGCGACTCGATCCCGGAGTCGGAGTTGTCGGGGACAAAGCCTCAAGGTCGTTGCCGTATTCGGCATCCTATCCTGGGGTAGGCTTACACCAGACCAATATGGACGATGCCGCTGCTGCGTCGAGGGGTCCCGTTTTCGACAGGCAATCCTTTGCGGTCGACGACGCGATGCGCCTCCCTCAACCCCCCAATCCCCACCACATCGCGCTCTCGCGCAGCACCTCCCAAGGCACCACCAATTCCACGAACGGCGCCGACCCCGTGTTTACCCCGCCCGCAAATGGAGGCAGGGTGAGTCCCGGTTCTGGCAGCGCTGGCGGCTCGAGCCAGGATTCCCAGCTGCGACAGCTGTCCCAGATCGCCGCCGCCCAAGAGAGGATACCCGAGGACACGGCCGAGGCGGGGACCGGCGCGTCAAGGAAGCGAATGGCCGACGGCATGGTCAAGCACACCCGCGACATGTCCAATGTGTCTCCGGGGCAAATGGCTGGTCATTCGAGGAATACCAGCACCGTCAGCGTGGCTTCCACTGCGGGAAGTCGCATTGGAGAGGTACCGTCTTGCTACGGCGCCGCCGAGGCCGGCTGCGTCCACTTGGCCATGTCTCCGTATGCTAACTCGTCGGCAGCTGTCGGCTGAACTGAAGACGCGCTTGTCGTACGCCATGGTCAAGGTAACTCATGGCTGGCAGTCGCATTCCATCGACCAGGTGGAAACACTGGCCTCGCAAGCGGCCTCTCCTGCTTCTACTGCCTCTACAATACACATGAGGAACGGGTCCTCAGCAAGCCCTCAGCTTTCTGCGGCTTCACATCCGGCGAGCAACAACGCGACCCCCGCTACGGCCCCATATTCTCAAAATGCAGGTCGTCCTGGAGATCTCCGGTGGAGAGAATCCCCGCAGTCTACGTCGCGAGGAAGCTCAGCATCCCCTGTCAAGACCAACCCCGGTCTGGCTCCTCCAGTTTCCATCCAGCCGTCTCAGCACCCAGGCAACCCGCGGCGTGATCCCAATGCCAGACACGTGCCTTCGTTCCTGTCCACTCATCATACCTCACCGCGGTCAGCGCTGCATACAAGCCCGTATCTTGCCCCTGGACGGCACCAGGGCGCAATGGCTGAAGCGATGCTGGTCTCCCCGCACACCAACGTCCGTGAGCAAGATGCGATAGAGTCGCTCCTCTTCATGAGCAGCCCGGGCAACTCGGCCAACCTCAAGCACGCCTTCCCCAGCTCCTCCCAGCCTCTCCCGTCCAGCCACCACGCAACAGGGCCTCAGAGAACCGCCCTGCCCACCTCGCAACCGCGGAAAAGCCTCCCGTCCGGACGACCATCCCACCACTCCCGTTCGCAATCCCAGTCCCAACCAACAACGACAGTAACCAAGCGCGTCAACTTCGAAAAATCGCCCTCCGCAATGGACATCGACGAACCACAACAACAAAAACAACCCTTCGGCTCGCCCATGTCCGTCACCCGCGGCACCCCACAACAACGGAGGAGGATGAACGGTAGCAGCAGCAACAACGGCGGCGACCACCTACTACCCCCTCCTCCTCCACCACCACCTCCTCCGGCGGGAGTAAAGCAGCTGCCCGTGTCGGCGGGGTTGTCGGTGCCATCCAGACCGCGCCCTGCGCTGGCGGACGAGGAGATCGATGCCATGTTGGAACGGGCGGCGGCCGCGGCGGAGGACTCGGATTCCGATGGGGAGATCCAGATCCCTGTAAACATAGCGAGGGGGCGTCGGGACGGCGCGAGCGCGACGGGGGCGGCGGGGACTGTGGTCAGCTGATTTTTTTCTCTTTCTGATTCTGGCTTTGGACTTCATGCCGAGGGATGGTGGGGCGTTGCATGAGCTGGAAGGAAGGGAAGGTGAGCGGTGCTTTACCCTTCCACGGGCACACACAGAGAGCCATACAATGGGATACATGCTTTATTCTCTCATCTAGCATAGCGAGCAAGATCTATCTTCTGACTGACTTGTGAATCCGGATTTTCTTTTCACCATTCAACACTGTGCATGTCGTTCCCTATTCTTTAGCCATCATGATGTCTGTTTTGCGCACTGAGATCTGAGCCACATGCCTAGGTGCCTTACCTTGTGTGATGGGTTGGCATCTAAAGAGGATTTCGGAGAGTTTTGCATGGCTTTGGTTTTTTTTTTTTTTTTTTTTTTTATTCCTTTCATGAAAAGCATAGTTACCTGAGTTAGCTCTAGCTTCATGAGGCACATGATATGGATGGGATCTCTCGCTTTAGGTGGTGTTTTCCTTGCGCTTTTTCAGGAGCAAAGCAAAAATAGGTTGCGCATTTTGGGGGCCTAGTGTTGGTGTTTGTGTTTGTTTGGGGTGGGGGGGGGGGGGATGGGGTATGCAAGGAACCATACCGTCAAAACCCGGCATAGAGTAGAGTAAATGAACGTTACACGCTCCTTACCCGAAAGCTGTGTGCTCTCATCTCAAGCTGTTCATGAGAGGGGTTGGAGTTCTCGTCGGCTGGAGTCGGTACGAGCTATGCCAAAGGCTACAGTCGTTGGTTTGACCGTACCTACAGGGACTTAGTGGGCTTAATCAGGGGTCTGTTTTTCTTCTGGTTCCCCCTCTGTGTCTTGTAGTTATGTATTGACGTCGCAGGACACTGACTGGGGAATCGTCCCAGTGATAGGAGTGATCGACAGGTGCACGAGGGGGATAACCGGCACTATGGCCTTCAGCTTATTACCCCTTATAGAGCTCCCATTCACCACATGGTGATCATGAATCTCATTAGTACTGTTAACTCGTCAGCGGGGATCTCGAAGGCTGAAACGCCTGGATGATTAAAACGCACAGCTGTACCTTATGAACCCCTTGGCTGGAGGAGATATGTACTGATTACGCAGCACAAGTCCTTGACACCCAAGCTCCTATGCACCCAAATCGTGATTGCTAAGCCGGGACCCGCTTGATGGCCGCCGAGCCATAGTACTCATACAGAGATCCTTGGAGAAGATTGAAAGCAGGAACAAGGAATTCAAAATCACGACTATGAAACCCTGTCCTGTCCTTCTTCAAGCCACATGCATTTGTAGGATGTCAACCATCGGTCCTATGTGAGAAGAGAGAAAAGAATTCCCTTTCAAAATTGCAGGGCCTTGGTTTGAACTTTGAAGCTCAGGGTTACTATGAAAGACGTCCTGCAACTCACGCCAGATGATGTCCTACAACACTGACCGTAGGCACCGCACAATCTGACTCTGATGCTCTGTGCAGCGAAGACACAAGCAAAAACAGAAGAGAGTGAGAAAGGGAGAAATGTAAAGCGAAGAAGCAGGAAGGGAAAGAAAAGGAAAGAAAAGTAAAGAAATAAAAGGGTAAGTTAGACAAGAAAAGGAAGCAATACTCTATTATCAGCTAAATCGACAAATATCTAAGGTACCTAGCCAGTTGATGCTGGTGTATGACTCTGTTTGATCAAAGGGAGGCAGGATCGAGCAGACGGAATTCTCGAGTTTATTCTCGACTCATGGCATGGGACTCAGCCTGCCAGGAGAATCATATGTCGCCTCATAGTTCAAGTTTACGTTACCTAAATTCATGAATATGGCTCAGGGGTAGCTGCCAGCTGGCCACCAGCCGGTGACATACGGCCGGCGCAAAGCATCTGCCAAGAATTGCGACTCGGCCAATTGGCCACACGTCGCTAGGTTGCCCGTTGAACATCTCGTTCTTTTCCATCCTCGACTTTTTCGTTCCATCAGCGCCGCCTTTTGTTCTGACTCGGCCGCTGCCTTCCATGACGGCACGGTAGACGACGTTTCTGTGTTTCCTTCTGACCGACCAGCCATGGCGCCGCTCGTCGACAACCCGCAGATCAAGAGCGCCGAGCTGCTGCGGCCGCTGCCGCTCTATCAGCATGCCTACGTCTGGCCCTTCGCCATAATCTGGCCCGTCTTCCTGCGCTACTACCTCAGCGCCGAGCTGTACGACAGGTACATCCAGGCCCAGGAATGGACGTTCGTCTGGGTCGGCAGCATCATTACCGTCCAGACGCTGGTCTGGTTGTGCACCCATTGGAGCGTCGACCTCAACGCCGCCTTCACAGCCAAGAAGGCGCGCTCTGTCGAGGATGCCCGGCTGATTAAGGTTATCCCCATTGCCAACGCCGGCACTGCGGATATCTGCAAACTTGAGCGTGACAAGGTGAGGTCTTCTGCGAAGGTGTCCCCCCGCCGGTTTACCCCACATACCTGCGACCATGAGGTGCTGACTGACTTTGCCTTCTCAAAGGTCGGAGACAAGACGAACATCTCCTTCCTCTTTCAGAAGCGCCGATTCCTCTACAACCCCGAGGCCAAGTCGTTCCGTACCCTGGAATATGACATCGATGCCGAACCGAGGCCGAAGTTGGAGAAGTTCCAGAAGTCCAAGGGCATCACGAGCGCAGCCGAGCTGCAGCGCCTCGAGCAACACTATGGCACTAACACGTTCGACATTCCCGTCCCTACCTTCACCGAGCTCTTCAAGGAACATGCGGTCGCGCCTTTCTTTGTGTTCCAGATCTTCTGCGTCGGCCTGTGGCTGCTCGATGAGTACTGGTACTACTCGCTGTTCACCCTCTTTATGCTCGTTATGTTCGAGAGTACCGTCGTGTGGCAGCGCCAGCGGACCTTGACCGAGTTCCGCAGCATGAGCATCCAGCCGTACGACATCTACGTCTTCCGCCAAGGCAAGTGGACTGAGATCAAGAGCGACAAGCTGTTGCCGGGCGACCTGGTGTCCGTCACGAGGACCAAGGAGGATAGCGGTGTGGCCTGCGACATGCTGTTGGTGGAGGGGACTGCCATCGTGAACGAGGCCATGTTGTCTGGCGAGAGCACCCCTCTTCTGAAGGATTCCATCCAGCTTCGGCCAGGGGATGTGCCGATCGACACGGACGGCCTGGACAAGAACTCGTTCCTGTGGGGTGGCACCAAGGTGCTCCAGATCACCCATGGCAACGTCGAAGGGGAGAGGCCAAAGGTGGCGTCTGGCGTTCCTGCGCCGCCGGATGACGGCGCCATGGCCATTGTGACCAAGACTGGCTTCGAGACATCGCAGGGCAGCCTTGTGCGGACCATGATCTACTCGACCGAGCGTGTATCAGCCAACAACGCCGAAGCGCTTTGGTTTATCTTGTTCCTTCTGGTCTTCGCTCTGGCTGCTTCCTGGTACGTGTGGGACGAGGGTGTCCGCAAGGATCGCAAGCGCTCCAAGCTGCTGCTGGACTGTATCCTTATCGTTACGAGCGTGGTGCCGCCCGAGCTGCCTATGGAGCTCAGCTTGGCCGTCAACACCAGCTTGGCTGCCCTCTCCAAATTCGCCATCTTCTGCACCGAACCGTTCAGGATTCCATTCGCGGGCCGTATCGATGTGGCCTGCTTCGACAAGACCGGAACGCTGACCGGGGAGGACCTCGTTGTGGAGGGAATTGCAGGTCTCGGTCTTGGCCACTCGGGCACGGACACGCCTCGCGAATCCGATGGGGCCCATAGCAATATGAGCAAGGTGGATGAGGCTGGCATGGAAACCATCCTGGTTCTTGCTACTGCCCATGCATTGGTTAAACTCGATGAGGGTGACATTGTCGGCGATCCCATGGAGAAGGCTACGCTCAACGCGCTTGGCTGGAGTCTCGGAAAGAATGACACATTGACGAGCAAGCCCGGGAAGGCTTCTTCTACGGGGATTTCGGGCACTGTCCAGATCAAGCGTCGGTTCCAATTCTCGTCTGCGCTGAAGCGCCAGAGTTCCGTCGCGAGCATCAACGCCACCGACGCCAAGACGGGTAAGAAGCTGAGAGGCACGTTCGTTGCGGTCAAGGGTGCGCCCGAGACGATCATGAAGATGCTGGTTACGATTCCGAAGGATTACGAGGAGACGTTCAAGTATTTCACTCGTCGCGGTTCCCGTGTTTTGGCCCTGGCGTACAAGCAGCTCACCACCGAGGGCGAACTGGGCGCGAGCAGGATTCTGGACCTCAAGCGCGAGAACGTTGAGGCCGATTTGACTTTTGCCGGCTTTTTAGTCCTCCAGTGTCCGCTTAAGGAAGACGCCAAGGAGGCCGTCCGGATGCTGAATGAGAGCAGCCACCGCGTGGTTATGATCACTGGCGACAACCCACTCACGGCCGTCCACGTTGCGAAGGAAGTCGAGATCGTTGATCGAGATGTCCTCATCTTGGATGCTCCCGAGCACAGCGTCCATGGCGAGGAGTCCCTTATCTGGCGTAGTGTTGACGATAAAGTCCATATCGACGTCGATCCTACGAAGCCTATCGACCCCGAGATTATCAAGACAAAGGATCTGTGTGTTACCGGCTACGCCCTGAGCAAGTTCAAGGGGCAGGTCGGCTGGAAGACGCTTCTGCGGTATACCTGGGTGTATGCCCGCGTCTCCCCGAAGCAGAAGGAGGACATCCTGCTCGGCTTGAAGGATATGGGATACTTCACTCTCATGGCCGGAGACGGCACCAACGACGTCGGCGCTCTCAAGCAGGCCCACATCGGTGTTGCTCTGTTGAACGGCACCCAGGAAGACCTCACTCGCATTGCTGAGCATGCTCGGAATACCAAGATGAAGGACCTCTACCAGAAGCAGGTCAGCTTGATGCAGCGCTGGGGCCAGCCGGCCCCTCCGGTCCCTGCCATGATCGCCCACCTCTACCCACCTGGACCCTCCAACCCGCACTACGAGAAGGCGATGGAGCGGGAGGCGCAAAGGAAGGGCGTCACAGTCGAACAGCTGGCCAAGGCCAACGGCACCGCCCCCAGCATGGAGACGGTGACGTCTCCGGCCGCCCAGAAGCTGATCGACTCGGACCCGCGCAAGGCCAAGCAGGCCGAAGCGGCCAAGAAGGCGGCCGGCTTTGCCGACAAGCTGACACAGTCGATGATGGACGCCGAGATGGACGATGAGCCGCCCACACTGAAGCTGGGCGATGCCTCCGTCGCGGCGCCTTTCACCTCCAAGCTCCGCAACGTCGTCGCCATCCCGAACATCATCCGCCAAGGCCGCTGCACGCTGGTGGCAACTATTCAGATGTACAAGATTCTGGCTCTGAACTGCCTTATTAGCGCATACAGCTTGAGCGTCTTGTACCTGGAGGGCATCAAGTTTGGCGACGGGCAGATCACCATCAGCGGCATGCTCATGAGCGTGTGTTTCCTGTCGCTGTCACGCGCCCGCACGGTCGAGGGCCTGTCCAAGGAGCGACCGCAGCCGAACATCTTCAACTTCTACATCATTGGGTCCATCCTGGGCCAGTTTGCGGTGCACGTGGCCACTCTGATCTACATTGCCCAGTACTGCGAGCAGCTTGAACCGTAAGTATTCTCTTCACCACGTCCTTCTCATCTCCATTACTTGCGTCTCGTGTGCTAAATAAAGAAACAGCCGCTCCGAAGCGCCTGACCTTGAAGCCGAGTTTCAGCCCTCGCTCCTCAACTCGGCCGTCTACCTGCTGCAGCTCATCCAGCAGATCTCGACCTTCGCCGTCAACTACCAGGGCCGCCCCTTCCGCGAGTCGCTGTCCGAGAACAAGGGCATGTTCTACGGTATCCTGGGCGTCACGGGCATCGCCTTCGCCTGCTCCACGGAGTTGATCCCGGAGCTCAACGAGGCCATGAAGCTGGTCCCGTTCAAGGACGAGTTCCGCACCACCATCACGACCATGATGGTCCTCGACTACGCGGCCTGCTATGTGATTGAGGTCGTGCTCAAGTACCTGTTCAGCGACCTCAAGGCGCGGGATATTGCTGAGCGGCGCCCCGAGCAGCTCGAGCGGGAGCGGAAGAGGAAGGCGGAGGAGCTGAGGCTGCGGGAGATCGAAGAGGAGAGGAAGCAGGCGGAGAAGGTGGCCGAGTTTGAGAGGCGCGTCGAGGCGAGGAAGGAGGCTCTGCGCGCCAGGTTTAACAGTGCGAATTGATCAAAGAGTCCGATAATAGGATAGAATGTATGTAAACCCAAGTAGAGTGGGGTGATGTTATCATATTATTAGATGGTCTGGATATAGTAGACAGATAAGGGTGTCTCCTTGCTTGTGTACTGTTATGGTACGACTCAGCCGGGATACCTAGATGAGGTGACATAAACAGGACGCACATGAACCAGGGTACAGCAGGGTGGCTGTCATCCGCGGGGTTCCACTGGGATGGTTGATCGAACACATTGATATCATCTAACGGTTTTATTGTACACAGAGCTAAGCTAATGCTTTTGCCATGGTTGCTTTGCTACGCCACGGGTCCTTAAGGTACCACAACTCCGGTCCGGGTTTCCTCTCACAAAACGCCCAGAACCCCGAGTCTACGACCCGGCCAAAAAAAAGGATGTTGCTTGTTTGGATTGAATTGCCTCCTATCCGTCTCTCGTTTCTCGTCATCAAGATGACCTAGTTTAAACAAGGAGCAAGGTATTTCAGATCCGATGAGACTTTTTTTAGTTGCCCGGGTTCTTGGCAACGAACTCCTTGCCCTTCTGGATGTTCTTCTTGAGGTCGGTGAAGCAGGCCTCGAGCAGCTTCTCCTCGACGGCGTCGACCTTGCCGACGGGCAGCACCTTCTCGACGCCGTTGGGGCCCAGCTCGACCTTGGAGCTGAAGAAGTCGATGCCCTGGTCCTTGTACAGCGGGCTGTCGACAAAGGTCGGCTCGATGACGCCCTTCTCGCCCTGCGAGGCGCGCAGCAGCGACTCGGCCATGCGCGCGCCCGCCATCGCCATCGACAGCGTGGCCGAGCCGGCGCCGTCTTTGGCCTTGACGACCTCGTCGCCGCCGAACTGCACGCGGTTGATCAGCTCGCTGTTGGACGACAGCTCCGGGTGCCGGCTCTGGCTGAAGAGCGGCACGATGGTCACGCCGCTGTGGCCGCCGACCACGGTGATGTTCTCGTCGGCCGGGTCGGTGCCCTTGATCTCGCTGACGAAGCGGCTGGCGCGCACCACGTCGAGCGTGGTGACGCCGAACAGCCGGCGCGGGTTGTAGACGCCACGGGCCTTGAACACCTCGGCGCAGATGGGCACCGTCGAGTTGACCGGGTTGCTGATGACCAGGATGTTGGCGTCCGGGCACGACTCGGCGCACGCCTTGGCCAGGTCGCGCACGATGGACGCGTTGGTGTTGAACAGGTCGTCGCGCGTCATGCCCGGCTTGCGCGGCACGCCCGCGGGGATCAGCACCACCTCGGCGCCCTTGAGCGCGCTGGCCAGCCCGCTCGGCGTCGGCTCGTAGCCCTTGACGGTCGACTTGGTGTTGACGTGCGACACATCGGCGGCCACGCCGGGCGCGCCGCGGATGTCGTAGAGGGCGAGTTCGCTGACGCGGGGGTTCAGCTTGAGCAGGAGAGACAGCGGCTGGCCAATGCCGCCGGCGGCACCGAGAACGGCGACCTTGGAGAGCTATTGTATTTTTAAAAAAAATTCAGTCAGTCTGCTTGCGCCTCATTGACGTCAATTGGTGCCGGGCCGGGAGGGTGTGTGTGTGTGTGTGTGTGTGTGTGTGTGTGCGATGCCGGAAGCAGATCGATCAAATCGACTGGGGGAATTCTTCGAGTGGCAGCAGCTTCTCGTTGCTTACATTTCTTGCCGACGCCGAGAAGGCGCGGGTCTGGATCCTGGAGGCCATGAACATCTTGACGAGAGTGACCGTTTGTGAAGCGTCGACTTCGTGTGGGTGACGGGCAAGGATGTGGGAGGTGGGGAGAAAACAAACAGAGAGCGGCAAGAGAGATGATGTTGAGTGAAAAAAGTTGTCCTTGTCCTATCCCGGGTTTAGCGCCATTCGGGTGAGTGGACCGGGCAACGTTCGGCAGGATCGGACGCCGGAAAATCCCGCGTGTGCGACCCACTTGTTCCCGATTCCCGGTCTCGGATCTCCTGGCATGGCAGAACTGACATCCGTCCATCGTCCATGGTTAGGGTGGAAGGACACAGCAAGGGTTGCACAAACTCTCGTTCTACTTTGTATCCTGAACTCAATTGACCTTCCCAGCCCAGGCGTCGTCGAGTTTACACTTTTACTGCTGCCGCCGAGACCTGCACCATTACTCTGCTTTCCGGTCTGTTTATGGTCCCCACAACTCGTTGAAGCGTGGGGTCCTGGCATGGCTCCACTACCCCGGACGTTCTTGGCACACACATTGACATTGAGCCTTTCTCCTCCCGCCCATCAGAGATCAATCCCCATGTACTTGGAGGTTAAGCTCATTCCGCCGAAGAGCTACCTTGAAAGTTTCAGTGCGAGCTGCAGATCCTCCCGGGTTTGGGGAACGTTGACCTTCGTTTCAGCCCACCTATTTATCGGTGAGCCGAAGACATACTAGTATTGTTGGTCGCAGGAAACTACTACTAGTACCTCGTAGCCAGTTGATAATGATACAGGGACTAATACTAATATGGGATATCAACAACACCTAAAACGACGTGTAGGCCATTCCAGACTATACCCCCTACTGTGTGAGGACAATGCCGCCAGACTCATGACTGCATCGCAACGGCATGAACAGGTACCCATCCCTTCAGCCGATCGTGTAACACACCCTCTATGTGCTCCGCACGCATTGAAGAGTCGGCTGCACCCCGCATCTGGGCTCGCCAAAGCACGTGTGATTTGGAGTCTCAATGGACGAGTTAAAGGGATAGCAATGATAGCATTGTCGGGGCAACGAATGTGCACTCCCGTCGTTACTCGCTTACGAAATCCAACAGCAGAGCTGCTCACCCATCAACCGGTATGTACATTTACTCTGCTACTGTGCTAATCCTAGCTTAATGTAAGGTAGTAATGGAAACTGATCCCATATGCTTCTGGGAATCTACTCCCCGTCCAGCCTGCTTAAACCCCCATGGTTCTGCCCTAAGAGGCCCAGGCGTCCAATCTCTCCAACTCCAACACGCTCGTCGTGACGGCAGTGAGCCGACGGCCGAGTAAATATGGTTCGCGTTGGCTATCGTTTACAGCGCCGTGGGGGCCGGGGATGAGCTGCTTGATATTTCAACAGCAACCCTGTAGGATGTGATGGGGCAACGATAAGGGCTCGCCAACTCAGCTGCATGAAGAAAGCCAGACTGGTGAGCTATCCCTTTCTCAGCTCGCCCCGTGTGTCGCGGGCACCGTTCGACTATACAGTATCAGAGCAGTTCGCTTTCCACGTGTCTTCCGGCTTTTGACCCTGTCGGTTCACAGGAAGCAAGGGGGATATCACTTCTAGCTTCATCCGACTCTGTAGATGAGGTGGTAGTACATATAGTACGCTATATATACTCCAACCCTAACCTGTCTACTCTCCTCTCCTTTCTATACAATACCCCTCCTCTCTCCCACCCCCCACTCCAACCACCACGCTGCATCCCCTGCTTCAGCCACCAACACACAGTCACACACTGCTCAACACCCAACATCATACTCCTCCGCCCTCGCCAAGCTAACCGTCCGATTCCTCCACCCAATCCTCGCCAACGTCTCCCCCCTTCCTCCTCCTCCTCCTCCTTGACCCTCATACCTAGGCCAACCCATCCTCTCCAACCCCCTTTTAGGATCCTTCGCAAAACCCGCCCAAGCCTTCCGCATCCACCTCCCCACCTCTTCCTCCTCCCTCGTATTCCGCACAAGACTCTCATCGACATTCCCAAACAACAGCGCCGTCTCGCTGTCATGGTACGCCCCCGTCGGTCCGGGCCGCGTGCCCAGCTCCGTGTTGGGGAACACCCCGAACCAGCGGTACCGCCACGTGGGCTGCCGCTCATCCACGGCTGAGCGGCGGGCGCGCCGCGCCGCGGGACACGTGAATTCCTGCGCCGTCTGGTTGGTCCAGAAGGAGTCCGAGTCCGGGCCGGGGACAAATACCCGGAAGAGGGCGGCCTCGGTGTCGGTGGAGCCGATGACCATGGGGACCGGGGCGACGGGTCTGGTGGCCGGGGAGGAGAAGACTAGGACGTTGTCGATTGTCGGGGAGTAGGGCATGCGGATGGGCGAGGAGACTACGTTGACGAGGGTCGACACGATGGCTGCTGCCGGGACGGATTGCATGCACGCAGCGAGCTGGAGCTGGGCGGGCGACGGGGTGGTGGAGGCGGAGGCGGAGGCGGAGGCGTTATCGCCGCAGCCGACGTTGCGAGTGGTGTTGTACCAGAGGAGGGCGGCGTCGGCGGCCGAGCGGGGCGCGATGCCCTCGCGCGTGCCCGACATGGCGATCAGTCCGGCCACGATCGGGTCGGATGCCCAGGCGAACGAGTAGTGGTCGACCGAGGCGGCGCCGGCGGACTCGCCGAAGAGGGTGATGCGCTGCGGGTCGCCGCCGAAGGAGGCGATGTTGTCGCGCACCCACTCGACGGCTAGGCGCTGGTCGAGGAGGCCGAGGTTTTGAGGGCTGTGCGGGTTGCCGGGGAAGCCGAAGATTGAGACGCGGTAGCTGGTTGGAAAGGGTGTTAGACAGAACTGTGAGTGAGGTGGAGCGGGGCGGGGGAGAGGGGAGGAGGTGGCTGACTTGATCGTGACCATCACCACGTCTTCTTGGTCCGCGAAGAACTGCCCGTTGTACGCGGGGATCGCAGAGCTTCCTGCAATACGAAGCAGCAAGTCAGACGTCGGTGGTAGCGAGATATAGCGCAGGACCTTTCCTTACCCCCAACAAAGGTTCCGCCATGCACAAAGATCATAACGGCCTTGCGCTTGTCTCCCGTCTGCGGCTTTGTCCAGACATTAAGAGTAAGACAGTCCTCGCTGACCGGGATCTCGGGGTTCATGATGGTCTTCAGGATCGCGAGGCCCACGTCCGTGATGCCGTACTTCTCCGCCAGCCCCGATGCCTCGTAATTCCCATCCCAGGCGGTGACATTGGACGGAATACATGCGGCGCCCTAGGCTAGTTTAGTAAAAAGGATGTTTGTGTGGTCACTGGCAAAAACGGAGGCGGGCCCAACAATAACATACGAAGTGCTTGCCGTCGATCTTCTTGGTCCCGTTGTACCGCACCGGAGGCTGGAACCGGAGGCTCCCGACAGGCGGCTGGGCATAGGGGATCCCAAGATACTCGGACACGCCCTTTGCCACGGACGCGGCGTGTCCCTCGACGGGGCCGCTCGTCGTCTGCACCGTCTGTCCTACCGTCCACCGCGGCGGACGGCATGCGGAGGGCGCTGCAAAGGGGATGGCCGCGAGGGCGAAGGTCACAATGGGGAACTGCTTCATTCCGGCTTGTCGATGGCTCGGAATTCGAGGAGAGTGAAGTTCGTGATGTTGCGGATGACTTGGGAATGAACAGCTGGGTAGTCCGCGACATTTATATTCCTCTTTCCCTCATCCAGTCTGGACTGCTCATGTCGCCTTCATCTCCCCTTTTGCCGTGGGCCGATCCTGCGCCTCTGTCAGTGCCATCTCGCTGACAAACACCGTCGGATTTGAATCCGAGGTTGCGTGGGCGTGTAAGCGTCTAAGTGGAGCACTACTGGTCTACTAGTACCTGAGGTGTAGTCATTGGGGACTGGGGTCACCCAACTAGAACCAGTCCAGTCAGCTGCCATCTCAGTGTGCACTCAAACGATCTCCCCGCCTCCAAAGTGGATTTCATCTGAACCTTGATAGCAGATACTTAGCTCCAGGTTAGCATGCTAGTTGCCATGCAAAACGCGCGAACGTACGTCATGCTGTCTCTTGGCGATGAGGCTGGGGCTGAGCTGCCTGAGCTCACAAGTCTTGTCGCCCGTAAGCACGGCATTACATCTTTTCCGAGCCTTGCAGTGCTCAATCGGTCAACCTCCTATCGCAATTTCTATCAGTCCTTCAAGTGGTGTTCGCATCACACATACCTCCTTCTCGCCTCCCACCTCCCTTATTTCAATTTGTAGGCCTTCTCCCTTGTGCTGTACTATCGTCGAGGTTGCACCAAGTGTCATTCTTTTTGAAATCTTGGACGGCTGGCTGGAGCGACGGAGCCAACATCAGACGTAAGACAGGACGAGAGCTTGGCGGGTCTTGACGCCACCGGAAAGGCGATGAGGTGCGAAGCGCACCAGGGCATCGCACAGAGAGAACACGCCACGGGCAGCGGGGTCATCCGCCCCGACGGCCCGACCTCAACGTCTTCAGGATCTACTATGCCGCCGCCGGCATCGGCTGAAGGATTGGTCGTGGCAGTGACACCCGAATAGATTTGAAGGGAGGTGGGAGCGTATCTGGGACGACAGGAGCGCTGTGGGTTTGTGTGGGCGCTCGACTGTGCCAACGGACTTGGAAACGCGCTCTGGGCGGCTTGTTGGTTGTTGCTAGTTCGCCCTTTTCGAGCAGCGCACATGCTGTCGACCGCTGTAACGTACGAAGCGATCTGCTTTGCACTCGGCAGCGCCCTGCGATTCGTTATCACCGGCGCAGAGGCTTTTCCCAAACCGAGCCCGAGATGTCGAGCGGCGTTTCCGCGCCGGTGAGTCCCCCCTTGCCCCCTGCCCGCCGCCGCCGCCGCCGATGAGGAGGACGTGTGCGCTGCTGTCACCGGCGCGATGCTGGCGCCCAGCTCTACGCAGCAGCAGACCTCAAGGCTAATCCAGGCCGCCATTCCACGTGGCACAGCGTCGTAGGCTCGACACGGCCAGCGCTGCCCGTGGCCACATGTGCGAACCGAAATCGAGGGACAAACCACAAGCCCGGGGGCCCGCAGCGCTACCTAGCACTTGGGGCAAAGACCTCTCCGCTTGAAGGACCGGGCGAAGTGGACGTCCTTGTACCCTTCACAGCCGCTTTTTGAGCGGGGGCAAGGCGGCTGGGGGTCGTATCCCGTGACGACATGCTTCGGGGTTGCGGTGCAGCTGGCATAGACTTCCGTGTAGACAAACCGCCGGCACATGGGCAAAAAGGGTAGTGATAACGGCGGAGGACTGTGTCTGATGCGTGTTCTGTCGGTCGCTTATTATTACCGATCTGATGAAATGACTTGCTTGAGAGTGAATGGAAGGAGTGTCAGTAGCCCTCCCAGTCCCTGAGCGCCGGGAGCAGCTCTTCTTCTATAATGAATCATGTCTGGCTGAAGCTGGCGAAGCTCATGGCTGGTCTGGCAGCAACAGATATGGACTCCCGGCTACCTGAGGTAGGCTGCTCGTCCTCCGCAAGGGAGTACGCTGGGGAGAGTCGGCTTCTCGTCGACCTCCTTGGGCGCAGCGCCCACGACGCCCAAAGCTTGTAAGCCAAGATGATCCTCGCAATCCACAAATTCGTCAGTCGATTCTTACAGACTTGCAGGGTTCTTGGGCATTGTTGGAGGAGCCCTTGAGGTGCTTGGGTTAGCTCTTCCGTTTCATGGAGATCAATATTAGTCGAGAGAGCAACTATTCAGTTTCAGCGTCACATTATTGAACCAAGGGACAATTTCAGTCACTACTAAAGAAGTATTGTATATTAGGTCATCGTCGATGAAAGAGTGTGGTTTCCTGTGGGTCTCCTGACTGCAATGCCGACTCGTTCGATACCGATGACGACATGAGCCCTCGATCTTGTCACCTCACAGCCAGAGCAGCCAGTCAGAATCACCCCAGACAGCACAAAACTAGAAACGACCGACTGCAGCCACCGCACGGCATGGAGTATTTCATGTCCCAAGAAGAGCACGAGCGTCGACTCCAGCACATCCGGGACAACGAGCTGCATCAACAAATCAATCAATCCCATCCACCTTCGCAACAACAACAACAAGAACGAGAACAAGAACAACAACAACAGCAGCACCACCATGTCGACCGCCAACACGCAACAGCAGAAACCCATCCGCGAGACCACCCACCCGCCGCTGATCGTCAACACCAGCAAGCGCATCCCCCTCCTGCAAGCATCGACCCACCACCCGGACCCCGAACCGACTCTCCCAATCAAGCAAACCAGAATCAATACCGCCCGCACCAACCCAATCTCCATCCCTGATTCCTCCTCCTCCTCCTCCTCCCCCCGCGGTGGCTCAGGCTCGATCTATTTCATCGGCAACGCCACCACCATAATCCAGTACCCGCCCTTCCGCCTGCTCACCGACCCCAACTTCCTGCACGCCGGCGACCACGTGCACCTGGGCCCCGGCGTGACCGCACAGCGGCTGACCGACCCTGCCGTGCCCGACCTCGGCGCCCTGCCGCCCATCGACGTCGTGCTGCTGTCGCACTACCACGAGGACCACTTCGATCGGGAGGTGGAAGCCCAGTTGGCGCGGGACGTGCCCATCGTTACGACGCAGCATGCGAGGAAGTGTCTGACGCGGGAGGGGAAGGGGTTTCGGGCCGTTCGGGCGCTGGGGGAGTTTGAGGGGTTGGTTGTTAGGGATGAAGTGCAACATGCGAAGGGGAAGGCGGAGGGGGAGGGGAAGAAGGAGCCGGCGGTTAGGGTCACTGGCATGCCGGGGAAGCATGTCCCGCCCGGTCTGCTGGCCAGGGCGAATGAGCTGCTCGGCGCGGTGCCGCCTACGAATGGGTGGTTGGTGGAGCTGGGTACTATTACTAGTGGTAGTACTTCCGGGACGACGGAGGAGGGGGAAGGGGAGGAAGGGTTTGAGACCGGGTACAGGATCTACATATCGGGCGACACGCTGTTTGTGGACGAGCTGAAGGAGATTCCGGCGCGGCTGCAGGGCGACAAGATCGACCTAATGCTGGCCCATCTGGGGGGGACCACCATCCCGGGACCCTACCTGCCGCTGCTCATGGTCACCATGGATGCCAAGCAGGGGGTGCAGCTGATGAGACTGGTCGACCCGGACGTGACGGTGCCGGTCCACTTTGACGACTACGACGTGTTCTGCTCGCCGCTGGACGACTTCAAGAAGGAGGTTGAGGCGGCTGGCTTGGCGGACCGGGTTGTGTATCTGGACCGCGGGGATGAGTATCGGTTTGCGGTGAGGGAGGCCACGTGATGGAGATGTCCTTGACCTTTTTCTATCCTGTCTTCAACACTACTACAGAAATTGAAACGGCCATTTCCCTTATGCCTTTTCTCTAGTAGTTCCCTCGTCAGCGACCTGCGCTCTTCAGGGGTGCGTTCCGGACCAGCCTTCCCACCAAAGAAACCATCCCGGCCCCTACTCAGTGCCCCGGGGCGCGCATGGGAGCCTGCGCCTGGTAGCCCATCTTGGACGGGCCGGCAGCGTCGCGGCGCATCTCCACCTCCTTGTACTGCTGGATGACGGAGCAGCACGGGCAGCACAGGTTTGTCATGATGTCGCCGCAGAGGCCGCCCCCGCCCTCGATGCGGTACTTGTCGCGGATCTTGCCCCGCTGGATGAGCCCGACACTGGGAGGGGGGTTGGGAAAAGGCACCATCAACTGCTTGTCCTAGTTGATTTTCCAAAAGAGAAAAGAGCAAGGCACATTTGCACACGATAAAACTTACATGAACCCCCAGCCACCGCACATGTTGAGTACGCACCAGCCGCACCCGACGCAGCCGCATCCGTCGGGGTCTTGCTTGTGCGGGTCCTCCAGCAGCTCGTGCGTCTTGTTGACCACTGAATGAAGCGGGCATGTCAGTGAGCTCACCACCGGGCCCCGCGCTGAGGTACCTTAAGGTAAGGTAGTGAGAATGTGCGATGAGACGACTCACGGATGCAAGGGCAGAAGCAGCCCGCCAGGCAGTGGCCGCCATCGCAGAAGCTGCAGAGGCCGTCCTGCCACTCGTGCTCCTTAATGTGGGAGTAGGACATCCTGGTTGTTGAGTATGTTGTGACGGAAAGAGAGCGTAAACAGTAAAAGTGACGGGAAATGGAAATTAGAGTGCCCTCGTTCAAAACAAAAACGCTGACAGAACAATAAGGGAATAGAAGATGACGGAGGATCCGAGTGAAGCGGGTCGTCCGAGCCAGTCTCGGAACTACTGAGTGCGAGATACTTATGCTTCGGGTCCTTGTGTAACCTGACATGAAAATGCCTGTCGTCTCGGGCGACTTTTGGGGCTGGGAACTGCGCGACCTGTTCAGCACGGCAGCAAGGACGTGTGGTCCGGTCGCCCTGCGCCAACTTCAGATCGGGTTCCCAACCGAAGGGCTGCAAGTGGTCGTTGGGGGCGGAGAGACCTGACATTTCCCTTTTCCTTTCCGTCTGCGGCATTTCGAAAGTTAAGACGAATCTTGACGAGGAGAGAAAATAAGGCTAATTGATATTGGAGCACTTTTCACTTGCTCTCCTCGTCAACGCCAATGCATTGAGCGTTCGTCTGCCATGTGACATCCCATCCCACCTTTCATTCCAGGAGAATGAGGAGTAGTTGCAGTCTGCTTGGCCTTTGGGACCAACACATGCAGCCCTAACATATAAGCTATGCAGGGGCGGGCCGCTGCAGGCCATCCGTTGCAGTCGAGATATTGATTGTATGGGCCACTGTTCTGGCCCGAAACTGCTGCGGAGATGAATCGCCCAAGCTTGGGATACAGGGGCGGGTCGAGTATTGTACATCAGTACGGATCCGTACACGGTAGCCGTCGGCTTGGACCCGGGCTGATGTAACCCCGCGGGGCAAGGTCGGACCATAGGGCTGAGTGCTGAGATGAGACCGACCGACTTCGGGTTCTTGTTTGTGCTTGCCATAAATAGCCCGCGACTAATAACAGGCCCAAGATGGACCAAATCAATGCCCGCGCCGTACCACTGCAGTATAACGCACTTCTAGGCTGTCAGGCCCACGGGGCTGCACAGAGGGAGCAGGTTACTGGGCAAGTCCCTTGCAGTAAAGCTTCATGGACATTAGGTAATTCATCCCGTTATTAGATGAACAGATGTTTGATTGCGTAGAGGTATGGTGCCCTTTTTAACCAGAACGAACATACACAGCAAAGGTGAAACCCCTCCTCCAGTCTGTCTGCATCCAAAACCTCAATGAAGCTCTTTCCAAAACTAGAGGATTATCGCGGATAGCGGTCAACCTTGGCCCCCTGTTGTGTTGGCTGCTATCTCCCCAAGTTGGACCTGGAGCGCTGCTGCTCTCTCCAACGTGGGAGCTGGACGGGTTCTTAGTACATCTCGTTGAAGACGCCCCCACCATCTCGGCGCGCGCCAGCATCCTGTATTAGGGGGGTTAGGTCCTTACTTGGCTGGTTGGGGACGACGGACTGGGATACCGTCCAGGGAATCACCCTCGTCCTCTCAGCACAATACCAATGATTTATGCTTTGGGGAGCGCGCGGGTGATGGCGGCGAGTCTCTCCATATAGGGAACCTTCCGTTTCCTTTAGGACCGTATAGCGGGGCAACTCCGGCAGCCCACTGTCCTCCTTCCAGATCCCACCCACTAGGCGTAGGATGGCTGAAGCAGTCGAGTTCAGACTGAGACTCCAGACTGCTAGTGGTACTGTTTTTGGCGTAAGGACTTGAAGTTTGCCCGTCCCAGCGCGGCCCCTTTTCTGCCCCCTTGTCTTCTCGGACATGCCCTGTAGCTGTCTCGGAACGTCGTGGCCGGAGGCGTTCGTGTCGACTGTGGACCGGCTGAAGTCGCGGCTCGTGGCGGAGCTGCTACCCGGCTCCCGGTTCCCATCGCTGAAATCAAGAGCACCTAAAGACAACAAGCCATATAGGCAGATACTGGAAGTACCGGTACAGCAGGAACAGGGGGCAGAAGACCAAGAACCAGGCTCTCCTTGTAGGGATATAAGGAACCAAGGTTTCAGGGGTCTCAAGCCTCCTCAAGCAAACCAATACAACCTGCGTGCCCCCCCCAAGTTCAACACCCATGGTTAGTAACCAGCGTTCAGGCTTTCAACAGTTACACCCGCTCTCATACTCAGTGACGGAAGGACGCAAGACTGAGGCCACCGGATCGGATGGATGTAGGGAGGATTAGGTACGTCATTGGAAACACAATCTCACTAAACTGCCAGAAATGTATGAACATGCCAGTCGTCAATGGTCTAGAGGGTACCCTGAACCTCGTTCCAGTTACATGGAAGGAGAAATATCCGCGGCTCAAATGCCATCAACAGGAACCCTAGAAAGACGCTCGTGCTCCCTTCCCACCAGCACCCATTACCGTAAAACAGAAACACCAGCCTGACCCGCCCTCAAATCCATATTATCACATGAAATCCTTTTCCCAATGCACCCCCAACTCCTAACAAACATTGACCATGATCCTCCAATCCTCCTATGCAATAGCCGTGGCTCGAGAACCCCGGGAACGCGTCCACGGGTGCTCAGAAACGGCCTTCTCCCAAGGGAATGTGGTGGTAACCGCGACCGAGTCTTCAACAAGTTCGACTTTTTCAAGCGCTCCTTCAACCTCTTCATTCATCGCTTTCTCATTCTTCGCTTCCTCGTTCTTCGCTTCCTCGTTCTTCGCTTCCTCGTTCTTCGCTTCCTCGTTCTTCGCTTCCTCATTCTTCACTTGTTCATCCTTTCCCACGTCCCGAGTATGGACTTCGCGGATGACCAGCTTCCTCTCCATATCGCGGCCGAGTTCCGAGACCAAGGATTCGGGTCCCGCTTCATTTCCGGCGGGTGATGTCGGCTCATAGTTGACCGCAACGGTAGGTGCAATCGTAGTCTCTGGAGCGCATGATCCCGGCTTCCCAGTACCGCTGGTTGTGGAGGTGGTGCTGGAGTGGATGGACGTGGCAAGGTCTTTGTTGGGAGACGTGACTGGTTGGGCGTGTGACATCGGTCGGTCCGACATGCTGACCGCAGACGTCACCATGGACGTCGCGGTAGCGGGGGACGTCGCCGTAGACTCGGCGGGCGACTTTGGTTGGCGGCCGAGGACCGTGGCGGTGGTCCACTCCTTCTCCACATACACAACTTGTTGTTTCTCTACGCACAAGTCGTATATGCGTCTTAGGTTTGTGGTGCGACGGAAATCTGGCGCTTGCACCATCTTGGGGTGCATCAGTACCACCTCTCCCTGGCGTGCCCGGGTCAGGGCGACGCAAAGCCGATTCGCATTGTCCACGAATCGGGTGGGTACCTCCTTTACCAGGTCCACGAAAACGAAGTCCGCTTCGTGGCCTTGCACGACATCCACTGTCCGTGTCTCGACACGGGACTGGGCCCAATGCGGGAGCTTTTTGATTGCGTTTTTGTACTCCCGATAGGCCTTCCTGTAGGGCGAAATGATCAATACCGTCCCTGGCTCATCCCGGTCCGCCTGCTTGAACTCCTTGTCATTGAGTAGCTCGCCGACCCGAGCCATCACCCAGGCGGCGTGCGTGGGATTCCACGCCGACGTGCCGTCTCGGCCTTCTGGACCGCAGTCTTTGACATGAACCAACAGACGCGGTACAGTGCAACAGCTCCAATAATCCATATATCTCTCCAGGAATTTCCGGACATAGAGGAGCGAGGCTGGTGTCCGTGTGCCATGGGCGCTCTTCATCTTGCCATCATACCAGAGTTGGGAGGCCAGCTGTTCCAAACCGCCAAACGCACGGTGGTTGATGAACAACTCGTGCTGGATGGCGCAAAACGGGTCTTCCTTGTTGGCCGCGGCAGCTCTCTCCATCATGGAGATTTGCATCTGGCCCCGGTAGACGTTCCTGCAGCCCGGGCTTTCGGACCCAACGTACGGCATGGTCTGCCGGTAGTCGCCACAGAAAACCCAGGCAATCGGATTGAAGTTTGCAATCGCGATCAGATTGCTGAGCTCCCGGGCATGCGGCGATTCGTCGAAGAACACTAAATCCGGCTTAAAGAGCCCGCGGAAGTGGTTGCTCGCCGCGACAGGCGTGGTCGCGATGAAGTCGGCCGCGGCAAGGGTGTCGCGGTAAAGGTTATAGACGCAGCGGCGGAAGCGCAACGGGATCACCTCGTTTTCCTCCCAAAGCTCCCCCTTAAGGAACTTAGTGAGCTCCTCGTACTGCGTCTCCTTACGAGAATCGTAATATTGCCACGCTGCCTCATCTAGACTTGGGGCGTTGCATGAGCTCCTTGTGTTGCCTGAACCGTGACCCAGCAACATCAGGTTCGCCGTTCGGAGAAACTGATTTGTGAAGTCTACCGTGATCGGATCACCAGAAGCCGCATCTTCCGCGGCATTCAGGCGGTTGCTCAGGGCCACCTCGGCGCCCCAGCCCTTCATGCGGATGACCGATTTGGTCATACCGAGTTCCTCATAAAGGCGAACGGCGCGGTTCGCCACATCATCGACCGGGCTGTTCATGTCTACGATGTACAGGACCTTTGCGCACCGCTTCTCTAGGCGATGACCCACCCGGACGGGGGTCGGGAGCGGTCGGGATTGCGCCATGGCAATCGTGAAGAGATTAAAGTGAGTTTTGCCCGCCCCAGGACAGCCAGGCAGGATGCAAATCCCACATCGGAGATTCCGAAACCCAATGTAGGCTAGCCTTTGAGCAAAGTTCAAGCTCTCGTAGCTTTTAGCTAGCCGTGAACCGGGCCACAAAGGCTCCCGCATCGCAGTAGCCATGTGTGGAATTCGTTCGTGGAGGTTAACGACGAACCTCGGGTTGCGGAAGAGTACAAAGTACTCGAACGCTTGAAGTTGTCGCTCTGTCGCCCCAACATGTCTGCCGTATAGCTGGTTAATGGCCGCGAGCTCCGCATTTTTTGTCACGTCCGAGGCAGTCAACAGGAAGTTGACCCGGACGGCGTTATCGTCTCCCAACAGAAGATCCGTTGCTAAGGGCGGAAGAGTCGATTCTTCAGATTTGCCGTGCTCCACCGAGAAGACCGAGTTTGTCACGAGGGGCTTGACGCCCACGTGCGCTTCGGCGACGTGGATAGTGACTTGAAAAAAAGCAAGTTTTTCAAGGCTGCGGGCTGTGATGGCGGTGTTCCCCAGCGATGCGGTACTGCCGCTGGCCAGCAACATCGGGCTCTCGACTCTTCGTGCGTCAAAGAACCGGGTAACGGACTCGTCGTTGAAGACAATCCTCAATTTGGCGGGTTCGCCTTGCTGGGCGATCTTGCGCTCGTCTTTACCGGGATCGACGATGACCAAGTATTCAGACCGCTTGGCCGTCTGGCGGGCCTTCAAGAGCACCCAAGCCTTGAACTTGAGCTGTTCTTTGTTGATCGCGTCGACTCGCTTTTGCTCTGCTGCAAACTCGGCCTCGGTGCCCTCTTTGTGGCGGCGCACGAATTCCTCGATTGAGGGGAAGATCTTGAGCGGTGGTACTGGACGAAGGTTTGTTGAGGCGTTCGTCTGCCATGCAATTGTGGATGGGACCGTAGGCTGCAAGGCTGCGATGGAGCTGTTGGAGAGGCGAGACATTGTCGACATATTGTACTGGACGTGGTAAGACACAAGTTGATTCCACGACACGTTTGTCGGACAAGCGACTTGGGCTCCTGTACTTGTTAGTCGATGGACGAAGCGTGGCGCCAATCAAGAGCAACAGGAGTGTTGTAAACGAATATCTCCCGGGCAAAAGGGTCAGGATGGACGTGAGGGCGCGCAAATGAACCGCGGCGACGTCATCCGACTGACTGACCGACAGGGTGCCGATGGGAAAGCTGACGGTGCGAGGATGGGACGGGAAAATCGGAAGGATGTCATGGGAAGGTCTTCGCATACCTCAAGGATGATTTCTTAGATGATGATCGAAGATACCAAGAAGGCGGAGGTCGGCAAGGTACCTTAGGGAAGTTCTTCGCGTAAGTTAAGGTAATTGGGTAAGCTCGAGTTGGCGAGGCAAGAACGACTAACTTGGAGCACGTGCTGAATGTGAACGTGAACTCGGGTTGAAAGAAGAAAGAAAGAAATTAAGAGTCGGGCAGGCCGGTCCAGTCTTTTATTATTCCTCAAGCGCGCACCAGCATGGAGCTGGACGCGTAGCACGTTTTTTTGCTATCCCAGGGAGATGCCAACACCAACACGCACTGTCACAGACGTCACCAAGCCCGTTCTAGTTGATAGCAGTCGTCAGCACTCTCAGCACAAGCTCCACATGGCAACCACAACAGACGCAATCATCAATGGCAGGCTAACGATAGCCTAGTGGAAAAAGGGCGTACACGGTGCGGCTGCATCACAGGACCGTAAGGTACCTCAGTAGAGTACTAGTACCTAGAGAAAAAGGGGGAATAGAGGACGATAGACGGGCCTGAGGCTCCCACGCGTCATAACAATTCCTGGAGGAGTGACCCCCAAGGTTGGAGGCTTCTATCCACGGGGGCCAGCCCATTACGGGGCTAGGTGTCAAATGATTCGCTTTACTGCCATTTATCAAGCCATTCGTCTCGCTCATCCGAACATCGCAATCACCGTGATATTCGCGAATCGTATGTTAAGCTCATACACTACCACTAGTACCCACAGGCTACGTCCCCATTTATCACTTGCACCTAACGCGCCACGCCCGGCTGCTCCGACTTCCCAACGCGTTCCCTCTCGCTCACATGGCGATGATGCGTATGACTGCCACGCTCATGCTGACCCCTGTTCTTGCGACGGCTTCTGCGCAGAAACGCGGCGAGATACGCGCCAAGCACGTTCAAGCAAACCAACACCAACGAGTACAAGCCGATAAGCAAGGCCAGGATCTCGGCCGTCTCATGGACCGGCGGCCGAGCAAAGTCCAGGGGAACGTTGTTATTCACGCCCTGCTTTGACACTGTCAACTCGGAACACGCAATCGTGACGATGAGCAGCACAGCCAGCAGAACCGCCCAGGGGATATTCCACAGGCTGAACCGGGCCGGCACTGTCGTCCTGCTCTGATAGCGATGCCGGATGGACCGCGACTCGCTGTGGTGCAGACACGCGAGGATTTCCTGCGTGTGGCGTCCGCGAGCTTTGCGGGAGTATCCTGGCGAGTCATGGAGGAGGTCGCGGGCGTCATGGTCGCTGTGGCCCGCCTCGACCGACTTTTTCCGTCTCCTCTGGCTTCCGGGACCCAAACCAACGGCGCCGGGACCGAAGATGCTGACGGTGATGATGAACAGGCCCACTGCCGTGGTGAACACAGCCACGAGGGCCACGCCCACGGTCCATACCCGCAAGAAGGTGACGAAACCCCGGTCGGCGAAAGGTTTCTTCGGGGCGAAGACGAAATACACAGTAGGCACGTTGTCGCAGGCACCGCCGGCCTTGTTCCCGTGGTGCAGGAGCGGCCAGTTGAGGGCTGCTGTGCCAAACATCCAGGCAGACCAGACCAGCAAGCCGATGGCCGCTGTGAGTTGGTCCTTGTAGCTCGTTGACAACAGGAAGTGACGGAGGGATTGCTTCGGAGCTCGCGCACCCCTTTTTATCCGCAGTTCCTCGGACGCAATGAGCGCCACCTCCTGCTCGGTGGCCCGCGCCTCGGCGACGGATTGCTGGGAGTGGACGAGAGCGGCAACATAGAGGTCGCGGAGCTTGTCGATGTCCGCCCGGGTCGGCGCCGCTGCGATTTCCTCGACAAGCTCGGTGTTGTAGACCGTTGTGACTGCGCCTCCGTCGACGTTGATCTCTTCGCTCTGTCGGCCATCTCGATCATCGATCTGTTGGTGCCAATGCGAGACGAAATGTTGGACCGCGTGGTTCAGAGATACTTGTGTGATTTCACGGTCCCGGTCCGCCTCCTCTGCCGCCGCATGGAGAGCGAATGCTTTCAGGAGATCGGCATACGCGCGAGCCCGCGCCACGTCCAGTTCCGTCACAACAGCCCGTCGGCATCGCTGCAGGCGCTCTTGGTACTCGGCGTCCGGCTTGGAGTGGCTCCTCCCTTCGACAACCAGTGCCTGCCGGAGCAAGACGGTGAAGACGAAGTAGACCGGGTACCAGAGCACGAGCTGGATCAGCACGGCGTAATCGATGATGATCAGGTTGTAGTCCACCACGTTCAGGAACATGGCAATGAACAGAGACAGGGCGAGGACGCCCCATGCGCCGTGCCAGAAGCGGAACTGCTTGTCCACGCCGAACAGCACCGCGACGATGGCGGCGGCGTACAGTAGGTAGAAGCCGACGCGGATGCCGGCGCCGATCAGCATCTGGTCGCCGAAGATGTGGCAGGGCTGGTACGAGGTCACGGCGCTCATCTCGTCGGTGCCGACGAAGCCGGTGCTCGTGGTGCCCACGAAGTACCCCATGGTGGCGGCGGGTATCCTTTGCTGAGTTCTGCGACGTCTGTCGTCGATGGACCAAGTGCTGGCAAGTATTACACTGGATTGGGCGTCTCCAGATTGTAAAGACAGCGAGGGTCCTACACGACTACCCGGACATATACATGGAGACAGGCAGAGAAAAGCGCGAAAACCGGAAGTGCGGGTGGAACATGGGGCGATCGAGTCGAGCGTGCAAGTAAGTGTTCAATGACTCCAATTACCGACATGCATGGGCATACTGCAACCACAGCGCTTCTTCACGGACCCGACGATGTGTCAATGTGTGACATCTGCAGCCCAATGCGACCACTTTCGCCAACGTGCAGTAGCTAAGCTGTAGATCAGGACTCGAGTGGTGAAGCTGCATGGCCCAGCGTCGTGATTGGGCACCGAGACAAGACTTCGCATGACTTTGCTTGATCAGCTGCGCGCCTAACAATCCCCTGCAGCGACCTGCATGCCACGCTGAACAACTCACCGCTCGATGACGCAGGAATCAAGCCTCATCACCACCTCACTGGACTCGTCGACCGTGTTGGTTGGTTCGGGCTCCGGCCGGGGTTGAAATTTTCGGGGCTTGCTTTGCTTCGACAATTCCAGCCCATCAGAGGATGCCACGGACACCACACCAAGCCATGAAGCCGGTGATTTGGGCTCAGGGGCTGCTCCATTCGGCGGGCGAAGACATCTAACTTTATCAAGCTTTCCTTCCTGTCCCTGAGCGCGGTCGCTATTGACTCTTCTTGGCGCAGCTTTTGTTGATCGACTTGCTCCTCCTGAAAACGCGAGTGTCTCAAGATGCGCCAACATCATCGCATTTGCATCGCGATACTTCAGCTGCTGGCCTTGGTGTCAGCGCAAGAGTACCAATTCTTCAGATGGAATGTCCCAGGAGCCAATCTGGCGGCCGACAATGTCTACCGCCGTCAGTCGCCGCCGCCCGGTTACCACCCGGAGTTCGGTTCCTGCGGCAGCGGAAGAACCTGCGAAGATGCCTGCGGGCCGAACTGGATCTCCTGCCAGGCGTCGACGAGCCTCTCGCTCTTCTGCTACAACCAGGTCGATCTGAACCAGACGTGTTGCGAGAATGGATCAGGCCGTAGGTCGAGGCCGACCCCAAGCGGGATGTGAACTGCCTATTGACTCGCTCCCGTCCGACAGGTGCTTGCGACAGTGGGTACTACTGCGCATGGCAAACATTTGGCGGGAGGGTGTGGTGCTGCGAGAATGTATGCTCAGCGATTTCCAGAACGGGAGCGAGCCTCAGCTGATGACTCGTTATTTAGGGGCAAAGTTTAGAGGAATGCGGTGTCCCCGCGGGCGCGTCTACAACGGCAACAAACACGCCCACATCCTCTGGTGATAATAACCCCGACTCGTCGACTTCGACATCTGAGTCTCCAACGTCAGGTCCGTCAAGCGAGTCGACAACCGCTCGGGCGACCCTGTCCGCGACCGATTCACGCTGCCCCGCATCTACTGTAACTTTGTGGGCAACGACAACAATAATGTCGACCTTCAGCCTTGCAGCCACCACGGTGACGGTAACAATACCGGGTCCGGGTTGGGAATGCTCCTCGTCAACTTCTTCATCTCATGGCGGACCATCCGGCAGCGCCTCGGTCTCTGGCACTGTCACCGGGCCGCCATCGTCCTCTTCGACGTCTTACGGACCGCCGGTATGTTGTTTGCCAACTTCGAATATTGCAAAGTCAAGTCAAACTGACCACCTTTCCATGCAGGCTTCCAACGCAACTTCTACGCAAACAGTAGTCACAGCTTCCGCCAGAATGTTGACCGTTAACCCCCTGATCGCTGGCTTGGTCTTGGTTCCGTTGCTCTGGCTTTAAGCAAAGCCTGTTGATGGGACCGAGTTGTTTCACGTGTCCGTGGTGAAAGTTGGATGGCACTTTTCTCTCAAGACCCCTTCTTCTTTTGCAAATACAGTTCGATACCCCGCTTGCGTTTTGTGGTAACGATAGCAGTTTTGAGTTATCTAGAATTCGATAATAAAGATGAGACAGAGTTACGGGAGATATGTGACAAGGATATATTCCACATCTACATGGTCTATGGAGACACGGGCCCAGCAAATCCGAAGTAGGGCCGGGTCGGGAGCGGCGTGAGCTAAGACGTCATTCGCCGTGGCCAAACCGCGCCACGGAGCATCTACACTACCACCTTACCTAAGGAAGATGTTGACGCTGGACTATACCGCGATGATGGCTGGCGACTCTCGACTTTTCCTGTGACCGCCAAGTTGATGCAGCAACTGGCGTTGGCGGTATCAGTCTGAGCAGCAGCCCTTGCGGAGCCCACCACAACACCCCAACATCATACATGGCCTCCTCCGATCTCTCGTCAACCTCGCCGGCTCGCCTTGCCCTGCAGCACTTCACATCACAATGGTTCCTGATACCGCAAGGTACGGGCATCACGGCGGTGATCCTGCACCAACTAGACTACCAGTTCCGCGGCCTCCAGATCGTCTCGTACGTCTTCTGGATCATGACCATCGTGCTGCTGCTGTGCATGGTTCTCGTGTATATCGTGCGCTGCATCCGCTTCCCGCGGCAGCTCGCCGGCGCTCTGCGCCATGACATAGGCGAGCTGGCGTGCCTGACCAGCATCGTCATCTCGTTCACGTCCATCATCCAGATGACGTCCCTGGTGCTGGTGCCGGGGCGGGGAAGCAGCAAGGGCTGGGGTGTGGCCGTGTATGTGCTCTGGTGGATCAACGCCGCGCTGGCGACCGTGGGCGCGATCGGCGTGCCCTTCGTCTTCGTCCGCCTCTATCCCGGCGGCATCCCGCACCTGTCGCCGGCGTCGCAGCTGCCGCTCATCGCCGCCCTGACGGCGGCGGCCGGCGGCGGCACCCTCTGCCAGTCGGCCGGGCTCAGCGCGGCGCTGCAGGTTCCCGTCATCGTCGTGTCCTATCTCCTGGTCGGCATGGGCCTGCCGCTGGCGTTTGCGCTCGACGTGCTGTTCTGGGCGAGGCTGCTGGACAGATCGCTGCCGAATCGCCAGCATGTGTACCAGGACATGATCCTCTGCGGGCCGTGGGGCCAGGGCAGCTTTGCGCTGCAGGGGCTGGGCGCCGCGGTGCTGCGTGGCAGCTTTGCGAGCTATGCGCGCAGCACCTTCATCACGGCCGAGGCTGCGAAGCCGGTCGGCTATGTGAGCATCTTCGCGGGGCTCCTGGCCTGGGGCACCGGCACGTTCTGGTGGATATTTGCGATTGTTAGCATCCTGCATGCTGCGACCGATCATTGGCGGTTCAGAGTGCTGCCGTTTGACTTGTCCACCTGGGCGGTAGTCTTTCCATGGGTGAGTATTCGGAGTGTAAACAGTTACTCCCCTCTGTCGCACCCTGCTCACAAGACCCTGCAGGGAGTGTATACAAATGCGGCGGTGCAGCTGGGTAAGCTCCTCGATTCGGCTGCGTTCAAGGTCTGGTCGACGGCGTTAGCGGTCATGTTGGTCGCCATATGGCTGTTGAATATGGTCTTGACAATCAGGGGAGTGGTGACGGGCTCCCTTTTCGGTTTAGAGCACGGTTGGCGAAGCGGTGCTGCTCATGGTGGGAAACAAGATGCCGAGCGGGGAGAGGCGAGACCGAGAACCGGAAAGGTCAAGCAATGAGTTGGTCGCTGTCCGGCTCTTCCCCATAGTTTCCCTCGTATCGGTAGACAGTCTTTAATTCACTTGCGCCTCTCCACGATAATCGTCGACGACAACCTCGAGACTGAGAGTGCGGTGAGAATTGAATCAACTGCTGCCGGAATGCGTTGCTCATCTCAGCGTAGTGTTCGGCCGGTGCTTCTTGGAACTGTAGTGGTAACAAGACCTGCGCAAAGGTAGCACAGGAGCCTAGATTACCTCAAGGATATCAAAGTTCCGTTTGAACTTGACGTGTGGTGGGCTCGCTGGGTTGCTACAAGACTTTGCGGGCAGGAGACCTTTTGCAATCTCCGCGATGTCTTGATTTCCTCTTCTTTTAGTACAAGGATGAGAAAAAGAAGTTTGGTATATCTAGAAGTAGAATTAATGAGAATCTAAAGCGGAAGGGGAAAAACCTACGTGGATGATAGAAATGAAAGATAAAAGGAGCAATTGATATGAAAGACGAAGGGAAGAGAGAAAAAAGAAAAATAGAGAGAGAAAATAAAGTAAAGGGGAAGGAACAGAAAAGGTGAAAAGGTGAAAAGGGAGAAGAGAAGGAGACGACTTACAAGAGTTGAAGAGGCACGGTCAGGGGATGCCGCAGCCGCTGTCGATGCTCAACAGGGGCGTCGAGCCATTTCGGAGCGGAGGAGGGGCCGTAACCGAAAGCGGCTCGCCGACTCCCGACCCTTGGCACTGCCCCACTAAAGGCAAGGGTCCAGTATCAGCATCAACTTATCAAGACCATCCGGCTCCAATTCACGTCGTGGGATTCTCACTCTTCCTCACAGACGACAACGTACCAGATTAGCAATGTCCAAAGAGCAGCTTTTCCAGCTACTTCCGCTCCCGGATGACGGGCTCCAGCAGGTGCTTGAATATGCCGCAACGCTCTCCAAGGCCGAAGCGGCCGAGCACTTCTCCAACATGCTGGGCGACTCACCCCAAGTAGTCGAGTTCATTTCCAACTTCAACGCGCGCCGCGCCGAACCGACACCCAGATCAGCTCCCGCAAGGACCACAGCGACGGCGACTGCAACCAGCTCCGGCCAGAACTCCGAGGCCGACTCCGTGCCGAAGCCTCGCCGTGGTCCCAAGAAGAAGAAGGCACCCCTCCATACCCCGCCACCACGGCAGGTCGCATCCTTTGAGCTCGCACCTGGGACGGTGTACAATAAGAAGGACCAACTTGAAGAATACATCTCCGGAAGGTCAGGGACGTCAACACCCTCGAACAGCAATGCCAATCGCGGAAAGCCGGCGCCGACCAAGTCGGCGACTCCGCCTCCACAGCCGGCCAAGCCGCCGCCTTCTGCGATGGGGACCCTCGTCTCAGATCTTGGCCTGCCCAAGACCAAGCCGAAGTCGACCCCGGTTTCGCGCACTTCCACTCCCGGCCCATCATCCTCCCGCAACAGCGCAACTGCCTCGACCAAAGTATCCATCACAGGTGGCGTCCCCATGCACGGCACCTCCACCGCGCTCGCCGACCTCGACGAGGCCATCCGCTCTCTCGAAATCACGACCAACCCGTCTCACGCCTCCAACACTCCTTCGGCCCTCGCCGCGCGCCGCTGTAACTGCGTCGCGACCCGACATCCCCTGCTCGAAGCCGCTCCGAACTGCCTCAACTGCGGCAAGGTAATCTGCATCAAGGAAGGGCTAGGACCGTGCACCTTCTGCGGCCAGCCCTTGCTGAGCACGGCCGAGGTGCAGAGCATGATCAAGGAGCTGCGGGCCGAGCGGGGGCGGGAGAAGCAGGCGATGGACCGGGAGGCGCACAAGCGGGCGGACGTGGGCGGAACGCCGCGGCCGTTTACCACCAAAGCGCGGGGAGGAGCCGACGACCCGACGGTGGCCGAGGCGATGGCGCTGCAGCACCGGGACAAACTGCTCGCGTTCCAGGCGCAGAACGCCAAGCGCACGACGGTGAGGGACGAGGCGGCCGACTTCGACGTCTCGGTCGCGGCGGGCAGCAGCATGTGGGCGAGCGCCGAGGAGCGGGCGCTGGCGCTCAAGCGGCAGCAGAAGTTGCTCCGTGAGATGGAGTGGAATGCCAAGCCCGAGTATGAGAAGCGGCAGCAGGTCATCAGTATCGATCTGACGGGGAAGAAGGTGTTTAAGAAGACGGCCAAGGTGGAGCGGCCGCCGACTCCGGAGGAAGAAGAGAGCGATGATATGGGACGGGATATGCCGACTCTGTCTGAGGCAGGCGGGAGTAGGGGACAGGGCGGTGCGTTTAGCCGGAACCCGCTCCTGGGTGGCTTGATCAGGCCGGTTTACGACGTGAAGGGAAATGGCGCTGAGCTGGAGGGGAGGAAGGACAGGAGTACCCGGTGGCGGAGGGTCCAGGACGATCTGGACGACAATGAAGCCGTCATTCTTGATGGTGGCGTCTACGGGAGAAGCACAGAGACCCAAGCAGGAACAGCCAGCGATGAACCTGGGTGTGGTTGAATCTTACCGTCTTGCTCGGATCCACCCGCACCGAACTGTTCAGAAGAAGCCTCTGGGGTAGCCTTCGATTCCCCTACGTATTAAGCGTGGTTCTAAGGCAGCGTCGTGCTTCGGCAGGGCTTCCAGAAACCTGGTGGGCCCAAGCTCCCACCCCCTGCAGGTCTCGGCACATTATGGGCCGTTGTGGGGTCTTCCCTTTGGTTCTCAAGTTCGAGTCGGACAAGCTTTCTGTTCATCAGAGCTTCAGCGAAGCCATGACTCCGTCGGTCCTCTGTATTGAGACGATATCGGTTAAGGTTGCATAGCGCAGATAGAACCATGCATACTTTGCGTGTCCCAATGACGCTGCCCGTTGAACTCATGTCGCGAAGCCATCGAAGGTACAATACATCCGTCCTGTATTGTTACCTACGCTTGGTAAGTGGAGCTGACCCCGGCTCTTGGCAGACGCGGCGGCGGCAGGGATCTCGAGCTCCTCGCCTCGCTTCATTCAAGCGCGTCGCATCCACAAACACCGGAGACCCGAATCCCAGGTCCAACGTCGGCTGACAACGACCCTCGACGTGTGCGGCCAACTCAATTGCGGCACCCTCGCCTTCTCTCAGCGCATGTATCCGACCAATGCTGCGAATCCGCCTTCGAAACGTCAGACTGGTTGCTCGCGCCGTCACTTAGACTTGGACCCCGCCATCGTCCGACTTGCAACGCGTCCCAACGCCGTGCGGCGCTGAACGCGATTATCGGCTCCCCACGTCTCGATCTGCGCTCGAAAAACCTTCATTCGTTAACATATCTGTCTGTTCCTCGCGAACCACGAACCATGAGGCGATAGGCCACCGTCAGAGAGAATAGCTGTGCCACCGCGTGCCTTCACCGGCGTTGTGTCCCGCCTTCCCCAACCCTAGAGCAAATAGCTACGCTGTCAGGATGCCGACGACCCATGTTGAGCCGGGCTGTGACCCATTACTGCAAGACATCGCGAATGCTTTGTGGAAGGCGCGCAAGGTTGTGGTCATCACGGGCGCTGGCATCAGCACTAACTCGGGCATTCCCGTAAGACGCGTCCCAGCTCCTCCGAGCTTCCACCATGTCTCCCCCGCTGACTTGCTGCCAGGATTTCCGTTCCGAGAATGGCTTGTATTCATTGATTCAGGCCCAATTCGATGCAGCGCGGCACGAAGGTCCCAACGGGAACAGCGATGTCGATACAGACACGCCGTTCGACGACAGGCCCACGAAACGACGACGGGTATCCCGTGATGCCTCGGGCACTGATGGACAAGTGACCCTAGCGGTGGAAAGGCCATTCCCGGGGTTATGCAAGGGGGCGGCTAAAGATGGCAAGGCGGCGGAAGGTGAACATGCAGATCGCATTGGAAAGGAAGAATCGCACCCGTCCAGCGACCCTTCGCCGGCCTCCACCCTTCCTCAGCTGCGTCCCGAGACCTTGGACCGCAGACGAACTGCGCCAACGGCAGAGCAAGAATCAGTCCCGTCCTTCTCGGATTCCACGCCGGTGCAGTCTGTAACCCCCATTCAAAGTCCCCGGATGTCTCACAGACAGATGGATGCCGACGAGGCACACCCCCAGCGGCCTGCTATGGAACCACCTCCCCCCTTTCCCTCGTCTCCACCCAGCGTTACCCTCGGTACCCCTCGCCCTCTGTCCAGACCTCAGTTGTTGCATTCCATCCCGGGAAGCTCCTCGCCGCTCTCGTCTCCGCCCCCAGTTACGTTTGACCCCTATGAGGAGTCGACATGCTCTCCATCGAGTCAAGACAGCGAATCGTCCCGGTCCGAGAGCGAAGACCCCTCCGCCGCGTTGTCATCACAAACATCGGTCGGCTCTTCCCGATCTTCCCTCCCGATGATGAAGGGGCGAGATTTGTTTGACGCGCAGATCTGGTCTTGTCCGATCAAGACCTCGGTGTTTTATACTTTCGTCTCGACGCTTCGCCAGAAAGTCCGCACTGCCGAGCCAACGAGTAGCCATCGTTTCCTCAGTGTCCTGCGCGATAGCAGGAAGCTTGTCCGGTGCTACACGCAAAACATTGACCAGCTTGAAGAGCGAGTGGGCCTCAGTACCACGCTGTCGCTAGGAGCGGGAAGCCGCTACCGCTTCTCCACAAGGGCTGGCCGCGTCTCTGGTGGGTTGAAGAGTTCCGCCAAGGCTGCGGAAGGTGCCGCTGGGGACGCAGAGGGGGTTTCGGGGAAGGCTGTGGGGCGGCAGGCTGACCCTCGGCCTCGGGGGAGCGAGCAAGATGGACGTGATCTGGACCTCGCAGACCCGAAAGACGGGCCGCCACAAGCCGCACAACTCTCGCGATCAGCATCAGATCTCAGCTCTACATCTAACGATCCTTCGACGTCAACCCAGGCAGCCTCGACCCCACCATCAGCCCCTACCGCTCCTAATCGCGGCGTCGAGTGTGTGTTCCTGCATGGGTCATTGGCCGAGCTCCGCTGTTTTGTCTGCGCCCGCACGGCCGCCTGGGATGACGAAGCTCGACTGGCAGATACACTTGCCGGCCGCCAGCCGACGTGCCCGCACTGTGCCGGAGCTACGGCCGCGCGGGAGGAAAGAGGCAAACGGGCTCTCGGGGTGGGCAAACTTCGGCCGGACATCGTGCTGTACGGGGAAGAACACCCCCATGCCCACCTCATCAGTCCTCTGGTCCAGCACGATCTCTCGCTCGGGCCAGACATGCTGCTCATTTTGGGCACGAGCATGCGCGTCCATGGGCTAAAGGTGCTGGTCAGGGAGTTTGCCAAGGCCGTGCACGATCGCGGGGGCAAGGTGGTGTTTGTCAACTTCACGAAGCCCCCCGAGAGTGTCTGGGCCGACATCATTGACTACTGGGTGCAATGGGACTGCGATGCGTGGGTGGGCGACCTTCAGCAGAGAAAGCCCGCGCTCTGGCTGCCGCCCGGCGCTGCGCCCCCGGATGAGGGCAAGCAGAAGGTGGCGAAGCTATCGCGCAAGCAAAGTAGCGCTGAATCTAGGAACCAAAAGGAGGGCAGCACAGAAGATACCTCCAAGAAGGGGAGAGAGAGTGATACCTTGGGGGGCGGGCAAGAGAAAAATGATGGGATGGCGTATGTCCACGCACCAACACCGGACGAGCCAAAGTCGCCCCAGCAGAGGTCATCGCAGGAGACGTCGCCGTCAACGCTCTGTCGATTCCCAGAGCCAATGCGTGGGAGACAGGGCAGGGCGGCCAGAATACCGAAGTTAAACCCCAAGCGTCCAGCCTGCGTCCGCGACCACAAACTCAACGGAGCATACTTGGTTTGGAAGATCATGAAAGACCTTGGACGCATCACAGACCGCCCACTATACCCGGTCGTTATACCGTCCCGAAGCACGAATCGCTCGCTAGGCTCGGCTACTATGACGTCTGCTCCCACAAGACGCAAAGAGGCCCCTAAACACAGCCTTGCGACCACGCGGTCGACATCGCATCTTGTTGTGACGGGGAAGACGCCACTAACAACCGCCGCGTTGCCATGCCAAGATACCAAACCGAGCAACGACCACGACGGAAGCTCGATATCCGCGACGGTCAAGACCCGCAAGCGGAAGCGTGCTGAGTGGCGGATGATTAAAGGCGTCGAGACGCTCGTCCCAGTCGACGACGGAGCTCCATCTTCGGCATCAACCCCCTCGCGGCAGACATCATCCACCCGTATCCTGGATAATGCGAATCGGCTCTGCGTCGCCCCGACCCTGGCACGTCAGGGCGAGGTCGTGTTGATGCACCCCAAGATGGTGCAATCGGCGGACTTCAAGAGCTCCACAAACCTACGAAGCATATACGACTCTCCCGCCGAGTCTGCGACCAAGGTCACGACGACGACAACATCTACGCTCGGCGTTTCCGACCAGATGACGTCCTGCGCCTGGCCAACGATGACGCACAGGCCACCATTCTCGCCGACAAGGCCGGCTCCTCGACCCGCCGCAGCAACAGACTTGGACGCCGGCTTCCGTGACACGGATCGCCTTATCGCCGCTGCCCGGGAACCGTTGTCGCGGTCCTCAACGCCCGGGGCGGCTCGTCTCGCACCGCTGATAACGCTTTCCGCCGACGACGTGCCGCACGTCTCAGTCCCTCCAAGGCGGCCCCCCTTATTAGAGCCCAAGCTCACGTCGTCGCTACGGGGGCCGAGGGCCGAGATCTCCTCCTCCAACATCGTAGGATCGCCCGCCGTTGTTGAGAGGCACTGTGACCTGGGTGCGAACACTGGTCAACAACAACAACAAAACAACAACCCTTTCTTTTTCTACGATCCGCTCGCGGCCTGGTTGGAGTTTCCGCCCGTCTGGCCGTCGTCACATGACGGCCATGCTGTTGCTGTTGCTGTCGGTGGGCAAGGCCACCACGGCCTTGAGCAGCAAGGTCTGCAAGGCGTTCTTCGTCGTCTTGATCATGGGCAGGTGCAGAACCGGGGTTATGGTGTTGTTGGTTTAGGGCAGCGGTCGGGGTTTGGTGAAGGAGGAGCAGGAGGAGGGGCTTCGGAGGGACGGGAGGTCTTCTTCTTAGCCCACCATGACGAGGGGAGGGTGCAGAGGCAACATTATCAGCAGCAACATTATTCTCAGCAACAGCAGCAGGCTGAGCAACAGCGACGACAACAACAACGGAAAGGGGAGCAAGCGGGGTTGAAAAGGGACGGGCGCGTAGTGAGTATGTCGGGTCCGTCGTCGTCGTCGTCGTGGTCGCCTGACGAGCAGCTTAGGAAGGAACATGAGGCGGCGCTGATGCTATCTAGCTTGAGGGGTGGCTAGTACTACCTTAGCTAGTAGTGCTGCTTCGGTTGGGGAAAGACTCATTACTAGTACTTAGTAGTACCTAGTCATGATTGATTCTGGAACTGCTAACTCACCGGTACCGGGCTGTGGGTGCTGGAACTGCGACTTCGGGTGCAAGGGTTTTTGGGAGTCTCTTTCAATGCGGAACGAATGGTTAGCCAGGAGAGTGGTGTTTATTACAATTGAACTTTTGAGGATGCGATGGTCTGGTTGCTTAGCGGTACGTGAGAGCGTATATTAGATACAATACGATCCCTTATTCAAGGGACTTTTGCTTAGATGGTGGGGTTTGAGTTGGCTTTGGCCTTTTGTCGTGCATGGTACAATACAAGTACCGGAGGTTCTGAGTCGGCTCGGTTTTGCCTTTTGTGGGTGTTAGAGGAGTAAGTAGTATGGCGCTGGTGGGCGTTTCTGGCAATGGAGCGACAATACTTTCGGGAGAACCGCTTATGTAAGGTGTGAACCACACCATGTGTAACTGCGTTGGTGGTTGCTGTGGTTCAGAGCTTGACAATATGATTGCTTGAGTGATCCTGGAGGTAACAGAGCGTCTTCGGGAAATGAATGGTTAGGGGATAGGTTGTTGCCGTGGTGATTGGCCATAAGCATATAGTGAAAGCAGTCGAATGAGGTCGAGGTCCGGTATTGGTGTGGTTTATGAGGTTATGGGGTACATCATCGCCCAAGCAGAAGGGTGATGCTGGTAGCATCGTGGTCAAGTGCGGGCTAGGAATGTATATACTTTCGCTAATTATCTGTTCGTCCTTACCCTTGGTCATAGCAAACCTACATCAGACTTGGATGGACTCTGAGGGCTGGGCCTCTTTTGAGGAAGAGGGTGCTTGCTATACCGGCTCTCTTTCAATGCTTCCCGTGGTCTATGTTAACGGTGGGTGTTTACCGGGTAGCAACATTGCAATCACCGGACATGGCTCCTTGCAGAAGTTGATAAGCTCAGGCCTGTATTTGAACGTCTCCTTAAGCATCTCCTCTGCTAGATCCCGCCCAGTCCACGTTGCGAGTGATACTGATAGCTCTATTCTATCGCAGCAACGTTATTAGACCCTGCCTTTCCTAATGGCGATCTTGAATTCTTTCAGTCGAGCTTTTGCAAAAGAAATATGTAAACCAACCGCAACCCCAATGTGAGAATTAGAAATGCAGATCATAAGGGCAGCCAGACGCCTCGATTCAGGTGTTAGATCACCCCAAAGCCCCCAAGAAATAAACCAACGCAGGTTCAAGTCGAAGAGTGGTGAGAAACTCGAGGGTGCCCTCAGACGGGCACATGAAAAGGCAGAAGCCTCCGGGAGTTAACCCCATATAGGCGCCGCCGTTCCTCCAACCACTCCTGGCTAGGTCCACCTTTCGGTTTCATCTTCTGGCTCTTGCCAATCTCCATCAGCGTCTTCTTGTGCGTCCGCCATATCTCATCCCACTCCATCGTCTTCACAACGCATGCCTCGGGAATGGAGTGCATGACGACGCACTCCTCCTCGAAGAGGTTGCCCCGCCGCGGCAGGCCCAATTCCCATATTAGCTCACTCACATCAAACATGGGTTGCCTCGTATGATTCCGCGCATCCAGATGGGTGTCGATCGTGTAGATCTTGATGCCGTAATGGCCCTGATACCAAAAGATGCCCGTGAACTCCAGCACCTTCTCCATCGTGGTGGCGACCGACAGGAACGGGCTCTGCCACCGGCTCGCCCAAAACAGATGCTTCTGCAGATAGAGCTGAAAGATCAGCGGATCGGCCACCACCCGCCCGTAACCGCGGGCCTTGTGCCCCCTGAAGGGCATGGCATTGTGCACGACGCGATACACATAGCGGGGGCGCGACGCCAGCCCCAGCGTGCCCAGCGTAGCCACGCGCGTTTTGGGATGCAGGGGGTAGCCGATCTTGCATGCGCCGCGGCCGGGCGAGATTTCGGAGTCCGGGAGGCCCAGCAGGCCGCACAGCTCGCCCAGCGTCGGATCGTTCGACTCGGCATCGTCCTTGGAGTCTGTGACACGGCGTCCGTGATCCTTCTCGCTCATCCGCTTGCTCTCCTCCACGTCAAACGGGCGCGATTCAGCGGCGGTCGTGACGGCCGGCTCAGCCACACGCTTCCCGTCAAGCTCTTCCAACTTCTCGGCCTAGCGCATTAGGAAAAACCTTGATTACGATACTATAGAGCTTTCGAAGGGCTCTCTTGGAAAGGTCGTTAATATCAGCAAGTTCCCATGTGACAGCTTTCTTCGTCCGGCGGATTTCTTTCTCCATGATGGCAATAGCCTTGTCCAGATGCCGCCCTTCCATTTTGCGCACCGATTCGAGAATGATTTGTTTCTTCAGCTGGCTCTTTCTCTGGGCCTTCTGCGTCTGCCGGCCGTGCTCTGGTTCCTCAAAGGTCGTCTCGGCGTTTCGGATTTGCTTCTCATCACCAGGGCCAGTCATCTGGGTGTCTTCTTCTGGAGCGTAAGACTCCATTTCCCTTGGTGCCTGTTAGATACATAATGACTTCGGCTCACGACTAAAAATGGGGCTGTACTTACGATAGCTGATAACTGAGGGGCGGAAGCTCCCGCAAAGTCGGATGAAGCTGTTTTCTTTCTCTCCTCACAGGAAGGTGGTCGAGTTAACTTCAGACAGAATGAATCTCTTGGCTGCAAGCGGAAGGTTCGGTTGGGATGAAAGTATGGCGATGCTGAAGTTGAGATAGAATGGAGAGACCGGGAGCTTTCATCGGAAGAAACGATTACGAAACTCCTTTTTGGAAGAAATGAACGCCGGACGGGAATGAGTGTCGCACATCAACCTGCGCGTACTAAACCCCGTATCATGCGTTGAAAAACGGACTGACTATGCCATTGCTTGAGGAAACAAGTGAGGTGTGGTAAGAATGAATGCAGACCGATCACTTGTTGTTTGTAGGTAGGAAGTGATACTGAAAGCCCCAAGAAAATCATGAAGGAAAGGCAAAGGAAGGTAGAGAAAGGAAGGCACAAAGGTTAGCAGCTTCAGTTATGTACGCTTGTTGAGGAAGGACCCGTTTATCCCATCGCAACTCGGTACCTAGGTAGCGTTCGGGTACGAAGCGAAAGGGTGAGGTGTTTGGTCCGGGAGGTGTTATGGTGGCAGATTAGTGATGGCAGTACGGAGTGAGACGGGAATGTAGATGAGATGTAACGGTAAAAAGGAGAGGAGGGAAACACAGGCAACTGCACGTTAAGGACTGACGAGAGCGATGAACCGGAGAGATAGGGTCACGGCGAGGAAATTACTTTACTTTCAGTAACTTGAGTATTTGCACACTAGGTATTCTCTGAAGGTCAGGGACATGAGTAACTCTACTCTCTCCTTCACCAAAAATGCAAATTATGTTGTTCCATTTACCCAAGAAGTCGCAAAAGTCAACAGAAAGGTTGGAAGCATATGATCCGACAAATATCCCAGCTTATAGTAAAGTCTCCTTTTGAACCAGAACCAAGTAATCCTCATCCTCACCGAGTGCTCGCCAACTCCTGCCGCCGCGCCCTACTTCCCTTTCAAGTACTCCGGCGTCTTACGAGTGGCATCACCGGAGTTCACCTCGGTGGTAGAAGCCGGGCTCGACTCGCTCCTGATGACCTTGTCCGGATGGGACATCATGTATCCGTAGCCAACGGCGACGGCCAAGAGGCCCCCAAGTGCAGCCCATCTAAAGAGACCCGACGACACTTGTCAGATACGAGCACAACCACCACACGGGACAAAGTAAAAGGTATGGTATGGTGTGTATGTTCACCACTCACGTTTGGGGAGTCATTGTTAGCGTCGAGGAAGTACCATCTGCCTTATCCTTCTTGTACATAATGGATCTGGCATTGGTGGCGCGCGGTTGGCGAGTCAGCGGCCGCGCGCCGCTGCCCCTGAGGACGGATTGGATTTTGATGAGGTTGGCTCGGAGGATGTTCGCCATGGTTTTATATATGTTTAATGTGCTTTGGATTGTCCGAAGGGGGAAATCAAACGGAGGAAGGAGTCGTTTAGCCGTTGGAATTGTAGTAAGGAGCCTCGGTGCTGGCCGGGTCTGAGGTCATCAAAGGGTCATGACGCAATGACGGCGGGTCATGGACGGCGAACCCCGCCGTCTCCGTGTATTCCATCTCAGGGTCAAAAAAAGGGGGCTTGGTACACTAGACGCAGCTCCTATCATAGCCGAAGGCATTGAAAAGATGACCATGGCCACCACTACGCCTCGAGGCCCTACAGCAGCGCAGCCAGGAACTCACTAAAATCACCCACCACCCCAAGCCCCGTAACGCAGTCATATCCCGCCGCCGCCGACCACCCAGGCGACATGGACCCATCCGCGAAGCGGCAGCCCCTACTCTGCCCCTCGGTCACGTCCCTCAACACCGCCCTCACCCGCTCCCCATACAGCAGCGGGTTGAGCCAGCCGAGGCTGGGCTTGCCGGCGCGCATGCGCGCGTCATTGACCAGCGCCACCATGGCCGCCACGACGGGCGCGCTCGCGCTCGTCCCGTACACCTGGCTGACGCTGCCGCCCATGACGATCTGGAAGGCCTTGCCGATCGCACTGATGTCCGGCGTCGCCCGTCCAGAGGGGTTGAATAGTGGGAGGCGGCGGCCCGGCCCCGTAGCATTAGTAGTAGTACCGTTCTGCGCGACAGAGAAGCGCGACACATAAGGGGCGACCACATCATCCTGCCACGCGGGGCGCGCAAAGAAATCGCTGAACCCGCCGGCGCTGAACACGGCGCCGGCCACGGGCGGCGCCACGTTTTGCGTGGCGCCCACGGCCGTGACATAGGGGCAGCTGGCCGGGAAGGTAGGCACGAACCGTGGGGCGGCGGCCTGGGCTTCCTCGCCACAGCGCGTCTGGCCGGTGCCGGCCGCGCCGCCGTCGCCCGTGGCGGCCAGCACGCTCACGCCGCGGGCCGCCAGCGCGGCAAACATGTCGCACACGCGCGAGGCGTAGCCCCGGGGCACGCTCGCCTCGTCGTCGGCGTAGCTGATGGAGAGCACGTGCGGGATGTGGTCGTCGTCCAGCGCGAGCAGAGCGTCCAGGAATTCCAGGAAGGGCTCGTTGTCGCTCGACGACGGCTCCTCCAGCGGCTCCAGCGGCTCGCCCGACGTGGTGTTCAGCTTGGTGCCGCGCCCGCCGGTGCTGTAGTAGGTCACGTGGGTCGGGTGGCCGAGCGCCATGGCGTACTGCACGTCCAGCGAGGCCTCGATGCCGGCGTTCCGCGGGGAGGTTTGCGGGTTGGTCCCGTTGTTGAAGAGCGTGACGCTGAAGTTGTAGGACGAGAGGGAGAGGTCTGGCGTGAAGGTGTCTAGGAACTGGGCCACGTCTGAGTACAGGATCCACTGCTCGAGGAAGCCGGCCACGCCGAACCGGACGGGGCTCGGTTGGCTCTCGTTGGCCGGGTTGTAGCGGATGTTGTAGAGCTCTTTGATGCAGTCCGGCACAGTGGCCGCCAGGCAGGGCAGGTTGGGAAAGGGGTTCTCGTTTGGATCCGGGACCGAGACGGTGGGGATTGCCGTTGGCGTGACGGTCTTGGTGGAAGAGATCGAGGGGCCACCCGGTGTGGGAGGCCGCTTTGTCGGTTTTGGTTTTGGATGCGGCGGCCACCAGGGTTTGGGAGGTCTGCGGCGACCCCGATGCGGTGGCGGCGGCATGAAGTTGGTGAGCGGGTGGACGAAATCGATGGCGTCGCGGAGCCAGGCGGGGACCGTGTAGGAGAGAGCCCGCAGCACGGGTGCCGCGTCGCTGCCGTTGTAGGCGTAGTACGCTAGATCGGCTTGGAAAAGGGACTTGACTGCCTCGGCGGACGCTTCGAAGCTGATGAGGCTGCCCTGTCTGTGCACTTGCTGAATCCCGCTTGATCTCAGCCAGCCCGATACAGCACGGGTTGTTGTAGCGGCCGGCTGGCGGCGCTGGAGGACCTCATCGCGGCTCAGATGCCGGCCGAGGTCAGATGAAAGGTGGTCGGAAGCATGGCGCTGGTTGAGCTTAGACTTCAGTTCCGCAATGCCGGGCTCCTTCAGCGCTATGAAAAGCATGATCTTGTCCGAGGCACTAGCATTCCCGTAGAAACTCCATCCCGGCGGTATTCCCTCCGCCTGCTCGAGAATGACGGCAGGGGCTGCGTGGACCAAGGTGACGGCCAGCCCGAGCAGGGCTATTAGGGCGAGCTGCCACATGGTGCGGGACCAGGGATCAAGGGGGCTGATGGATTAGCCGTAGCAGGACCGCTGCCAGCCTGGTTTCCTCGTGAACAATAGGACTGGGCTGGGCCATGGTTAAACTATATTTGTAGTCCTTCCATGATGCGAGGCCGGTTGACTTCCGGGCGATCTCCTCCGGCGGCTGCGAACCAAGGGCCCTTCTCTAGGCCCGATCGGCCACCCTGCCGGTGCGGTACCATGGATCAGTGGCGCGAGGGCCTGCTTGGCCATGTGAGAGGATCGGAACATTGACTCTCAGTTGTCCTATACAAATTAGAAACGCAGGCCGCACAGGTTCTCTGCAGCTGGTTACGTGTGGGGATTCAAATAAAGGACACGAATGCATGTTGTTCTTCGACTGGTTCTGAACAATACTATACCATTCAGCCGGGAACCCGGGTGCGGGACTCGTCCAGGCGCGGCGTCTGCCCTCATTGGCCGATCACAGTTGTATTGTCCTTGTCTCGATATTATATCCGAGCAGCACAGCTCCGTCCTTGTCAGACGCCGTAGTGTACCTTTGCTCCCTCGTTTAAATAGATCGAATCAGGTGCGCCGAAGGGAAGCTGGAAGACCTTGGCATCGGCCTGCATATTGACTGCTGAACCAGATATATGGCATGTGGGTAGCACCTATCCTACACGGTCCCTAGTGTTCCAAGTCGATGAGATCTTACATGGTACGTTCGGATCTCAGTCTCTATTTTAAGACTCTTCCCCTTGTATCCTGCCACTGGAATACCGGTCGAGACGACACATGACTCGCCCATGGTCGCGGAATGCAACAGCGCGCAGCATCAAGCCGGCCTTGGCGCTTGACTTGTCCCGGCTGATGTTCCTGTCGCCTAGCCCTCCGCATCGCATACAGGATCAGAGCCGCCCCTGCGACTGAACTCCCCAGCGAGCATCATTGGTGATCCCGGGTCCCGCCCGCTTCAGGAGGACCCCCACCAGCACGGGCCCGATGATGGTGTTGAGGACGATGGCCCAGACCCCAATGACGAATCCCTTGCGCGTCAGGAATGTCGTCTCGTTCAAGCCGATCTGGATGATGAGCAGGCCGATCTCTCCGCGAGCGACCATAGCTGCCCCCAGCAGCGTGGCGGGAGCCCAGCCAATGTTCGTCTTGCGGCCATCTAGCGCCTTCTGCGAGCCGCGCATCTTGCGCCGCGACAAAGAGACGACATCCCAGACCGGGACGACAATGCCGACGATCAGCTTCCCGACCGCCATCAGCAACGTGTAGACCACGCCTTTCCAGATGACCTCGCCCGTCCACAGCTCGAGAAAAGGGATGGCAAAGCCGATGCTCGCAAAGAACAGCGGCTGCAGGACATACCGCTGCGGCGCCCGCAAGTACCTGTCAAACACCTCGGTGAACTCTGGTACGGCCGCCCCATTCTTTTCGCCATCCCCATCGCCATCCAACCCCAGCATCCCTCCTACCTCCTGTTTCACTTTCCCTTCCGGCAAGGCGCTCAGAAACGCCCCGGCCAAAAACGCCCCAAACAGCACCGACGCGCCCGCATACGCCGCAATGGCCAGAAACGCGCCCAGCACGAGCACCATGACCACCATCAGGACACCCCTACTACTAGTAGTAGCAACGCGCGCCGCCAGCCGGGACTGCACCACCACCCTCCTCCACACGGGGCGCGCCACAAACCTGGCCGCGGCGGGCGTCAGCACGGCCATCAGCGCGCTGGCCAGCACCGGCCGGCCGATGATCCAACCCAGAGATGATGAGTTGTCGCCACTGTTTGAAGGAGAAGCGGTGGTGGTGGTTATGATGATACCGCGCAGGTTGTGGATGACGCGCACCAGCACGAGGCCGCACACGTCGTCGAGCAGGGCGGCGCTGATGAGGATGGTGCCGATGCGCGTTTGGGCGTAGTCCACTACTGTTCCTGTTCCTGTTCCTGGTACTACTTCTACGGTTGTGGTGTTGTTGTTGTTGTTGTCATTTGTGGTGGTGGTGGTGGTGGTGGTGGTGGTGGTTCGGGAGGAGGCGCTGGAGAGGAGCACGAAGGTCGTGCCCAGGGAGGTGGAGCATAGCGCTGTGCCGAGTATGAAGGATTCTAGGAGGCCTGTTGTTGTCCGTCGGGAAAGGGAGGGTTACTGATTAGCAAAGTTGGATTGGATCATTGGAAGGAGGGCAGTGTGGGAGGATTACGGACTGTGATGAAATCCTGCGGAGAATAGGGCAAAGGATAGGGCAATGGGCGTGAGGATGCCGAGGAGGGCTGCCATGGTGCTGAGGACCAGGTTCTGGCGCAGCAGATCGAGGCGAACGGTGAGGCCGCCTAAGACGGGGTGGTTAGCAGCGGTCACATAGGTGAACGGCGGATTAACAGTAAAATAGACAACCTTCGAAGATGATCAAGATTAAACCTATGTATCCCAGGGCTAGAAACGTCTCCTGCCAGTCTTGCGCCAGGATATTGGCAAGCGGCACGCCGTAGATGAGGCCGACGATGATGTGCCCGATCAGAGAGGCACGGAAGATCTTGTCGGCAAGCCACTCTGCAATGACCAGGAAGAGGAAAAAGGACATGAGCGTCAGGATGTTGATGACTTTGATGCTGTGTGAGCGGAGGAGAAGACGATTAGGTAGTTACAGGGGAGAGAAGGGGACTCGGTGACTCGCACTGTTCGGCTCATGATACGCAAGGAACCCGCCGCTTGCGTCGGCGGCCATTGCGGTTCGGGTGCGGCTTAGCGGACTCCGGCTTGTAAGCACGATGAGCACCTCGTAGGCCCTGGGGTTTAAAATTCCGGAGGTGGTATGCAACGAATGATAGGTGATTATGGAGGTTGCGTATGAGAATGGACTTGTAGGAAATGCGCTGTATTTTAACCCTGGCACCTAGTTACATACAATACATGTTACTGGAACGGCGTAAGCGGGTATTGGAGCTGGATGTTACCGACGCCCCACAAGAGTTTGTTGCGACCAGCCGGCCCACTACCTCCTACAACCTGACCACTAGCGAGAGTTGCATTTCAGAGCAGTGTATACCTATGATTGAGGTACAAATCCAACTCCTATGCTGTAAGTTAACACGTTAGGCGGTGATTACGATAATTACAGGGTACTGAACAAGTAGGTCCTTTTTTGATTTGAGAGATAGGATTCGATCACAAAACCCTTATCATTACCCCTCAATTTTTGGTTTTTGACCGTTCCGACTTCCATTCATCCTTCCACCCACCCTTGCTGGTGACGGAATACCATGGCGCGGCTCACGAACACCTACCAACAGTGCAAAGCTGACACAAGGCTTTTCCTCTCATGGCTTGCTACAACGGCCAGGGCAAATGGCTGGCCCGAGCCTCAGCCTGGCCCATCGGGTTCATCGGTCCCGCCTCCCAACACTCAAGCGGACCCTCCTGGAGACGGAGAGAACTAGAGCAGCCGCCGAAAGAAAAAGAAGAAAAAGAATGTCAATGCCGCAAATGCGGGAGGCCCAGCGACAAGCAGCGTGGAGAATACGCCAACCAACTACATAGTCGGCATCAGCGACTTTAGTTTGTACCGATGGCCGAGCTTGTGGCCAAACGCAAATTAGCCCTACGCTCTTCCATAGCCAAGGTTCTTGAGCGCGTCATCTGTCTTCGCGAGGCATTCGCCCAACTCCTCCAGGAGCGAGGCGTTGTCAACGCCGAAGAGGTCACCGCAAGGAAGCATTCCCACTTTGTCGACATCCTCAAGCAAGTTCACAACATCTTGGGCGGCGCCCACCGGATCAATGCAAGCACAGGCAGCATCGCACCACCAAGCCCTCGCCAGTGTCTTTCGACAGCGTTCGCAGCACTCCGTCTCTACGAGCCATCGCACCAGTTCCTGGACGCTCCTGACGTCACCCTTCCCGCCCCAGAGTATGACATTGCCGAAGATGAAGCCGGTCTGGAGGAAGCCGCGTAAGTTGCGTTCTCTGCGCTGTTGCAGGATGTTTTACTTCTCAGAGAGGAAGTCCACAAACTCTGGGGTGTGAAGTATTCGCAGGTAACTTTCCAGCTAGCCGCTGTTGCTGTTGCAACCAGCACAGCCATAGACCTCGCCCGCAAGATGGAAGAGAAGGCTGCACCCGTTCTGGATCGCTTTGGCGGCGTAGCCAAGTTCATCGTCGACCACTACCACACTGCGGCTTCTGCTGAAGGCCTGGACCCAAGCCACAGAGTAGCGGATGGCGATGATATCAATATCGACGCATACGGTATTTCCAAGAGGACAATGTATGAGGCGTACCATCTCCTGGATCGCATCCGCAAGGCTTGCCTCGAGGATCCGGAAATGCCTCCGCTCTACAACGGACAGCCATACGGATGGTTCCAACCGGGCAAGGTTCACAAGAGCCATTCAGCACACGAGAGGTATGACCGAGACTGCGCAGGATTCGCAGAGGTTGTCTCTGAGACGGCCATCTTAGCCCGGAAGCTCAAGTGGAGCAGTGTCCAAGATGAGTTCACTCGCGGTGATCGGCTTATCATGGCCGACCCGTCCCAGCCGATACCGTTCTGGGTCGTGTTCGCTTCCCAGCTCTTTATCGACAACTTTGAAATCCTAGGCGATCAACTCGAGAATGGTTGGGTGGACCTTACCAACATTGGGAGATGGATTACCTGCCGCTCGGAGGACATCCTCGATGATATTGCAGGGAAGCCCAGACCGTCGGCATGGCCTACCAAAAAGGACAGCGCTCTCCGAAGGCTGTGAGAAGACGCGCATTTCTTCGAGACAGACGTCATCTCGAAGTGGAAACGGCGGCTCCTGCCGTCCATCGTCAAGCCTCAGAGCATCCTGGTGAAGCGCAACGCCGTTTTCGCAGGCGTGTGGGCGCATCACCTCCTGACGCTCTTCCACACTACGGCCATCGCCTTCGTCAATGTTTGGGGTGCTGTATTCGCTATGAACCAGTTCTACCATGCGATGATACGGCTGACGTGGATGGCCACTCGCAGCCACCCTAAGCCGGTGTGACGGACATGCTCGTTATGACGCATATGCAGGGCGACCGTCGGTTCTGGGTCGGGCAAGAGCCACAAGAAATCAAGGACTTCTGGAAGCAGTGGTGTCTTTGTCAGGGGGTTTCTCTCTCCGAGTTCGCCGCATCGCGAGGTGCTATCCCTGTCGCTGGTCCAAGCAACGCAACACGCAGGGGACTTGCTTAGCTTGCCCCGGTCTCTCTCCTCTTCCGGGGGCGCCTAGGTAACGACACTGCCGGCCACGCGCGGGTCAACATGACGCTGGAAGATGTGCGCAACATTGTCGGCGAAGGCGGGTGGATCGAGGTAGACCCTTCTCCCGGCAATGTCTATGAGATGGTGCACGAATACGACCGAGCGAGCAGCCGGCCGTTCCGGGAAGCCAGCTAGGGAACCAAACGACATCAACGCCGCTTGCCTGGCCGCGAAGACCACTCGACGCTGTCACCGGCTGCGCTGATCAAAACGCTGGCAACCACGGTGAATACGGAGATGGCCGAGTTGTACTTCGACTACCTCTATTTACACACAAAGTGTTGGATGGTCCTTACCGATTTCAAGAAGATACTGGATCCTCTGCTCAGAGAGGCCTGCGAGGGAAGACCTGATTACATTGAGTCTGAAGCCCAGCTCCCGCAGTTGGTTGGCATCATCTTCCGCGCGGCTGCGGGCTTAGCGCCGGGACTAGGGAAACTAGAGTGCCTCGAGCTTCTCGGTGCGGCGCAGGAGGGCCTTGGCTGGCTCCTGAACATGGGGATGAACCAAATTGTGGTCCGTCAGATGGAGCGGTTGAGGATACCCGTGGAACTTCACGTCGAGGGTGGATAGCCCGTGGGTATGGTGTGAAGTACACGTGTGTTGATTAAAATCTGGGGGTGTGGCTAACTACCTGGGACCGTAATTGAGTAATTGCTTGGATACAGCTACATAGAAGATCTGGATGGCCAAATAACAATCTAGTTGGTACTTGTACCTGCTCAAGAAGATGGGTACCTATGTAGACTAGGCAGATAAGGTCTACATGCGAACACTGCACTTCTAGACCGTCAACCTCACATAGTCATCATGAATTGACTACCTGAATTATGTTGTGCCCTAGAGACTACCAGAGCTACAGTAGCATCCTTTCATTGGCTAGTCGAACCATCACCGAACCACCAGCCAGGGGCTGGCAAGGATCAATGAATCGATGTAAATGCCTCCCGTCTTGACCATCCGACCACAAAGTATACTAGTAGTACTTTAGGTGTGAGCACGATTGTGATATAGTACTTCGTCCTTCGTGATCATACTGATTCATGACAGAGCGGCGGTGGTGGTGGAAGGAGCTACCGTACCTAGTAAGGCGTGGGACGATAAATCAGTTTTGTCGGCTGGAGCCAGAAACCATTCCCAGAACAATCATTTTCATTACGTTGGCCAAGCAGAGCTATCAGGAACCCGTTCAGCTGACTGTATTACATTAAATCAATCACCTTTTGACCGTTCAATTGATCTGGCTTCGATCATCATACCTGCTTTCTCTGGCGGCATGATTTGCCCAACCACTCGCCCTCTAGGAGGTAGAGGTGAGATCAGAGATCGTCTGCCTACTCCGTACTGCGAGTCATACGGTTCATTAGTGGTCTAACACTTGCTTTCTAGCATTACCGATCTGGAACCGGCGCGAACAAGTTCTTCTGAGAATCGTGGGACACTGGTAGTTGTCACCCTCAAGCAACGACTGCAATCACTCACTTATCGGGTGTCACTAATAGTCAAACAACTTAATGAACAAGAGCTGTCCGTTCAAATCGGTACACGGGTACCTCCCACAAAACATAAAGTGATTTTATATGCTTCAAGTTCTCGCTCTCAAACTACCAACCGGTAGCCTTCTCGGGTTAGTACATTTACTTCCATTGTTTGAGAATACGCGACTGGGTAGTGAGTTAGGTAACGTTATCATCAACCTCGTTGCCCTCACCGAAACCTCATACCAGCTAGCAAAGCCTCACTGTCATGTGAGACAAAGATAAGGGACGATCCAGGCCAGCCAACATTCATATCATCGGGGCGGAAGGCCAGATTGGTGCAATCCCCCGCCATTAACAGGTTGGCGGTTTTACCTGGTAATCTTCAAGACAACATGGGGTGTTTGTCTCGGCATTCCTGGGCACTGCTGGGCATTGCTGGGCATTGCGGGGAAATCCAGGTCGAACAACGGCGAAACTACCTACCTCGCGTTGGCAGCCATCTTGCCTCGAGCCCAGTCAGGAATCGGAGTGGACTCGAGAGTTAAGGAAACCGACGCAGAGCCGCGTGGCCAAGGCCCTATTACTGTGTAAGTGCAGTTTTCTGGCGTCACTTGTGTGAAACGACAACGCTTCCATTAGCCCGCCGAGTATGCCACCGCTTGGCAGTACCACCTCTCGGTGACCAGGACAGGATTAACACTCGCTTGGTGTTTTCTACTTTCCTCACCTTACGACTGTATTTGGCAGGTCGCCGGGTGCTTGCCAAGGTGGCCAAGGATCCTACAGGCATGGTAAAGCACTTGGCTTAAGATAAGTCGACGATCGGTTAGCGGTGGCCTTGTCTGCGGGCCGTTGGTTGATATTGCCAGGAGATAGTACCTAGTCGTACTTATTATGGACCATATTGCCTCCCGGTTGTCGACCATCCAGGCTTTTCCGGTCTCTACACGAGTGAAAGTCTTCGACTCGTCACCGCCAACAAGACAAAATGTCTGAGAAAACTCCCGCGGCGGACGCCGGCTCAGCCGAGCTCCAAAGGTCTCACAGCACGCAAGCCGAGGAGCCAGCGGTTAAAGTGAAGACGCCATGGTGGCACTCCGTGGTCGAGGCGGGTTCGGCGACGCAGATCGTCATCGCTGCCGCTGTTGCCATCGCCATCGGAGTGGCTGTTAGTTCGACAGTCGAAAACATCCCCGCCGCCGCCGTCACCCTCGTCGGCATTCCGGGCAGGTTGTGGCTCCGCGCGCTGAGAGCCTGCGGTGCGTTGTTTCTGCTAGATTATTAGAGATAAGACGCAGCTGACGTATCCTCCCAGTGCTCCCCTTGATCGTCACCGCTATTGTTCTCGCCGTGCAACGACTGAGGAAGATGTCGGGCGGCGGTCAGAAGCTGGCTCGGGTGACCATCATCTACTACGTGGGCACGACGCTGCTGGCCATCGTCATCAGCACCATCCTGACGGACCTGGTCTGGGCACGACAGATGCAGCGGGTCGGCGAGGCGAGCCTGCAAGTGGACGAAGCCGACGCGGACACGTACGAGGAGCGGAAGGCGGTGGCGATCCACATGGTGGTGCAGGACATGTTCGACTCGCTGATCCCGCAGAACGTGGTGCACTCGCTGGCCAACGACGCGCTGCTCGGCATCCTGGTGACGGCGGTGGTGGTGGGCTACATGCTGAAGCCGACGTCGCACATTGTGCGGGCGCTGGAGGAGATCGAGGAGCTCATCACCAAGATCATCGGCTTCCTGATCAAAATCGCCCCTGTCGGCGTCTTCTTCCTGATCCTGCCCAACCTCTTCAAGCTGAACATCCGCGACGTCGGCCACAACCTCGGCATCCTCATCGGCGGCGGCGTCGCCAACATGTTCATCCACCTCTTCATCGTGCTGCCCATCCTCTTCTTCGCCCTGACGCGCCAGAACCCGTACGCCTACTGGGCCAAGTGCTCCCCGGCCTGGCTGACCGCCTGGGGTTCCTCCTCGTCCGCCGCGACGCTGCCCGTGACCATGAAGTGCGTGGCCGCCCGCGGCGTGCCCTACACCATCAACAAGTTCACCGTGCCGCTAGGCTGCCTAGTCAACATGGACGGCACGGCCATCTACTTCCCGCTGTGCGTCGTCTTCCTGGCACAGACGCAAGGGCTCAGCCTGACGCCGGCCGACTATACGATCGTGTGCCTGCTGTCGACGCTGGCCTCGATCGGCACGACGCCCATCCCGAGCGCCTCGCTGGTGCTGACCGTCATGATCGCGCAGAGCGTCAACGTGCCCATCACGGGCATGTACGGTGTGATTATTGCGATCGACTGGTTCCTGGACCGCTTCCGCACGGCCCTGAATGTCAGTGGGGATTTGTACGCTGCTGCTGTCATCTACAAGATCACGGGGATTGAGGACCCGCCTGAGGAGGAGGGTATGGTCGGGGAGGTGAGGGATAACACCGAGCGTGTTTGATGAAAGATGAGGATGGGTTGGGTTCTGTGATATGATATCCCATCCAGTTGTGGCCTGAGAATGGTCTAAGAACAGTAAATATGATTGATGAATACAATGCATTGTTATGACATTGTTGGTTCCTGTATTACGAATTCTGATGTGACGTGGCGCGAATACAGTCTATGTTCATACGCCCTATAAGAAATTACAGTATTTCGGGGGGACTCTTGTGATTCGCATTACATTGGATAGGGTAGGCACATTCGTTCTTTAGGGTCACGATGCATGATGGATATTAGGATAATGGTCAGAACTACAATATATTGTTATGTATCGATAATCTCTGAGAATGAGAACTAATAATCGTTTACCGTAGGTATGTTAACTCGACTGAGTTACACCACCGCACTACTCCCTTCTTCACCACCCCTTCTTCACGTCCTCACCTCCCCCCTTCACCGCTCCTCCTCCCCCTCCTTCTCCTCCACAACCCACCCCCGCTCATTCGCCGCCCTCTTCGCCCTCGTCCGCTTCCTGATGCTCTTGCTCATGCGCAGCATCACCGAGATCGCCGCCTCTCGGGTATACTCTTTGAGGTCCGAGGCCAGCACCTTGGCCGCGCCCTTCGCGGTTGGGTGTGTCCGCAGGGAGGAGGACGAACCCATCGTGGTGGTAGGGCTGGCGGCCGCGGTGGTGGTGTGGTATGGGATGGATTTGGGCGTGTATGGCCGTGCTGCTGCTGCTGATGAGGAGGAGGAGGCAGCACGCCGGGGATGGGAGCTTGGGGTGTTATTTTTGTTGTTGTTGAGGATGGTGCTGAAGGTCTGGGGTGAACCTGACCTGGACCGAGGTGGTGATGATGGTGGTGTTCCTCTTTCCGGGGAGGTTGAGGTTGTGCATTGAGAAGGCGACGACGATGATGATGTTGTCGTCGTCGTCGTCCTCCGACTCCGCACGGACTCAGCAGTTTTGGTGAGTCGGCCGTAGAGCTGACCCGGCGCACCATCGTACACCGAGCCGTCGTCGGCCTCGTAGGTGTATGTTTGTGTATCGGCGTCGTAGCCCGTCCGCCTCACCCCCTCCGGCAGACGCTCCTCGTCGCCATTGATGTCCCACTTGCGGGGCATGTTTTATGATGATGATTGAAGGTATGTGGAATGTGGTTTGGTTTGCTTGCTGTTGGTAATGGAGGTAGGGAGGCAGGGTTTGAGTTGATATCTCGATGATGATGAAGTCTTCCGGGTTCTCCTGGGGCGCAGACTGGGTTTATATAGACGAAATCTACCACACTCCATATAGAAGAGCTAGGCTGTTCCCAAACTAAGACCAGTGGGCAGCCTTGCAGAGTCAAAGAACAGCTCTCGAACAGTCTAAAAGTACAGAGATTCCCTGGGATTGTTTCCAAATACTGCCGATGTGTAGAGACGCCCCTAGTTATATCACTGCTGTCATGGGACGCACCATTGTCTGAGTGTGTCGTGTAATCGTTGAACAGCTATTCCGAGTCCTTAGTGCTTTATCAATGTCAGGGAGATGAAGTAACATATAGTATGCTGGCTCAAAATGGTGCGCACTGACAATCAGGTTGTTCGGGAGAAAGAAGTGAACAAACCCTTGGTTAAAAACTGGGTCCAAGTGTCAAATAGTACACAACTACACCGGGCCACACGCATACACTCACACCTTCTGGATGTTCTGCAAATCTGTACCGTCATGTTGAACAGAACGACGTATCCTACGTCTAGACCCACATTGGAGACACTCACGGCTCAGCAGCAACACAGGCAAAGAAACCAGAACTTCAGAAGTATGTAAGAAGGCAAGGTTGCCTACCAAGACGGTCGCCTAGAATCCGCGCCTGTTGGAGGCTGCGGTCGACTGTAAGTACATACGACCTTGGAAGGCAACCTCAAATGCGCTATAGGAGCGCAAGACGAAGAAGAAGAAATCGGAAAGTCCGGTTGACCACGCGGGCACATATAGGCCCGTATCACCTTACCCCTCGCAGTTTCACCTCTGCCTCCTCATCTCAGAAGCAGAGGACCAAATCCGGTCCAGTTATTACACCCCTGGGAGTAAGAAGACGGGAACAAGCGTGCCTTGTCGGGGTGTGTCGAGCGACTCCCCAGAAGGGGACTGGGACTTCCTTAGTTGTTCGAAGGCGAGACCTGTGGAACGCGAAGGCCGTTTGGAGGATCTTAACATATACCATCCGCCCTCACCCTAGTGATGGAGAGATGGCGTTCCGGACATGCGTACGGTGCTAGTAGAACCTAGATCCATCATCCATCTGTCTCAGGCTCCCCCAGTACCTCCGTACCCACGTGCCACACAGGCGTTCGGCAGGGCCTCGATACGGCTCACCTGGTACCATGCAACTAATGGGAGCGCCGGGAGCTAGATTTGTATCTTTGAGGTTGGGCAAAGGAACCGCGTGATCGGCTAAACAGCCCTCGTATCCCAACTACGATCCAAGAAGATCACAACAACAATGACAACAAGCCTGTGTAGAGAGCCAGGCGCCGATCCGCACCTATCCTACCCCAAAGGGCCGTACGTACGTAGTATACAGACCGTTCGTGGGCCAAGGAGGAAGTGCCCCGCCATAGTAGGTAGCGGCAGGTAGCAGCAGCAGCATGGACCCTTGCAGACCATTGTGCATTATTTCGTCGTTCTTGCCGTTTTTATTAGGTCAAGTCGTCGTGGCTGCGTCAGGTATCGGAGCCGGTCAGTCTGCATGTACCTAAGCGGCCCATTAGGATAGACCGCCAAAGTATTACCTACCCATCACAACACTCAGCGAAAGACATAGTTACAGTACCCGGTACATTAGGTTATCTCGGAATAGATGTTTTGTTTGGGTCAAAAATGTATAGCAGTCTTAAGTAAGAACTTAGGGTTAGTACTAGGAGTATCCGGACCACTAGCAGTGAACAATGGCAATGTAATGTATGTGCTGTAATACCATCCACCAGTACTATGGAATCTCGTGAATGCTATGTCGGTTTGCAGTTGGGTTGCAGTCTATCAAACTGGCCAGAACAGACACGGGTCTTTTGTTCTTGGGGCTGGTGGCTCGAGTTTGACTACAGCCGGCACAGCTCGAGGACAACCCTTCAGGGCCTGGCTATCGCTGTCACTACGAACCACATCCAGCATGGACTGTATGTACAAATTGCAAGACATATGGCAAGTACTAGTATGTACTACACTCCATTAGAAAGGGGGTATGTAGAGTATCTGATTGGGTAGTAATATACCACCAGCGGTCACGGTCTGTGCCAGCGACGGCAAAGGAGACGTTGAGCTGACATCACCTTCAGGAGAATCATATCTAACACAGGCACCTTTGTAACGAGAAAGGTATCATTTCTCCTTGTGACACATGAATTGTAGGGTATGACAATGGCTCATCTCCGTGTGATGAACGCGGTTATATGAAGCGAACGCGCAGTGATCACCGCAGTCTACCTTGTGTCACCTTCCCACCTCGACCATGCAAGGCGCTTGCAGAGCACGGCGCTGGCCTACCGAATCAATGCGAGTCTCTCACTGTGTCTCACTCGGTGTAAACACGCACAATATCCCCGGGCTTGGCGGCTGGAGGTTGAAGGCCCTTGCATGGTGCACCACCTGCCTTTACTGAGGGGGAGAAAATATCTCCGTTTTTGGCGGCTCTGGCGATGGCTGGTCGAGCACTGCCTGTCCGATTTATTCGTACTGTTTGCTGTTCAAAGCCCTACCGGATACTGTAAAGATGGGAAGCAGCGTCAGCAGACTGAACAGTTCTGAACACGTGCCAATATCGTCTGCTAAGATACTCTGTATGTACAAAGTGAGGCTGAGCATCGGAGTTGGCGTACCCTTGATTTCCGTACGACATCAATCAGAGTCTTCAGAAATGGCACGGGAGAGAGCGGGATCGCTAAACAGGGTTCCATTCTACCCCCTTTCTTGGTGGCTAGATATGGCAAACAGACCAACGGGACCTGAGAGCCCACCATTGAGTCTGCATGGCGGTTTCATCCCACCAAGCAACTGGCTGGCTTTCCGTATTTGCGTGCCCGCCGTGCCTTGACACTCTTTCTGTGTGCTCTCCCCCCACTCAAGCTCGTTTAACTCCTCTTCACAATGGCGTTTCCTTTCCCCTCGCAGCGTATGTTCAACTTCTACGCTTCCGCCGGGCTCATTCTGATACTCGTCACCTCCCTATTCTATGCTGCTTCCCTCACCAAGCCCATCCGGCGCATCAGAAACCCTTCGGCGGCCTTTCCGAACGACCAACTGCCCCTGCCGCACAACTTTGGTGACATCGTGTCCGAGCTTTACAAGCCGATCAAGCTTCCCGTGACCGCCACGAGCTACATGGATCAACGGGGAAAGGAGTTCGGCAACGGTGGCCGGAACTACTGGAACACGTCTCTGGAACATGCCATCCTGATTGTCGATATTGATACGAGAAGCCCAGACAGACAGAATGGGGTATTCAACGGGGCCAGCAAGATGGACTGGGAGAAGGTGCAACCGTCAGGCGCTGGGTTGCTGACTTTGGCTCACCTCAACCACTATATTTACTGTGAGTCTTTTGCTGTCTCTTCTTCCAGTCTGCGCCCTTTCTTTTTTTTTCTTTCTATGTTTCTTTCTGTCAGGAGAGTTCCCCCTGCTTCTGACAAGGCTGCCCCGAAAAAGCGCAAATTCACGGGTATGACTACAAGTTCTTCCACGCGCGGGAAATGAAAGGGCATTGGCATACCTGGATCAAGCCGCATGTCTTCCGGCAGATGCTACAACAACAACAACAGCAACAACAACAATACAAGTTCGTTGTCTTCCTCGACGCCGACGCCGTCATCCAGCACTTGGAAGTGCCGCTCGAGTTCCTTCTCAACCGGTGGGATATCTCGCCCAACACGTCCATTGCGATGCCCATCGATACTCGGCAGCTCTCAGATGAGAAGAACAACATCAGCACTGACAGCAGAGGGAAGGTGGTGCTGAACAGTGGCGTCGTCGTGCTGCAGAACCTCCCTTACACGCATGATATCCTGCAGGCCTGGACGGAATGCACAAGCGAGAAGCGGTATCCGGGATGCGGGCAGTGGAAGGAACGCTGGAGCCACGAACAGCGCGCGTTTTCTGAGTATATCCGCTATGACTTTAATCCGCATGGGAACAATATCGTCGTGAGTGTCTGCTATGAACGTTACATCCCATTGTTTCCGCTCCCCTTACGGCCCATCCCCTTCACCGGAAATACCTTGTGTGTATACTAGTAAAACTGATATATAAGTTGCCAGGAAATCCCCTGCAATGACGCGAACGGATATCCCGGACTGTTCGGCAAGGCGGGCATCATTGATGACTGCCAGGGCGAGTTCGTGAGGCACTACACGCTTGATAAGGAAATGACCAAGACCAGCACAAGCGACACGTTGGTGCAGAGCATCGGCGAGCTGGTTCAAAAGAACTTTGCGATGCATCGTGCTAGCTTGCTGATCGAGGAATAATACGGGCGCTTTCGTGTGGGATCCATGGTGAGACCCTCATGCTTTGTGCTCCTCTCTAAAGCGGGTTAGAACTTTAGAATGTACTTTCTTGGTTTATTTAGCAGGTGTTGCCTGCGGTGTTGGATGATGGGATACTCAAGAAGTCATGGGCGTTCATTGGTGAGTGATGATAGCGGTTTTGGATATGGTGCCTTAAACTTGTAGACGGTACTAGTAGCTAGTGCAGGGTCACTGCCATAATATCCATGCCTTGCAGTATGAGAAAACACTGCGTCGTGTTGATGATGCCAGCGATAGGTGCTATAGTTGCTTGGTGGTCATAGGGAAACCTTGGGAGTCGCCAGCTATCCTCGCAATATACAGTACACTCCAGCGCCGACACCACATTCAGCTAGGTAAGGTAGCAGCGTATATGCTCTCTGGCCTAGGCGGATACTGGTAACTTCTAAGGTACCATTCCCGACTTGTCCAGCACACTTCTAGGACGACGGGTCCGCATGGCTTGTTGGGTTAAAGGGCAAGCATGTGTCAGAAACGACGGAAAGAGGTTGAAAGCATAAGCGAAGGGGATTCGGTTCAATGTTGATCCTCGGCACCCTTTTTACTCTCATCATGCGATTGCCGTCTACGCGTACACGTGCTTGCTCGAGGGAAGGACTTGGGGAATTGGCATGTGGAAACCCAATAGTATTTTGTTGGGAAAGGCGGGCCCCCCTGTTCATCCTTCTTCGCATACCGCTTTGGGAATAAGAGAGGCTGTCTGACTGGTCGACACCATTACGTTTCTGCCACGTCCGTCACCACTGGGTGAAGTGCTGACATACCTTCCTCATCGAAGCTTGCTTTGACCTAGTTTCTGTATCATATGACTCAACAGGCCTCAAGGTGTCGTATCCATGCTCTTTTTTAAGTATATGTTGAGTTCTTTGCAGGGTTCAATAAACTTGAACATGGAAGCGTGTGCAGCGATATTGTGACACGAACCCCGGCCATATAAAGCTCTGTCTCTGCCTGCATTCTTTACATCTCTCACCTCCCTCACACCGAGAAGTTAGAACAGAAGCTATCGCCAATACCGCGTAGGTAATCATCCCACGAAAAATGGCATCTGACATCGCAGCCGTGAAAGCGTACGCCAGCCCCCCGCCCTCCCTCGCACTCTGAACTTGTTAACCGCCAACTAACCCAACCACTCGCCACCTTACTCCAGCAAATACGCCGGCCGACCACGAGAAACCCTCAAACTTCTCTACGACCACGAACTGCCCAACTGCCCGGGGAAGTCCATCGTCGGCCTCGAGCTGAGCTACGCGCCGGGCGGGTGGAGCCCGCCGCACCGGCACGCGGGCGCGACGGTGGTGGCCTACGTGCTCGAGGGGGAGTTCCTCAGCGGCATGAACGGCCACGCGCCCAAGGTGTACCGGCCGGGGGAGCAGTTTGTCGAGCTTCCCGGCTGCCACCACACCGTGTCGGACAATGCAAGCAGCACCGAGCCTATGAGGGCCATCGTCGTGTTTGTGGTGGATACGGCTGTGCTGAGGACGGAGAGGGGGTACGCGGCGCTGGTGGAGGTTGATCAAGGCTGGGAGGATGCTTGAGGCTGGCATTATTATCTATCCTCTATGGGAGACTACCAAGGACAAGACTTCGAGTGCCTAACGTGGTGCGCTTTGTTCTTATTGTCCTCTATCGTGGCAGCACAAGGCTGGTTGTGTCGGCGAATATCAGCGACAATGGCCATTTTGAACACTTTAGCTGTGCGTTTCAGAGCTCCAGCTGCTTCGAAAACAGGGCGAAATGGTGCTAGCTTTTAATGTAAACATCAAGTCCAACTCAGAGTTGTGGGTGTGCGTCTGTCTGCTTTCAAACGAGTGATAACATTCGGCCAAACCACAGACCTCACCTCCGTTGGCGGCCACTCATAACGACGAAGATTGTCCTGCGAGGCAGGAGCTTCGGGCAAAGTATGTACATGAATATGGAACACGTAGAAGTGAAGAGCATAAGAATAGACAGCGAATAGAAAAAAACGGAGGAATAGCCAAACGAAGGGATCAGCTGCCCACCACGCAAAAGGGGGGGGTCAAAGAGATGTCACCTCTGTCCCCCATATCCAACATGCCCTCCATCCAAAAACTGCACACACTTCCCCCCTCTCCCCTCCCTTACACAAACCCAGCCTTCATATTATCATATTGACTCGCCGGGAAACTCAACTGGTTCACAGACTTGTCGATCCCGCCCAGGGCGCTCGCACTAGCTCCAATCAGACTGCCCGCGTCGGTGCGATCCGCCGAGGCCTCCCAGAACATGCTCCCGCCGAGGCCCTTCTGCTTCAGGTAGGCGACCTTCTTGGCGATCATGTCGGCCGTGTCGAAGCTGATCAGCTCCTTGGTGGCGGCGTCGTAGCTGTAGGTGGCGCCGGCGACCGAGTCGTACACCACGATGGCGCCGGCCTTGGGCAGCGCCTTGTAGTCCCACACGCCGGCCTCCCAGCTGCCCTGGCCGATGCCGCTGTACGGCTGCCCGAGGCCTGCCGTGTTCTCGAACGAGCGGCCGTAGATGGGCATGCCCAGCACGATCTTCTTGGCCGGCACGCCGGCGCGGATGTAGTCGGCCACGGCGGCGTCGGTGGAATAGGGCGTGGAGTTGTTGTTGGCTGGGTTGGGGTAGAGGTTGGCCTGGTGGCCCGACACGCTGTCCCAGCTTCCGGCGTAGTCGTAGGCCATCAGGTTGATGTAGTCGAGCGTGGACGCGATCTGGGCGAGGGGCAGCTTGTTGTAGTTCTGGGGCCCTGCCGGGGCGGCGATGGTCAGGAGGTAGTGGTACCCGGGCGTGTACTGGGCTGCGTAGGAGTCGAGAGCGGATCTCACCTCCTTCAGCAGGGCGACGAAGTTGGCGGCTTGGGTCGCGTCCGAGGGGTATTCCCAGTCGATGTCCAGGCCGTCGAAGCCGAGGTCGGCGAGCAGCTTGACGGCGGTCGAGGCGAAGGTGGCGCGCGACGAGCTGGTGCTGGCCGCCGCCGGGAAGTTGGTGGAGTAGGTCCACCCGCCGATCGAGAGGAGCGTCTTGAGCTGGCGATTGTTCTTCTTGAGCAGGTAGAGCTGCTTCGCGCAGCCGTAGACGTTTTTACCCGTCTCACTCCATGCTGCGGGTTTGTTAGCTATAGCTGTTTTGTTTTACTGTGCAAGGGCAGAGTGAAGGAAAGAAGAAGCATACAGTCGCCCGGATAGTGCTTGTCCAAGTCTGCGTAAGTGTCGGACAGGTAGACCTCGCCGGTGCTTCGCACGTTGGCGAAGGAGTAGAGGACGTGTGTAAGCTTGGATGCCGGCAGCTGATCCGGTTGGTAGTTGCGGCCGTAGATGCCCCTGATTCGGTCAGTTGGTGATCCACTTCAGGAGTCATGGTAGGTATTGTACGAACCAGTTCGTGAAATACACCATGTTGATGTAGCCCGATGACTGCCGTTTGTCTACTGTGGCATCGACCGAGGGCACCGGGGATGCACTGACAAGGAGCGTGCCGAAGGAGATGGCAGCCAGTGCCGCATGTTTCAATGAGAAGGATACCATTGTGAAGGAGTGACTGAAGTCTCAAACAGGACAGCCCGCTGTGAGGTTGATTGTGAGGTGAAGAAGCTGCTGGTTTGCCACTTGGACATCCCATCCAGTGTCTGGCGTAACGCAATGTCTTATACTCCTGCAGTGAAGCCTCCATCTTGCCCTCCATGCGGCCTTCAGTAGCACCTCGGCCTCCTGATTGTCTGCTACCCTCCCAGATAGCGTGACCGAGCGCGTGTCGACCGTGTCTCCTCCATTGTGACCGGAAGGGAACCTTCCCACGCGACAGCCCCCTATCTCAGATCTTGCCGCCCCGCTGACACCCCTCGGCGCCAGCAACGTAACAGCGTTGCCGCCGAGGACATCGAGTTCTGAATGGAAGATGGTTCCTAGGTGCGGAAATTGAGACCTTTGTGCCCGCGTGCGCTATTTCGCGGACCATTTGCCAGTTTGCCCTCCAAATCGGGCCTTACCACAGGCGTGTCGCCGCGGCCTCGGAGGGCTTGCAGAGATTAGCCCGTGACAGAGTATCATGGCGGCCCTAGCTCGGCATGCCGAAAAAGCGCCCGGCGCGACCAAGTCGGTCATGTTCCCCCCCAAATGCAACACCAAGTGGACTGGCATCTCGGTCCTTATCGGGGGCGGAACCCTTGAGTGGTGCCCCTTGTGAACCAGTGTGACGGTAGTTGTGGGTGTGAGCCAATGAGGGGTTTCCTTTCCTTTTGCTCACTCATACCCGCGAGTGCTTCTACATCGGCATTGACGCGGAGGCGGATCACCAGGCACCCGCCGGTGCCACGAGGAAATCGAAGGCGCCCCCAGCTCCAGCCCAAATGAGGAAGGTCAGACCCCCTGACGCGCAGTTCTGATTCGCGGTGGGAACTTGGAAGGAAATGCCAAACTGAGGGGTATCTCCGGGTTGCAGTTTGCCCCAAAAGTTCCTGGGCCCAGATCGGGGGTGGGGCAGATATCAGAGGGAACCGTTTCATTCATCAGTCAAAAAGGGTAGGAAACCGTGAGCCTGTGTCATCGGGTCTTCGGCCGAAGTTGCAGACTGCCATCACATGACGGGAAGCAAGTGTGGTGATAACGAGGGAAAATACCTCTCCCAAACTCATGTCTTTGGTACGATCTCCTGTGAGATCGCAGTGTGAAAGCTATGGTCAATTTCGAACAACAGCAACCACATAAAGTTTGCTTCACGGTGGCAATTCTGGCAAGGGCCCCCGTGACGTGAATGGGCCAAGTTGCATCATCGGAAAGTCAAAATCGGGCAGAGCCGCATAATTCGGGAAGGTCAGTTATATTACACACACACACGCGACCCCCTTGTCTGCCACTAGTACCGAGCGCCAACGACAAGCGGCAGCGGCGGGCAGCCGGTACCTGAATGGCAGCCGGCGTCCCGGAATGGGATTCACGCGGGGTTAAGGGGCACCACCTTTCGCGGGTGGGACTAGGTGACAGCCCTCGGCCTTATACCACGCTGACGCCCGCCCTCCGTTACATGGAAGACATAGTGTAGGTTCAAATGTTGTAACGTTACCTGGCCGACAGCAGATCGCACCCAAATATGGTGGGGAGCCAGACATAGTCTTCCATGCTGCTGCGTGACGTAAGACCGAGAAGGATAAGATATCATTCTGTACACTGGATTTGATAACAGCAGGTGACAGGTTGATTGCATCTCTGCGTTTCAGTTGATGCACGAGATAGGAACCTGCATCATAGAATTCATGGAAGCGGGAAGAGAAAGAGCTGCATATCATCCTCGATACCGGGTACCCTAGCTGGGACTACCTGGCATCGCTCAACTCGGTAGTCATCTTCGCAGATGTAACTCTACCCCTATACCCGGAGAAAGCCGCATAGAGATCAGTGTTTCGAGAAGCACCAGAGACGACAGTAGCAGGCTCGGCCACCTTTGTGTACGGCCCTGCCAGGAACCATAACTGGAGCAAGAAGGGCCATCGGATCAGCCTTAGAGGGACCAACAACCGTTAAAGCAACGCGCCAAGGTAAGGGGACATATTACGCAAGGTACCATCGAGACACTTAGTCCACGTTACGCGTGCGCAGGTGCGTTACTAGTCCATAGTGGGATATGACTCGTTGTTCTCCGATGTTCTTCCCATCCCTTCCCCTTGCGGTCATGCCAGCTGGTCCGGAGGTTTGAAATTCGAGCGTAATCTGCTACGGACCGGGGCTTTCAGAACATCAGCCTCGCAAATCGGAACCGGAACAGGGTCAGACGGCAGGCGATTCAAGTCTACACTTAAGGGGCCGGCCTGGGACCACTTGATGAATGCTACTTTGGTGGGCTGAACAGGGTCGTCTCTGGGTTACGTAGCTTCCAAGATGCTGGTTAGGGTGGAGGTTACCTACGACCCGAGAGTACGGATTTGCCGAACATTCATTCCGTGGTGCAACTGTTGTGCGTTTCCGCTGCTCTAGAGGGTTGACGCCTATTAGAGCCCGAACAATGTCACTGGATGTACGAGTGAATAACCTCCCTATTTTCGCTATGCACAAGCCACAACCCGTGGTCCCGCGGTCGACGCTCGGGCTTATTGCCGTATCCGAGGTGTTCAGGGCTGGTGAGTATACATCGTTGTCTGAATTGCCAGGCAGGACGACATACCATTTTACGCTGCTCAGCAATATCTCGCGCGTCTTGTGCCGCTGGCCTCGATTGCCTCTAGGAGCGTATAGAGCGCCATGTCTTCCGGCTTCAGACTAGCCATGAGTTCCGCTCCCGCATCCTAATACATCTGTTCCTTGGGGTGCGGCTCTCGCGTGGTATATATTGTAGCCCTTGTCGATGCAGTGGCCGCATCCTCAGTTGATTGGATTTGTTTGCGCACTTTCGCGCTCGACTTTGCGGCGCGACTTGGTCGCTTCGGTGAGGGTTGCTGCTCGGCTACCCCGAGGGCCGCGAGACGCCGTTCTGCCTTGGCCGGATAGGTATTCAGACTCGATGCGATAGCTGGGCTCACACGCAACTGTATCACGCCCCAGACGGCCGAGCTTCCCTGGCCGCCATGCCGACAGCTAGGAGGACCTTTTGGTGATGCAGCCCTCCGCGACTCGCTCCTTCGGCATCTTGTCGTAGAATCACCCGTCTGGTTTGAGCAACGCCCCGAGACCCTATTCTAAGTCCAGTATGGAGGATCCTTTCTCTGTTGCTTGATTAACCAAACACTCTCAAAGCTACCACGTCAGTGATGGAGCTGCCAGTGTCCGTCGGACGAAAGCCATTGGGTTTAGTAGAGTTCGGCGTCTTCGACGCGATCCCCTACTATGATCAATCCCATTCCTCCAATGACAGACATTGAATTAGCTGCCAGTAGTTATGGTACAAACCTAAGACACGGTGGGCGCAGCATCATGCAAGAAGAGAAGAACGCTGTGGTTGGAGGATGCCCGAGCGGGGTTGATCTTGTGTGACACTGTTTTCAAGTTGAGAGTTGGGCTGCACTTGCCTCTTCAACGAACTTCCCTGACCGCCCGCCTTTTGGACCGTCGCTGGTAGCAACGGTACACGTCTAGATCGGGGTCCACTACACTCTAATATTCTCTCTTTAACCCGATAGGCCTTTCGCATCAGAATCATGATATGTAAAGCGGAGTAGTGAGGGAGCTTGTGGGCAGCACGGAGACCGGATTGCCTTCAGGCTTCATGTTGCTGACATGATACTTGCAGGACTGGGCCTTCGGCAGACGTGGATCGCGACTTCCAGGAACCTCAAACCCGGATTCTGCAACCCCCGACGGGACAGACCAGATCCAAAACAGTCACAGGAGTCCTTCGACGCCCTCTGTTTCTGCCCAACCACACAGCGGCTCTTCTGATCATGTCCAGACGGAGATGACCCTGTCACTGCCATAGCGTCCACCGTCGCGATCAACCAACACGCTGGGTCTCTCGCTTGTACACGCGCCTCCTGCACCTTTGGTTGACTTGATATTCGTCCACGGCCTTGGCGGCACATCCTATGGCACCTGGTCCTGGCGGCGCAACCCGGACAATTTCTGGCCTGCCTGGCTTGCCGAGGATGCCGAGCTGTCGAGGTGCCGGACCTTCACTTTCGGGTACAATGCTGACTTCACGAAGGACTCTGCCTCAGCCATCATCGACTTCTCCAATGATCTGCTAGTGCGCTTGAAGACATGGACGCCCTCGACCACGGATGGCAACGCAATAGGAACGGTACGTGATCGCAAGCCTCATCTTCACGATATGGCAGGCGTTTGCTCAGTCTGTCATAGTACCCCATCATCTTTGTTATGCATTCCATGGGAGGCCTCGTAGTCAAAAAGGTCAGTCTTACGCAAGGCGCTCGCAGGCGTTGGGGGTGTCATTTCCTAACTTACTCGCACCACAGGCGTACATTATCGGCAGATCTAGCGAAGAATACCAAGACATGGTCTCCCAGGTCCGAGCCATGCTTTTCCTTGCGACACCTCACCGGGGCTCTGCCTTTGCAGAGCTGCTGAACAACATACTGAGCACCGCCCCAACCCTTTCCGCCAAGGTGTTTGTGGCCGAGCTTACAAAGACAGCACCCTCTTTGCAGGACATCAATGAGCAGTTTCGGAATAACGTATCTTATAAGCGAGCGAGACATATAAGCGAGCGAGACACTAAGTTCTTGGCACGACGCGTCCTTCTTCAACCACCCCCAACAGCGCGTTTTTCCTATAACCAAGAATGTCTTCCGCTTCAAAGGAAGCTAGGGTAATCTTGGCCCTTCAAGCTCTTCAAAATGACACGAAACTGAGCCTCCGAGCCGCGGCCAAGCTCTATAACGTACCAGTTTCAACCCTCGGCCACCGACGTACCGGCCGAGCTGTACGACACGATCTTCCAGCTAACTCGCGGAAGCTCACCGATCTAGAAGAGAAGGCTCTTATTCAGTATATAATTGAGTTATCCGAGCGAGCTTTTCCACCAAGACTCCGTGGTGTAGAAGATATGGCCAACCAACTGCTACATATACGCGACGCGCCCCCTGTCGGCAAGCTCTGGGCCCATAACTTCGTCAAACGCCAGCCAGCCCTCCGTACACGTTGGTCGCGTCGATACGACTACCAGAGGGCTAAGTGCGAGGATCCAGAGGTCATTGGCGAGTGGTTTGCACTCGTACGGAATACCAAGGCCAAGTACGGTATTGTAGATGACGATATCTATAACTTCGACGAGACTGGGTTTATGATGGGCATCATCTTCGCGGGCATGGTGGTTACAACCTCTGATGGCCGTAGCAAGGTAAAGCTGGCCCAGCCTGGCAACCGCGAGTGGGCAACGGTGATCCAGGGAGTCAATGCTCTTGGCTGGGCCATCCCTCCGTTCATCATCTTGGCCGCACAGTACCACCTCGCTAACTGGTACACCGAGTGCAACCTCCCAGCCGACTGGCGCATTGCAACTACCGAGAATGGCTGGACTACCAATGCGGTAGGCCTTGATTGGATCAAGCACTTCGACTACCATATAGCGCCTCGGACAAAGGGCAAATACCGGTTGTTGATCCTCGATGGCCACGAAAGCCACCACTCAACCGAGTTCGAGCTCTACTGCCAGTAGAACAACATTATCACGCTCTGCATGCCTCCACATTCCTCCCACCTCCTCCAGCCACTTGATGTTGGCTGCTTTGGGCCGTTGAAGCAGGCGTACGGTCGCCAGATCGAGGACTTAATGCGCGCACATATCAACCATATAAGCAAGCTCGAGTTCCTTTGTACCTTTCGCGCGGCCTTCTTTGCCTCTATCACCAAGAGGAATATCCAGGGCGGTTTTGCAGGGGCTGGCCTTGTGCCGTACGATCCAGAGAGGGTACTTTCGAAGCTAGATATCAAGCTTCGTACACCAACACCCCCAACCTCACGGCCAGGCACTGCACAATCTTGGGTCTTCCAGACACCACACAACCCCCGAGAAGCCAACTCACAGTCAACGCTCATCAAGACTCGCATTGCCAACCATCAAAATAGCTCCCCGACTTCGATGTTGGCTGCTGTGGACCAGCTTACCAAGGGTACAATGGCTGTAATGCACCAGGTGGCCCTCCTTCAGGCAGAGGTGTCTTCGCTCCGCAAGGCCAACGAGGCGCTAAGCAAGCGCCGGAGAGCCAAAAAAACACGTGTACGGCTTGGAGGATCACTTACTGTGCAGGAGGCACAGGAGGTGGTAGGCCAGGGGGCTATAGGTGGGGAGGCAATGCAAGAAACACAGCTGGATGGTAGTGGTGCCGGGGGGGGTCGTACGAAGGTTCGGTGCTGTGGTGTGTGCGGCAAGCCTGGCCATAATGCCCGTACGTGCCAGGAGGTTGCAGAAGGGTCTGATTCAGCTGTCTCTGATGTAATTGTAGTTGGTTCCTAGTGTTGTTGCGTTGCAATTGAGGATAGTTGTTATAGAGTGGTGGAGAGTGTCTCGCTCGCTTATATGTCTCGCTCGCTTATAAGATACGTTATCTGCAAGGGACTGTCCTTGAGCTCGCTGTACGAGACTCAGAAGACTGCACTCGGCCCGCTACTAGTAGTCAAGAAAATGGTATCTGCTTCGATGCCCTTTGGCTTTTCATCCCTTTCTTCTCTCTTTCTTCGCTTTTCTTTTTCTTTTTCTTTTTCTCTTTTTCTACTTCCTCCTCTTTTCTCTTTTCTGTTCTTCTTCCTTTGCCCTATGATTTTGTCCCAAGATTCCACTTGGCGGCACTTGCATCTCTCTTCCGTTTTCTTTCGAGACAAGCATACTAACACGTTACCTCTTCAGGTTGTGGATAAAGAGTCTGCGGTCCTGGGATATCCTGGCGAAATCTCAGCCCCCTTGGACGCGGACCATCATGCTGTGGCCAAGTTCAAGTCCGTGGATGATCCGAATTACGAACAAATGAGAAATCTCCTGCGCCTGTTCTTGAGAGACCTCCAGTCAAACGACGTCGCCATGCCCATCCCGGCATCACACCGAAAAAAGCTTGAACGGGTACTCGGTGTCTACAGTGACCCTAGCTTCGACCTTGAGATCTTGGAGGACCGTATGATGCGAGACTCCTGTCGCTGGATCTTGAAAAGAGAGACATTCCGCGAATGGAGACATGGCCTGCACGGAGGTTGTTCCCTGTTGTGCATTAGGGGTCTGCCCGGCGTCGGCAAATCGGTTCTCAAGTTTCGTCATCAGATCGCTTCAGGAGGACTTCCCAGAGTTGGCTTGCTGCTATTACTTCTTTAACTCCCAGGATCATACGAAGAGGAGCATCAAACACATGCTCACGGCCATCGCCTTTCAGATCGTTCTTCGGTCCAAGTCCTTCCGCCAGCGGCTGCTCGACTTGCATGACGCCCGGAACTTTTCTATCGACCGGCTACAAGCCGTCAACGTCTGGACGTCCGTCTTCCAGCGAGAATTGTTTCAGGAGGCTGCGGAGAAGCCCATGTTCTGGGTCATCGACGGCTTGGACGAAGCAGATCATCCCGAGCTGTTGATCAGACTGCTCTCGAAACTGGAGCCGCACTGTGGCCTTCGGTTACTGATCATCAGCCGTCCGATCAAGGAAGCAACAGCACTGCGCTCTCTGCGAATCAAGTCCATTCTGGATGAGATCACCTAGGATGACACGCGGGACGATATTCGGTCGTATGCTTACGAGGCCGTGAGCTCCGTTCTCCTTGATGATGAACCTCGAGACAGCATATGCAGCAAGATTATCCAGAACCCCCATGGGTCGTTCCTGTGGGTGGCCTTGGCTGTCGAGCAGCTCCAAGAGCATTGGCACACGCCGGATACTCTCAGTCAGGCGCTTGAGGGGCTACCCCAGAGCATGGAAGCGTTTTACGACAGGATGATACAAACCATTGCAAGCCAGCCAGAAAGGCCCAGGCTTATGGCTTCGAGGATTCTTGCCTGGGCAATGTGCTCACTACGGCCCCTTGGACTTCAAGAGCTGCAAGAAGTCCTCGCTGCCGAGTTTGGCGCATTCTTGAACCTCGAGGACTCGGTATCGCAACTTTGCGCCAACTTTGTCATTGTTCGAAAATCTCAGGTTACATTAATACACGAAACAGCCCGTAGCTTTCTGCTGGACCGAGATAGTGGTCGGCTATTGTTGCTCAAACCTCAGTCTGAACATGAGTACATTGCCAAAGCCTGCCTGAAGTTCCTCATGGATCCGAAAAAGGACTGGAGACGCGTGCTCACAATTTCCAAACAGGCCGCCTTTGACAACCATCCTTTTCTTTCCTACGCGATTAGCTGCTGGGCACACCACGCCAGCCACGCACCGCCATCTGCGAATCTTGCCGCACTCGTCCAAACATTCTTGAACAAGTCCGCCCTCGATTGGATCCATGCCGTCGCGCTGCTCGGCGATATTAGGGTCCTGACGCGTGCTGGCGAGTCCCTTCGGACTCTTTCTGACTGGCGGACCGACACAACCCATGAAAATCTGCTGCAGTGGTCCAGGGATCTCAGTCGCTTCCCTGGCCGATTCGGCCGGATTCTGGCCTTGAACCCTCTCGCCATCTACCAGCAGATCGTCCCCTTCTGTCCCACTCAGTCCATGATAAGGCGGCACTTCGGTCAATTCAGCACTATTTCCGTGTCGGGTGTGTCGGAATCCTCCTGGGGAAACTGCGTCGGGCGCCTGATGCTGGGCAAGACTTCCGGTTTTATCAAGCGAGTCGTCTGTCAAGGGCCCTATGTCATCGCCGTAACTGAGGAATGCGAGCTGATTGTGGCTTCTGCCGAGTCGTGTGATGAAATCAAGCGAATAACCCTAGAGGAAGTGTGGAAAGATAAGACTCCTATCCTTGCTATGGCTAACAGCGGGGGTTCCTCGTTGCTGGCCGCCGCCGACGGGCGCCGGGTCCGGATCTGGGATCTGGCCACGGGAGAGGAGGTATTATCCATACCGCATTACTCCGGGATTGTGGTTCTGGCACTAGCTTTCAAAAACGATGATGAGCATCTGTTGGTAGGATATGAACACTTTGATGCCTTGTCCATCCACTGCTTCAGGGTGGCAAATGGAGTCAAAGAATGGGAGGATACACTCAAACCGCCAGAAGCTGTGCGATTCCATCCTAGAGTTATGTTGATCAGCCCCGACAGCAAATGGGCCGTTGTTGCCTGCAAAGATCGCGGACACTTATACTATACGCATGGAGCCTCGATTTTCCGGGCAGTCATCCTCGGCGACGATTGCGCACAGAATTCAACGAAGATTCCCATTGGAGCCGAGTACCGAAACGAGTTCTTTGGCGCCCCGGAACGCTCTCTGTATTCCTTTAATACCACGACCTCACATTGTTTGAGTGGGACCTTCAGTCGGACATGCTGAGGCGCCTGCCGCACATCAGGTCAATGGAGTTCGCATTTAACTTCGTCGGCACGTTACTAGCATGTGTCACTGATGGGTACGGGTCCTTCTCGATTAGGAGGCTGCCGGAATATTGGGTTCTGAAAGAGTGGTCGCAATTTCCACTTGTAGGCCGTTGTGGGCGTTGGCGTTTAGTCCTGACGGGCGGCGCCTATACCACGGTTTTGGTCACTGCTGCGATGTCTTGGAACTGGATGGAATTCTGTGTCCACCTGTTGCAGACGTTTGTCTCCCGGATGCCGCTGAAATGGAGCCGATTTTGGATTCGTCTGTCTCAGACGATTGGCCTCCGGAACCCGATGTCATTTCTGTCCTGCTCGACCCTTCTGGCTGGGTCTACCTGACAAGAGATTGGTTTACAGAGCCGATCCACAACACAACCAAGGGAAAGACGCCCATCGGGAACCAGGATAAAATCTCCATTATTAGTTTAGGCAACACGCCTACAGCTCTATCACCTTCGGGCCGGTACGTTGCTACGGGAAACCCTGATCTCCACGTCATCGTCTACGCCGTCAGCAAATTCGAGAGCCCTGAGAGTTACAGCCTCAAGATCAACTCAATAACACACGCTTTGGCTGCAGACAAAGCCAGTTAGTGTGTTGTTCCATCATTCAGAGGAGTACATACTCATCTCGTGGGTGGATCCTATCATCACTATGAAAAGGTCCGTCCCGCATGAACCCGTAAAGTGGTTGCGCGTTGGTGTATAAAGCTTAGAGGCTGGAAAACGTATCCGCAAGTCGAAACTAGTAGTTGGCATGTGGCATTGGCCTAGCATCACGCACCACCCAAGTGATACCGATCTTTTTATCTGTGTCGAGAGCTCGAGGATCAGGGCATTCAAGTGGGATTCGCTGGCTGAGGTCGGCTTGGAAGGCGACAACACTATACCATGCGGGGATGAGTATCTGTCGCCCCTCAGGAGGGTTATTACTCTTGTTGACAGCTATATTGTCTTGGAAATCGGAAATAACTTTCAGATGTCGAGGACGACCTTTACAGTTGACTTTGGAGATCCCACCAAGGTCACGCAGCCAAGGTTTGTGGAGGGCGCGTCCGACCTTGTTAATTACCTCATTGGATCATGCCAGGACCATGTTGTATTCCTGGATTACGACTACTGCGTTTGCACCTGGGATCTGCGGGTCGGACCCGCGTCGCTGAAACGGCACTTCTACTTGCCAAAGGACTGGCTTGACAGGGACACGTTGGATAAGTGCGTGGTCAACGGGCAAGGGACGGTCGCGTGTGTGAAAGACGGCAAGGTTGCTGTCATTCGGCATGGCATCAAGCTATGAGCTGCGCCCTGAGCACGGATGACTATTCATTGCTTTTTTCCCTATACAACAGGTTAGGGAAAGAGTCCCAGGCCATTATCCGTATCAAAGTACTAACACTGCTTTTAGACGGGCATTCAAAGAAACAACAGGGCCGTTTCCTGCCGTGGTTTACCACGCCGCCCCAATATTGTCTGCTGCCGGTACTGCCCAGCGAGGCCAACCATCAGCGGGTTCAACGGCCCGCGAGGAAGACATTGAGACCACCGGAAGCTACTGTGACCCTTGCGAGGGGCGAGCCCTTTCAGTGCGGCGCGCCGGGCTTCATGGACAGACGCTTGAAGGACATCTGGGACAACGTCGACTATCTCTCAGTAGTAGGTTGGCGGGCAGCACACGGTCGTGCTCACAGGAAAAAGGGTGGGGGGGGGGGGAGGGGGTGTTATAGTTTATGCGCAGGGTACTCGGGACTTGATAGGAGGAAGACGGAAAATGGAAACAGGAAAGAAAGCTAAACTCTATCCCACTGATTTTTAGAACACTTCGGTTAAGAAAGGCCATATTGACAGAATGATGCTTGTTGCCATCGAAAATACATCGTTTCCTTATATCCCCCTATCCCCAACAACGCTCCCTTAGCACCGCAAAAAGTGTACACCGCATCCCTCCAGATCCCACCCAACCATATTGCAATAGCAGTTCTACAATATGAATCCGAACCTTGAATCAGGGGATCAGAATCCCGTTGTTGATATGCACCACCCGCCTGTCCCAACGATGCCTCCTCCCCCTCCCACCCCCACTCCCATTCCCACTCCCACTTCCACTTCCACACTCCCTTCCAAATACCCTATCACGGTCATGCCAGCGGTAATAGTGGGAATAGTCGCACGTCGAACCATAGTCAGGGTAGTAGTAGCAGGCGCTGCAGTCGGACGAGGAGGTGTGGCCCCGCGCGTGGTACAGCGAGTGCTCGTAGCGGCGGTCGCAGCGGACGAGGCGGCGTTGGCGGACGTGGCCGCATCGGTAGTAGTCTGTGTAGGTTATGCACATTTTTGCTTTGCTGTGCTGTGCCTATGGTACCGGCTCGGTTTTGAATCGGGCTTTTCTTTCTTTTTTGGGGGAGGGAGTTCGTCTCGGTTGTTGAAGTCTAAGTCTTAAAGGCTTAGGTTGATGGCGAAGACTTTGTTTGTCTGTCTGTTTGTTTGTTTGTTGTTGGCTTGGTGGTGGTTCCGCTTTTTGGTCAGGATGTTATTGAGGGAGTTTTTTGGGGATTTGTGACACTAATAAGTAGTGTTGATAACCTGACTGGGAGTGACGCTGAGGATAAGGAGCGGGAAGGGATGCTAGGGAACAGAGCGGAATACACTCCAGGTATTTATGTTCATGCTACACTGTGAGCCTCGGTTACCTCAGTATTGTCCTCCTGAGTCATTCCTTGGTAAGGTAGGTAGGTGGGCGACTACGAAAGGCTGTCGGTTGCCAATGTCAGGTGCATGTTGATCAAACAGCTCACCTCGCTCACCGTGGGTCAACTACCGGGAAGCAACTTGGCTGCTCTTAAGATATGCCGACCACCTAGGGCATCTAAAGGGAATTCAATAACGTGGAGCCGAGAAACCTGTTCTTTTCAAGCTCACTGCACTGTGAGCCAACCACAAGGTTGTATAATTGGGCTTTTTCCAGCTGGCTCAATGGTGTATCCTGCCACAGCCACGTGGCCTCTGAATAACTGAGCTGCGAGGCTGAGGTACTAGTATGAGAAGATGGTGTGAAATACGTAAGGCTGGACTGCCACGGGTTTGCGTTCAGTGACGGACTGGGTGACAGACCGAAATGACCACGTAGGCTAGAGAGGGATATTAGTGACAACACCTTGTTAGCTAAAGTGGTCCACGGAGAACTCGTGGTCAGGCTCCGCGGCTCTGGAGTCTGAGTCTTGGCTTAAACAGAAAATGTATGCCCCAAAGGCTCTCTCAGGAGACCGGACCTCAAGGTCAGGTGAGGTTAGTTACTGTTGGTCCGGTCAGCTGGGGCTGTGAGCATCAGATTGTGCAACCCCAGATCAGATCATGTAATAAGGTAACTTGGTACTGCCCTGTAGAACGCTCCAGGACATATTATCGGTTACCACTTGGTTCACCATGAAAATGATCCGGCTCGGCTTGGCTCGGCTCGGAATAGCGCCGATGTTGCCAATGGGTTCCGGAGAGTCGGGCGTCTGAAAACTTAGCGATACATAGGACTGAGGAAGCAGGGAGCACATGGAATGGTCGGAAGCACCGCAGAAGCATATACCATGTCTAGTGAACTTATACTCCCCAGGCTGTCTTGTCATACATTGCTGCCTAGACTCCCATAGCTCAGCTAGTACCTTTGGCCGGCAGCCTCGAGGCAGATTACGTCAGGTGCGGCAACGGCATTCCGCGTTTCGCCCTCCTTAAGCTAAACTGCTAAAGTGCCGTCTCCCTCGGCCACAGCTTCTCAAGGACAAAGAAATGAGAAGGAGGGTTAAAGTCTCCAAGCTTAGTATCACGCGATCAGTCCCTTATACCAGCTGAATGGGATATATGGATTTCATTCATCGCTACAAAAGCCTTGCCCGGATAAACGTAGTACCAAGGCAATGTAGCATAGCAACTTCTGTCGGCTGTTGAGAGCTGGCTGCGATTAAAGAAGCGCTGATCACTTGCTACGAGGGAGGAATGTACAGCACAGGATGAGTACCGGGCTGTCCTCTGAACTGTATGGTGATGCTCCATTGACACCATGTACTGTCAAGGAACAAAGTGTGCCAGATATAACAAATGCTGCAAGGTGCGGTGGCAGAGTGGTCTAATGCGCAAGACTAGAAATCTTGTTCCTTCGGGAGCGTCTGTTCGAATCAGGCCCGCGTCGAGCTTTACTTTTGCTATGATCGAGTAAGTGGCATCTCATTTTTACCAGAACACTTACTGTCATCTATCCACCACAAGCAAAGCTTAACTACGTCGACAAGTCGAGAACTGGGGTGCAAGCGGTTCCAAATCTCGGGTTGCAACGGATCAGCTTTCACGGTATTCATCGGACATAACTACAAGGTATTACCAAATCTCTTGGCTTCGACTGGCTTCCGAGAAGTTGGTTGACACTCCTAACAAGGTAGCAACAAGGCATCCAACAGCTTTTGGAGAATTCGGCAAGGTTCTCCCAGGTTATCATGTGGGTTCTTTGCGGCCACCACCTTTGCGTTGGAGTTCGCTTCATATCTGTTCCTAGTTATTCACTCCCATATCTGTTGCGGTCTTCAGCGAAATAATCATTACTATCGTACCTACCTAGGCAGTTTGACGAAGGAGAATACATTCCAAGTGGTGGTAGATTACCAAGCTTCTCCGGTTTGTTAGACGGCAATATCGCCCGTCGGGTATGGGACTGTGCCGCATCCATACCTGGACACTAGGTACTCAGGTGATGGTGTTGACCGAGTGTGCCACACCATCACTTGCAGATTCACCACTTGTTGTCACCCCGGCCCACACTGCCAAGCTAAACCCACCTCAGTCTTGAGTAAACCCATAGCTCAGAGGCTGCAAGTGAGAACCAACGTTGGCTCGCAAGGCTCAAGGCGGAACTGGTCCGGAAGTCACTGAGAGATCTTTGCCTATTCTGGAGTATGTGCGTTGGATCCTGCGCTGTGGTCTATCCCCAACACTTGCAGTTGTTGGTAATAGAGAACGTCGGAGATCCAGCGTTGGATGTACTCCTCGCTGTTTTTGGCTCGGTATTTGACATCTTCATGCCCTGTCCTCAAGAGCGCTGTGACCATAAACATGTCACAGAAATCTCTTCGCTACTAATGTCACTCCACCATCACCTCCAATACAATGATCTTGCGGGAACCGGAATGGCTGAGGATACAATATTTGGCTCGCCATCGCCAGGGCACGTATTGCGGAGCGAAAGCGCGTCCCCCAAGATCTCGGAACGCAGCTTGAAGGCGGCTGTGGTGGGGATCGCGGTGGGAAGTTCCGTCGCCGGACTGCTCATTCTTGCCTTGCTCATCTGGACTTTGTTGCGAATACGGAGGCGGCGGCGGGAAGTACTCGAGGTGCGACCCGCGCCGTGGCCAAACTCACCGTTCCCTTTCGTCCCGCCCAACCTCGACAAACAACTCGCTACCCAACACGTCCCCATTGTCGTTCACGAGATGCCCGGCTCGGCGGTAGAGCCGAGACACGAGCTGCCTACTCCGGCCAACAGCATGACAAGATTTGTGGCGGAGACTCCGTGGATCTGATATGATATGAGCTTTGGTGTTTATCCGGCTGGGTAGGTACACCCAATTTTGCGAAGAGAGAAAGTCTGGATTCTGACACACAATCAGGAAACCCTTGTCTCGTTGTGCCTGCTTGTCGGACTGGTTGAGGTCTATAATACTTGGGCACGGTACGGCACAGCAATGGACGGAGGTGCAGAAACTGGCTTAAATCCGGAGACACTAGCAATGCAAGATACTCGCCTCTCCGTGCTAATCACAAACCAGGTCTCGGCGGTTCATGGTATTGTCTGGCCAGGAGGCGCCTGAGTGTGATGACCTGCTAAAGCCGACAATTCCACAACCCTTGCCATCCCTCGTGTTGGTACGGTAGGAGAGTTGATGGTCAAGCTCAGGGCGCGGCGGTGGATGACGGGATTTAGACTCTTTCAACCTTTAGGTGCTCGCTTAATCACATCAACTCGGGCATGGCAGAGTCGACGTTGGGCCTCCACCCCTCGCATCCTTTCTCTCTATAGCTATGGTGTTTGATACAATGACTAAGGCAAGGGGACATTCACATTCCCAGAAGCCATGTTCGTATCCATATGCCATGATTGCCCATCGCGCTCTTAGCGTCACCGATATATCCTTCTTCAATCGTGGGAAAGAACACGAGCATTAAAGATGCTACTAGCTAGACCCTTGGAGCACAAGACCACTCGACAAGTTTGGGACCAAGAGCACTATATGGGAATTTGAACATGGCTTAGGATCGCAGTGGTCGCCGTAACCGAAGTAGCGGACCTGGACGATACTCTTTTGGATTACCATAGGGCGACGATGTAGTTGTGACTTACACTGGTTAGTCGGATTCGTGACCGTTCGTCATGCTGGATTAGTCCCGTAACGGTCGACGCCAAGAGGCCGGCACCAATCATCACAGCGCATCAACAGACTGTGGCGCTCTCCAATACGAGGCTCGGCCTGCCATTCTGGTGTTCTTCCGGCCAATGACCGGAGTCCATACAGCGCTTCCCCGCGAAAGTCCTCGTCCAGGTCTTTGTTAGCGCCTCATGCGTGGTCGCATGTCACCCGGTGAACAGGTTGTGAACCGCATCCGCCCTACCAAGTGACCATCGCCATGGACATGTTACGCTGGACCCGGCCACAAGTTCGCCCGAGTCGCCCTTGATGTCGAGAACTTGCATAAGACCCCAGTGGTCCCAGACTTTCGGGAACCTGACATCTTTCCCCCAGGCCCATCGTTAGACCAAGGTAACACTGCTACTACCAGTATTCAGCCTGTCACTCGTTTGGAAGTCAAAGACTGTCGAGATGCACTCGCTTGGACTCCTCCTTACCCTTGGGGCTGCTGCGTGAGTCTGATCCGTCAACATCTGCGGGATACTGTACTCTGCTTACCTACTTCCTCGCACAGGATTGCCCCGGTCGCGGCCACCGGCAACCACGGTACCACGACCGTGACCGCGCCCCCGGGCCCCGTTACCGGCTGCCCGACCATCACGGCAACCAAGGAGCAATGCACCACCTGCCCGCAGCCCGCCTGCCTCGTCCTCAGCACCGTGACGCAGGGCTGCGACTGCCCGGCGCCCGCCACCGTTTACACGTCCTTTCCGTGCAGCGACAAGTGCAAGGGCCTCGGCTGCGCTACCAGCTGGAGCGTGGTGACGGTGACGGGATGCACCACATCCACCAGCAGCCTCCCACCTTCATCCACGTCCAGCAGCAGCACTAGCAGCAAGACGGCCTCTTCTTCTTCTTCTTCTTCGTCAGATGACTGCACCGAGACCGAAACCACCCACAGCCAGACCAAGACAGCGACCGAAACCAAGACCAAGACGTCCTCGTCAGATGACTGCGCAACTTTCACAACAAGCACCATCACCGCCTCCCAAACCCAAACCCAAACCTCATCGACGGATGACGGCGAGACCCTGACCGAAACCCGCACCCGCACCCGGACGGAAACCCATTGCAACAACAACCCCTCCGGCCCTTGCAACCCCACCGGCTCGGCCACGCGACCGCCGATCAATCCTACCGGCTCGGCCACCCGGCCTCCCATCAACCCCACTGGCTCGGCTACCCGGCCTCCGACTACCAGCAGCATTGTTACCGCGGGCGCGGCGGGGAGGGCGAGGCCTTTCTTTGGGGTTTTCTGGATTTGAGAGCGGGGGAGGGGAGGGAGGGGGGCAGGGGGGTAGTACGTGGTTTGCGTAGGATAGGGTGAGGGGTAGTGTGTTTCGTTGAGGGGGGTTGGCATGAGTAGGACCGATGTTTTAAGTTCGGTACTGGGATGAGATTCTATTCTATTCACGAAAGCTCGGGGAGTTTTGGGGGTTGTGCCTCTGTTTTGTGGGTGGATTGTAATGAGATGGTGGTCGAGAGCTGGGGAGGGCAACTGAGAGTCATGAATACCTATGGAAAATCAAATATATCTCAGGGGAGGCCAGGTATGATTTGGATCCTGTAATGAGTTAATGTTGTGGATCGCGTATATGAAGCAGGAGTCGTACCTGTAATCGCAGTGTCTCTCTTGGTGACTTCAGCTCTAACTATTGAGGTTCAGTGAGATTCTCATGATCTTGCCGAGTTACTGCTCGTTGGTTGCTAAGGTCAACTTGTCAGGTGAGGCAAATACCCCTGGCAGATTCTCTTCTATCAATAAGCCTGGAGACTAGGCCGCCCGCCAACTTGTTAGTGCTATACAAACAGGCAAAGCACTCCAGTGTAAGCATCTCGATGAGTTCAGTCTGTGTACAACGGCGCCGTTGAGGACCCCTTCCGGAGGTCGATCATCCAATCCAGCCCCGAAGTTCCATGTTCTCACCCATTTGGCCAACGTGACCGTCCAAAATGCGTCACAGTGGATGGGTGTTTAGTAGCCACCGACTGTCCTTGCATACATAGAATGAGTTGCTCGCTGGTGAGCGCTTTGTATATCTGTTGATCCAAGCGGAGAACCGGTGAGGCCCGGCGAACGGGCTGTTCCACACGAGCAGCCCCGCTTCTAGGCCGTCACAGCCCCGCATGTCGTTCGGACTGACTGTTACGCCCGAGCAGATACGGAAGCGTGACTGCATCTCGAGCATCATCTCTTCAAACCTGAATCTCAGACCGACCCTTACACCACCCTTGGACCCGATTCCCCTTGCCGGGTCTTTTACACATCCCAGAGACCAAGAAAAGATGGCATCCGCACTGGCCCGCTACAAGCTCGTCTTCCACGTCCCGCCCGCGGCGCTCGAGGCTTGCAAAGCCGCCATCTTCGCCGCGGGGGCCGGTCGCTACCCGGGCCCAGGCAACTACACCGAGTGCTGCTACACCACCATGGGCACGGGCCAGTTCCGGCCCGGCGATGCCGCCAACCCGCACATTGGCAAGGTCGGAGAGCTGGAGCACGTTGAGGAGGCGCGGGTCGAGACGCTGTGTGTCGGCGAGGACGTCGCCCGGAGGGCCGTTGCTGCCTTGAAGAAGTCGGTTCATTTTTTTTTTTTTTGTTGAAAGGGTTGTTCCCGTGGGGGTCCTACTTACCGCAGCTGACTTGGCCACAGAGCGCATCCATACGAGGAGCCTGCGTATGAGGTGTACAAGCTCGAGGATTTCTGATCGAGTCTGGTGCCACTTGTCTCTAAGACTCTATGTCTGAGACCTGATGCGCGGATCCTTTGGAGAGGCACTCCTTGGTGAGACAGGTGTGGAAGGCGCAGTAGCTATCATCTGTGGTCCCGGCCGACGGAGCTCTCTCCGGCGATGCTGCTTGGACGGTAGTTGTCTCTATATTTGTTGCAGATTTGCGGTATCGGACTAGGTGCGACACCTCTTGACAATAATGTCTCATTCACCTACCTTCCTGACTCAAACATGCATGATTGAACGGACGGAACATCTCGTGGAGCCGTTGACTTCTTGTCCCCGACTTCCCGACTCCTCGGAGGTCTTGAGGCGCCCGCCTCTTGGCGAGTTTGAACTTGAGATTCTGTTCGGATCGGGAAGTTCGACTTGCCGATCGTTGCAGCTCCAAGGCGAAACGGCGCTTGTTGTCTTAACACTGCCTTTTCAGGTGCCACACGTGTAACCAGCTGGATAAGCGAACTGCGAACAGCAGAGGATGTGGTTTTTGTGACTTGTCGATGCTCAGCTTTGCGTTGGTGGTGTGGAGACAGGAGAAGCAAACATGGCCAGATCGGATGCCCCGCCTTTCAACCCCAGGCCATCGGGATCAACACCCCGGTCAGACCCGCGGAGTGGAGACGACCCTGCGAGCTGCCAGCCAAACTGATGGTTTCCTGCTCCCCAACTGCCCGACGTTCGTATTGCGAATTGCGATGCCTTCGCGAAGATGTCCATGAATGTGGGCCTGATCTCGCGGAATCTACACGTATATGGCTATCAGAGCGCTCGCCAGTCGATGGGCGTCCAGTTTGCATAAGAGGCGATTACCAAGCCATCGGGATTACTGGCTACTACGGCCCATCGATCTTCAATCTCAGCTTGATTCCTTAACGGCGCTCATTTCGTGCTCATCTCATGCAATCTCTCAACAGCCAGTCGAAGACAGTCGTTGGAGTCTACTAATCCAAAAAACCGCGCTCATTCCACCCCATCTTGCCTTCCTCTTTCTTTAGTGCTGGTGTCTCATTCGTTGGAAACTGCGACGCCGTCATGTGCCACCACATCTGACTGAGCATCAAGAGTCCGAGACGACCGGGTTCTTAGCGTGGCTTATGGTTGAAAGACCCATTTTCCGGAGGGCGAGTATAAAGACAAAGGGAAAGAGCCGTCTTAGCCTTGCGTTTCGAGCATTTTCCGCCGCAACAAAAACAGGACCACCCTGCCATGCCCGGTACTTGTTGATGCCCGTTACAATCACCCGACGGCCGATGCATGAAGCAGGGTTTGTCTATCCATCCAGGCACGGTACCGCTGCGGGCCATCCCTGATCAACCGGAAGCGACTCCACCTCCGCCGACTTCAAGTCGGGCATCCAGCCTTTCTTTAATAACCCCCTCTCCCCGTCTCTCGTCCGGTGACGGCAGCATTCCCAGGTTGTTACAGAAGAGGTTTGTGAGCGAAGCAGACACGAAGTGCCGGACCATCGAACAGAGTCCCACACGACGGCGCGTCCCGGCAGTTGCAGCAAGCTTGCAGCCCCATCAGCAAGTCATAAGCCGCAGCGCCCGATGCAGGCGACATCGCACAACCTTAGCCGCAAGCGGATTCGTGTGAAGTCAGCACTTAGCGAGCATTAGGGCGCCCCGAAAATGCCAAGCGCCACCCCGCAACCACAGCTCAAAAAGAAGGCCAGTCTCCGAGATCGCCTGAGGGCATGGCAAAAGCCGGGAGAGGCGCTCGAAACCGTCACGGACGAGCCGAAACAACGCTTCATCTATGAACCAAAACATGCGGCCGCCGACTTTTCGCGGCTGGCGGTTTCGCCCGTAAGCCCAGTCCGGCCGCGATTCGCTCCGCCAATGCAGCCTCTGTGCGAGGATGGCGTTCCCATGTTCCACCAGGCAGGGCAAAGGAACCGCGATGACGATGGCCGGCCACCGAAAGATGACAAGCCAACAAGACGGCTATCACGACATGGCAGCCAACACCACCACTCATACGCGGTAGCAGAGGATCCCTTCCAGGCGTCCAATACGGCCGTGCACGTCCCAGTCAACAGTCGGCCTGTGGCATGGACTCCTACCGCGCAGTCGGTCGAGCAGAGGACGCAGGATCCGGCACCGTCCCAGCCCCTATCTGACTACGAATTATTCATAGCCCGCGCCGAGGCCGAAGACAGGGAGCGGCGCGAGCGGATCCTGCGCAGCATCTCGCAGCGGTCTGCCGCATATTCCGCGAGCCGAGTCAAGCCGGATCCTCACCGGCAGTTCGCAAGCGCTGGCTCCTCGTCGGCAGGGAGGACGAGAGATACCTCACAGCAGCGGAACAGCGGCAGCCGGTATGTTCTCGGCAGCAGCGGAAACGGCGGCGAACAGAACAAGCAGCAAGAGCAGGCGGGGAAGGGACACGGGTGGCGGCCGAGCTGGGCGTCGAGCACCGCAACGGGCGGGAGCGGTCCGGAACGGGGTTTGGAGAAGGAGGAAGCACGACATGTCCGGCCCCCACCCCGCGCCCGGGCACAGCAGCGCCGACCGAAGCCGGAGTCGGGCCCTGTTCAGCAGCCTCCGGTCGTGTATGGCGTCGATGAGAAGTTCGACCAGGCGCGTGAGTACCAGCCGCAGCAGACACGGACGCTGCGCAGACAGGCCAGTCTGACGAAACGGATTGTGGATTATATCCGACCGCCGAAAACTGCTGTTCGGCCGGTTGAAACGGTTGTTGAGTGAAGTCCCGGGCTTGTCTCCGCCTGGATTATGAGTGATAATGCATGATTCGAGGGTAGATCATCGGATGACACTTGCTATGGAGTTGGGGATATGCGGGATACCAAAAGTGAACTGAACATCAGATGTTGATATTATGCTTCATAAGCCCCTGTTGTTACGAGTGTCTGAAAGCTGACCAATGCATTGATGCACTCCTGAGCCCCTGAGCCCCTGAGCGAAGTATAGGCCAGTCCTCGCCAGCGCAGGTGGTGTGCTTGTGATGAAGACAACTAACAGCCAACAAGTACGTGGCCTGACATTTGGTGAGAGAATCAACCAAGGACCTTGCACCGAGTCTGACAGGTCCCGTCCTCGTTGCTGCTTCGGTGTTGACGATACCAGTATGGTTGGTAATCCGCCAAGACAAGCTGAGATTATTGCCAGATCGGGGCCCTTGAGTGATCAATGCACCGGCTAGACATTGTTCCGCCAGGGGTTCTTCTAACTCCCATCTTTCATCCGCCGTCTTATCTCGCCCATTCATTCCTCCTCGTGAGAGGTAACTAGTTGCTGCGTTTCGGTGCAGTGTTACCATCTGAGCGCGACGAACGTTCCATTGGCTGCGCCGCCTTAACCCCCTTGCGACCAGCGCGACGGCACCGCAGCAGCGGTTTCCGTTGCATCGACGAGCGCCGAGCCGCAGCAACGCGATGGCGCCGCATTCCCTCACCGCCCTGCCAATTGAACTCCTGGTCTTTGTCATTGACAACCTCGAACGCGTCGAGGACATCGCAGCCCTCGCGCTGACGGATCGACGGCTATATAGCACCGCGAACCCGCTGCTCTACCGGCGCGCAGTCGAGTGCAACGATGCGCGCCCCGTGGCCTGGGCCGCCCACCGCGGCTTGGTCGCCACGCTGAAGATGGCGCTTGCCGCTGGGGCGGACCCCTGCCGGGAGTTCAGCGACTGCGTAGCGGTGGAAGAATGGGAAAGGGCGACCGCGGCTGCTCGCACTGCTGCTCGGGCCGGCCGAGAGAAGGAGGCATGGGCCATGTGGGACCACGACCCCGGGCACGTCCCCGTTGTCGCGTGGTGCTCCGAACCCGACGACGACAGCGATCACGCCTCCACACCCGCGAGCAGCAGCTCTAGCACGGACCACTCCTCCCATGCGCCCAGTGGCAGCTCAGACCAAGAGTCCGATGCCTCCTCGCCGTACGAGATCCCGTCCTCACAGCGGAGCGATGTGGCCCCGGCAACGGTGCCAGCCAATGCCTTCCATCCAAACACGGTTTCGCGCTGGTTCTACGCAATGCACCTCGCCGCTCGTGGCGGCCATGACGAGATCATCAAGATCCTGCTGAGCCACGGCGCATCCGTCGACGTGCCCTCGCGCCACTTCTGCGCCTGCACCCCAGTCTACGGCATCCTCAACGCGCTCGAGTGCCCAGACCAAGTCGAAGACAACGAACCCCCGCTCTGGTCGCCCCTCCACGTCGCCATCTGCCACGGGCGCACCGAGACCGCCAAGCTGCTGCTCTCGCGCAAGGCATCCCCGCTGATGCAGACGCCCCTGGACTCCCGGTACAGCTTCGACCGCGACAGCCGAGAACCCACCCCATTCCCCACGGCCTTGCACCACGCCGCGGGCAGGGGGCTGACCGAGCTGGTGCGATACATCCTGGACAATAAGATCCAAACGGATGTGAACGTGCAGGACTTAACCACACTCACACCATTCTACTACGCATACGCCCACCGGCGATGGGACAGCACCGTCCCTTTGCTCCTCTCCCTCGGCGCGAACATCGACTGCGAGACCAAGATGTACATCCCCTACACCGCCATCACCCCGCTGGGCGAAGCGTGCCGGCTGGGCGACTTCGCGGTAGCCGACCGGCTGATCGACCTCGGCGCCGACGTCAAGCGCGGGTTCATCGCCACCACGTCGCCGGGCGGCTGCCTGACGCCGCTGCACATGTGCTGCATGCGGTCGGCGCAGGCCGTGGGCGAGCCCAAGGAAAAAGGGGAGGACGATGAAGCGCGTGGAAGGGCACGCATGCGCACCATCGAGAAGTTGGTTCGGAAGGGGGCGCAGCTCGATGCGAGGGACTGTTTTGGGAGTACGCCGCTCATGGCGGCCGTGCAGAGCTGCAATACCTTTGCGCTGGAGGCGCTGAGTCTTGCTGGAGCGGATGTGGATGAGGATGAGTATGGGGAGAGGGTTGGGGTTGGGAAGAGGACCGCTGGCCGGGCTGTTTTGTCGTCGTCGTCGTTGTCGTCGAAGCGAAGGGTGAAGGAGGGTGGTGGTGTGGTGCGTAAGCCGGTCACGGCGTCGTCCGGGATGTAAGGAGGAAGATTGTTTGTGTATGGAAGTGATTTTTGTAAGTGGCGAGGACCAGAGATATCTCCAGTGGCCACTGTAACGATACCCAACCTACTGTACTCTGCTACTTCTAGTTCTTTTCTTGTCGGGTCACGAGAGGGAGAAATACCCCTTCGTGATCGATAGTTGCTCGACAGGAATGTGATGATAGGACGAAACAAAGAACCACGGAGTGAACCATCACCGCAATTGCAAAGCTTCCATGAACTGATGTGTTCATTCCCAAGGGGTATCGACCTCGTACACTTAATACAATACAACCTGACCTTCACAGTGAGGTAAGTATCTACCACCTCCTGCCCCTTCCTCTCCCTCCTCTCCCACCTCCCCCACCCATCTGCTGCTCATACCCATACCCCTGGCCCTGACCGCCTCCAAACCCTCCCCCAAAACCCTGCCCCTGCCCTCCCTGACCAGGACCACCGGGCCCCCCTCCACCGCCGCCAAACATACCCGCCATGGCGCCCATATCCATCTGGCTCGGATCCATGCCACTCGCCATCATCTGCTGCATCATCGCCTGCATCTCAGGCGACAGGCCCTCCATGCCAGGCGGCATCATCGCCCCACCCTGCCCGCTCGCTGCCTGCGCGGCACCACCAGCCGCACCCACACCCACACCAGGCATCCCGCCGCCCGGCGCCCCAAGCCCCGGCATGCCGCCCATCATCATCAGGTTGGTCATCTCCTCCATCATCTTCTTGTTACTCTGGGCGATCGCCTCCGCGTTGTACTCGCCCCGCAGCGCCTCCTGCTTCTGCGCGTACAGCGCCCACGTGAACTCGTCGAAGCCGTAGTTGAAGTAGTCGCTGAGCACGGCCCCCGGCTTGCGCCAGGGCTTGTCGTTGTCCGGCAGGTCCTCGTCGATGCTGACTTGCGTGAGCGGTTTGCCTGTTGGTTTGTGGATCGGGATGGCGTTGACGTCTATTTTGGAGGTGGAGACCGGCGGGTGGGCGTCTGCGGTGATGGTGGTGTTGGGAGCAGTGCTGTTGCTGGTGGCGGTTGCGGATTGTTGGCGGGGCGATTCGCGCTTTATTTGAGTGGGTTTGATGGAGGCTGTTTCGGAGGAGGCGGAGCGCTGGGGGATGTTTTTGATTTCGCTATAGCGTGATTGCCTGGAGGTTGTGATGTTAGCTGCGGTGAGGACGGTGAAGGAAAGCAGAAGCAGCTCACGGTGGAGGGGCAGGTTTGGAGCTGTCTTTCCGTTCGGTGATGATGTCGATATCCTGAGAATGTCAGTCGATGTGTTGGTTACTCTCCGGATAGGGGAACCAACTGAATCATCGTCTTCGTCCATGGCCCCTCCTTCGTCCTCCTCTTCCCCCTCTTCGAGTTCCTCATTCGGCTCCTTCTTGGGTGCAGTTGGTGGAGCTTCGGGTTGCGCAGCGGGAGCTTGAGGCTCCTCGGGGGCATAGAAATCGTCTTCGTCGTCGATATCCATTGTGGGCGGCGGAAATCAATTAACAGCGCTAAAATGTTTGTTGATACTCTAGGATCTTTCGTCGTAGTTGAACGGAGCAATGCAAGTTGCACGACGTAGTTCAGTTTGGATGATTGACCCAGATGCGACCGATTGGGGCAGGCGGTGAAACACGACCCTAGCCGAACGCGTCAAAAAGGGTGAAGTTGGGTGGGGCGAGGAAGCTGTCAACAGCCATTCACAAAACAGCAACCATCGGGTAACAAGTGACGACGGCAAACGCTCCAGTTGCTGTATGTTTCGTGGTTTGCACTTGCTATCCCTTGCAGCAGAAGGTCGCGGCAATGGCGCTTGCACGGTCCGCTAGCGGTCCTGGAGGGCTGAGCGTCAACACGGGCTCGTCCAATCTGTTGTAAGTGTGGAATGTGTCTTCCCAACTGCGACATGCAAACAGAGCTAATTCCCATCGCACAGTGGAACCAACACAAGCCAGGCTCCAGCAGGAGGCGGGCTCTTTGGGACCGCGACTTCTCAGCCCGCGCAAGGAGGATCTTTGTTCGGCACGGCAACCTCGCAGCCTCAGCAGACTGGGAGTCTTTTTGGCTCGACGACCACACCAGCTTCGCAACCTCAGCAGACCGGCGGCCTCTTCGGCCAGACGACGGGAACCACGAAACCGCAGCAAACGGGGAGCTTGTTCGGGACAGCTACTGCCCAGCAACAGCAACCGCAATCACAACAAACAGGAGGAGGAGGGTTGTTCGGGAACACGTCGTCGCAGCCGGCACAGACAGGGGGCCTTTTCGGCGGAGCGACACAGGCACAGCCGGCGCAAACTGGGGGATTATTTGGTGGCTCAACGACACAGCAGCAACAGCAGCAGTCTCAGGCTACGGGAGGGCTCTTCGGCGGCCAGAGTTCAACCACCGGCGGAATGTTCGGTGCTAAGCCGGCGGGGACGACGGCCGGGGGCGGGCTGTTTGGGCAGCCGGCGAAGCCGCAGACGGGCGGTCTCTTGTGAGTCCAACCCCTCGTTTACTTTCTCATCACGGAACTCACACTTACACACCAATTCCAGCGGTGCCAGCCAACAGCCCCAGCAGCAGCAACCCAAACAAGTCGGCCTGACAATGGGCCAGTCGACCGCCGCGCAACAACAAGTCGTGCCCGGAGTGCGCATCGACCTCAGCAACATCAAATCCACCACCCGCTTCAACGACCTGCAAGAGTCGCTCCAGAAGGAGATCGCCATGATCGACGAGGTCATCCAGAAGTGCATCAAGGACAAAGAAGTCATCGACGCCTTCATGCCGTCGCACGGCGACCAGCTGGCCGCCATCCCGACCGACGTGAGCTTCGTGTCGCGCAAGTCGGAGGGCGCGCACAACGCGCTGTCGAGCGACATCGTCGCCATCGACCAGCTGCGGGAGCTGGTCAAGCAGGACGCGGGCCACGCGCGCCTGTCGTTCAAGGCGATCGACAACCTCAAGCTGCCGACGCAGTACCACCAGGCCGGGCTGTGGTCTAATAGGGGGCAGCAGGTCGGCGGCGGAGCGGGCGCCGGCGGCGGGGTCGGCGTCGGCGTCGGCGTCGGGGATGCGAACGAGCAGAGCAACTCGGATCTGATCAGCTACTTCTCCCAGACGGCGAGCGAGATGGACGAGATGATGAGGAAGCTGGAGCAGAACCTGGGCGAGATCGAGGTGCATCTGCACGGGGTCCAGGGTAACATACTGGAGCAGATGCAGCGGGTGGCCGCGCAGTCCAAGAGTGTGGCCCAGGGCGGCGTGGACGAGAGGGTTATTGAGCTGGCGGGTGTGCTACGCGACTTTGAGGAGAGTATTCTGAAGGTTGCTGGGGTTGTCGGAGGCGTCCGGGAGGGAGTCACGGAATTGCAGCTGAAGGACTTCATAGGCCACGGCAGCTGAGCGGCAGAGCGCGGTTAGGGCGCGTAATCGGCGGAATAGGAAAGTGTACAACATTTGCGGGTGAATTAGTAGAGTGTTAGCATACCCGATCACCACCTAGATGTTTGTATTCATCGCATGCAGGAACAATTGACATCAAAATGGTATCTTCACACCGTTACGGTGGCTGGCGTTCTCCCGCGAGGTCTATCCCGACTTTCTCCATACGCCAAGAGAAATGCAAATGGCTGCCGCAACAACCTCTACTTATAAACCGACAGCTACGCGCCCAAAATCCCCGCAAAATCAGAAGTAATCACCCCCGTCATCCCCGCCTTCGTCATAGTCTTCATCGTCCTTATTCCCATCAAAGTAGGCCTCGGCATTGTAGTCGTCCTCCTCGTCGTCCTCGTACTGGTCGTCCTCCTCGGCCTCGGCATCCTCGTCATCTTCCCCATTGTTCTTGACCCAGTCATCGTCGTCCTCCCCAGACAGGAAAGCCTCCTCCTCACCGTCCTCGTGCCGCTTCTCCACCGTGTTGAGCAGCTGCAGCGCCTTGTCGAGGTTTGCGCCGCCGTCGAGCACCTGCTGCTGTCCGTCGGGGAGGAATACCTCCTCGGCTGTCCTGTACGACGTGATGTTCGACAGCCCCAGCGTCTTGGGGCCCACCCGCCGCCGCTTGGCCGCTGGCCCCCCGCTCTGCTCGTCATCGCCGTCTAGTGTGGCGTGTAGCTCGGGCGGGAAGAATTCTTTGGCGAAGGGTCGCGATCCGAGGTTGGGCAGCGTCCGGGGCGCTTTCTGGAACTTGTGCGAGTAGGTGGGCACGGAAGTGAACGGGTCGACGGTCGCTTTCGTGGTCTGGCCGTAGCGCTTGTTGAGCTGCTCCTGGCCGTACGTGCGGGCCGTGGTGGAGGCCTGGGCCCAGGTGCGGGCTTGTGTGTAGAGAGGGCTGTCTTGGCACTGTTCACGGAAGATGAGGAAGTAGGATACTTGTTTTTCTTCCTTTTTGGAGAGTGGAGGCGCTTTGGGGATGTTGTAGGGCTGGCGGAGATCGGTCAGCTACAGTGCGCAGACAATGATGGGTTGATCTGTCTTGACGTACGGGGAAGCGCTCAGACGGCTTGCCATCAAGCACAATGTCCGAGTCCATTGCCCAGGGCACGCTGTTCTGGGCAACGGCTCTCCTGCCGTTGATGGGCGGCCCGCGCCCACCACGGCCTCCTCGCCCGCCTCGTCCGCCCCGTCCAGACATTGTCGCGAGGTGGGATGAGCAACGGGTGTCACCTCATGAACGTGTTCAGGATGCGCTACGTAGTAAGAAACTGATCTCGTGAATATTCGGTGACTTGACGAGTCGAGAACAGCAAATTGATGAGTCGAATTAGCTCTGAGGTACCAGATAAGTATTGTACGTCACAGATGATGGAAGCGTTGATGAGACCGCGAGTCCAATGCTGGCCAAAAATTCAGGCGGGGCGCGCTTGGACCCCTGTTGCAGTTCCTCAGGCCGGGTTCCATGTGATAAGCCCCGCCCTGTCCACAGTCCCGCAGGTGCCTGCCCCGCGCCCCACACCAGCTACTAACTTCCAGATTATTATCAGCTGTTCCTTCTCCCTTGTCAATGGAAGTGTTGCATTGTTCAGCGTCCTTATCATCTTCCAACACCACCTAACCTACGGTCTCTAGCAGATTCCAGGTTATTACCTTTGATCTAAATCGTGCAATCTACAGAGACAATATTACAGGAGAACAACGCGAAGATATCTTGAACATGGAAACCACCCCTATCACAGGGCTGGACGAGCTTGACAGGCACCTTGATGAGCTCCTGCACGATCCAGAGCTTGTCTTGAACCCAAAGCTCTTTGACGATGTCGAGCTGCAACTTACAGGTGCGCCGTCCCGTAGGTGCTCTCTCTAGAGCCCAGCTAATGCGCCCCAACAGATGCCAACATCCCGCTGCTAATCCCCCGTTTCCTGCCGCGGCTCACTACGATCCTGAAGCGGTACACCCATGACCCCGCCGCGATTGTCAGCTTAACAATCAAACTCCTGAGGCCAGTGCCATTCGACAATGTGTTGCAACTGGCCTCGTTGGATGAGCTCGTCCTAGCGCTCGACTCCCCGGCGCCGGCCGCGAACCTCCTGGCCATGGCGGTCCTCCACAAAGCCGCAGCCGACCCCGGCCATACGGCCATGCTCTGCGACTTCAAACCCCTAGTCGAAGCCTTTATCCGCTGCTGGCTGGCCGCACCGCAAGTAGAGGTAGGGCAAAAAGGCTGCAAAGTGCTCGGGGACCTCCTCGATGTCGACTGCGAGCTGCCGCCACCAGGCGGCTCCTCACATACCGCTCTGGTAATACGCAAGGCACCCGGCCGGGGCAGTCTGTGGCGCCTCATCTTCCAAGACACAGCCACGTACGGTCTCCTCCTGGATCTGATATCGGGTCGCCACCCGGACACGACGGGCAACCCGCACCAGCTATCTCTCGCGCAGGGTCGCGTGCTGCGCATCCTGCCCAGGCTAGCATCCATCAACTTCCGCGCCGTGAGCCACTCCAACGTCACACCGCCGACGCCGGTCCACCTCACGAACGGGCACTCGAACGAAGACGACACGGCTCCGCGACCGGGAGAAGGGCTGCTGCAGTATGCCGCGCTGAGGATGGTGCAGAGGTCGGACACGCTCATGCACCTGAGTCTGGTGGACTTCTTCGAGACGCTGGTCAGCCTGATGCGCGTGACGGAACACTCGGCCCTGGAGATGGACACGCTGCGGGCAATACTCAGCGAGGCCACGGCTAGGGACGAGGTCTTGAGGGAGGCGCTGCTGACCCTGCCGGACAGGACCGTTGAGGAGGAGGCTGATGACCTGAGGAGGTGGTTGCTGGAGGTGATGCCGGGGGAGGCGGTGAGATTGGCGATGCGGTGACGTGATGTGTGACGGGTGAGCATCCGATACGGAAAGATACGGCAATAAAGTTCAGGAATACTAGTAGTTGGTCGGGTGAGCATGGCGTTTTCTTTAGATATCCCAATGGTAAAGCATCCCTGATGCGGGCTATTCTCTGACTACCAGAAACTAACGTCTCTTTGGAATCAGATCTGATGTACCTCAGGTGGCGTATGCGATATTAGTGCCAGGCGACTTCCAAGTTCCGGTACACGTCCCAGTGGAGGTGGCCCGGCACTGGTCAAACTTACAGCGCACGATACAACGGCCCGGTATGGTTTGGCCCATCCCGAGAGGCCGCTGGCGTTTTTGACCAAAACCTCGCGGCTGTTGAGGTTTCGGATGCTCTCTGGTACTGACACAAACCCATCCAAATGCTCAATATCGTCGTGACAGGCTCCTAAAGCCAAGGGGCAGAAGCCCTGAAGCCATAAGCTAGCAGGCAAGAGGTATATTAGTTTACGGGCAAACAGGGCCCAGAAAACTAGGATTCACGCTCATCTCTTGGTGTACAGATATTGGACGAGGAAGTCCCAAGGAACTCAACACCTTCTAACGTGGCACTAATTTGCCCTTGCCTACCTTACTGAATTACTAGTACCCGACATCAGTGTTGTTGCGGTTTTAAGATCAGGCCCCCTGTTGCTTGGTACTAGCTCCGCTCTACGTAACAAAACTTTCGAGGGATGTCCTATGGAATTGTATTTACTAGTACCCTATACGGAGGTACTAGTACTGCACCTTCCCCGCGTCGACATATGTGCGCTGCCAGTGAAGCAACCAAAATGCGCCTCATCCCTCGTTTCCTCAACAACTCAGGAGCGGAGGACATTCGAATTAGTCTTGCACCGCCTCGATCTGCAGGGCACCATTATTACTAGTTGTAACCTTCGCCTTCCCGATACCTCATACATCACTCGTTTTCTGTTTAGAAAATGGATACGCGCATTTTCTCGTGTCCCATCTGCGGATGGATGATCTATGACCAGGCGGGTTCGGTCTCATGGAGGAACGAGTTTCGCGGTCGTGAGTGATTAAACGAGCCAACAAAAGGACAGAACTGACAGAATGCAAGTCTGCACGAGTTCGGAAGGTCTTATGCTGACCGGGGTCGGTCGGTACACCGACCCGACCCGAGGAGCTTTCATCGCCCCCCGGAATCCAAGCGCTCGATGGGATGACCCCGGCTATGAGAGCCCAGACGAAGATCAATTCGGTGCGATGAGCCAGCCGGAAATCAACGGCAAGCGTGGTTTGATTTTCCATGCCGCATGCTGGTCTCTGCTGGAGCAAGCATTCTATCCTAACCCGGTTCCGCATGACAGGCTGTTCGAAGTTTGCGATTCTCTACCGTATGTCATGGACGGAAGCAGTCTGAATTGGGGCCATGATTACGGAGGACTCGCCATCCTCAAAGACAAGGAGTTCTTTCCTTGGGAACCGCGGTTTGCAGATCGCTACTTCCCAGAGGGGATCTACCATACTGCCTACAGCGTCGATCCCTTTCCCGTGGCCGAAGTCGAGCAGATTCTGACCGAGAGACCTCAGGCGCCTCCAGTGATGTTTACTAGTAGTTCGTCGGTTCCAAAAGCGGCCGCGTTTCCGGGCCATGACCCATTCAACTCGCTTCCCGTGGAGCTATGCTCAGCCATCGCCGAGTATCTGTCGACGTCAGATGCCTTGAACGCTCGTCTGTCGTCGAGGGCGTTCTGGCACTTGTTCGACAGCCAGCAGTTCTGGGCATCGCGGTTCAAAGCCGGCTCGGATCGCTCGTGGCTCTTCGAAGTCCGAAATCAAAAGGACGGTAGAAACTGGCGCTGGCTGTACCATCGCACCGCCCTCAACCGTGTCAAGGAGGGCTTGCTGAACAGGAGACGGATATGGGCTCTTATTCAGGGCATCAAGGCCATTTTGGAGCTGCGCTGGAGAGAGCTGCCCGCTGACCTCCCACCAGCCTGGCACCTGGATCCAGAGCATGAAGGGGAATGGGTGCTTGCGGCGGGCAGTGTGCGGGAGGAACCCGAGGGCTTTAGCCAACTGGAGGAAGGTTGCCGACGCTTCAAGAGCCAAAAGCTCAGGATCGCAGGTCATATTTCTCGCATAGCCGTGTCAACCGTCCGTCTTGGCAGTTTGGAGTATATTGCTGGAATATCGCTTACGACTGCCGCGGGCGAAGTTGTCCGGCTGGGATACAGTAACACAGCGGAACGGTCTGTGCACCTCGCCGGGTTGGCCGGTTTCCGGTTGGCGGTCGGATTACACGGAATCCATGGTCTTCAATGCATTGATGCACAAACGTGGGAACCCACCGCCTGGCTGGGGAATCCTGACGGCGCGCCCAGGACTGAACGAGCCGTCGGGAAGGCCGAGGTTACGGCGCTTGAGGTTGGCTTCGATGTAGAAAGCCCGTCCGCCATATTCTCGTCTTGCCTTTCTAACCTTAACTCGGATAGGCATTCAAATTGGTCAGCATTGCTGTTAACAAGCAGCCAGACACCACCACCACCGAACCACCTGAGCAAGATAAACTAAGGCACTCGGCACTATGGTATCCAGACGTCCCGCCCCCAGCCGTGGGCCTGAACGAGGATTGCTTCATGCCGCTCCCACCCTACACAAACGGATTCAGGCCGCTGTTCTGGACTCGTTTCGGCGGGCCCGAGGGCCGATACCTCCGAAATCTGACCAAGGTCACCGTCCGCCTTTTCCACGGTTTACGCCGCATCGACTTCTCCTTCGACACGGAGGAGGTCCCCACTGGCTGCCGAAGCTTCGGCCGGTATGGGGATACGGAAGACTTAGAAGCGATTGAGTTCCCGATAGATGGACCGAGAGGGGAGGTCATTGACCGGGTCCAAATCTGCCAAGTATACCCCCCTAAGGGTTCATACGTTGCTGGCTGGATCCATGCCGAAGGCGCGCTGAAGTGGCTCAAGGTATGTTACTACTAGGTTTTCCCCTTTATGCTATGCTCCGGTCCGGTTGCTGACAACGGTCATCCACCAAAAAAAAAAAAAAAATAGTTGTATACGAACCGCGGAAAAACGGGCGAGGTCCGCACCCGGGTCAGATGGCGGAGCAACGAATGGAAGGTCAGGGACATCTCAGTGGCCCCGGGGAGTGCGATCACCGGCCTTTTCGGTGCCCAGGTATGTAGCTTTCCTTGGACGACGCCATAGGTATAAAAGAGTACACAATAGCTTACTGGTTCTCGATTCCTGAAACAGTACCGCAATCATGGATTACCCATCACGGTCCTGGGCGTTATGACTGAACCTATACCAAACATGGGAGCAGGGGGAGCAAAGGTGAGCTTAGATCGATAAGAGATATAGTACCAAGACAACTTGCCATAGGTTCGAGCACTTGAATGGGTCTGTGCTGGCAGAGATATCAGTTCGAAACAGACAACTCCAGCAGGCCTCACACCCGCCGGATTGCTAGCCGTTTCCTCGGACACTCTGGTTGGTTGCTTACGATAGAAGTTACTATGGACTAACTCTCTTCTATCTCGACAGAGCCACAGAAACGTCCACTTAGACACAGACCTCCCACCAACGGGTGGCTGGGTTGGGGGCGACGGGGAGGTTAAGAAAAGTGCTGAAAGCAGGGGCAGATGAGAGTACAAGCTAGGCAGGGCACTGGAAGTATAGATGTAGCATGAACAGCAGGGCAGAAAAGACTGGAGAAACGGGGCTCTCCATGTACTTGTATCGTATTGTAGAATACATACATAGTTATTAGTAGTCAGAAACCCAGGTCCACCCCCCAGAGTACTCAGACTCCTCAAGCAAGCAATACAATACAACCTATGTATGTTAAGTAACCCCCCTAAGTTCATCAAAAAGTGGATGATACTCAGTCACTGGCCATATCGTACAATACTAGTAATGGACAGAATCAGTGTCAATTATTACCAAGTGAAGGCATGAAGCACCACGCTCGGCTACTCACTCAGGGCCGGGAAGCATTGCAGGAAACTACAGGGAGAGAGCTCTGGGGTTTCTGCAAGCTCCCAAAAGTGCAGGGAATAATTAACGTTAGCGTCGGGATACAACACAGCTCGGGGGGAAGGGTGCGGGGGGAAAGGTGAGAGAGAGAGACCCCTTGGAGCTCCTACAATACAAGACTTCACTGAAGGAAAAGGGGCATTGCCATGGGAGAAGGCGCCCCGTCAACGCCCCAGATATACATAACTCCAAGTTGTGGCATGCGTTAGTTGTTGAATGTACTTGCTTGGGAGCCACTTCCTGGTTTGAGAGTTCCTTATCGCCAGTCAGGGGAACCGCATTTCTCTGAGCCCTCTAGTACAGGGGGATATGCGCCATTCGTGAGCAACCGATCGTACTCAACTTGAACCCTTGACTCCCGGCAGAGACTTGCAAGTAGACATCCGGGCATCAGTACTATAACCGCAACGCGTGCGCTCCGAGCCAGGCTTATATGATGCCAGGGCAGCAGGATAGGTACTCCTAGGTTCCTCGCTTTCCACAAAAAAAGCTGGTACAACTCTTTGGACTACCTTATGTTAGATACTACAATGAAAAATACAATGTCCCGCCGATGATGACCATCAGTTTTTGAACCTCTAAAGCGCAATACAAGTCTATAAGAAGCTTGCAAGTTGTGAACATAAGGCAAGTAAAGTGTGTGAAGCCTCCCTTTCAAGAAACGAACTCCGAAACAAACTCCTCCTTAGATTGCTTTCGCAACAACATCCACACACCTCTGTGGCTGTGATCATCCCATCACACCTTACCCATGACCTGCCTCGACGGATCGTCACTCAAGCTGTCCATGCTGGGGGAGTGGCGCGGGCCGGCCGAGGGAACAGAGAGCACGCTACTGCTCCTCTCACGCCCCCCTGCTCCACCATGATTATTACTAGTAGTATTCCCCTGCCCAGCAGCAGTAGCAGCAGTGACCGAACCCGTCATCGTCGTCGTCGTCGTCGTCGTCATGCCCGCAATCCCCAACCCAACCTCCCCAACCCTCCTCAGAACCAGCAGCAGCGCGGCCCGCAACTCCTGCCCGAGATCCTTGCCCAGCAGCTCCACGACCAGCGGATAGAAGCTCTTGATGTGGGCCTCGAACCCGTCACGGGGAAATGCGGCATAGCCCTCGAGCACGTCCACGACGACGGGCCGCCAGGCAACGATATTCCTGTGCTGGCTCTCCTCGTCCAGCGCGATATACCCCCGGATGATGTCCTGGCACAGCGGCACCAGCGCGCTCTCGACGTCGGCCTTGCTGCCCTGCCGCTCCGGGGAGGTGTCGCCGAACATGCGGAAGAGGATGGCCACGTAAGTGGCAGCGCTGCCGGACTCCTGCTTGAGCAGGTTCGGCGGCTGCTTCATGAAGCCTTCGCGCCAGAGGCGCATGCGCAGGTCCTTGTCGGCGTTGAAGCGCTTGGCGAAGAGGAAGGATTTCTTGAGGAGCGCCATGAGCCGGAGGAGCTCCGGGGAGGGGATCTGCGCGTACACAGTGTCGTTGCTGAACAGCTCGTTGACTGTCTCGATCATGAGCAGTTGTAGGACGCAGCGCGAGATGATGCGGTTGAAGAAGCGGCGGCGGGCGGCCGTGACCACGACGGGTTGTTGTTGCAGCGGGTTGTTGGGCTTGAACTCTTCCAGTTGTTGGTTCGGGGTTGCCGCCATGGCGGAAGGGTTTGCCGCTGCTGGCGCCGTGTTACTGGTGGTGTTGTTGTTCTCGTCAGCATCGCCGTTGGACGACTCGGGCGCTGGGCCGTGCCCGTTGGCCTCGGCGCCGTTGATCTTCAGCGACTTCTCGTCGACGGGCGGGGTCTCGGAGGTCGGGCTGAGGGCGCCGCCGAGTTCAAGTCCGCTCGGCGGAGGGGAAATCGACGCTGTGGAGTGGATCGTCGTGGCCGAGAACAGCTGGTAGGCTGTCGTCCTCTCGAACAGCTCGCAGAACGCCCCGACGATCTTGGCCCAGTGCTCGGGGGTGAACTTGGTTACGTTCTGGAGGATGAGCTGCTGCAGGCAGTTGCTTCCTATCCGGGCGATGGTGTCGTTCTCCTGGCAGATGCACAGCGCGAGAAGTTCGAGGAACCGGTCTAGCATGTACTCGAGCGCGTCGAAGTAGTGGGTGAAGAGCGTGATCATGTTGCGGAGCGCCTGGATCATCGTGGTCGACAGCCACACGGACAGCTCCTCGTGGTTGAGCGCGTTTGTCATCTCGGGCCGTGACCGCAGGACCATAAAGATGGGATACAGCTGCTGCCTCCAGAGGATGTCCCAGAATTCCGACGGGAAATCGCCGCCGTACCGCAAGAGTGTCTCAAAGAAGTAGTTGAGCGCATTCGACCGCACCTCGAGGTCCTCCCCGGTCATCAAGACGTCGTGGAAGGCAAAGAGGACGGGGAACCAGAACCCTTCCTCGACGGACGTGCGACTCTGCTGGGCGGGCGACTTGGGATTCGGCTCTGGCTGGTTGGAGTCAGCTGCCGACTTCTGTTGCGACAGGGGGCATTCCGGCGTCTTGAGCATTGTGGGGATGATGGACTTCAGCGTCTCCATGGCCTGCAGGCTCTTCTTCTGGAAGCGCATGTTCTTGGAGAACTCGGTGAGGCAGACGATCAGGTCCGTGAATGCGCCCTGAGAAATGACCACACCGAACCGCGTCCGGTAAACTTGCGTGACGTTCTCGTAGGCCAGGTTGACGATGCTCTCGTAGGGCTCCCGCGCGGCGACAGTGAAGACACCAAACATGGTCCGCCAGCCGGACCGGATGTTCTCTCCCCTGGCCTGGATCATCTGGATGAGGCAGCGGAGGATCATGTCCTTGACCGTGATGTTGCTCGAGTTGGACATGACATGCTCAAAGGGCTTGAGGAAGTCCTTCTGAAACTTGAAGCCGGCCAGCTCTTCGATCTCCATGAAGCGCATCGAAAGCTGACGCAGCGAGTCCAGGGCGAAGAAGACGATGGCGGTGTTGGCGTGGCAGCCGACCCGGTTGAAATGTTCTCCCAGGACCTCCCAGATGTGGCTCCATTCGAACCTGACACGGGTCATGTTGTAGTAGCTGATCTCGACGATCTTCTGGAGACTGTACGTGCGGGGAGAGTCGTTCGACCCGGACACCCTGATCTCGTCCCAACTGACTTCTGTCAGTGCCCGAGCAAAGTGGATGATCGCGTCCCTCGACAGATGGGCCGTATTTGTAAATATCCTGTCGACACTCTTGATGACCTCGTCGGACCTGCTCTCGAGTGCAATTTCCAGCGAGACGCCTTGCGGGCCAGTCGGAGCTCGGGGCCGGTTTCTCCTGACGGAAGAGGTTGACTTGCGAGAGTCGCTGGTCTCGGTTCGCGATGGTACGAAGCGGGCTTTGGAGACGTCCGGAACGGCGCTTTCGTCGACGCCTCCCGATATCAGCTGGAGCCGATCGAGCTGGCTGATGCAGAGGAGCACATCCTTCCACGACTCCTTGAGCCGATTGCCCTCTGTCTGAGCAACGTCGAGGAGCACCTTCAGGGCTTCGACATTCTTTGTCTGCATCTCTCGTGGATTGTTGAGATTGGCCGTGTTCTTGAGCACGGAAATGAAGGCTTCGCGAGGGGTTGCGAGGTCGAATAGGCAGGCTATCCTCGTTGCCAGCTTCATCCCCTCCAGGCACAACTTGTTAACATCGAGGTTATGCGTCTTCTGGAGAAGGCTAGAGAGCGCGGAGAAGAATGACATCCACGTTGCGTCGAACATTGGACCAGCGTGCTTGAACGAAGTCGCTGAGATGAACTTGGCGCCCCCTTTCGTGGCGCTCTTCCGCTGGCTGCGGTAGAGGTCTCGGAAGAGCTGCTCAGACCGCAGAGAGATTTCTTCAGATTGCTGCACATATGCCTCCCGCTGCAAGTCACGCCCGACGTTCGAGAAGGCCTGGCCAAGCCCTGCAGCCAGCCCCCCTGACTGCGCCGTGAGGGTCCCAGCCGCAGCCGCAGCTTCCCGCTCGCTCTTCAGCACAATCTCGTTGCTGGCAATATCGTCGTAAATGGCGAGGAGGTATTCGTCTGGGAGGTCGGCGTTGTCGTTGATGCCGCGGTTGTTCTTGATGAATTCAGCCTTGGACATTCGGTTTACTATTTTGCTGCTGTGCAGATCCGTGTTCAGCAGGATGACGGAATACGCGAGCACATAAGGGGTGTCGGCGTTGGCGAATGCGTTCGGGTTGCCCGTCATGTACCGATGGGCAAACTTGAGCATGAAGCGGTCGATCTTCTGCGCCTCTCCCGGCAAGCGGAACGCCTGCAGGAACTCCCGGAGCGCATCGACGAAGCGCTTCTTGCTGAAGTCCATCATGTCGACGAACGCGTGCATGATGTCGACGTTCTTTTGATCACCCTCGCCGAGGAACTCGCCTATCTGAGCCTTGTCCAGACGATCTTCGCGCAGCAGGAACCGAGCAATATCCTCGGGCTTGTCGCTTGCTATGAAACCCTCCTTGATAAGGAGCTTGATACCATGCTTCGGCTTGAAGTTGAAGACCTTGATCGCATTGACCATGGCCGTCTTCCTCGCTTTTTCCTTTTCCAGCTGATCGGGGTCGTCATCAATGACAGGGGTGGATGGGGGAATTGGCGTGTCCATCCGGGACGCTGTGTCGCTCGCCGAGGGATCAATGGAGTCTCGGAGATCGTCGCTTGAGACCCTCCGCTGCACATCACCGCCTGTGCCGTTGATCTCGGGCCTTCCCGGCTGTGACCATTGCACTAGTGATCTCAACGTCTCCACTAGGGAGTCGAGGGCCGCTCGCTTGAGCACATACTCCTTGGGTATCTCGCTGTCTGTTTCGTGATGTGTCGCAATGAGAGCGACCGAAAGCGGCGGGGGCAAAACGCTCTTGATCTGCCACTCGCCGCCCGCCGTGGACTTGGAGCGATTCTCTTCAAACTGCTGCTCTTGAGTCGGGGGGATGGGTATCGACGCCGTCGCAAACCGCGACAGGTCTTCTACGATACTCTGGAAAATGTTGTCGACATTTCGGTCACAGTCGTAATTGAGATAGATCTCCACAAGAGCCCGGGGGTCCTCGCATAGTCTCTTCAGGATGCCCACAAACGCGAGTTTCTGCGACAACGGGGCATTCTTCCGAGCCAGGAGGGCGAGGTAGATCTCATTCATGAAGACAACAATCTCGTTCTGTGGTTGTGGGATCAGCTCAGTACGTCGCACCCGTGGAAACTGGAACCGACCTTGAAGGAGGACCGCATGTACTTCAGCATCAACCAGAAGATCTCGCAGCATATATCGAAGACCCTGTCCACTGAACTCGCTCCATTACGGGTGATGCTTAGGCAGAGGTAATACTTGATGGCCTGCAGGAAGTTTGTGGGCTCGTTGTTCTTGCTGTTCCTGATGGTACACAGTGGCGAGGTGAAGACGGTAATGTTGTTGTTAAGGAGCGTGTGGATGAGGTGGAGGGAGATCAGCTTCGAGCGCATCGGCTGTCCTCGGAGGTCATAGAGTTGGTCTGGCGGCAAGACTTTTGTCGACAGATTGCAAAAGGAGCGGAACACCAGGTACGCATCCCGGATGTATGCCTCGTCTTCGGCGTCTAGCGACTCCGGCGTCTCCTCTTGGGAGCTTTCAGGGATGCTCTGCTCGGAGACGGACCTCGCTACCTTCTTCATGGGCTTGACCTGGCTAACCATGGTGGGCCCATCGCCCATGTGGGAGTCATCGAAGCTCTTTCGATTTTCCAAATCCTTCAGAGTGAGCTTGCCAGCGGCTTGATCGTTCGTCTCGGAAGGACCGGCGTCTGAGACGGCCTCGTTGGACGCGTTAGCCTCGGTAGCGTCCTCGCTGTCGGCGTCGGCCTTGGCCGCCTCGGTATCCTGGTCATCGGATCGGTCCACAGCTAAGCTACTCCGGCTCGCCTTCAGCTTCCCTAGGTTTTGACGTGCCTCCTTCATGTGCAAGCGAGTCTTCACTCTCTCGAACACCGTACCGACCATCTGCGTCAGGGTCCCCTGCGCCACCTGCTGGTTCGCCGTACTCCGGGACAGCAGGAAGATGTTGTAAACCTGCCGCACCGCCTTGAGCAAGCCCGCGCCATGTACGATAATCTTGTCGTTTAGAACCGCAGCAAGCAGGGACTTGACGATCTGCAGTTGGATCTCGACCAACGTCGTCTCGCCCTGGAAGCAGTCGCATATTGTGTCGATGGCCCTCTCGATGAGGGGCGTCTGTTCGGCACCATTCTGGCCAGCGGAAGAGGAGGGCGCGGAGAAGTACGAGTACGAGATCAGCTTCCCGATGCAGTCAAGCGCGGTGGTGGTGAGGGGGACAGTGCCGGATTTCGTGGCAAGCTGCAAGGGGGCGAAGACAACTTCAGGATCGGGCAGCTGCTGGTCGTTTTCTTTGATAGCCGCGAGGGCTTTCTCGGCGAGCTCGGCGAGCTGCTTGTTGCGGCCGGCTTGTGCGGCGATGATGTCCAGCGAGGACACCACGAATTTGAGGGAGCTCATGGCGCGCCAGCGTTCCGCTAGGGGCAGTTAGCCATCCGCAACAGCCCGTCAGCGCATAAGTGTGGAAAGGAGCCGAGCAGATCCGGTCAAGGTGTGGTTCCTGGGCGGAGCAGTTCTTGTGGTTCGTCTGTTCCGTGCCTTTGTTGACCGGCTCCTTACTCCTGCTTAGCTCGTCAACCCCAAATCACGATCCTCTCTGCTTATGCAAATAACCCGGGGCTTGCCGATTGGCGCATGCAGAAGGAGCACAATTGTTGGAGTCGTCGGGGGTCCAAATGTCGCTTGTCGACCGTGCGGCGCGCAATCCAATGCCGAAGATGCAGCGCTTTCGACAGTACCAGTGTATCCGTGGGTATCCGTAATTGCTGGAAGATGACAGCAAACGTTCGCCCTCGTTGCTTTCACTGTGGAACCCGGTCCGTAACTGACGCGGCCCCGACTCCCTAGCTGGCCAGCACTGCGCTTGCTTGTCTGCGCCGGCTCCCTGGTTCGCTATTCAGGGCTCTAAATTGCTCGGTTCAGGGCCCCTGGCTTGCTTGGCAGATTCCAGCCGCAATCCACCTGTCAGTTTAGTACCTATGGTCAATGATCTGTGGCTCAGCTGGCATAAAAGCCGGTGATAGCAGTATTGAGGGGTGGTATGATAGGCGGCGTTCTTTTGACCTACGAGAATTTATACTAATGTTCCATTACATTGGTAAGTTTCAACATTCAATTCCATTCGAGTTCTATCCCGAAAACACCACCCGCATCTCACAAGTTCAGGTACTTCGTCGACAGCGACTTCCCAAACAGTTCGATCAACATGTGGCTGACCAGTACTGGTCTGTGCACATCGGGCGTGTTATCGGATCGCCGATGTTGATTGGTGTTCGCACCGTCACATCCTAGTCGTCCAGATTTTGGTGAACGGAAAGCTAAGCTTTCCCAACGAGTTGAATCCTGTAGAAAAAACTGGTCCCCCGACCTGCATCACCACCCTCGTCGCCCTCCGATTCCCGGCCTTCCGCCTTTCTTCCATCTGCATCCGTTCCTTCTCAATTGGCATCGAGGTCGCTGCCCGGACTCATCTGGGGTGCAATCCGGCTTTCCCGTTTGCGCATTGAACGCTTTTTTTTCTGTTCCGCGCCCCAACCTTTTTCAGCCTTCCCTCACCACATCTCCAAAATGCTCGTCCCAGCGATCCGGAGGCAAGCCCTCCAGTCCGCCAGATTTGCGCGTGTTGCACTTCCCAGTTTAACAAGATGGTATGCTTCTTACCCGCCGCACACCGTTGTCAAGATGCCCGCGCTCTCGCCGACAATGACGGCGGGAAACATCGGCGCGTGGCAAAAAAAGCCCGGCGACTCCATCGCGCCCGGGGAGGTGCTTGTGGAGATTGAGACGGATAAAGCCCAGATGGACTTCGAATTCCAAGAGGAGGGTGTTCTCGCCAAGATTCTCAAGGAAACTGGTGAGAAGGACGTCGCGGTTGGCAATGTAAGCATAGCTATCTCAACATGTGGGCGACGTAACCGGCCCGGCGTTTGATAACTAACTCAGGCCCACCTTTACAGCCAATCGCCGTCATGGTTGAGGAAGGAACCGATATCAGCGCCTTCGAGGGGTTCTCGCTCAAGGATGCCGGCGGGGAGGCTGCTGCTCCCGCCCCTCCGAAGGAGGAGAAGCCCAAATCCGAATCTGTTCCCGCTCCGGCACTGACCCCAGCTCCGGAGCCCGAAGACACCGGATTTGGCGGCAAGCTCGAGCCTGCTCTTGAACGTGAACCCAACATTTCTGCTGCGGCCAAGAGGCTGGCTATCGAGAAGGGCGTGTCCCTGAAGGGCCTCAAGGGTACCGGGCCCGGCGGCAAGATCACCGAGGAGGATGTGAAGAAGGCTTCGTCTGCTCCTGCTGCTGCCGCCACCGCTGCGGTCCCGGGTGCCCTGTATCAGGACATTCCGATCAGCGGCATGCGCAAGACAATCGCCGCGCGCCTCAAGGAGTCGGTGTCCGAGAACCCGCACTACTTCGTCACTTCCAGCCTCTCGGTATCGAAGCTTCTCAAGCTGCGCCAAGCCCTCAACAGCTCCTCCGACGGCAAGTACAAGCTTTCAGTCAACGACTTCTTGATCAAGGCCATGGCTGTGGCCTGCAAGAAGGTTCCGGCGGTTAACAGCTCCTGGCGTGACGGCGTGATTCGCCAGTTCAACACCGTCGACGTCTCCGTCGCCGTGGCCACCCCTAACGGCCTCATCACCCCCATCGTCAAGGGTGTTGAGGGTAAGGGCCTTGAAAGCATCTCCAATGCCGTCAAGGAGCTTGCCAAGAAGGCCCGTGACAACAAGCTCAAGCCTGAGGAGTACCAAGGCGGCACCATCAGCATCTCCAACATGGGCATGAACCAGGCCGTTGAGCGCTTCACCGCCGTCATCAACCCCCCACAGGCGGCGATCCTGGCCGTTGGCAGCACCAAGAAGGTTGCCATCCCCGTGGAGAACGAGGACGGTACCACGGGCGTCGAATGGGATGACCAGATCGTCGTTACCGGTAGCTTCGACCACAAGATTATCGACGGCGCGGTCGGTGCGGAGTGGATGCGGGAGTTCAAGAAGGCCATTGAGAACCCTCTTGAGCTGCTTCTCTAAAACTCCTCTCTCCATTGCGGTTAGTGGACAAGGCTGTACGACGGGCCGGAATGTGTGTTCAGGGAATCCAGATTTAGCCCACCGAGGCACTATAGAGGGGAATGGGAAACTCGGCGCAGATAGGAAGGGGCACTCAACGGCAGTTTCAACTCCGAGGCCACCCGGAGCCTGCGTGGCACTCGCGGCGGTTCAGGCTTCACTTTGCCATGAAGACCGTCGGCCAATAGCCATCCCTGTGTGATGATTACCGAGGGCATTACGGGCTCTTATGTCTTGTTGTTTGTACAATGGCCACAAATTAATCGCGTTCAGGGTTGTTTAATCGAGCATGGAGTTTCGGCCACAACCAGATCCCTGGGTCTGGGAGGGTGACGCTCGGGCAGATCAACCCTCGAAGTGACATGAACTGGAATAACGACGCTAGAATATGGGTCATTAAATCACTGCACGGCAAGCTTCCAGGTTCATCTGTCAGGACACAACAGGCCTGCTGGTAGCAAGCCAACTTTCACCAGTGGCGTGATGAGCCCACAGTCTCGCCATACAGAGCCTCAAGGCGAGCTTGGCAACGTGATATTTGCGACAGCCTCCTGTTATTCTTGAGTGGTCTTCGATCCTCGGTCTGCATCCGAAAAGTGCATCACTTATAGGTATCCTCCTGGCCGCCCCATTACACTATTGTTTACCTACTTTCTCGAAAAACTACACCACGGTGCGGGGATTTTGGTTAGCTTCTTAGCTCTTCGTTCTTTTATTATTAGGCAACTACTTATCCTCCTCGGGGCGCAGTAGCAGATCGGCGATGTTGCTTAGTGAGAATGTGATGTTTGCCCTCTCGTGTTACAGAGGGGAGGTGTCCATGATTGTGTAAGCAAATCGATGGGGATATCGCGGTTCCGAAGGGACCGAAACTCCGGTTGGCCCCGTGCGGTGCGAGCTTCAGGGATAGATGACTGTGGAAGAATGTAGTACGTACACTATGTACATGCACACCGCTTGATCTTGAGAGTTGGTGATGGAAGAGTACCAGGTATGCAGCGGAGATGTTTGTCATCGATGAGATCTCCCCTACCAACCAACCATCGGGATCAACAACGTTCGGGAACTTCGGGCTTCAACCGCAAACAACCAGAAACTCCAGGAGCGGGCCGGACTCGGGTGGGGAGATCATGGTGGGACACCGTCGCGCCTGCCGTCGCTGCGGAATCTCCTTATCTCCGAAACTCCCTTGGCGTCCTTGCCCGGATACTTACGGATAAATCAACGTCAGTTTCGTTGAGATGACGTTGATGTGCCGACGGCCAAAGTTTACGCCGGGTTCATACTCGGGTCTCGCTCCCTCCAAGAGGAATACTACACTACCCTTTGTTGGGCCTGCACGTGTATCTCGGATGAGGCTATGTTCCGTGGAATGCGCTTTTTATTCGTTGCCTCCGACCAATGGTGATCATCTGCCATCGATTCTCGCTTTTTTTCTTGGACTGTGTCGCACAGATTGATGAGAAGCAATACCATACCTCCGTACAATGCAGGTTCCAAGTTTCCTGTGGCAGCCGGACCCTGACCGGACTCGTCCAAACCCCGATGTGGCTTACACTGTCGGACCAATCTGGTGGTTTCGATTTCCAAATCATTCTCTCACATCATCCATGCTCCTCGCGGAGCAACTACCGTGCAATAATCAGGCCGCCTCGTCGGGGTGTTTGGGAACCGTTACAAGAAAGAAACGCATAGCCCGAGTCATAATGCACACAAACATTGCTTACCACATAGAGCGTGCCTTTCGCGTCTGACTCGGGCAAGCATCGCGAGGTCCGATGAGGTGTGATCTGTGGCACGCTCAACACCGAACGGTTGGGGGGGAGAAGCTTGACCTATTCGAGAGAAGAAGAAGAAAACCCGTCTTTGCGTGCCGGGCTCAATAGCTTCTCCCGTATGTCAATCGCGCTAGGTATCCCTGTTCCCGTTCGCGCGCGCAACCGGCCGGCCGCGGAGATAATGGACCCACCGACGCTGAACCGGGTGCCGATGGCGCTGGGGACGCGACGATAGGACGCGGGTGTTTCCGTACCTATGGTAGGTTGGATGCCATGTGCGACACGCCACAGCAGCTCGCTCTCCGATCAGCCCCAACGCATGCAAGGAGTGGATGCTGCATAATAAGCAATGTACATAGAAGCAAACTTACCTTAGTGTGCCTAGGTAGGTATATCCGTAGTGACGGATTGATTGACTTCCCGCTTACACTACTGTGCACACAGCTAGGTTGCGGGATGTCGGCGGTTGGACCAAAGAAGGAAAGAACCCACCCACCATCGGACTGCTCACCGGACTGAACTGCCTTCCGGGCCCTCTTGCTTGCTGTACTCCGTACCTTAACTCCTCGGCAACTCCTGGTTAAATCTTGGGCCCGAACTTGCTATTTCCCCGCGAAAATCAGTATCAACCAATACCCGGAGTTCTCTGTCCGATGATTAGCCCAGAAGAGGCAAGTGTCGGTGATTAGCTTCCCAACCCCCGCATTCCGACCGAGAATGCCGGTCTGAGGCCAATATCCTCGAGGCCAGGTGCAGCCTACCGCAGCCTCAAAGTGGCATGAAAAGCCGGGCCGCGGTACTGAGAAAGGGAGTGGATGCAAAGCAGCGCCCTTCCGTTCCGTGGTGCTCCCACATGGGGCGGCCGAAAGGGGGCCATCAGGGGCGAGCAGAGAGCACTAACTAAGGCGATCACCCGAGAATTGTCGCGCGACTCGGCACACCCCTACTTTTTTCTCTTCGAGGTGTTTGCGGTGTTCCGATCCGAGCTGCAGCATACCAGGCACCCGACCTTCGAAGTGCAGCCTTGTCCCTCCAGATTATTGATCGGGTTGTTCTTCCTCAACACCGAACAACGAGGTGCCCTCCCACGCGACTTGAACCGTTGGTTGTACCATTTCTAGCGCATCGCCCGTCCGGGGGCTCCACCGGGCCATCAGCTCTCGCCCAACCCGGACGCGGCCATGGACATGGAAATGGCGGCGGACGCTGCGCCGTCAGCGGTAGCCGCGGCGCCAGCTCCGCCAACGTCTGCTGGGAGTCCCGGGAGCACCAAGCTCTCGGAACCCAGGCGGCGCAACCGGCCCGCGCTCTCGTGCATCCAGTGCAGGACCCGCAAGATCCGCTGCGATCGCAACGAGCCGTGCGCCAGCTGCTTGAAGTCGAAGATCGTCAATTGCACCTACGAGGAAGCGCGCCGTCCGAAGCCGCGGCTGTGGAGGCTCTCTCCCGCGCTGGCTGGGCACCCCGACCGTTCCTCAACCGCAGCCGACGAACGGTCCGGCAGCTCGACTTTCGCCTTTAGGGACGTGTCGATGTCGATGCAGCACCCGCGGCCGGTTTCGAATCCTTCGTCCGGTGCTGCGCCGTCCGGAAGGACCCCTGAACCCCTGTCAGCCGTTAGCCCGCGCTCGCTACCGCATGCCCACCATGCCGACCCCGGACTGGGGGCCGCGGGAGCCTCTGCTGCCCTGGCAGAGCGAGTCCGGCAGCTGGAACAACAGCTAGCCGACGCCCTCAGGCGCCCCGACTACGGCTCGCCGTCTTCGCGGTCGGGCCACACGACGTTATCCCAGGACCTTGTTGGAGCCCAATATCGGCGGCTGTCCGGGGTGAGCCCGTTGCTGAACGGGGACAAACTTGTAGGTCGCCCTTCCTCCTGTAATTACTTCGCCCCATTCGTCTTCAGCTTGTGGCATCTTCCACCGAACCCCGTTATACTGCTCCTTCTTAGCGGATAAAGGCCTGAGTGGCACCATGCGCGGTGTGATGAGAGCTTACACCATGCGCACTCGAGCTGATTGTCTTGAACAGTTTCCCCTAATCATCAACACAGCCCAGCGTATCGAATCGGACAAGGTTCATGCGCCGGACCTCTGCTTCCTCCTGCAGCAATGCAGAGATGTAGCCAAGAGCATTAGATCCGCGAGGACTCCCACATCAGCCCCGTTCCACCTCGGCAAAGCCATGCCTCCGCAGGACACCGCCCTGCGGCTAGTCGACGCATACTTCAGGACGTTTGAGAGCGTCTACAGGATTCTCCATCGACCTACCTTCTGGCGGGGATACCAGAAGTACTGGGAGAACCCTGACTATGCCGACCCGGCATTTCTAGTGCAGCTCCAACTCTGCATGGCTATCGGCACTTGCTTCCAAGACGACGCCTCGGCTCTCCGTCGCCTGGCTGCTCAGTGGATTTACGAAGCCCAAGTCTGGCTCGTCTTGCCACACGACCGGTCGCGGATCAACTTCGCCGGCTTGCAGACCATGTGTCTCCTCCACCTGGCGCGAGAGACTTGTGGGATGGGTGGTGATCTCGCTTGGATGGGCGCGGGGTACATTTTGCGAACTGCCATGTATCTCGGTCTTCACCGCGACCCGGATAACCTGCCGGACCTGCCCGTGTTCGCAGGAGAAATGAGAAGGCGTTTGTGGGCCACCGTCCTAGAACTCACTCTACAATCGAGTTTGGATACCGGAGCGCCCCCTCTTCTGTCTCTATCTGACTTCGACACGCGTCCGCCTTCTAATTACGACGATGAGCAGCTTGAAGAGAACGCCAAGCTCCCGTCAATACCTAGGCCCCCTAGCTGCTTTACTCAGACCACCGTCCAGATCGCTCTCCTTCGGTCTTTCCCCGTGCGGCTGGCCATAGCCCAGTACGTCAACCACTTTGCTTCACCGGTTAGTTGGGAGGAGACGATAAAGTGGAACAACGAGTTGAGGAATGCATACGGCGCCCTCTCCTCTATTTTCCAGCCTTTCTACGACCCCGCAGGCATCCTTCCCAAACGCCTCTCGTTATTCCAGCTCCGGCTAGCTGAGCATATGGTGCACCGCTTCTTCTTGGCGCTGAACCACCCGTGGCTGTGGGCAGCGCAGAACAACCCCACCTATTACTTCGCTCGCAAGGTGTGCGTCGAGTACTCTCTCAAGCTGTACCGAGCCATTGCTACCGGATCTCCCGCTGGCGACTCCGGGACGGCAAGCGAGTTCGACGACTTCACAAGACTCGCTACATGTGGATACGGCGCATTCCGGTCCGTCCCTACTGTTGCTATTCTGACGATCTGTCTTGAACTCTTGTGGCAAGTCCAGGAAGACCGTTCCTTCCGGCAGAGCATCAGCCTCGATCATCAGCCTGATAGGACGGCGCCCGGCAACGAAATGGATGTTAACACGTCTGTTGGCATGGGCATTGCCAGTGGTGTCGTGCCGCTACAGGAACTGCTGGAGGCGGTCAAATACTCCATAGGATGGGCCGAACGCCGCATCAGGTGCGGCGGCGAGACCAATGTCAAAGGCTATCTCCTCTTCTCCACGCTGCTATGCCAAGCCCAGGCGCTGCAGCGAGGTTCATCGGACGCAGAAGTGGAGCGTGTGGTTATCAACTACATGACCGACGAGTTGCGCCGCTGCTTGCTCCTCCTGCAAGACACAGCCGGCCGTGAGACTTCCCTGGCATCGCCTGGCAAAGCAACCAACGGCGGAAAGGCTTCGCTACCCGAGTTCAAAGGGCGGGGTGGCTCATGGGGCTCGGATGACGCAGTAAGGAGCCCTGATGGCGGTGGGTCCATGGACTATTCCGCTGATCCTCAGAAGGTTGAAGCCCGCGGGTTCAACTCCATCTTCAACGTCTACGACGCGGAATTCTTTCTCGGCACCTAGGCTCCTAAGCCGACACTTTATTATATCCCGCCAACCCCAAGGGGATTTGTCCGGTCGAGGGTACTCGTTCTGCGAGGTTCATGTCCGCCCTATACCGGACACAAGCAACTCCTGCCGCGATGTGTGCGGCCGTGTTGGATGACCCCTTAAAGGGGAAGCTTCCTCCGCAAGGATCATTCCGTTTGTCAGCCAACAGCCGCAAAATGTCATTCGAGGAAAGCGCATCATCGCCGGCTGAGTACTTCCAGTTGACCCAGGTGCTACAAATGGCTCCGGGTGTGACGCGGAGCCCCATGGAGAATGCGCCAGCACACCGAAAGTACTGGAGACTGGAACCGAGACAATGGCAGCTCGCGTACCTCGTACCAACGGTTCAACACCAGGTTGGAGACCATATCACATGCAAACGTCGATCCGCATCGGCGTACCCTTCCACAACCTGCCATATCAGCTCCGGCACCGTCCAGTCATGCGTCATGACCGACGCCCAGGTAATCACACTACTCAAGAGCACAACAGAGTACCACTGCTTTTGATGTGGTCACGGTGGATGGTACTATTCCGAGATTCGTGGACTGTACATATCAAAAGAGGCAAAGCCTCCTAATAACCATGGATCTTAAGACCGTGTCACTCTGCGGACCGAGCTGAACCGCCTTGTAGGGCCCCATAAAATCCCCGTCGACGGGAAAGGAAGGTGGGAGCATGGCATCCAATGATCCAACCCCAGCCTGGCGGGCCGACACCCAGCAGGCCCGGGTTCATGCCACATCCCGAGAGCTTGCAACGTGCAAAGCCAGCAAAGACGGGCGAACTCGAAATAGCCCGGGTCCCGCAGTTGATATTGTTTCCTGGTAATGAACAAACCGGCTTCGAGTCGTATCGAAAGGATCGACCTGTGAGATCTCTTCAGAGAAACTGGGGTCTTGCAAAGATCGTGCAGGGCTGGCCCCCATGGATTGTTGTTATTTTTGGACTCCGCCCCACACAGCTCGGTCGGCTCGATGTCTCACGGAATGCATTCCCGAGTGTGGTTATCTCTCAACAAGTGTCTTAGCCATGGATGGAAGAATGCTGGTCCAGAACCATCATTTCAGCCCTGATGATGGACTTTATCCACCCAATCGTCGAGGCACAGCCTGCTCTACTTACTGGCGGTCTCCTTCCATTGTCCATTATCTGCGCCTGAAGGGAGTTATTGCTATACCACTCCCCGACAAGGCACAATGCAAGGACATGCCATATGAGCTGCCTAATAGACTGCCCGCCGGCACTTCTCCAGCATACCTATATAAGGAGGGACATTGCAATACTAACGAATGCTAACCTGGTTTTTTACAAAAATTCTTTGCATGTCTCACAGCGCACCATTCCAGCCCAGGCTCCGAGAAATGGTGAATCCTGGTCCATCGCAAAATTGAGCCAGACCCTCAGGAAGCTTGTCTCCTTTCGGCCTCCGGACCGAGCCTATCGTGTGAAGGCTGAGCAGTGCCGCCATCCGGGGTGTGCTGCTGTGCTCCCAATCCCAATAAAGAAATGCTTGATACCGCTCGACGTCACACCGCTATCGCAATATTGAGCCACCTGCCTGAGATGCCCTCAGTCTTGACCACTGCACCATTCCGAGAGACAAGCTCCTGCTCTTGAGTCTTTTCGCGGGTAGTAGTCCGGCGGTGACGCCACTCTTCATCCCTTGCCCTCGGTGTGCTGAGTCCGTGGCCCGAAAGCCCCCATGTCCCATGCGAGACTTGGCAAAGCGCATCTGGCTAGCTCATACATATAAGGCGCTGGGCTCACTTCCCGATTTCCAGAGGGCTGCAACGGGGTCTCCCAGGTCCTGCATGTGTGTGGCCTCATCAAGCTCAGTTGATACTCCTCTGCCTTCAGTGAATCTCGAGGCAGCTGTGCCCAGCTGTCCGCCATGGACCTGCTAATAAGGCTCCTCGTTCTTTCCCTCGCTCTGGCACCGGTGCCGATCTCCTGCTCTCCGGCCGAACTGCCCGAACCGCCAGCACCCGCCGCAGTCAACGTCCCACTCACCTCAGCACCACCACCGGCGGCGGTTGTCGAACGGCGCGAGGCACTCGATATCGGCCCCCCTCCTCCTCCTCCTGGCAACATTGACTTCCAACCGGTGCCACCATCCAACAAGGGATGCACGACAACCGTGACCGAAACCTACGGGTTCCCGTGCGAGTGGAACGGGACCTTGACCACGTACCCGGCCGGGACTACCACCCAGTTCCGGCAGGTCAACTGCAACGGCTGCGATGCCGTCTATGTGAGCAAGAGCTGGTACTACTGCCCCAACCAGAAGATCAACGCGACCCGGGCCATGGACGTGCCGAGCACCTACTGGAGCACGATATGTCGACCGTCGACGGCGGCGGCTTTGAGGGATCGGGATCCGCAGCAGCAGCAGCAGCAGCAGACGGCCGCGCGGCCCACGGCAGTTCCTGAGTCTGGCGCTTATCAGACTGCGATGGTGCCTGGCCCCGACCGCCCGGTGGTGGTGGCTGCTCTCCCGACGCCGAGCGCTTGAGCTGGAGGCGAGGAAGGATGCGTTAGGGGACGCGGCGGGGTATGCGATCAGGAGCGTACAATGCCTGTCGAGTGTCTGTGGTTTACGATGGTCACGACTTTTCTTGTTGTAGGAGCCAGTGATATCGTGCATGAGAAGGGGTGAAGGGTCTCTGCGGACAAAAAGCATCATGGTTATCCTACGAGGACATGTCATGGAGAGTCAGGGGCGGGCAGCGGGCTAGATGGTGGATACCCAAGAGCCAAGTGAAGCTTTGCAAGCGGGCGGCTGATCCACGTTTTCTTTGGAAGAACAAGCATTAATGAGTAAAGCCGCATGGCAAATGGGACAACTTGTTTGGATCACCCTAGATGGGCTTTTATTTTTCTGAGAACTGTGGCCTTCTTTCAGCAGTTGTGGCGCCGCAAACAGGCAACTGACGAGCAACTGCCACTACCAAGATATACTTGGGTTTGACATCGTCGGAAGCATCTACCCTACACTTCCATCCGCGTCAGCACAGCAGCAGCATATTGTGAGGTTCATCAACAATGCACAACACAAACCGTTTCTTCACAAGGTGTTTAACCCCTTGTTCCGCCCCCTTTTCACGATCGCTGTCATGGATGCCCCTTCCTTGTCCGTGTGAAAAGCAATGGGGGCTCCACTGTATCCACTAACCGGGTTTCTGGAAGCCCAACGACGGGTTCACCAGAGCCGCAAGCTTCTAACGTTAACGTTAACCCGACGTCAACTGAACATCGCGGTCACACACATGACCAATCCAGGCATCACAAGACCATTGAGAAGGGCGCAAAAGGTTCCGGCTGGTCCAGGCCACCGCCGACCTCACCAAAAGGGCATCCCAAGAAGAAGGCACGCCGGGAGGGGGCTCCACCGCGGACGCGCGATTGGCCCCGGGATGGTGGTGAACCATCATTTTCACGTCTGCCGCCAATATCACGACCACCACCACCACCACCCCCCGTGGTTGAGTACTCCAAGGGTGAAGAAGAAGAAGAAGAAGAAGAAGAACAGCCGCGAGACTCCAAGCCCCTCCAGCTGGGCGGCTATGCGGTCAAGAAGGGACCGTCGGCATCTCCTGAGCTCAAGATCCGGGGGAGATCCGTCGGGGGCCCAAATCTGAGGCCGGATGTGACAACAACCACGCGGAACAGGTGACGGTGTGGGACAGGATTGACAGGGACTTCGCCTTGGCGGGGAACCGGATCTTCGCGCACATCGATGATCTCCAGTGCTTCGCTCGCGACAGCAGCTACCCGGGTGACCATCCCATTCCCCTGGCCACCAGCAGGGTCAGAACGCAGATGCACGAGCTCGTCAGCGTGTACCGCGGCATGACCGTGGAAGTGGATGATGTGCTATACGCGCTGCAACAGGCCACGGCTCGTGAGTACGGGCTGAGGAGGGAGCTTGAAGAAGCGCGGGCGGCGAACATCAAGCTTACGTGCGTCAAGGAGGAGCTCAATGAGCAAGCCAGTGGCCTGAAAAGCGTGGCCGAGGCAACGGAGGCACGGTTTTGTCAGCTCAAGCGCCAGTTTGAGGACCTGGAAGCCCGGCATGAAAAGCTGGAGACCAAAAGCCGCGAGCTGCAGCAGGAATGTGAGAAAGCCACGGCGGAGAAGCTCGAGTTGAAGGACTCCCTCCGGACCAAAGATGAGGAGATGCAAGTGGCGCAGGCCGAGCACCGCAGGCTGCGGAGCCTCCTCGAGCAGAGAGGCGCGGAATTTGAGGGGTTGAAGTCGGGTGTCGGCATCCTGAGGGGCTCGTTTCTGGAACGTGGGGAAGAGATCGGAAAGCAGAAGGCCGAAAACAGCAGACTGCAAAGCCTGGTCAGGGAGAGGGACGCTGAAGTCGAGGGATTGAAGTCACATATCAGCGGTCTGGAACGCTCGGTTTTGGAACGAGACGCAGAGATCGGGAAGCAGAAGGCGGAGAACATGAGACTGGAGAATCTCGTGCGCGCGAAGGAATCACAACTAGCCTTGCTGCCGACATTACCAATTACGCCTCAGTCGCCGATGGTGCCAGCCTTGTCAGCTCCGTCAACCGTGCTAATCGATCAGGCATCATCACAGCATGTCTTCCCTACTACTCCGGACTCCCTACCTGCATTCATCAAGCCGGAACCCCCCGATCCAACATCAACATCACCTCCGCCGAACATGCCTCAGGAGAGTACCCCAATCCAGCAAATCCAGCAAATCCAGGACCCGGTGCAGCAGCTTCATATGCTCAGTACAGGGATAACGAACCTCCTTAGCAGAATGTTCCACATCGATTACGAGGTTACCTGCAACGACGTCCTTATCGGTTTCCTATCGAGACTTGGAGGTACCCCTGCAGGATTCTCCATCAACATCACCCAAGCAGCCGGGTTCTGGGAGCTCAAGGACTCCTGGGAACCGTGCGCTATCACGCCCCGGGTACTGCCCTCCAGCCTCGAAGAGCATTTTATCCTCCTCTCTCTCCTGTTCCCCTTCCCTGGAGACCAACCCTCACTCATGCAGCACGAGTCAGCCTCCACCTTCAGCCTCCTCGCCTCCCTGCTCAGTTCGCTCATCAAAGCGGACTACTCGGCCTCGCCGCGCGCAGGCCTGACCTTCCTGCAGGCCATGTCCGCCTACCATCCGCAACACTCCACAGCAGCAGCACAAGAACCGCTCCCCACCCGCACAGCCCTCCTCGCCATCGTGTTCTGCGAGCTCTGTCGCGCACTGGAACATACCTACTGGCCGAACGGGCCATGTCCCAAGCGGAACTGGAATATCGGCAGTATTTTGGGTGTTGAAGCCCAGGATGCTGCGGAGAAGCTGCCTATTGGCTGGCTCGCGGCTGCGTTGCGGGATACGAATATCACTGGTACTAGTGGTAGTAGTAGTGGTGGTGGTGTTAACAACAGGGTGGAGATGGTGAAGGAGCGGTTGAAGGCGGGTGGTCCGGGAGGCGGTGTGGATCGGTTCTGCGTTTTCTCCATGCCCGTGCCGTCTACCGCTTCCGGTGAGCCTACCTCTGCTCTGACACAACAACAACATCTTCATCTTCATCAGTCCCATCGACTGGATGTGAATGACCCAGCTCCCACTCTAGAAGGGACAACAAGAACGGGACGACGAGAAAACAGCAGCGGTAAAGACATGGGGCTGCTCCACTGCGGCGACAGCAGCTGCTCCTTCCTGGTGCTGGACTTTGGCGAGCGCAGTCTGCGGCTGGTCGACTGTCGGCTCGCGTGGATGAGGCCGAACGAGGCGGAGCCGCGGAAGTTGGATCTCGTGGTCTCGCGGTCTGTTGCCGTGGCGGCGGCCGCCGCTGGGGAGCAGCAGCAGGCCGGCGAGGAGCTGATGATGCGGATCGAGGCCGCGCCGAGGGGTGTGGCGGCGTCTTGGTTGAAGTACGCGCTAGAGGATGTGTGATACTAGTAGGTGAGATAAATGTGAGGGGCGGGGAGTATCTTTTCTAGTATCTGTGGTGTGGTAAGGTAATGATGATGGTTGGCGATGATGATGTGAATTGGCCGGGTGGAGGAGGCTGTTTGTTTCGTGCCGTATAGTGTTATGGATATATTTAGGATTGGTTCTGGTATTTGACCTACCTGTAATAGTCGTGCTGATCATCGTTATCACCAGTCTGCTTGGATTGCCCAGTTTCATGTGTTTCCAAGTTCCAAAGCTTGCCCTCAAGTTTGTGGGCAACTGCCGGTGTAATTCCTCCCCGTTTGCCTCTCACGCTCTTCATACTGCAGAAATCTCCCCAAAATTACTTACAAAATTCATCATCAGGGTTCATCACTACCTTACTTATTGTCTCTGCCACATCCCCCTCTCAGCCACCCTACCAACCGACAACCTAACTAAGGTTATGGCTACCTACGGACCGCTCGAGGCCATGATGGCCAACGTGGTCATCGACAACAATGGCGGACATGACGGCGCAGACGACATCATTGACGACGACGATTACACGCCGCCGCGCGAGGCCTTCCACACCAATCCGCAGCTGTGCAAGGACTTGATTGCCCGCCTGGGCTCGCCCGTCCCGCCGCTTGCGATCCGCTCATCGTCGATCTGCATGGGCTCGGGACTCTTTGCTGCCGCAGAGATTGACGCGGGCCGCGAGATCTACTGCGTTACGCTCCAATTGGCGGCTATCGATGCTGATGAGACGTCCTTCTGTCACTGGTGTTTCAGGGACCAGACGGCCGGGTTCGGTCGCCCGTCTAAGGAAAATGGGGCGGTTAAGGCCTGTACGGGGTGCAAGACTGCCAGGTTCTGTTCTAAAGTATGCGCTTTATAGCCTAACGTACTAGGCCTCACTCACTTGAGTGCCAGACCGGCGTGGGAATTGAGAGAGAAATTGTAGCTAACATCATCATCATCATGTAGGATTGCCAGAAGCAGGCCTGGACCGGCTTCCACAAGGACGAGTGCAAGGTCCTCCGGAAAGCGCCCAAGATGAGGCCCCAGCACCTGCTCGCCCACCGCGTGTATTTCTGGCTCCAGCGCGGCCAGAATGCGCTGGGAAAGGTCCATCGGTATCTGGAGAACCACTTCAACGAATTCTCCAAGAACGGGCCCCGTATCACTGAGATTATGGACATCGCCATGGCGATTCATGAGGAGACTGGCTGCAAGGGAGAGTTGTCGCTGGTTTGGAGGACGGTGCCGGCGGTATGTCCTTTCGATTTCAAGGTCTGAATGAAGTTGACTGACCTTTTCCATAGCTGCGCATGAACTGCATCAGGCTGCGTCCGCCGACCAAGAAGGAGTCTGTCGGATATGCCTTTGATGCCGTGACAGCCACCATCAACCACTCGTGCGACCCCAACGCCTTTGTCTACTTTGAGGGTCGTAAGCTGCACATCCGCTCACTGAAGAAGATTGCTGCCGGCGAGGAGATCACTATCTGCTACCTCGATCCCACCCTCGACGTCGCTGCCCGGCAGGCTCTGCTGCAGCACGAGTACTTCTTCGACTGCAACTGTAAAGTCCCTGCTACCTACCTCACTTGCTCTGAGCTTCACACAGAATTCTAACTTGAAATCCTGAAATAGGCAATCGCTGCAGAGCCGAGCACAAGGAAAAGCTCACCCTGCTCAAACCCAGCAAGGATCTCGACCCGCTGCACCAAGCGCAGCGCGAAATCCACGCGCTCCTGCGGTCGGCGATGCGCGCGGCCAAGCACCCCGGCATCTACCCTTCGTTCGAGGACCTCCCGACGATCGAGACCAAGCTGCGCACCATCATCAACAACGCCGTTCCTGGCGGCGGCGCGGCGACGGCGCCCTGTTGTTGGCCGGAGCACCTCGAGCCGCTGCCGTCGGCCCGCCTCGTGCTGGCCAACCTCTACCTCGACCAGGGCAAGCCCATCCCGGCGCTGCGCAACGCCCTGAAGGGCAAGTTCCTCAGCATCCGCGGCCGCGGTGGCGGGCCCGAGTGGATCAACGAGATGACTGACGTGACCACGGTGCTGGTCATTGCGGGCAGCCTGCCGCGCGAGACGACGGCGGAGGATAACAACAACAACAACAACAACAACAACAACAACAACGACAACGAGACCTCCTCATGCTCCTCCTTTCCGTCGGTGGACGACATCAAGGCTGTCACGTACGGGTATCTGTATGAGACCTGTCGGGAGGCGGGGAAGGTGTTTGGCGGCGAGGCTGAGTTTACTAAGGGATTGTGCACCATGTTGACTGACATGCTGCGCACGAACCCCCGGGTGCGGGTGGGGACTAGGGAGTTTAGGGTGCAGTTTGAGAAGGCGCAGAAGGCGGTTCTGGCTTGGGCTGGGATTGATGGAGGTAGTGAGGGGGTGGGGTTGGTTCTGTCTTAGATTGACAGGAGTTGGCGGTTGCTTGGTCTACACCACGGTTCACATTGAGGGTGGCCTGAAGGTGGAAAGGGGGCATAGTGCGAGACAAATAAATGATCACAGTCTGGTTCTACAAATCTACTTACTCAGAACTCGCTATTCTTTTGTGTGAGTGGTCTGCACTTGCATCCACTCATTGTCATCGTCATCGTCATCTGATCCGGAGGGTGGAGTGTGGGTGATCTCCCAGTCCGAGTCTGGGTCTGATGTTCTCTCCTGGGCCGCTGGTGTTTCAGAAGGGAGGGTGCTGAATTGAAAAGTCAGCCGGAATCCTTAGGAAGATGAAGGGTGGGAGGAGGATGAGATGGGATAGGACTCACCTTCTTCTTCCCCCGTCATCCACCTCATGCACAATCCTGCCGTTAACCGGCTCCTCCCATTCAGAATCATCCAGGTCGAAGTCCATTCCCGGGATTCGAGACGTCATCCCAGGCACAGATCCCTCCCTCTCCGCGGCAACAAGCAACTCCCACAGCAGGTCCAGCGAGTTGCCCGCGCTCACCTTCTCGGGCCGGAACTTGAGGTACCGCGCCGCCAGCTCGGCAGTCGTCGGCGTAAGCAGCATGTTCCAGATCTCCTCGAGCGGCCTGGGTAGCGAGACGCCTTCCTCGCGCAGCCTGGCCCTCACCCATCGCCCCGAAAGCCCTTCGCGCCAGGTAATGTTCAGATCTGTCTCCCCTACGATCTTTGCAGTCCCCGTCCCCCCCTCTTCATCACCAGTGGCAGACCGAAGGGCAGAAGCAACGGGCGTCTCGCTCCACGCCGTCACTCTACCCGGCCGAGCGGGGACAAGCAGCTTCCCCTTCAACCCATCACCATCACCTTCACCATCACCTTCACCTTCACCATCTTCCCAAGAAGAAGAAGGAGGGTGTAACCACCACGACCCCAAATTTCCCAACAGAAACACCCTCAACGAAAACACAAACACCATCGCGGCCAAATCCAACATCTCCCCCAGCAACAACACCCTCTGCCCCTGCCCCTCCTCCTCCTTCTCCTTCCGGAGCACACTAAACTCAATGTCCGCCGCGTCCGTGAGGTACGCCACAGCCGCATGCATCGCCGACGCGCGGGGCTTGACAACCCGGGCCAGCCAGCGCTGGATTTCCATTCTTCTGGGCGTGAGGAGGACTGGTCTCGAGCAGGCATTATCCTGATCCTCCTCCTTCTTATGTCGGGGGAAGTGCCATGCCGCAAGCGCACAGAAGAGCGGGTTGCAAGAAGAAGACGACGCCGTTGCTGACACCGGGTGGTGGTGGTGGTGGTGGTGGTGGTGGTGGTGGTGGAAGGCGCGCGCCCCGCAGCGGAGGAGGACGTCGATGGCGGGGCTGTGCAGGGCTGACGCGGCGGCGGAGAGCGCAGTCCTATTACTGCTCCTGCTCCTACGACTAGTGGAGGAGGAAGAGAGCTTATCCCGTGGCACGAGCTCGATCAGCGCTTCCAGCACGGCCGGCTGCGTGTACCGGTTTGCGGCCTGGGCGATTAGGATTGGCAGGTAATCTGTGTTGTCGGGCATGCGCCGCGCAAGCCAGGTGACGGCGGCCGGGGAGCGGGCTTGTTGGAGGAGGGTTCTGTACAGAGCGGTTGGGGATGGGCATTGTTGTTGTTGTTGTGCCTTGTCCCGATCGTGGAGGTACAGGAGACACTCTAGTCTGCCGGAGCGGAGGAGGGCTTCGCACTTGACCCTTTCATATACCCACGCCGGGTCGTAGGCGAACGGCGATGCTGGCCTGTCGACCCATGACTGCAGGAAGTGCAGGCAGCGGACGGATCCCCGCTCGATGCACATCCCCATCAGCAGGTGCACGCCGCGTCCGCCGTTGGCGTGCAGGAGGCGGCCGTTGGGAGAGGAGGTACTAGTGGCGTCGTCTCCGTCGAACTCGCCCAGCTCAAGCGCGTCTTTCAGGGCCTTGGCGTCGTCCAGCTCGATGGCGGACCACACGGGGCTCTGACGGTTGGAGAGGAAGGGGAGACGCTTGATTTTGTCGCGCCGGCGTTCCTGGTACACCAGTCGGAAGATTGCCTTGCTCGTCAGCGCGAGGTTCAGGAGGTCTTCCCCGGTAAGCGTGCGCGATTCAACAAGGAGGCGGATCACACCGGGTTGCTCGAGGGGGTGCTGCTGGGAAGCTGGATGCTGGGCTGCTGCCATTGTGTGTTGATCGTCAGTATGGGGGACTTGTTACGTTGGGTTCGGTTACGTTGCGAAGTTGGGTGGTGAAAGCAGTAGACCTCGGAGGACAAGCGCAGCATTCATATATATATGGGTTTGACCTGAACACCTAGGCGCTTGACAGAGAATAGAACCAAGTCCTCCTGCATCGAACAGGAAGTCAGATTCCGACATGGAAGCACCACTATCATGGTCTTGGGCGACATTGTGCACAGAGTCCGTCACAAACCACACAGCAACAAATACTTTGTAAACAACTTGAACTTGGAACAGGCGCCCTCTGGCTCGCTTTGTCGTATTAAAATGTCCCTATCACGCTTTGTTCAAAACAATACACCCTAAGCTGCCTAACAGCCGCTGCCTAAGGTACCCAGCCCATAGGCGTGAAACACAACCCCATAAAGAACAGAAGAAGACAGAAAAAAAAAACTAAAAAGCTGATACATCACAAAATCACATTCCCTCTCAAACCGCGCCCCCTCCTCTCACAAGCGCAGGCCCCAACCACGCCGGCTGCATGGGGATGACCGCGGGGCCCGCGACGACAGAGTAATTGGTCGGCGCACCGGGCTCGTCAGCCACCAAGGCAATAATGGCCCCTTTCGCCTCAAACTCCGGCGGGATCGTGACTGAGATGGGGCCGCTGCCGCTGCCACTGCCAGTGTCGATGGGCACGCTGGCGTTGAGCACGCCATGAAAAAACACGGCATAGTACTGCTTCCCGTCCTTAAAGAACGCCGGCTGATGCTGGCTGTCTGACTCCGACTCTGGAAAGTGCAGCGTGATGGTCGCACCCGGCGCCAGGCTCGTCGTGTTCGGGGTGGCCGATAGGATGGGCAGTAGCTGGCGCGGGTGCGGGTATTCCGGGTTTTCGGGCGGGCAGGAGCCCGGCACGACCAGGTTGTGCGTGCTGTACAGGATCTGGTTCGCGTAGGGGAAGGTGGTGTCGGTGGGCCCCGCGAAGGGTTCCGTCTTCCAGAGGTCCGTCAGAGCCCAGAGCTCGTGGCGGGTCTCGGTCTGCGAGATGGCCGTCATGGCGCCCTTGGCGAAGTCGCTCCTGGGCAGCTGCGCCAGGCCCGTGAGGAAGGCCATGCTGGCCAGCTCGATGACCGTCAGGAAGGAGAGGTACGCCAGGGGCTCGTCCAGCGGGAACATGTAGCGGCAGGGCCCCGGCTTGATGGACGTGGGCGAGATCTGGTTCTGGAAGATGCGCAGGTGGCCGGCCTCGTTGTTGCGGATCTCCATCAGGCGGCGCCGCGTGGTGTTGGGCATGCCGGCGTCGATGAAATCCTGGTCGCTGAAGCGCTCGATGCCCTGCTGGTAGAACTCGAAGATGATCCACTCCGCCGACAGCAGGTTCTGCCAGATGTAGTCGTCTTCGCCAGGCGGGCCGTTCTCAGTCGGGAAGACGGGGTCTGTGATGTTGCCAGGGAAAGGCCGCTCGATGCCCCAGTAGCTGCTGTAGAGATCCGACGCGCCCGGGATGGGCCCGTAGGTTGGATCCGCCAGCTTCTGCGCCTCGCCCGAGTATTGGGGAGGCACGTTGCATTGTGCACAACGTGGAAGTACCGCAGCCTTGGCCGCGAGCAGCGTCGAGGCCGCCAAAAAGAAAGTGAGCCAGTGCATTATGAATAATGGGATGGTAAAGCGAAAGTGTAACAAGACGTAACTCTGGGTGGGGTAAGCTGGGTATTGTCGTGTATGTAGGAGAGAAGCGTGAGGCGAGCGAGGATCTTAAGAGGAAGCTCGTCGTACTAGCAGTCTGAGAGAAGGTACCTGTAAGCAAAGTAATCCGGAAGCAGCGAGAGACAATACCTTACCTGCAACGCGGCAATTGATCAATTGGGAAGGGACATACGTGATGGCTGTGAGCTGGCCCCTCCTAACGGGAACGATCCGTGCCGGCCTCGACTGTCTGCTCCTGATAATGGGCAGGGACATGGCTGCCTTCGTTGCTGTCAGTGCTGATGCGTCCCTTCAAAGGGAAAGACTAGGGGTGGGATGTCGTTTAAGACCTACGGCATAAGAACGGAAAGCACCTGCCGCTGCTAGACTGCCCTGAGCGCCACGGCCTGATTTGTGGGCACCCTCACCAGATGAGTGTCGTTCTTCCTCCCGCATAATGAACAGCGAAATTGTTTGCCTGGGCTGCAATTTCTGCCGGCATGGGACTTCCACCTGCTCCGCTTACAGTTACTACTGCACCTGACCGTCGAGGCTTCCGATAGCCCTCGACTAGGACGCTGATTCACGACAACAGCCAACTCGGACACAAAATAACCGGCTGTGCCAGTCTCTCCATTCAAAAATAGAAGCGTCTCGGCTCAGGTAACTGTCCAGACCAAGTGATAATGAACCCGGGAAAGATCAAGACTAACAGACAGATCCACAGCCTCGCTTCGCTGCTGTTCACCCTTGCGGTTAGACTATCTTAGTCTTTATCCGGGCGCGACACGACCGCTACCCGAGAGACAATGGCGTTCTTGGTGGCATTGCTGTTGCACATTTCCTTTCAGCTTTGCCTCGGCCAGCTCATCCACTACTACCGGCGGCCGAAAGAAGAGGCGAAGCAACGCATTGCGCTAGAGGCGGCCCGTCGAGGATGCAGTGCGGCGCCGGTCATGCCCCGGAAGGGCTTCTTCGGGTTCGGCCGACTGATCGAGGGCCTGCGCGCGACTCGCAACGACCGAGGCCCGCAGTACGTCATCGAGGCGCTCGACGGGGAGATGGGCACCGACGTGCACACGGCCGTGGTGCCCATGTTTGACTATGACCTCATCGTGTCGCGCGACCCGGTCAACGTGCAGGCCGTGCTGGCCACGCAGTCGGCGGACTGGGACATCAGCGAGCACCGCGCCGCCAGCTGGCTGCCCTTCGTCGGCCTGGGCATCTTCACGTCGCGCGGCGAGCAGTGGAAGCACTCGCGCGCCCTCGTCCGGCCGCAGTTTGCCCGCGACCAGATCAACGACCTCGACCTCTTCGAGCGCCACGTGCAGCACCTCTTCGCGGCCATCGACCGGCACCGGTACCAGGGCGGCAGCGACGAGACCGAGACCGACAAGGGCTGGACCGGAGCCTTCGACCTGCAGCCGCTGTTCTACAACCTCGCGCTGGACGTCATGACCGAGATGCTGTACGGCTACTCGGTGCACTCGCAGAACCCGGCCGAGCGGATCGAACTCCCCACCCTGCCCGGCTACGACCCCCCGGACCGCGAGAACATCGGCAAGCACATGGACGCGGGCAAAGCCTGGGTCGAGACGCGCGGCGCCTTCTGGAAGTACCGCTGGCTGCTGCCCTCCGGCCAGTTCCGGAAGCACTGCGCCGCGGTGCACAGGTACGCCGAGTGGTTCGTGCAGCTGCGGCTGCGGCGCGGCGGCGAGGCCGACGACTACCTCAGCGGGCTGCAGCAGCACAGCACGGGCGCCGCCGCCGCCAACAACAACAAGGACGACCGCTACGTGCTGCTGCACGAGCTGGCCAAGTCGACGCAGGACCCCGTCGAGCTGCGCAGCCAGACGCTCAACGTGCTCACCGCGGGCCGCGACACCACCTCGGCCCTCCTGGGCTGGGTGTTTTACCTCCTCTGCCGCCACCCGCGCGTCTGGGCTAGGCTGCGGGAGGAGGTGCTGGCCCAGTTTGGTGCTGACGTCCCGCAAGCCGGCAGCCGCCAGGGCAGTACTACCACTACCACCGCCACCACCACCACTACTACTAGTACCAGTGCTACTACTAGTGCTAGTGGCTTCGGGTTCAGGCAGGTGCGTGACGCGATGCCGTACATGCACGCCGTGATCAACGAGACGCTGCGCGTGGCGCCCGTCGTGCCGCTGAACGACCGCATCGCGCTGAGAGATACCGTGCTGCCGAGGGGAGGGGGTCCCCAGAGGGACCAGCCCGTGTTTGTGCCCAAGGGCACGCAGATCCTGATCCCGACGTATGCCCTCGCGCAGAGGCCGGATATCTGGGGACCCGATGCCGCCGAGTTCAGGCCGGAGCGGTGGCTGGAGAATGGTGGGCGGAAGCAGCATGGCTTTGAGTTCATCCCCTTTGGCGGAGGCGTGCGGCAATGCTTGGGTCGTAAGTACCGTACCAGGCGTACCTTGCCTTACCTGACTTATTTAGTCTTAGTGGTCTAGACTCTACGGCTGTTTTTGAGTTGCCAGAGTCTAGAAAATACTATGCCTTTTTTTTTTTTTTTTTTTTTTTTTTTTTTTTTTTGCTGACCTAGATTCGCAGAACAGTTTGCCCGTATCAAGTCGGCGTATGTGATTATTCGGATGATGCAGCGATACGACCAGGTCGCGAACGCCGAGTCGCCACCGGATGCGCCCATGCGCTTCCACCATACTATCGAGAACAGAAGTGGCAGTGGTGTCCAGGTCCGGCTACACAGGGCGGAAGTGTAGAGAGGGGGGTATTCTTCCTGCATCCTGTTAGGTACATAGCAGTACAACTCTGAGGAGTGCGGAGGAAGTTGACAGGCTCCCATTTTCCAGCATCTTTATATGTAAGGGTTTTGCCTGTCTACCGTAGAATATTAGGTCTCCAATGCAAGTCATCTTCTTATGACTGACCCCCCTTCCAGCCGACGTGAGGCGATGATAAGGGAGGAGCGCTTACGTTGTTCCGGTTGGCCAACCATCCATACATGATCTCCGCAGCTTTTTCTCGCGCCATCCAGACCCCGCATCACTGCAGCGTCACGCATAGGGCGCGGAGATAAGATCATAAGGCAGGGTAGGCTACACCACACTTCACAGCGGAACGCCAGACTGCCAGTTCTTCACAGATCATTTTACCAACTCCTCTCTGTCTACTAAGTGTCCTTATTTCCACGGACCACATACCATCATTCCCGCAAAACCATGCTCGTCAAAACAGACGCAAACAAGACCCTCAAGGGCCACAAGCTCCTGGTCCTCGCCCCCTGGAAAGAACCGGACGGCTTCCTAGCCGAACTCGCCGCCGAGTTCCCGGACCTGCAGGTCGTCTACCGCATGCAACAACTACAAGTGGCCGCAGCCGGTCTGCCATCCGAAGCTGAGCTGCCGGAGGAAACGTGGCAGGACGTTACCATCCTCTTGACCTTCGCCAACCTGCCCCGGCCAGAGCAGGCGCCGAAGCTGGCGTATGTCCAGCTGATGAGCGCCGGGGTGAATCACCTGCTGGATACGCCGCTGTTTAGGGATACTGAGGTGGTGTTTTGTACGGCGAATGGGGTGCATGGGTGAGTTTGAGCTGTGCCGTGCTTGCTGGTGGATCTAGTAGTAGTAGGAGTGGGAGTATTATTCGGTGATTTGCTCCGGGTAATAATAAGAAAAAAAGGCCACAGATCTCCGAGTGGATCATCACCACCTACCTGGCGTTTGAGCACCGCGGTAATGTCCTCCCTCCTCCCTCCTCCTCCTGTCTGTCGGTCTGGCTGGCTGGCTGATGGGATATTGCGCGCTAATAACCCTCCTAGTGCCGGAGTATCTCGAGCTCCAAAAGAAAGCCCACTGGGACCGGAGCGGCGTGATGTCGATCGAGGATGCCGTCAGTAAGACAGTGTATGTTTGTTTTCCCTCCCCCATTTTCCGTCCCCTTCCCTTCTCTTTTCTTTTTACTATGCCCCCCTCCCCCCAACCCCCGGGATGGTATCCGCTGACATCTCTCCCTCTCTCACAACAACAGCGGCATCCTAGGCTACGGCAGCATCGGCCGGCAGACCGCCCGCGTCGCCGCAGCTATGGGCATGACCGTGCACGCGTATACCCTGCACCCGCGCCCGACTCCCGAATCCCGCCGCGACCACGGCTGGACGCCCCCCGGACTACAGGGCGATCCCGAGGGCAGCCTGCCCGCAAAATGGTTCTCGGGCGCCAAGACGGAGGACCTGCACGCCTTCCTCGCGTCGGGCTTGGATCTCCTGGTTGTCGCCACCCCGCTGACGCAGCGCACGCAGCACCTGCTTGGGAAGGCTGAGTTTGAAGTCTTAGGATCCTCTGGTGCTGGTGGTGCTGGTGAGGGAAAGGGAAAGGGGAGGACGTTCGTGTCCAACATTGCTCGCGGCCCAGTCATTCAGACAGAGGACCTTATGGATGCGCTTGAGTGTGGGTTGATCAGAGGTGCGGCGCTGGACGTGACCGATCCGGAGCCGCTGCCGGACGGGCACCCGCTGTGGAAGGCGAAGAATGTCATTATTACACCGCATGTGTCGGGGGCGTCGACGAGGTATTTTGAGAGGGTTCTGGCGATTCTGGAGTGTAACCTAACGCGGCTGGCGGCGGGGGAGGAGTTGGTGAATCGGGTTGATCGGAAGAGGGGGTACTAGTATTGAGGACGTCGGAGGTTGATAGATTCGGGATGTCGAGTCTGGGGTGGGTGGTTTGGATAGATGCTAGGAAAACAGGTACACGTTAGCAGCGGATCGGTTTGGGGTTGCTTCGAGATGGGGAGGCAGCACCGAGTGCTGGTTAGGGTGGTCTCGGGGCTCGGTATTGTCCGTCATCTCGGTCATACTAGTAGTAGGGGTCCGAATCACCCGTCGTGATCTGGAGCATCGAAGGCTTGCTCGAAATAGAGGCCCTCAGTTGCTGTTCTTTTCGTCGATCGTTCCTTGCAAGGAGGTCGAGCCGTCAGGGAAACAATGGACGAGGTACTCAACGACGAGACGGTGTTTCGAAGTCCCGTCGACAATGAACAACCGGGCCGGGGCAGAAAGGTCAAACGTTGCGAGCAGTTTTGGAACGTCAGTGCTCTTTGTTGCCGGCCGTGGGGCTCGTGACAGTGTTGCCGAATCGGCGGGAAGCCGACTGAACAATGGGCGTGCTCTACGTGCTATTGTACAGAGACCCGGAAGGGCGGAACAGCATTCCACCGCCTCCCACCTCCGCATTCCAGCCCCTTGTCAGGGGAACAGGCACAGGATACCGTTGAAGATTTCTGGCTACAATTTTGTGTTTATTCGACTGGCAGCGATCAAGATAACATACTAGCTGATAGTATCGGAAACTAGCATTGAAATAGATGCCCACGTGTATGCGTATCCTATGTACATTACGACCTCGCTATGCATTCCATCGCTGCATGTCAAGCATCGCTCACCAACCCTTCGCACACTAGGTCTCCTAATCCTACATGATGTCGACCTGCCTACTCGTCGGTGTCACGGTGGTCTGTGGTATAGCTGGAACCTTGTGACTGCCCTCTTTTGTGGAAGACCTGTTGCCAGCCTCCTTTACCGTGATCCGTATCCAGTATGTCTATTGGCCGCCTACTGGGTGATGTCTCGGCGTAGGTCAACGTGGAAGGTGGCCTTCCCGGATGTCCCTGTCCGGCCCGTCGACCGGGAGCGGTGTTTCCACCCCCCCCCCGCCTTCTTGCCCTCCCGGCCACTTATTTGATAGATGCCTTCTTTGCGAGGCAGGCCGGGGTTAGAAGCCCTAATTTTGTCCAGTTCATGCGGAAAGGATGTGTAGAAGTTGAAAAAGTCTGTTGCCCCTTCGAGATTTTCCATCGACTTTCCTCTTCCGCACCTCACAACTTTCCACTCTCCAGTGCAACAGCCAATTCTTCATCATAGATAAAATCAGCCATCATCTCCTCCAAACCAACAGCAATTTCTCTCAGCTCCTCTCTTTTTTCTACATCAAGACGTGCTTCCGGTTTTCTTTTCCGCAACGTGAGTGAAATCAATCTTCTCTTCTCCTCATCAACTCTCCGATTCTGTCGTCTACCATTGAACTTGCATTGCTCCGCCGCGAGCACACATTCCTCCACTCCTGGCACTCGCCTCCCCTCCATTCCAATCTACCTTCACGCCGTGCGGAGGCCAAGAGCCGCCGCCTGGCTGGTTCCTTTTGAAAATCCCTGGCGGCATTGCCGAGTACACCGCAGCCCTATCTTGACCACATTCCGGGCACCTGACCGACGAGGATTGTCCTCCGGTGCACGGGAAAATTTCACCGAGCAGGATCCATCCCGCTGGACCGACCTTTCATCTTCTCCCAGCATAGCGAAGCATTTAGAGCAAACGCTCTCTTCCGTTTCTTCCACCCAAACCGCTAACTCAGACAGACAGCCGGCGCATTTTCATCTCTCCTCTCAGAAGTCGCGTTTTTCTCGGCTGTAAAGCAACATTTGCGGCCGGTCAGGCTTATAAAGGCCGTCTAGCTGGGCGTTGAACCCACGACCATCGAGCTCGGGAAGATCAAGAGTAAGCAATGTAAGACCACTCGCATCTCTCGATCGCTATCTCCGCAAGTCTACTACCACCGACACCTCGGGAGTTGATTCTGGGATGAAAGAACAGGGGCTAACGAAAGCATAGACATCCACTGTTCGGGGACCACCGTGCCCGGCACAGTTTATTCCATCAATTTTCAGGACAATAGTTCCCCTCCCTACTTAAAAAATCAGTAGACTTCCTAGGGCGCCCGTTTGTGTCTATCATGGCCAGTTTCACCGCCCCGTCTACCATGGGCTCTCTTCCAAGGAAGGGCCCGCCTACCATGGACAGCTTTCCCAGGGAGGTCGAGCTCATGATCCTCAGACACCTGGACGACGAAGACGACAGAGACGCTTTGGTCGCGGCTTATCCGTCCTGGAAAGATTCGGTCGAATATGACAACATGTTTACGACGGTCAAGGTTGACCCTTCGGGCGTGCATAGAATGCCCCTGAATGACTTCCTTGGCCTGTTCAACGAGAGCAACATTGAACAGCACAAGTTGCTCCACAATGTACAGGTCGGATTCCATCTCGACGGAATCCGAAATCACGGCTGGCTTATCGAAAACGAGCACGTCAAGGAAGTCGATTCCTGGCTGCTCACCCAGCCAATCCTGGATGTGCTAGAAACACTGCACCAGGTTGAAACCCGAGTGCAGGCCAGCATGGGGGCCGGTGCCTCCCCCTTCCGTCTGTCACTGAATAACTGCACGGAGCCCAGCCCGTCATGCGACGTCACCAACTTTAAAATTGTGACGGACATGTGGAAGCATGAAATGTCCCTGATGTTCCGCCAACCCCTCAGTCTAAAGCTTGGACGGCCTATGCGCAACGGGCCGGCACCTAAGATGCTACAGTCGGTGCATGACTTCGTCTTCAAGAACAAGGGGGTCCTTCGCTACGTCGATCCGAGCAACGTTGTGGCGATAGCATGGCTGATGTGCAACCTGCGACGGCTCCGGCTCGAGTTTGACGAGGGCGAGTTTTGGACCGCGAAGTCAAAGGAGAATTGGAGGAGTAGTAAGTCCGATGAATCCCACCAATATCGTGTTGGTAAAGACCCAGAAACTAACCCCTTTCCCTCCTCTGCTTTAGGCATCTGCTGCGCGCTGGCTTTCCCTAGACTTGTCTCGGACGGCATGCCCCTCCTCGAGGAGGCGCACGTCCACATCGGCCGCCGCTCGGTAGCGGACAACGAAGACCTCCGGGACCGCCAACCCGATTCCCAGTACTACCGGTGGCACCATGCAGAACACGTAATCATCACCTTCTCTCGGTGCTCTTCGCTCACCTCCCTGAAACTGACCGGGCAGTTTTGCCTTTCCCCCTTGGCCTTCGACGTGCTCCCTGACCCCTTCAGAGGCGGCGCACGCCCTTTCCCTGCGCTACGCAGCTTCCGGCTCGACTTCGGGCCCGATTCCACGGGGGCGAGGTGGTACTTTGACGCGGAAACTCCGTCGTCCTCGTCCGGTCGGCCCTTCCTGCCGTGCCTGCAGAAGCGCACGCGGCCCAACGACGACATGATGAACCAGCTCCTCCTGAGCGCCGCGAAGGCTGTGGCCAAGATGAGGATGATCGAGACTTTCTCCCTTTGCTTGAGAGACAAGTTCTACTTTGAGGCCACCAAGCGGACATTAGAGGTGCACTTCGTCTCCAAGAACTGGCGTCACGGAGGCTGCCCGACGCTGACCTTCAAGCTGGGCAACTACGTCGATACCTGGCGCCCGCGTGCTGAAGTTCTGGCAGCGTGGAAGGCAGCTGCTGGTAGGATGGAGAGGAGGTTGGAGATTTTGTTCGAGGAGTGAACAAAGGGGAGGGACGGAGATGCGCCGTTTGGTCGACGGGCGCCTGGTTAATAATCCAGCGATGGCAGATCCCAAGTCAGTATCGCTGAGATCGACAAGACCAATTGTCTGAGTATTTGTTTTCCCCTTATCCCTTCTTTTCCCTCCCTTCTTTTTCCGGACCACAAAGTCAAGTGGTGAACGGGGTGTCCTCTTGAACGTATCTTTCGACTCTCAACAACACCTTCGCCGCCGGCGACAAAGGGAGTGTACAACGTTCAGAAGAATCGGACGACAGCAACACTTCATGTTAAGGACTACACTTTCACTTTCAGAACCCCCGGGGATTTTGATGGCCTGCGCACAACCCACACCTGTGGCCTGTACCATTCTGTACTACTACTATCTGCGAGCGCTGCGCCCGAAGCTCGAAGTGGCACACGAACCGCCGACATTTGGATTGATGCCGAAGCCCTCGACTGGACCGTGCAAGACTACAGCCCCTTCGACCATCTTCTGAAGCCGCTCCGGAACCATGTTCGGTTTATTGTTCGAAAGAACTTGTGTTCGAGTACTGTTTGCAAGAACATGTCTGGTTTTCTGTTCAGGCCGAAGGCTGGTTTCTCTGTTTGCGAGAACAGTTCTATGGCCGTTGGCCCTCCCGCCATCTTTTGGAGGTGAGGGTCGGGCCGCCGAAGCGCTCCGGAACCATGTTCGGTTGTTGTTTGAAGGAGCATGTCTGGATATTGTCCCGAAGGGGGCATTGTCTGATTATCGTTCGAAAGAACGTGTCTTGAGTATTATCATCGAGAACCCCGATACCGGGTCGTCATCAGCCCGGTCAGCGACTCAGCCCGCGAGGATTGGAAAGGCGACAAGGGGAAGAGCGGGTCCCAACTCCGTCGACGCGGCGACGCCCGGGCACCTTCTGGAACCTGTACGACCGCTGGTTCGCCGAGCATTGTCGGAATATTGTTCGAAAGAACATTGTTCGAGTATTGTTCGCAGGAACATGCTTGATTCTCGTTCGAACACAACGACAGCAAAGGGGAGGGACCTTCTGGAACCTCTATGACCGATGATTCGCAGAAAGTTGTGGGGGTATTGTTCGAAAGAACATGTCTGGTTATTGTCCCGGAAGGGCACTGTCGGATTACTGTTCGAAAGAACTTGTACAGAATTCTCTGTGTGGGACTCTCGGTACGAAACCCTCCACAAGGGGATGTTTGTATTGGGATCTCTCTATGCGGTCGTTGTGCCGCCTTCGGTAGGAGAGACGAAAGGCATAGTGGTCGGCTACCGGTGCGACTCGCCGGCGGACAGGGCGGAAGATAAACACGGCATGATCGGCATTGTTGATGTCCGCGATCGGCTCTGCACCAGACTCCTGCCGTCCACGCGCGATGGCCGACCGATGGACTTGCGCGCAGAGCTAGATGAGCTCAAGGAGGAACTGGCCTCCGATGTCGGGGAGAGGGAAAGAAGGTGTGTTCGAGTATTGTTCGCAAGAACATGTTGGTTTGTTGTTTGAGGGAGGCCCCGTGAGATGATGCAAGATATAGAAGGCGGGAAGGAAAGGGGTTCGGGAGGCAAGGCGACAAGGCCGCGACGATTCGACGACCGGACTGGACCGCCCCTGCAAATCATGAAGATGGTGGCACGGTTGCTCGGTGCGGGCATCACGGCTATCTTGCTTAATCCTCACGGAAAGGGTCGTCCAGAACATCTTTGAGAACTGACTGGAGGTGGAAAGTCGGAAGAGGACAAGGTAAGACTCACCATGCTGCTGAAGATTCTCGGATGGTGGCTAACAGTTGAGGGCCCAGCGGCCATGCAGGAAGTTTTAAATTTTAAAAACACCAAAAAGAAAAGGGAAAAAACAGAAGAAAAAAAAGAAGAAAAAAGAAAAGCAAATACGAATGCCGCAACATTACTGCCACATTGCCAGTTCAGAAACCGGTGCATCTGGCACCTTTGCGAACGCGGGCCTCCTCCCGACCGGAGTCGGGCTGTTGACCTCGTGGTTCGCTGTGCTGCTAAGTACAGCATGGACCGGGTCGCCTCGAAAGAGATCGACCGAGGCCTCGACCTCGCCGCTACACACCCCAGACAGGGTTGTCAGAGTATTGTTGGGAATAGAAGACGGCCGGGGGCTGTCCCCAACGGCAATAACATCAACGGCTCAGGAGATTCGGGCTTCGCCCAGACCGCAGCGGCGACGACGGCGACAAGAACTTCAACCAGGCCGTTTTCCGTGGACCCGTGGGCCCGTGTCTAATGGACACGCTCCAGCCAAGCGCTTGGAGCAGCGGGCACTCATGCAGAAGGAAGTTGTCGGACAAGACTGTACGATCAGTTGTACGAGTACATGTTCACCGCATGTCAAGAACGGCGACCACCGCACACCCAACGGGAGCCAAGGCGCCAGCGAGGAGATGATGAAGTCGAAATCGAGATTGAAGAGCTTGTCCTGCCGGTCACCATGACTGCCTCCACCGCCATGCGTTATCATCTGCTCAACCAAGAAGTGTTCGACGCTGGCTACAATTACTCGGCGCTCCCGGCCCACGCTCGGGATGCGGTCAAGTCGGCCAGCAGCTCTTGAAGCGGATTCGCAATCTTGGAGACCACATGAAGCTGCTGCGGGACAAGGTGTTTTGCCAAGGGGAACCGTTCGTCGGGCCAAAGACCGTGTACAATCAGTTGTACGAGTACTATGTACTTTGTATACCTATGTCCACCCCATGTCACGGTCGGCAAGAGCCGCGCCCAACGAGGGCAGAGGCACTAGATTGTCGGACAGGATTGTCGGACAAGATGGTACGATCACCTGTACATGCTTCAACTTGGTGGATGAAGATGAAAAGAACGAAGACCTCTCCCCTCTGCCTTCCGACGGGGTACATATCGATATACCGACAGAAGGCTTATTCCGGAACCTTTCAACCTCGACACCAAAGTGACGTTCCACTTCGAGACACTTTGTAGTTGGAACAGGAGCGAGGAGGAGAACCTCCGCAAGTTTGTCAGCGCACCGTGGGACATGTACACCAAGCACATCTTTCCCAAAATCGGCTATGTGGCCAAGGCGGAGAGGGTGGAAAGCAACGACTTCTACGTCCCCCAGACGCGCCAGCGGGGCTATCTGGTTGCCATGGACGTCCAGTACCTATTCTGGCATCGGCTTGGCCACCAAGTTTGCCGCTGAGTGGCTTCTCATGCTGCTCAAGTGCAAGCGTCTGCCGGGTTAACCCTGATGAGTCGGAGGAAGAGGAGAATGATGGAGATGTGGGAGTACATTGTCGACAACATTGTCTGCCAAACACGCGCAGCATTTTTAATGTTTCGGAAGAGCCAGAGAGTCGGCAAGAACCTTCTTTGCCACTAAGAAGCTGATCAACGACTTGCGGCCGAGGTTCGTTCTGTTGGAGAATGTCTGCGGCGCACCATGGCCACCGGCACCCCTCCCTGTCGGCAGCTGCACGTATTCGGCTTGACTGTTTACACTCGTTCATCATCACCACACTCGTTCAATCTTGCTATGGAGGGGAACGAAGTTCCGATGTCAGCAACTGTCGAGTTCTGTACTACTAGAGTATTCTTCTGTACCCATACACCCTTGTCAGAACACCGATGTCATCAGCAACTTGTTGCTTTTGTTCATATGCCCCATGTCAAGATATCTGGGGGCTCAGCCGTCGCAGTGGGCGAACACCTGTGCGCACAATTTCGAAGCGCCTGTAGTGGCCCACCAAACCGGCATGGAGGTCTACCGCCAGGAACGCATGCCAGGGTGGGGATCGGGTAAAGATTTAGGTTTTCATTATCTGACTACTCGGCAAAAGGATGGGTTTGTTGCTTGTTTTCTGTACAACTATCCTCTTCATGTTCAGATACACTGCCCTCCGGGGTATTAGAGCGGAGGCAGGCGACAGGGCCGGGGGGGGAAGTTAGCTTGTTTCGCCAGGCAGTTGTTTGTTATGTCGTGTCGTGTCATGAATGTCATGGGCTGGTTCGCTACTAGGATTACAATAGTACTTGTGTTCAGCACCAGGCTTTGTGCCAGTGGTATCCAAATAAGTTTCTCAATGTGTTGAACAACATGTATCCTTTCATGGCTGGGTCACGGGCAGAATATCATGGCTTTGGAGCTGGCATTGATTAGCATTGGGTGACTTCATCTTCTGGTGGACTAGTAAGAATGCATGTGTTTACACTCACTCCGAGTAGGGCTCAAACGTGACCAAATATCGTCTTAGCTGCTCACACTCACTCAATGCACGATACCGATCCTCTTGTCCTACGGATCCTAGCTTGAACATGCTATCGATGGAGGTGCATACACTTGTGACTCCGAGTGTGGGCTGTCCAAGAACAGCAAGGACATCCAGGCGAGCCAGGCTGCTACTAACACCACAACTCTGAAAGAGCATTCCTCAAACCTGGAAGTCCTCAACATAACCAAATCCTCCACAGACCCCAATGATTCAGATATGCATGTGGCACTCTTTCGAAGCGGTGGCACAGCCATAACAAATATGTACTAACCTAAGCTACTAGTATGAAGTCACGTGAATCCCTGGCTTAAGGCGCCGGGCTACAACATCCGGCAAGTTGAATGCTGATCCGAATTAGCGATGCTGTGTCCCTTAGTCTCAGTGGCATCTAAAGAGGCATGGATGCGCGGGGTGTTTCGGAGCTGGCAGTAGCTGCCGAAGGATGCGGAGAAGGGATGGTTCAACAGCTGATCGCGGGGGATCGCGGGGTAACCAAGACGGTTCTCTGTTTCCGTCTTGGAGCTTATAACGTCTTGGGATTCGGAAACAAACAACCCAATGCAACATGCGTGCTTGTGAGCAACCCGATCAAACCATATCCTGCTCCATCCCCATACGCAATAGTACTGACACAGCATGTCATTTGCAGAAGAAGCCAAGTCGGACGTGCCGACCCTCCCCGGCACACACTCGGGCATACCCGTCTACCTGCTCGAAAAGGCGCGCAAGGCAAAGGAAGGCATCTTTGAAGGGCGGACAAAACCGCTGAATGACAGACAACGACTGCCAGTGGTGCCGCAGGGTATCGAGAGAGATGACTTTCTCAGAGCGCTAGCGGAGCTGAAGAGCGAGTTGGGCGACGAGCATGTCGAGGTCAATGACAAGCCGCTCAGAGATGGATGGTGAGGTTCAAGTCTTGATATCAGTGGGGGTTTGTTGTTTGTCTTGTTCATTTCAGCTGATACTAGAGAGAATAGGTACATGGAACGTTAGTCTGCAACACCTGTCTATGAAAGCGTAGAGCAGCACCCCCTAACCTAAGCAGACCCGAACACCCACGACTCCATGACAATCCTCGACGAGGAGGAATTCGTCGCCTCCGCCATCGTCTACCCCGGCAGTACCGAAGAAGTGCAGCAGATCGTGCACTGGGCAAACAAGCACCGCATCCCCATATTCCCCATCTCCATGGGGCGAAACCGTAAGCATAATTTATCCTCCACCCGCTGCTCACCCTGCTACACAACGAACCTCATGCACTAATAAGAGAACCATTTCCAAAAAAAAAGTGGGATACGGCGGCGCAGCCCCCCGCGTCCGGGGCTCCTTGACCGTCGACCTGGGCAAGCGCATGAACAAGATCCTCGACATCAACCCGGAGGACTACACCTGTCTGGTCGAGCCGGGCGTGTCCTTCTATGCACTGTACGAGGCGCTCAAGGAAAGGGGTCTGGAAGAACACATGTGGATCGATACGCCCGACCTCGGCGGGGGGTCGGTGATTGGGAACACGGTGGATCGCGGCGTCGGATACACGCCCTATGGTGATCACTGGGCCATGCACAGCGGTCTGGAGGTCGTCTTGCCCACTGGGGAGGTCATCCGCACCGGCATGGGTGCGCTACCGGGAAATAATACGTGGCAGGCCTTTCCTTATGGGTTTGGGCCGTACTCGGAGTGAGTGTGTTTCTTTGGGGATGTGCTCGTTGGGTTCTGGTGGTGTGCTGACAAGCCGGTGCAGTGGCATCTTTTCGCAGAGCAATTATGGGATTGTCACAAAGATGGGTGCGTGTATTCCTTTCTCGGGGGGACCCCTTGCCTGCTCTGGCTCTAATCTGCTTCCAACACCAGGCATGACTTTGATGCCCAACCCTGGCGGTTATGAGGCCTTTGTAAGTCACTGCCTACCTTTATTCTCTTTGCTACCTACCTGATACTCGTCGTCTAACTACCGTACCCACAGATGTATACGTTCGCAAAGGACGAAGACCTGGAGCAGCTGGTATGTCTCTCCCATGACAACTACTAGTACTACAAAGTACTACTTACTAATACTCCCTGACACAGATGGAGATCATCCGCCCGCTCCGCATCTCCAACATCCTCGAGAACGTCGCCCAAGTCCGCCACGTCACCCAATCCCTCGCCGCCCTCGGCCAGCCGCGCACACAGTTCTACCAGGGCACCGGGCCCGTCCCACAAGAGATCATCCACGCCGCGGCAGCCAAGACGCCCGTCGGCGACCACAGCTGGGCCTACTACGGGATGGCCTACGGCCCGCCGCACATCCGCGCGCACAAGCTAGCCCTGATAGACACGGAATTCAAGCGCATCCCGGGTGCGAAGCGCATCGACCCGGCCACGCTGCCGGCGGACGAGTACTTCTGGGCGCGCGAGCGGGTGGCGCGGGGGGTGCCCGACATCCACGAGCTGCGCTGGGTCAACTGGGCACCCAACGGCGCCCACATCGCCTTCAGCCCCGTGTCCCCGATTCGCGGGCGCGACGCGATGCGGCTGTTTGCGCTGGGCAAGCGCGCGCACGAGCAGCATGGCATCGACTTCTTCCCGGCCTTCTGCGTCGGGCTCCGGGAGATGCATCTCATCGTTGAGATTGTCTTTGATAGGGCTAGTGTGGAGGAAAAAGAGCGCGCGCTGGGGTGCTTGAGGGATCTGGTTGACGAGGCGGCACGTATGGGGTATGGGGAGTACAGGACGCATCTAGTGCTTATGGACCAGGTGGCGGGCACGTATAGCTGGAATGATGGTGCGCTGATGAAGTTCAATGAGCGGCTGAAGGACGCGCTGGATCCGAATGGCATTCTGGCACCGGGGCGGTGTGGTATCTGGCCGAAGAGGTATCGGGGACGAGGGTGGGAGATGACTAGGGAGAGTGGCGGCAGGTCGGAGGGGGATGGTGTTGAGTCTGTGTGAGGATGCATGGTCTTTCCAGCTGTCTTTGTTTAGATATGGGTGTTTACAAAACAAAGGCAAATGAGCATTCGGAGTTGTTCTTAGTTATGTTACCTACTATGATGTTGTGCGTGCCGCTGCGTGGCACTTGGTGCAATGCTCACGTTAGGGATGGATCACGGGTTCCAGAACAAGACAACTGCCCACACAAAGGAAATATTTACCCTCCTTGCCCATCTTTACTCCAAATCCCGTCTTTTTAACCATGACCGACAAGCACGGGATGAGGCAATGCCAGGTTGTTGCAGATTAATAGCGCGAAATTAAAGCGCGACCTGCGTCGCGACGCGTCACGAAATATTGCACAGCCAATCCCGCGCCGCGGCGCGTCCAAATGCGGAAGGTGAACAATGGGGCTGTTTCACTGTTAATTACGCCACTTGCACTTCAACGTGTTTACCTTACGTCTTCTCAGAAGCCCGATTTGAAGTGAAGATGCCGAACAATAGCACAGCACTTTATTAGCACCATGGTAAAGGATCAATGTTCAATTGTGAATGGGAATAGTAGGGAGTACGGACAAGTACAGACATTCTGGCCTTTTCCTAAGCTCTACCAAGCTGAAATGAGATATGTGTGCGCAAACCATGTGACCAACTCCAACCAGGACAGGAGAATCGGAGATGCTGTGCTGCACTGCGTGCATGGGAAGTCGGAAAAGGCTGAGATCTGGGTGAATTATAAGACTACCAACCACACTCCGGTTGCAACAGGCAATTAGGGTCTAACAGATCTTCATGAACACCACTTCTGTACTATACATGACAAGCTAACATACATTGCTTCCTTAGACTTTTCTCCATGCAAGTCGCACAGACATCCCCGGGGTAGTCCACGGCCGCGCCGCAGATGCCAGACCCAACAGATCATGATTGCTGCACCGGATGAGGTAGTCGATGCTGTGGGGGACCGTCACTGAAAGGGATTCCAGGCTGCTATAGCAATGGACCCTTGCGAAGGATGTCATCCAAGGAATCCAAACGCGTGCTGTAGATCGCCATGGGGTGGAACCGGTTGAACCGTTATGACGGCATCGACGTTCGAGCTCCCAAGGCTCCGACTCCCACCCTATCCATCAGTTTCGAGAAAAGAAAACATGCAAGTTTCGGATCGGAACATCCCCCGCAACCGGTCATTGTTGACTTCTCAGGTCAACCCAAGAGAACATTTTCCGCTGCTCGTTTTTCAGCCTCATTCTAAATCCAACGGTCAACTGGAAAGCTGGAATTTGGAAAGCCACCGATCAACTGGGAGGCTGGAAATGCACCGGTCAACTGGAAGGCTGGAACAGAACTCGAACAGGATGATCCTCAGAAAAAAGCCCATACAATAAAGGACAACAGAAATAAAAGAGGAAGCAAACGGATCTTGCACAAAGACATCCTCGTGTTGCCGTGGTCCACATCCAGGTCGTGGTACGTCGACGACTTGCCCGACACTACAATGCTGTAGGCGCCCTGGGCAGGGTCTGCGGGCCGCTTTTCTCCGGTATTGTTCCTCAGGTTCTCCCATTGGATACTTGCGTAATCCTGCATGAGCAGCGTCATCGTCCTCTTGTATATTCGGGAATAGAGCTCCCCGGTTGTGTACAGGTCCCTGCGTTCCTCTGCGGATAGTGACTTCCTCTCCGCGCGCACTGCGGTCGCCAGGTGGAAATTCTGCAGGGATTACACGTTTTGGGCGACCTCTGCGTGCTGTTCGGCGGATAAGAGTTCCCCTGAGTCCTCGGCTCGGAAGAGGTAGACCTTGCCTACGCTGTCCTTCGGCCCGTTCTTTCCGTCCAGGAGTTGTCGGCCCGCCCGACGGTCCAGCCTGTAGCGGCCACCAGTCGCCTGGTCACCATCTTTGGGAGGAGAGGTAGAAGAGTCCGTCGGCGTGGAGAGGTCTAGGCTGTTGGGAGATATCACGGCAGTGCTGCTGGATGCGGAGGCGTAGGCGTTTCTTGTAGGGTTCGTCCATCATCAGATACCGTCGTAGTCTTAACCAGTTCCTGAATCCATCAGTCAGTTCCATGAGAGGGCGCCAGCCCCCCCAATCATCGAGGACCTCGTCAATGTGTATCTGCCTCCCCACAGTGGAAAGCAAGACAGACCCCAGGCGAACGAGGCATTCTCAGCTGCCTTCAACACGGAGATTCTTTTGGAAGAGCTTTACTTGTCTTGCGAGGTCGTGCTTGATCGGTTGTCTGGTACTGACGGCATCAATCACAGGTAAGGGAATCGTCGGGTCTTCCCTACGGCTATACTCAATCGCCGCTCCTGATCGGAAGCTGATACGAGTTGTCCGAACGATCTTGGACACAGTTTGTCAAGTGAACGCTCTCCTGTCTGTGCGCTCGGGATGCCGAGACATGAAGGTACACATAGAGGTACCAACAGCAGGTGCAATCGGACGAGGGGACCGAAAGGAGAAAAGACGTGCCTCCTAAGACAAGATATCTTGGATGTCGTCAAAGGTTAGCCACCGTTGCTGCTAGTCCCAGCCAAGGGAAGATACCAGAGGGTGAAGACGTGATCTGATGGAGGACTATGCGTTCAAGAACTTCAGTCAAGACGGTGTTGTTTAGTTCCCCGTGTGTTGCTCCTTGTGGGGGTGGACATCTAGAGTGCCACCCGTGTGTCCGGGCCGGAGCCCGGAGTTCTGGCATTGGCGCCGCGGCCGGGTCTCCTCGCCCCCATCCCTGACCTGCCGCCTGGACGGCGAGCGTGCACAGAGCTGCGCCAGGTCACCCTGGCCCGGCACGCGACGCAGGAGGAACTTGTAGTAGGTGCCTCCACGGTCGTTCGTCTTCTTGATCGCGCGCACGACGGTGTACAGCCCGTCATACCGGATCCCGATGTTCAGTCATTGAACAAGTGCCAAGCCGACGGTGTGGCAATGGCCGCTGCTGATACCCTTCTGTCTGTCGGAGAGCTTGATTGCCATGACCGAAAGTCTGTCGCTTGGACCTGACCTTGGAAGGAGTGATGCTTCGCCCAAGGAAGGCGTCTGAAATTGGGCAACCGGCCCCACAGGCGACCTGCAATGGCAGCATCCTTGTACCACCATCCTTCTTATGGGGAGCAGAGACGATAGCGCTGTGCCATCGCTCGTCCTCGCGTGCCTGCCTCGTAGCTCTTCCGGGCCGCCTCCTCGATAACGCGAGGGTCAGCCTTAGCTTGAGGGTTCTTGTGCAAAGACTGCGACCTTTTCCCCGGCGTACTGCTGAAGAGTGTAACCGGCTGACTCCAAAGTCTGGGTTGGTCGACACGTGCATGTGTGCAGGACTTCTTGCCTTTGGTTTCTTTCCACCCGATCGAATATCGGGGCATCAGTCCCCGAGCAGATGGTTGCCACCATCAACTGGGACAGCCGATAACTGTAGCAAAGCTTGGTTCCCACAGCTAAAGCATGTATTAGTCAATGTCGAGAATGGGCAGACCCTTCCTCGCACACGGGGGAATGTAACTTACGTTGTGGAAAGCATCAGCCATCAATGCCAGACGTCGATCTCAAAGCTGAAAAGCTGCTTGAACTGGAAGCCAGCATCAAAGCATTCGGTCAAGTCCCGAACGTGCCTCCAGGCTATGTCGCCATTGTCCCCGGCCCTTATACGTATATCGGCTGTGGGGCTCGGTGAAATGATTCACTTCTCAGCTAGTTTCTGTGTCAGTATTATCTAAACAATGTCATGCAGCTGTCATTGCCCCGGGGTGATTGTTCCAAGCGGGGGTGTGTATCCTAGGACGTACCCTTCTTGGTGTTGACACCCGTTTCCGCGGCAACGCTGTCCCAATCCACATCGGGTTTGGACTTCAATTCTTGAGCTTTCCATTGACACTCTAGGTCAATCTATCCTGATTGCCGGCGTCGTGTCATCTGGACACTTCGGCTGTTAGCTCTCCATCCACCGGCAGTCATGTCAGTCATCGCAGGAAGACTGCTTACCATCAATGAAGAGCCAGGTCGCGTTTATCAGTAGCGCTGGACTCCGAGATGAATATCCGGAATTTCCCCTTGGCGGTGCCGACGCAATTATCGGGTGCGTCGCCGTCAGGGGTGATTTGTTCCGTGACGCCTTGCGCAATAACTCCAACAAGCATCACCAGCAACGGGAGGAAGTTGCCGGCGGTTCACCATCAATGGCTAGGCTTGTGCGATGACGTGATGTCTTTGACGAGAGTGCTGGGCCAAGTGTTGGTAGAGGTGGGTGGAAGTCCGCTGGCGTCGAGTTTGTCTAGACTGCCTTGGTGCCAATATTGCAATGCTTTCTAGCGTGATTATAATGACTCTTTGAAAGGTTTGCTGCCATTAGCTGCTTGTCAAAGGATAGGTAGTTGATGATTGTAATTGGCAAACAGAAGAAAGTAGATGGAACTGAAGAGATTTGTTCTGGGCAAAGTTGTAGAAGGGATGGGCATGGGAGCACGACAAACTTGGTCAAGGGGACAACGGCTATCATCGTGCCTTCCGTATTGGGCAGGTTTGGCTATTGTATGCTGCCCAGAGACCCGCCCCCTGACATATAGGCGACAAGCATAGCTGACAGTAGAGTGAACGAAAGAAATAGGTTAATTACCCGTGTCTTTATGATAGCTCGGCCATGTTCCATCTTCCCCCAGTCACGACGGGATAATTAGATGGTATAGATAGACTGTGATTGCGTTACTATGCTCCCTGCAAGTTGGTTGTAAGAGCAAAGTCGGTCGACCTCCTGAACTATTTGCTCCCCGCCAGCCGCGTAGCCCCGAGATTTTCCCACAGCATTGACAATTGCACGCAAAGTTCAATGTTGAATTGCTGATTACCCCGCGGTTCCAAAAACTATAAAGTGCCTCGATATCGACCGGCTTTCTCTCTCCTCTTCCCACACCAAACAACAATCTTGAGAACCCAAAACTCAAGATACCTTCCAACACAGCAACCATGAGGTAAGACGACACGGTTATCTTGCTCAATCCCCTCGTCTTCATCTCTTTGCTTCTCCTCTTGGCTACTGCCCTTTGCTATCTTGGTTACGACTAGCAGCAATGGTGGCTAACCCTCGGCTGCTTCGCAGCGATAACAACAACATATTCGACTTCGGCCGCCGTGAGTATTGCCCAGCCTCCCAGCAGTCACCAGCCTGGAGAGCACCACTGACATCTCCCCTCACAGACTACGTGGCATTCCTCCCCATGGCGGACCAGGTGACTCACTTGGTCAACCATTTGATCGCCTCGGGCTACGACTGGGGCAGGATGTATGCAGAGGCGGTGTCGGGCCGGTTTCTGGCCACACATGGCACCATTCACGAGCGATGGTATAATGCCATCGTCTCGGAGCTTGTGTGGCGGGGTAAGTGTTCATTCTTCTGTTCTTCACCTCGCCCGCACGTCCTCCTCTGATCACCATACTCTTTCTTTTTTGTTTTCGCATCCCCGCTCTCTCATCATCCTTCTGTTTTTTGTAGACGCGTTATATCAGACGCCTTCCATCAGACGCCTTCCACCAAACTCCCGCGTCAGACTCTCCATCATACTATCGTCCTTTGATCATGGCACCCCATCGGACTTCTTTGATTAGCATCATTCTGTCATTGACTCTATTTGATTATCCCTCCTGCACACTCACTGTCCGGTCTTCAACCTCATTGTCCAGTCCCCAATCTCCTTGTTTTGTCTCTCATCCACCAGCCGTCTTGGTACAAGAGAGCGTGATACTGACCCGGCTGTTGGTACAGTCGTCGGGGCTGCCCTCGCGGGCATCCCGTAACCAACGGCAACCCAGACGCTGTCGGTTGCCTGGATATTGTACGACTATTTCAAGAGGAGGAAGAGTTTGCGGGGCTGAGAATAGGTGGAGAGGATGGGGGAAGCCGAAGAGGTAAGATGTCGTTTGTTAACCTTGGTCATTTTGTGTGAAGGAGCTAACCACCCCAATCTTTGTCCTCAGGGGGTGCTTGCCAACATTGACAAGCAGGGGCTTTCGCCCTTGTTTGCTAAGCTTCCCTGGAGATCCGCCGGAAGATTTGGCCACGGGGGCGGTAAGGCACTCATCTGCGACAAGTGTTTTGTGGTCATGCCATCAGCTAACACATTTGACCAAGTAGAACAAACTACCAATTTCAGTTCGACGCGACCCGGGGCCCAGGCCCCGGGGGTAGCTCGGCGTCACTCTGTCGGCCCCAGACAAGAACGTCCAGTTCCTCCTTGAGGTTAGACACACACTCCATATTGAACCCTAATTAATTGCTAACTCACATCGTGCTATCAACAAAGGCTCCCTGTGACGACGCCCATCGAGGTCATGGAGCGGGAAGATGTCGCAATGGGCGACGCCGTGGACGAGAAGTCGCTTACCGGCCGGTATCCGAAACGTAAGCGACCTCTCGTCAACGGCAGTCTATACGCAAGGACCCCGTGACCGGCCAAGCGCGCGGATACGGATTCGTCCGTTTTAGTGACGAGGGCACCAGCAGCGCGCCCTGATTGAGATGCAGGGCGTGTACTGTGGCAATCGCCTATGCAGTCGCCCCTTCGACCCCATCAGGCTGAAGAGGAAGAAGTCCCGTGGCCCCGCGACCTCACCTGGAGTTGAGAGAATCAAAAAATGTCGGACCGTCGCATCACCCGTAAGGGCTGCGGCGGCGGAGAAGGATCTCGATCTTCGATGATCCGAAGTTCTCTTCAAAAGGAAAGCCCTTGTCTTCAAGGAAGAAAAAATCAACAAAAAAAATCGAAAAAAGAAAAAACTGCGGCATTGGTTCCATTGGCATGTCAGGTTCCGGTTGTGAAAACAACCTAAACCTCACCTGCCAATGGAACCAATGCCGTAGGACAAAAGAAATTCAAAAAGACAAACCCCCCCAAAAAAGACAGGAAGGAGGGGATTGGTGCGAAGATTTTGTCAGTTTATGTCAACAGCCCATCCGAGGGTGGTAGGGAGGGTGATGGGTTGGGTCACACACAGTCGTCTGCCGGTTCTTCCGCGGTGGGGGGAGCTCGAGGTCGTCGTCCGGCTCAGGGGGGACCGCCAACAACCAGGGGAGTGTGGTCGGCACTCAGGTAGTCCCCTCAACACAGCCAAGAGCGTCTGTAACGGATGCAAGCAAGCGTCGTACTGTTCGAGGGAATGCCAAGTTGGCGACTGGCCCCTGCACAAGAAGGTCTGTAAAGACCTCGCGGGCGACGGGGTGGACGACAAGCGACCGAGCCCCGAGCATCGGCGTATTCTCTTCTTTCCGATGCATAGCAGCGAGCCCGAGACCAAATGGTCCGTCTCTTCAACGACATGGTTAACAACCAGTTCATCTTCTTCCGCCGACGATGTGGATCTCTTTGCGAAGGAGCTGTGCCAGATGGGTTCAGAGACGAAGACGGCAGTTATCTCCCACAGAACTTGAAAACATTATTGCCACCCGCTTCGACATCCTGTTAGTCAGGCCCCCGTTCAGACTTTGGATGCTTTGCGATGCGTGTGGAGGGTGTGGTAGAGATGGTGCGCAGGAAGGAGAAGGATAAAGAAAAAGAAACAAAGACAAAACGGGCCGGGGCAGGGGCAGGGACGGGATGCGCAGGAACTTACCACAGGAATGAAGAAAGAGATTCCACAACAGCACAAGAGCCGATGTGAGTGGAGGATATTGTGCGAGCGAATGTTCACCGAGTGGACGCCCCAGGAAGGAGGATGTGGGAGTGTTCAGAGTCGCCACACATGGTGGAGATCACTGAATGATGGCCCTTGGTCCCTGCCACGGCGATGTTGTCGTCACAGGTGAAGTAAGTCAGCCCTTCCCTCATCCTAGCACTGCCTTCGTCTTTGGTCACCGCCACTTTGCTATTGGCATCACAGTCAGCTTGCGATCAAGCATGTCTCTGGCTAGTGTCAAGCTGACTTACCTTCGCCTATGTTGACCTAGAACCTCCCGGCTGACCACCACTCCCAGGCAGTTCAAGAAGAAGTCTGGTTCCCAGTCGAAGAAAGGACACCGAGGCATCGCTCGGTCCCGCGGCCAACGGCACCAATGGCACCGCCAACCTCATTCGCAACAATGACAACAACACCCAAGGCCGCGCCGCCTCAACCTTGCTCGACAACGTGGAACGCCTGAACAAGGTGTGGGAGCGACAAGGAATACCCTGCACAGCGAAGAACACCCAGGGTCCCAGCATATGAACTCGTACCCGGAGTACATGGGCTACCAAGCAGCCCCAGGTTTCCGCGAGGCCTCTCGGCAGCGCGATTCAGACGATAACCTTGAGAAGTTCTTCGGCAGTCTGAAGCGCCACGAAGTTGACCCCGGTGGCTGTGACGAAGGGACCCAAACTGCATCCCATGACGAGAGTGTGAAGGGTTGCACTGGCTGCTCGCTTATGCCTATTCATTCGACTGTCAACCTGCAGAAGACAAAGGAGGAAAGGAGGTGGAATGCCCTCGGTGGGGTCAATAATACTCACCGCGGCACATGGACTGAATTCCATGAAGACAACACTCAAAAAGAAAAAAGAAAAAATCAAAAAAGAAAAAAAGAAAAAAAAAAAGAAAACAAGAAAAAAGAGAAAAAAAGAAGGAACTGTTTGAGCGACCGCAGGGATCTGAAGAAGCATGTTTAAGACACTTGCCGAGGAGTCTGTTTTGGTTCGCAGAACAGCCATTCATGAGCGATGGTATGATGCCGCCTTATTCGGAGCAGCGATGCTGCCGAAGATGGCAATGAATCAGATGCAGGGGGGGCCGAGTAGAAGGGTCCAAATTGGATCTTGACGCAGTCAACCCGGCTGCGGAGCGTGTGCGGACTAACCCCCCCCCCCCCCCGGTCCGAGATCCCTGCGGGCGTGACGTCCCGATGAGCCGGGCCGAAGCCAAGAGACGCCGAGGACACCGCAGCCCGACGCTCGACCAGATCCCCGGCACGCGCCCCGACGAGAAGTCCTGCTCGGGACGTGGAAGAACCCCACGGACGGAGCAGGATCCCGCCGACAAGCACGCCGTGCCGTGTATGGCATCATTGGCTCCAACGATCTGTTCCGCGTGTCAAACTGGCGCGCGAGACTCGGGACGGCGATGTGGTGTTGATGTTGGAGGATGTCAGTTTGGTTTCAAAGATGTTGGGATATTGGTGGTGGGCAGTCAATGTGGTGAGAATGTGTTCGGAGGGATCGGTGATGGGTGATGTTGGAGGAAAGGAGGGACTTCGGAGCAGCTGATGTTGTGGAAAATGAACAAGATCAGGAACGGGCTGGAGAAAGCAGGGGATGAGGAAGCCAAGGGGTTGATGGCTACGATGTTTGGTGGTGTTGGGGGAAAGATGGTGTTGGAGGAAAGGTGATGTTGGGGAAAAGGTGATGTGGTGCTGTGGTGTTGTGGTGATGTTTGTTGGCTTATGGATGTGGGAGTCTTGATGAGGAGGAAAGGGGTGGCGGTGATATGGCGATGTAGTGAGGTTTGTTGGTTCAAAGATGTTGGGGTGTTGATGGGGGAGTTCAGGGGTAAGTTTTTTTTTTTTTTTTTTTTTTGGGGGGGGGGGGGGGGGGGGGTTGGGTGGTGATGTGCTGGACCTGAACGGAAACCCAGTCCGGGGCTCTTCTTGTGTTTTCAAGTTGAACTCTTCGGGCGGTGGCCTGGTAGACCGACGGTAAGGCCCCTTGAACATACTCTTGAGGCCTCTGTTAATTCGATTTCGTGGAACAGGGACGACCGATATGCTGCTGAGTACAGCATGGACCCGTTCGCCTCCAAGAAAACATTCCGATCAAAGAGGAGAAAAAGAAAAAGAAAAAAAGGTTGAAAACAACGAAAACAACAAAAAGATCGTCCGGAGGGAGGGCACTGACCATGAGATGATTAGACCGATGGGAGGCTGCGGACAAAGAACATCAAAAATAAGGTTCAGCTGAGGAGTGTTTGAAGGTTGGGGCCCCAAATTCGACAGAAGAACGGCATCATCGCTTGTCAGCGCAAGGAAATTGCAGAGCTCGAGGGCGACATCGAGCTCGGATTGGGATCTCAACCTGCGGGCATGGTTCGACAACGAGTACAAGATGATGCGAAGCTGTGAGCACGGGGCTCCTCCCGACCGCAGCCGGACCATTGACCAAGTGATCTGGCCATGCTGCTAAGCACAGCATGGACTAGTTTGCCTCGAAGGTTGTAGAGGAATGCCTCAAGATCGGCGGTCCGGAGTTCCTTAGCCGGTACCTGGACCGTGTGTGCGGAGGCCGGGTGGACCGCCCCCGGAACCCCTGGATTGTCATTGTCGGGTCATGTCCGTGCTCTTTTCGAACCGAGGAAGAACTCTGTTTAGTTATTGTCGAGGCGATCGTCGACCGCCTGCGGATCTCCTTGATCTGCACTGTCGGATCTTGTCGGTATTCTTTCGAACCGAGGAGGAGCTTTGTTTGTTTATTGTTGAGGCCACCATGGAATCCCCGACTGTCACCATGTCTGAGGAAAAGATCCAGCAGCCGGACAAGGGCAACATGCCCAAGGATGACAAGGACGAAACGAAGAAGAAGACGAAGAAGGTCCAGTCGTCCGGCAAAAGGTCCACCGGCATGTGCATGTGTCGCTGCCAGAGTTCCTTCCAAGCTCTCTCACATATAAGCTACGTTCGTTCTTTCAAGGCTTCGGCGAAATCACTTACGTCAAGATCCCGCCTGGATCCAGGCACCTCCAGATGGCGACTGTATTGAAGCTGCTATCATCCGCGGAACTGGAGTCAACTCGGATGGCCGCACGCACGGGATCGCCATGCCGAATTAGTCTGGCCTAGACCCCAAAGATCCTGAGGATCGTCGCCAATACTTCGAGGCTCACGGTACCGGTGCCAGTGTCGCGCTTGTCGGCCAAACATCTAGAGCGAGTTTTACGCTCAAACCCAGCGAGCGCTTCCGGTCGTAACTCTTGCTTTCATGAAGGACTACGCTCTCCACGCCATCGTCTGCCGAGGACTCTCGGATTCGATGCCCGTAAGACGGGGAGTTGGACTACTTCATGAAAATCATCGACTTGATGGACATTGTTTATGTTAGCCGGGAAAGGTCAGAGACAGGGTCAGCTGATGTACTGGTAGCTGGAAGTTCTCTAAGCTTAATCAATCTCTTCGAACCCATTTGAGAATTGGTCTCGAGACACATATCTTGTGAACAAAAGTCCCAGGTTGGCTGAGTGTTCAGTCCAACACACAGGTGATAGGCTGATTTACCCCGGCGTGTCCATCCCGTCCAAGACACGCTGCATGCGATGATCCAAGTTCCAGGTCGCCATGATGCCGTGGATTCTGGCAATTAACGGGATGGAAATCTGGGTAACTGCCGGCTGTTCTCAAGGCAAGGACACCTGTAAGTGTTATTACAGCCGGAATATGTTCATATGGGGAAAATAACCTTGTTTTTCGGGCGCTCCAACTGCGGGGTTCTGAACAGGCAACGACCGACTCAATACAAGACTCCAAGGTGCACTCTTCGATGGGCCACAGCTGTTCAGCGTACTGTTGACCCTGTCCACGTTGACAGTGCGATTCTTTAACAAGTGGGAGCCATGGCACGGTTCCAATTCGCAACACTCGTGACTGCCGTGCTGGCATTGGCACGGCAAAGCTTCTTTGTCCTGGCACAGTCACAGTCCAGTGGAGGATGCTCTCCCAGCTCTTTTACGACGCCTGGCTGGCTTGTTGAGAACTTCGTGTCCCAGTCATCGGCAAACGCGACAGTTGCCTCGTATCGTGCACTCAACCGAGCCACGAACGCCTCGGTGGAACTGAGGTGCCAGGTACCCTCCAGCGGTCCAGTAATATCAGGATGGCAAAGGTGTTCGGCGAGGAATCGGACCAGCGCAGACCTTCCTTTTGTCGCGTCATTCCAGACTAACGAGGAGACGGCTTATTTCCTCTTCAATGAGACTTGGGCATGCAATGATGTTCCAGGAAGGCCGTATGTTGCACTCCCTTTCCAGTTTCACTCCTCAGGTAACCACATTTTCTAACAGACTATCAATCGCGACAGGCTTAACTTTACCGCCGAGGGCAACAGCTCTATTCCCATCACCTGTTCAACAAACCAAAGCGGGTCAACGGCCTGCAAGGCCACAAAGCCATTGCTCATCCAAGGCCGCCTCCTGTCCCCTATCAAGATCACTCCGTCTTCTGTCGCCGGACCGACGGGACACGACACTAAAGGCTGCACTGCCAACGCCAGGACACCAGCGTGGGAAGTGGCAGCCACCCAGCTCAACCTGCAGAACGTCACGGGGAAGCTACAAGGAGGAAATGCATTTGTGATCATCAGAAACGAGCACCTCGGATACACCGCGTCATGCGGAGGAGTGTTCACGGGTGGTGCTGCCGGACCACAGGCGATAACCTGTCAGGGCCAGACAGCATACCGGCGGCCAGAAAAATACCAGATCAGCACAGTCGTGCTGTTCGAGCCCGAGACATTCGCACTCACCGTCAACCAGACCTGGTTCTGCGACGATCAAGACCCGTCCCAGCCGTACGCTCTCTCCCCATCTCCCATCCAACTCCATTCCCCATACTATCCACAATCCCACCCAGACTTACTACAGTAGTACTAACCCAAAGATCTACTACCCCTATAAAATTTCTAGAATCGCCATCACAGCAAGCGGAACCACCCACCTCGACCTCGCATGCCAGACCTTCCCGGACTCCTCCACGACGTTCTGCACGGGCGGCACGAGCGGCTCCTTTCCGGGAAACGTCACGTCGCGCGCCATCCTGCCCCCCTATGCGCTCAACGACCCGCTGCCGACGGCCGACGGCAGCTGCACCATCTCGTCGGTGCTGCGTCCGGCGTGGTGGTTCGACAACTTTGAGACCAACACGACCACGGCGCACAGCGAGGTGGTTACGCTCCGGCTGGGGATGGAGTTGCAGATCAGGGGTGATGGGACTAGTAGTGGTGGTGGTGGTGGTGGGGGGGGCAGCCGACGGGGAATTATGCGAATCTTCGTGTGGATGGGGTGCCTGTTGGTAGTAGTAATGGTAATGGTACAGGAGGGGGAGTAGGAGGAGGAGGAGGAGGAGGAGGAGGGGAGGTGGTGCCCTGGAATAAGTGTGCGTTTGAGAGTGTTGGGGATCCCATGCTTGCGCCGACCGGTTGTGAGTTCCGCTATGACATGGCGAGTCGGTTTCTGGGGATGAGGGTGCAGTGGGAGTGTGAGGATCTGGATCCCCGCAGTCCGTAAGTTTCTTCTTTCCTTTGGAGCGGTGTGTTTGGGTTATTACTAGTAGTACTAGTATCTGGCATGCTAACTGGTGATGGTGGCTGTAGGGTCAGCTTCAAGGGGGAAGTGAGGACCTTGCTGCCGGATTATACATGCGTCACGTCGGGCACGAGCATCCGCTGTGCCTCGCCTGATCCGAAGCCTTGGAGGGCGAATGTTACTTCGCTCACGTGGCAGTAGTTTGAGGTATGAGTGGTTGGGGGTTGTGGTTTCTATCAATTTGTTGGGCATACTCCGGGATAACGTTAGATGCTGCCGTTTGACTCCTTGGTCGTGAACTTGTGTGCTATCGGCAGGTCGGGTGGGGGGAAGTTGCTCCGTCTGACTTCCAAGGCAGTTCTTGGCTTCGCTTGCCTGGAGAACCCCATCAAAACTCATCTTGTGAAGTTGCACGCACCTCCCTAATTGGCTCGATGGCGGCCTCCCCTCCCTGTCCAAGAGACTAGTAGGCCAAGACGCTCACTGCTGAGGCTGGGCTGGGCGTCTCCAAACACCATCTCTTGTTGTTGACTAATCCAACACTCCTGCCACGCAATGAGCAGTAAACTTAGTGTGCTTGGCTTCACTCGTCAAGATGGGACGCGACTTTCGATGACGATCTCGGCGGCGAACTGGTATCATAAGCATTCCAAATGCAAAGCCAAAGGCCTCAACGGCGGTTCGACGGAGTGGGTCGGACCGGGCCGGGTGCCACCGTCTACGGCGGGTGGGGTACCGGATGCGGCCATATAAGCAACCAAAGGACTGTACTTCTTCTGACGTTTGACTGCCATCACACTCGCATCTTGGGCCTTACAGACACAATACGAGATTCTCAACTGGACGATCCAGACCATCTAGTATTAAACATCGCAAAAAAGATGCGTATCACTATCGTCCCCGCCTCCCCCAAGACCGGCCAGGCCGCCATCCGATCTCTCCTCGCCGATCCATCCGGCCCCACCGTCCGGGGCGTCTATCGCGACTTGGCCAAAGTCCCTGCCGAATTCAAGTCGAACCCCCGTTTCGAAGCGGTGCAGGGCAATGTAGATGAGCTGTCGACCCTCGAATTCTCCGGCTCCGACGCTGTCCTCAACATCACCCCGCCGCTGTACGACGACGAGACGGACGTCGTGGCGCATGCCCGGATGGTGTCGGAAAATGTCAAGACAGCCATCCAGAAGGCCGGCTCCGTCAAGCGGCTGGTCTACCTCTCGAGCGTGGGCGCTCAATACGACCATGGCATTGTACGCCCTTGCCAACTGACATCGCTAATGTGGCACATACCTGACCTGTCCACTGACCCAAGGCATGTAAAATAGGGTGAGATCCTGAGCAACCACGAAGCCGAGGTGGTCCTCAGAGATGCCGCGCCCGAGGTGGTGTTTGTGCGCTGCAGCTATTTCATGGAGAACTGGGCCATGTGTCTCGAGACAATCCAGCAGGCCGGCTTCTTCTACACCACGCTCACGCCGCTGGACCACGCTTTGCCCATGGTGTGGTCTCCCGCCATCCCTGCCATCCCTCCCCAGGAAAAAAAACACGAACTAACGAGTCACGACACCGGTCCAGATCGCAGTCCAAGACATCGGCGCGACCTGCGCGGCCGAACTGCTCGCCACAGGCAGCACCAGCCCTCTCCCTTCCGGCTCGCCGTACATCTTCGAACTGCATGGTCCCCGCGCGTACACGTCGGCGGACGTGCAAAGGGCGTTTGAGGAAGCGGCCGGCAAGAAACTTGAGATGCGGCCGGTCGAGAGGGATGGCCTGGGAGATTTCTATGCCGCTGTCTTCCCGCCGGGCGTCGCCAAGCTGTTCGCGGAGATGAATGCCAGCTACCTGGAGGGCGGCATCCTGTATGAGGATCCGGAGCCGACGGGTGAGATTAGGTATGGGAAGACGGAATTTGCGGAGGTGGTTAGGCAGATGCTTGCCGCTTGAATTGTCGGGTCTGAAACGGTCAATCCGTAGGAGTATTATTAAAGTCCTGGTTGAGTGTCCCCCGAATGCTTTCTAGTGGCTTCAACTCAATCAAGTTCAAGCTTCCATTCCGTGTATGGTGTGATCACTGGTCAGTAATGTGATATTGACGGGATGATTGTTTGGGCGATTCGAGCTCTTGGCCCGCGTCCCTGGATTCTAATTTCTGGGTCGACGTCATTGCGGGACCAACCCACAACCTTGGAATCCGACGACAACCTCTCAACCAGGGAACTGCGCGCGTGTGGCTTTTCTCATTTTGGAGTTCTAGACCCGTGCTCTTGACAGAATAATAAGAGGGGCGTTGGACACCAACTTCAACGGGTTCCTGCATTTGCAATTTAAGGCCCGAAGATCATAACACAGAGGCCAGTTCACAACCCGAAATCCGTCCCGAGTTCCAGAGAGATCATGGCCGAAACAGGGCTCCTGCGGTCGTTCCTGGCGGCCGTGCAGGCCAGCCTGTCGGTCCTGCTCGTCATGTCTTACGGCGGCATAGCAGCTCACTACAAGATGATCGACCGCCCGAACACGAAGGCTATCTCCAAGATATGCGTGCGCATGTTCCTGCCGGCGCTGCTGATCACCAAACTGGGCGCCGAGCTCCGGGCCGAATCCGCGCCTCGCTACGTCAGCATCCTCGTGTGGGCCGTCATCTGCCACGCCATCTCGTTTCTGTTTGGCCTTCTGGGCCGCTTCGGCCTGGGCATGCCCGACTGGGTGACCGTCGCGATCCTCATCAACAACACTACAAGCTACCCGCTCCTCCTCGTCACCGCCCTCGAGGACACGGGCATCTTAGACCCGCTGCTGGGCTCGAACGAGAGCGCCAGGGACGCCATCGAGAGGGCCAAGTCCTACTTCCTCGTCTTCTCGACCGTCTCCAACTGCATTACCTTCGCCGTGGGTCCGCGCCTGATCGATTCCGAGCATACGCCAGACGAGGACGAGCAAGAGGACAAGCCCGACGACGATGCGACCAACGGGACGGAGCACGCGGACTCGCGAACCCCAGACGTGGAAGCCGCCAACGAGGAAACCCGACTACTGGATTCCCACCTGCCGAACTCGGTCCACTCCCCGGCACCCTTACGTCGGAGCTCCTTCCTGCTGCCGTCCCACCCAAAAAAGGAAAAACCAGACAACCGCCGCCCGTGGTTCGTGCCGCGCAAGCGATGGCACCAGCTCTCGCCGCGGGCCAAGTGGTGGCTGCTCTTCGCCGTCGACTTCTTCAACGCGCCGCTCGTGGGCGCCATGCTCGGCGTCGTCATCGGCATGGTGCCCGCCTTCCACGCCGCCTTCTTCAACAGCTCCGACGAAGGGGGCATCTTCACCGCCTGGCTGACCGCCTCGCTCAAGACCGTCGGCGGCCTGTTTGTCTCGCTGCCCGTCGTCGTGGCGGGCGTCACGCTGTTCTGCTCGACCCGCGAGGCGAGGCGGAACCACGAACGGATTGTCTCCAACCTGCCGTGGGCCACGCTGGGTTATGTCCTGTTCGTGCGCTTCATCGCCTGGCCCGCGCTCTCCATCGGCTCCATCTACGTCCTGGCCACCAGGACCAGCCTGCTCGGCTCCGACCCGGTGCTCTGGTTCTGCCTGATGGTGATGCCCGCCGGGCCGAGCGCCATGAAGTTGATCACCCTTGTCCAGGTGGCGGAGGGGTCGAAGGACGATGAGTCCCATATTGTTAGACTGCTCACGGTAAGTGGAGTGGTTGCTACTATTCCTACTATCTGCGATGGTTCTGTCGGATCTGACATGTATCCCTTTCTCCAGATATCCTACATCATCTCGCCCGTGCTCTCCCTTACTGTTGCTGGTAGCTTGCTCGCTAGTCAGGCTGCTATTCAGAGGTGACCGAGGCAGGTATCACGGCTGCTACTGATGGTTTCGCTTCGAATAATCTCAAAAGCGACAGCTCGTCGGGTGACTACAGGTTCTAGCTTTCCGGCCCTGTTCCTGGCCTATTATCATAGATTCTTAGGCCGCCGTCACCACCGGGAAGGCACATACAAAGACACTTGACCAGAGTAGGGTTCAAAGTATTCGACTGCTGCAGTGTCGGGTAAACGGGCACGATCGCTCAGAGGAAGCGGGCCATACCCGACTGCATTACTCGAGTATGTTCTCTGCGTCGAGTCTGTTCCGCCGCGGGAACATCGCCACGGCCTACAAGGTAGCAAAATAGTAAGAAGGCGTTACGGTGCTTGCGATCAGCTGGTAGGCCTGTTGCCAGTGGCTGATTAATAAGGACAACGAGGGTAGGATCCAGGGGGTTGCGGGGTGGGATATAAGACAAGTGGCAACCATAGAAGGCTAACTGATATGTATTAGATATCATTGTATAGGATAATACCGCCTCAAAAGAATCTGCTCCCTTGAGATGGACATGCTGATGATCTCTTTACGAGCAATCGTCTCTTGATGTGTAGACTACAAGATGAGAAAATAGCTTGAATGGATTAGAAGACCACACGAAAGCATGGAACAGGTGATACATCTGCGACAGGCTAACTTGTTTCAACTACATTACTGCAAATAGTAACCCCAGGTCATGTGGAGGCTGTTCCACCGCCTGAACACTAGGAAAATCCCGGTAGACTAGTCCTACTACTATGTATGTACCCAGTACCGGCCTAAGCGTCTCCAAACGCGCCAGTAAGGAACTCGTCAACCTTGGTGAACTTATAGTCCGGGAAGATGCGATTCCACTCGTCCGAAACAACAGCCGCCCCGGCCGCATGGTTGAGCAACATGGCGCGGAGCACCGCCTTGGCAAACTCGTCGTTGGAAGGTTCCCCCGGGTGCTGCTGGTGGCCAAGCGGGGGCAGCCATGAAGCCTTGACTATGCCGGCTGTGAGGTCTTCGGCCTCGAGGGCCTCGATTTGGAAGGGTTTGCCTGGAGTGGAAAACAAAAGCGAACCGTTAGTGGTGGGGGGCCGCAATCCTAGGTACGTGCCATCACTAGCATAGCAAAAACGAAAAATGCAGAGTCAGTTAAACATACCTCGGATCTTCTCACCGATGGTGATCTCCTCGCCAAGCGACAGCGTATGGCCATTAATGCCGCCATTCGTGGGCCACGCGCCCTCGTACTCGACCGCCTTCGCGACAATGTTGGCAATGTCATGCAGCGCCGTGTACGTGACCGGCTTGTCCAGGTTGCCGGCGCCGGCAACGACGTGGGCGCGCAGTCGCCCGTGGTCGACCAGCGTCATCTCGGATGTCGGCGTGCGCTTGGTCGACCCTCGCGGGCCGGCCAGGTAGTTCATGAACCAGCCCGGCTGGAAGAGCGTGTACTCGATCACCTGCTTGTCCTGGTTCTTGTACTCGAGGTACTTGCGGATCTCGAGCTTGTTGGCGTAGAATGTCTCGAGGTGTGCTTGGTTGGCGCTGTGAAGAGGACCAAAAGTGTGATTAGTAGTGTGTACAGTGCACTACTAGTACATCCAATAACTTAGAGATCCGAGGATGGCATGGGGGCCCGGGGGTGCACGGGCCGGGGAAGGAACTCACAGAGCCCACTCGCTCGGCGCGATGCGCTTGACTCCGGCCTCGATGGCCGCGTCAATCAGCGTCTTTTGTGACGTGTTGTTGGTATCATGGCTGACGACGATGAAAGACAGCACGGTGTGGACCCCTTGCAGAGCGCGCACAAGCGCCCCGCGGTCCTGGTAGTCAACCTTGACCCACGTGGTTCCGGGGACGATCAGGTCAGGAGTTGCATCCTATGGAAATACAGAATTGATATCAGTCTCGTTGATCGTGGATGGGGACTGAGATTGATCTTTGCTGGTCTGATGAAGGTACATCTGCTCACCTTCCGAGCCAGGAGAATGATCTCGTGCTTCCCTGTGGCAAGCAGGGCATCAATTATCTCGCGGGCGAGATCTATCGTCAGTTCGGTGTTAGTGGGTGGCGAATAGTATCAAATTCCTGCGGGATAGACTCACGGCCGGGGCCGGCAATGGCAACTTTCACCATGATGAAGACAGCTGTATAGATGTGATGTACGATAATAGCAATTACGGGTCTGTATTGGTGGCTCGAAACTTTGCCCACTCTATAGGGATTCACACCAGAAGAAGTGAACAGCGACGGGCAGTTCTTATAGGTTTGACAGTTACATCATACATGCGACCTTCGTATACCGATTTGTAAGGAACTTTTGCTCTCATGTTGGTAACCAATGTCTTTATAATTACTGCCCTGTGAAAGAAGTATCCATGTAGTAAAAAGTATCCGAGGACACGGACGAAGTTCATCCGCAAGTTCATCCTGTTGGGCAGACGACTGGTTAACATGAGATCGCTGACAAATATTGAGGGGTTCCATCCTTCTAGCGTTGGGCTATGTACCTGTAGGTAGCATCGGAAGAGCAACGGTGAAATCCTTCGGTTACCTAATTAAGAAAACGAGGGTTGGGGGTTCCGTGCGAAGCCATGCATTAACAACTCGATTCCATTTTCAACCTTCCCGGCCTTCCTATCAAACCAATCGCTGGTACTTGCATTTTTAACATCCAAAAAATTTACGGTATCTATCCAAAGTCTAATTTTGATCAACCCAACCCCTTTCCAAACGTGCAACCTCGACTTTCAACTCGATTCATCCGCCCACAGATCATACCCGAAAGTATCCTTCATGTTGACGAACCGGGTGTGCCTACCCCGGGCAACGTCCTCGACCGCCTGGAAATCGGCGTCGTTGAGAATCGGCACCTGGAGGTTGCTCTCGATGCGGCTCGGCGTCGAGCTCTTGGGCAGCACGACGTAGCCCCTCCGGAGACCCCAGCCCAGCAGCACTTGGGCAAGATTGAGGCCGCTGCGCTTGGCCACCTCGTTGAGCGTCGGGTTCTCGCGCACCGTCTCGCCCGTCGTGGGCACCTGGTTCTGCGACCCCAGCGGCGAGTACGCGGCCGGCATGATGCCGTTCTCGAAGCAGAAGTTGACCAGCTCCGTGTTGGGGAGGAACGGGTGGATCTCAATCTGGTTGACTGTCGGCTTGATGCGCGCAAAGCTCAGCAGTTTCTTCAGCCCCGGGATCGTCCAGTTGGACACACCGATCGCCTTTGCCTTGCCGCTCTCGGCGATCTCTTCCATCGCCCGCCACGTCGGCTCCGGGTTCTCGGTCAGCTCCTTGTTGATGATGTACTTGCCGTCCGGCCCGAGCTTGACGCTGTAGTCGTCGTTCCTCTCCGCCGCAATCGGCCAGTGCACGAGGAAGAGGTCGATATAGTCAAGCCGCAGCTTCTGGCGCGAGTTCTCGAAGCTCCACTTCACATCCTCGGGCGCGTGGAGGTGGTTCCAGACCTTGGTGCAGATGAAGATGTCCTCGCGCTTCACCGTCGGGTTCTTGCCCAGGAAGTCGTGGAGTGCGTCGCCCACCTCGTCCTCGTTCTGGTAGAACCATGCGCAGTCGAGGTGGCGGTAGCCGGCTTCCAGCGCCTTGGTCACCGCCTTGTACGTCTCCCCCTTGGCTCCTTCGTTGGCGAAGGTGCCGAACCCGATAGCCGGGATCTTGACGCCGTTGTTGAGCGTGTATGTCTTGGTAGAAGCTGCCATCTTTGGATCTGGTTTGACTGATGACACTCGGGTAATGGGTTTCTCACTTCTCCTACGGACCCAGCAACAAGACAATCTTGAGCAAAAAAAAAAAAGACGCGTCGGACGAGCACGAGAAAGATTAGGAACAACGCAGCAGCAGACAGGAGGACCCTGAGTCTTCTTCTGGACTGGTGCGACAAATAAATCTGCGCCAAGTTCGTGCTCGATGGAGATTTCCTTGTCTGGTCAACTTTTCCACGGCTCTGACGGCATGTTTCGTTTAGAAAGTCGAGTTTGGCATCTCATAAGATGTGCTATCAAGGTATCGAGGCCCACCTTTCCGCAGGGTCGGTCCCACGTCTGACGTATGAGAGGCCATCCCACGCTCCACAACGTTCGACAGAGCTTCGAAGCGGCAAGGAACGGTATTCGGGCATTAAAAAGGCTTCACCGGCTGGGATCCGCCTCTGTGGAGCCCCTAACGGCAGATCACTTTTGGCGCTGCGAGATCCGATCGTCAGGCCCGAAATCAAATCGGCATTCTCTACCCGGTTCCTACCGTTGCACTCGCCGCGAGCCAAGGAAAGGTTTTGTTGGCTGCCAAGTCACACTCCTACGTGGAGGTTCGGGAATCGCCTCGCATCTGAACGAACCAACGGGAAAGGAGGTAAGAAATGCTCGGTGGAACGGTGAGGCAAACAACACGGGCGGCTCCGCCGAAGACCCTGCACTTTCAGAGATTTCCACTCTGGAGCTGCATGACGACATTGATACCAGGATCTCACCACCACACGAAACCCTTAGCTTACTACACCGCATATTACGACTGTTTCGCTCCTTGGTGATCGACTCTACCGGCCATAAATGAAGCCGTTGATAAGACATGCATACAGATAACTGAGACTCGAGCGCGATTCAGACAAAGAGGAGCGGTGAGACAAAGAGACATGTGAATGAGAGAGCCACCAACGGATGCAGATCCAATCTATCCGGCGTATCATCGGGGCCATTCTGTCAGATTCCCCTCAACGCCACTCCATAGTGTCGTCATACTGGAGCTCCGCGGTGGATAAAGGGTCCAGTTATGATACCTCCGTTGCTTGATAGACGACAGCCGGGGGTTGGCCGTGCGAAGGCGAATCACGGTCTAACGGGTGAAAGCACGTTCCGAGGTGTGGCTTATCGATCCTGAAGGGTTCTGTGCGGTTAGCCTCCATGTTCCGAGATATATAACCTGTCTTTCCCCGAGAGGTATTTGACTCGTGTGTCATCAATCAACTGCCACCGCTCTCGCATTGTTTCCAGGTGTTGTTCACTCAGAAAAGGTCGTTGTTCATTACTCCGGAAATTGTTCCAAGCCAACAACACACCAGCAGCCATGTCGAAGCCCGGGTTCAAGGACGTCGATTTCGGCTCTTCGCCGCAACAGTCGATGCACACTCCCCCTCATTCACCAACCATGACTAGGCACCAGCTGAATAGGGACTCTCCCAGCCAGCACCATAGGGCGGACAGCTTCAGCAGCGTTCGCTCCAGGCAAGAGAACATCCGCCAACGAAGGCAGACCATCCGGGACAGTCTCGGAGAGGGCCAACTCACCATCCCGACATCACCCCGGGGCGCGTCACACAACACCATCGAGGTGCCGGCAGTAAGGTCGCCCGATGCGGACTCGTCGCAGTTCATGCACCAACTGTCGGCCTCTCCGTCCATGAAGGAGCGGAGGGTGTCCCGGAACTCGTTCGGCACCACGCTGCCCATCCCCCGGTCGAAGCGCCAGTCGCGGCTCAGCAGCGTCACCTACCCAGCCGAGCTCGTAGGGGAGCTCCGGTCTGGCAAGATCACACCGCCACGCGAGATCCTGACGTCGCAGGTGCAGGACGTGTTCTCGGACAAGGTCCGGAAGGCCAAGAACATGGCGTTCGTCTTCGACATCGACGGCGTGCTGGTGCATGGTGACCGTCTCATCCCGGAGGGCAAGCGGGTGCTGCAGATGCTAAACGGCGACAACCAGCTGGGCATCAAGATCCCGCACATCTTCCTGACCAACGGGTCGGGCAAGCCCGAGAAGGCGCGGTGCGAGCAGCTGTCCAAGATCCTGCAGAACCCCATCAGCACCGACCAGTTCATCCAGAGCCACACGCCGATGCGCGCGCTGGCCGAGTATTACGGCACGGTGCTGGTGGTCGGCGGCGAGGGCTACCGCTGCCGCGAGGTGGCCGAGGAGTACGGCTTCAAGGACATCATCGTGCCCAATGACATTGTCGCTTGGGATCCGTCCATCGCTCCCTACCGCGTCTTCACCGACGAGGAGCGCGCCACCTCGCGCCCGCGTGACTTCACCAAGGTCAACATCGAGGCCATCCTCGTCTTCTCGGACTCGCGCGACTACGCGACCGACATGCAGATCATCGTCGACCTGCTGCGGAGCGAGAACGGCCGTCTCGGCACCGTCGCGAAAGACCCCGTCTCGCAGCGGATTCCCATCTACTTCTCGCAGGGCGACCTGCTGTGCCCCACGGAGCACCCGGTCCCGCGCATGAGCCAGGGCGCCTTCCGCATCGGGCTCGAGGCCATGTACAAGGCGCTGACGGGCGTCGAGCTCGAGCGCGTCGTGTACGGCAAGCCCGAGCTGGCGACGTACAAGTACGCCGACGAGGTGCTGGCGTCGTGGATGGAGACGCTGCACGGCGAGGAGCGCGTGCCGCAGAACATCTACATGGTCGGCGACAACCCGGCCTCGGACATCGTGGGCGGCAACATGTACGGCTGGAACACCTGCCTGGTGCGCACGGGCGTGTTCCAGGGCGGCGAGAACGACGAGGAGAACCCGGCCAACTTTGGCGTGTTTGCCAATGTCTGGGAGGCCGTCACGGCCGCGTGCAGGAAGGAGTTGGGCGATGACTTTGGCTTTAAGTGGGACGAGAAGGTGGTCAACCCCGTCATGCAGCATGCTCATATCGCGTCGGCGATTGAGGTTTGAGTTCTTAAGGTTAAAGTTGTTTGGATACCTTGGTAGTGGTTTGGCGTTTGGATCGGTGTTTCGTTTTCTTCTGTGCGCTTCTGTGCTGGACTTAGTTTAGGATCATGTCACGTCACGCATTTCGGACATTACAAAAAAGGATATAGAGATCTATGAAACGCTAGCCTGGGGGCTAGTCGTAGTCTCTGGTACACAGACTTCAGTTTATTCCGAGAGCCTATTCATCGCTATGTGGCTATTGTGGGCTGTGTGGCTAGTGCGTTTGTATTTGTGAGGTCTGTGGACGTTGCGAACATTTTCGGTACTTTTGTCACCAAAGCCCCATACAAATTAAAAAGGTCACCATTTTTAATCTTGACTTTCTCTTCTAATTAGTATTGTATAAATTCATGGCTTATAAATAGAAGATAGGAATTAAAAGGGCTATTTAGTAATATATATATTATTTTGACTATTCGTTATTAAGTTCCAGCTCCGAGGGTGTGACGGTGGAACCCACCGTACTATGGCACAGGCCATTGCTTAGTCATGTGCCCGGCTTCCGGTGCATGCATGCATGATTGGTCAACCTGGTTGGTGCCCCACCTTCCACATCTGGGCACATGCCCCACATCCTGTGTTTAGACTTCGCACCTTGCAGTCTTCGAGGATTCCTTGCCTCACTGCAAGTTCAATATTCTTGCAATGCAGTCAGTTTACCACCAGAGGCTTGACCCTGGCCTTGAACGACGGCCCTCGTGACAGAGGGGGTGAAATACTTTTGTCACCAGCTCAACTTTCATTGGATTACCCCATGCGGAATTCACAACTATGATAGCTAGTAGGATAGGAATTAGTAGAAATGATGGCCGAGTAAAGACGATCCTTCTGATATATATATTATATAGACTGGCTTAGTATAGAGGCGTTATGGTGGAATAGTACGATTTTCACGTCTGAAGACCTACCCATTTCGATACCATTCTTAACAACCACTTACCTTATAATGATGCACTTACATTTGGAATGATGCTCCGGATCCTATGGTTCAAATAAGATTTATTCTATAGGTGCGTATATGGTAGTGGTGTGTGACGACTAGATGCAATTGAACAGGGTCAAGCCGGCTGTTGTTCTCATTCTATTTCGTGAATCTAAGGTTGAGGAAAGGAAAGAGAAGTTCTGAGTCGGTGGCTCAGAACATTACACGAAGATATTCCTGATTTGTGGGTCATGTGACCGGTGCTCCACAACAGCCGTCAATCAGGGAGGTCGTGGGTTCGACCCCCGCCTGGGGCGACACCCATACCGACCGCGACATGGTGGTGGAAATGAACATAGTAGGTGGAAGCTGTAGATTCCTACGCTTCTAAAGACCTACCTTCTTCGACACTTTTCTCAACAACCACGTACCGTATAATAGTGTAACTACATTTACAGTGATCTTTTAGATCTTCCAATTCGAACTATACCTATCCTTTATATATACGTATAGTATTAGTAGTGGTGGAATGGAACATAGTAGGTCTTCTACGGAAGCCGTAGCTTCCTAGCTTCCTATGCCTTAGAAGACCTACTGTCTTCGATACTTTCCTCAACAACCACGTACCGTATAATAATGCAACCACATTTGCAATAATTCTCTGGATCTTACAATTTGAACAATATCTACCTCTTATATATACCCATGGTATTGGTAGTGGTGGAATTGAACATAGTAGGTAGGTCTTTGTCGGTGACTGAAGATGCGAACATGTTCGCACTGGGCTCAGACCAGCTGGCGCTGGTGTTGTACGGGGGTTCTGATTGGTTGGAATTGCCTGAGCATGGCAGTGGGTCCCTGCGGTACATCACCGCGCCACAGCTGGTCTGAGCACTCAGCTGAGACTACAGTGGCATGGCTTTTCGAAATATTGCCGTAGCTGTATTAGGAGGAAGGACAAAGCCAGGTATTTATCTAGCTATGAAGCGGCAGTCGAAAAAGGGCTCCTTGGACGGAAGTGGCACGGTCTCAAGGGGGCCGTCTGAAGAACATCACCGCTCCCCGTATTCTAATACCGACTCCCAAGTATCATAGGAGCATTGCTATGTATATACATGTCTCTTGTTGGCAAGTTCAACGGCCTCCATTCTGAGCGTTGGCTGTCATCTCCAAATCGCAGGAAGTATTCCTCTCGCATATTCCAGTGACAATTGATGTACCTTTCTGGACATGTCCAACTTATCCATCATTCCTTGGATGAAATATCTGTGGATGATACCGATGCTCAAGGATATCTTGACAGCCGACTCCGCTTCTTCTCGATACAGATTTGGAGACGCGTGAGTCCACAAAGATTCCCAAAACGTTTGTTCGAGCACTTCCCGAATCGTCCGGCCAGAATCGTCGTCAGCTGGCACATCATAGAAAGACCACTTGCCGTCATCCATACTCCCGAAGAAGCACTCGTACAAGCCCCATACACACATGCCGAAGGCTTCTACCGCGGCTTCATCAAAATCAATGACCCCTGTGAGATGTCCAGAATCATCAACCAGGATGTTGACCGACGCAAAATCATGGTGTGTTAGGACGGCCGGCAGTGTGTCTAGTAGATGCAGTTGAGGGTAATGGCTGCCGATGACGTTGTAAAGCTCTGGCGCAGTGTCCCTCAAGCTGGTATTGTTCATCAAGCGACGAACCGTGGCTTTGGCGGACTTCGTCCAACTTGATTCGGCGTATGGCTTTGGCTGTTCAAAGGAGACAGCCCTCGCAACGAACCATCCAAGATCTGCAACAGCGTTCTTCTCCCTCTACAGCGGGAAGTTTCCTTCCGGAAATGACCGAAGCAGATGCACTCTTCCTGGTATAACTTTGCAGCTGTAGACTGGTAGTGGAAATCCGTCGTGAAAGTTAAGCATTGGTACTAGGTTGCCGTATATCTCGTTGGCACGGCGAATGGTGTCGAGCCTGAGTGGCTTAAGGCGAAACTGAACGACAATACCAAGCCTGGGGCTTGACACGGTGAAGCTGTGGCTCCCTTGGTTGTCGACGGCTGCGATGTCGTCGGTTCCAGAGATTGTCTTTGCGAATTGGATGCAAGAGACTTCGTTGCAAGCGGATGTGGAACTAAGTCCAGAACTTAGATTCTCGGGAACCTTCTCATAGAAAAACTTGTCGATGATCTCCCTCTTCTGCCGTTTCCAATCATCGTCCGTGTCATCCATGATTTTCGATGGGACCCCGTTTTGTGAGTCAGAAGGTGAGTGCGATACGGCAACCTTAAGGCAGCATTGAGGTAGGTGCGATACGAAAGAGGCAACGTCTCGTGGTTCAGGTTGCCGGCCAGGTGGTCCGGGCCCCAAGTTCTTCCGCTGCGTGTCAGATGTGAGCACAATGGAGCCAGCTGGAGCCGGGTGCCGTGCTGCATCTTTGTCATTTCCTGCCGCGGGCGAAATACACGAAGACATATCCAAGGAACTCCAGGTCGTAATTTTCCGCTTTGGAGTCCGCAATTGTACACATACGTCCGGAAACTCGACGAGAAAGCAGGGCTCGAGGAGAGGAAGGGGGACACAAGAGGGCATCTTGCCGGAGGGATGCCGATAAGCATCAATCGTGGAAGATGGCGTCAAACGCGAACACCGAAGACACCCGCGACACGCTGAACTCGCCGGGGCCGAGACGGCGACCACTGCGCTCCCCTAAACTGTCTGCCAAAGACTGAGAAACGTTGATTTCACTCGAAAGCAAGGCAAACCCGACCAAGAATACGTCGAGTGCGGCCACCCAACTCAATAGTGCAGATGGAAGGACCGGCGTCGCGCAGAGGCTGCTGGCTGAGGCCAGCAACACGCTTTAAAATATCGAGGAGCTGAAAATCGTCATCCAACAGCAAACCGCACGAATGCCGTGTTGAGAGAACAGACATGCGGCATAATATCACACCCTAGCAATCCCGACTCCTGTCGATCATGAATTAGAGTGAACATTCCAAGGAGCCAAGCTTCCGAGGCAAAGTCACGGTAGGGGGAGATCAAGCTTTCCCGTGGCGGAATACCCGATCCTTCCCATATTAGCTAATAGACGGGATCGACTGCAGATCCGGCAGTTGACCTACCTCCAAGCACTGTCAACACCTTTGCCACCCCACTTCACCATTAGGAGAGCAAGGACGGCTAATATATCAACTACTATCAACCCGCGAGTGCACGGAGAGGGGTCAGGCCATGTCAGTCTTGGAGTAATAGTGCTTTCCCCCTCTCTGCCCCTCCTTTGTCTTATAGAACGGTGACAGTACCTGCATTTCATTTTAGAACCACTTTGGATGTGTAACAGTTCACGGTAGTAGACTGTTGGGGCGCCACTTCTGGGCCGTCGAGTGCAAGTGTAAATATGTCGACAATGCCGCTGTCTATGATCCCCCCCGACTCCCTTATTCTTAGTGTTCGTAACTCATCGAACCGTGATTGTGGTACCTTGATTAGTACTAGTAGTCACCATGTCTTCACTCCTCACCATCCTAACGACCATCCTCACCCTAGGCAGCGGCCTCACCTCCGCAGCCTCCACAGCTTGCACGCGGCCCTTCCTGCAAAACCTCACCACAGCCTACATCTCGGCCCAAACCTCCGGCCAACCCTCCCTGCTCGCCCCGTACACATCGGGCTCCCCAAACCTGATCTACCTCGAAAACAACCGCCTCGCCTCCCTCCTCGGGGGTAGTACTAATACTAATACCAGTACTAGTACTAGTGCTAGTAGCACCCTCTCCCAGCCACTGAAAATCGACGTCGCCCGCTCGCTGCACGACCCAGACCAGTGCGCGACCTTCACCGAACTCATCGCCGCCTCGGACCCGCACCACCCGCGCATCATCCACACGCGGGTCGTGGTCGACGCCGCCACGCTGAAGGCCGTGCTCATCGAGTCGGTCGTTACCGACGAGGGGGACTGGCTGTTCAATGCGACGGGGACGCTGCAGCTGAATAATGGGGAAAAGTGGGATGTTGTCCCAGAGGGGAAGCAAGAAAGGAGGGAGGTGATTCAGGCCGTGGGCGATGCCTATTTCGATCGGTTTGGGAATACGAGCGTCCATGTCCCCTGGGGCGCCCCGTGCTATAGGCTGGAGGGCGGGTTGCAGGCCAAGGGGGAGATGAATAACCGGACGGGGGAGTGTGTGATGGTGTGGCCGAGTACGATTGTCGTGCCGTATCGGAGGTATGTAGTGGATGTGGAGATGGGCGCGGTCGATTTGTTTGTCGGGTTTCCGGGCTTGGACCGCACGCAGGGCAACGCGCCTATGCCGGATAGTCATTTGTTCAGGGTGGAAGGCGGGAAGATCAAGTATTTGCATACTGCGTCGGCTTGTGTGGTGGATGGCTGTGGCTTGAATGGGACCGTGTTTGGGAAGAGGACGTTTGGTGTCAAGGCGAGGAGGCAGTTGAGACCTGGTAGGCTGAGCGTTTGAACTGGGGATCGTTGATGGAGGGGGGAATGGCAGGATTGCGGGCGGGCAGTAGTTCTGTACAAGTACAGTACAAGCACGGATCGGGATATAGGGAGAGAGCAATAAGGAGTAGATCGATGCTAATCCTCACTGGCGCTACTACCGTTCGACGTCAGCACTACTCCCCAGTACCAGCACATGATGATGCTCCTCGTTACTCCGGCTTCCTTCCATACACAACACGATGCGGATACCACGTGTGGATGCTCTTATCCTTCATCTGGCGTCTGAGATGGGCGACGTAGACCTTAATTCTTAGGGAGACCATCCCATGACCGCACCCTACATGTAGTTGATGTATCCTGTTTAAATGCTAACATCACGCGTCAGTTTCTTTGTAATCCCTCTCGCTGGAATAGTGGAAAGGGGTAAGGCAAAAAGATGAAGAGCTCACCCTCCAGATCCGACTCGAGGACTCACTTCGCAAAGATGCCAATCTCCTTCTGGTTCGGATCCACCGGCCAGTCTCCGATCGGGCACTTGTAGTCCCTGACGACGATGTCTGGTGATCGATCTACGGAAGTAGAGTCGATCGGTGAAGTAGAATGAAAACGCCCGCAAGATCGCAGGAGTTAAATGTGGTAGGTGAGGTTGATGGGCACGCAGAGCGACACGGGCTCCGCTCTATATTCGGGCGCTCCACGAAAACCTTAAGCGACAACTGACTCGGAAAATGGTTCCGTTGTCCAATGCAACATCCCTCGTGGACGGTGCTGCCCGCAACGAACAGAGCACCTGTACGGAGTGAACTGAACAAGGAAAGAAGCAGAAACCACTAGCACTTGCCGCGTGGCATATGTTTCTGCTCCGAACATTGACATGAACAATGCCGATTGGATGTCAAAGTCCGGTACCAGGTGCTACCTCCGGTCATAGATGGATTCTAATGCATTTCGAATAAGGCGTCGTACTCCTCCGCATCCCCTAGCGGTGATGTAACATTGGACGATGCGAAAAAAAAAGGCCTACATAAGGTGACAGGAGTAGCCCTCTCCGAGTGCTGTATCTCGAGAGTCGACCTGTCTCAATAACTTGAACCTTGTTTCCAAACCTGCCCTGTGGTTTCGCCAGTGTGAAGCCAGGGCACGACTATGATACGGGAGCGACGACATGTCCTTCCTGAAGCGCCCACGTTTGGCCGCAGTCTTTCCATGTGCCCAACGACGAGACTCCTAAAAAGTAAGCATAATAGACCGGAGCTATGTCGGCTATTGATCAGGTTGAAGTAATGGTGCGATCCAAATGCTGAGTGCCCAAGAGCTGTCCAAGGCTAGATGAATCCAGCTCCTATCGTAGATCAGGTGGTGAATCAACCTAAGAGGTACGACGAGGTATCCCGGGTTGTGCATTGCTATAGAATGCTTGGAGTCACAACGATGGCTCGGCATGCCAAAACCTTTAGAAAACTTCCTAAGTATGTCATGGCCGAGACGGATGCGGCGACACGTCTGCCGCAGGTCAGTATCTTCCACAGGCAGGACATGCCAAGAGACATAGAATAGTATGTCGCGGACGCCGCTCACCAGCAATTATCAGCCTAGTTTGAATATCAGTCCCTTCGAGACGAGACGATCGATCCACTCTTTATGGGAATGTCAGGACACCGACCCGCCCGGTCGGGATGAAACAGATCCGGAGGGCGGAAGCTTTGCCTCTTCGCAGGCAAGCTTCATATTTTCTGTCCGCCTCTTCGTTTATCTTGGTGCAGGATAGATTAGCCGCGAGCGGCTTGGGACGGCTGGCTGGTCCGGCTGAGCGAATGCTCGGCTGCTTAGGCATGCTGCTAGCCTTACACACTCGTAGGCTGAGTCATCGGTTAGTATAACACCGAACTGGTCCCATGGTCGTAGTACGCGGCAGCACAGGGCAGTCTAGCACAGCTTCTTACCGAGCCCCGCTAAGCGCCAGCGTCGTCCTCGGGAAGACATCCGTTGATCAGTGACAAAGGCCGAGGTTCCCTATTTCCACTCCCGGGAGCATACATCCCAGGCGACGATGTGGCGACGGTCATCCTCAGGGCCGGTCTCAACAAGTCTCTTCACCATTGCGAGTCCTGTCTCAAGCACAACCTCTTCCAGACCACCAAAGTATTTCTCCACAGCTGCTGGCAACACAGCCTGGGCGTACAACAGACGGATGGCGCGGCGATGGGGCTTGGGCAGCCGCTTTTCCTTCATGACATATCTGTCCATGACGTGTGCGGATTCGAATGACCAGGCGTTGAGACGGAAAGGGAGTAGCACGGTTTCGTGGTAGAGTTGCCGGCAGACGGGGGACAGTAGTGTCATGCCGCGCGGCGCGGCGGGGTACGTACTCCTCAGGGACCTCCATGGGTTCTGGTCTCTGTCGAGGACGAGGCACCAAAAGCCGCCCTCGATCGTCTCGTAGTACCGCTGGCCGTTTCGGCGCGTCCGCTGCCTGAGTTCCCACTTCTTGAAGCGCACGTTGATCTGGCCGACGTCGAGGACAAGCTCGTAGATTCGGTTGCGGAGTTCGGGCGGCAGGCGTAGGAGCGGAGAAGACTGCTGGTTCCGCTCCCACCTGTGCGGCGAGGATGCGCATGGTTGTGAGCAGCTCTGGGCGCCAAAGCATCGCCGGAAAGGGACTGGGAGAAATGGACAATGGGAACTTACATCTCGCGCTCTGGAGTGCCCTCCTTAGGAAATGACTTGTGCAGCATGTTGCGTATCTTGCGCTGGCGCTCCCGGTTCAGCTGCATTCCTCCACGGTTTCCGAGGACGATGGATGGAGGATAGGAAGGAGTGGATCGGAACTCTGGACGACTGGAAGGTCGGAGTTGAAGCTCGACTAGGTGCAGGTGATGTTCCAACGTTCCAACTTCCGCCCTGCGTTGAGCGATGTGACTCGGCCTGGACCTGCCACTCAAGGAATCCCGGTAGCCAGAAGGCTGAGTGGGGGAGCCTACCACGAGGATGTCCCTAACCCTAGTGTACTCCGTAGTGTAACATAACTGCTGGACGCATTGCATCTGTTGCCAGACCGCCGGAAGCTGGCTGGATTAACCTTATTTTGAGACTGCTATCCGTCTAGTATCCCGCATCATCGCGTGGGATAAATAACAGACGACGTCACGTCGAGCGACTCCGGATCACATTCAATCCAGGCTTTCGGATCTTGCCGCCTCATCGGATGTGGGCCGTCATGCATGGACTTTCCGTGGCCCCACCGTAAGCCAAGACAACCGTAAACCATTTGTTGATGACGGGAACTCAATGAACACAGCCACGATTCGCGATGTCGTCGGGGCAAGTCCGTCCGGGGTCGCAGGGCCGCGCCGAGGCTGGCAGTCAGCAACCTCGGGGCGGACCTTAAGGAGGGCTCTTGGCGCATTCGAAGAATGGGAAACTGCCTCTGAATTTTACCTCTCACCACTCGCCATTCAGCTTTTGCCAAACTGAGCCCGTGAAGCCTTCTCCAGTATGGGGCCGTCCAAACCAAGCATGCAGGAGCTCTATGCGAGCCCGGAGGACTGGGAGACTCAGCGGGAGACGATCACCCGGTTGTACCTGCATGAGAAACGGTCACTGCAGGAGGTTATGGAATACATGGCAGTGAATCATTTCTTCTTTGCAACGTAGGAATCCCCGAACGGAATTCGAGTGGGGGGGCCAGATTGGTGCTGACGGAACCCAGGGTCAAAATGTACAGAACACGGATTCGCAAATGGGGAATAGACAAGAACAACAAGGCTGCTGAGGTGGCCTACATGCTCAGGCTCAAGAAACAGCGCGACGTCCTCGGCAAAAAGTCATTCTTCTTCATTCGGAATCGGCCGGTCGACTGGTAAGTCAACAAACAGCGCGTGGCCAGGACACCACGGCCCCTGGCGGTATTAGCAGCCCACTGACTAAGCGCGTCAGGGAAGATATTGAGCGATACCTCTCTCGGACCCCTGACTTCTGGACCAAATACGGCGGCGCTGCCCTAGATGCAAGCAGGTGTGCACAGGAGATCACCTGCAAGACGCCGCCTCCGGAGAGCCCGGGGCCGGTGCCCGCGTATGTACCGACAAAGCTCGATGCCGCTCAGGAACTCCGCGTCCACGAAGAAATCTTACGCTTCTTCCGGAACTACAACGAAGGCGCCTTTGAGCGAGGCCTATGGCATCTCTCACCTGTCCACAAGCGTTATTTTGGCCCCGGCGGCGCCGAGGCCAACGCCCGTCTCAACGCCTGGTACGACAAGGTGCGCAGCGTCTCCGACTGGCCCGGCCGGGACGCCGATGCCGTCAGGCTAGTCAACTACCTTCTCGACGACCTCCCGCAAATCATCAGGGACCATGACTTCACTGTCTTCCCGGCCCTTATGCGCTGCTGCTTTTATCTCTCGGCGCGAAGAGAGGCATTGGGTCGGGCGGTGGTGCAGTTCGTAGCAAGGTTATGCGACATCATCTTAGGAGAAAGGCACCCGATGAGCTTGGCCTGGTCCCGCATCAGGTCGCTTCCGTTACCCGAATACTTGCTTGTTTTGCAAGGGACGGCCAAGGTCCGGCTCGATCATCTCGAGTCACGCCAGAGCGATGGATGCGAGGACGAGAGCACGGTCAACGCGCTGCGCGAATATCTGTTGGTGCTGCGGCTGCGGGGCTCCGCCGCAGTTGACGAGATCGACCGTGTCACTTGCCGGGCGCTGGAGCGGGTATGTCAGCCCCACCGGGACGGGCTGTCCGCATCGCAGTGTCGCCTTCTGCTCGGCACGGCCAGCTCCTACATCACTTGCCGCCGCTTCGCAGACGCACAGGAGATCCTGGACCGGGTGGGCGCCCACCTCCCGACATCTGCGGTCCAGACTTCCCAGTCGCAGCGCGTGCTCCCCACCTACCTCTTCCTCATGGGCTTCCTGCGCTACGTCACGCGCAGGATGGACGAGGCCAAGAACTACTTCCTGCAGACCTACTACGCCCTCGAGAAAGCACGGGGCCCGCACAGCTCCGCGGTCGCCGACATCCTGCTGGCGTTCATAGACTTCCCCGGGCTCTTGCAGGATCCGGACGACGTCAAGCACTGGCGGCACAAGTACGAGCAGGTGCAGGCCGAGATGCTGGCGAGGATGGATAAGGGTGCCAGGCAGACGCTGTCCGAGCCGAGCGAGCTGTGGGACGAACCGCTGGATACCGATGTGAACACGGGAACATGGTGAAGGATCGGCTGAAGGAAGGGGCTCCAGACGCTGCTACGGCCGGTGGTTCGACGACGGCCCCAACCGAGGCTGAGAGACTCCACGACTTCCAGCTTCCAGGTTCGTTCCATGTATCAGCTCAGTTCCACATGGAGATCTGGATGCCATCCCTTGACAAGCATAGCACGAGATGGAGACGGCCTTCTGTTTTCGGCCGCTGGGCGAGTTCAGTCATCATCATCCGCCACTACGCAACGATGCAACAGAGCGTCGTTCGGCAAAGCATGCCTTCGGATCATAGGACTCAACTGTCCAACCTCGAATCCCCTCGGCCGAGCATATGACGGTCATGTCTGGCCATCTCGGAAGCCTCCCGTACAACGTCGAACCAAGCACGAGACACAACCTCTTAAATTACTCAAACCACGAGTCCAGCGAAGTTACACTCGATCCCGTCTTTGCGCTGGAACGGCCGGGGATCAATGATCTCTACCTGCCTTCTTAGGTACCCTCCTCGGAACGCCGGGAGCAACATCAACATCATCACGATCGTTCGTGCTGCCAGTGCCAAGTTGTGGGGGGGCTTCAGCGGGTCTCTCGTGTCGGTCCGGCCCCTGTCACTGGGCCCCTTCCTTCTCCTATGATTGGCTTTTTTTTGGTCAGGAGCTCCTTCCCCACAGTGGGGCGTACCTGCCCAGCCGCGGGCTGCGGAGAGGATTGCAGGGATAGGCGCACCTGATCAAGGCGCAACCGGGCTGAGACGAATGGCACTTCAGGTCCGAGTCCTTTTAGATCCAGACCTTCAACAACTCCGGCCCTCCTCCATCTCATTTTCCACTCGCAATCTGGGCTTCCCCTGTTTCCTCTGTTGACTTCTCATGAGCATCACCACTGCTAGCTCAGACTCCGTGCCCAAACACCGACAATGGCCGAATATCGGTACACGTTTCCATCCCATCCGGCGACAAACCCCAAGGCCATTGTCTCGGGCGACGGCAAGAAAGGCTCGTTCCGTTTCAGTGTTTTGACTGACCGGCTGCTACGCTACGAGTGGTCCGAGGATGGCGCCTTCGAGGACCGGGTATCGACCTTTGCGCTTTTCAGGTGGTTCGATACCCCGCACTACCGGGCCGTCGAGACAAAGGAATCCCTGGAAATCATCACGGAGTACTTCCACCTCACCTACGACAAGAAGGAGTTCTCCGCCGAAGGGTTATCAGTCCAGGTTGGCCAGGATGTCTGGAAGTATGACGGCAAGAGCTACGGAGACCTGGGCGGCACCGCCAGGACCCTCGACGGCGCGTGGGGCCGGGTCGACTTAGACCCGGGTATTCTCTCGCGCAAGGCATATGCGGTACTCGACGACAGCAAATCCATGCTCTTTGATGAGGATGGCTGGATCGCCACACGCCATCCAGGACGCATTGACGGCTATGTGTTTGCCTACAACGGTGATCACAAGGCTGCCATCAGGGACTTTTACCGCATCTCGGGACATCAGCCGGTCCTCCCCCGCTGGACGCTAGGGAATTGGTGGTCTCGATACCATGAATACACAGCCAGCGAATACCTTGAGCTCATGGACCACTTCAAGCGCGAAGGCATCCCTCTCAATGTTGGTGTCGTTGACATGGACTGGCACAAGGTCAACATCCCTCCCAAGTACGGCTCCGGGTGGACAGGCTACAGCTGGAACCGCGACCTCTTCCCGGACCCCGAGGGTTTCCTGAAGGAGTTGCACAAGCGGAGCCTGAAGGTCGCTCTCAATGACCATCCGGCCGACGGCATTCGGGCATACGAGGATCTGTACCAGGCGGTAGCCAAGGCACTGCACCACGACACTTCGCGCGAGGACCCGATTCCGTTTGATTGTACTGATCGCAAGTTCATGGATGCCTACTTTGACGTTCTGAAACTCGCCCTCGAGAAGCAAGGCGTCGACTTCTGGTGGATCGACTGGCAGCAAGGCACCCAGTCCAAGATCCCCGGCGTGGACCCGCTCTGGGTGCTCAACCACTATCACTATCTCACCAGTCAGCGCAACCTCAAAGTTCTGCAGAGGCCGATAACTTTCTCTCGGTATGCCGGCGTCGGTTCCCACCGGTACCCTATCGGCTTCTCGGGCGACACACAGATCACCTGGGCCGGCCTGGAGTTCCAGCCCGAGTTCACGGCGACGGCCTCCAATATCGGCTATGGCTGGTGGAGTCACGACATTGGCGGCCATTTCGCCGGCATCAGGTCCAACGAGTTGACTGTCCGCTGGGTACAGCTCGGCTGTTTCTCTCCGATCCTGCGGCTGCACTCTACCAAGAGTCTCTGGAACTCCAAGGAACCATGGAACTTTGAGAAGGGACCGCACAAGATCATCAGGGAGTTTATGATCCTCCGCCACCGGCTGATCCCCTTCCTCTATACCATGAACATCCGCGCCAGCTACGAGGATGAGCCGCTCATCCAGCCCATGTACTGGAACCACAAGGACGATCAAGCCTACACGGTACCTACGCAGTATTACTTCGGACCCGACCTGATCGTCACGCCCATCACGTCTCCCAACAACTCCACCACCCTGATGGGCGGCGTCCGCGCCTGGCTGCCGCGCGGGCGCTTTGTCGACCTGTTCTACCCTCACCTCGTCTACGACGGCGATCGATACATCCACCTGCACCGCGACCTCACTCAGATCCCAGTCCTCGCCAAGGAAGGCACCATCGTCCCGCTCGACAGCACACCCAAGCTTGCAAACGGGTCCCCGCGGCCAACTGAGATCACCATCCTCCTTGTTGTCGGCAAGGATGCGCAGTTCGAGTTGGTCGAAGAGCCAGAGAAAGGGGACCAAGGTGACGATGATGGCTCTGCACGGCCGGCGTTGAGCTCATATACCCGCACACCGATTACCTGGAGCCAGCAAGAGGGCATCCTCGTCATCGGACCGGAGTGGAACGGCACAGGCAAGTGGCGGCAATGGAATGTCAAACTCGTCGGGCACACCAGTAGCGATGTGCAGGCGCAGGTGCCCGGGTTCCGGGTCACGCAAGAGGACGGCTGCACGACGATTGCGCTGGGGAACGTGCATCGGTGGAATCCGGAAGGGTTCGAGATTGCCCTGGGGAGCGACCTGCAGCTGGATGTCGTGGATATCAACACCAGGGTGTTCGATGTGCTGCATCGGGCTGAGATGTCGTACGACTCGAAGGATCCGGTGTGGGATGCCGTGGCGCGGTCCACCGATGCGGTCCAGACCAGGGTCGAGCGGCTGCAGAACTTGAATGTGGACGCTGCACTGAAGAACGCGGTCATGGAGATCTGGGCGGCCGATGGGCGGTCGCCAGGGAGTGCGAAGGGGCATGAGATATGGGCGAATACGAAGGGAGCCTCGGCGGAAGGTCTCAATGAGGTTCTGAAGGATTATGTCATTGTTTGAGTTATGCACTGAGAATATCGAGGGTTATGTCTCTCTGGGAGATGCTGGGTTTATTGTTGGTTGTTCTGTTACTCTTACCATCCATCCTCTTCTCGACTACCCAATGCAGAACACGCTTTTGCAATTTGCACTCACCGGGAATGGCGCAGCTCCCGATCGAATAGAGCGCCGCGTCTGGACTGCACGGGAGTAAGGTACTCTTTGAAGAAGTGCCTAGAGGGACTCGGAGAGTTTGGTTAATGAGACCCATGTCGTGGGATTGAACTGGAAACGGGACCAGCCACATCGGGCCCCATTCGGCGTCGAGAAGAACCGATCCCGGGCGTTGTCCTACAAAAGTCTCCGGCACGCAACACAAACAGATACCTACTCCTTTGCCTGATGCACAGTTGGCCACACACACACCGTGTACCTCTGCACGCTTCCTCTCCATCGCCACGACTAGCAACGTTGCTCACTCCTCTCACTCTCTTCTGCAGCGCTCTCTGCGTCCGGACTCCTGAGCATCCTTCTCCGTCGTGTGAGTACACGGCCGCCACCATTATAGCTTGTCCTAACCGGTGCAAGCTGATTTGATACAATACAGAAGAAGCCTCAAGTACAATGACGGACTCGAACAACAGCACCACCACCACCACCACCAACAACAACAACAACAACAACAACACCATCACGGCCCGCGAGACGCCGGGCGGTCCGCCCCCAGGGCTCGGGACGCTCGGCAAGCTTCGCTGGGGCGCCAAACACCCCCCGGCCGACCCCACCGTCTCGTTTGCGGGCAAGACGGTGCTGGTGACGGGCGCCAACACGGGGCTAGGCTTCGAGGCGGCCGTCAAGTACGCCAGGCTCGGCGCCAGCCGGCTGATCCTGGGCGTGCGGTCGGCCGACAAGGGCGAGGCGGCCAAGCAGCGCATTGTGCAGCTCAGCGGCCGCCGCGACGACGACTTCTTCATCACCGTCCTGCTCGTCGACATGGCCCACTTCGACTCGGTCAGGGCCTTTGTGCAGGCCCTCGGCAGGGCCACACCGCGGCTCGACGTGGCGCTACTCAATGCCGGCTTGGCCAACCCGTCGTTTCAGCAGTCGGCCGCCGGGTGGGAGATGGCCCTGCAGGTCAACGTGCTCTCGACCGCGCTGATGGCTGTTCTGCTGCTCCCTCTGCTCCGGGCCACAGCGGCAGCAGAAACCGGGACGCCGCCTCCGACGCCGCCGCATCTGACTTTTGTCAACAGCTTCGGGCACATGCTGGCCGAGAGGGAGTGGCTGGGTCCGTCCGGGTCGCTGCTCGAGCTGGCTAACAACAGGGAGGGCTGGGATCCCAGGAAGAGCTATGCCACGGTCAAACTGCAGGGCATGGCGGTGATGCAGGCCGTTGCGCGGGCGACTACTACGACTACTACTACTAGTAGCGCAGAACAACAACAACAACAACAACAACCCGAAGTCATTGTCAATGCCGTCTGTCCTAGCCAGTGCAAGACGGACTTGGGCCGGCAGTACGGGCTCATGTCCAAGATCCTGATGGCCCCTTACCAGGCCCTCTTCGCCCGTACCGCCGAGCAGGGCGCGCGGTCCCTGGTGAGTGCGACGGCCCTCGGCCCGGAGAGCCACGGCCGGTTCTGGCACCATGATATCCTGCACCCGTAAGCTTCTCTCTCTTCTCTCTTTGTCTTCTTTTCCTTTCTCTTTCCTTTTTTCTTTCTTTTCTTTCCATTGTGTGTGTGTGTGTGTGTGTGTGTGAGAGAGAGAGAGAGAGAGAGAGAGAGAGAGAGAGAGAGAGAGAGAGAGAGAGAGAGAGAGAAAGCGACGAAAGGGTTTTGTAATCGTGGCTGACGCGTCTTCTTCTCCCCCCTGCAGAATCGGTGATCTGGCAAAGGACGAGACCTTGATGCGGAAGGCGTGGGATGAGATCTTCCAGGTCGTTGTTGTTGCCCAGCCGGATCTGCAGCAGATCCTCGCCGGTCAGGGACCTCAGAGTTGATTTTCTTTTTTTCCGCGTACATACATACTAGTAGTAACTACTTACTCTCTTGCCTTGGTGGATTGGTTGGAGTGGCTTGGAGGAGTAGGAGTATGGAGGGCATGAGTCACTGGAATTTGGCAAAAGTCATTCGGGTTGGTTACCAGAGATGTTTGTAGTAGTTGAGGGACGGGCACGGCCGCGAACTCTGGAGGAAGGTGTATAGCACACTGGCACTGGGTAATCGGGGGCAATTTGAGATAGTAGTAGTTGCACTCGGCCGCCTCATAAGTGTAAAGATTGAATTAAAACACGTAGACGAAGAACGAAGGTACTATTCACCGAGGCTGGATCATATCTTGAGCTGTATTCCTGGCACCTCTTTGTTCTCACTGGGAGATATGGTATGGCATGACTTGGCACAGCCCATCTAGAGGACTTGGAGATCTTGTGTGAAAGAACACCCTCTTCGCAATTGGGTAGTACTGTACGGTTGATGTTGTGTGACGCTGCTATCAGTGTGTCGATGAGAACCGCAATGATCATCAAACTCCTATCATGATCGAGCCTTCGGCCTCAAAGGCCCATCCAACAGCCACTGCCCGACCAAGTCTATCACCTTGACCTTCTTGATCCTCGCGTCCTCCATGAGCACGGGATCCTTGACCAGACGGTCGATATTATCCTGATCATGCCCGTGTATCGTATCCGGAACCAGCAACCAGCGGTAGCGCGACCCATCCTCCCTGGTCGTCTCCCACGCAAATCTCTCGTCCCCCTCCGTGATCAACACCCCCTTTCCGGCCTCCTCCTGCCGCCCAACCACCTCGTCCAGCCCGGGTATCCTCCTGCCCGCAAGCTTGCACGCCATGCGCCACGCATCCGGGCTAGCATGTCCAGCTCGCACGCAATGAAAAATATATGCTTCGGCAGGCTCTCCCGCGCCGCGAAGATGGGGCTCACGAGCGGGTCATCCAGCCTCGTGCCGGGGTTCAAATAAGCCCAGTTGAACAGCCCGCTCATGGCGAGCAGGAAATCCTCGTCCTTGCCCCTGAACCCGCCCAGGGCCGGTTTATACCGCCTGCCGCGCGCCTTCTGCTCGCTCGTTGTCGTGCGGTCAGTTAGCGGATAGAAGGGCACGGCGGCGTGGATGCGGCCTTGCAACGACGGCAGCTGGCTCGCTGCGAGGACGAGGTTGCCGCCCGCCGACCACCCCGCTAGCGCGACGCGGTTGGTGTCGACCGGGAGCGAGGAGTCGGAGAGGACGCACCCGATCAGCGTCTCCACGTCGTAGATGGGGCCCGGGAAGGGGTTGCCAGGCGCTTTGGCGTAGTTGAGCGCGACTACCAAGAAGGAGTTCCGTGTGGAGAAGGTGCGGTTCCAGTTGTCGTTGTCGTTGGCGCTGCCGACGACGAAGCCGCCGCCGTGGATGGTTAGGAGGGTGGGGAGTTTGGTGCTGGTGGCCCCCTTGGTGGAGGGGTTGTGGCCCGGTGGGAAGAAGATGCTGGCTCCGGTGTGAGCTTAAGTCTCGCTCACTGATAGTGGCGATAATAGGGGGGCGCTAACTCACCGAATTGGCAGAGACTTCCGCACTGGGTAGGTCTTGACCAGGTCGGGCTCATTGGGATCTGGTGGGACGAAATACTTCTTGGTCGCCTTGATCCATAGCCTCGAGTTTGTGAGCAACTTTTGCAGCACAAACGCGATGAGGGAGTACTTGAGGCGCTCAGGAAGGGACACCGGTGGGGCCACGAGACGGCCCGTCTCGCTGCTTCCGGGGGCAACTGTTGCCCCGTCTGCCGCTACGGCCGCCGCGTCTGCCATCCTGTTAAAGATGCAAAAGGGTTATAGGAAATGGTGTGGACGGCACGTTACAAACGCTGGAGAAGGGGGAGCCATCGCCGTTTTTGATGACTTCATTACCAGTGCCCGACTTACCTCGGCAGTCGGGGGCGAGGGCGGGCTGCCGGGCCACCAGCGTTATCCGGTACAGGGATGGTGAGTCTAGGAGAACATACCTACTCCATACAAATACGCAGCCATGTATGCAAATAAAGTGGTCTATGATCTCCCTGCGTGCAAAACGATTCAGAAACGCATATCGGTGGGGTGGGGCCGCCTCGGTTTCGGCTCCGCAACCGACGGGTCATAACGTTACTGGTAACCGCATCGATGGCGGTCTCGTCATGATCGTACAATACCAGTTGCGTAAAAACATGGAATGTTATCCTTCAGAATGGGTCAAGTTCCGCTTCCACTCCACCGTCAACAAACTGTAAATTCCCGGAGCGGTAATGACACGTTGTTTGAGATTTCGTCATTGAAAAAGTGCATACCGTCTCCAAGCCCGGAAATTTCAGCCGAGTGGCAGAGCAGACCTCGAAACGGGCTCATACTTCCTTCCATTCTCATCATCACTGACTGCCAGTGGTCTCCAATACTAAGGTAGTATCAACCAAATCACTGTGGTGCATCCGTACGATCCCACAGGGTCTGACACGCAAATCATCACTATCATTCTAGTAGGAAGTCATCGTTGCCCCCTCCCGTCCGATCAGGAAACACCTCCCTCATTGTAAGGACAGGTTCAGAAGTCTTCTTCCTCACTGAAACGACAGGTGACATTCTCCTGGAATGCCTGAACGGACTCGGAGACGGTGTCCTGCGCGCGAGACGCACCGGAGCACTGAGCAGGTGATCCCCTACGGTCAACTCTGAAATCTGCCCCGGTACGAGATTGTGCCGACTGAGGGTAATCAGCCTGGCTAGATCCTCCGTGAAGAGAGGCATACTCGTGATCGCCCGTGTACTCTCCCCGGGGTTTTGGTGAGCAAGACCTTGACGACAGGCACTAGCTTCGTGTCATTGACGATGGGCCGAAACCGCTCCATGACTGTGTTGAGATTATTGTGCAGGGGACGAACGTCAAACCAGGAGATCGAGTCGACAATGCAATAAATGCAGGTGTCGACGGGAAACTGGTATAGCAGCGAGTGCAAGACGAAGCATAGGCCCACGAGCGAGTGTTCCTCCAGATCCTGCAGCAATCCGCGGTCGTCGATGAAATCCTGGTCCCAGGTCTGCATGTTTGGGTCTCTGGCGTCCAGCTTCATGAGCAGCTGCATGATGAGCGAACGGACGAGACCGGGCGGCCCGTACCACGCGTCCTTGGGCCAAGCATGCATGCCGCAGAAGAAGTGAACAACAATGGCCGTGTCTGCGTACGCCTGCATCAGGCTGGTCACTAGGGTGCTGCTGAGTACCGAGATGGCCGATAGGCCTTCCAGCGAAGATTCGCGAATGTTGGCGTCGACCAGCATGAGGGATGGGTGTGAGGAGGATAGCCAGTCGAGAAACTGTGGATGCTCGAGGAGCAATTGGACTTGGCCTTGAGACTTCATGGACATCTGCCCTGTTCGGCGAGGGCGTGTCGCAAATCATTGCTGTGATGTTGGAACAACGACTCGAGAGTCGGGGCTTTGTCTGAACTGTGTGCAGACAAGGGTTGGGCCAGGATGCTGCAGAGCTGGGTAAGGTTCACGATGACGGTGTGTCTCGAGATGTGGGATGCTTCAAGTTGCTGTCGTAGCGCAACTATCTCAGCCATCTCAGCCTTCCGCTCTTTTCCACGTCGTGTAAGTCAGCCTGGTTTGACAAAGACCACCATTGTTGGCTATAGCCGTCACAGCACCGTGGTAACTCACGTTTCGACTCCATAATGAACTCCAAAAGCAGAGTTCTATTTGATGCTTGCATCTCAGCCATCAGTTTCTCAGCAAGCAGTTTCAGCCCTGTCTCAGCCCCGCGCATGGCTCTGAGAACGTCGGCACGGAAGTTTTCTTCCTTCTGGCGTTGTTTTCTCTGAATGGTGGCGTCTTTGTCTGCCCTTTTCTTCTCTTCGTCTGCCCATTTCCTCAGATAGCTGGTGTCTTGATGGACAAGAGCTGTGTTGGCGGCGGTGAGGTGGCTATACACTTCTGTTCTTTCTGTTGCGTGATCACGGGCCAGGTTGACTGCACCGTTGTATCCGTTGATGTGCTCCCTAAGGGCCTGCAGGATTGCATCCACTGTCGGCGGAGGCTGTTGGCTCTCATTGCCACGCTTCAGCCTAGTTGCAAGCTTGGTCCCTGCGTGATAAGGTATTTTGGCTCAGTCAAAGTCCCGTCGTTCGTTATTAGTGCAAAACCCTGTTATCACGGACACCTACTGAGAGACTGCTCCATTTTTGACAGCACCAGGGCCAAGTCCTCAATGGCTTTGACGATTGCTTGGTACAGATCTGCAGCAGACTGTTTGACTTTTGGATCGACTCCAAAGCAGGCACAGTCCAGTCATAGCTCGAGTAGTGCATCCCTGAGAGCTTCGAAGGTGTCGAAAACCTTCTCCCGTTTGTCTCGGGAGTTTTCGGCAAGCTAAGGTAACCGCAAACCGAGCTTCCTTGTCAATTCAATGCTTAGCGGGAAGACTAGTACGGGAAGGGGACGAACCTTGAATACGAGCGCAATTCCTGCCTTGATGACTGACAAGCCGTAATCGTCGGGGATTACCAAGTCCTCCACGTTCACGCCACCCATCCCGTACCACAAACGGTGCCATAGACCTCCATTGAACTTGCTGTAGGCTTTTTCCATGACACCAATCCGATGGCAGAGATCGTCGTCAATGGTGGTGACCTGGTTGCGCAGGGTTTGCGCGACATACTCCTTCAGCGCATGCTCCAGCTGTCTGATAGGGGGATGATTAGTTTTGTCCAAATGGGCCGAACTTCGTGCTTACGCATAAGGCCTGAACTCTGGCACAAACTTGACATGCTCCACGTCAAGGTGTGAGGAACCCCCGAAATCAGTGTGCAGCTCTGCTGCTCGGCCAGCGACGTAGCTGCCCACCACAGCGACCTCTTGTCTGCCGGGCTGTAGCCAGTTGAGGCCGCGGCCCGTTAGCTGCGATGCCATGACGCTGATTGTTCGGTGAGCCGAAAGGATTACTTAACCCTTTTCCCGAACTCCGAAGCGTCTATCTAGTGTGAGGACAAACAGAGAGCCGGGAAAGGCAAGGAGGGGAAATGGTTCTTTCTTCGAAGGCAGAGTGGCGGATTCACTAACACAAATTCTGGGCACAAGACTCTGAGGACTCCTCCGTCCATGTCATCTGCATAAGTACCATAACGTTTCACAAGATGGACAGGTAGAGGCCCAGTAAAGGCATCTGACACCCTCCTTCACGATGATCGGCGACCCGGATATAGCCACGGCAGACATGATTGTCCCGTGAGCGAGCCAACTGCATCTACAGGCCGGAGTTCCCTGCCCATCAGACGCAGAGAACTGCAGAGTCGGGTTCTCCAATCAGGGAGCAGAACTATCGGACGGACCGGTTGTTGACTGGTATCGGCCGCATAAGGTAGGTTCAGCTCCTGCAATATTGTCGGTCCGCGTCTGTCGAGCTTATCTTGTATATGCACTTGGATGTCGCACGCGTTCCCTTTCAGTCCTGTTGTATTGCACAACCCTCAGCTCCTGCGACAGGGCTCACTTAGCGGCCAAGTCTATACTCCCACCGGGATATCGCGGCGTCGCACATTGCTCCGCTCCCGAGCCTTGTCCTAATGTTGGGACTTTCAGGTATAACACAGCATCAATCAGAGTTGAAAGAGCCGGTACCCGACAAGCTCGAGACATCGCCGACGTCTCTCTCCTATGAGAAGTAAGTGCTTCCAACTCCAAGCCTCTGCGTCCTCGCCTTCTCAAAACGCATCGCACATCGTGTCCCGATTCTGGCCTAGACATTGTCCTCTGTTTCGTTGCCGCTGGACACTTTCACGCTATGACCCCTGAGGAGAGCCCAGCGCTTCAGGCTTCCGAACCTGCTTTGACTCTTTCAGATGGCTCATCCTCTCTTGAAAACCTAAACTAACCCGGCGAAGCACCTGGAAAAGAAGGCGTGCCGGAGGAAGGGGCGCCAAATGAAGAAGACCAGTGGAAGGCCCAGCGTGGGAAGATACCGCTCCGAGCCGACGTGGAATGGCTCGACTTCGAGCATTTCAAGAACCGCTATTCCGAGAAGGAGGGTCTTGCTATCATCGAAGTCCTTTGCGGCCATTCGCAAATCGCTCATGAGGTCGTCCGAGAAACCATGAGATGGGTCTGTGAAATAGGCTCGGCCAGCGATTCAAATACGAGCAGGTATCCACCCGAGCTGCGCTTAAGGCTGAGGAAGACGGCAATCCGCTCAAGGTGTTAGACCTTGATGACGACGACCTGCTGCTGCTGCCTCGCCGCGTTGTCGCCTACGCCTTCCGCGAGCGCCGATTCGTCATGCTCGATATCCTTTCGCTGAAGGAGATCGAAACTTCGACCAACGTCTTCGAGGACCTCAAGATTAACGAGCGGCACAAGAGATTGGTCACATCGCTGGGGAAATCACATCTCGACAAAAAAGCGGTCCAGAAGCTCCGCCCCAGTGTCAGTCTGAATCAAGACCTCATCCGTGGCAAAGGCTCTGGGCTGGTAATCCTGCTCCATGGTGTCCCCGGTGTCGGCAAGACTGCTACAGCGGAAGCTGTTGCCCAAGCTAACCGGAAGCCCTTGTTTGCCATTTACGTGTGGGGATCTTGGCTTCACCCCGACGCAGGTCGAAGACTCCCTCAAGGACATCTTTCGTCTAGCGCACCTCTGGGACTGTGTCCTTCTGCTTGACGAGGCGGATATTTCCCTATCCCGCCGGGAACTGGGAGACCTCAAACGCAATGCGTTGGTCTCGGGTAAGGACCCAAAAATTTGCAGGCTTAGAGGTCTATCCCCTGTTGTGTCACTGGTCCGCTAATAGGGATTCCTCATCACCAAGTGTTCCTCCGTGTCCTCGAGTACTACAGTGGTATCTTGTTTCTTACGACCAACCGGGTCGGCACTCTGGACGAGGCGTTCAAATCCCGGATTCACGTCAGCTTGCATTACCCTCCGCTCAACAAGCACCAAACACTCGAGATCTTCAAAGTCAACATCAGAAAGCTTCGGGAAATCGTAAAGGAGAAGCAGAAGCTGCAAGACCAGTTGGAGTCCAATACAACGAAGCAGCATAAGATTACTATCGATGCTCAAAGCATCCTCCATTATGCGAAATGGCACTTCGACGTCAACGAGGAGACTCCGGAGCAGAGATGGAATGGCAGACAAATCAGGAATGCCTTCCAGATTGCCTACTCGCTTGCGCAGTTTGACTTGAATGGTGCGGCCCCAGATCAGGGAAATTGGGCAGACGAACGCAGTACTACTACAGCAGGCTGCCTTAGGACTGGCGACGGAAGGTTGGACTATCGACAATTCGAAACGGTCGCCGACGCCGTCGCGGAGTTCGAGAATTATCTAACCCAGGCGACGAACGGGACAGACGCCGACCGAGCCCGCAAGGATTTCACCCGGGATGATTACTTCGACTCCCGCCGGCAGTCGCAGAGGCCTGCCTACAACCCGCCGGTATACCAGCGGCAGTTGTTGCCGAGCTCTCAAGCGGAGCGACCCAGGTACCGACCGCCTCCAGCACGCCGTGGCGAGCAACCCACTCCGACAAGGAAGCAGTACCGGCCTAGGCCTACCACACAGCAGGCGCACGACGGCAGGCCACAACAGCGTCCAGCGAATGTCATGAGCAGCGGCCCTATCAGAAACAGCCCCGTCCCGCGGAAGCACCCAAATGCCCGCGCCGGTATGGCGAGGGCAGGACCAGGACAGCAAGAGCAGCAGCAGCAGCAGCAGCAGCAGTCACGGACAACCAACGCTCGCAACCCGATCCCTAGACCTGCCCGGCTCGCCGGCGCCAAGTGCAGCGACTCTGGATATTCTGGATGGAGCAGTGCCACGGCCCGCTCCCCTGGCCCTGACCTTCTTGGTGCGTCCCAAGACTGGCAACTCGATGAGCAAGACGTCGCTGTGGATGGTGAGTATCAAGATCAAGATGACGGGTCGTATGAGGATCGGGATGAGAGATATGGTGGTAGTGGGCAGTACGAGGGGGACGGTGACCGGTATGGACCCCGCGGCGAGGATCAGCCTGTTTATGATGACTTGGATGGGATTGATGGCGAGGACGGGCAGTATCTCGATGACGACGAGGACCAGGAGCGGTGGCCGAAATGAAGTTGTGGCAGCTGCGACAATTGGCCCCCCCGGCTCAATCTGACTAAAACGAATCGTATACAACTTCGATCTCGGTTGCTTGTTTCCCCCCGTCTTCTTTACATGGGATACCTTATCTTTTTCCCTTTATCCCGCACTCTGTTACTATTTCTCATTTTCCTCTTCTCTTCTCTCCTACTTAGGTCTCTTATACCTTTTTTCTCCTTTTGTGTGATGTATTCGTGTTGCGCTAGATTTGGTGGTCCAGGTTTCGAAGACCGAGTATGGCCTTTTTTGACCTTATCCTGCGCGGTCTCGGCAGCCACGTGGGAGCTAAGCTGAGGGTTAGGGGTCTGGTTATGATGTCATGAGCACATCAAACAAGCAATGGGAGAAACATGCTCGCGTCAACTACTAAAGGGTATACCTTCTAGATTATGCACCTGCAATTCGACTCCAACGTCTCCTGTCCACGCCGCACGCTATCTAACAATTGCCCAAGTTATTGACCGTGGCTTCCATCTAGGCTTCCTCAGAAGAAGAAATACCCATCCCCGTTACCAAGCCGAAAGCCAACCAACTTTACGCCAACATTGAACATCAGCTGGAGCCACCATGACCCGGTTCCCACTCCGCTCGATTTCCACCATCTCCAGGCTGTCCCCTGCATGTCGGAGGTCAGCGGGGCCGACACACCCCTTCCGTCCGACAGTCCGCAACTACAGCAACGGCAGCACCTCGTCCCCCAAGTCCGCCGAACGAGCGAGCGCCAACAGCGGCGGCTCGCGCAGCAAAGAGGCCAAGGAGACCGGGTCGAGCCCCACGGCGGGGGCGATCCCGGACGCGCTCTCGGAGGGCGACATGCGCGGCGCGACGGGGGGCGGCACGCCACTCGACAGCTCGCACGACGCGCCGCCGCAACCCAAGATCAGCAACGCCAGCGTGCCGGGCTCGCGGCCGCAGCTGACGCCCGAGCAGCAGGCCGAGGTGGACGAGCACAACCGCGACTTTGAGAACAAGCATGGCAAGGCGCAGCCGGCGGGCGATGATAAGGTTGATAAGAGCTTCTGGAGCGGGAAGGGGTCGCGGTATAATAAGGCCTGATTTTTATTATTTTGAGTAAGAAGGGAGGAGTGATGATAAGGAGGAGTGTTATGGGTTGGTGCGGATAGGAGTTGTTTGCAAGTGTCTGCTTCGGCATGATAGCGGGATAATCAGCCGAGCTATGGAGTTTGTGAATACTATCTAGATCTCTCTATACATCGGGTTGATTACAAAGTACTAAGTAAGACGTGGCGATGCACGTGAGATACAAATCTGATGTTCATTGAGGAGACGAGTTACTATGAGAATGGCCTTGTCATGACCTGGAGGAACTGGTTATTATCAAGAGTTTGGGCGAGGATCGCTGAAAGAGGGAAGATTCGAGAGGATGGCACCAAGCCACATTCCATCCCCATGTTTTTGTCATCTTTGTTCAAGACATCTGTCTAACCAGCGCCTCCAGACATCAACTGGTAGCAATAATGAAAAAGAGCCTCAATCTTCGAGCAGTTGAGACTATGTCTCCTCAGTTTCCCCCCTCTCATTGTATCATTCGGCACCGTCAAACTCCCTGGTCAGCCTTGTTCAGCACGATGGAATCAAGATGCCCACTTGGCGTGTTTGCCCCTGCCCCTGAACACTAAGTCAGATGGCATCCATCATCTATTGAGAACCCGAGTCCCTTGACCAATTTGCTGGCATACATGTTGATGCGGCAGCAGTACCCTCCTCTTATTGAATGCACACAAAATCAACGTGGTGAGAACATTTGATGTTGTTGGCCTGGGCACTCCACGTGCCAAGTTGATTCAGGGAAGCTTCGAGTAGGGTGTACAGATAGCAGCACTTCATGGGAGGCGGAGGATGATGAATCAAAAAGAAAAAAAAATCATCGACTTACCCCTCCGGAGGAGGGTGCGCACCCCAGGACAACCGTGGGCAGTGGTAGAAGAGCAGATATTGCCCTACAACACGGATTGCACCGGCGACCAACCCAAGGGTTGAATTGGGGACCCATAGAGCCGGTCAACGGGACGTGGAGCCGCAACACCCGCTCCCCTGACCACTTCGCCGAACGGCGTCCTGGGGCTTGGTTAACCACCCACCCCGCCGGCCGGCATATATGGGAAGGCAGGTGCTCTCCCATGGGCAGGACCCGCTTCGTATTGTACAATGAACAGCCGTCGTGTATTACGGCCCGTGTCAGCGCAAGCAACCCATATTACGATAGATCCCGGCGGATGCCGGGGCTCTGGAATGTGCCTGGGCGCCGGAATGTTCGCATTCCGGAGCCGCTCAGCCGCATACCAACACCCGACACTCGGTTCCTTCCGCCTTGATGCCCTGACATGAAGCGTGATGAATTCAAGCCCATCACAATATGTCAGAGAAGAAGAACGAAACGGACAGCATGGGCCACAAGCTATCAAGATTACTATATCTATAAGAGCAGTATAGTTTCAACTTTCAAGTCCTTTCGATCACACGACAGAATGACCAGGACTGGCAATCCCGGGCCTGCCAACAGCGACCGCTCCAAAGTTCAGGTTAGGCAGCGGTGATACGAAATGATGGAGGATTGAGTCTACAAAATCGTACAGCGCAGTCGTATTCCGCAATGCACACCACATTCGGTTGTCGAACAAGCAGCGTTCCGTTCCTGCGGGGTTGCCGCCTAGAAATTCTACTAGCAATACGACGTTCCGTGCTTGTCCATATTTACGCACCTGCAATGACGTAGTAAAATCTCCCGCTCTTTTCCCCAAAGTCAAACCATCGTGAACATCTCACATCGCCAACAATGGCTGCTGATTTACACCTCCCCCGCCAACTGCCAGGAGCTTACAAGACACTGACCGCCGAGTGCCACTGCAGATCCGTCCACTTCCGCGTCACCGTTCCGACATCCGCGCTCCCTCTCCCGGTGCACCTCTGCCACTGCAGCATCTGCCGCTTCACCCATGGCTCGCTCTGCTGCTTCCACGCTCCCCTGCCGAAAGGCATCGAGCCCGAGTTCATCGCGCCCTCTTCGCTAGAGTCTTCGGTCACGGGCTACATCCACTCGCCGCAAGCGGCGTCGGAGCGCTTCTTCTGCAGCACCTGCGGCTGCCACATCGGCGACAGAGACGTGAAGCCGGACCCGGAGACGGGCAAGCCCGAATGGCGCGTCGCAACCTCCATCTTCGCGGCCCACGGCGAAGACACGTTCCAGATCCGCTCGCACTGGATGAGCGACGCCGCCACCGAGCCCAACCTGTCCACCTGGCTGCCCGCCATCAACTCGCGGCCCGTCCACGTCCACAACCCGCGCCCGGACGACCCCAACTTCCCCTTGGCCGCCGCCGCCGGCCGCCAGGCCGCGAAGCCAGAAGGCCTCCCAGACGGCAACGACGTGCTCCTCGCCCAGTGCCACTGCGGCGGCGTGCGCTTCACCATCCCCCGCCCGTCCGCCGAAGAAGTCGCAGACCCGTTTCTCTCCCGCTTTCTCCGGCCCAGTCCCACCCCTTCCACCACCACCATTACCACTGAGTTTAGGTCTAAGACTGAGAGTCAGAGTGAAAACGGACCATGCACCCGTCTCACAGGCCAGCCCACCCTAAAACGCGTCGCAACAATCTGCCTATGCCGCGACTGCCGCCTCACAACGGGCACCCACGCCGTAGCATGGACAGCCGCACCGCTGAGGTCCCTCTCCCCGCCGATCCCGCCGTCCTTGCAGGGCGGGCTGGGGATGGATGGCACGATGACAACGCTCAAGAGCTACCGCTCCTCGGAGAGAGTCCGGCGCGGCTTCTGCGGCGTGTGTGGCGCCACGGCGTTGTATGCGCTGGACGATGACGACTGGGTTGCGCCTAGGAGCGAGAGCGAGGAGGAGGAGAAGCGGGTGGTGGAGATTGCCGTGGGCATTCTGAGGGGTTCTTCTTCTGATGACTCGGTGGTGGCAGTCGAAGGGTGGTTGGCCTGGCGGACGGGCCGGTTGGCTGGGTTGGAGACGGGGAGGGAGTTTGATCCCGGATTTGCTGATGCGTTGGCGGAGGGGTTGAGGGAGTGGGGTGTTAAGAGGCATGGGGAGAGCGTGAGTTTTGATATACCGCAGGAGCAGTAGGAGGGTTAGTGTGTCTGCTGTTATGTGGGATGGAAGATCAAAGAGTAGGTGACTTATATCGTATCTATCCCAGGTCATGATATTCATCAATCCATACGCTAAGCTACCTGGTACCAAGGACAGTTCCATAACTTCCATTACTGCTCACGACGTCAACCACCTTCTTCTTCTACTTGAGTGTCTGTCCACTTCATCAATTCTCCCCCTCGTAGCATCATTGATCCGACAGCCCCCGACCGAGATATCCCACCAGCCTACCTCCTCAGCTTCCCCCACCGTTATGTCTCCCCGGCTCAAGCCCATCCGTAATCGTGGCATGCGACCCCATCGCATCCGGGTCATCATCCATCGCACTGCCCGTGGCAATGCTCACGCTATCCCACCGACGCTCCTGGTGCTGTTCTGCGTCGTGATGATGATGATGATAATGATGATGCTGGCTCTCCAAGTGGCAGCCGTCATACGGCGGCGGCGGATCGGCGAGCGCAGCCCCAGAGGAGCAGCAGGAGGAGGAGGCCGCCGTGGTGCCGTAGTCGACGGCTCGGGCCGACATGGCAGCTTCTTCCTTCATGGCGATCTCGACGTTCTTCCTCGCTCGCCGTCGGCGGTAGTTGAGGTAAGCCAGCAAGCCCGCCACGAGCAGGCAGAAGGCAACGGAGCCCACGACTATGGCTGCGATGACCCCAGGGGAGAGGTGCGCGTGGTCGTCGTCGTCCCGGTCTCGATCTCGATCCGGGTCGTCCTGGAAGGGATCACCGTCGTTGTCATTGTCATTGTCGGGGCCTCGGAAGGGCGGGAAGGACGGCGGACTGCTCAGGTCTGGCGTATACCACGGTTGAGTGACGCTGATCGTTCGGGTGCCCCAGAGTAGAGTCGGGTCCGCCATGATGATGATGTAAGTGGGGAGAGGGTGCTTTCCGGGATGGGGATGGAATCAGGAAAGAGAAGGTTCAGACGACCACTTCCCGGGGGTTCCGGTCTCCCCAATGCGCCCCCGTTGGCTCTTAATACTAGTATAGACCCCAAGTGGACAACCGAGACACATACTGCATTTCGGGTCTGGTCAGAACTCCGAGAACCCACCACCAATCGACCAACTCTGTGCTCTCTCGCCGCTCGTCCGGTTACAACTGGGACAGGAAAGCTGTGATACTGCGCCACACAAAAACTGTCGGCAGCCGGAGACCGGATGCCCGCCCCGTATGCATGGTGAGAAGCGCCATCGGAGACCCGCCACTTTGCTTGTCCGCGGCGAATCGATAACCGGCTGTGTTGCGTCTCTCTTGCTGTGATTGGCGTGAAGTGTCTTGCTTTGTGTTCCCCTCTGAAACATGGTCCCGAAAGAGGTGTCAGCAGAGAGTGTGACGGATGCAACGGCGGCTGCCGGTGATCTTCTGAATCCCGAGGAAGAATGCTGCGATATTTAAATACCGCTTCCCTTATGTGTTGTACAGCAACCAATCCCACGAAACCTTTTACTGTTGGGGCCAAAGTAAGTAGGAGATAAGCATGGCCGCGGGAAGAGGTGTTACAGGGAAGCCGAGACGCACATTGACACGAAACCAAGAGTTCGTTGTCGCATATTTCAAGAGACATACTTATCTAAGCTCGCAGAGTATCGTTGCCCTGACACATCAAGATACCAGCGCCCAGCATCATACCGCAAAGTGTCAACAGCACCAACTCAATGGAACCGCATCGTGTAGAGATTCCATCACCGATTGATCCTCTCTATAGCTCCGCCTCGTCCATATTCCTGACAAACAGCAGGAACCAGCGCACGGCGTTGACATGATTCGCCACGCTCACCTTCTCGTTGACAGTATGGATCCCCGAACCCAAGCCGGGCTCGTCCTCGGGATCGAAGCCCGGCGCAAAGCGGAAGATGTGCCGCGTCAGGTCCCAGTAGTAGCGCGTGTCGGTGTTGCCCGTCATGATGCCCGGCGTGACGACCACCTCCTCGCCGTACAGCGCGCGCGTCGTCCCCGCCAGGACCGAGAACGGCCGGCTGTCGCTGCCGCTGGCCGGCGTGACCGGCGCAACCTCGAGTTCGTGGCCTGGCGATGGCGCGAGCGTGATGATGGAGGATGCCGATGATTCCGCGGCACCATCACCATCATCCGCTTCCTCCTTGCTGTCTTCGAAGGCGTGCAGCGTGAGGTTGTGCTTCTTGGCCAGCTCCGCAGCGAGCGCGGTGAGCCGGTCCTTGACGACCTGCGTGGTCTCGCCGACGTTGATGCGGTGGTTGACGACCGCCGTGGCCCGCTCGGGCAGCGCGTTGACCTTGATGCCGCCCGAGATCACGTCGACGGCTTGCGAGGTCTGCATGAGGTACTTGATCTCGGGGCCCTGCTTGGCGGCTTCGAGCGCGAGCTCATCCTTATTACTATGGATATGGCAGGCTCCTCCCACTCCCATCTGGGTCTGGGAGGAAGAAGACTGGCGCTGGCTCAGGAGCCTCTTGAGCTTGTCGGGGAATTCGGGAGCGTATGCCGCGCCGCACTGCAGCTGTGTGTAGTAGGGGTTCGAATCCACCAGGCGAGTCCGGTACTGGCTGGCCTCGATCTTGGTGATCAGCTCGCTGAGGATGCCGATGCTGGTGTGGTCCCGTGGCACCGAAGAATGCCCGCCGGGCGTCTGGATGGTGATGTGCACGTCGGTGTAGCCCTTCTCGGCGGTGCCCGGCTTTGCGAAGAGCGTGCCCCAGGCTTTCTCAAAACCGCTGCCCTCGTCGACAATCACAGCGATGCCGTCCTTTCCGTACCGCTTCTGGATGAAGGCCGAGAGGGGTGCCGCCCCTCGCAGGCCAGAACACTCCTCGTCAAAGCCAAACGAAAGCAGGATCGTCCGCCTGGGCTGGAAGCCGGCCTCGAGGAGGAGCTCAAGCGTCTCCATGGCAGCAATCAGCTGGTTCTTGCAGTCGCTGGCGCCGCGACCCCAGATGTACTTGCCGTCGTAGGCGCCGCTCCACGGCGGGTACGTCCAGGAGCTGATGGTCTCGGGCGGAACGGGCACCGTGTCCTGGTGGGCCATGAGCAGTGTCGGCTTGAGCGAGTCGTCGCTGCCTTGCCATGTGTACAGCAGGCCATGCGTGTTGACTTTCTCCACCCGCAGCTTCGTGTGGATGAGAGGGAACGTCTTCTCCAGGTACTCGTGGAAGCGGTAGAAGACGTCCCATCGCGCGTCCTCACCGATGGCGCCGAGGTCGTCGAACGACTCGGTCTTGACCTGGACCGCGCCCGAAAGGCGACGGACCGTAGCATTCCTAAATGCGCTGCTGGCGACGTGATTGTAGACTTCATCGAGCTTCGAGTCTTTGCTGGGGAGCAGAGGTACGGGCTGGTCGCATCCGGATTTGAAATCATGTTTTATCCCCGCTGTCGGAAGGAGGGACGTAACGTCGGGAATTGGAAACCACAAGATAACCGTGAAGAAGAGCACAATGCATAGGCTCACAAACTGGCAGGAAGCGAACCGTGGTTGTCTACGTCCTCTATACGGAGAGTCCGCTTCGAGGGGTAGAACTGGCGCCGCTCCTGACTTCATGATCGTTGACTGGCAAAGATTAAGGACCGTTGTGAGTGTCGAGCCGACGAAGGACGCCGGTATAGGTTAAATTCACTTCACAAAGTGGGGCCGGAATCCCGTCGTGGGTCAATGATCAAGAATCCGTGACGACCTGCTGTTTTGGGACAGGAGGCCATCGATCTCAAGATAACGAAGGCGTTCCTGTCACATAATAGGTGACTTACTGTATTCTACTCCGCAATCTCCAGATACTTATGTTAAAGCCGGTGGCCGGGAATAAATGCAGCCCCGCCGACGAGTCTGATCTGCCTCTACATGTAGATACAGAGTAACTAAAGCTTTGAATTATTGCGAGATGCTCTATTTTTCAGCCTTGAATCGATTCTTTTAGTCCAAGAGAGAAGGGCATAAAGCATGAAAAGGCTTTCGATGGGGTGAAAGAGCCAAGCAAGTAAAATCCTGTCGAAAAGAAACAGAAAAGGAAAAGGAGAAAGGAAATATAGAAAAAAGAAGAAAAGCTTAGAAAGTGAACCGAAGAAGAAGGAATAACTATAGGAAAGGAAGAAAAGAAAGTAAGAAAGAGAGGCAAAGGGAAAAGAAAACACTATTAGCAGCGTCACTTAGTAGTCGATGGCCCCGGACCCTCAAGTACGTTGCCACCTCTGAACAGGACATCACAGGACACCTCGAAATGATCAAATGATTTGAATGGTCCAATGTCGTTATTTTGTTGCAGTGATTGTCAAACTCCAACTAACATACCTACTATTTAAACAAACCGACTTCATGGAATCTGACCCAACCAACCGATCAACCAGACTTCAGCCAAAACACTTTCCACAAACAAACCCCTCTGCGTACGACTTCAAAATTAACAATCATATCCACGATTCCACCATGGCAGAGAAGATGTCCGAAAACACATGCCGCACTGAGGCTACTCTCTGGAAGGAGATTCGACAATATCTCGAGCACAAGGTCAAGGAAGACACGCCGCAGCCCCCCTTCGCCGTGTGTCCCATATGCCGACTCAATGAACTCGACATCTTGGGTATCCCGCCATCGCCATCGTCATCGGGATCCGACGGCAACCTCGCGCAGGGCGCCATCCTTGTCTGCGGACACATGACCTGTCGCGACTGCATCCGGGACTAGTACACTCGGTGCAGAGCCGACCAACGCGCCATCACCTGCCCGATGTGCCGGCTCGGCATGAAGTTCGAGGGCCGCGACTGCGCGCATGTCGGCGCGCCCTTCCCTATCCCGACCTCGCGCAGCGCGGAAGACCAGAGAAACTCGAACTCCATCATCAGCGAGTTTCTCCAGCGATTGAGCCCGACCATCAGCGAGCGCGGAACAAAGCCGCCGAGGTGCAACCGGTGTCGGTCTGCAAAGGCCGACCTGCTTGGTGCGGTAGTCGGACCGCAGATCGAGCAGCGGAGGGAGGAGATGGTGAGCTCCGGGCAGTTCTTCCAGGCCGAGGTGATCTTCATGCAAAATGCCAACTTCGCCAGGCTGATTTCCATCTTCGTTCGGGAGACCAGCAATTCCACCTGGGGCGAGGCCGACGATGGTTGATGCTTTTTGTGCCCTAAGCATAGCATAGTGAGGGAGGCTGAAGGTACCTACCAAGTACTTAACATCTAACGCACTGGACAAACATCACCCTACATCCCTTTTGATTTTGAGAAGAACCGAAGGGAGTGTTAGTTAATACTACCTTAGCTACTAGTAGTACTACTAGTACCTGACTGGGCTAGTAATATACCCCTTTTTCCCTACCATCGTAGATACACACACAGCCCTTTACAAACCAAAGAACTTCATATCGTCGCTGCCGCGGATGGGCACCGAGTGGCCGACGCCCTGGGCATAGACGCCGACCAGCTTGTCGCCCCAGGTGTAGGTGGTGTAGCGGGCCTGGGGCGTGTTGGGCAGCGTGGCGTCCGGGCGGGTGTAGTCGTAGCCGAAGACGCCGCACCACTGCTTGATGGTCTCGTTGTAGTTGGCCGCGTAGAGCGTGGTGTCGGCCGAGCCGTGGTAGATCTGCATCTTGGGCCGCGCGCCGCCGTAGCCCGGGTACATGTCGAAGACCATCTTGGCCCACACTTCGGGCGTGCCGCGCGCCTGCCCGTTGGCGCACGAGTTGTTCCACTGGTTGACGCCGCCGGACTGCGAGTAGAAGCAGCCGGCCGCGGTGCCCGAGTAGACGATGCCCGCGGCGAACAGCTCCGGGTAGGTGGCTGCCATGACGTTCTGTATAACTGTGAGTACTATACTAGTACTACCAGACTACTAGTAGTAGTACTTTGCTAGGTCACGTACCGTCATCATGGCGCCGGACGAGCTGCCCGTGACAAACACCTTGCTGGCGTCGCCGTTGTACTTGTTCAGCGTGTAGGTGACCATGTTGGCGATCGAGTTGCTGTCGCCGCCGCCGTTGTGCGTGAGCGCCGACCGCGACGAGACATCCCAGCACGTGCCGCTGTAGGGCGACTCCGGGTAGATGACGATGAAGCCCTTCTGGTCGGCCAGCTGCGCATACGGCGACCCGCTGTAGTACGCCTGCGCCGTTCCCGTGCAGTAGTGGATGGCCACGATGACGGGCGGCTTCGCGGCCAGCTTGTTCGGCACGTAGATGTACATCTTGGTGTTGGAGCTGTTGGGCCCGAAGTCGTTGACGCGCGTGAGAGCAGCCTGGGCGCGCCGCAGGGGGGAGCTGGGCTCCATCAGCTGGTCAAACACCGGGTGCGCCGCGACGATGCTACCAGTACTGCCCATGAGGGCCAGCACGGCTGACAGACAGCTCAGAAGCTTCATCGTAGATTGTTGGGTTGTCAAAGATAATACTACCAAATAGTCCGGAATGTCTGATGGGCGCGGTGGTTAGCGGATTAGCGGACGGGCATCGGCTGTGTACCAGGTATTTAACTCTTCACGTTCTCTGTGAACATCCATCGTCTCCGCCACAGACCCAACCCCCGCGGGATCTCATAAAGATACAGACCTCCCTTCCCCCGCTGCCTTCGGTTGCTGGAGTTGATGTTTCGGAACATATGCAAGTCCAATCGGGAAGGGATCAGATACAGGGCCCCTATTTACCCGGATGCTTAGCCCTGCCCTGCCCTGCCCGGGTGGGTCTGGGGGGAGGAGGCCTTAACGTTAACCAAGGCATCGTTCCATCTGAAAGCTCGATTAGAGGTGGACGATGCTTAGAATTGGTGGAATTTAGTACGTGGCAGGACCTCGTCGGAGGGGCAAAGGGTTGAAGATCGGTAGCTAGAGTACAGGAGGCTACCCCAACTTGGACTTAACAAGCATTCTCCGCCGTGGCTCCAATATGGCTGAATGGGCAAGGAGGAACTCTCTCCGCGGTTCGGACATTTTTGCTGCATGTGCATCGTCATCCAACCGATCTAGGTACATCCTGAGTCCATGTGTGCGTGTGTGTGTGAGCTGATGTTATTACCCCTGCATCCGACTCATACAGTACCTAGCACCACCAATGTATTGCCCCTACTAATTACTCGCGTTCCACCACCTCCGGCTCCCTCACCACAACGACAGGCACCGCATTCGGCACCCGCATCTGGCGCTCCAGCCGCCACTCCCATCTCGCCCTCTCCACCACGTCCCCGCCCTTCTGCAGCCTCGCGCGCCATCCCTCGACCCAGCGCCAGGCCAGCCTCGCCTCGCCCACAGCCTCGATATGTCTACAACCCGAACCAGAACCGCTTCCACTAGCACCAGTGCTACTAGTGCGATTACTGCTGATAGCGGTAGAAGTGCCGCGTCTTACATGACCGATGCCGCCATGCCCCATCCGCCGCAGCCGCTTCTGTTTCTGTGGCTGCTGCTGCTGCTCGCCATCACCGAGGTCATGACTACTAGTAATAATAGTAGTAGTGGTGGTGATGGTACTCCCCTCTTCTTCATCGCTACTGCTACTCCTATCAGAGGAAGAATCATCATCGTCGTCGTCGTCGTCAACCGAGACGACGGCCGTGATGGAGAGGACCCTGAGCCGATCAAAGTTGTTTTCGAGCACGATCACCCCCTTGTTGGCTGGTATCGACTGCTGTTGCTGCTGCTGTTGCTGCTTTGAGAGAGCCTGACTACTACTAGACCCTCTTTCTTTCCCTCTGCCTCCTCCTCCTCCTATCTCCGTTTCGCTGCCCGAGCGTAGTCAATTGTGACGAGCCCGAGGTGAGAGCGGGCTGGTGGGGGGGCTGGAGATGAAGGAGGGGAACCGCTCTCGCGTCGGCGACTGCATCTCCGCATCTCCTCCGCCTCGTCGTTGTTGTTGTTGTTGTTGTTGTTGTTGTTGCCGAGTCCGGTCAGAAAACCAGGCACCGCTGGAGGGGCGTGTTGGGAACGAGCTGGGGCGATGGTGATGGTGGTGGTGGTCGCGGGTCGGGCTTGCTGGTCTGGACCGCGGCGGTTCGAAGATGCTGCGCATCCGTTTGAAGAGGCCTCCTCCGGTATTGCTCCCTCCGCTGGTGGGGCTCTCCGGGCCGTTGTCGAGGCCGTCGGTGCGTCCGCCGGTAGCACCGAGGCTCGGCTCGGAGAAGTCCCGTCGTTGCCAGGGCGCGGTGAGGCTCACGGGCGTCTTGTTGTCCGCCTCGTCACCGAACGGGTGCTGCCGCCCAGTGTCTTGACCCTGGTGGGAATGGTATGGTGATGACTCGGTGATACTAGTAGTAGCTGCCAGTACATGACTGCCGCTTGCAGGCTCGGGCTTCGCCGTGTCGAACGGCCATGGCGATGGCGATGGAGGAGACGATACAGTGCTTATGGTGCGCTGGGACTGCGGCGTCCACCCGTCGTTTCCACGCCATAACACATTGGTGGCGTCGTCTCGCTGTGCTGATGAGGCCTCCGGCGTTACGTACTCGGATGACGAGATAAGTGACTCCAGTTCGGAAGAAGGGGTTTCCGGCTGCTCAGAGTTATTATGATGTCTGCTGGCAGCAAGACCCCTACCGCCCGGTGACTCTTGTGGCACCTCCGTCTGCCGGCTGTCCTCCTGTAGTACCGCCCCCCTGACCAGTTCGTGCGGTGGCAGAGGAGGTGGCGACCCGGGCCATGCCTGCGGTTCGCCGCTCCTGTCAAAGTAACTCTCCATCTCCTCGGCCAAGCTTCTGCTACGCGCAAACTGCTCGGGGTAGGTTGGGACCTCGATTGTTAGTTCGGGGATTCTCCGGACCGTGCCTCGGTTTGCCACGCGCTCTTTCGCTGTCTGTTCCGTACCAGTAGGCCGGGCTCCGTGTGGACTGGCATAAGCGTCGCCGGTGTCGCTGTCTCGTGGCGGGACATGGAGGTCTTCGCTCCGATCATCGTCGTCAAAGAGATCGTCTCCGCCCTGGACAGTGGTGGCCTGTTGAGGTCCCAATGCCTCGTGGTGCTGAGCAAACTGTCCTACGGCCGGATCTTGGCTTTCCACGTAGCCGGGTCCTGAGTCGATGCTATCTTGGCGGAGTGAACCTGCCGGTGTTTCTTGAGAGGGTAGCGGCGTGACGAAGTCTGGAGAATCGGTGTCGGTTTCGTTGTCCTCGGGATGGTCATCATCATCGTCGTCGTCGTCATCATTATCACACGCGGGCTCTGGTGATGTAGAATCCACCCTGAAATGGGCATGGAGCGGACTCGTCTGGGAAGCGGGCTCCTTGTGTTCGAGCCGCTCGCCGTGCTCCTCCTCTCTTTCTGGCTCTGTCACAAAGCCCTGATCCTCATGTGAGCGTGCATCTTCCTGGGACAGGACCGGCTTCATCGACCCGGCGTGCTTGTGTTCACTTGGATCATGGTCTGAGGCGCCATGCGCCACACTCTCGGGATCAAACGGCTCACCGTGGCCATGGTCCGATGATCTTCTCGAGCCCACGTCGTTAGGTTGAACTTCTTGCCCAGCACTGGTTGCGAGCTGTTCTGGTTCGTGTACGGGACGGCTGGCTTCCGAGATGTCCTGCGGGCTTGGAGACTGGGCTTGGCGAGGTGTTTTGTGGCCGTCGTAACCATCATCGGCGTGGCCAGGAGCCTCTATGTCCCTTGAAGTCTCCGACGGTTTAGTGTCTGTCGGCAGGGTAGGGCTCGTTATTGTCGGCCTCCGCGCCCGGGTGAGAGCGACAGGTAGTATTGTGGGCAGTGCCAACTCGAGTTGCTCCTCGATGAGCCGATTGAGTTCCTAGTCGATATCTATTAGCTGCACGCCAGGGAGACAGACGACGACGAGAAGCCCGAGACTCACCCTTCTCTTCGCCTGCAATGCCCGAAGCCTCTCTCGGCCCTCCTCAATGGCCATTCGGGCTTGGTCTTCGGCCTGAGTCATCAGACTGTCTGTTTCCAGCTCAACTTGCTTGGTGTGCTCCTTGAGCCTTCCATCGCGGGCGTCGTCTTCCTGGCGGTCCCTCATGGCAAGCGCCTCGTCTTCTTCCCGCCGTCTCCTCTCACGCTCCTCGTCCTCCCTTCTTCGCCGCTCTGCAATTTCGTCGCGTTCGGCCTTCCGTTTCCGGGCCAAGAAGTCCGACTCGGCAGAGAAGGCGGCAGCCAGTGCCTGGATGGCATCGTCGCGTTTCTTCTCCAGCTCATCGAGCTTCACGTTGTGCGGTGTCGGGTCAAGCGTGGCAAGCGTGCTATGTATTGCCGCCAGGGTCTCCTGCATCTGGGCGACGAGCGCCGAGACGTCCGTCACGCCCATCTTGCCGGAATGCTGTCTATAAGCGGGAGGCAAATGTGAAGGTGACCGGCTGAAGGACTGGAAAACGGGGGCCTGTTCGCGCAAGCCTAAAAAAAGGCCGCGGGTATACCTTCACCTCGCCAACGGCACACTTGCTTTTCTTTCCGAGATGGCAGGTCTTGGAGATCCGACAAACACCGCAGACAGTGAACGGACCTGCTACTCGGATTCCGTCTTGTGCACGTCCCTGGACAAACCTCTGCCGCCGATGGCTTGGGAACAAGGATCCGATATCCGTGGGAAGAGCACCTCAGAGAGCATCGACAACCGAATAGCTAGCTACCTGGCCGTGAATTGAATGACGAAGAGAAGGAGAAACCGAGCTGCACACAGTCTGAAGAAACGAAACAGACCTCAACCCGTTAACCTTGAGTCGAACAGGGAAAAACGGGAAACGTGATCCGCCAGTCACCATGGTTGCTGAGTCGTGCCGCGATACCTGAGCCTCCATTCTGGTCCCCATTCGCCTCCTTCAATGCCGCCACTCCAAGACGGCGGTTCCCGAAGCCAGGAGTGCCCGGCGGGAAGGAGGCCGTTATGGAGTCGACCGAACCACTCAAGGCCGACTGGAGAGCGGGGGAGCCATCCCATCTCACTGTTGCTGCGGCACCTGGAGAGCCGCGAATCCAGCCTCAGCATCGTACCAACCTGTTTGGCTGAGTACCAAAGCTTTCCCTCGCTATCATCTATGCTCGCCTGTGGTCCAGGTGAATTTTCGGATGGTGCACGCCGCGAGCAACCCTACCAGGGGGTCCAGTCTCCGGGGAACGGGATGCCAAGCACAGCACATTCGGCACTCGGCAGCGGTGCAGAGCGGCTCCAGTTCGCCGGAGTTCGTCGGTGTCAGTGACAGCAGAATGTCATGCAATGCAATCCTGCATCCTCACCAAAAGAGGCTCAGAGAGCGCGTGGCTGTGGGCAAAGCTCAAATGACACGAAAGTTCTTGCGAAAGAAAGCTTGGCTCCGGAAGTGTTTCAGGTGAAGGTCCGGTGGGTCAGGGGCAGTGCAGTAGTAGAGAACTCGCCCTGCATGTCTGTCGTAAGATCCGAGTCAGGCACACTGAAGTCTTCATGAAGCACAGGAAGAAGAGCTGAAAGAAGAAGTCTTTTGACACTCTATCTTCTATGTTAACCAACAGCCGGTAAGACAATGCTGCGTGTTATTTACTGATTTCCAAAGACTATGTAGTATGTACCTCACAGAGGGGTTGCCGCTGGCAATTACCCTGTGTCGAGTAAACACACCCGACCTTGTGTGACGGTATTGATGTAGAAAGATCATCTGCAAAATAAAGACACGCGCTCTCACGGAGCGTCTGGTATAAAGATGTAAAAAGATGCAAAAAAAGGAACGCAGAAGATATTCTTTCACTCACAGCACCATTAGCCAATGCTGGAATGCTTAAATCCTGGCCACGCCCCCCTTCTCAACGACCGCAATCCTCCTCCTGTGCATCTCCCGGAAGTTGTAGCGCTCGTACGTGCCGATACCATAGGCAACCAGCCCAAGGAACAACCAAATGCTGGTGATGATGAGACCGATCGGGAAGATCATGAGCTGGACCCCAGGGAGTACAAAGGCGGTCGTGCCGTTCTTGAGGCTCGCCACCTCCTTGTCGACAGCTTGCTGCGCCGTGAGGAACGTGCTCATGACCACTTCTTTCGAGAAGACGCCCGAGATGAAGGAGGCTTCGTTGGGCGACACGTTGGTGGTGACCTCCTTGCCCTCGCCGTTGGTGGCTTTGAGGGTCACGATCGGCATGACGAGCGCTTGGAGTTGTGCTCTGGGAAAATTGTCAGCCTGAAACCGGGAAGCCCTTCTCAAGAGAGTTGCCTCAAGTCTGACTTACGATGTCATCTGGCCAGACATTTTGTCTTTATCCACCTGCCCGAGAAACATGTATGACTGCAGCATCCTGAGATCTGTGCCGTTGCCGTCGTCCTGCCTTGCCCTGAGTGACGCCGCTGCAGGGACCTCCGTCGTCTCCTTGAGCTCGGACACCGACGCGCCCTTGTAGGACAACTCAACCTCGATTTTGTCCTGTGGGATGCCCTGGAAGTCGCCCCTGGGCTTGCTGAGCTGATACAGCCTCAAGTCGGCCTCGAATGCGCCCGTCGCGTTGTTCATGAGTGGCAAGTTGTAGCACACGCAGGCGCCCGACGGGTTCGATGCTGTTCCCACCTTCCTCAACGCCTCTTGGCAGGCCTTGTCCGTCTGAGTGTTCCACGCTTCCAGGTCGAGGCTCCCATCGGCTTTGAGTGGTGTATCGTTCCCCTCCTCTTCCGCTCTTGTCACCAGGAGATCTCCGCGCGCCATTAGGTTTGCCTTGGCCACCTCTTCTAACCTCCGCTCCATCGCCGGGCTGTTGCGCGTCCAGCCCTCCACGACTAGGCCCCCGATTCCAGCTTGTGCCCCTGTCGCCAGGAAGGAGGCCACGAGCGTCCTTTGCCAAAGCATTTTGCTCTCTGTGTGCGCGACTCCACCGCCTGTTGCTCCCGAATTAGGATGACTGGACTACAGACCAGCCTGTTTTCCGTCGTATTAACTGCCCTTCTCGCGGCTCCCTCAGTCGAATTCGATGACCGTATTAAAAAGGTCCGGTAAGTTGTAAAGAGCGTGGTCGAAGAGAAAGCGGGACCCGCCCGTGGAAGGGGAGGACTTGTCGAATGTGAGGATGGAAACGCCACTCGGTGATGATGACGGGTAGAGAGATAGAACAGAGAAACCACGCCCGTGGCAGTGACCAAATGTGTGATGATTAAACAGTGGGTAGAATAACAGCAGGGCTTGGGAACAGATTCATGCAAAGTAGATCAGGGCAATCAGGGCCGAGGCCAAGTATATGGCCTGACTCGAAGGATGTGATGCCAGGATCTGGGGTGGGAGGGCGGAAGAGAGCATGACATGACGTCGAGGGGGGGGGGGGGGAGAAGGGGTATATCTTCGTTGACACGACAAACCCGATAGACCAAGCAAACCATCTCCGCTCGGAGATCGCTTAGCGGAACAGAGTTACATTGCGAAATATGGGACGACGATGGAGACCCCAGCGCGCTTGTCCAATGACGCCGCGAAATATCACCATGGGTCAGCTTCTCGACTGTGGACGGGCCGCCGGGGAAAGCCTTGAAGAGTGGAGGTAAAACGCTGTGCGCCGGTACAGTGGTTGCACAATGAGTGTCGGGCTCGGCGGAAGCACGCCGACCTGACACAGGCGAAGCTTCATCCCAGCGCATTGGGCATGCTTGGTGAGCGAAAAGGTGCAAACCTCGTACGAGCCCTCCAAAAAGCTCGTAGGGGACTTTGTGTGATCGCCGTCCAGGATGCGAGAGAAGTGCAGTGCAGTGTCGGATCGACCGCATGTGACAACCCGAGACACTTGGGCCGGGGTCTCCGGCAAAAGCTGATCATGCTCCGCCGCTCATTGGTTGCGACGGGGTCTTGGGGTTTGGCCGCAAGCTTGGGCATGGCGTCCAGACGCGGAAGCGCAAGGCCAGTGAAATCGCTGCAGCATACATAAAAGAGTGAAAATACCTGTGTAGTGGAAATAATTGGCCAGCCATTAAACAACTACACAGTAAGTCGAAGTTGGGCTTATTGGCTGGTGTTGTTCCGGGAGGAAAACCAGTTGAGCGGTCAAGGGAGGCTCGGGCGCGGAGCGTCAAAGAGTGGGTGGAGTCTCGGGTGTGGTCTTGGCTTTGTCGGCAAGACTCTGCTATTCTCAAATGAGCGCAAAATGACAGGGATGTTGAATTTTGTGCCCGCAACTTCACAACCAATGGTGTGATTTCCGGTACACCAGAGCGGGAACTCTGTCGGCTCCTCAGATACCGGGCGCTTACACGTGTAACTCTCAAGCTCGGAGAACTTCTTCAACCATCGATGCGAGTTGCAGGTGTGTGTGGTATATCAAGGTAAGCACATGGTACTATCTTGGTGTCAACATTCTGCAGGCTTTCTGGTGGTGACCTGGTCAACAGCAGATAAGTTGGTTGAGTGCATTCAAAGATCGTGCAGGTGGTGCCCCAACTCGCAGCTCACTCTGATTCGGCAGAGTCGGCATTTCACTCGTCAACCCGGCGCTAACTGATGTCTAGGGCCTGCCGCCTGTCGGGTTACGGCACAGACATGATGCGATCGGCCGCGGAAGTGGCCGCCGGCCGCCGGCGCACATCCGCGGATCATAAGATGTGCTTGCCGCCTGCCCTGCCGGTCCATGGCACAGCATCAGCGATTGACCCTAGGTAGGTACATACCTATGGACATACTAGGTACCTTATGTACACTAAGGCATAAGGTATAAGGTATGTGTCTGTGCCTGGTCTTGTCTCCCGCACCTACCTGAATGATCTTTCATTTGGCCGAGCTGTGTACAATACCAGGTCTACAGTCTACTAGTAGTACTTGTGCCTACCTTAGGTAACTATCTTCCTTCCAAGACAACACACGTCCTGGTCTCGATAGTAGGCTCCGCCGATGACCGAAATCTCATCCGCCTTCAGCAGGCTGGATGTGGAGCGCGGACTATACCATCGTCGAGGACGAACTCTCTGTCGGGCGTTGAGGCATTTCTGTCCTTGGCGCCGTGGACCATCGTGGCACAGAGTATAGCAGCAAGAGGTTACTGTCCACTGAAATAAGTAGGGTGAAAGTGCTAGTTAGGTTTTTTCTAACTTTCTTTGGGCAGGCTAATTATATGATAAAGCCCCTCTAACCTAGACATCTGACCGTCTAAAGCTAAAACTGGATAAAAGTCCTCCTCTGACTCCTAACTTCCTTCACCACTAATGGCCGTTCCTAATTAGGTCCTGATTACAACAACGCTAAACCTCAAGTAGCCATGAATTCCCCATCTCGAAAACAAACGCTTCGATGATAAAACATAGTGTAACGCCTATCCAGCCTTTATGCCTCATCTCCGTCATTCGTACTGGTTGCCCAGTTCCACAATCTCTCTAGATTCCTTTTCGACTTGGTGAGAACGAACTTGGCCAATTCAAAATGGCGGGTGTGCTGGTGAAAGTCGATTTCCATGTTCTCGGCATGGAAAACTTTGGACGCTCGGGTTGCAATCCGCAGGTACTCATCCCGCTCATTGTCGTCAAGGCCGATCTCTGCCACGTGGCCGGCGTAACGAAGCAGGATCGCATTGAGGATGATCCGCGACATCCGGCCGTTGCCGTCGCCGAACGGGTGGATGTTGACGAATTGATGGTGGTAGTGAGCGGCGAGCGTATAGGGGTCGATACTGCCAGTCTTCTCTGCCTCTTGCATGTCCTGGTTAAGATTCTCGACCATTTCCTTCATGTATTTTGGGACGACCTTCGCTCGCATGTACTGGCTTGCCTTGGCCCGTTGCTGGCCAGGCTTTTCGTATTTGACGGCTACCTTGTAGGTGCGGTACTTTCCGGCTTCGACGTCCGAGTCGAGGCTGGTATAGAGGATGCGATGTGCTTCGAGGATTAGCGCCTCGGACCACGGCTCCTTGTTCATCACGGTATGATCAATGATGAAGGTCAAGGCTTGTGCGTGTTGCACAATCTCGCGGCGCGACCGGATCACGTGCTAATGACCCGTCGGACGAGATGCTCCAGGTGGGCCTTATACTCGGGGTCACGCTCCTCAATGTCGATCGGGACCGCCTCACCGCGGAACACAGCCTGGCAAAGATTGATGGTCACTCGCAGGCTATTCCCAGCGGACTCGATCAAGTTGGAGGAATAGACCAGCTGCACCAGTGCGCCCTCCAGGCTTTCCCAAGCTTCAGCGGACTTCGCGGAAGAGCTTCTCTGCGAGCCGGCCCGCACAGTGTGAATGATCTTGGCGGGGTCTTCCACAAAATGCTGGCGCGCAGCCTCTTCCCGCAGCTGCTTCGCAAGCCGGATGGTGAACTTGGGCTCGCGGGGGTCAGGGCCGTTCCAGGAGGGCCAGCCCTTGGAGAACGTCTTGAAAACGTCCTCACGAAGGTCGCCAATCTGCTGGATTGGCTGGGGCATGGGCGAAGACGCCGAGGGCGGACGCGACGAGGGCGATCCGCTGGGCGAGGAGGAGCCCGACCCGATCTCAAGTCGCAACTCCGGGAAAAGACCTGAGTCGCTTCCTCGGGTGCTGGCGAGACATTGTGACGTGGATAGATTTTAAGAGAATAAAGAGCACGATGAACTCAACAGCGATGGCAGCTGGGCGCTATAGCTCAATCTGGTCGGGGATCTGCTACGAAGAACGACAAGAGAAAAAGCAAGATTTGAGGGTATGACAAGGTTAATATAGGCCCCCAGGCAAAGCTCACGCCTGTGCACTGTCTTCATGTTGCCACTAAGCCCTTGTCAAAGGGTAGTCACGGCCCTCATGAGTGGCGAATACCTACTTCCTGTCTCGATGGTACTCTCCTTTCAAATGGTAGTCACGACACTCAAACTACCTTACACCAAACCGTCCCATCATTGAGCCAGCGCTGTTAGGAATCGAACCTAATCCTGTCACGCTATGGCCACAAAAATAGAGAGGTACCCAGCGCACATACCATAGGATCGCTCTCTTTTTTTGTGGCCAGCGCGTGCCTGTTTAAGTACCAGACAACTCATCAATGACTCTCGTTGGCCCTGTCATCCGATGAAGTGGCAGATACCTACTTCGGATGACGACGTCATTCCCTCAGATGCACAGACGAGACGAGGGCACGAGGCTGCTATCTCACAGGCCGCCTTACCTGCTGACATGTATGAAGATGGTACGTACACTAGCTAGTGGCAATACCCAAAACTTACCTACGGGCAAATTGGGCTACCGAGAACACCCACGGGCCCGCGTGGGCAGAGCCCAAACGGGTAACCGTAGGCGATCGCTTGACGTATACCTACCTACCTAGGTACTTACCTTAGGTAGTTGAAGGCAGCCATTCTTCGAGCTTATATCTCAGACTCTTGCCACACCTCGGGCCTGCCCTATTGGTAAGGTAGGTTCAAAAGTGATTGCGTAGGTAAGGTAAGGTAGGTGCATGGACGCTGGACCAGGACCCAAGAGCCTCGGGGCTAATGTAGAGCACCTACCTGGGTACCTTACACAAGCCCGCTAACATCATAAGCTGCTGCTAGTAGCTGTACAGAACGGATATGAACTCGCCTCTTTGGTGAACAGCATTTTTGATTTCCCTGTGAGGACTTATCTCAGGTCAGACGTCTTTTGTAGGCGTTGTTACGGCCTGCAGCTGCAAGTGGTGTGGATGGTCCGTGCGGATATGTAAGACGTAAGCACGGTACTTCGTAAGACCGTGGACAATTGTATGTAATGACGTCCATGCTAGCCAATTGAGGATCTGGCCCACCTTTTTGCACACAACGCTCCTATACAAATTAAAAAAGACCCTATTTCCATTCGCGAATTTCTCAACTACCGTAACATGAATGATCCTTATATTTAATACGGAGCTAGATAATTAGCATAGCTTCCTGATAATACCGCTTTTATCATTACTATCTATTGGTTTTGCTAAACGGTAAGGGCAAAGCGTTTTCCGGACCTAACGGTTACTTTCTTCTTGTTTAACCAACCCCTCTATACTTTGGCTAGCTTTTATATAAGGAGTCCATAAAGGTAACCTCGTATAGAGACTGACCGAGAGAGCCTCCGGAAGCTCTGGTAACCGATTGATACTGCTTAATTCTATCGATGCTTCGGGGTGCGGTTCAAATCGCCCACTCAGACCAGTTCTGGGTGTTGGTTGCTGCGATGATTTGATTGGCTGCATTCAGTAGTTGTGGGCCCTGGTAATGGTAACCCAACAATTACACCCAGAACTGGTCTGAATCTGAGATAAGTGAGGACGAGGCAGGTGAATATTGAGGCTCCTCCTCCAGGGAGATCAAGTTCTATCGTGAGCAAGAAGTAACCCCATGATCGGACCTTTCTGCTCCCTTCTCACGCCCGATATACGGGCGACTTTCATCGGCATTAAACTCAAAACCTCCCAGTAGGTGCAGGCCCATAACATAGAGGGAGTTACTCAAACCTGGGTCCTCTGGATGCCTCACTCACTTTCACATCACCGGGGTTTTGCCCCTGCCTTCTCCGCTGGACATGCCAATCGGTCGCTTGAATCCCAGCGAGCGAGCGACTTAGAGTCTAGAGGGCCTCTCCCAACCAGCCTATCGGCCTCTGCAACTTGTGAGCACTTCCTCGTCCACAACTCTCTCTGGCCAAGCACTTTCGCTCATCACAACCCTGAAGCGCTTTGCCCTACAGCCTCTACAGGTGAATACCAGCAGTGCCCTGCAGTCTATGGTTTGCTCGCTAACAAAGTGTCTTTCAACAGCACGCAAGTTCAAGACAAAATAATGACCGACTCGAGTGAACTGTCAGACTTGTCCTCCGAATCGTCCAGTGCTCTTTGTGACAGCGACAGCGACTCAGACACAGCGACCAACAGCAGTGATGATGAGATTCCACGTCGTCGCCGTACCCTAAGGTTTCTCCCGCCCACCGGGACTGGGCCTTGCATCCGGGGAGGCTACGTGCCTCGATCCACCCCGCCGCCGAAGATCTCGCTTCGGCAGCCCGACAACAAGACGACGGGCTACATCATCGACAAGGTCATGATGCCGCGCCACTTTCCCCATTTCCCGCCCGGCCATACGCAAACGGTCGCTATCTACTACGTTGGCTACCGGGATAACCCCTTGGCGCGTGGTATCGTACCGTACGACAAGATCCTGGAGCACGTTTCGCTGCGTGAGCTAGAGGACTGGTATGTATTTTTTTTTCTTTTGCAAGGACTTTTTAGTCTTTTTCTACCCCTGGCCTTGAGCTCTCTCTCATCGCAATCAATCAGGAAGAACCACAGAAAGGCTGACATCACATTTTACTTGTTCAGGGAGGACAAGCTGCCGGCGCTGGTGAAGCAGTCGGCGCGGGAGAATAAAAAAGCAAGGGCCGAAGAGAAGGAGCAGGTGAGACAGAGGCAGGAGGAGCTACTGAGGGAGAGGGACAGACAAAGGAAGACGGGAGGCAAGAGACTCACGCGGGGACTGAGGAAGCGGTTGGGGCTTCAGTTGGATGAGCCGGATGCCGGTGGCAATAGAGAAGAGAAGTGATCTGGCGTTTCGATAGACTTTTTTGGGGCAGCCATAATGAGAGATGGGCCGGATGATACCCAAATATGGAGAAAGAGAGGGAGTTGAGGCTACAGCCCGGTAGCTTACAATCAGCTTAATATTAGCAATTGCTATCGTGAACGGCTGGAGGTAGCCCATCGACTCGACACGTCGACGGGCTTGGTATACCTTCCTCATACATGTGTGCGTGGGAACCTCCAAGACTCCCGCTGGAGAATCCCATGTGAATAGGTCTGGCACTGTGATATGCTCTCTGTAAACAGATTGAACAGATTTGGTCGGAATAACTTCCCGGGTCCTTAGATCATGAACAAAAGCGGCACTTGTCCCGCTTGCCACATGTGCCTCCGGTGAAGTACTGTGATAGTGTTGCTGCTGGAAACTCCCTCGGCAGCTCCCTTTCCTGGCTCAGGTTCCTACAGCAAAACAAAAGACAAAGGAGCCATTGGTGGTAGACGAGAACTTGAAATATTTGTGTGGTCTCCGGTTCGCTCGTAGAACCGTTCCAAAAATAGGACGTCCCAGCAGAGCAACGTACTTAGCCGGTATTATTGCGCAGCAGCTCAACATAGGACCTCATATGGGGTCATTTCTCCAGCAGGTGATGATATGATCACCAAGACCTGTGATGCAACATTGTCTTTTTTTCCGGAGCTCAAGTCTTGGCTCCGGGACTGCCGCCGCCGGGATGTAGACGGTCCTACCACATTACGACGCACATATGAATATGCTGACGCAGGAACGCCACCAAGCCTTGGGAGAGCAACAGCCCTCTTTTGCTCTATCTTTCTCTCTCTCCTCGTGGCCAGCACTGCCAAAACCTATCTCACACCATGAAGAAGAACCTTTTAACCCTCGCCATGGCGGGCGTTGCCACCGCGAGCGTAGTGATCCTCCCGGGCGGCAAGCCGCGGCCTCTGCGGCGCCAGGGAACGGTCGTCTCGTCCGCCACCGACTACGACGCCATTCTCCGCGGCAGCGCTGAGGCCGAATTTCCCAACTCGACCGTGCGCATCATCCTGTCGTCCTACAACGGCACGCTCGAGCCCATCATGCCCGCCAAGGAAGCAGCAGCCTACTACCACAACCACAACCACAACGCAACCGAGATGGCCCCCTCGGCCGACTCGTTCGTGCGTGGCGCCATCCAGGCCTGGGCCGAGCACCTGCACCTGGAGGTCCGGCCGGACGAGGTGTGGTTCACCATCCTGGCGCAGCTCAACTTCTACATGGAGGCCCACGCCGAAGAGGTACGGCACCTCTTTGTGCGCCACGACGGTCAGCAGACCATCTATATCGAGGATAACGACTGGACCAGGGTCTTGTGGCGGTTCAAGGACGAGATCCAGCGCCGCGTGCAGACGCCCTGGCTGGAAGACTGGATCCTGCCGGACTTCTCGACCACGAGGGCGGACGATGTCATGACGGCCAATATCCTCATGATGGGCCTCATGAAGGCGTATTTCCGGTACGAGGGTGGGATTATTTGCGGGTTGCCCAGTGTGACGCTGCTCGGGGAAAAGGCGGACTGGGAGAAGTTGCTGGCGAGGCTGGACAGATTGGCCGAGTTTGGAGCCGAGCCGGAGGAGTACCGGGGCAGGCTGGCACCGATCTTGACGCGCTTTGTGAAGAGCTTTGACGAGCCGGACTCGAAGGAGATCAGGGACTTCTGGTCGACCATTGTGTTTGCGCAGGATGCTGCCATGTGCGGAGATGCGCCGCTCAAGTTGTCGGGCTGGATTACGGGGTTCTTGTTTTGGGATACCGAAGGGCGGAGATGGGCAAAACGCGCGGTAGGTGCGCAGGCTGGACTGGTTCTGGATGGGGTGAGCTATGACAGATGGCACGACGTCAGGTACTTGCCGGTGGGATATGCGAGGGCTCCCTTTATCATGCATGACTTTGGCGGCATGCCGCGGTTCCCTGCATATGTTGCTGCAGGGACCCTTGGCAAGAGGCTGGTCAGCGGGCCACCTGACGGCTATGCCGCTGCGCTCGCCCGGGCCGGTGCAGATGAGAGCCTGGCTGCGAACGCCAGTGCACACGGTACCCTGAGGCCGCTGTCGGCATGGATGCTGTATGGGCCGCTGTATCCTCCCGGGCCAAACATTACTGAAGGGCTTGACGAAGAGCTCTGGTGGATGACTACCCGCGCAACAACTTGTCAGCGGGACTTCTAGGGATGAAATTGAGGAAGCGAGTGGGCTTGATGTACCGTCGTAGCGAAGTCATCTTGTCGGGGCGACGATGGGCTCTTGAGATTCTGGGTGCCACCATGCTGTGTCCCGGGCGGGTTCCGGCTTAGCGCCCCGGAGCCGGTGGGTCAAATGCTGCATCGGTGCCCCACTCGGCCGGACTCCGCCGGGGAGAATCGGGCACAGGAGGACGCTTTGGGAGCCACGCTGCACCTAAGCGTCTCTCGATCACGGCTCCAGTATTGTTATTCATGATTGTATGTTATGTGTGCAAGAAGTCTGAGCCTTCGAATGCAACTGTGATGCTCGGCACTCCAAGTCGGTTTGATCGGGGAAAAGAAGCTTGCGGACCAGGAAACGTATTCTCATCTGATAGACCTGGTGTCAGCATTAGGCTATAGAGCTGCATCCTGGCAAATGTGATGATCTATAGCTACCAAGAATGTAAGCAATTTCTGTGGGTTCCGGGAGTTTAGGTTGGGACGTCGGTGGAAGCACTTGAGGGCATGAGTGCGAACCGTAACAGAAAGTTAGCAGCTGAGTCACTGACCATATGTGGTGACAAAGTGAGACAACGGGGGTGCGTGGTTCTCGCTCGACATCTATATGTCACTTCGATAACTCGGGGGAGCATGCAGAGGATCCAAACCCCTATATTCGTGTCTAGAATTCCAGGCAGTTTTCATCAGATCAATCTTCACCAATCTTCACAGCGTTATTATATCCAAGCCAGCGCCCCATTAACCGCCCATTTTACCTGAACCGCCCCAAATGCGAACCAAGAACGACTCGAACCATTACCGCATTACCGATCTTCATTCGTCGTGCCTCATGTCAGTTCATCCTCCGTGGACAACCCCTCGCCTGCCATGCTCCGACGCAATGCATTACTCGTGGAGCATAGACAAAGGGAAAATATAACAAGTGAATCGGAAGTACAGAAGTCTAACACATGTCGCCAATCTGTGTACAACGAATGGAAACTGTTTTTTGCGAACGTTGTGGCTCATCCTAGCCCACCCATCCACGGCCCACGACGCCCAAGACATAAGAGGAAGAAATCAACATAGGGAAGAGGGGCGATGAAAGGAAGAAAAGGGGAAAGTGGCGACTGTTACACTCTGCATCCACTCAGTTTGAACTGGTTGCAGTTTACACTCGGCTCCCGCAGGAAGTTGCTTGGGGCCGGGCGGCGATGATGATGGTGATGACGACGACGACGATGGGCTGGCCCCTTTTTCTTCACATATCGGATCCGGGGCCTCCCTCCATCAACTCGGATGCCGTCTGGGAGTGGGCGAGGAAATGAATCGACTTTGCGCTGCGCACGGGACTGCCGCTCCTGCTCTGGCCGGGCATCGACAGGGTGCGGGCACGGCGCGACCCGGGCCTCGGGATCATCCTCGACCGCGTGCGCTGCTCCTCGAGCGCAGGACGCGCCTGTTCCTTAGAGATGACCAGGCCCTGCGTGATGGACATCAGCTCGCCGCCTTCCACCGCGCACATGCTGGGCCAGACGACCAGCAGGATCTCGTCGGGATCGACCTCGCCGTCCATCACCTCGTCGTCCGGGTTGTGCGACATCATGGAGTGCCCGAAGGCCGAGTTGTTGTCAGCGACATCCCCCTCGCCGGCAACGGACCGCCCCTCGGACCGTGCCTCCGCCGTGTCGAGCCGGCCGTCCTCGACGATGGCCGACTGGCCGTCCTCCCGCGTGTACGCGAATCCAGACCCGCTGCGCTCGGCCGCCTCGGCGAACTCGGGCAGCTCCAGCACCTGCCAGTCGAAGTCGTCGTAGGGCGGGCCGAAGTAGGGCTCGATCTTCATGTGCGCCAGCTGGATGCGCATCCACTGCTCGCACGCCAGCTTGCAGGCGGCCTCAAGCCCGGAGCAGAAGGTCTCGAACTGCAGCGCGCTGAGCAGGTGCTGCACCAGCCACGACACCTCGCGCACCACCATCTTGATGCGCCGCGTCCGCTGCTCCAGCTGTCGCTCCGGCATCATCGAGAGGAGCGTGGCGCGCATGTGCGCCTCGCGCGTCGGGTCCTCGTCCTCCAGCGCGCGCAGGAAGCGGACAAGGTTCTCATCATCGTCGTCGAGCAGGTACACGGGCCGGAAGAGGTGCTTGTGCATCGCCCGCGAGAGCACCGCCAGCACGGCGCTGATGCGCATCCCCTTGGCTGCCGCGCTGTTGGATTGAGGGAGCGGGATCTGCAGCTGTGTGGCGTGCTTGAGGTAGGGCGAGTTGCGCAGGTTGGTCCAGCACGACGAGTCGTGGAGAATGGACTCGTCGATGTCGGGCCGGAACATGCCCTCGACGAGGGTCACGATGGTGGTCCAGATCTTGTCGAGGACGGTGACGCTGGGAAGAGTTGTCAGTAAAGTAATGTGTGTGTGGGGATTTGGAAGGTGTGTGTGTGTGTGTGTGCTCGCGAGGGACTTACTAGGTGTCGTCGTTGTCGGTGTTTAGCGTGATGCGGTACTGCTCCAGGTTGGCAAGCTTCGCCGACGTGACGTGGAGGTTTTGGCTTGTTTCATCCAGCTGTGACCGGAGGTCGCGGTTATGTGCCTCGGCGCTGTCAGCCCGCTCGCTTTCGGCCGTGAGCTTGCCGTGCAGGTCCTCAATCTGGGCGTTCTTCTCCTCCACCGTCTGCTGCAACGAGACGATCTGCTCCTCAGCCGCCCGCAGCGACTCCTGCAAGCTCTCGATCTCGTTGCACTTTAGCGTGAGGGTGGCGTTGAGTGATGCAATCTCTTGCCTCGCTGCCTCGAGTTCCTCCTCCAGCTTCGCCTTCGCCTCCTCCAAGTTCGCGATAGTCTCCTTTAGCGAAGCGATCTCGGCCTCGTTGTCAACCTTCAGTTGCTCGAGGTCCGCTTTGGCGGTCTCGAGGTCGGCAACATTGCTCTTGAGGGACTCGATCTCGGCTTCATTGTTGGCCTTGGTCTCCTCGAGGCCATTCTTCGCCTCGGCGAGCGCCGCAATCTCGTCAGCGGCTTCGGCCGCGGCGGCTGCGGCAGCCTCCTCGCCGAGCCTCTTCTCCTCCTCCACCGCAGCTTTGGCTGCTTGCAGGTCTGCATACTCTTGGGCGGTCTTCGCTTCCAGATCTGCGTATTCCTTGGCGGTCTTCGCCTCCAGGTCCGCATACTCCTGGGCCGACCTGGCCTGCAAGTCCGCATACTCCTGAGAAGTCTTCGCCTCGAGGTCTGCGTACTCCTTTGCAGTCCTCTCCTCCAACTCGGCATACTCTTTGGCCGTCTTCTCTTGCAGATTGGCGTACGCCTTGGTCGTCCTCTCTTGAAGGTCGGCGTACTCCTGGGCAGCTCTCGCCGCGGCCTCAGCAGCATCCCTGATCTTGTCGTCGAGCGTTTTTTGCGTGTCATCCAGGTCGCCTTCTAACCTGACCTTGGCCGCGGTGAGCTGGTAGATCTCCTGCACCTTCTCCTGCACAAGACCCTCCAGGACCTGCTTCTCGCTCTCGATCACATCCTTTTGAGCCTCGAGCTCGTTCCGGAATTTCCGGTACTCCTCCAGCACCACCTGGTGTGAGCTGGAAAGCTTGTTGTTCTGCTCCTTGACGTACAGGAACTCGCTGAAGACGTCGGCCACCAGCTTGTAGTTGGGGTCGGATGTCAGGTCGCGGATGGCCCGGACCAGGCCGTCGACCGCTTGAGTGGGATCCGCGTCCATGTGAGAGCCCATCTTTGGCTTGGAGACAGGCGGCGCTGCAGGAGGCGGTCTGGTGCCAGTGCTGTGGTGGGAGTAACTGTGAGGGGAATTGCGAACCTTGGGCGTAGCCAGCTTGACGGCGTGCCTCCGGCGGGGATGCAATAGAGAAACAATGGGGAGGGGGTTCAGCAAAGAGGAAGAGGAAGGGAAAGGAGGAGGTTCAGGGAGACCAATGATGTGGTGTCCCTGATCCAGTTATTAAATGAACTCTATCGTGAGTCCCACGACGGTTCGGGCGTCCAATCCTGGAGCAGGTCTTGGGACGCAAATGCTGTACGGCTGTGGAATTAGACGACGGCTCGGCTGAGTTGCTGACTATATAACTGGGAACGACGCTTTGACCGCGTGTGGCCTTTTCTCGTCTGAGGCAGCACCGTGCAGGCATACGGACAGACGACCGGGGGAGGCTGAAGCGCAGGCCGGGGGATGGAACGGACAAGTGTGGTCTGGGTGGCTGGCATTGAGTCACCGCGCATGCGATTCGCGAAGCAACAAACAGATCACCAGACTGTCGCGGCGCCCAGTTCCCGGGAGTCCACACACGACCAAATTGTCAAGTTGTGGGTGTCAATTGGGCTCGAAGCTGCTGTAGCGGCGCGCGGACTGGCTCGTCTGGGTGATCCATCGGCCTGGCCGGCCCATCACAGCACGTTTGTTGATGTGGCAGCAACGACCGAGCCCAACATCCAACCACGCGCCTGCAGCCTCTTCTTCCCGCAAGCGGTCACGATTGCTCGCCCGTTCAGTTGTTCTTGCGGTTGGCCGGTTCCATCTCAGATTCTTAATCTCCCCCACTCCTTGCAAAACGCCTCGCAATCGACAGCCACTTGCCTCGAAACAGGCTTCGGCCGCTTGATTGTCGTCCAAGGGGTTCCATCCAGGCTCTTGACGTGGCAGCTCCCGCTACCAGCGCTCTGCCGCAGGGGCTGACATTGGCGGTCATTAGCCCCGCTTCCGTGTCTTCCGACCCCGCAACGATGCAGCGCCAGCATTAAGATCAATGATCAATGGGAAATATCATTACTCGTGGAGTATACTGTACGGAGAATGCCCAGCGAGACTCCTTTCCTCTTGACGGATCATTCAACGGTCGCTGGACTGGCTGGCTCGGGATACCCAATTCTCACGGCCTGTTGTTCATTGTGGTAAGATCCGGCGCCGACAAGCTGGGTCCCGCTGTGCCCCGATAAACGGCTCCACCAACCGCGTTGCCGGCCGGACCTCGTGCCAAGACTTGGGTCCTCATCACCATTGCCCGATTGGTACGGGCGCATGGCCAACTGGCAACTGGCAACACCACCGCCGTAGGGATCCTAGCCCGATGGTCGTCGTTGCCGTCCGGATCGGTGCAGCCAGGATACCCCGAGACGCAATGCGACGTTCACCCGGAAACTGAGCACTCCCGCCACGTTGGCTTCGGAGGACTTCGGAGGAAGACCTTTCGGTCATCTCACAACTCGTTCCTCCGGCCGGGACGATAACTTCACACGCCAGAAGACACCGCTTGAGCCGCCTTACCGCCGGACTGCTCTCATTTCCCCGGTTGCCCGCCTCCCGTCAGCTGACCACGCGATGCAACTGTATCCCAGAATCTCCCTCCAACTCACCCACAGCCTCACCGCCTGCCGCCTTGCCTTCAGCTCGGCATGCTCATTTAGGTTCCACGCCGTTGGAGAGTGTCTGAGCTATGGCCCGTTCGAACTGGCCAATGAGACTTTCAGGCATTTACTACTACTAGTACTGAGGCGAAGGTATCTTTAACTCACGTTGTTAACCCTTTGGCACCGACTGCCAAGTTGTGCAGTCAAGAGCATTGTCGACAACTATCGGGACCATAACCCCCTGTCATGCTCCGTTGCCACCAGGGGGGTGTTGTGATCTCTAAAGGGTTGTTATGTTCCGCTCTTCATGGTACCGCTCGGTATTTGGGGTCAAACACTTCGTCAAAAGAGACCGCACTATTGCCATGCAAGCACCTTCCGGAGTCCCAAGAATGTGACTTCGTCCATGGTTATCCCTCTAACCTGTACGCGGTTTCCGACACGGAAGTTCAGGTATATATAGCTAACACTTCCGTCGTAGTAGCCAGACCCTTCGGCTTCAAGTCCTAAGTTAGCTCTTTTCATTCACTCTGTTAATTATCCCATACCGGAACCCCAAGCTTCCCTACTCTCCACCTCTTCCTCCCCTTCCCATGGCCAGTATATGACCCTTGATTCTCAGCTAATGAGAAGTCAAGATGGAATGCGTAGTACGTATATATCAAAAACTCACCTCGTCTGTTCAGAATTAGGCTTCAAGTCAGCCTGTTCGGTGCTGTCCTTGTAAGGCGGCCGTGCCGCTGGAGAGGCGTTTCGGTCGGGGGAACGATGAGCTAGTATCATCGTGTCTTCAGCTCCTTGGACTGCAGAGATAGGGTGTTCCGGTAGTAGGAAATGAACACCTGCTGCTGATACAGGTGTCCCTCTTGCAGATGTAGAACCAGATCGGTTGTTAAATGGGTCCTGAGAGGCGACCTGTAGGAAGTGCTGCGGATTGTTGCCCCGGGCCGTACAACAGTGCAACACGACGGCGCCCAGTTTCGATAGAAAATGCAAGGGAAGAAGAAGCCATTGGACAGGATCGGCGGGCCAGGCCGGCCACATCATACCTACCCACCACGTATGACTGAAGCAAGTCCCGGCCGTGCCGTCCGCCGGCCAATCCGCCTTGCCCCTCCACAGCCTTTCCAAGTGACGAATAGGTACTCGATATCGTAGTGATGCTAGTAGTCTGTCATATATACAGTCCAGTGCACCCCCCACTCCAGAACCACGGCCCAGAGAAAGATTTAAGAGTATGAGGCTCTTGGTATCTAAAGACTATACCAGTATACTCCTCAATTACATCGGTGATGTGTGGATTTGACAGCACAAAACATGATTGCCTACCGCAAGCAGACACAAGAAAGAACAAACTAGTACTAACACAGCAACTGTAGGGTAACCCTTCTAGAACCAACTCTCCGTCCAACGTAAGAGCTGCGTTGTCCCTCACTGTCCAATCTGCTTCACTCCCATGTCCCTTATGAGTTTGCAAGTGACTGACGACCATGGTTTGTAGTGACGGGATGGGACATATACTGTACCCAGGGTCATATCACTGTTCCACCCACTGACGACGACCACTCCATCCTCAGTCTTTTCCAACATGAACAACCAACTTCCCCGCGTTCCTCCCTTGTTTCAGCCTCTCAAACGCCCTAGGCAGCTCCCCCAGCTCATACGTCTGCTCAACGACCACCTTGATCTTCTTCTCAGCGATCCACTGCCCCAGCTGCTTCAGGTCCTCCGAGCCATGCTTGAGGTTGTACATCTCATACTTACGCTTGCCCCCTCCCAAGAAGGAGGGGAGCAGAAGCCTCGAGGCCACCGTCTTGGCAGCCTGCAAGCTGACAGGCGCACCAACCTGCACGAACTTACCTTCTGGCAGAAGGAAGTCGTTAGCAGCTTTGTAGAGGTCCCCGGGCGCGCCCACGTTGTCGACAACCAAAGAAAACACCTGGCCCTTGGCGGCCTTGAGAGTCTGGGAGACGTCGGCCGAGGTGTAGTTGATGATCTCGTCGGCGCCCAGAGAGCGGCAGAGGTCCGCTTTGCCGGGAGAGCATGTCACGGTGACGTGGCAGCCGAGCGTTTTGGCGATCTGTATGCCAAAGGTGCCGGTGCCTCCGGAGCCACCGTTGAGGAAGACCTTGTCTCCAGGCTTGACATTGGGGGCAATGGCATCTGTTTATAGCTCCGTCAGCTTCTTCCATGTTTAACTTTAAACCTTCAGTTTCCCCATGCTTGAACCTTCCAGTGAGTACAAGTACGAGTGACGCACGATAAGCCGTCATGCCCGCAACACCGACCGCCGCAGCCTCGTCAACGCTCACTCCGTCTGGCACCTGGGCGCAAGCCTTAGTCGGCGCAACGATGTACTCCGCCATGGTCCCATGCTGCTGCCCGTCGATGCGCCCAAAGACCAAGTCTCCAATGGCAAAGTCGTCCACTGTCCTGGTAGTCTGCGCTACCCGTCCGCAGAAGTCTACGCCGGGCGTCGCCGGTGTGCGAATCACAGCGCGGGCGACCAGACCCAGCTCGGGCACCTTGTAGTCGACTGGGTTGAGGCTCGCCGAGAGGACTTTAATCAGGAGCTCCGAGTCCCCGAGTCGGGAGGATATAGTGGGAATGGGTGCTGCCTCGTTGAGAACAAGGTTCTTTTCGATGCCGCCTGTCGTCGCCGAGTATTGCCAGGCTTTCATCGTCTTGGGTAGCGGTGGGGCGGACATGTTTGTTGGTTTTGTTACGTCTCTGGTTCTTATCTCATTCTCCTGTCTTGTGTTCTTACCAGGATGGGCTGAGTCGTCGAGGGATGAGTACCGTACCTATATGAGACGGGAAGAACAGCTTGATGACCATCTTGCGTAGCATGAGATCATGGTGTGATGATCGAGATGCAACTTAACATCTGCCCCGCATCTCAAGCTCAATCCATAGGGTTAGGGCTAAGTAGGATGTCTTCAATCCGGGACCAGTTCTATTTCACCGGAAAAATGCCTTAAAAGATTGCTTTGAGAGGAAAGAAGGAAAACAACACTCTCCTCGCTTGTCAGCTACCCTGATCTCTTTTCAAGGGAGGGAGGCCATTGTCAAGAAGAGCAGTAGTCTGTTCCGAGGTGGCACCGAACGACGTTACTACAGCTCGAGTAACTCGCGGCTTGGCCAAACGACCGTATGGTCTCATGAACCTGTATACAAGGCGCTCAGACCGACGAGCATTGCCTGGACCATAACCGGGAAACGAAGCAACCCGGCTTGGATTCCACTCAGTGCGCTTCGGTCCGCACGGCCCCATATTTCACAAAGAGCTCCGGGTCCGATCGCGACTCCACATGGCCCACCCGGACCGAGAAACTTCCCTTAGTCTGTGCAACTTGGGGTCTTGTCCAAGGACGGTACACATCAACCGGATCAGGTTTGAGAATTCTTCCTTGCAAATTACCTATCTAGGTACCTATGCATTCTTGGAACTACCTAGTAATTGTAAGAGCCTACCCAATTCGGCTGGCCGACGCAGTGTCAAGGGCGCGAGCGCGAGAAGCCTCATTTCGGCAGATTTGATGCGAGCTTTACCCTCGTTTGTCCGCAAACAGACAATCCTGACATAATAACAACTAGAGCCTGGCTAGCAACCATGAAACCACCGCCTTCGCTCGGCCACGGGCGCCTATCCGTCTGCACTGATCCGGGCTGTCTTCAACGCCGACGAATAGACAGCGTCAACTTCTGAAGTCGACAACGGCCTCTCACTGGCAGCCTAGCACGTTTGTCTGCCCTACCAAGTCTCAATATACGGCAAGGAGCCGCCCAACAAGCAGGCAACCAGCTCCAATCGAGACGGGCGAACTCCGTTTGTTGCTCCGCCCTGGACATATCCTACAGGCGTGTCGTTATGTGTCCGTATGTACCTTGGGCCGGTTTTTCTCTGAGGCAAGGAAGCATATATTAGGTATGTCAGGTAGTATTATGCCCGGACCCTCCTTGCTCCTCCCTCCTTCAGAGACACAACAAGAGAAAATAGAGACACAGACCAGTATTAACGCCAATCCTTCCCATTCAGGTAGTTATTCCCTGTCCACCTCCTAGTATTGCTGCTTACTGCTTAACTCTCTCAGAATCATCATCCATCACATCTCCGGTTCAACTCCCTAGTCAAGATGGTCATCTGCGGGAGTGATACCTTGAGTGGTCTCTGCTCGAAGGATCAGCTGATGCTTCTTGACTCGATTGACCGACTGCGCTTGCAAGGCATCAACAACTATATCTCCCTACCGCAAATCATCGTCTGCGGCGATCAGTCGTCGGGCAAGAGCTCCGTTCTTGAAGCAATCTCGGGCGTGTCGTTCCCCGTCAAGAGCAACTTGTGCACCCGTTTCCCGACAGAGTTGGTCTTGCGCCGGGCGCCATACGTCAGTGCGAGTGTGTCCATTGTTCCTCATGAATCTCGCCCTGAAGTCGAACTGAAAGCTCTCCGCGCCTTCCGGGAGGAACTAGAGAATTTCGGCGGCCTTCCCGAGTTGGTAGAGAGAGCCAAGGCCGAAATGGGTATTACCGTGCACAGCAGATCTTTTGCAAAGGATATCCTGCGCATCGAAGTGACCGACCCGGACCGTCCGCACCTCACAATTGTGGACCTCCCGGGGCTCATTCACTCCGAGACCAAGAACCAGACAGCTGCGGATGTTGAGCTTATCCAGGATATGGTCGAGTCGTATATGAGCGAGCCTCGCTGCATCATCCTTGCCGTGGTTTCGGCAAAAAATGACTACGCCAACCAGGTCGTTCTGAAGCTGGCTCGCACTGCAGACCCGGATGGCACCCGGACTCTCGGTGTCATTACGAAGCCCGACACGCTGGTACCTGGAAGTGAGAGCGAGGCCCTTTACGTGTCCCTTGCCAGGAACCAGGAGGTTGAGTTCCGCCTTGGCTGGCATGTGCTGAAGAACATGGACTCCGAGAAGGGCGCATGGGACCTCTCCACCAGGGACGCCGAGGAACTCAAGTTCCTTAGCTCGGGCGTGTGGACTTCCCTTCCCCTTTCCTCCCTCGGCATCGAAAAGCTACGCGGGCGCCTGAGCGAAGTGCTGCTCGGACAGATTGCCTCGGAACTGCCTAGCTTGGTGGCTGAAATCGACCAAAAGTTTGAATCATGCCAGGACCAGCTCACCATACTTGGCGATCCACGGGCGAGCCCGGAAGAGCAGCGACTCTACCTACTTCACCTGAGTCAGACCTTCCAAGCCATAGTCATGATGTCGGTGGCTGGGAATTACACCGATTCCTTTTTCGCGGACGCCAAAACTCAGAAAGGCTATGAACAGCGCATTAGGGCAGTCGTTCGGAATCTGAACGAAGACTTCGCGTCGGAGATGTCAACACGGGGTCATTACCGTCAGATCACTCACGCTGGGACAAAAGGAGCAAAAACTGCTTCTGATGATTCCGAGGGCGTGATTCGCATCACTAGGAGCGACTTCGTCGACAAAATCGAGCATCTGATGCGCAGAACAAGAGGCCGCGAGCTGCTGGGCGCTTTCAATTCCATGATAGTTGCCGACCTGTTCCGCGACCAATGCCGCCCATGGGAGGAGATTGTGCGTCTGCATGTGGAAAGCGTCTGGAACGCTGCAGCGCGCTTTATCAAGCTTGCTGTGGCTCACATTGCCGACGCGTCGACGGCCACGGCACTCCAGCAGGAGGTATTTGAGCCAGCGATGAACAAAATCCTAAAGGAGATGAATGACGAGACCGGCAAGCTGCTAGATCATCATCGGAAGGGACACCCTGTCACATATAATGACGACTTTCTCGACACATTCCAGAAGACGGGCCACAAGAGAAATGATCCGGAGAGTATCCTGCGCGAATGGCTCCGGGTCGAATCATTTGAGCCACACCACCGTCTGAACGGATACTATGACCTTCAGGGTCTTGCCAAAGCTTTGGCTCAGGACGTCGTGCCGAAACGATCCACTGCCCACCAGATCCTGGATTGCCTGAATGCCTACTACAAAGTGAGTTTCAATGATCTATCCCCTCGGCTCACCGATCGGTCATCCACACCTCTTCTCTTGGGTGCGAACAGGAACTAAGCATCTATGATGGGAGTCGGCATGCCATCTCAGTGTCATTGCTTGTTAACTTATGTCGCAAATAGGTTGCTTTGAAGCGCTTCATCGATGATGTGGCGGTGGAAGTGGTGGAAGTAAAGCTCATGTCGGCTCTGGGTGACATTCTGTCTCCCCTCCTTGTCTACCAAATGCCCGCGGACCAAGTCTCTCGCATTGCTGGGGAGTCGGAAGAAACACGCATGGAGCGCGAGCGGCTCAGCAAACAACTCGAGGTTCTCCGGAGCGGTCTGGAGACGTGCAGGCGGTTCCCAGGTTTAAGTTACAGTGAAGGTACGAGCTGCAATCGCTAGATTTCCAATGCATGATTAACTGGTAGGAACTCCTAGACTCGGTCTTTGCTTCCACCGAGCAATCTCAGCCCTGAGGTCTGGACAACTCTCCAGGGAGCCTCCGTGTATACCCGGATGCGGGTCTCGAGATATCGTCCATCAGGAAGCGTCAGGTGTAATTGAGGACGCTGAAGATCCGAAGAAAGGGGAATGGAGGGAAAGGGTTAGTGCTACATCATTCTGGTAACAAATCTCTGCGAGACGACCTTGGGAAGAACCTCGGGCCATGTCTTCAGCACTCATTGTTTTGTCCCTCTTTGTCCAACTTGCGAAACCTATTGTGAGATTCTTTCTCAGGGTTGAGTCCAGCCGTTGCCCAGGTCTGGGTCAGGTCTTTGTTCCCATCAACAAGAATACACACAAAGCCCAACAAGTACCAGCTCCTTTGTCTCCCAATTACAATATTATGTCGATGTTATGAACATGGTCTTGACATTTGCCTCCGTAGTACCTGCAGCACGAAAATGGAGAGGCAAAATCCACTTATCAACTTGAGTCCTTACTTTCCGCCTCAGCCTGCCCCATTGGGGTGGCAGACTCGGAGGCTTGCCCGTCATGGCTTCCTAAGCAATCGCTGGGGCCTTCAAAGACACCGCCTGCCCCAACTTATATTGATGCCCACCGCTGGGTCTATCAGCATGTCGCATGGAAGAAACCGCTTGAACTCAGCAGCTCATCGGGGGCTGGGCGCAGAGAATCGCCAGGAAGAGATCCCGCCAGCATTGGACGCCAAACTTCGGGCGCTTCAAGTCGGGCTACAAGGTGTGATGGACAGCATACGACAACCAGAGAAGACGGCAGACACTGTTTCCAAACAATTTACCGTAGACATCAACAGACTAGTCGATGTACAGCCCGAGACAGGAACGTGGAAGCGTTTAGGGAAGATCCATGAAGCTCTGGACGCCAACGGGGAATGTCTGCATCGTCTTGAGGTTGAGAGCCTGGAAAGAGAGAGGAGGCTAGATAAGGAACGGCTAAAAAAGACGGAGATGGAGTTGCACGCGGCAAATTCGCAGATGGAACAGCTGGCAAATGATCTCGCCCAGGCCCAGCTTAAGAAGCTCACACACCGGGAAGAGGCGGATGAGATCAAGAAGGAGGCTGCGGATCCTGACAAAGCCATTCAGGCTGCGTTCCTGAGCTTGCGGCAGTCCGTCCTGGACTTCACCAGTAGTTCCGCGCTCCAACTGGGTCAGCTTCCGGACGCTTCTTCTCCTGTGGACAGCTTGTTCCATCCCCGCACCTGGAACTGCGCCAGTGTATCTCAGCGAAGGCAGCGTGTCATGGCCACAGTCTTTCACCTGCTCTTCCGGCTGATCCTCAGACCCGGCCTGCGTATTTTCGGGCTTCGGGCATTCCTTAAAAGCGATGAACATTCCATTTCCGCATCAGAGGCTCATCTTCGGTCCCTGGAAAAGGAGTTGGAGGCTCAAGGAGGTAAGACGACCACCTCGAACATATCACGGATTTGGCTTTACTGACCTTTGATGCTATGCTTCAGTTGATAGCACAACCCTCCACGCCTGGATCGCCGCAACAATCGACATTACCGCGTCTCTCCGAGATATACCGAAACACATCGAGCGCGTCACACAGCAGATCTTCGAGGCTCTGCAGCCGGTGATGCGTAAGCTCACCTTCAGCCGTAACACCGACAAGGTCAAGGCCCGCATCTCTGCCATCTGCGAGGAGGCTGTCCAACTGAAGCTGGCCATGAGAGTAGCAGACGGCAGCTACAAGATTGAGGCCCCTTCTCGAGACTCAAAGAGGTGGGGGAAACCAGGGTGCGACCAAGAGACCAGAGCTTTGAAGCCGAGGCTATGGCTTCAGGTGGTAGACCATGAAATGGAGCCCGGCGGTGACAGCAGGGCCGATGGTAGTGGCACCCATGCCAGAGAAACAACCGGGGACATTGCGTGTATTCCTTTTGGAGCTCTGACGAAGCTTAAGAAGGGCCAAGACGGAGGGACGGAGAAAGTTATTCTGGAAAAAGGGTGGGTGATCGCCAGAAGAGGAGACCGGGAGCTAAAGCGGAAGGCTTCCGTCGCGGCCGTCGAAGAGGGGAGACCGAAGAAACGGATCGGGTCCAATCATCCTGTCCCGCTAGGGCAGTTGGCAAGAATCAAGGCATTGATGGGCGGAGAGCGAAGGACTGCTGGCACATCCACTCCCAATCAGGAGTCATAGACTGTATTATCATCGTGATTTACACACCAGGTTGGAGAAGGAGTAGGAGTTAGGTGTAGGCTTGCCGCATAGGTACTAATCTTGTTGTACTCATCTAAAACACTGACGGTGTTGATCAACCAGGGAGTGCGAAACAGAATAGACCACAGCAAAGTCAGTCAGATATGGTATGAATCATGGTTACCTTATGAGATTGAGTGCTTCTAGTTGCAGGACTCTGCCGCCGAACCCACGCTGCTTTAGGAATAGCCCTATATAGTGCTCCCCGCCGCACTATCCGGGTACATACGACCATACCTGGTAGAAAATACGGGATCCCGTCCGCTCTCCCTTAGTCAAACTACCAAGGGCCGAATCAGTACTCAGGTCGGTGACGACTGGGGAATCCTCGGTGTTGTATGTTTTTGTTTATATTTGCTCCAATCTCGTATGTGATATGAATGAATCAAGACATCAACAACCCGGTTCTTATCTCAGAACTGCCGGAATTTTTGATATTTCATTCCCCTGGCTTCCTTCAAACAATGATCGGGCTGACTGCGAGGTCCGAGTCCGAGCGGAGCCTTCAGGTGTTGTGAGGTCAGCCACTGGCAGTAAGTCCGACCCGCTAACCCCGGGTAAAGCCAGCGTCGTCAGCTTACTGCCTGGACACAGTGGACAGGAACCATGGCATGTGTTCATAAAGCGACCATGATCCAAGCACATTCTGTATTTACCGCACCTTTGAGATTGAAGTGTTTCGCATACCTTAGCTCATACCAACAATCAATACTAAGAATCTAAGTGGCAGCACCGCCTCGATACGGGTAACTCATCCCCCGGAACGACAACAACAACAACGACGACATGCATCTCATCTTGACTGGTGCCACCGGCCTGGTGGGCACTGCCGTACTCGACGCAATGCTCAAAACCAAGGACATCAGCAAAATATCCGTCCTCAGCAGGCGGCCCGTGAAGTTCCAGGACGACCGCATCAACGTTATCATCCACCAGGACTTTGCCTCATATGAACGCGACATCCTCGACAAGCTAGAAGGGGCTCAGTCTTGCGTCTGGGCCCTTGGAATCAGCCAGACACAAGTCAGCAAAGAGTGCGTAATATCCCAGGTCCCGGACCATCCAACCGAGCCGTGAGTATGGATGCCATGGCAGAATCAGCTGACAAGGACGCCGGCGCCAGGGAGTACATCGACATAACAAAAGCATACCCCCTTGCCGCAGCAAAGGCTTTCCAGTCTCTCCCACCCCAGACCGAGACCAAGCAGCCCTTCCACTTCGTCTACGTCTCCGGGGACGGCGCCACCTTCACCCCAGGCCGCTTCACCCCGTTCTTCGGCCGCATCAAGGGCGAGACCGAGCTTGCCCTGGCCGAGATGCAGAAGGCAAATCCTTCTTCGTTCCGCGCCAGCACCGTCCGCCCGGGCGTGGTCGACTGGACGGGCCATGCCGAAGTGAAGCCTTTCCTGCCCGACATCGGGCTGTTTAGGAGCGTTGCGGGGGTTGTCATGTCCCACATCACGAAGCGTGTCGCTCCGAGCAAGTGGAGCCCCACAGAGCCTCTGGGGAGGTTCCTAACCGGCATGGCCATGGGGATGTGGGACGGTGCTCTGGAGGGGGAGGGCGTCCAACGCTTGCCCAGTGGCTTCACAGTAGTGGACAATAACGGGATCAGAAGGCTGATTGCGGGGGGGCTTGATGAGGTGACTAGGCATGGCAGGGACGTTAGTTAGCACTTGATACCCTGCCAGCCTCTTACCCTTTGTCTCTTGCTGTTCTTATGTTTGATTTTCGGCCATCTTCTCTATATAGTTATTAACTCTAATTATCACGCTACCTCCCCATCTTTCTGTGAGTAAACCGCAACTGAGCATATAGGCCCATCAGCATGTCTTTCTTCTCCCTGTTTCTTATCTGCTGACTTGATTCAGGCCGAAATCCGAGTGCAAAATGTAACTTGTCACAGCATGTTTAGTACTTCTATTTCTATAAAGCACACATAGAACGTGATGTTGAAGTTACACTGTTACGATTCTTGAGTGTCATGGGCGCTAAACGGCATACTATTCTGGAGCATGCCAGTAGGTATATCACCTACTAGTACTTGACACAACATGTAACCGACGGGGAAATAGCCACAGTTTGATATTGTGCCTGCTGACCACCTTCTTGAATCCCCCAATCAGGCACCGCATCTATTTAACCTGCGTGAGTGAATGGACGACGGGCCACGCCCTGGCCGATCTGCACTAGGACCCTTGACAGTGGGAGAGTTCACCAATCAGCAGCGAGACCGTTGCACGTTCCGGGAAGGAGGTAACGCCCCGCTGCCCGTACCACCGATATGCTAACTGCCCCGATCCGGTGAACCGGTCGGATCCGGGACCAGGTAAAACATCCGCAGGCGATCTCGATGCTTGCAAATGTGCTGAGAGTTTGAAGTCTCAGCAGCCTGATTTTTGAAACATAGGAACTGATTGGCGTTGGCAGCCGAGAATAATTTCGGGGTTCTCTGAAAGGGTTAAAGCTGCAGTATTCCGTACAGTACGTGCGTGATACGGTTGGTATGAGAGCGCATCCCGCTCCGTCTCCCGGATACGCGCTCTGGACCCCGACAAAACCGTTCAAATCTGGAAAGCTGCCCAGCCGGCATGCACTTCGGAAGCTGCACTTTTGACCTCACAATGCCACATGCCATGATCGCCTCCTCAAGAATCGCGAATCATGGGCCCCACGTGGGCCGGCCTTTGGAGCGGGGTCCACGGGGCCACAACACCACAATGCCGGTCGCCACTTGAGTTGCGACTCATTGAGAGAGATCTCGAACAACAGAGGGGCTCGAGGGGTTCAGGAGAGTTGAGAACTACAACCGCTCTAGCAAACGCAGGGGACATGGGACTAGAGAGTGACTTAGTGGGCCGCATGCAAAACGTGACGAATTGCCAGCGACGAAAACGGCCCGGCTTGTCACGATCAGGTATTGATGAGCGCCAAGACATTCCACATTGTTCGGTGGTGGGGTCGTAGAAGGGTCCATGGACCATGATCCAGCTTCATCTCGAGACGAACCACCGATTCCGTCGTATCCGCCGGGGCCTCCTCTCGGCATCTTCATGTAAAAAGTTTAAAAAGCGAAACAATCTCTTTTCTCTCCATAGCATACAACTACCTCCGAACTCCTGCAGAAGTTCTCCCAAGGCCATGCGTATCAAGATCCCTTGTTGACAGATGGAAGTACATGTATTCCCAAAGCAACCACCACTCCTCCACAAACATGGCCCTGCTAGCCGCTTCGAAGACCACTCCGAACGTCTCGCTCAGCCATAGCCAACGGTCCGACGTGATCTCTGTCCTCCACCCGCTCGTCAACAGCGCGCTGCAGTTCCAACAGCTCATCGGCTCCGCCGCTTTCCACCTCTTCGTCCGGACCTACTTCGCGGCTAGCATCCTCGCCACGACCTCTTTGTGGGCAAGCAAGAGCATTGCCTGGAGGACATTCCTTGCTTCCAGAATCCTCGCTGCGAAGAGCTTTGCGCTTACCAAGCGGCTCGCTTGGGCCGGGTGGGATTGCAAGCGATCAAGACGTCTCCGCAAGCGACTCGAGTTTGAGCTCTTCGTGCTGCTCCTCGGGCCTGGTGGTAATGCTTTATTGTTGATGGTCTTCTGGCCGGGCTGGCTTATGCTGGCCCTGTTGGGATGGGGTCTTTGGCGGGTGATCAGTTGAGGTTGAGAGTAAGTGAGGTACCGTTGTTTGTTCGGCGGGTGGACAGACAGTGCTCACACGGCGACAACCCAGGCCGCGTTTGGGGCCCCAAGAGATGTCAAACTCCCTGCTATTGCAGTGACTCCCACGACGCTAATTCCAGTTGACACACGCTTGCTGGAAGACTTTTCATCGCGAGAAGAAAAAGGCATTGCCGCCGGGATCCCGACGGATCTCCTTCGAATAATCCTTCTCGGGGTCGAATTCCTGCCAGAGGTTGGCCGGATAGAGGTGCTTGTTGCGCTGATACCACCGCCGATCCACCACTTTGGTCAACGTCGGATCATCCGATGCCCCCTCAAGTTGAGAGAGATCAGGCGCCCGACCGATGCCGGCCGCGCCGGATTCTTTCGGGGGAGCTTCGGCGCTATAGTTGAAGAGGAGCTTGTTGCCTGGACCAACGGTCTTGTTGATGATGAAGAAATAGAACTCGTAATGCTAGATAGACGGCACGTTAGTTTAGATCGTCTTTGTAATAGAAAGCCAGACATGTCACACTTACGTGAGGAATGATCATGGTACCCCGGACGAGCATCAAGTCGTCCACGCTGACACGGGCCCAGTCCCGTCTCGCATTCGAGCTCTTGTCTGCACCGACCCCAAGCTGCGCGCCCACCTTGCGGCTCTTGTCGAGAAACAGCCACACAAAATCTCCCTTCTTGACCCTCACAATGCCGCCGGGGATGTTGGTGCCGTCGTAGAAGACGAAAGGGATGGCGATCTCCGTAGCCTTGATTGCCGCCTGGAGCAGGAGAAACTCCTTCCGTAGCGCCTCTCTCTCCTCAGCTTCTCGCCGCAGAGCGGCTTTAGTCAGGGCCCGCGGCACGATACCGACTGACGTGTTTGCCACGACCTTGGCCTTTGATTTGTCGCCCTTGTCTCTGTCCTTGTCATCACTGGAGACGAGTTCTGCTCCTGCAGCTGCCTCGCCATTATCACCCGCGCCGTTGTTTTCGCCATGTCTTGCCTTCTTCTTCTTTCCCACGTCACGGCCGACAGAAAGGTTGGGTCCAGCCTCGTCCTCTTCCTCGTCAAAAGACAACACCAGAGCCTTGGTCCTTTTTGTCTTCTTCTTCTTCGGTCTCTCCGCCTCGCTACTATCGGCACTCACGTTGCTCGGGGTCGCAGCCAGGGACCGATCCGGCGTCGACTTGTTGGTGCGCGCAGCGAATGCCGCCTCGCGCGCCTCGCGCTCCTGTTGCTCGAGGACCTCGGCGCGCCGCTTGCGGAAGTCGGAGAGCGCAACTAGGCCGAATGTGTCCGTGGACAGCCGCTCGTGCGTCGTCTTGTTCTGCGGTGTGAAGCGCGACGCTCCCGGTTGTGGCGGCGGTTGGTCTGACATTCCGGTAGATGTTGGGTAGCACTTGCTGGGAAGGGAGGGGCCTGGTGTGTTGGATGAGTTGTCAAAGACGGGCAGGTGTACTGTGCTAGGTAGAGTACAGTAGAGTTCTGCGAAGATGGGATATATCGTGTAGATCCTTCAGGGAATTAAAGTTCTCTTGATAGGCTAAGTTTTGGGAGCGGCAAACATAAGTGGTCCATTGCACATGCCAGCCAGCAAGTCCCGGTAAAAACCAATCGGATCGGCCGCACAACCGCGTCAGCCGATAGGAGAACGCGCCATGTCCCCTTTGCCGACCCACTGGGCTTATCTCTTTTACGCAGAATTATCTTCGTACTCTACTTCGTACACAATACTAGTACGATACTGGCATGGTGCTAATACATACCTGTATTTTAGCAATGTAATAATGCTAGTATGCGAGGTTCTAACAGGCTTGTACTACATTATTACGCTACCAAACACCGGAGTCCTCAGTCATGACCAGCAGTTGGATATTTCCGTCATTTATCTTTATGAGTGATAACAGAATTCCTCAATGCTTGAATCATTCGTCCGATAGGAAGTCTTTCAGTTTTCTTTGTAGGAAACCACCCAAGCTCTCAAAGATAAGCGGATCGTGGCCCTCTCGCCAACGCAAGCTGACCGCTGCCTCTGACTTGCCGACCGCGACTGTTATTTCGAACCCAAGTCGGCATTCCTCCGCTTCCGCTGCTGGAGTGGTGCAACCCCTATTCGGTCCTTCCCCGTCTTGTTCTCGGAGCTTTCTTCTCCTCCAAGCCCTGCTCCATACGTTCTCCCCCGTCCTCCCCAGGCCGCTTGAGGTTTCCGGGTGCCAGGTCCAGGACATAAGCTCTAGAGATCCCACGATATCTCTGATTCGGGATATCACGGGATTGATTGGCTTTTCAGCCGGTATCATCAGCAGCTGCATCGTCACAGGCAGTGGCAAAATCTTCCTCCAGATACTCGCCTTCATCCCTCGCGCCACGTGCTCGGCCGGCCGCATGGGCCCGAAACTCCATCCCAAAGCCCACCGCCGCGTCTTGCTGCCCTGGACAAACTCGGTAACAGCATAATTGTCGATACCCTTCTCGCGTAGCTGCCCGATGAGTGCCTCGAGGCTGGTGAGCTTCCCGAGCATCGACGTGTACCACTGGATCCGGTCCCGCAACACAAGTGACTCCCCTATCAGCCGGCCAACATGGGCGACCTCTCCACCCTCACAAACCATTTCCACTGGGGCACCGGTGCAGGCTGAAAGCGGAGGCCGGGCCTTCTTCTGTGCTGACGAGAGCATGTCGTCTTCCGAGGTGTAGAATGGCGGGTTCATCATGACGAAATCGATGCATTGGATACTAGCCTCGTCTAGAGGCACCAGCGGGTCCTCTGGCTTCCGTTCCAGCAGCCGGATACGTTCTTCCAGGCCGTTCAGCTTGATGTTGGTCTTTGCATAGCTCAGATTCCTGGTGTCAATGTCTGCGGTGAGCTTAGCCTACCGTCTTCTGCCTATTGGACAGAAAGCTCACCTGTTGCCACAAAATTCCAGGGCCTCTGGGCAGCCCCTAAAAGCGGGTAGATACAGCTTGCGCCAGTGCCGACGTCGAGCCCGCACAGCTTCCGGCCGGGTGGCTCATACGACGTCGTGTCCATCAGATCCTTCAGCCACAGGATGTAATTATGCCGGTTGGGAACCTGGCACGGGGATCAGCAATGATGATCATCTGAAGTTGCTCAGCAGTCAGGCTGGGCCATACCGGGGGGCAAAGTCTGTCGTCTGGCAGCTCCAACGTCAAGCCAAAGTCAAGCTCCAACAATGTCTTGGTCAGCTGCATGGTAGCAGCCGGGTTGCTGAAGTCGAGCTGTCCATCGTTGTGAAGCCTGCAGGGAGGTTAGGCATTTAGCACAGGTCCAAGCAGTCAAGAAGTGAGGGAAAACCAAGGTAAGGGGGGACGTGGTATAGGGGAAGCGTGCTAGTGCAGTGGAGTGAGAGCAAGTAACCTACAGTGCAGCAAGACGACTGTCGTGCTTCGCAAGCTGCTTGAAGTCTGGCTCCGTCTCGTAAAGCCGGCGGAAGTAGCCGTCGGCGGTCACCCCGGCCGGCGGAGGATGGGGCCGACCAGGATTCGGTCTGCCGGGGTTGGGTCGGCCGATGGCTGATGGTGTGGTTCGAAGATCGGTTCCGGGCCCGATGTCCATCTCAGCCGCATCGACTGATGCTTTTCGCTTATTTCCTGCCATAACAGTCTCCGAACTTCATCTCTTAGACTCTAACTGCCACACGCGGCCGAACGCAAATGCCTGGTACTGGCACGAAGGCCCGACAGCAGGTGCCTTGGAAAGTGCGATATTTGTACAGTGCAGTACCGTTACGTGTTGATTCTTGAAATCCTATTCTCGTCATGTGAGGGCATACATCGTACTCAATGCTGGTAACGGCTGGTAACGCCAGCGAAGCAATCAAGAGATTCGAGCTTGAAGACTCCTACTACAGATAACGAAAGATGTCCACGTGTAACGACTCAGGTCGCTTATCAGCAGCTGCCATATCGTCGCAGGCGACCAATCACGCAATCGCACCTACCAGAAGAATTTGAGTCTTGACTCTTCGTCGGTTGTTGTGTTCAACCTGGTGAGGACGGGGTTAGTGTCGAGCATTATGAGGATCAGGGTGTGGAAACAGTGAGAATTACTCCGTACTCCGTAGAGCATATTGGTGCCCATAGCTGGTGCTGACAATGCTGACATCCTGGGCTTCCCACAGCTTCCACCTACACAGTAAGTGTACACTAAGGTTGTGTTCCACTCTCGCCCGCCTTAGCAGTGGGCCTTCCCCAGGTGAGGTGGGGAAGACCCAATCGCTGTCACCACCATCCAAAAGAGCCAGGCTGTGCTGCCTGTCATGACGGAGGTTGCTGTCCAGTCGAGCGAAACAAGGCTGCCAGAAGATGTGGGAGTCCAGGGCCTTCTGCAGCTCATCTTCACCATGCGGACTAGCTGAGGCCAGGCTAGAGTTCCTTGCAGGAGATGCGGATACTACTTAAGCAGCCAAGCCCCGTTCATTCCCATTGCCGTTCACTCCTACCTATGGTAGAGTTACAGTCTCCTCTGAACCAATCCATCTTGATCGGGCTGACTTTGCTTCCACTTTTGCCACCTGCTCCGGCTGTTTCCCAGCTGCGGTCATTTACCGACAGCGTAACAATTCGGACAAAGTGAAAGGGACAAACGAGCTGCTCGTGGCTTGATATCGCAACGGTTCGGACGAGCTGAAGCTGGGCCACCCACCTGGTAGCAGACTTGGCACGACGCAGCATCAAAGACCCCGTCGCAATCGCATCGCTCCCCTTCCAACCTCTCACCGACTTCCACCGACCTGCGCGCTACAGACTCACCACCTTGCATCGCCCAGAGTACCTTAATTGCTCACGCTGACGCCGCGAAGCGAGTGTGTGCGGTTTGAGAAGCACCAGTGTAGAACACACTGGGCTCAACGGGCAGGTAAAGTACCTATTCAAGGTATTATCATCCCGGTTCCGCTTGCACTTTCACAGCCAGCTTCTCTTCTGTCACGTTGCACTTGGTTCCTCGTCCTGTACGCTGTTGCCTTGCTGTGCATCCCTCTCAGTCGATTCTATTGGATCTGCTCGGCTTTCCAAGTTCCATCGTACTGCTCCTCCGCAAGCCGACGCCGCTTCTGCTGCGCTCCCGCTTGTGTGTCCTGATGCTATGACTGACCATATATGAATTGACAACAGAACGCCTAGCATTCGCTGGTCCCGCATCGGGTGCATGCCCCGGTCAGCTAGGCACTTCTGCAGCTCTCCGGGCCTCCCTCAGCCGGCCACGTCGCTCCCGTCAGTCGCACAGCGCTCCCAAGTTCTACCACACCTCGGAGCTCCGTTGCCTTATTGCGGTGCAAGCCTTCCCAGTTCCCACACTCCTCCGCCGTTTCCCCAATACCTCCCTCATTTGGCCCATAAAGTCTACCCCAGCAAGCTAGCTGCCCATCGCCTCTTGGCGGAAGCCCGCTTGTCCCGCCATCCTTGATACTCACCGAGAAATATGGACTCTGAAGACAGGAACTCGGCCGATGTGCGCGAAGGAAACCCTCCAGTGTCGGCAAAGAGCGAGGAGTCCAAAGCGCCTGCCGAGAGCATCCCCAAGTCAGCCGAGGGAGAGCCCAAGGCTAACGACAGGTCCGATGGGAATAAGAAACTGGCCAAGGACAAGAGCTCCAAGAAGGGCGCCAAGGGCAAGGCAAAGAAGTCCAAGAAGGCAGCATCACCCGCCGCGTCGGATTCGGATTCGGACAGCAGCGACACCAGTGATAGGTCATCTTCATCTTCGTCCGCCGACGACAGCGAGTCCGAATCAGAGGTTTCTAAAAAGAAGCGGGTGACCAAGAAGCGTCACGGACCCCAAAGAGGCAAGAAGACGCGCGTGAAGAAGCCTAAGAAGACAGCTAAGACGCAGGGGTCATCCGACTCTGACTCCGACTCCTCCGACAGCAGCGACAGTGACAGTTCGGAGGCTGAGGGCGCCCAGCAAACCCAAGCAGATGATCTGCTAAAGAAGCTCCAACTGTTACTCCTGCAACAGCAGCAAGGTGGCGGCTCCTATCAGTACAATGGGGGGCTCAACAACAATGTTCCTCCCCCTATCTATGACACCGGTCTACGGCAGAACCCCGCGAGAGTCCGCCGCGGTGGCGCCCGTACTTCTGGTCGGGCAAACCCCAACATCGGTGGCATTGACCCCAGCCTCCTCGTAGACGGGCAGCAGCAGCAGAAAGACAACAAAAAGCGGCAGAAGGCCAGCAAACTTGACTACAAGCGCGTTGACCAAGTCTGGGACGACACGATCCACAACTACAAACTCCAGGACACGGCCGAGGGGACAGTAGACGCCCAATACGATGAGTTCATTTTCCACGTTCGTCGTACCTTCGATTGGGAGGGCAAGTACAAAGCCACCATTGTCGATATCAAGAGCAAGCTGCTTCGCGAGTGCCTCCAGGATGTCATGGGTGGCATCAAGGGTGTGAGCTTGGTCGATGATACGCCAAAGCTTGACCCTAACATGCTCTTCTTGTAAGTCGTTGGCCTTTCTCCAACTACTTCACCAGTTCCGTGACAGCCTCGCACTCACACCATGGCAGATATCTTGAAGATCTCCGCAAACACATGAAGGAATTGAAGAAGCAGGCGAAGGCGGCCAAGAAAAAAGAGCAAAAGCGCATTGAATCGAAGCGACAGCATCTGAAAGTGCTGATCAAATACATCAACAAGGACTATGCGGACATCAAGAACAGGTAAGCCTGATCTGCCTGTGCCTAGTGCCGCGCTTACGTTCGCTTTGTAGTCTCTACCCGATGCTGGAGAACGGTCTTATCACGTTCGACCTGCTCTGGGCCTTGTGGAAACCAAACACGCTGGCATACACGACTACCTACGGGTCACACGATGAACCTCGTGTGTTCAAGGTCGAAATGGCAGAGAAACACCACAGCCTCATGAAGGGCGACTACTACTACATTGAGGGCAAGGTACGATGCCGTCCTGCCGGAAGATGAAGCACGTTTGCTCACTTACTAATCACACCTTTCGATTTGTGCTAGTACTTCGAGTATGATGGGAAGCAGTTCGGCTTTGGAGGCATGGCCGAAGAGATCGGCGACTTCCGTGGAGCGCGCAAGATCACGAGCTTGGGCTGCTATCCGCTCAAGTACCACAAGAACGAAGCGCAGCTGCGGAAGGAGTTGATCGAGCGCGGCAAGAAGTTTGTGTCGCTCAGCGGCGTGCACTACAAGAGCCATCACGGGATGGCCTACTACAAGAAAAAGAAGGCCATCATCAAAGTCAACATCAACGGGCGCATCATGATTGACCCCAGTATCCACCGCCGCATCAATCCGAACTATCCGATCTCCCTTGTTAGGCCCAAGGACCACGACCTCCTATCGGACGATGAGGACTCGGACGACGAATCTGGCTGCTGCGGATGCGACTCGGAGTTAGAGGTCGACGGCGATCTGGACGGTGAGAAGACCAAGTTCGTGACCAAGGTCGTTCGAGACGAAAAGGGCAACGTTTCGCTTGTCCGCATGCCCAAGTTCGATGACGACGAGGCTGCCGGAAAGGAGAAGCTGGACAAAGTGACCGCCAAGGATGAGGACACAGCACAACAGAACGGGGAAGAGACACCCACCTCTTCGGCAAAGGGAAAAGAGGCCAAACCGATACCCGAGTTTAGTGATGAGGAGTACTTAATCGCGTCTCCGGTGGTTCTTGGGTTTGCCTTTGCCGAGAAGTTGTGGCTGGAATTCACCGTCTCCGGCGTCAAGGAGATTCAATGGAATGAAACCGCTTACGAGTCCCTGGTGCTTGAGCCAAAGACCAAGGACATCGTAAAGGTAAGGCTCTACACTGATGGCAGAGCTCCCCCTTCGGCAGCATGGCATTAACGGGTTGTGAACAGGCTCTTGTCGAATCCCACAAGTACCACGCGGCCGAGAGCATTGACGATGTGATTCAGGGCAAGGGCAAGGGCCTAGTTGGTATGTTGATATCCTCATCTGCTCCTATAACCACTCTCTGATAACGTTCAATTAGCTGTGCTACATGGCCCTCCCGGCACTGGCAAGACCTTAACGGCGGAAGGCATCTCGGAGCTCCTCAAATGCCCTCTATACATGGCATCCGCAGGCGAGCTCGGCACAGACTCGAGGTACCTTGAAAGCGAACTCCAGAAGATACTGGATATCTGCCACGCCTGGGGAGCGATCCTCCTGCTGGACGAGGCCGACGTGTTCTTGGAGAAGCGGAACATGCACGACATCCACCGGAATGCCCTTGTCAGCATCTTCCTTCGCCAGCTCGAGTACTTCCAGGGCATTCTCTTCCTCACAACAAATAGGGTCGAGGTAAGCACAAACCGACGAGACCTTTGCTCACCGGACACCGAGCACTAACTAAAAGCTCTGCTTGTTAGACCTTCGATGATGCCTTCCAGTCGCGCATCCACATTGCTCTTCGATACGACAATCTCGACCACCGAGCCAAGAAGACCATCTTCAAGATCTTCATCGAGCGTGTGCGGGTGCTTGAGAAGATCAGCCTGATGCCCTTCAGCGAGGAGGACTACAACCAACTCGCACGACACGAGCTCAACGGGCGGCAGATCAAGAACACTGTCCGCACCGCGCAGGCCCTGGCGGTCAATAAGGGCGAGCCGCTCTCCATGAGCCACATCCGCCAGGTTCTCGATGTGCAAACCAATTTTGAGCGGGATCTGAAGGGCGGTACTGGCTACCAGGACGCGATGAGGAGCTATTTCTGAGTCTCATTTCTTTTTTTTTTGGAAGTACCTTTGAGCGTTGGCGTTTTTAGTGTGGTTCTCTTTCGGCCATGCGGTGGTGGGCACCCCGTTCAGTTGATACGCGTCCATCTCATGGAAGATATCCTTTTGGGGAGATATCGTCTTCTTTTGTTACTTCAGTCATTTTTCGGTCATCTTTTCCCGTTTGTTTCGCGCGCTCCTCCCTGGACCTCATCAATATCCCGGAACGCGTATCTCAGAACCCACGCAAGGTAGAGAAGACAGCATGGTCTGGGCACTGCTAAATGCCGATTGATGATATTGACATGACGGATGCAAATAGGCCTGTACCTTGTGTAGGTTTTAACAGAGTATGGACGCTATGCGGAGAGGGATAGTTCAGGGGCAAAAACCAAGATGAAAAAAGCCCAAAAATGTAATTAGCTGCGACTCGTTTCGATCGAGTGACCTCCGGGTTATGAGCCCGGCGCTATTCCGCTTAGCTACGCAGCTTATCCTTGAATTGTCGATGCTGAGGTGGATTCTTTTAAACCACTATATGGACGTACCAGCACCAAGATCGACCCCACAACTAACCCGATACGGACGTGGCACAAAGAGTCAAGCCACACTAAAACTTGCAGGCATCTCCCCCAACTTGCCTGTCACTGTCGCGCATGTAAACAACCACATACCAAATACCTGATTGAATTTTCAGAGAATATGGAGTGTGTATACTGCAACTGCTAGCCTAGACTGCCTACCTTCCTAGGCTATATGGTAGCACCTAGCATTCGAACCTAACCTTGCCCTATACCCTCCTCCCCTGAGCCCACCCTTGGAATTACGCCTATGCCTACGCCTGTATGAGAGCATTGCCGTATTGAGATTGCATTTGAGACTGTTAAGAGTTGCCAAACGGCGTGTCGAACGGCGCCTATAGGCATTTGGTATATGGTTGTTTACGCATCTATACATGCGCGACAGAGATAGGCAACCTGGAAAAGTTAGGGAAGATGCCTGTAGGTTTTGGTGTGGCTTGACTCTTTGCGGCCCGGCCGCATCGAGTTAGCTAGGGGGTCGATCTTGGCGGTGGTAGGTTAATATAGTGGTTTCGTGTCTCTTTGCCAATCGTTGATATGTCTCTTTTCCAATAATTTGACCTAGTCCTATACGCAGCCCTGTACTCGTTGGGCCTCCTAAACAAGAGCGGGGGCTGGAAGTACGGGATAGAGCCTCAAGTGTGTGTGGATCTACCTCCATTACTTTGCTCAGGCGGAGAGAGCCTACCCAAGTAGTATCTACTGTATCATCTTCAATGTAACTACTACGAATATTGTGTGGCTGTCAAGCTCTCCCGACAGACAGGGGCGATGGACATGGACAGCTCCTGTGGGGCGCGAAGTTGCTAATCGCGGTACAGTGGGGACAAACACCAATCAGCGAAAGTGCGGCCTCTGAAGCCGACGTCATCCGATCTCGAAGAGAGCTGAAACAAGCTGCCCTGTTGGCCCAGTTCGGACGCCAACGGCGCCGTCTTTGTGACCAAGGCCATCGATGTAAGAGGCGGATTGGCTTGGAGATGTATTAGGGATTCCGGAGCCCTTTCTCGTCTCCTCGCTCTGCTTGTCTTCCTGTCCTTCTGCGCCTTGCGTTCTTTTAATCGTTGGCTGTCGATAGTCCCCGGCCCGCGCAGAAGAAGCTGGTTGCGATTTGCGCTCGGTTCGTCCCGTCATCCGAACTACATACATAAAAAAGTCCTGGAAGTCGATCTTGTCGCTTGAATCCCGGGACCAGCGCAAAACCCGGACAGCAGAATGCCGCGCGGACAAGCATGGAGCCGCTTTCTGGGCTTAGGGACTTTGGGACGAGGACATCGTGACAGCGGCTGGTGGGAGGAGCAACGGCGTGAGTCAGAACTTCTCGCTTCTCTCTCTCCAGAGACTAATCCCGTACCCCAGTCCTCCCAACCTACCGGACCAGTTCGATCCAGTCGGCAATTCCGGCCCAGACCGTCACCGAAGTCGCACTCCGTATCCGCCATCTGATCGAGGAATGTGTCCCATGCGAGCTCAAGGAGGACATGGTAACCTCGCCGCACAGCAAGGTCATCACGCCCAAGGTCATCAAGGCTGCCAAGGAAGCTGGCGGTCGCGAGCATGGGGCCTGCGTCGTCTTCTGTCTGCTGATCAATAAGCGCTGGTGGCACCACCAGTCGCTGGTTGAGCTATGGGATGCGGAGCTTCACCAGCTCCGCGCCACGGCTTGCGAGGTCATTGCCAAGAAGCTCATAGAGTCGGAAGAGGATATGGAATACCTCTTGCACTCCGTCCTGCTCAAGCGCTACTCCATTCTTGTCGATGGGCATCCCACGCATCCGGTCAACGTTGTTGAGAAGGCAGTTGACCTGCACGCTCTGCGCGTCATTGGGTCCGCGGGGTACCAGAAGTGCGTCAACTACCTCTGGCGCGGGTGGCTGATCCAGGACGAGAAAGACCCGGCCACGTTTATCGACTACAGGGACAAGGATAACACGTCGTACTGGGCGCACCTCGACCCGGACCGCATGCGCGCGCCAAGGTACCAGAATGCCGCTCAGATGCTCTTTTCCTTCGCTTACCTCGGCCTATATACGCTCGCGATGAACTCGGTGAACGAGGATGGCGGCATCGACTTTGTCGAAGGTCTGCTCTACATGTTTACATTCGGCTTCATCTGCGATGAGCTCGCCAAGTTCTGGAAAGCGGGTTACCACATCCTGAATTTCTGGAACGCATTCAACTCGATTCTGTACGGCCTCCTGAGCACCAGCTTCGTCCTCCGCTGCATAGCGCTGAGCCACGGTGGTAATGAGCCCAACGGGCTTCGCCATCATTACAGCGCCCTCAGCTACAGCTTCCTCGCAGTAAGCGCTCCCATGTTCTGGGGCCGTTTGCTTCTCTACCTCGACAGCTTCCGTTTCTTCGGTGCCATGCTGGTCGTGCTCAAGGTCATGATGAAGGAGTCCCTCATCTTCTTCGCTCTTCTGGTCGTCATTGTTGTCGGATTCCTGCAGGCCTTTGTCGGTCTTGACTACGCCGATGACAGGGTCATCGAAGACATATTCTTCATCGTCCAATCGATGGCCAACGCCGTGATGCAGTCTCCCGACTTTAGCGGTTTTGAGAGGTTCCGGCCGCCGTTCGGCTTGGTCCTATATTACTGCTTTACATTCGTCGTCATGGTAACGTTACCCCTATCTCCCCCACAGTCATAATCTACACCCCTTTACGCACCAAGAACGTTGTCTAACCCCCGGATCCAGGTCGTACTTCTCAATATCCTCATCGCCCTCTTCAACTCGGCCTACGAAGACATATACGACAATGCCAACGACGAGTATCTTGCCATGTTCGCCATGAAGACCGTAACCTTTGTCCGCGCCCCCGACGAGAACGTCTACATCCCTCCTTTCAACCTGATCGAAATCTTCCTGATCGCCATCCCCTTCGAGTGGTGGATGGACAAGAAGTCGTATGAGCGCATTAATGACATCGTCATGGGCTTCATCTACTCCCCCCTGATTTTGATCTCGGCCTACTTCGAGACCCGTTGGGCCCGTGACATCCGCGTGAACCGCGCCCGTGGCGACGCCGATGATGATACGGTTGAGGAGTGGGAGCAAATGTTGGGGCAGGTTGACTTTGAGGCCGACGGCTGGAAGAAGCAGGTTGACGCAGCAAAAAGTAACCTGGAGGAGGACCTTGCGGTTGCAGAGGTCAAGAAGCTGAAGGAAGAAGTGAACAAGCTGAAGGAGCTGGTTCTGTCCCTGCATAAGGCGCTAGCCGATGGTAAGGATGAGGATGGCGGACTCTAGGCTTGACTCCTTCAACCCTGCCCGTTGCGCAATGATGCCTCTGCGCATTGTGGTTGCGGAGACTTGTGGGCTGGATCTGAACAGTTCCATCCACACGTCTTGTTGGGAAGTCTGTGTCTTTCAGGGCATTGGCAGCCGGCGTTCGGCGTGTTGAATGTGATGATCTTCATACCCCCATATCTACAATAATGGCAGTTTTACCAGGTGGACAATTCTTGTGAAACAAACCTTTGATTCCTCCAAATGATCTTACAGACAGAAGACTCTTCTCAGGCTTCGGTGTCTATTGTGAATGACCCAGCTGTGCCTTGGACTAAATCGCATTGCGATCGACATGAGGCGGTCTGTTACAGAGAGTCACCTACCTCCAAGAGCAAAGATCACTGTCAAGGATTTGGAGAAGGTGGAAGCAGATTATCTTTTGGACGCTGCCGAACACGCCCTAAACCGAGCCAGCAATGTTGCTGTTCTGTTGAATCCGTAAATGTCCAGATAGCCCCCCGAAGCCTCTTGCAACAAGGATAGAGAGCGCCCAAGTACAGTTGCGCCCATTCCTAAGCTGTTAGAGGACAGTCCACGAGAGGGAAGTCCCAAAAAAGAAATGACGCCACCACCGTTGTCCCATCTGAGCAAAAAAAGAGAGAGGGAAAAGAAAAGCGAATAACCGAAAGGTTGGTGTTACATGTACACAGTATTACACCCTTGTCAACCGAGCCACCGTTCCCAGTGTCGTCTTGCCTGTTAGCGCCCATAGATTATTGTACAGTCTCATGTTCAATGACAACCCAGCTGCCACACAGTTTAAGCGAAAGGAAGAATCAAGTCGAAGGTGCCAAAATGAGGGTTTGTGACCTAACTGGGTGCCCTTGAACAGCGGTCAGCCGGCAATCCAAAGGGAAACCAGAGGAGAGAAAACGCAAGGGAAGACTCACACTCCGCCTCCCATGAAAGCAGCCAGGTCATCAAGCTCCAGCAGTTGTCGTTCAAAAGCCGCGCACAGCTCCATCGCTGTCATGTCGACGTCGGGGCCGGGTTGCGTCGCCTGGGGAATACCACTAACTGAGGTCGACGATGTGATATCAGGCGAGTCCGCCTTTGGCACGGTGCCTGGAGGAGGGCTGGTTGTCATGGGGGTCGCCGCACCGACAGAACCACCATTAATCGTGGTGACACCTGGCCGTCTGGGGACGGGAGGTTCGCTATCGCGGCTGTCCACAGACGCAGGAAGCGGGGGATGTCCTCCGAGGCCCGTCATCTGATCGTAGTCCATCGCATCAGGATTCGTGTCAGCCTGGCTGGGAGTGTCGTCCTTGATCGAGGGCGAAACATGTTGGTTTGACTTGCTGTCTTCACGCGTGTCACGGATGTCCCGCGGAGCGCTGTTAACCTGGCGCAGGACCTTGGACATGACGGAAAGGTGACGCTGCCAAGGGACCACCAACGGCCACGACTCAGAACCATCCTGACAGAGCCTCAGGCTGTCGCGCACAATGCTCGAAGCCGACTCGATCACGTCAGGCGGAGCCAGTCCCTTGAGCGTAAGATACGCAACCGTAGATCCAGCCGTGAAGGCCGAGAACAACATGAAAATTGGGAAGCAAAGGATGCTATCCTTGTCTGCTCCGTGCTCGAGGGACAGAAGGGAGTGGATGATGCTGTGCGACGCCGCAAAGATATGGTCGACAGCCTGCAGCATGAGAGGGTACGAGGAGCTGCGCCAGGCCTCGAGCGAAAAGTTCTCGTCGGTGACAACCTGAAGGATGCGGCGGCGGTTCACAAAGATAGTGCCACAGTTGAGGAGCGAATGGATCATCGCGTACGTGTATCCGCTGCCCATCGTGATATGGAGGTTGATCTGGCCGGGCTTGTCGGCAAAGTGCAGCGGCAGGGACTGCCTGATGGCATCAATCTCTTGCTCAAGCGCCAGACATTGTTCCTCGGAGAAGGTTTCGAGGGTGGTGGTCGTCATCATCTCAACCACGTTGCGCCAAGCCTTCGTTGCCAGGACGATGTGCCCGAACTCGCCGACCTCGCCAAGAGGACTGGCAGGGTCAGGCATGGTCGAGGGAGGGGCGCCGCTCAAGGTACGGACATAGACCGGGCTGCCGAAGTGGTAATTCATCAGCGTACACGGCAGTGATACATCGTGAACGTCGTGCGACGAGAGAGCGGGGTGGCGGCCGGGGCTGCTAGTGAGAAAGCAATCCAGGATGTAAATCAACCATAAGGTGCGTCGGAATGATTCGTCCTGAAGGAACTGGTCTGGATCGGCGTGGAGGTGGTGGGAGTGGACAATACGGTACATCTGAGCCATTCGCGCAGCCTGGCCGAGATAGATATAGGCGCGCACCGCATTGCGGCAGCCCCATTCATGAACAACAAGCAGGCACAGTGCCTGGATATCGGCAAGGCTAGGCTGGTCCAGAGCCTGGCCAATGAGGTGAATGGCCTTGCTGGCAAAGTGTTCGGCAGCGGCGGAACCACCACCGTGGCCGCCATATCGGCGAATCATGGCCGGCGAGTGCCTGTCATACAGTGTTAAAAGCTGATCGGAAGCTTCGGGAAGGTTGCGGCGTTGCTTACCGGGCGGCTGTAGCAAGCAGGGCATGGATCATGGTGGGGTCCATGGAGGTGTTCTTCAGCTGCTGAAGAAAAGACGGCTTGTGGAAGGCCACACATGCCGGAAGTGTCTTTGAAATCACACGCTCGCATTCTTGCATCAACTCGGGCGTGAGTCTGCGGAGAAAGTTTGGTTAGGCTGTTCGTATGCATCTTATGGCAGAGTTGATCGTAATGGAAACATGGGATGCGACGGTTTGCGGTAATCCGTCGGAGCCTCTATACGAATAGCTCCGGTGGTTTGAGGCCAAAGCCAAGACAACCGGGGTAGGACGGGAGAAAGCGCACGGAGCAAAGGGAAAATTGCGCGTGCCGGTTTGGGAAATGAGGGCCGGGCGGAGAAAATTGGTGGCCCTCCGAGCGCGAGCGCTAGAAAATGAACTCGGCGGGTGGAGGCAACCGGGAGCGGGAGAAAAAAGGCGCTGGGCAAACGGAGCGCCCGGACGCCAACAAGATGACCGGATAAATGGGATCGAAGACCGTGTAGACGTGTAATGATGAGGTGCAACGCTCGGCTTGGGAATAGACGATAGATGCCAGATTTAGGTATGCATATGAAGGGAAAAAGAGATGAAACGTACTTCTCAGTGACTGTTGGGACATGACGCGACACGCCTGAAGCGGGAGGCGCCTGACGGTCGCCCGACGTGTTCGGGACAGCCCGCTCGCTGGGCAAAGATTCGCGCGCTCGCTGCTGGGCTCGAGCTGGCGATACTCCATGGCTACCGTGCGTCGGAGACTCATGAGGGAGGTAGCAATTGTGCATGCCCTTTATGCAGTTCTTGCAAGGGGGCTTGCCGGTATCATAGACGCATTTCGTCTTACCCTTGCGACAGCGGACACAGGCGCCTCCAGCTCGGAGGGCTGTCGATCGGGGGACCGACGCCATTGCGGACAATCGCGTCGCACCTTACAAGGGTGCGCAGACCAGTGACAAGTTGTTGACAGAACGCGAGCGATGATGGAAGATTGAGAAGATGACGGAACCAGACCGATGCGATCGGAGGAAAGAGTGAGCTCCGGAGGGGCGCCGATGGGACGAAAACCGACAGCCCGGTGCAGCACAAAAAAGGTGCGCTTTCAGAATTGAGAGACGAAGCTCGGTGCGAGGGAGTGCGTTGTTCCTCAAGTCCGGTCGGGGAAGTGATGAAAGGAGGGAAAGTAAGGGGAAGAAGGTCAGGGAGGACGGGGAATCGATGGGGTAAAAGGAGCTGGACGGGAGGGCTCGGGCGGACTTTGAACCTCTGGAAGTGAGGGAAGGGAGGCGGCGGCAGCACTCATAAAAAAGAGGCCACAGTCGGGCGGATCGGCTCATACTGCCGGGGTCAGGTAAGGGAAGACGGGGATAAAGTGGGTCACTTGAGGAAAGCGCCAGCCAGTCCAAGTGCCCCAGCATCCCGCCCGCCGCGAGCAGCCCGGCGACCGGCAGACAGTGGAGGTCGAGAGCGGAAACCATAGACCCGACTCACCGTCAAGTGAAAAAGTTTGATCCCTTAATGAGTCATTACAAGGCGCACTTGATATCATCCCGGGTCTGGAACAAATTCGAATGCCAACCGGTCTGTTTGACGCCGGGTTTGCGCTTTGGCGCGTCCGCCCCGGGTACCCCGCCGACACTTGGTGCCTCAGCCCGTGAAGTCCGGCACCTACCGAAATGGCCGCCACTGCTGCCCAGGTGGGTTGGATGGAAGGCGCGCCTCAAATTCCGTGATTACTGGTAGGTACCTACTGAACTATAACTAAGGTACACAACTTACTCCTCTAAGTGGGTTTCGCAGCTCTAGTTGTTTCAACCTTTCTCGCAAGAGACAATACCACGATTAAATAGGTAACCCGGTTTACATCGTCTGTCCGCAGAATGCCGGTCTCGATCTTCAGTTGGCCTGTGCTTGGTGCAATCTGGTACAGATAATGGCAGTAGTAGAGTTATCGACACAGGTACGTTGGGAAATGCCTCACGGCAAAGCCACTGCCCGATGGCGGCTGGAGATCTGTGTCTCACCTGTGAAGCTGTGGCCCGAGCCTTGCCTGATTTGCGTGCATGCGCACGGGGTGGTGCCTCCAACCACCATCGCAAGCGCTTCCTCTTGGCCTCTGTTGGCGGGCCCCGGTCGGTTCTCGTTCTAACACATAATACCGTAGTTGGGGAATCTGGGCGGCAATGACGCCCATACCATGAATATAGATAAGTGTTGTCGTCACCACTTGGCAAGTTCTCCTGTTAACGGGGTGCGATCTAAATCTCGATCTCGCTCACGGACTTGAGTGGGCCCACGATCTGGTCGGTGCATTCGGGGCACGTTGACGTTCTTCTTCCGCTACTGGCACTGATTCTCTTCCTCATAATAACGGTGGCAAACTCGAGTTGCCTAAGGTGCGGGGAATAGCATGCAGGCAGGCCGTGGTCAATTAATAGCTCCTCGGTGTGTGAACGAAGGCTGCGGAATACGTACAATACCAGTGATACATGGTGGCAGACAAAACCTGCGCGGGACCCAGTTCCGGCCTCGGACCCACATTTCCCGAGGCAGAACCTTGAATGCTCTCTCGGACGCTTCGGCCGCCAGACCATCCAACGCCGGCAACTAAGGTTCGTGTCCATGCTTTTCGGCCATGTCCAACACAAGCGAGGGGTGGAAACTCATTGAACGCACAGAAAAGTTGCGTTTCAACCTGCAGTGTTTTGGCTTGTCTGTACATCATCACACACTCAAACACAGGAGTGGGCATACTTATCGCCCGTGGAACGATGGGATAAGCAATCTCCGGGTGCGAAGTCCGCCTGTCCAAGTCGGTTTGTGGTCAAAAAAGCCTCGTCGAACACGACACCTCGGAAGGGAGTGGGAGCCACGAGTTGCATGCTGCACCAGCCGCCTTGGCCCCGCCCTCTGAAAGAGGCCGACGGGACTCCTGAAAAGTCGAGCGGTGACTACAATAGCTGTTTTACGGCTCCTACCAGAAGCCTCATCGCCGGCGGCCACATGCTCTGAGTGGGACCTGTAGCGGAGTGTCCGCATTGCCGGCCCGTCCTCGAACGGTCTCAAACTGTCTGGCTAAAGTGCGCAGCGCGATGCATCGCGGCCGTCACCTAGTCTCCTTGCCTCAAGACTCAGGTATGCCTCCGCCATGTACCGCGACCGTGATTTTGACCTTTTCCTTGAGCGAGCTCTGAATCTACAATTACCCGGCTTCCATCTACTTATCCCCCACCTAGCTCCCTATCTGGTCCCAAGCTCGCAGGGGCACTCAGACGGGACTTCAAAATAAATGATCCCAATGACGGAGATGATGGAGATGCTAACGGCCGGTACCTTTTTTTTTGCTTTCTTCATTTTTTCCTCGAGTACCAGATCCCTATGCTAGAGTGTCCTGGACTCCCATCTGGTCTGCTCAGCCCCCCAATGCGGGAAGTCCGGCGGGGGCTAAGTAAATTTAGGGATACTGGGGAGATCACGAGGCTCACGACTCGGCTGTCAGCCATAAAAGAAGTACCTTATAAGCCATATGGCAAGGGTCAAATTTTGATGTGCATAGACGACGGCGTCCGAGAGGTCGGGTCTGTTCAGATAGCCAACGGAAGAGTCTGGAATGTTATATTGTACATAGGTACCTAACGTATGTACAATACATACACCGAGTCGCTTCTTGACTTGGATATCGGACTCGCCGGTACGCGCGGAGAGCAGATAGATGCGCAATTCTGAAACCTGCCGCGGCCGTCGACTTCGACACATTGCAGCAGATCCCTGGAGGCGGCGCAGCGAGAGAGACACGGAGGCTTGGTGGGTCGCGAACCCCCGGGCAGCTCAGGCCTGCGAGCCAGCCCCCCAAATTGGCTCTGCTTTTATGTCACCGAGCGCTTGCGTCGGGCGGCCCAAGATCGGACTCGGCGCCTGCAGCCCCCGCCTGCACCACCACTAGCCGCCAGCTCCAGCCGCTGGTATTGTCTCGCTCTTGAATGAGGTACACAAGGTCAAGAGCGAATGCTGTTTCGCAAAGTCTCCCTTGCCCCCCGCCCCCTTCCTGGGTACGCGTCATGCACGGTTTTGCTACATAAGCCGCTCCCGATTTGCGTTACCATCCGGTGATATCGTCCAGATCGGCGGTGGGTATTCCGTACGCAGACAGGCCGATGGGCGGGGCCCCACTGCGGCCGGATGACGACTGGAACAGCCGAAACACATCCGGGCGGCAGGACAGGACGGCCCCCTTTTATTATTTAGACCCAACTAGGCGTTCAACTTGCATAACCCTCACAGTCCCTTCTGGGCGGGTTGGACAGGGCCAACCAGCCCGGCGACGGCGTGCATACGGTCTCATCCACAGGTCAAGCGTAGAGACAATGAACGGTCTCCTGGGAGGGTACCGAGAGCTGTAGCTATAGTCGCCAGATCACTAAAGTGCGATGTGAGCCTAGGTGGGGTGACGAGGGCTGGACCTCCATTCCATTTGGAGTCTGCTCGTCCTACGCACATCGGACACGGCCCGGTCACTCGGATGGCTGACGGAGGGAATACGAGGAAGAGCAACTCCGTTTCGTGCCGATTTCCCCATTCCTATGTCAAGGCGCCTCGGACGTTACTCATGACCTTTGCAGTCGGCCTTTCAAATGTCCCCCTCCTACTTTGGCGCTCAAACCACCAATGGATCCATCTCTCCCAATACCAAGTGAAGCCGGGCCACGGGTGAAGGTGAGAGCATGGTGTCCGACGTCCGCCTACCCCCCATGCTTCTTTAAATTGGTGGAAATAGTGGGCGTTTTGACCTGAACCGTGCCATCAGCCATTCCGAAATACGCAGCGACGGGCTTCTGAGCGCCCGCGGCAACCTCCAGCCCATTCTCGCCATGAAACAGGCCTATCTCGGCCACACCGGGAATCTTGATCAGCCTATCCGCAAGGGCGTCGACGGTCCAAACGCCACTGGCCCCGCTCCCGGTCTCACTGCCGTCCTCGAGGTCCTTAGGGAGGAGGAGCGGCGCAAAAGGTGCGTCAATAATCCACATGCCGTTGTCCGTGACGATGGCGCCGGCCTTGCCGGGGAGCCCGGGCCGGACCCGTGGGTTTTGGGAACCCATCCGGGCGAGTTCGTCCAGAACCCTCGGCGCAGCCATGGGTAGCACCTCTATTGGAATTCCCTTCTTCCAGGCGGTCCCCAGACGTGGAGAGAGCTTGCGGAAGTCGGCCACGCAGACGAACCGCTTGGCGCTGACGGCCACGATCTTCTCTTGCCACAGGCATGCGCCGCCGCCCTTGATCAGGTTCAGGTCGTCATCCACCTCGTCGGCACCGTCGAAGGCAACATCCAGCTGCTGCCCGGCCGGCAGCTTGCTGATGTATTGCAGGTTCAGCCCGGCCGCTTCGATCAGCTCCTCGGACTGGGAACCCGTTGGGTAGAAGGTCATCTTGGACGTCACGGCGGGCCCGAGGGCGGAAATCGCTTCCACCACGTAGACGACGGTGCTGCCGGAGCCGATGCCTATCCTCGTGTACTCAGGAAGGAGGTGGTCCTTGACAGCCTGGAAGGCGGCAAGTCTCTTGGATGTCTCGACCAGCGCCGCTTGCTGCTGCTCTGTGGTAGTAGCCATCCTGCGTGGAGCTGGCGGTGCTGTTACCCTCCGCGGGTGGGTATTGAACGGTATCGTGGTCCCTTTGTCTCCGGGTGTAATGAGAGATAGCGTCAAGCTGGAACGAGTGGAAAAGCCGCACGCAGGAGACCCAGAGAGCGCAGAGACGAGATGAGAAGACGAGCCAGCAGTCCCAGCGACAGCAAAACGCGCAAGATGAGACTTGCGGAAAAGCGTGTTCAGCCTCGTCACTGAGCCTGCAATGCGCTGATTCATGCGAATACCAAAGTGTCAAGGGCAGCACAACCCAAAAATGGAACGAGTTAAGCTTGCAGTGCGGCTATTTGAGGACCGTACACTGTAGTAGGAGAGGTGATGTTAATGCCATGTTAATAATGCCCCCTTGCTTCCCGTCCTTCCCTGCGAGCTCGGATCTGCACCTGCAATCCTGGCCCCACATCTATGGCGGGGTAAGTTGAGCCCAATGAACCGGAGGGCCCCATCAAACTTGACGCTGGCTCTTGAATCTAAAACCACACTTCCTCCACCGATTCTCTCGTTCTTAGAGTCCGCATGAGCCACAGCTCGAAAGTCTATTATTAGACTTGAGTAAGACCTAGTTTATAGTTCCAGAAAAGCGCCCGCTCTGCACAAAAAGCCTCCCACAGTTGACCCAAGGAGCACCACCGCAAGAACCTGCATGCAACGTAGAGGCTGGCTTCGCAACCGGACGTGCCGGGTTCTAGTGTTGGAACCTGAAGTCCAACCTCTTATTTCCCTGGTCGGTGGTGGTGGCCAGGTAATGCAGCCGCTTCTCTGGGGTCAGGGCGTCCCACTTCTTCGCCCTCGCTTTATTCCGGAAGACATAATATGCCTTGACCATACCATACAGCACGATGTTCATGCATAGGATTCCGAGAAGTTGCCGATTACCCCGACGGTACAGCGGCGCGTCGTCTGCGATGGGAGTTAGTGCCTGCCACTAGAAGATCCGTTCGCTTCTGACTCCGACCTACCAGTCCGGTATATGTTGGCGGCGATGACGGAACCCGCCTGGACAAACATGTTGTAGCATGCGGCAGATACGGTGCGGGCCCGAACGGTGTTGGAGTTGCGAGAGTTCCACCCGACTTGGATTGGGTGTGCTGGCCCCTGAAGTCAGCTACGACGATGTTGATCCGCGGGGACAGGACGTGCATGACTTGCCATTAGGGTAGCTGAGCAGCAGCGTGGTGACCGCGTATATTACCCACCTGCTCACCTTGGAGGTATCGACCACGTTGAGGTATATCAAGAACGGCAGTGCCCATACCTGCCCCGCACCGGCCACGAGGGTCAACTGTCCCGCGATCTCGGCGATGTAGGCTATGCCCAGCATCGTTATTACTGGCCGGCGTCAGACTCACACCCCTCACCGCAATCTTCGACGTTAAACACGGTTGTCGCTTACTATGGCCAATAGTGTAAGGTATCGCCAGCAGATTTGTCTGGAATGTATCGAAACCCAAACTCCTGAGAGAGAGGGTGAGATACTGCTGAGGAGGTACCATCGGGATCTGGAACGTGAGTCCAAGGATATACAGGGGCCTTGGGCAGGATCAGCCTCGTTCCGATCCGAAATGGTAGGTGCGGACGTATATATATGTCCAGGACAACCACTCACCAGAGGTCATAGTCTTTGAGAGTCTGCCAGAGCAGTTTCAGGGTGATGGGTTGGCGGTTGTGCATGTCGCTTTTACTCGGGTCTTCCCGCAGGACACGGTTTACTATGATCTTTTCTTCCCTGGAGGTTACACCCGCACGATATCTGTCAGCTCTTGTAACACGAGCGTTCCGGGGTAGAAGACGGCCGTACCGCTCGCTAAACCATCCATCCTTGCCCCGGAACCAGCTCGCGGTTTGACACGGCCCAGCAGGCATCAGCAGGAAGGAGAGGACACCGATAACCAGCGTCAAAAGGCCCTGCGGTACGTGGTCAGTGCCTTATCTAGTTGTGTCTGTGGCTCGAGGACCAGCTCGTGTACGCACCTCGATCAAGAACAGCCATCGCCAGCCAGAGTGGCCCTCAACACCCCGCATGTGCAGAATGCCGTACGCGAGAAGGGACGAGATGATGTCTGCAATGCTCATGGCCGTCCAGAAAAAGCCGAGACGCACGGTCAGCTCGTGGTGCTTGTAGAAGTATGAGAGGTACAGGACCACCTGCCACGTTGAGTAAGCTTCCGTTGACATCCACAGCAGGCCCCGGCATGGCAGACTTACATCAGGGATGAACCCCCCTTGCAGGACACCTAACAAGCAGCGGCATACAAGGAACGATGTGCGACCAGACAGCCAGAATTGGCCGGTAGCGACCAGACTCCAGAGAGTAATCTGCGCGGGGATCCAACGGTCCGGCCCCATCCACTTCGAGACCAGCTGGGACGGGAGCTCGGCGCAGAGAAAGGAGAGCCTGAAGATGGTGTTTCCCAGGTTATAGTCTAGGGGTAGTACATCCGTCAGCCCATCCGTAGCCCATGCATGTGCTCATCAGCAAGGCACGCTCGACTCACCGTCGGTGGTCAAGGAGAGGTCCGGGAGAAAGTTGTCGCTGAGGGCCTGGCCGAGGTTGGCTCGGTCGAACTCGAGGGCCATGAACATGATACAAGCCCACAGCATGATCCGGAAGTCGATCTTGCGCAGCAGGCGACCCTCTTCGCGCCAGGTCCATCGTTCGAGAGGGTCGAACCGATGAGTGTTCTCCCTTGAGGCGAACTGTCCATCAGCCACTCTGGTATGAGGTACCCGGGAAGCAGAAGGAAAGGTTACTCACCAGTCCGGGGGCGGCCGATATCGTTCTGCCGTGTCCGGGTCATCAAACACGCTGGGCTACACAGGAAGGTGTCAGCGACGGTGGTGAATCGGGCAACGTGTGCCGGGAGACTTGCCTGGGTGGCAACAGCATCTGGGTCGTGGGACTTGTTTCTCTGGAACCAGAACCGCTTCTCCTGGAGGGCTTCCCCAAGCGGTGGAATTGTGTTCACGGACGTCGTCGATGTATCCGGCCCAGGCTTGCCTTCGAGTTCCCTTTCAGCCCTGACGGCCCTGTCTCTGGTGAAAACGGTAGCCATGTCTGTAGGCGGTGCTGCCAGGCTCGCTCTTGTCGGTACACCATCGAGGCCAACAGTCCAGTACTTAAAGGCAGTGACACTTCCGAGGACAGAGTCCGGTGTGGGTCGCCATCTCATATGATGGCATCACCACCGGCGTCGGCTCGTTATGGGGACCGCGGGACATCCTCTTATCGGGCGTGGGTTGGCCAACCCTTAGCTTAGCGCCGAGTTATCACGTACATGGCCCGCGCAATCACGCCTTTGTTGTACTTGGGGCGGTTTGTGTCGAGTCCGCTCTAGGGAAGACAAACAGGGGACTTGGGAGCATGGAGAATCATGGTATGTCTCTACGCGAAGACGAAAGTAGGGCCCACGTTCCCTTTCCGCATCTCGGGATTCCGCTCGAAGATAAGACCATTCGTCTTATCAGTCCTTGAGTAGGCATATTCCATGACATATGGATTCCATAGCCTGGTGCGAGGAGGCGGCTGTGACTTCGGAGGCAGCGAGGTTGAGATCATAACACAACGACCAATGCCTGGGATTCGCAGCGGGGGCGCAGCATGGAGAATGGCGTTGTAAGGTTGGGTCCGCATTGGCGTTGTAGCTGGTGTCGGACGCAAGGTGAGGGGAGCAATTGCGTGATGAGACGTGCTCACCCCAAGATGCAACACCGGCATCCTCAACCACCAACTTACCACCCTCTACCATCACTATTGTCGTCAAAGCAATGCGTTTCGGCAAATCAAGTTGCCAATCAGGTCACCACAAATGCTCCCAACAGTGCTTCCTTCGATGTTGCCGGCGTGGGGGTTCGACATTGCGCCATCACCTGCGATTTCACGGACATGTCGCTGATATCCGTGGCCGTCTCGAAGCAGATGGCGGCATACGGCATCAGGAGGTCGTCATCAGTACCACCAACGCCTATTCGACTGCTGCCCATTAGTTCCCCTCCGCACTATCGACGGCCGCGCAACTACTTACCAATACGACATCGGAATGGAAAACCGCTGGCGGTTGGCATGTGCTAGCTGCGCCCCCATCCATCCCAACGCGAGGATAAGAGTTGCAAACTCCCCGCTCCGACAGGAGCGCCAAGTGAAGTCGACACCAGGTCATCTTCCTCGCCGAACGGCACCAACCCAGGATATCTTTCCATCCGGTACCGACAGCCAGAGAAAGCTCGACAGCACAATGGCCCCTTCTGCTGTTGAGGCAGACGTGCCCGTGCATGTGAACGTCAAGGGAGTAGCCCGCGCACCACTCCAACTGTCAGGTGCACTCGATCCCTATGAGTCTTTCGACGTCACCCCTATCATCGGCCGGGAGTTTCCCACTGCCAATCTGGTCGAGTGGCTCGACGCCCCCAACTCGGACGAACTTTTGAGGGACCTCGCCATCACCAGTAAGTTCCCTTATCTCGAGTGACAGCCTGCGCCAGCGGACTGACCAGTCCAGTCTCCCAACGCGGAGTGGTATTCTTCCGGGCCCAAGACGACCTGACCAACGAGCTCCAGAAGAAGCTGATCCTGCGCCTTGGCGAGCTGACAGGACGGCCGGCTACCTCAGGACTCCATATCCACCCCCTCCTTAACTCGGAGCGCGAGCTGGGGGGCGACGATCCTGAGATCAGCACCATCAGTTCGATCCAGAGCAAGAAGTTCTATTCCAAATCCGTGCCAGAGACGCTCAGCGTCAAGAAGCAGAGCAGCGCCCAGTGGCATAGCGACATTGCCTTCGAGCCGGTGCCCGCCGACTACACGTCTCTGCGCTTGGTCCAGCTGCCCACGACAGGTGGAGGTGAGTGTCTCCAGATTCGTTAGGTGGGCAGCAGGGCGTCTATCGGTACTGACACTGAATCCACCGCAGACACCCTCTGGGCATCGGGCTACGAGATCTACGACCGCATCAGTGAGCCATACCAGAAGTTCCTCGAGACGCTCACCGTCACCTTTGAGCAGCCGGGTTTCCAAAAGGTGGCCGAGCTGTCCGGGTTCAAGCTCTACGACAAGCCGCGAGGCGCACCCGAGAACATTGGTGCCGAGCTCAAGGCCGTCCACCCGGTTGTGCGCACGAACCCGGTCACGGGCTGGAAGAGCATCTTCCCCGTTGGAGGTCATGTCAAGCACATCAACGGCTTGACCCAGGAGGAGAGCTCCAGGTTGCTTGACTGGTTCCTAGACCTGGTCTACAAAAACCACGATCTGCAGGTCCGGTTCAAGTGGAAGCATCCGAACGATATTGGTGAGCAATTGCCAGCCGGCAGAACGTCCATGCCAGCCGTTGTGACTAACACAGTCCAGCCATCTGGGACAACCGCTCCGTCTTCCACACCGCCACATTTGACTACGTCGACGGCAACTACGGCGAACGCTTCGGCAACCGCGCGGTCGGCCTAGGCGAGAAGCCGTTCCTCGATCCTAATAGCACCTCCCGGAGGGCCGCGCTAAGCAAGGCTTGATAGGAACTACATCTACCAGGAATATAGCGTATTGATTGCAATGCAAAGCCCGAGCCGATCTAGTAACTACTCTTCCGAGTGACATCTCTTATAGAGATCTGCACTATAATAGAATCCGCCTTGATGGAATCCTAGCTACCCTGCTCTGACCTTATCTCAGAATCTCAGACCTCTTCAAGAGCTGGTACAGGCGTAATACCTTACAAATCTCAGTGTAGTGACGTCAGTCTTTACTAGCCTAGATCAGGGTTGACCCACTTCTTATAGAGAACGCCTTTGAAGGAAGTCTAAGAGGCTTTATTGGGAGTTGAAGCAAGTTGGCAATCAGAGGAAAGCTTTTATCTATTTTAGGTTTAGCCGGTTATATGACAGGAGAGAGGGGTTTACTATGGAGTAGCCTGCTTAGGGAAAGTTAGAGAAAAACATCGCACTTTCACGCTACTATTTTCATAATGTCTAATTATAGGAAGGTTTATATTCTATCTACGCCTGGCTATTCTTTTGAATTGAATTACTTTGATTTGTGTTAGTGTCACGAATTATGCCAACAGGGTGGCCACAGGTGGGACCATCAACGGGTGGCACGGAGCCGACCCGAGCTAATCATTATGAACCAATAAGGATAAAGCTCTAGAGGCTCTGGACAGAGCCGCGAGAGCCGAAGAGAACACCCAATAAGGAAGCAACACCAGAGGCTCTGTAAGTAACACTGAGAGCCGTGGCTCTCAAGGGCTCTGCGAGAGCCCCCAAGAGCCAGGAATCATAGCTAGTATATAGTCACTCGTTCTGGAGGACTCTGGGAGTTCTCCAGTGAGCAATAACAATCAGTAGTCTTCATCTACTGTGTAGACATTGCGACTTGCATTGTTGTGAACCTTTTAGCTTCACCGAGACCTATAATCCGACCCGCAAATACCTTCGACCGGTGAACTCTTTCAGAGGCAGGACTGCCTGTGGTTTCATCACAATATAGGATGTTACTACTTATTTTAATGTAAGATTAGCCTACTCTGGAGAATAGATCACCCTTGAAATTTACCTGGTAATAGTTATATTTATAATACTCCTTGAACTTACCCTTGAAGTTTCTTAATATAAAAGGCTTGTAACCTTTAAATATTATAATAATATTACTATACTTAGAGAATCACTATAATCGAGAGATATTGCCTAGTAATGAATATATAGTAGTAGCTATTTATACTACTAAATAACTAAACCTTAGTGTCACGAATTAACCTGCAGAGGCCGGTGGGGCCGACCTGCATAGGCCACGAGCGGCGCCCGTATCCAATCATTCCAGTCTAGGAACGGACCGATCAGAAAAGGATCACGCTTGGCATAGGGAAGGCTTGGTAATCCAACTATAAGGCTTACAGAGGATCACCAGTGATCCAAGGTGATCTAGTATAAGGGATCACCAGAGACAAACAGTGATCCATAGAAAGCCCGTAGTGTATAGGTTAGCTAGTCATTCGTTCTAGAGGACTCGTGTCACGAATTAAGCCAACAAGACAGCTGCAGGTGGGACAACCCGCCGGGTGGCGCAGGGCGCACCCGAACCAATCATTCAGGACCAATAAGAAGGAGCTCTAAGGTGCTCTAGAGAGCAGACGAGATCTCAGAGAGCTAAGCCAATCAGCACGAAGAAACGGAAGCTCTAGATGGAGTCAACAGAGCACCAAGCTCTAGGGAGCTCTATAGAGCACATGAGAGCACCCAAGATAGCCAGTATATAGCCACTCGTTCTGGAGGACTCTGGAAGTTCTCCAGTGAGCAATACAAGCAATAAGGTAGCCCTATATTACTATGCAGACATTGCGACTTGCATTGTTGTAAACCTTTTGGCTTCACCGAGACCTATAGTCCGACTAGCAGATACCTTCGACCGGCGAACCCTTTCAGAGGCAGGACTGCCTATAGTTTCGTCACACGTTGCTCACTCCCTTGGACTCTATTACTGTTCAGATCAAAGGTAACACCGATCGTCATAGCGCCTTAGACACCTAGCACCCCAGAATCGTAGAGCCAGGCTACAACCATACGCTAGATATAGCAGGCTCTCGAGGCTCTCAACGCCAAAATCGCCCAGCTTAAGGCCAAGAATAGCCATATATAGTAGCTCGTCAACGAGGCCTATAATAGCAAGCCTAAGGATAAAGCCAAACTCGAAGTACCCCCTAAATATAGAGACGACAAAGAAGGACTTATTAGATTCCTTATATCTATAAGGGCCTACCTCAAGTACTACCCGGACAAGTTTATAGATGAATCTGCCAAAGTTATATTTATCTCCTTGCGGCTCGAGGGGAAGGTACTTCGATAGTTTAAACCCACCCTTAAAGATTGGCTAACCAATAGTATAGACACCTAGAACGACTTTACCATTGAAATTTTTAAATCGTATAATAAATTTGAATAGGAAATCTAAAAGGTGTGCAGAGACTATAATAAGAAGCTCTATATATAGGAGCAACTTATATACCTAAGGCAGATAAAGTTAGTAGCTATCTATATTATATAGTTCTGCTAGGATTTACTTCGGTATAAGATCAATGATAAAGGTCTTATATAGTTGTTCTATAATAGCTTAAAGGAAGAAGTCAAAGATAAACTATATTAAAAGGACCGATCTAATATACTTGATGAATATATTGCTATAGCTATCCGTATTAATAACCGAATTTATACCAGGTGTTAATAGTATAAAGGATATAAAATATAGCTTATATTTGTCAAAGCCAACGACAAGAAAAAGCGATAGTACCCTAGTATATTATATAGTACCTACGCTAGTCTAATAGATATAAATACTATCTAGCATAAAGAAAAGGGATATAAGGACAAGTCCTAGGTCACCTGTTTTAACTATGGCAAGAAAGGGCACTTTAAATAGGAGTGCTATAGCAAGAAGAACTAGAAGTAGGTACCTGGCAAGGAAAACACTATAATCGATAAGTTAACCTGTATGGTTAAAGTAGCTATAGCAAGCTATACCAAGGATGACTTCGACGATATAGTTGACCAAGGCATAGCTAAAGGAAGTATCAACGACTCCTCTCGGTCAGGAAATAACAGCCCCTACATTATATTCGAAGAACCTATTATAGGCTATAATATTACCACCGCTATAGTATTATAACTCATAGAAGATTAGGGCTTCTAATTAACTTAGAATGAAGAAGGTTAGTAGAGAATATGGCAATCGAGCGACGAACCCGTTGGCCCGAACCCTATCTTTCTTACTTAACGCCTTTAGAAGGCTGAGGAGGAGCAAGCCGAGCTTCGGACGGTTACCTAAAGACTTATAGAAGAAAGGGCTCAGGTTATAAGCTAGCTGGAATTTATTAAGGCCAAGTTGGTCAGGGTCTAGGAAGAACAGTACTTGAACTTATAGGATGGACCGGCATAGGATAAAGGCCAGGATAGGAGAAATGGTAGAATCAAGAACCCTAAGGCTAAATACTAGAAGGCCTAGAACCAATAGAGACTCAAGGGGTAGGAACTATAAGATTAGGATACTTTTTAGAATAAGAAGCTATATAATAGCGTCGGGGATAGTAATATAGTACGTATCTGGATTGGATTTGGCCCGTGTTACGAACCCTATAAATAAGACGCACTTCGACTCTAACCCTAGCAATATAACTATATCTACGTTCTATAGTTCTAGTATATTATATATAAATGCCAATATTATTTCCGATCGAAATTTGACAACGACTTTTGGCCTAATAGGCCTACCGATTGAAGCGGAGAACCTCGACTAGTCCTATAGGTTTGGGATATAGGAACTGGCGACAACTAGTTCCTATAGAAGGTCGAGAGGACCAGCGTATATAATAGAATCAGGGTGGCACCGTAAAGAACCTAGCTAGAAGACTACCAGCGGTAGCCTAATAGCACTCGATAGTATAAGAGCTAGGATTGCTTAATCTATATATAAGCAAGCTCTAAGAGCATTATAAACATAAGATATATATATAAAGATAGATAACGCCTTGCGAATAGTAACAGGAAGGAAAAAGAGCTAACGAAATTCGATAATTGTTTAAAGAACTCCCGAAACTTGGACTATAGGATAGTGATCAAGAGGTATAGAAGGATAGGGACGCCTATCTAGATATTAGGACAGAGTTAGGAAACGGCTTAGGGCCCTCCGAGGGGCCCGAAAACCACTAAATCTATTATAGCGACGATAGATCCGCGGGTATAGGAAGAACCATATAAGGAAAAGGATTTACAACCTCCTAGTAAGCGAAAAGGAAGCCGCTATAATTCAGAATAATAAACCCGATAATAGAATCTAGGTTATAATATACTAGAAAGGATTCCAAATATTGGCATTAATAGATAGAGGATCTTAAGTCGACCTTATCTTACTAATACTTGTTAACCGACTTAGGATCCCGTAAAAGATTAAGAAGAAATAGTATATCGTTAAAGGACTATTTAATATCTAATAGGTCCAACGAGAAACGGAACTATTTAAAATCATAGTAGAAGGGAAAACTACTAAAGTAGTATTTGATATTGTTAAAATAGGGCCTAGGAAGAACATGATTCTAGGACGCCTATAGCATCGAACTTATAACCTAGACATTAGTTGGAAGGGAGGTGGCTATCTATAACCTTGGGAATAGAGGCTATATCCGACTAATAAAATAGGAAGTATAGATAACGGATTATAGCAGGGAAGATCACCCTAGAAGGCGGCCCCTATAGATCTACCGCAAGAGATAGATAGTGCCAGGTAATGTACTATAGACTTAGGAAAAGGCAGTAGTGACTAGGAAGAATAGCGAGAATTAGCAAGACCAGGCTAGAAACGACGCCATTTATAGTGATACCCTTGTATAGCTTAGAGAGATACAGATAACATTGAAATTGCTATCATCTCGATCAATGAGACCGGAGAATTCGAATTCTAGGATTGGGTCACCTAGAGAGAAGTAGCCAGTATTATAGCCGGAGATAAGTTCTTATACTACCGGAGTATA